CTACATTGCCGTCTTCTCCTAGGTCGCCGCCATTGAGGTATCAGGGTGTTGTTACTTCGAGACCGAGTACGAGTTCGAGTCAGGATGATTGGCAGCAGCAACAACAGCAATATCGTCAGTCGGGTCTTGTTAGTCCTGGTTTTCCGCCGCCGGCTTCATCGTCACCGGGTGGTAAATCGTTTGCGAATGAACTTCCTGGAGATACGAATTATTACCAGCAGAGCCTGAGTCCGCCGAATCCGAACGTTCGTGACTCGATGCAATCTACAGCCTCGCATCCGGGAAGTGTTGGTGGATGGTCGTATACATCCTCCATGTCGTCGGCGACCGGTAATAATAATGGCCACGCATCACGTCCGACATCTACGACCAGCGCGATTGCGCCATTTGTCTTGGTCGAGAATAGTGGGAAACAGCAGTTTGCGGCGGAGTTGCCGGCGATGCAGGAAATGCATGAGGATGGTTCCCGTCACTAGAGAGGAGACAAGGAGAGATACCCATGTTGTTTATTTTTTTTTTTGGTTTCTGATCTATATGACTTCCTATTCTGTATGTATTTATTTTATCTTATCTGATTGTATGATTACGGTAATCCGCTGGTCAATACGGATGCTTACTTTGAAAACTTAGGGTTATTTCGTATCGAGCGTGACGGAATATTGTATTCTGATTGGCCAAATTTCATTAATTTACACCTGCGTCCATCCAATCACATTGCAATACTACTCCACGGTCTCGACTTTATCCTTTTTAGGGCTGATTAGATAAGCCATTCCCTCCATCTGGCCAGGAGCGATCATCTGGTTGGCTCCTTCTTCATTCATAGTCTCTCAACGCGTATATATTCTTGTCGTGAGGGGCAGGATGTTCTTTTCTTTTGTCTTTGGATTGATTGTTGTCAACAGTCGAAAGGCAGGGAGAGGCAGACATGAAGAGCATATTCCTCGTCCTCGCCCTGAACGGGTTGATAGTGACTGCTCTACCTATCCGCCATGATGATGCATCAGCTGTCGCAACTCCATTACATGCGAGATATGACCGTGCTGGACCACTCCCGGTCCTGACAGAGTCATCTTCTGACCGTCCTCATTTTCCAGAGTGGCTCGCCAACCACCCTGAACATATCCATCCCAAACCGCATCGCAATGACTGGATTGCTCAAGCCAGGAGAATAGTCAATACCTGGTCTGCATTCTACAGCACCGAATACCCCACAAAACGCCAACGACCACAATCATTTGACGACGGAAACGACAATTCGCTCCAAGACGAGGGTCTTCTCACTTTGGGGAATGGGGCATGCGGCATCGTCGTCGAAAATTCGCCGGATGGTGATACAACGACAATAGCTGCAATCCCGTGTCCATCAACCCGGTATACACCACCCCATCGACCAAGTTATTTTGAGCAATTGCGCCGTAATCTCACGACTATGGACCTAGCCATGCTGTGCAGCAGATACGGCCCCGAGATTGTGGCGCTGTGTATTTTTTTCCTCGTTCCTATTTCGGTTGTTCTTGTTGAGATTGTGGATGTTTTGCATGATAGATTGGTTACGGAGAAGTTTCCGGAGCGTGGTCGGGGACGGGTTCGGCTTACGGGACCCGAGAGACGGATGAGTGTGATTGCGAAGTGTGAGAGGGAGAGGATGGTGAGGGATTTGGCGCAGAAGGCGTGGGTGGGTTCGAGGAGGGGGTCGAGGCATTCTCATTGAGTTTCTTTTGTAATTGGTTTATTGACTACATTGCGTATATACCCTAGTTAGTATGTTGTTTACGGATCTATCTTTTATACAATATCTGTTATATTCCCACCATAAAACCACATTATCTGGTTGTCAATCGTGCTGGACCCACTGATTCTCTTTGTCCCCAAGCCCTAACCTGTGTTCGGAGAAGAGAAGAAGATTCCCGATCTTACGGCTTACGGGCAGTGACGACGCGACTGGTGATGTTAAGCCATTGAGTATATACAGATGTACAGAGAAAACTTAACACGACATTGTAGGCATGAAATTGCCGATTTGAGATATCCTTCCTCACGTTCACCAAAAAGACTTCCACCACTCACTCGACCATCCTGCTACATCAACAAGTAGGCCCAGAGCAAAAGGTGACAGCGCCTCCAAATATTACGCATTTTGGTATCGAGCAATGAGTTTGAGTTCTCGATCTTTTGGCCACCTGTTCATCGGAGGTTTGAATTGTCGTTCCTGGACATCGACAAATCCGGCTTCTGGTATCCACTCCTTGATATGTTCTGGGGCTGTTAATTGCTATCCAATCGAGGCACAAGCCTGTATTATCGGGGAGCGTATCGTCGTCTGACCTTGTGTAGACGTCTGTTTGCTTTGCTTCTATACAACCTCCAGGCATAAGGTTGACATACGGTGTTAATAATCAAATGTGGATCATGAACGGTCATAAACAACATACTGGAGATAACAGTCGCTTCCAGTCTCATATGCAGCCATTCAGGCCTTGAAAATGAACAAGATCGAATTTTTGATTAGATGTCCATTCTGTATTTGCGTCATCAATTTGAAAACTAGGATTGGGTGGTACCCTAGTATCAACGTCAAAATTGGAAATGCTCATCATACCAGATGAATTGGAGTATTTACCAGCTTGGCTGGGTGGGCGATACATCGGTGCCTGGATGAATTCCATGTATGGGAACACTTCAATGTTCAGTAAAGAATGAGACACTAGTCAATTACTTTTGCAGATGGGTACGCCCTGCAATAGGCGAGATGTTCATCAGTCCTGTTTGTTTTCCATCTAAATATCTATCTTACTAAGCTGCATCCATAGTTAGTCCCGTCCCGGTGCCTATGTCAAGGATATGTGACGGTTTGTCAACAATCGGTGCAAAGACTAGACGACCGCCAAAAAGCATGCTGATCGCATTTGTCTTTGCTGGCGTCAGTGATGCATGTTCGGTAATCGAAACTGCATTCACGCACCTCGTCATTCAGAAGAATGTGCTTTCCAGTTCCATAGGTGGCATATCGGCGTCCGTCACTGTAGACGTATTCTGTGATGGCAGAGTTTAGCTTAGCTAAACTACTCGTGCTGGAGATAGATTAGTTCGTGCAATATATTGCAAATTGTGGTTGAAGCCTACTCATCGGCCCCAAGAGCGGAGTCAGTATCGTCCTCATCTCCACTTGTCTGTACACATCAGTTCATTCCAATCCAGGATGAGATTATAGGATGTCATACATCATGCTCAATTATGGGTCCGTTGCGGACGGAGATGTTGTTCTGCTTTCGACATTCATCTTGCTTGCAGGTTGATCCGAGTTTGGCAAATGAATATGGAAGCGTCGACTTGTTTTGCAAGGCACGGAATTACATACCGCTAACTACCTGGTTAGTAACAGGGTAGTAAGCTTAGCTTACTTGAAATGTTGTTAGTAGATACTAAAATGGATTTCACAATTAGTATTCGCTAGTGATACTACCCAACCCCGGTCAATTTAGAAACAGCCACTTTTCTTCCCGTTGAGAAGTTGACTATCGCTCGATATTGTTCATTCAATTTGTGACCGCAACGATTTGTATCGGGCTGGCGACTCATCTTCTTGTTTTGACTTGAGGAGAATGGGAGCGACATGTCCCGACAATTGCAAAATGCTTTCTTCTACGCCAGATTTTGCTATTCCTGCTCGTATCGTGATTGTGCGGAGTAAACCTCAAGTGTTTTATTTACTTATCAGGCATTGTTACAGGATTCTGTATTGGGGGTTTCAAGCTACATGAAGAAACTCAGCAACTACGTTCTCATTACGGAGACTTTATTCGCATACGTAAGAAACAGTAATCACCTCAAAGTGTGTCTCATACTGACATCTAAAATTTAGGGCTCCGAGAGATCTCAATAATCATGTTGATGCGGTCAAAGACATTCATGGCGCTGGGTCGAAATGCGGCAAAGGCCCATTCTATGACCTCAACTATCCATCGCGATCACTACAGATGACCCGTGACAAGACTTTCCACTCTACAAGAAAACGGGTGCGGGAGGAGGGATTTACTAGTGCCAGTACGTAGTGAACCAAAAATGCATAAACGAAAAGAAAGAGTACTGAAAATTACTGGTGGCACTATCTCAGTACGAACGACGCATACTACAACATTGCTCTGTAATGGCGCGGCAATTGTCTAGCGTATGCAGCAGCGTCAGGAAATCTAGATACGATTCTTCGGTTACGACATTATAAGAGATTTGGTATATATTTGGAAGCCGTTTGGTATGCTTCAAAAAAGGAGAACCTCATTTCATCCTTGAACAGATGGCTGCAATGGGCCCCATTGACTGTTTATTTTATTTCAGAATTTGCCGGTCATTAGTGCTATGCGAAGAAAATGGATAGCGTGGTGTGGATCCCAGATCGAAGAGAGAAAGACAGTGAGCTGTTATTCCCATATAACTTGCGTCTTGTATTGATGATATCTAGATGAACCCATCACGAACGGACCTTTTCTCCCACCTTCTCCCGCTAGCTCCCCAGGACTCGAAACACTCTGAAGTGTTACAAGCCGTACAAGATAGTGATCTGGTCTATGACTCGGAGCTAGCCATTGTAGCTGATAGCGACACGACAGCAACGACTGTTGCGGCGCTTGTGTATTGCTCGCACAAGAAAAGAAGAAGCAAGAAATCCTGCGACAAGAGATAGATTGCCTATTCCCATCATCTCAGAATATTTATCAAATACTGAGCAAAAAGCGTCCCATATCTAGATAGCTGTATCAAAGAGGCTTTTCGATTATATCCCACTGTTCCTAGTGGCGTCCAGCGACTCCCCCAGAAGGCACTGTCATAGCTGGCCAATTCATTCCAGGAGACACTTTGGTCTCAAAGCCCACTTATGCACTCCATAGAGGTATCTCCCTCAGATCAACTGACGAGACTTGAAACTAACTGATTTGGCTCTTAAGACCATCGTAACCTTGTTGAGCCCGATGCATCCCTTCCGGAGCGATGGTCCTCACAATCGTGTTTGGCGCCTAAGCCAGAAGCTTTCAATCCCTTTCTCGTCGGACCGCACTCTTGCGTGGGTAGGCAATTGGGAATGATGGAAATGCGGCTCTTGGTGGCTACACTCATACGCTCGTTTAGTTAATATTCAGTGCGTAATATCATGGATTCATGTTCGTTTCTATTAAGGATGGTCCTTACATCTGTTCTATAACCGGTAAGAAACCGGTCAAACTGTGATGAATTTCATTAGAGAGAATTCGTACTCAACGGCGTGTTATCATGACAGCAGTTATATACGGCCTAAAGTGCATAGTTAAACCGGCCTGAGTAATGCTAGATTGTTCGACTTGCTAATGAGTAGATACTCATTTAACAATGACATCAACGACTGCAGATATCTTCTGCTCGAGTACAACTTTCTTGGCCTCTATCAAAACATTCTGTAGATCAGCCACACGAGTGACTCTCTTTGTCCATAGATGGCCGTTGGCAGCCGCTTTAGCTACCTCACCATAGTTTGGGCCGTCAAGCTCGAGCGAGATACCCAGCTCTTGGTTCGTTACTGTAGATGCTACCCCCTGAGGATGGACGTCGACGATGCACTGTCGCGTTGCACGCCAGCCACCATTATTGAGAATAATAGTCAAGAAAGGACAGTTATGTCGATGGCTAGCCCAGTACACGGCCGTTGGGACAGAGAAGACAAAGCTTCCATCGCCAGTGATCATGCAAACAAGTGGTTCTTCGGCCTGATCAGTCGAGGTTTTACACTTGACGTCGGGTCTGTCAGTCAAATCGTAAAGCCTTGTTGCAAGTTTGACTCCAATCGCAGCACCACCTGCCCAGCCAAGACCACTTCCACCTTTGGTCAGATGTGACCCTGGTCTGGTGAAACGAAGCTGCTCATTGAGCAAGACCTGATTTGTGACGGAATCGGAGACAAAGAATGTGTCATCGGGTACCACCGAGCGAAGAGTATGTAATAGGTAATCCACGGTAGAAGGGGCTTCCGGCGTTTCTGCAGCCCTCAGTGCACGAGTAACCACAAGAATTTGGCTTTCCTTGTAACTAGCCTGGACAGCGTTCCATCGCTCGGCATAAGTATCAGCGGAGACTTTGCCGGATTTCGATATGTAATCCGTTAATTGCGAAAGAACAGTAGCGCTGTCGGCATGGAATGTCGCGGTGGCCCCAATATCGAATAGGTTCATCTTCTCCTTTCGAGGGTCTAGATCGATATGGAATATCTGGGCTTCTGGGGATGGTCTAACCCTGGTGGGAATCCAGGGTACATCCGCATCGAGAACGAGTATCACGTCCGCATTTTGCACTACTTTGGCAGCACCAGTTCCACGTGTCACCCAGGCAGGATGGTCTGCCGGGAAACATACCTCACGAATCTCCGAGTCAAATACCCTGATACCCTTAATAGTATCTACCAAGGCTATCAAATTCTTCACCGCTTGATGGTTTCGCCCTAGATATCCGGTAATTACCAGTGGCCCTTCAGCTTTAATCAAAGCCTCAGCCACCAATTCTACGGCATCAGTCGACAAGCCACCAATTCGACAGGAAGGGATAGTAGCACGTTTTCTAGGTTGCAGAGACTCCACAGCTTGAGCCAACATCTCTCGTGTTGCTGTGATATAGACGGGGCCGGGAGAACCCGTTGTAGCCATGAGAACTGCCCTATGGACAACTGTTTGAACATGTTGCGCTGATTTAATCTCCGCAGTATATCGACTATAGGGCGCCACTAGCGAAGCCTGGTTCGGAATGTCTTGGTACCATTGTACATGCTCTGATCTCGAACCGGCGGACTCCCCGTGAAGAGTTGATGGCGCAACACCTGCGAAAATGACCACGGGGGCGCGCCCGCTAGATGCATTATGCAGGCCCTGACCCAAGGCTGCGGTGCCAACGTCGACATGTACGATAACGCATGCCGGGCGATGGGTGATTCTGGCATAGCCGTCGGCGGCAGACATGGCGGCAAACTAAATTGACATTTTGCAGGTCAATCCACATCTTGGCATGCGACATTTGTCATAAAATTTGCGCATATAAAAACGTACTTCATGCTGAAACAGAATCATACGGGGGAATTCTTTCCCCTGTAATTTAGTCCGACGCACATAGGCCTCGATGATACTTGGGTGATCGGAGCCAAGGACTGTAAATAGGTAATCGACTCTAGCCTGTAGTGTTTGAGGTTGAGGTTACATAAGAATGCCTTTTATTTCCAATGTCACAACGGGAGGAGAAAATGAACATTTCACTTACCTCAGCAAGAGCTTCTAGAAAAGCATCTGCTACGATGTATTTCGAAGCTGTCTCAGACATTTTCCGACTCTTTTGCTCGTATATTTCGTATTATACAATCGGCCTGATTATTCACCGAGAAAGAATTAGTGTCATCAACACATGGCAACCAAGAAACAATTCAGTGTGAATGTAATGCCTAAATAAGGTGTAGCGGTCCTTACCACGTGAATAGACAGACAAGTACACTATAGACTATTGTATGATGTAGCCTTCTTTAGACTTTCAAAAGAGGACAAGAAAAAAGCAATTTGGAACATGTTTATATCAAAAGATTCTAACTTGTTGATAGACTGCAACCAAGTACAAAAATGTACATACATACGGCTCCACTATCCATGTATTATGGCACTCTAAGCTAGTAACACGCTAGTAAAGCACTAGTAATTAGCTGCGGCTCGAAGTCGGAATTCGCGGTCTAGAAGGTTACGGCTATTCCCGTCTCCACCTTCTTCCTGAAAAGGCAAGGAAAACTTAAAATGCTAAAAGCTTAGCGTCAATTTAGACTTTCTTCTAAGCAATACTATCGTCCCTTCGTCTCTACGTATTCCGTATGGGCTACTAGGATAAGCGAATAACAATTTCTTTTTTCGGAAAGATTATTTTGGGAAATGTTGCAACGTTGGAGGTGGCCAGAACTCGGTAGATTGACTACTCAAGCAATAAGATTCGGTTGATAAGATTAATTGACACGTCCCATGTATTAATTGTGCATGGCGTGACATGCATTTATCATTCTTACTCCGAGACTATGGGGTACTAACCATGCTATCCACGCGTCCCTCGATTCTAAATAGAAAATAAAAGTCTGATGGTGTATGCATGCATTTGCCATTTTGTCAAATACAATAGTGGCTGGTCCACAAAGTTTCTCCAATTAGTTTTCCTCTGCATATTACCATATTCTGCATGTTTACCGGAGAATTTCCACTTATGTTTAGCATTTTGATTGATACTATTTGATAAGTGATAAGCTACTCTTTTTCTCCCACGTTGCTGTGGTCCATCCACTTATTGCCTGCTGCAAGGGCCCACACGCACTCAGCAAGGGGAGAATAACTACTTTATTTGATATCGATACCTTGCTGCTCCTCGTATTTTCTTTTTCTTTCCCATTCGGATCGGCACTTGCATACATCTTATCGTGGTCTTGCATTGCATCGGGACTTCATTTTCTATATGCTTTGTGTCTTCTCAAAATGTCCGACTCAGTCACTTCGGTCGAAAAGACTAAAGGCATAGAGCCTGCAGTGCTCGAATCGCCACGCAGCATCGAATCACCAAAAGGTCTCGAAAATGACAAGACTCCCATTGACAGTGCACTGGAGAAGAAGTTGCTGCGAAAATTGGATTTCCGCGTGATTCCTATTCTCTGGTTTCTGTTCCTAGTCTCGTTCTTCGACCGATCGAATATTGGAAATGCGAAGATTGCGGGTATGACCCAGTCGCTACACATGAAAGGGAATGACTATAACGTGGCCGTCACTGTGTTCACTGTCGCATATGTCGTTTTTGGAGTTCCGGCAAATCTGCTGGTGAAGAAATTCGGACCTCGGATTTTGGCAATTTTTATGTTCTGTTGGGGTGAGTTCTGTCTTCAATTTGCAATATGTTGAGATGGAGTTAATTGTAGCAAAAGGTCTTCTTGTCCTCGGACAGGGTCTTACCAAAACCACTTCGGGATTGATCGCCTGCCGATTCCTTATGGGCATGTTCGAAGCTGGATTCGTCCCGGGTTGCGCCTACTTGATCGGCTGCTACTACAAGCGCAACGAGTTTTTGCGCCGATATGCTGTGTTCTTTAGTGCTAACATGGCGGCCGGTGCTTTCAACGGTCTATTTTCAACTTTGTTGCAGAAGTTGAACGGCAGAGGAGGTCTTAGGGCGTGGCAATGGTAAGTGGAAGACTTGCTTTTGGGAATGGAGTCCCATACTGATGCAACTCGCAGGATCTTCGTTATGGAAGCCATCATCACTATGTGTGTCAGTCTTATCGCATTTTTTCTTATCGTACCGTTCCCCGAAGACGCCAAATTCTTGACTCCCGACGAGAAGGCTCTTCTCCTGAGACGTGTCGAGGAAGATGGAGGAAATGTTCGCCACGATAAGATCGATTTGAAGCGTGTACTGGCAATGGCCACTGACTGGAAGATCTGGATTTGGTTTGTTTGTTTCGATACCTGGAACAACAATGTGAGCTAACTGATAACCAGTGTTCTCGGTTACATGGCCGCTGAGGAAACAGCTAGCTCTTTGGTAGCTTTCCAGCCCACCATCTTGAAGGACCTCGGCTGGACAGCTACCTCTGCTCAATGGCACACCATCCCTGTATACGCCACAGCTTTCGTCATCACATTGAGCAGTGCATGGCTGAGCGACTACCTCAACCACCGCTATCTATTCACAGTATTTGGCTCCATACTCATCATTATCGGCTGGGCAATTGAGCTAGCCCACAAGAGCTCCCCCGGCGTTCTCTACATGGGCATGTTCTTCGTCTCGTGTGGTGCTTTCATCAACATGTCGACCCTGGTCGTATGGCTTTGCACCAATGTTGGCAAGGGTGTTAAGCGTACCGTTGCCATGGGTATTCTTACCGGATTCGGCAACTGTGGCGCATTTGTTTCTGGTAACGTTTTTATCACTGAACAAAGTCCCAAGTACCCTGTTGGCTTTGGCGTTGGATTGGCTTTTGGCGTCGTCGGCCTTATTGCGACTACGATCTATGTTGGATTCTTGATGAAGGAGAATCGTGATCGTGATAGGTTGCAAGGCTCGAGTGAGAGGGTTTATAACAGGGATGAGTTGGAACAGATGCAGGATCTTGGAGAATCCCATCCTGATTTCCGATTCCAGCTGTAAGATTTCTGTTATCATGTCGCCTCGGCTATGTACTTGTATATTTTTTTGTTGTTTAGTAATCAGCAATGAGTACCAATATATATAAAGCTCATATGCATGTGTATATTGTCACGGTAAGAAACATAGTCTACTAGACGTTTACGGCACACTAGATTTACGTAGACTTACGTACTGAGTACTTTCAGGAAGAGCAGACATCGAGAGACTAGAGATACCTAGATGAATGGCAAGATACAACCTTCCACGGTTCGTCAAAAATCATCTATTCAACCGATACATCTTCCGGATACACTCAACGCTCATACGATACCCTTCCGAATTCTGACACTGAAACTTGGAAGTGGTTATCCATCTTTCTTTCTTAATTCCATGAACCCTAATCCATACATACTCGAAACGCATACGCTACCCACCTCCCTCGTTCTGGCCTTCTACATCCTTCTCGTTCCTTTCTTCTTTAGTATTAGTCAGCTAGGCCACATGCTACATGCTATGTATTAAGCGAAATTGTCTAGAATTGCTCCTATCCAATCGGAAAATACACCAGATATGTGGGAATAAACGGTGAATCATGAATGAAACCTCAGTGAGGCCTTGATGGAGAAGTTGTATCAAGGCCGGCTAGAGTTCCATATTGGCGTTTCATACAATTCTCTATTATGGATCATGTCGGCTGTGGCCGGCGAGGGTGTTGCCTCTTCCAGTGATTCGATGTCTAGGCTATGTTAGCATCACATTAATATGCGAGGCTCTATTTTACACTGAACCAATAAAAGCCCTAATACGAGGGGTTTATTTAAGCCATAAAATCACAGGTACGGAACGAGTCAACGATACCCGTAATCCTGTCTTAAGAGTTAGGCTCATCAATATGATAATACTAGGTAGGTTCTTACGGAGTACTTATAGTTCACATTAATGTTGCTAGCTAGCTACAATATGTACATTCTTATCGTTTCTACCTCCGTAATTAATCCTTCGCAAGTTCGCAGCCCGGCGCGAAATCAATTAGAGGACAATTGCTTCGTTAATACGAAATAACCCTCTGTGGCACTCAATGAAATGCCATAATGTCAGCCCCTCTAATTAAGGCAGCGCCACGGCGCAAACAAGCTGTATGGTCCGTACTTATGTATTGTGCTGGACCGTAACCGTGCCTAGGTGCGGAAATTTCGGATGATGTACGAGTAGTAGTGGAGGTGCTTCATAACTGCACCGCCGGAATTCCTCAATTTAGCGATTCTAGGACCCTTGATCGTCCCTTACTGGCTGGGCAGCCGTAAGCTTGAAACTAGACTCGAGCTAGGGATTCGGAACATGCTATTCCTCCAGACTTCTTCGACTTAGCTTTGCTTTAGCATCTCCAAATTTGGAAAGGTATTAATACCAGGTTCCACCTCGGGAGAATCCTTCCAAAGTTTATCAGACGGTATGTTACAACTTACGAGATGAGTGTACGGATACGGATACGTGAGTTAATAGCCTATTAGGAAGTACGTACGTAGGAGGAACTCGGTACACGCAGTACTAACTTCCTGCGTCAAACTGCTTCGGCCTTACGATGTCTCATTCTTTCGCACCGAACATCGCACGTTTGAGTGCTCCGTACACCGTAGGATACGTCCCGTTACGTCCATTGTTTCAAGCCCCATAATTTCTTCTCTGATTCAGATGAGATGGCTAGTGATGCCGCGAGATCTCGATTATGTTGATGACTTGCTTCAACATGTACGAGATGTCAATGTCGATCCGATGCCCCAAATTTCAGCACACTGTTTGTGCGAGTGCAGATCGATCTTGTTAAGCGATACTAGGTACTAGTCAGGGTAGACAAGATCGGGAGTTGACAGGTCTGGTATTTTCCAGAAAAGGAAATATGAGAGGGAAAAATTGTATATCCTGTATTCTTCATAGCCTAGCAAGCCCATCGACGCCACGTTAGAGGATGGCAGGAACCAGAACCCAGACAGATCCTTCAGTTGCAACTTGCTACTGTACTCCGTATGTAGTATTCAGTATTATGTCTATGATCTTATTGCACGTTAGGGTCGCAGTGAACCCCTAATAGAACCATTTATTAACCGTGTTTGAATCACGCAATCTGCTATGCAGCTAGTAATTAACTAGTATATCACACTGGACACGTCAATTTTTTCTGTTAAATTATGCTCCAGGTCCTCTAGTATTCAAGATTTAGCACTGCAAATGCTTTGATAAACTGTTGGTGAAGCAGTAAGGTTCTTCTCGAGAATGATCAAGTAATACGCGGGAGTTGGTATACGGCAGTTGTGTTCGGTTTCATGTAGAAAAAGGGTGACACATGCAACGAGATTTCTTCACGCACTCGGAATTTTAGGAAAATATGTACTGTAAACTAACCTATCTAGGGTGACTGATTCTATTGGGCACTGATCCGCCAGGATTACAACCTTGGAGACAACCCTCTTTTTCTTTTTCCTCCCCCCCCCCCTGCAAGGGTATTTTTCATGTAATACCTGCCCTCCGTTGGTGGAGCAGCAAATAAGGCATAACGTAGGTTATTAACTATCAGATGGTTCTCATCCAAGTACTTGTGCGTACCTGTATATAGCCAAAAGTATACCTGTTAAAGTTTATATACTTGATATAAGCTTCGCCTTGACCTCTCCTTTATCTTCTTAACCGAAAGCCCTAATATCCATTCGTGGTCTGGTGTCAACCTTGGAATGCTGGGAGCATGGTGAACAACGCAAATGTCCCTGACAAGGGACCAGCTTTTATGGCCGTGACTGGTGTTCTGGCTGGTATAGCGTTTCTCCTTGTTGTCTACAGGCTCATACATGGCTGGACTTTCAGAAAGGCCATTTACACGGATGATATACTTATTGCTTGTTCTATGGTATGTGTTTCTACGCTTATTACTCGATGCTTGACTGACAAATCGGTCCTTCAGTGTGTGCAAATCATTACAACAGTAACTGGGGATCTAGGTAAGACTTGAAATTCCGCGCTTCATTCTTCTCGCAAAAAGCCAGGCTCATATGACAATAGCGAATCATTATGGTTTTGGGCGGCATAAAGCAGATATTGCGAGAACTGGAGGACACCTAGTGGTGGCTTTGAAGGTTTTCCTTCCTTTTCCCTCCCCCATTTTCTCTCCTTCTATTCTTGAGAATGAAGTCGATTTAAGAGCTCAAGCTAATATACAAATCTGCTCACAACAGTACTTTTGGCTGTTCCAGGTCTTCTATAAGCTAGTGCTATGCTTGACCAAACTGTCTTTCCTTACATTCTATCTCCGTATCTTTCCCAGCAAGAGATTCCACCAAATCTGCTACGCGACCATAGCTGTCATTATCTGCGGCGTTTTCGGGTTCGTCCTCGCCACCATCTTTCAGTGCATCCCAGTCGCAGGCTCTTGGGAGAAGAATCTACCAGCAAAATGCATCAACAACGCTTGGTTCCGATGGTGGTGGGCAGGCTACAACACCGCAACCGACATTTGGATATGCCTGCTACCAATGCCCCTTCTTGCGCGTCTACAGCTAGACACTGTCCGCAAGGTCGGTGTCATGCTCATGTTCGCTATTGGTCTTTTCGTCTGCGTAACGAGTATCGTCCGTATCACAGCCCTTGTACAAAGTGTGTCCACAACCGATCCAACCTGGGGTTCATGGGATGCTTTACTCTGGAGTGCTATTGAAGCTAACACGGGTATTATCTGCGCTTGTCTGCCATTCTTGAAACATCCTATCAAACAGATGTTCCCCAGGCTCTTCTCTTCTTTCGACAGCAAGATCACCCACAGTCGACCAACGTACAAACTCAGCGCTCTCTCAAATAGGGGACACCGGAGTCATCATAACGGGGAGTGGCAGAACTTGGAATCGTCGAAGGTCGGTACAGGAAGTGTTGGTAGAGGAAGCGTTGGTGCGGGAAGTGAGGACGCCATTGTACCTGGTCATATCATGATGAAGACCGATATATCGCTCCAGACGGAGCGTATAGAAGAGTCCCATTACCCCGAGAGGCGGTGATATCGGGATAAAAAATTACTTTCAGTGATGTTACGATTAGCGCTGCCTTGCCCTTTTTTTTCCATTTGTAATTATAGCAGATTAGTGCTCGAGCTAGACCTGGCAAGTCGACATTAGTGGATATATATATATATATATTGACATAGCAATATATCATGGTTGTAACTCGGTCAAAAGTGGGAACACTGTTACTAAGTTCATTCAATGTTGTTGTGAACGCCGGGAATTCGTGGAATCGAGAATACCCAGCTCGAGCAATGGTAATGGCACTTGCCACCAAGTACTGTCGGGACTGCAAGGTCTAAAAGCCTACGCGTCCCGACGCTCAAAAGCTGCAGTGCGTGAACTTGAGAAATCCGTATTCGTTTCCCTCTAGTTTCACTATGTGGATGTGAATGTTGATGGACCAGATAGGTAAGACACGCCATCTCTCATCACAACACACCCGGTTCAAGGAACCATGTAAAGGCGTAAAATTAATTAGTAACAATTTTATTATGAATATTCATAATATGTAGATGAAATAATAAGAGTAGCACAGTTTCTTTTCACATGCCTACCCGCCTGCAAGTAATTAATTGGTCGAGTGAGCTAGCAAACCCTAATTTGTGCTCTGTAACATGGTAACCGAAACGACTTCTTAGGAACGAAAATGCAGACATTTTGACATAAAAGTAGTTTCTGATTCTCTATGAATCTACATGTGAGAGAATTGAGTACTTTGATCGCCAACGCGTGTATTATGTACTTCCGGTTTTATTATTAACAATAACTCCGATGAGTGGAGTGGGATGTTCGAATGTCGGACAAGTCATACCGACTAACCAATACTATATTACCAGGAAGCACGGCGAGGTTCTAGATAAATGGATCTTCATTGAGAGGGATTCAACGACTCTGTTGACGCCAATATAGGCGATCTACCTGAAAGACAATGAATGAAATGACCCACGATACCCATGTCGCTCAATGAGGGGTCGACGGTTGCCTTGGAGCAATACCATAGAAACGCACATCAGGATGGTTGTAAGACAGAATTTGGTCACACGCACAGAGATTCAAATGCAATAATGAGTCACGAACATGAGTTTTGCAATGGCTAACAAACAAGTAAATGCAGTTTCGGTGATATCGATTGGTTTTTACCGATTCTCCGGAGGAACTCTTGGTTCCACGTAAAGAAAGGGAAGATCCCAAAGCTGCTCATCCCTGCTGGAGACACGTGAATTGTGTTCACTTACCTGAGTTTAATAAGCTGTCTTTCTTCCAGTGTCTTTCTCCTAGCTTGCCAATTCGCCTCATTCTTCTATCACGAGTCTGCCGAGGTGCAAAAACAGAGTACCTCCAAAACAAATTCTTGAAAGCGTATAAACTTACCTAGGTCGCTACAGATTCACGATGGCAAAGGAGTATAAAGTCCCGTTCGTGGTATGTATCGATGATGTTATGAATTACTATGACGAGCCAAATAATTCTAATTAACTCATCAGCTGGAGAAACCTGAGCTCCTCAAATTTGACGCCTTCGTTAATAATGAATGGGTTCAATCAAAGACTGGCGCTAGATTCGAAGTCATAGGTAAAAATGAACTTTCTTACATGCATCCTCTCCATATAGCCTATCTTGTGATTTGCTTGCTAATACGATATAAGCAGACCCTGGAACAGATACTGCATGGGCCAGCTGCCCCATATTCACAGCGGAAGATGTCCCTCAAGTTGTCGAAACAGCACAAGCAGCATTTCAGAAATTCGCGAGAACCTCTCCGCGACAGCGAGCGGAGTGGCTCACAAAATGGGACGGTCTTATCAAAGAACACAAGATGGATATTGCAAAAATATTAACTCACGAAGCGGGTAAGCCAATCGGAGAAGCTGCAAGGGAAGTAGACTTTTCCACGGCGTCTCTATTGTGGTTCGCAGGAGAGGCAGAACGTATCGAAGGTACGGTTGCGACTACTTCATTCCCTCCTGGTCGAAGAGCATTCACCATCAAGCAACCCATTGGTGTCACGGTTGGCTTAATACCATGGAATTTTCCAATTGGAATGTTTTTACGCAAGATTAGCCCTGCGCTCGCTGCTGGATGTCCGATGATCGTAAAGCCCAGCCCAGAAACACCTCTCAGTACATTGGCTCTAGCCTACTTAGCTGCAAAGGCTGGCTTCCCACCCGGTGTCATTACTGTGTTAACAACGGACCTCGACAATACCCCGAGTTTAAGTGAGGCACTTTGCAGGCATCCACTCGTCAGGAAGGTTACTTTCACTGGGTCAACGCGTGTGGGCAAAATAATTGCTGCTCACTGTGCTCAAGGTGTCAAGAAAGTCACACTCGAGCTCGGTGGGAACTCTCCATATATCGTATTTGATGACGCGAACCTCAGTCAAGCTGCCACATCTTTGATGATGGTGAAATGGATAAATGCAGGCCAAGCCTGTATCTCTGCAAATCGAATTTACGTGCAATCCGGAGTATATGAAAAGTTCGCAGAGATCATAAAGGAACAGACTGGCAAGATTGTTGTTGGACACGGCTCTGTTCCTAATACTACCATGGGTCCATTAACCAGCCCTCGTGGACTGGTTAAAGTCATCAATCAGATCGATGATGCCACAAAACTTGGTGCCAAAGTCATTCTAGGCGGTCATCGTGTGCTAGGCAATCCAGGATACTTTATAGAACCAACAATTCTCAAGGATATGACAACTGAAATGTTGATCTCTCGAGAAGAGAGCTTTGCACCCGTGCTCGCGTTGTACAAATTCGAGACGGAAGAAGAGGTCACCGAGTTAGCCAACGATACCAGTATGGGATTGGCAAGCTATGTATTCACCAAGAATGTCGACCGCATTTGGCGCATGTTCGAGAACTTGGAGGCCGGAATGGTGGGACTCAATTCTGGTTAGTAGTCCTGATTTTCTACCGATGACCTGTTTTCTAAAAAAGACTAATCAATAGTGTGACGATCTAGCTCAAACTTCTACATTGGAGACGCCATTTGGAGGCACCAAGGAATCCGGCTATGGCAAAGAGCAAGGGAAGCATGCCATGGAGGAGTATTTGATCACTAAGACTGGTGTACTAGCACTTGAAGGCCATGTTTAGGTAGACAGGAGATGACAGGATGAGATTGGCTTATACATTTACTTACTGAACCAACTGTTATGTGCAGCGTACGCTCCATGGTGATTGTTTATTTAGGCAAGGTCGAATAAAATTTGATAACTAGTCCTATTTGCATAAACATTAAACTGAATTTTAGAGGCTGGAGATCTTACAAAAACGGCCCAGCACATGACCTTTGTCCTAGGCGAACCTTAAACTAATGGTATATGAAGATGGCTTCGTGAATATGTACGTACTATTGTATCGTGGAATGTAGGGTCATGTTTATTCCTCTAATCGTTTGTCCCTTGACAATCTGGGGAATGTTGGCTTATTCCACCAATGTGACAATCCCCGAATACACGGCCAGTTCAATGACCTTTTCGTGTTTTCAAGCGCATATGTTCCTACTTATATCGAGGACACAGGTAGACTGGCCCATTCTTGGTTAAATGGGGCAACCCTAAGATCTGTGACAGCATTATGCACTCATTAAGAGGCAAGCAGTCATGACGCAGTGAGAGTTGGAGCCGAAACCCTAATTACAATATCACATTCCTGACGGAGAATGGATTGCTGAATCACGTAAATTGTAGAGTCGAAGGACACGAACTAAGTAAGAAATATCTGGATGTCCTTTACATGCTACGATATGACCCTGTTGTTTACATAAGTTGATCTTGTGCCAACATTCCTGCAACTCACGGCAGACATACACGTGGACTTCACTAATAGAAGCTCTTTTCCCCATTCCCATCATATATGTTTTTTTGCTCTCTCTCTTCGAGTTTCGGTGATGCTTACACAAACCAATTAGGAAACGGGAGGAGATTCTGAATACACGTTAGTGTATCATGAAACGACTTGACGTGAATCTGAGATGCAAATCAGTTTTTATCCATGAGTACAGAGCCACCATAGCCTCTTTCAAATTTATTGCAATATCGGATTATCACTTGCTTTCTATCTCACTTAAATCGATTAGGTGATCTTCACATATCTCCTGAAGGATCCAGAATCCCGAGTCTAGTAAGACGCTGGCGTACACTAGACATCATGTTATATACTGGTTTGTTCAATTTCTTGAGGACTCAGAAAGTACAGGGCGCTCTCGCTTTGATATGTCTCATCACATTTCCAATTGTTGTACCATTATCATCGATATTGTATCTTAATAATTACAGGCATCATCCAAGGAAAGATTTTCAATGCGGTGGTATGTAAACCTGCCCTTATGAAAATCTTCATTGTTATTCTCTGGCTAACTTTGTCTCTTTGCAGTAAATGCATTACCAGGCCAGGAAATGTGTCCACAAGGCATGTGCTGTTCTCGCTATGGGTACGATTTTGATCTGGCTTATGAAACAGTAGAACTTCTGTTGCTAATCATTTCAGATTTTGCGGTACAACAAAAGAATACTGCGGTCTTGGATGTCAAAATAACTGCATGAAAACATCAGAGACAAAAATGTATGGCTGATTCAACTTTATATCAAGCTATCAATATGACTGACAGTTACGTTCAATACCTAGTACTTCCCCATGTCCCGGTGCAATGACAAGATCTATTGCATATTACGAAAGCTGGGCAAGCCATCGCATCTGTAACAAATATATGCCATCGGACATCGATCCAACACACTATACACATATCAACTTTGCCTTTGCCCTTATTGACGACAATGGGGAAGTCATGCTATCTCTCTCCAACGACACCATGTTGTTCGATCAATTAAAAAATGTTCGCAACAAAAGCCTTGATAATGATTTAGAGTTATGGATCGCAGTGGGCGGATATGCCGTGGGATCAGCACCGTTTACTAAACTCGCTGCTACACAGCAGGGTCGCAGTGTATTCATCGATTCGGTATGCACTTTTATGGATAAATATGGTTTCACAGGTATGGATCTCGACTGGGAGTATCCGGCCGCGGGGGACACTGGTGGAACGACAGCAGATACTGCCAACATGGTATTACTGGTGAAGGAATATCGCGACAGGTGTAAGAATATGGGTCTGAGCGTGACAATCCCTGGAGGGACCTGTATGTGCTTCTGGATCCGAACATCAAAGGACATTTCTTCACTGCGGACATATTAATCTAATAATATACAGTTTATATGAAAGGATTTGACCTCAAAGGACTGCAGCCCTACGTTGACTGGCTGAACGTCATGGCCTACGATCTCCATGGAAGCTGGGAAAACCCTACCATCGCGGCACCGCATACCAATCTCTCAGATATTCAACAGTCATTACAACTTGTCTGGAATGCAGGAGTAAATCCAGGAAAAGTTATATTGGGCCTTGCAGATTACGGACAGACATATACGCTGTCTAGTGGCTCATGCACGAAACCTGGCTGCGCTGCTACCGGTCCTGGACTAGCAGGGCCATGTTCCAACGAAGCAGGAAGTTTGCACAATGCTGAAATTGACGCAATCTTGGAGCAACATACGGATATCAAACCCCAGATCGATAAGAAAGCGGCCATCAAATACTTTTCCTGGGATAAGACACAATGGTACGCTAGTTATATCAGCCACATACCTAGGTACTCAAATGACTCTGACACTAACCTATGCCTTGCTTAGGGTTTCGTACGATGACAAAGAGACCTGGCAGCTCAAAAAGCAATACGCTGCGGATAAATGCCTGGGTGGAACTCTGGAGTGGGCGGTAGATATGAACGCCATTCAATCAAAAGACAGGAAAGACGACCTGTGAAAGCAAAAACTACCTCTACCTTCAGTATTTGTGAACATTGTGAGCTATGCAATTGCATGCGGATCTAGTCAATGCTAGATACTGAGTCAGTCAATTTATAGACAATTTTGTCTTCTGTCGCAACGGCACTTCAATTCCACAACATCAGCTTATAATTAACAAAAGAAGCACTGTCTATGCCGCAAATCAGTAAATATAGGGGAAGTATACAACTCAGGAATTGTTTGAAACAGTGAACAATGAAACAATGTTTATCCCAAGATCGTTTGGTACCTGTACGGAGTACCTCGCTAGCCCATTTTGTGGGTAAGCTGCTGGCACCACTCGGTTTACCGTAGTGGGGCAGATCCAATAATTTCATCAACCATCGATCGGATGACGAACTCTATCGAAGCTTATCTGAACTCACAATAATAACAATCGCCGATGTCCTCCGTCAAGTCGTAATTGTATCTACGCTTCTAGACAGAAGATTTATTGCTTCATAGTCAGTACCGCTACGTATCTGGGAGTTCTCTTGTGTGAGCATTGGGTATATTACATCTGACGAGAAGCCATTCGGATTCAATACCAATTTGCTGATCCTTTGAGGATTAAACCTTCACAATATGAATAACGATTTGCAGGATCTGTGCTCACTGGTCCGGACTCATCCTATAATCGACAACCATGCGCACAATCTACTCACTGCTGAAAATGCACTCGACTACGAAAAGTATCCGCTTGAGTCAATCACCTCCGAAGCTTCAGGCGAAGCCCTCAAACAAGCACCCTATACTTTGTCACACCGACTTGCGGTCAAGCAGCTTGCAGAACTATTTAATTGTGATCCAAACTGGGAGGCAATAAAAGCTGCACGTAAGGAACGGGTTACTGCAAACTATCATGGATTAGTGCAAAAATGCCTTGATGGGACATTTTCGCTGTTGTTGGATGATCTGTTGACAGATTGCGACATTGAAGATTACAGGTGGCACAATCAGTTCGTCGGGTCGCCGTCTGGTCTGAGAAGAATTGTGCGCATTGAAGCTGTAGCATCGCAGATTTGCCGTGACTTTTGGGGCGAGGAAGCTGCGCCCGAACATCGCATGAGCAGACATATCAGGAGATTTACGGGGGAGTTCGAAATGCGAATTAAGGAACATTGCTTGGACCCAATGGTAGCTGGATTTAAATCTGTCATTTGCTATCGAACAGGGCTAAACGTCGAAGCTGGTATAAACGATGACGATACATGGGATAGCTGTCAAGAGGCGCTTCACCACATAGTTGAGAACGACCCCTCGTGTCGTATGGCCAAAAAGCCGCTAAATGATCTCTTGGTGAATCTAACGCTACACGTTATTCGAGAAACAGCAAGCCAGAAAGGATCGAAGCCAAAGCCTATACAATTCCATACTGGCCTCGGAGACAATGACATTGATCTGGTACTTGCCAACCCGGCGTATCTTCAGCCACTCATTGAAAAATTTCATGATGTCGACTTCGTTCTTCTTCACTCATCATATCCCTACACTAGGGAAGCCGGCTATCTCGCTTCCGTTTATCCAAATGTTTATGTCGATCTTGGCGAGGTCTACTCCATGGTTAGCAAGGATGCCGAACTTTCTATTTTGCGACAAAGTATGGAATTGACGCCCACGAGCCGTCTATTGTGGAGTACAGATGGGCATTTCCACCCGGAGACTTACTGGTTGTCAAACAAACAATTCAGGGATACACTTGAAACGGTTAGTTTCCTTCACTTTTATTGAAACGAGGAATTTTTGCTTATTAAAGGCTCCTGTCCCGATTGTGGGCTTATTTAGGTCGTGGTTAATCATGTCAAACAAGGCATTTTAACTGTTTCAGAAGCCAAAGACGTTGTGGTGGACATACTCTTCAATACCTCGAATAAATTGTATAATCTTAACCTGTCTTCTCCAATAACATTATCCGATAAAAAGAGGAGCAATGTAGCTGACGCATCCTTCGCCGCTCAAGCAAAGAACTTGGATGACTTAGCTGCCCTCAATCCAAACATGATAGTCTGGATGCAATTGGTTGATTACACAGCTATCATACGCGTTCGTATGTTTCCCATCCGCGAATTCCAGAAAATCTTTAAAGGACAACGTCGGATTGGAATCACCATGGCAACCCTGCACATGTTACAAGACGACACGCTTGTGCCTGGTGGAACTGCCACCGGTCAATTCTATATGAGACCGGACATGTCTTCTTTGCGCAAAAATGCTGCCCTCAATTCCAACAGTGCTACTGTGATGACATTCTGGGAAGACGAGAACGGCGCACCATTGGAAGGTTGTCCTCGTATCACACTACAGCGGATTGTCACCGCGTTGAACCCAATTCAAGTGACGCTTGGGTTCGAAATTGAAGTTGTCATACTTCATCAAAGTACGGGGGGATGGAGCCCTCTTACAAAGAACCACTCCTGGTCAAATATGACGAGAGATATTCGTCTAAATGCTCTCGAATTACTGGAAACAGCTGTGACCACCCTGGCTAGCATAGGTATCCATATCGAGCAATTCCATGCCGAGTCTGCCCCTGGACAGTTCGAATTCGTCCTTCCCCCTGGTGCGCCTCTAGAGGCTATCGATACTCTTATCAAAGCCCGGCAGACAATCCAGAATGTTGCCGAAACAAACGGTCTTCGTGCTACATTTTATCCGCGTCCATACTCATTCGCCGCAGGTACTGCATCACATGCACATTTCTCAATATCTCCAACTATCGAAGAAGAGTCCTTCCTGGCCGGAATTCTCACCCATTTTTCCGCTATAACAGCTTTTTCGTTGGCCCAAGAAGGGAGTTATGAGCGTGTGGCCTCAGGTATATGGGCAGGTAGTGAGTGGGTGACATGGGGTACACAAAACCGAGAAGCGCCAATCCGCAAGATTAGTACGGGTCATTGGGAATTGAAGCAAATTGACGGGCTTGCAAATATGTATCTCGCCATGGCTGCGCTGCTTGCGGCAGGATATCTTGGAATAGCTCATTCTTTACCACTCACGCACAAGGACTGCCCAGTTGACGCGTCAACACTGTCCGCTGTTGAGAGACAACAGCTAGGTATTACGAAGCAAATTCCCAAAAATTTGGACGACAGCCTTACGGCACTTGAAAATAATGATGATATGTGTGCTATACTAGGTCCAGGGTTCGTTAAAAAGTACATCGCTGTGAAGCGAGCAGAAGCAAATAAGTTGGCCTCTATGGAAAGCGGTGAAAGGATCACATGGCTTATGGAACGCTATTGAACTCTCCCAATTTCAATAGACAAGTCTGTATCAGAATATTTGAGGCAACTGAGGATCATCAAGTGAACGTCACAGTCAAAGTTTATAATTAGTATTGCTAATAGCAAAAATTTCGACTACCGTGCAGTCTAGATGCAATCAATCCCAATTCCTCCTTATAATTGGCCGAGCAGGATCCCATGGCCCAATCACAACGTTCTTGTACTTCTGTAGGCTGATGAGCCACCAGCTACAAGAACCCATGGCCAATGCAGTGAGAATAGTACTCAGAATCGCACCAACAATTGCGGCAAACCAGCCACCGCGCATTGCGATGCCGACGCCTGCGCCGGCAGCAAGGACAAGAGCAAACGTTAATAGAACATGACCAGTCCATGAGACATGACGCAACTGTCTGCGGAAGACGGGGAATAAGCCAAACACTTCTATTGAGAATAGGGTGAGGCTAAACACATGTGTAGTCGAAGGAAGACGCGAGGCCAACACCGTTGATGCCATCAATGCGGCGTTGGTGGATAGGGATGCAGGGAACTTCGTAGCGTCAGCCTGGCCCTCGCTGCTGCCGTAGTCAAAAGAGAATATGTTGATAATCATGAGCCAGCAGCTCAGTGCCCAGATGGAATCGCTGGCGGTGGACTTTGTAAGTGATTTTAAGATAGGACTAAGCCCCAGCAAGGCGCAGTAAATAAGTAGGGCTGATTTTATCGTGGCAAGTCGTTGTCGATTTCGGGGAGATAACAATGGTTTGTTGCCTTCATACGAATAGAAAGACGGCTGTCCTAAAAGGAAAGAGGAGCCCGGCGTCACGGATTGGAGAGAAGCGACACTTATGCCAGTGCTCCTGCGTCGCAAATGAACTTCAGTATCGGAACGAGGAAGATCCAGGCCCAAACCATGCACATTGGCGGCATTGCCATTAACTTGGAGACCCGCTGCGGGTGTTTGGGAAGCTGTGGAGCTCGCACTCGAGCCATCATCAATGTCGCCAGCGTCTGCGAACTGCGCGGCTTTGATAGCTTCATTCTTCTCCTTCCACACCCAAGCATCCCAGAGTACCCATCCCAATAATGTACCTATACTTCCGCTGCCCACGACCGACACGGGACTAATTCTACTCTGAAAAATTCCAACGAAACAGCATACGAATATGACCACGGAGCAAACATGCTGAACAATGACTGTGGAATCGGCGACTAAAGGCCAGAAGTCATATGGTCGGAGGCGGGGGTTTCTTTGTAAATGATCAAGGAAAGTCTCAACGTCTGTATAGTTATCCGGGTCTGTCCGTAATCAGTATCATCCTGACGAATAATAAAGACTAAATATCTTACATGACTGGCGAACCCAGAGTAATTTCTTCCAAACACCTTTGCGTTTCTTTCGTCGCCCATCTCGGAACTTGCGAATATCATTCTTTCGAGGCTCGGTGCCAGGTACTGCAGGAGGAGGTCGGAGAGCAGCAACAGATGCAGGAGTCGCAAAAATTCCGTCAATTGGTCTCAAATGGGAGGAACCATCATGCCATAAGCGCGCTTGGGAGTGAGCGTAAGCATGTTCTGGGGCGAGACGTGACGGATCGGGGGGTGCACGTTGAGGTAACGGCGGCTTAAGTCCTCCAGCCCTGTTTGGATGTGTTTCAACAGGGACGGGAGGAGGAACAGGAGGCAGAGACTGTGGTTGAGGCGCCATCAGGCCCCATGCGATTCTATGAGCCGACCATGACAGTCTGGCGTCAAGAGAGATGTGCTATGTGATGTTGATATCCTCCTTTATCCTCCCTACACAAAGAAAAGTGTGCCAAGAGAGCATCTGTGTCACGTGATGCCACTTAGTTAGTTACTGGTCCCCGGAGACTTAGATAGAGACCAATCAAGTTCATCGTCTTTCCACAATAATACACCCGTTCTAATCTGACTAAGTGTCACGTGATTTTTGCTTAGTGTCGGAACTAAATTACCACTTCACCAAAAAGAGGATCCCCTTAATGGGGCTTTTTGGTAATGGTTTGTATTCCAGCGCAGATGTTCCGTATCTGCTCTTACTGTGCTGAAATCACGTGATCTAATTTATGACAGAATACAAAAGTCAAACTACGGAACAGTTCGCAAATACCACAAAAATACCAGAATTCCTTGAAGGGCGTCCTTTTTGGTGAAACGGTATTACGCTTTAAGTTCCGACAACTATGTCGCAGGACGGGTTATCCCCTAGTCTGGGAGCTAGTGTAGCGCTAGTGTATGCTGAGGCTCCTTTAGTACATTTTAGGATAAATATCTAGCCTTCTATTGGTCAGAATGGCGGCAGGCCTAGAGTCAAAAAACCGGCAGAATATGTTGGGAATATCACCTCACATCACACAATCACCTTTGCCAGCTATTTACATCCATACTAGATCATCTAGTATGTGCGCAGCTTTTTGGTCTAGTTGGTCAAAAGCCCAACAGAATATCTCAGGCACGGAATCCCCTTTTAGAGTCAAATATATTTACTTTGAGGCCATATGAAGACGTTAAAAAGGCATGGAATCAGCACCTTTAAATACCGGTATGGAGATGCATCTAACTGGCTCTAATGCCCAGCTAAAACCAACGGGGAAAAGAGCTAAGGCTATGTCAATATTAGCACAGATTCCGGAGGCGCATGATGTCCAATTCGCGTAAAAATCGCCCTCCCCAGCTACGAATTCCTCCCTATATTAACGTGGCGGACCCATATCAACTATTTACTTTATTTTTTACTGAATCTTTATGGAAAGTTCTCGCCACCAATACAAATTTATATGCGTACGCGAAAGAATCAAAGAACTACAGTCCGCACCACCGATCTTGGTATCCACAACACCGGAAGAACTCAAGGTTTTCGTCGACGCTCAAATATATATGGGAATTACTAAGGAACCAGAGCTAAAAGATTACTGGGATGATGGTCTTGATAATAACACTGTTCATGCGAATCACCCATCATCTGCTTATATAACGCAGTATCGATATGAGCAATTGAAACGATATTTTCATATATTTCTACCTCCCGAGGTCCCTGGAGGCTTCACAACAACTCGCTACCCTCCAGAGCCTATCCTGGAGCAAGGATTACGAATGAGTGAAGAGCAATTGAGCGGTGTATGGTGGCATAAAGTTCATATCGTACTTTATATGCTGCGAAGAACCTCAAAAATCTCTATATTCCTTTAGCGGATATATCTATTGACGAGGCAATGGTCCGAAGCCATGGAAGATCTTCTCACACCTTTAAATTACCTAATAAACCGATCAGCCAAGGGTTTAAGCTATTCGTGCTCGCAGATCATGGTTATGTTTACTATTTTTATCCAACAAGCCGTACAAAGGGGGTCATTGAGGTGGGAAAGCTAACTGCGCTTACAAGAAAGGTTAAATGATATATGAGCTTATACAAACCATACCAAAGGACGAACGCAGTTACAATGTGTACCTCGACAACTATTTTACTACCGTTGATCTATTCAAAAAACTTCGCGATATACAAATTGGAGCTTATGGCACCACTCGGCATACTTCCGCCGGCAAGGATTTCCCGGATTTATTCAAGAAACTGAAGGATTTAAGCAACTACGTCCCACACCATAAAGTTTGTGCTATCCCTGTCCGAGGTGTCCTTTGCCTCACTACAATTCATACTGTTAACAAGACAGATGATTATGTTGAGCGTGAGCGCCGAAGACCTCAAAAGACTTCAACAAATGGGCTCTTAGTACATCGGGAATTTGGGGATTAAGCAGTCAAAAACATGCTAATTCCACGTTTTATTGACGATTACAATTATTATATGGGAGGGGTGGATATAGCCAATCAACAGCGAGCTGAGTATGAGACTCATACAAAGACCTTTCGCTCGTGGTGGCGTTTATGGAACTGGTGTTTAGATGTTGGTGTTATCAACGCCTGGAAACTGCATTCTTTATATTGTAAAGAGCTGGGAATAGCTTCATATTCTCAAGTGGAAGTCCGAAGACGGCTTTGCAAACAGCTGTTATCCTTCAGACCCCTAAGTACGGTGTATCAAATGAAGCCGATGAAGCGCAAGACGGAGGACCTACAACTGCTGTAACTACGATTGAATGGTTCCTGTGTGTACGGGAATCCCCAGGTGTTGAGTATCAACACCGGAATATTAGCTATTCCGGTTCCCTGGGGATTTCCCCTTTACCTGCATGTAATTATCCTTCTCCTCCCTTTTTGGGGAGCAGTCATAATATTCGCTGAGTCTGTAGGCAAAACTTCATCATCTAGAGATTCAATACAAGAATCGAGTCGAGCACTGACTGCTGATGGAGTCGGATCAGGAGTTTGAGATGGAAATGATGGGCCTATTCCTGGATCTTGGGCTGTTGGACTCCTAGATAGCCTAGATATCAAGTCTTCAGGAGGTCCATCGCTCCGATAGCCATCGTTTAGAGCGAGATAGTTCGGACGATTTCCACGAGTCTGCATCACCAGCGGAAAAGATCGAGATCTGTAGGCAAATCTATGGAAGGGGAAATAATAGAGGTATTTTCAACGAGAAGACTGTGAGATGCCAAGAGCCTGTCGATATGAAGCAGGATTGATCATATTGGTACTATGTAGCGCAAATACCAAGCATAAGAAAGGGAAGGGAAGAAGAGTAAGAGACGAAGCTATCTTCAGCTGTTTGATCTTATTTGTGTGTCACCTGATTGTTGCACGTGATATATTGCGAATATTATTCGCAATGTTTGTGAATTGCGAATGCGAATAACGAATATTGCTGATTACTGCGAATATTCGTATTCGCAACAGCCCTACTAGCACAAACTCAGTTAAGCTCAATACTCAAAGACGTCTTTATAGTGGGAAATCTTGATATTGACCTAATTCTGCGCACTCTATTCTATCTACATCTTGACGGGATTGTTGGACACTATTTATGCTTGAGAATCCCATCTAGAAGATATCCAGACAATCTCAAAGAGAAGATTCTCGATATAGAGCTGTAAAACTGATTCGTAGGCTCAATCTTGTGTCTTCAATTCTCGAATTTTCCTTGTATCATGTTTTAGGCTTTCCTTGATTAGGTTTAGCTTACCTAATCCTCGACATATACATGAAATCATGTGATTAGTGGGGCCAATTTACTCGATCGGGCCACGTGTGCCTGAGGCTTACCAAAAATAAGTAATCGGAATAAATAAAGATCAGCCACGATACAGGCATCAATCCTCAGTTATGCATGTCATGTCAATAACTTCTTCCTCACTTAGAGCTCTTTGGTGACTAGCAAAAGAATACGTGTTGCCACCTGCGCGTTTTGCCCAATGCTTTCACCCAACTCTTATTGTGCTTTCATATTCATCTTAGAAGCCTTGTTTTCGAAACACCAAGTCTCTACTCTCCACGGAAGCGGGCATCAGAATTCATGGCGAATGGGGAAAGTCCTACAATACCAAGGTACGTATACCGATGAGACCATTTATTTATCAAAGTCCAATCATCTCTACAACTCATATGCTTTGATGCGTCTTTTGAGTACTACATCCATACAGAGCTACAAATTAACATGCAAAATAGCACTATCAGTTTACCGTTGCTACGTCCTCGGGATGGCATCAAAAGAGAATCAGTGGTTGCAACTCCAGTCACCCAAAGCAGGACGAGGGTAGTACTGGCACCGGCTCATCAACTCCCAGGTCATTTAATCCAACTTCTGGAGGAATGGCATAGGGATCACCCGCATGAGCGACCACTGGCTGCATTCTCAAAGAAGAATTCAACCGAGGAAGAGAGGACGTACACCGTGTTATCACGGGATCGCAAACAGCTCCCTCTCATAGAGGAGATCTCGATTACCAAACCTTTGTCTTACATGGTATATTACCTACCCATCAACGACGGAAAGCAGACTGGTATTTTGGTGAAGCCGCTGACATGGGGAAATCGGATCTGCTTCATGAAAAAATGGCTTGGGGACTACACCTTCCAAGCGGAACCTGCTGCTGTGCGATTAATGCAGGTGGATGGCTCATTTGGAGACTTTCCCGACGATGATAAATGGAGAGCAGCTACCGATAAGAAGTTGCCAAGTGAATTGAAGAATGAAGAAGAGGAACGCGCCATTCGACCCAGCGTACCTAGGAAACGGTCCCGAGAAGAAAGGGAAAATAGCACGAGCAGCTCCGGTGGGGACATAGATTTCACAACTTCAAGACCAGCAACTCGGCAGCAATGTCGACAACGAGCAAGCTCAACACATACATCTGCTGCGCCAAGAGATGATGGTTCGGAGGGCGAAGACGAACTACATCCGACTGGCCTCTCTAATAGAGGGTTACCTATAATTTTACAGTCAACAACACATGTCCAAAGAAACCTCAATTCTCGAACATCCTTACCACAGACTCATCAAAGCGGAGGAGGAAGGAGCACGCTCCTATCTTCCCCTTTGATTACCAACTGCCCAAACATAACCACAAGCGATTCCGGCGTCGACATCTCGGCAGCAACAGCAACCATAACATCACACGGAGTCATGAACTCTACGTCACCGCCAATTATCACATTCAAGCTCAGAATCTCTCGGACCAGAATGGAACGTCACATTCGAATCGAGGATAACGAGGAGGATGCAGAGGAACTATTTAAAGAAGCCAGGGATTATTTCCGCCGCCATGACAGGCTGATTGGTACGCCAATACTAGAGTGTGTTATCGAAGGCGAGCCGGATTGTCGGTGCATTTATAATGCCAAAGAATTGAGGTATTTTATTGAGGAGCTTCGTGAAAGACGGGGTATTGTCAAAGTCACTGTAACACAGAGCTCTTGACTTTTTATGTTTTCGGACCTTTTCTTGCTGTTATTTGAGCGAATTACTTGGCTTGTCTGAGGATTAGCAGAATTAAGCAGTCGGAGTACCTACAGAACCATATGATTATGTACGCGCACCCTAATTATATATCAACACCCCAATGTAGCGCATGCCATCCGGGCATGCCCATCTCTTCCGGGGCCGTACAAGCATACTGACGAGACAAATCTCTGCACAATTCGATAAGGCACAGATTGTTGTTGTACCCAGGGTACAATATGTTATCCACCCCCTAGTTACATGCCGAGTTACAACCCACCCCGAAAAAGCCCAGTTATTTGAAACCCAAACCCGGTTTTGAGGCCAATAGCACAGTTATTTGGGGGTCACGTTACAGTAGCTTTCTGTTGGATATTTGATACGCTAATCCCAATCCGGATGTACTTACTAATCTTTGAATTCTCGGAAAAGCAACATATCCGCGAGAACAAGAGCGCCAAAAAGCAGACTACATTTTGTAGGACCAGGATGTGTATCTAGAGGGGATTTGAGAGGACGTGCAAATCAGAGTCAATTATTCCTCACCCAAATTGTACGCTCCTATCAGAGCCTAACCCCGTTCGGACTAGTACCAAAAGATTCCAATAGAATATGTCGGAACTAAATTACCACTTCACCAAAAAGAGGATCCCCTTAATGGGGCTTTTTGGTAATGGTTTGTATTCCAGCGCAGATGTTCCGTATCTGCTCGTACTGTGCTGAAATCACGTGATCTAATTTATGACAGAGTACAGAAGTCGAACAACGGAACGGTTCGCAAATACTACAAAAATACCATTTTAAGGGTGTCCTTTTTAGTGAAATGGTATTACGTTGAAGGTCTGACAGTTTCAATACCAGTTACAAAAATACTAGCCAGTTTTTCGGGTCTTCGTACAAGACCGAACCACGCTATAATTTATAGGGAAGGCGATCATCTAGGCGGATGGTAATTTTTGAGATCCTGTCACCATCCTCCGGGATTTATACTGCAAATTTTAATATTACTGATTCATCTATCAGGCCAGGCCTTTCTTATACGAAATTCGTACGAGTAAAGCACACTTACTATGGATTCTGAAGTGGAGTCTGTACGGTAGATGACGGAAAGTCCAACAGTGAAGGTACATTATTATAAGGTGATAATGGGACCTTTCCCGGAGTAGAGATGGGCGAAGGGATCCCTGGTGGCATCTCAGTAGTTACTGTCCTGAAGACGATTTCTGCTAGCAGGTGCACGGAATCCCGGTCCATGGCCTCGGCCTGTTCGCCGTAACCTTGGAACCCTATTGCGGTCAATTCAGATGGCCTGCGAGTCACAGTGGAATTAGTACTGCTGCTCAATAACATTATTTTGAATTTGATCATGCCTATGTCGCTATCTCCCCCGAGCTGAGTGTGAGCTTCTGCGACCGCCTCGCATCATTGTGTGGATGCATGCCAGACGGCTCCCGTACGTAGGGCTCACCCGTACCTACTAGCACATGGTTGGGGTGTGGAGCATGAGAGACTCACAATAATTAGTCTTCTGTCGCTGTCAGCTCTTATAGGCTGGTAGGAGCATTTCTACCTGGCTGCGTTTTCCGGTCACCACAGTCTGGTCTGGCTTTATCTTAACGGTTCTGTTTCTATCCCTAGAGCTGAGAGTTCTGCCTTCTGCTTAGTAAGGGTGCATCATTCAGACCGAGATCTTCGATCCTGGTATCCAGCAGCAATGTCCATCCATGTACTTGAGGCCAGTCATTGAGTATAGTTCGGAACGCATTACCAGGTAGAAATAATTGCCAATTGATGTCAAGTTTTGCCGCTCCGATTATGGGGGTAGTAGCAGCAGTGGATGGGCCGGCAACTGAGCGACATACATAGGGGCTGCAATGGTCGAGGACGCGCTGCAGGGGTATCCACAAATTTGACCAGAGTCTTGTGCAGCGTGCTTACCACTCTTCGACAATGTGCATGGTTTCCTCCGATATCCGGATACTCTTCGTCTGGCCGAGGCTTTACCTTGGTGGGGACGCGATGGCCATCGTGACTATGAGACGCCGCTGTCGAAGAAGCAGTTTGATAGTATGAATAACAGCGGCAGACGTCCGATAAGGCACCACACCCAAATGGAGGGAAAAGGAATTTCACCCAGGTAGTCCTTACAATCCTATAACATAGTCATCACGTTGGTTTTAGTCTTAGCTAGAATTTCAGGAGGTGGTTCTGATTAAGAGGTACAACCTGTAATACTCAATATCAAAGAAAGATACTCTTGTGATATACCGGATTCAAGAAAACGACCTTGAGAAAGTAGAAGGTGGTAACAAATCCTCGAAGATATGAAGACTCTGAAATGTACTACTGTCGCCATTCTCAGTTACTTGATAGCAATTAACCAATATCGCTATAGCAGAAGGCCGATTGGAAGCAAAAAGTTCCAGCTATCGGCATCCATTTGGCTAAGTGCGAGATGGTCTACTTCTACTCCCGATATTAGCAATTCTCGTCGTTGAGAATCAGCGACGTGGATAGATTGAATAATCGTCTCGGAGGGCGTCCACCCGAAGTAGCGATACATTTATCCATGGCCATGTATAGAGATACACGGAATAGAGTTAAGAAGTACGGTAGGGCTTGTAATTGACTTCCGTGTGTAGATATCCTCTGGCATAGATCCCACCGGGAGCAAAGATACCTGCCTGAATCCTACATGCGTATCAGAACAGCCCTAACTGCTTGAAGAAGTCTTTCAACGATATTCATACTGAAATCCCAGCATAACCTCGTGATCAATCCACATGTTACCGAGAATATTTCATCTCATGAAATCAATTTATGAAATCGTTCTCATCCCTCCGGGCATTATGTACGGCGCTTTACTCTATCATGCAGTACTGCTAATCCTCACCCTCCAGGGTCAGGGTTGAGGATACTTGCCTGCGCCAGGTGGGATGAAATCAACGAAACCTCAGGAGTAAAGTTATAAAATCCAAGATACACCTCTCCTCGAACCGGCAAATCAAAGCATTCGAGTCATCAATTCTTTCCAATCGAATATATAAACTACTGTTCAGCTCAAAAGGAGACCTGGAAATCATCCAACTTCAAGTCCCCACAAGCTCCTTTCCCCGCTATCTTCTTACTACTCTGTCGGCAGTCTTGAAGTTCACACTACCAAGGTTATCATAATGCATTTCTTCCCTTCCATCCGATCTGGCTCCGATCATGACCAGCATACTATTGCCCTAGTGCTTCGTCAAAAGCAAATCCCTGCTGATAACCAACAACACGCCACTGCCTCGAAAGACACATGCGGATCGAAAGTCGGTTCTTCATTCACTCAAGACAGGTAAGTAATTAGTCCGTTGAAACTACAATGGAACAATTAAGTCAACGCCTGACATCGTTTAAAGTGATATCTCATAACATTCAGAAGAAGTGGTGCTTTGATCAGCTGTTTGTCTCCCGCGAGACGATTCATGAGAAGGATAAGTTTTAAAACGGTGAACCAGGGGAAATGGCGTTTGGGACGAGTGCTGTATTAACGGTCAATTCTAAAGCTGTCAATCTTACTGTGTCCACCTAGGTGGCTTTCCAGGTGGCTGTCCAGATGGTCTCCAGAGAATTATGTCGGGATGGTCGATCTCCTTGTTTTAGATTGGTAGTATGATTTTATAGGATTACAATTGGTGTTTACAACTCTCTCTATGTATTTGAGTATAAGATACTTCCATACAATATCAGAAGTTTACCTAACTGCTTCAAGTTAGGTAGGTGGATGGCAGAAAACAGCATCTTAGGGCATCAACAATCCGGTGCAACCCCATCGGCCCAAAATGGTAAGAGAGATAATGAGCTCGAACTCTGGGTCATGTTGAAAAATATTCTATTATTGTGAGACTCTTAAAAGAGTTACGGTGATCGTGGATGTTCTTTCTATGAGTCTATGCTGTAAATGTACAAGGAAACAAAAATGCATAATGGCCGGTCGTCATTCCGAGAGCACACATCTTCAGCGAGGTTGGTCCGTGTATCGGATGTAAATGCCCAATGAAAGTAACGTAACTTCCAAATCCCAACAGATTTGGGGAGATGTAGGTCGAAAAAGGACATGTCTCGGCTCCAGTGGAGGATAATACAGTTAAAACGATGTTTCTTTCGTCACTCAATCGTTTTCAGAACTCCTCATTCATCGGTACTGCTTCTCCTGCTCTGTTTGTCGAGTTTGCTTTATTTCCTGGGCAAGGTTCTCGCGAAATTGCGTAGCCGCTGATGCTTCGTCAACGCTGTTTCGACGCCCCCAATTGTGTGGCTGCCGCTTCAGGAATGCGCCGACTGCTCCGAGATATCCCTCATGCCGTAAGAAGTAGGCTTGTTTCTCGCCTTTGGACCAGAATTTGATAGCATATGATAGCGTGTTCATGGTCTGGAGGTGACCACGAATGAATGAACCGCCGAAGTAGATATGTTTCAGCTGGTGTTTCTCGGATTGTAGATATGCGATTTGGCCGATATTGTTACTGTTCTGATGTTAGTATCGAGAACTACAACAAGCCTAGAGGGGTTTCTTACCTGATTGCAAACAAAAGACTTCGACTCATATCTTCATGTCTGAATTGTACTGGCGGGGTATCCTCCGGGTCTTCTCCAAGATCGGAGCCGTCTTCAGCCCGCTGCTCAGCACTTCGTTTCAGTTTCAAGACTTTGCCGAACGTGCTGGCAATCGCCGTACTCTTCAGGCCGATTTTATTATAGTCCATTCCGTAAATATCGCCCACCAACATGTCGACGCTGCTGTTATCACCTCTATCGGCCATTGCCAGCATATCATCAAATGAGGTAGCACCAGTCAAAAGCGCCATTAGACCCCAGAAAGTTCCTCCGCCAAGATGGGTACCTCCAACACGCTGGAATTCTTTGGGGCCGGACACTTTTATCATCGAGACGCCTGAGCCGATATTGACAAGTAGATATGGGTAAACACTCGTATTTGGTTCCGCGAATTTCATAGGTTCGGTTTCGCTATAACTAAAAACTTCGTGGGGTATCTCGGTAATGAAAAAATTAAGACCTAAACCAGTGACGATAGTTAGTACTGATCGGAAGAAATCATGATAGTACAGTGAAGTTCACTTACCCGTGATCAAGCAGTCCATCTCATCTTCTTGTGAAATGTCCACTTTTAGCGTCTCTTTCAACTTGTCATAGTACTTGTAAGCGCCTCCGCCAGTCGCAACAACACACAACTCGCCAGGCGCAGCGCCATTAAGTCTCTCATGGTCCTCCTTCAGCTGTTTTATAAAGTCGATGCATCGGTCTATCCGTTCCGTCTCGAATTTGATGAAATTTAATCGGCCGCCTTCGGAATGTGACGATAGTTCTCTAGTGAAATAAACTAATTTCGCTAATGATCCTCCTATCTGCAATCAAAACATCCGGTTAGCAAATTATTTGTATGTGAGACACCAAGTGCTTGTCGGCAATTGTATCTTGGCCTGTAAAGAGCTGGAAAGAAATTGCGGGGAAATGCCGCGAACAGCTGCATGCGACTTACATCAACTGCGACATGGCTCACAACACTGGTATGGTGAGGAAGTCGGATATCCTTGCGCTCATACACTACCCCATCTTCTTCCGCTGGACTCTCTGGTGTTGGAGGTTGGTCATCCACAATATAAGCGCCCTGCACGTTGATTTTCACAGCTCCAGGGTTGATGATAGCGTCTTCCAGACTAGGGCGGGAGGGGTCGGCCTCGGTAGAATGATTCTGAATGGGCGACATCATGCAATGGTCGACAGCGACAGCTGTTGCGGCTGCTTCGCGTCGCAATTATGGAATTGAGAATTATTAAACAGTCAAGAAGGTTGAGGATTGACTCATGGTTGGGAACGATGTATCGCTGATCCTGATAAAGACGGGCGTGCCCAGGCTTACGGCGTAAATCTCCTTCTGACCAAGGTAGTATTGATTTTCAGATCAGTCAGCGAATTTGTGGTTGCTTTTATTTTTGTGCCTCTAAAAAACAATCCACGCTCCATCGGCCCGAGGAAGATCTGTCATTTTCAAGTCTGACTTATCAGAGAGATATATGTCAGCGAACCTGTGACTCGGCGAAAGGAATTTGGTTCCATAATCCGGGCAAGCGGGTACTCCGCATTTGTATTTTCGCACCTCAACAGTTTCTCCGAGCTGTTTGTTTGTCCATTTCGTAGTAGTCAGGCAACAGTAAAATGTCGGGGTGAGTCGCGTTGGGACCGTAATGGGCAACCCCGACCATTAATGAAGTTTCGACGACGGCCAGGGCAACTGAAGAAAGATGCTTATCAAGGATGACCTTGACAACGGTGACAATGTATTAAACGTTGGGGGCGAACTGTTGGTACGGGCTTCCAGCTTTTAGTATATCATGGCTTCCACCTCATAATTCCGGGGTTTGAATCGTGGCTATAAGCCATCGAAAGCGTGGCGCATTTCAACCATGGGGTGTCCAGGACGTTGCTGTAGAGCTTGTCTGAACTATGGACAATTCCGAACAAGGATGAAGAATAGAGAATACGTTGGCTTCTATACACCAAGCAGATGGACAACAAAATGATCAGAGCATGGAAAACTGTCAGAGAGAGGTTGAGGGTGGGAAATCGCAGTGTCGCGTGCTACCAGGCAGGATACTGCCGCCTTCCTTTTCAGGCAGGAGCACACATGCCAGATTCGTTCTTTCCCAATTGCCAGACACTCGACGATGTTAAGCATCGTAGAGACGCTCACGACATCATTCATTTTGTCTGTTGCGTTATGTCTCTCCATTCTGTACTGTTTATGATAGCATCACGACAAGTGTATCTGTATCGGAAGAAACACCATGCGACTTACGAGACTTTACATATCGTTCTTTGTTTACCATGCCACATCTCAGTCCCTCCTTCGGTTTGCGTCACCGGATCATGATGTCCAGGCTATATCGAGTGAATCTGAACAGAACGATGCGGAACACATGGCTAGTCATGGAGCTCAGTCGAGTTTTGTTCCTCTAGAAACTACAGAACAATCTTCCGTGAGTCCATTTCGAGTCGTCGGCCAATCTGGTGTTCCGGCAATGGCCGCCGCTCTGATGCCGAACGGCAATGTCGTGTTCATTGACAAGGTCGAAAATTATACCCAGCTTGTATTGGACAACGGCCAATATGCATACTCGTCGGAGTACAATCTCACTTCAAACACTGCGCATGGTTTGGGCTACCAGACGAATGCCTTCTGCTCGGGTGGTTCTTTTCTCGCCGACGGCCGGCTCGTATCTGTAGGTGGTAATGGGCCTTTGCCAGATATTGACCCAACTGTCGGTGACGGATTCCAGGGTATACGATACCTAGAGCGTGGAGCTTACTATGGTGACTGGTATGAACCTGGTCATACACTATCAACTCCTCGTTGGTATGCTAGTGTTCAGATGTTGCAGGGAAAGGAACTATTCGTCGCCTCCGGTAGTCTCAACGGACTTGATCCCATGCGGAGCGAAAATAACAACCCGACATTTGAGATTCTCGATCAAGATGGCATACCGGCCACCGGAAGCATAATCCTTCCAATATTGTCGGATAATCAACCTTACTATATGTATCCTTTCTTGCATCTATTGAAGAACGGCCACCTTTTCATCTTCGTTTCACGATCCGCAGAGGTTTATAACCCCTATGATCTGACCACTAGCCGCCAGTTACCGAACCTGCCGGGTGCGTATAGAACATACCCAAACACGGGTGGGAGTGTTATTCTTCCCCTGTCGAAGAAGAATGACTGGGAACCTGAAATTATGGTTTGTGGCGGCGGAGCTTATGCGGATATTTCTAGTCCGGCAGACCGAACCTGCGGGCGTATTCAACCACTATCAGAAAACCCTGAATGGCACATGGAAGAGATGCCGGAGCCAAGAGTGATGGTAGAAGGTCTTCTTCTTCCTGACGGGAAGGTACTCTGGCTGAACGGTGCTCGACGGGGTGCCCAGGGATTTGGTACAGCTCAAGAGCCATGTTTTGGCGCATTTATCTACGATCCTGAACAGCCTACCGGAAGCAGATGGGCTTTAGAGGGAACTTCGGATATTCCTCGTCTGTATCACTCGGTTGCACTTTTACTCTTGGATGGAACTGTCATGGTCGCTGGCTCAAACCCAATGGAACAGCCTCTACTCGAACCAAACTACAACAGTCCAGCCACCGCATATGCCACTGAATTCCGAGTCGAAATTTATACACCTCCATATCTTCTTGGAGCCAATGCCTCGAAGCGTCCACAGAACATCCAACTCTCCCAGGTGGATCTTATTGCTGACGGTGAATCTTTCTTCATTAGCTTCACAAGCACGGCCAATGCAACAGACCTGAAAATTGCTCTCTATCATGGCGGTTTTGTCACACACTCATTACATATGGGCCAGCGTTTGATCTATCTGGACCATGAAGGCTTTGCTCCAGGTTTCGATGAGCAATTCGTCAGTGTCTTTATGCCGCCTTCTTCCAGCATCTCACCTTCTGGTCCCTATGTTATCTACGTTGTACTTGATGGTGTTCCCGGCTTGGGGCAGTTTGTTATGGTGAGGTAGGTGGGAATTGGCCAGCCAAGTCAGCTGCTTTACTCGACACTGCATCTCAACTGGTAGGCAGCTCTTAAGCAGGTCACAGTTGGCATGCAAAAAAAATCCTTGATACACCTGGAGGCTTAGTCACTCGATCAATCTTGAGTTGGGAATTGCACATATAAACATTGTTAATTCATCACCATAGGCTGTTAGTCCAATACATTCTTTCGAATCCTCCTTTCCTGCCCAGTTCTTGCTTTCGATCATAGCTCAGGGCATCTCCAGCTTCTATATCTGACAGACCAAAGACCTATTCACATGTCAGGACTTTGTTAAGGCTGTTGTTTGCTTGTTTGTATCCACAAAGGCAGAAGGAAGCCGAGCCCGGTCTCTACGCCCTGCACTCACAGTGCCCTGCACACTCAGCGGCGTGGTCCTGTGACCTTATCTAATTTTTCACTGTTATTTATTCCCTCTCATTCCCTCTCATTCCCTCTCTCCCCTCTTTCTGTCCCTTCTTTTCTTCTTTTCTTCTTTTCTTCTTTTTTTCTTTTTTTCTTTCTTCTTTTCTTCTTTTCTTCTTTCTTCCTTCTCTTACTTCTCTCTATCTTACGTCTCATCAACCCCCATCTCATACACATTCTCTCTCATCTTCAAGTCATCTTGATTTCCATCTGTTTCATTACATCTCATCCTTTATTCACTTGCCATGGATCCTTTGAGCACCGAGGACATAGTAGATACCCTGCCTGAGGTGCTGAGGCTGTCAGTCGTGTCGACTAGAAGCCGCGACCCTCGGCACGCGACAAAGGCTGGGCAGAGCTGAAAAGTACGATTACTCGCGTTGGGCTCCTCCTACTGAGAAGCCAGCGGATGGTATTGATCCTCGCGAGGATGTCCCATGGGCCTCCAACGCTCGTAAGTATGAGTGGAAGGAGGATTATGGTGATGTTGGACCAGAAGATGAGGAGCTCGAAAAGATCCTCTTCCGCAATGAGTTTCTCAATCGTGTTGGTGTCAAGTTTGACAAGTAAATTGTTCTTTTCCCTGGCCAAGAGATGTCTTTCGTCGTGTTTGCATGCTTACTTTCTCTACAGTCTCCAGAGCATCAAGGTAATTGTCGAGGCCGCTGAGAAACCTGACCCAATCTCCCGCTTTGCCGATGCTGGCCTACATCCCATCATGGAGAAGAACGTGGCTTTGTGTGGCTACCAAATTCCTACTCCAATTCAAGCCTACGCGATTCCTACAATCCTTCAGGGACATGACCTGATGGCAATCGCACAAACTGGTATGTCTCCCTTCTCTGGGCAGCTATAGATTATCACTGACGTATTACAAAAGGGTCTGGGAAGACAGCCGCGTACCTCATCCCTGTCCTGTCAAAGCTCATGGGCAAGGCAAAGAAACTCGCAGGCCCTCGCCCAAAATTTGGTGAGGCATTCGACCCTAAAGTCAACGCAGTCCGTGCTGAGCCATTGGTCTTGGTGATCGTGCCCACTCGCGAGCTTGCTTGCCAGATCTTTGATGAAGCTCGTCGTCTCTGCTATCGCTCTATGCTTCGCCCCTGCGTTGCCTACGGTGGTGGTCCTGTGTCTCATCAACGCATGGAATTGCAAAAAGGCTGCGACATCTTGATTGGGACTCCAGGACGTCTCATTGATTTCATGGGCCAGACTCATGTTCTCTCTCTGCGTCGTGTTCGGTATGTCGTATCATTTAGAAGTACAAGCGTTCATCTGACTTGGAACAAGGTACACTATCGTTGATGAAGCCGACGAATTGCTCAATACTGACTGGGAGACGGAGTTTGCTCAGCTCTTGTCTGGTGGAGACTCAAACGAGGACGCTGATCATCGTTACATGATGTTTTCAGCCACCTTCAACAAGACGTGCCGCCAGGTCGCTAAGAAGCATCTGGAGACTGGCTATGTGCGCATTCGTGTTGGACGCACTGGAAGCAGCCATGCCAACATTGAACAGCGGGTAAGCATAACAGAAGACCTCTTTCTTTAGTCCTTGACCCTAAACATTAACATGGAATATAGATCATCTACGCTGAGGATCAAACTAAGATGCAGTGTCTCTACGATCTGTTACTTTCCATGCCACCAGCACGCACTCTTATTTTCGTCAATACCAAGGTTCAGGCGGACCGCCTTGACGATTACTTGTTCAACCTGGGTCTTCCTAGTACTTCAATTCATTCTGATCGTACCCAGAGAGAGCGCGAAGACGCTATGTAAGTGAATAAAACTGGTCATGCCTGTCAGTGTTGAATATGACTAATGTGAAACTGGGTCGGGTTAGGTCGGCATTCCGTACTGGAAAATCGCCCATCCTTATTGCAACCGGCGTTTCTGCCCGCGGTCTCGATATCAAGAATGTCATGCACGTTGTCAACTTTGATCTCCCTAGCTATGACCAGGGGGGCATTGATGAATATGTCCACCGTATCGGTATGTTCACAGTTTCTGCTGTCTATTTCCATTATCTAACATAGGCTTTGTCAAGGCCGTACTGCTCGTATCGGAAATGAAGGTATCGCCACCTCTCTTTACAACCATGGCAGGAATACCGACATCGCAAGGGACTTGGTTAAACTGCTCCTCGAAAACAAGCAGGTAGTACCTGACTTCCTTGAGGAGCTGAAGCCCGAGGGTGAACTTGTTTTCGATGATGACAACAGCGATGTGGAGGAAGATATCGACGAGACTAATGTCGACGCTGATCCCCAGTCCACTCACTCTGGGCCTGTTGAGGACGCTCCTGAATTGGATGAGTTCTCTACCCCGAAGCAGGAGGCCGATATCACTGCTCCTACTAATAGTGACTTCGATTGGTAAACGTATCAGGCAAGACAGGAGCAGCCTTGAAGTGACCCCTAGTCAGCTTCCAAGCTTTTGCAAACATTCCTACTCATTCGACGTCTAGAAGGGTAATTTTGAATGATTCATTTTGAACCGATGCGAAATGGAAAAGAGCGAAAACCTGGATTTTTTAAAAAAAAAGGTGAAAATAACACAACAAAAGAACAGAAAAGAATGGAGAATTATTCGAGGAGAAAAAATGTCGGTAAATCAGAGCACTGAAGAGAGGTTTATGTCAGGACAGCAGAGGAAGGTAGATAGTTGGTTGCAGCACAGTAGGTAGTGGCAGCCGTACTTAGGTAGTTGCCTCCGATGCAAACTTGGTGATAGTCTCATCTTTCTCGTCCTTCCTCTATTCAGTTTTCATCCCAGCCATCGGACATCGTATACTGTTTGTCGCTCGTTACTCACCTCCTGTTGTTCAAAATGAAGCTCTTTACTCTGCTAATATACTACATCCTCCTTATCATCATCCCAACCAACGCGATGATGTCCCTCCGAAAACGCCCCCGCGGCTTCGTCATTGACGATTTCTGCAAAAGGTCAGTTAACAAGCTTCGTTCATGGCACGGCCCTGGCGAGAATCTCAAGGTCGAGTACGACCAGAACGATGACGACGATGATGAATGTCTCGTGCGACTGTTCCCTTCCAACCCGGACCACAACTATCACACCCAGTTCTCATACTCCTGTTTCGATCTCTCCAGACATCGAAAGATGTTCCTTCATGTCAAGTATTCCGGTAGTGACGCGTTTACGATCTCGTTGTATCAGAATAATGGTGCTTGCAACCCATTCCGTGCCCCTTTTCCGGGAACAATGGATAGTGTGGAAGCGTCTCGCTACACGACTGATGGTGGTGGAGATATATATGTCCCGTTATCCCATTTCTACATTGATCTGAAGCGAGCGTCGTCGATTGCTTTCCATGGCTTTTACAAGGATGAGGAAACGGTTCTCCATAAAGTTGAGATTGTTAAACACCTACCCCGTGACGTCGACGTGCCTAGGAAGCTGCCAACGGGGTCGATGGTATTGACTTGCAAGAGACCGAACTCTTTCGCATTCGGTATTGATGATGGTGATCCAAGACTGGCGCAAAAGGTAATGGAGATATTGGACGATGAAGATATCAAAGTCACCTTCTTTGTTGTCGGACAGGGGTTGCGGGATCCAAGTACGAATCTTACGGAAGTGTATTCTGAGATGATTGAGAAGGGTCATCAGGTTGCGTTGCATTCCGATACACATCCAAGGTGTGTCTCCCCCTAACTTTTGGCGGATATAGGCTGACTTTTGAGTAGGATGGAAGGTTTGCAGACAGAAGATGAGATTGATGATGAGATTACGGGTGGACAGCATGCTCTCAAAGATCTTCTTGGAATCGAATGTAGGTCCTTTCTTCTGAGCTATTGGATTGGGACTGACAGGTTCATCAACAGCTCGATACTTTCGCCCTCCCTACGGCACCATCGGAGCCCGAATGAGACAACGATTGGCAGCTCATATTGACGACCCATATATCGTGAACTGGAGCGTGGATGTCGAGGACTGGCTATGGGCAAACACGAATGAGCCATGGCGACAACTGAAGGCATTCCGTCGTGACATTGACCGAGGAGGGAATCTGGTGGTGATGCACTACCTCACCTGGAATACAGTCAAATACTTCCGAGAGTTCATACGTATTGCCAAACACAAAGGGAAGAAGATCATGAGGATTGATCAGTGTATGATGGATCCCGACGCTCCTGACTTGATGTCCTCGTCTGAAAACCAAGAGACGAAAATGTTGCGAACACGACCTGATGCTAAACCGAAAAATGAGGGTTGATTGGATGCAAGGGCTGGTGATGAGGTATTTCTACTCGAAATATTGTTATTTATCCTTATATTGAAGTCATTGACTAGAATTAGACTAAAGAATCGTTAAACATCATTCTTCTGACAAGTCACCTTGTGATTGCATTTGATACTAGTTACAGAATTCCTTATCAGCATTGATCTTATCAGATCACCCCTCACCCCGCAACATCTCAGCTGAATATCATCATCATCTTACCACCCTCAACCATTATAAGAGAGCATCATGTCCCCCACGACCCCAAAAGAAAATTACCCCCAACAAATTCACCTCACCTCCGAAAACATCTACCTCGAACTAACCTACTCCCCTCTGAACACAACCCGCATCCTTGCACAAATTAACTCCCCCTCCGCCGGCGCCAACATTTTATTTCTCGGCACAACACGCGACACATTCGAAAACCGACCCGTCTCCCAACTAAGTTACACGAGTTACGCACCCTTGGCCCTAAAAACACTTACCGAAATCGCCCGCGCCACGTTCAGGGATCATGAAGGTATAAAGGGTGTTAGTATATCGCATCGATTGGGGGTTGTGCCTGTTACGGAAGCTAGTATTGCGATTGCGGTTAGTGCGGCGCATAGGGGTCCGGCGTGGAGGGCTGGAGAGGAAGTTTTGGAGAAGTGTAAGGAGAGATTGGAGGTGTGGAAGAGGGAGGAGTTTGTGGGTGAGAGGCCGGAGGAGGGGGAGTGGAGGGCTAATAGGGATACGGATTCGAGGGGGAGGGCTGTTAAATCGTCGTAAAACTGTGTGTCGTGAGAATTGACCTGCTGGAAGAGGTAGTAACGGGCTTTTAGTCAATGACTTGTCGGCTGGATGCGGTAGGTTCTTTTCCTTCTGATTGTGCGTGTATTCATTGCTAATACTTCCTAGAATATGACCCTTGGAGACATTGACGGTTTCATGCACAGCTGAAGAGATGAGTGATTATTAAATCCATCCTAGCTAATAATACCATTCTACCCACATATCAAAAAATATAATATACAATCCACTCCATTCCAAAGGCCAATCTAAACATCCAACTTCTTCCCCTCCCTCTTCCAATCCTGCACGTGATCCATAATCAACCTCGTCGCACTCTCCGGCGTATCCTGTCTACCCACACACTCCACAAAATCCCCCTCGGGATCCATCAAATAAAAATAAATACTATGATCCACCAAATAATCCTCCCCCGATTTCACGTTCTCCGGTGTACTAAAATAGACTCGATACGCTTTGCAGACTTGTTTCACCTGTTCGTACGTCCCCGTCAATCCGATGATGTCCGGGTGGAATTCGGCCAGGTATGTTTTCAGGACTTCGGGTGTGTCACGGGCTGGGTCGCAGGTGATGAATACGGGGCGCATGACTTCGGCGCCGTTGGAGGCTTCTTTTACCTTGTCGATTATGGCGGCCATTTTGTCGAGTTCGTCGGGGCAGATGTCGGGGCAGTGGGTGAAGCCAAAGTATACCTTAAACCACTGATTAGCACAATATGTTGTGAGTGATGAAAGTGGGAGGACTCACAAAACTATATTTCCCCTTCAAATCTTCCGCCGTAAATTCCTTCCCATCGAGATCCTTGAGAACAAACGGTCCTCCAACCTTAGGTTTTCCGACTCCTTTGCTCATTTCCGTAATCCTCTTCCGCTCCAATCGAGCCTTCTCAACACGAAAGTAGATAATCATTCCCGCACCGGTGAGGACGAACAACAATGCTGCTTTCCATGAAAATGGACCAGTGTGTTGTCTAGATTTCATCTGTTGGACTGTCTTTGCTGGTCTGGCTGACGTTGTCGAAAATGAGCGTAGGCCATTGCGTGATGTCATGTTTCGAACTGACTGCGCCTGATAGCGGATGGTTGCGACTTGTGATATGGATGAGCGAGAGAGGTAGGACGATGATGAAGAGCAAAGTTTCGGTGATGCTCGCGCATACAGACGACCGGTCCTGCCCATGGATTGGGTCAGGGATGTGAGTGAGGAAGCCATTGATACTACTCTCCGTATCGCGCAGGCGACTTGCGACAATTGAGAATGGGGTGGAAATAGAAGATGTCAAGTCGAAAATCATGCGGAGAATGTCATGAAATCGGTGGATCCGCTTCGGAGAGGTTGCTTCCATTCTGGGTTAGTGCAGGATATCATTAGTAATCATTCGGAGATTCAATTGTTGTGCAAGACATGCACCTGGGAAGATGTAGAATGAGAAAAAAAAATTCTCCAATTATCGCCGGACTGGCTGTTGGATTAGAATGCAGGTATTGGAAATGCTATTTACACTGTTTGTCCTGGTGGTTCGCGGTATACGTATGTCGTTGTGAGTGCTGAAGATATATATAAGAAACAATATTTGAGCCGACCTTCAAAAACAACGTTGAAGAGCAAGGAATTGATTTCCTTCACCCATCATCGCTACTTATGTAGTTACCTAGATATAAGTCGATATCTAGAGAAAATCCAAGATAAATTATAATTGATATACATAATACACACACAGAAGCTCGTACACCGACGTTTTTGGTTGAACAAGAGATCAACCGGCAATAACTTCAAAGGAGGTACTACAGCAAAATCAAGGTAATTGAGACTATCCATGGATGTCACCAACTACGACTCTGATCCTTGAAATGTGTTTATACAGATTCAAAAGAGAAGACCTTCACTTTTTGTTTCATCACCGACAAAGACAAGGAGAAAGTTCCCCGATAATGTAAAAACAAAAGAAAATCCACGCTGTGCAGTAATTAGCCAAAATAGATTACTTTATGTAGCCAGCGCTGGCATTTAAATAAATAGTATAAGTCTTGTATGAGACGAGGAAGAGAAGAAAAGTGTAAGAAAATGGACCGGAAATTAGAGACATGGAAACATAACGTGTAGACGGAAAAAGAAAAAAGTGCTATAAGATATTGAAAAGATCTCCATATCATATCCAACAGAGGAAAAAGAAACGAAATAAGAAGACGCGAGGACATATGCAAGGTTCATTCATGATGCTTGTATGACCCCGTTAGAAAAAGGATAAACAGTCGAAAGTAAACTTTCCACTGGTTAGAGTCGAGTCTGGGCTTGTGTCAACCGTGGTCGTTGCAGAGTTGACGGTTAATGTAAACCGCGGCTTGCCTGACTGGCACGACTGGGACTGGTACGACTTCTCTCATCTTCTTCTTCCAACACGTCACTAAGGCGCGTTGGATGGCGGTGTCGGGGCGTTATAGAATCCCATCCACCCCATCCAGAACCGCTGTAGTCGACACTTCCCTGGCCGTAGCCGTGTACAGAGGATCCGGCGGATGTGCCTGGAGGGTAGGCGGCGGGGTCGTAGGGCTCTTCTTCTTCATCGTCGTATCCTTCGCTGCCTGCATAGCCCTGCCGGTAGTCCGGGTGGTTTCTGGCGTATTCTTCGTCTAATTCACTGCCTTCGGTGCTGGCGACGTAGGAACGTGCGTCGGGTTCGGGTTCATTGTGAAGGGCTGATCCGCCGTGTTGGTAAAATCGACCGGAGGGATCCGCATATGCACCTGTGTTGATGGGAGGTTGAGAAGTGGGTGTACCGCCGACAATAGTGGCTGATGATGAGGTTGGTGGGCGTGTGGTAGCAGGTTGATACCCATGACCTGCTCGCTGGGTTGATTCGACGAACGGGTCGGTCTCAGTCAAAGATGGCTCTTCATTATATGGATCTTGTTCAGGGACCTCATGTTGTCCGCCTATGCTAGACTGTGCAGGGCCGCCGGGATAAGGTCCCTCGCGTGTTGGTGGTCGAGCGGCGCTGCTGTTTTGTCGACTTGGAATTCCGGCAATCATCGGCAACACTTGAACGCCGCCTACCACTGTAGGCTCACCGTTACGGAGAGAAGCTGTTCGGTCTCGTTCTTCCTGCTCTCTGCGACCGAGTTCTTCCCACGCTCTTCTCGCCTCCTCCTTGGATATCTGTAGCTCACGGCGCATTTCCTTGACCAGATCCTCCGCTCTCTTGCGATCAGCATCAGCCTTTTGGCGCAACTCAATGGCGTCATCACGCTCGAGTTTCAGTGCTGCAACTTGTCTTTCGAGATTGGCTTGTACCTCTCGAGCTTTTTCTTGTTCTGACCGTGTGTCAAAGAACCATCGCTGAAAGCGTCGTTCAGAGGATGCGCGGAGACGTTGTAGTTCTACCACTGCATGAAACAGATTTGCACCTGCAGCAGATAAATCGTTGATTTGACGAGCCATCTGCTGGTTGAGCGGGTCCTGACTCAGTTCATTGTTGTTTTGTTCCAATTTGCGAATCCAATATCCCGTCAAACCTTCCCAGTGAGAGGACAGAGTTTCCCATCGTTCGAAAGCATGAGGAAACGTAGTCCTTTTCAACTGATCTTGAGCTGGGGCCTGACCGGGTTGAGGGTCGCCGGCACCTGGTTGAGGAGCACCTTGCGGGGGCTGTGTTTGTTTGGCTTGTGGTTGCGACTGAGGTGGAGGTTGGAAAGTGCCCCCTCCCACGGCTGGAGCACCTTGTTGGGATGTAGTTGGTGGTCTCATTTGCGCTCGTGGGGTGCTCGCGACATTAGCAGGGACTCTGCTAGCTTCTGTTCTCCGAGTAGCAGCGGCTGGGGTTTGTTGGTACGATCCCGTAGGTTGCTCTGGATAGATAGCCGGCTCGACTACTGCTGTTTGGCGTACATTGGGCTGTCTTCGCTGAGCAGGTGCTTCTTCCGCGGCAGCACCGGTAGCAGCAGCATACTGTTGTTGGATTTGTTGCTTCGTTTGCTCTTGTTCTTGTAGTACACGTTCACGTTCATGTGCCTCCTTTTCAGCTTTCTTCCGAGCTTCCCTATCTCGACGGTCTCTCATAATATCAGTAGGTGTTCGAACACCTGCTGGAACTTGAGTGTGCACCGGCCTGGGCCCGTGGACTGGACGTGAACCTCCATTGTGAGGACGAGATTGAGTCCCTGTCCCAACCGGTCCTGGAGGACCCGATATCTCCGACATGGGAGCGTTCAATTCCTCTAGCACAGGAGTGAAAGGGAAGGGCTTTCGAATGGCCTCTTCCAGTACCCAACGAATCGCAGATGCGGTACGCGGCGATACTCTAGTGGACCGTGACGGCCAGTATAACTCGTCGAGCTGACTAACAGAGTCGCCTGTGGTTGATGCGCAAGCTTCTGTCTCTGCTTCAGAAAGCGCCGGGGCTATATCAGCAGAAGTGACACCCGCTGTACCTGCACGGCGGCCGAATGCTGGATTAATCGGTTGTCGGATGAAGCTTCGGTCGCGCTGAGTACGGAAAGTTGCATCAACTGAGGCGACACGACGGTGAGCTGCAGCTGATGGTAGATTATTTCCTCCTAGAGGCGAGACTCGACGCAGTGGGCGGTGGTCGCTTGCAGCGCTCGCAGGTCGAGGTGGAGGAGGATGAGGAAATTGTTGAAAAGACGAAGAAATTGTAGACTCAAGAGTGGGTTGCTGCTGTTGGCGCTGCCGCGGAAGATTCGTTATCGTATTCGGGTCGTAAATCTCGTGGGTATCGTCAAGCACTCCCCGGTCGACGGGAGACACTGCGGATGTTGTCCAGGCCAAGTGATGAGGGAAGGGTAGGAACAGTCCGATGAAATAGTATGATCTGTACTATCCGGAAAATAGACGACGCTGAACGCTGTATTCTGAAAGGTGCAATGTAATCGCCAAGTGCGACTCGATTGCGATCTCGGACAGTCGCACAGCCTCTTCACGAGATGAGATTATCCCAGGAATGTGCGGAGAAATTAGAAAATAGTAGTAGTAAGGAGATGAAAATTGGGGAGAAACCGAAAGACAGGAGACTACCCAAGAAAAAAGAAGATCCAAGCTGGGAAGATGGTGAGCGCATCTGATGTGGCTGGTCGAATAGGATGATGCTATAAATTCAGATGGCTGGGGAAGAGCTGGGCGGGTGCTCTACCGTTGCGAAAGGGAACGAACATTCAGCATTTATCAGCGGAGCCACCTGTCACTGAGTCGGGACAGGCGACTCAATTGGTTTGTCGGAATGACAATTGCACATTTAGGAGGGCAAAAATGGCAAATGTCATTGCGAAGTTGTGGCCCTGGTGAGTGTGGAGTAGGCGCTGTACGGTGATGTCGAGAGGGCGATGCTGGGAGTCCAGTCACGGGGATAGGGCAGAGACCCAATTGCCTTGCCCACCCCGTCACTTTTCACCGTCGCTGTCACTCTTGATTGTATAAACTCTTAGAATCTCGCTGCTGATCTCTTGCTCGGATGGCTATTTTGCCACAGGTACTATTGTCGTAAGCTTATCTTGATGTGCTGTCAACCGCTTACTTGTCAGTTTGATGCTAAGCCACAGCTGTGGCGTCGACTATCTTTGCCCTGCTCAAGAAACACAACAACAATAATATCTCGAAGTCGGGCACAGACGATATCCCAGGAATGCAGATCAGTTTGCTGCCTACACCGTGAGACGACCAATTCTCTCGGTTTTACAAGCCGACACAGTGATTGTGCGGTCTAATATGTACTATTCTTGACTAGATGAAGTTTCGACCAGCCTCAAACTAGGGCACAACCCCACGTTTGTCGAGAACAAAGCGAACTGACAGCGCAACAAAGACCAACAATTGATTAATCGTGCCTGATTACGCCAGGCAGCAAGCCAAGCAGGTCAAACGGTCTTAGTGACGGCGTGGCCTAGGGTAAATAATCAAGGCGGATGCGTTGGCAGGTCTATTTTAGTTCGTTAAAAGACTCGGTAGAAGTATCTTCCAATAGACCCAAACTAACGGGACCTGGCGTAAAGTCCATTTGGAGAAGAGTAGATGGTACCGTGTCCTTCCAGTTAAGAACTCGACCAGTACTCATCTGTTTGTACAGTATAGTTCTAGATATGGATATGGGCACTCACCCCGACCAATCACAGCGCTAGAAACAGAAAATAGTTTATCGATGGATTCGAGACACAGTAAACTTTTGAGTTGGCCATACCATTATCCGATATATCAGTTGATAGTCGAGGACTCTTCAAATCTTGGAAGAGGGCTCATTATTGATAGTTGACAATCCGAAGTTCAACTCAGCTACTTACACTAGAACCATCGATTACTCAACCCCCGCAGGATAATAACCAAGAACAACATATAATCTCGTTACTGGAGCAGCGGCGTGATGATAGATGGGACGGGAAGCTGTTGTATGAAGCGAAAGCAAGGGAAGGCACTCGATAGCGATTATCAATCCAGATGGCGCATTGGTTGTCCACAGGGGAAAGGGGGATGTCCGTTTGTTTATAAGAACCCCTTGACGATTGCTCGCAACACAACTGAAGTGGAGGGAAAATATACCCACTGTCGGAAAATGAAGTTGTTCCCAAAAACAGAAACATACATATCTACATGCCTGTAGAGCACTGAATCAAGAGCCAGAAGGAAAATTTCTGTCTTGAAAGGGCATCTGATTTGTTGTGATCTGATGTATCTTCACTGGAGAGAGTCTCAGCCTTGTCGCCCTTGCATGCGTTGGCGATTTTGGGTCTCGAGGAATAGGTGGATAGTGTCTGAGTATTGGTCTGTATGCGTAACGGGAAAGCAGAAAGAGTTGCTAAGTGCATCTCAGCATGAGCTTTGATGCGTCTCGGGAGTCTGTTATAGGAATCTCTGAACAGTAGCATTCATCTAGTCACTCTGATGAAATCCATCCAGTCAATTGATGGGACTCCCGTCTGGCCCGTTTCCTTCGGAAGAGGTTGGTGCTAATAGTCCATAGACACATTGAGATTTGTGCGAGATCAGTCGATGAATTGTCCAGTATCGTAGATGTAGAGATGAAGAAAAAGAGATGAAGCCAAAAAAGAAAGAGCGAATGGCAAGCTCGTCCAAACTAGGTAAGCGCAGCGGGCGGGGTCGCTCCTTCCCCACCGGTTAAGTGGACACCGGATCCAGGTCCCGTCTTCCCGCGGACGACATGTCAGATCTCGCGACATCCCTACTCTGACTCTTCAGACAATTCAACAGGAAAAAAAGATCTAGATTCAACTCCTCGCAAGCTGCTGCCAAATTACTGGGACGACACTCTATTCATTATGCGATGCATGTTGACGATGGAGCTTCCAAAGCCAACCAGATTGGTCCCCTTGGCTGATATCCTATCAAAGACGATGTCTCAAGATCTCGGATCTGTCCATTCGGCCGGAGCTATTAGACATACATTACGCTTTATGAGAGCTCTCGGGCTTGGAGAATGAACATATCAACACCCGAGGAATGGCCTATTTGGCCTATCAGCGTCTTGCGTGTGGCGATGTTAGGGTGATATGAAGAGTCAACTTTTTCCCGAAACCAAATCCCGCATATGAATGTATCTGAAAGCGCGAAATCGATATACACAGACAGACTTCGTCATGATCTCCGGCTCCGAGAGATCGTTATGCAAAACACTTATACTCTTTGTGATATGATGCGATCATAAACAATTACAATATGTACGCACTGGCTACCGGACTTACACCCGCAGCTTTGGAATGCGGGGATCACACCCTAATGCATAGCAACGAGATTAACCCAGGAAAGTACTCTGAAGCTTGCTCCAATGCTACTCTGATGAAACGGTACTGTTGACGATGGCTCCCAACAGCTTGGATACCATTCCTTGCTGACGACATGACATGCGTCTTGCAGACATTGCTACAAAAATAGTCGCCTCGCAGTGTTTCCTTCACGGAGGTCCGGAAAGAAAGTCTATTCGACTTGGCAGAAGACCTAGCGTCATGAAGCTCTTTCACTGGTGCGATTCGCCTTAGTCAGACGGTTAGGCTGTTCTTTTTTACACTAAAAATGAATCAGTCGATGATCTTGCTTCAAGCTAACGCGCTTGAAGGTTAAGGGCGAGAACTCGTCCGGGACTTGCAACCGGCGCCAGTGTTATCCAAATATAATTCAACGCGCCTTCATTACAGTCGCGTTTCGAGCGGAGCTCTCTGGATACACTCTGAATCAAGCAACATCCCGAAGAATATTGGGATGTGGAATGTCTGGTGTAGTGCGTAGCACGGATTTCCGATCACCTCGGCTCATGGCACAATTATTGCGTACTGCATCCTTGTGTAATGAGAATAAGTTCAAGCCTTTGGAGTCCGGAGACCTTCCACGCTGCACTGTATTGAGAACTGGCTTTGTACACTCCGAAAGAGAAGTTTGCTGGACCTGCAGCAACCCAATGTTGCCGAATCGGGACCCGATGTCTCCCTTGCTAAAGTCCTTGGGCTTGGCGAAGATCAGTTCGATCGAATCTGTAAAAGGTGGATCCACCTTACTGGATCCCCATCCCTGCGCAAGACATATGCAAGGCTTGATAGGCCACTGATGTCCGTGCCCCTGCACGGTCCATTGTGTGTTTACAAGGCTTTGCATCGGCATGCAGATGTTTAATGTCAGCCACTTTGGAAATGGCTGAGCCTTTGTTGGGCTGTTCTCTCCCTGCAGAGTGTATAAACAGATCGTCATTGCCCTTGAATTCCTTTACTGATCATTTTGGTTTTTATCGTTCCCAATTCTGTATACGCTCTTCACATACTCGCTGTAGGGCAGTACCGCTGTTGCTCTCACTTGATGTGTGTATTGACTCTTCTCAAAACGTCAATCACTTGAATCATCTAGCCCATGGCTGGCGACTCTGCTGAGGTTCCCTACCGCCAACTGGACATCTCTGGGAACCATTATACGGGCAATGCTCTGAAAGCACTACGACTCAGTGTAGAGCGATCGGTACCGTCGAAGACGGTACCTCTGGTGGAGGACCCAAACCTCGACCCTTTCTATCTGGAACGAGCATTAGAAGGCCCGAAGCAGTGGGATACTCGTATTGACGACGAGTCAGACGTCGATTTGGACGACCTCGAGAATGAGTATTTCATGTCTTACATGACTGAAGAATCACACCCACCAACAGTTCAGTGTCACGCCATTCAGTATCAACAGCCACAATCCTCTCCTAAACCCGCCTGTCCAACGACACCGGACTGGCAACGAACACACCATAATCACAGTCAAAGTTCTTGCAGCTCAATTCAGACTGATGCTACAGGGGTCACTCCCGATCTCACACCGAGTAGTTCATTCTCTTCAACATATTCGGACTCTGATTATTCTGGTGCAGTGAAAAAGCCAACACATCAGGAGTTCTCCCATTGTCATCGCGCTTTCCGCGATCGATCACACAACACCGCACGATTCTATCTGCCGGCCGCAACTCCAGACAACCAGTCAAGGGCGTGCACGCGGCCGAATACCCCTATCGAACGATCCGCAGTTGCCGCTCTTGCAGAATATCACAATCCATCATCTGAAACACTTACCATGGTTCCAAAAGAGCCTGCAGCAGTTGCAGCATCTTCCCTACGTTCCAAACCATTGCCCAGTCTGCCACCTATTCTCAAAAATGCCGGACCCGTCCCTCCCGCAAAAAAGGGTCATAATGGTGGATCAAAAAGCCAGATCGATCCATCACTCATCTCACCGCCGAGTCTGGTGAACCCTGTCACAAAGGAACCCCACATGTCTCCATTCAACCACGCTCTTTTTATCCCTGCCCATGATTGTCCCAGTCCGGCACCGAACCCCACGTCCATTCCTCCAATGATTGCACGACAAAGCACCAATGCATCGACCAAGGGTCGACCCTCGACTTCGACATCAGTAGCTTACGGAGAACAGTCGGTCTGGGAATCGGATTCGGAATCTGGGTCGATTAGTGGTAAATCACAATCACGGTGTGGGCCCATCGACACGCTTCGGAAGGTCCGAAGCCGAGTGCAGCTGCGTCGTATCGCCAAATCGGATGCCAAGTTGTATGCGGATATCAATAATAATAATGCCAATAGGACTACTATTACGACCACGACTAAGAGTGCCGGTAGTACAACGACAACTACCCGTACAACTACAGTTGCTACTCCTTGCCATGGGGCATTATGGGCGATCTCCCCGCTAGACGCGGGCCAGCCCGAACCCGGAGCACGCCTTAACACCCGCGCGGCCTTTAGTGTCACGTCCATCCCTGACGATTTGCTGCCACCACCTCCACCGCTAAAACAAACATTACGCCTGGTGGCCCCTTCAACCACATCGCTGTCGCGACTGCAGTCGTCACGACGCAGCAGCGAGAAATTGTCCGGAGATATTGATTCTTCGACAGCTGCTGCTATTCAAGCGCAATCCCGGCGACGGCAGCGGTCTAATGCCACGGATGAATACTTGCCATTTCCCAAAATGGAGACACTGCACCATCATTATTACTGTAATAGTCATGTGTTACCATCTCCGGAATCCGTATCGTCCAACACCGCTTCGATAGATCAGCCAACTGTATTCAAGAGGATATGGGGTTCACTCCGATCTCTGGATTGTCGCAGTGGTTGATCATGCTTCTTTTGTTCTTTTTCATTGATGATCAATGTGTCATGCTTTTGCCATACGCTTGTGGATGTCGTACGCTCTTTATGCTCCACGGATTTTCTCTTTATGATTCTATGGTCATGACTATGACTTTTCCTTACCATCTGCAGTTCTACTAATATCTCGCTCGATTCTCGATTTACTTGTTCTTGGATGCACATGTTAATCCTCGCAGCGCCGCCTTTAGGCAATCACTCTTTTTCTTGCTCTTGCTACGTTTCAACTCGCTATATACGCCCGTTCCTAAAAAAGCGCACGGACAAGGTGCAAGCCCAAAAATCACGAATCGCGTCTTCTTTCGTTTTGATTTATTCCTTCTCTGGCGTTGTATGGTGGGTTCTCAATTCAAGCGAAGAAAAAAGTGTCATTTACGAAGATTACTGGATTATGATTGGACTGAAGGGGTGAAGGAACTAGTTAATATCGAAAAACACGAAATCCTGTTTCGTCCTCAAAATCATGCATGTACCTTAGGAGGAATTATTTGACATGATTTATCTACAGTTAGCTACATGAATAGTTAGTTATTCTACAACAAGAAGCTTCTGAACTTCTTGATCTTTGATACGAAGAAAAATATTATTGGATTTTTTTTTCTGCTTCTTAATGATGCCTAGGTACTTTTGAGGGTAATGTTTCCAATTTGACTAAAGTGGCTTGTCATTGCCATTGTAACTGAGACAATTACCCTGTTTGTGCATAACTATCTAGTCAATCTTGAAATCGAGGAATTATTGAGATGAGTGAGGTTCGTATTATCGTCTACCTGATCTTGGAGTCTTAAACTACCGACTTCATCGGACACCTAGACAGAACGTTCGCCTACAGCTACACCGTATCCAGGCACCTCAATGCTCGGTTCGTATTCAACTTCACCCTGCGTCATCCATCGAATCTACATGTTTCACACCTATCATTCGAGGAATCGAATCAGATAATTCTCAGAAATGCATCGTAGCAAGCAACACGCAACGTGGCTCGTTACGCCTCTCAGGTACAACCTCAACCTCAAACCCTGGGATGAAACTTCTAAAAATTCCCCAAGAACCGGAGTCCAGCACGTTCCAAGACCACTAACCTGTTTGCTCTCACCTAATCGTTGCACAACAGGATGGAGTATCCATCATTTAACTTGCCGAAAAGAGAGATACAAGATCAAACTGCTGCAGGAACCGTGAAAGAGATTTCTGCATTGAGAAGGGACTGAACATTGAACTAAGTACTACGTTTTACCCGTGCTGTATCATTTATACCTTACGTAGTCCCTTTTTAGTGAACTGCAATGCAAACTTCCAGTCGTATCACTGATGATACAAACCCTGCAAAGTAAGGTCAATTGAGAACTCGAGCTTCCTGCCTACGTTATATCGATAAAGGGCTTTGATTAGCTATACCGACAGATCCTAAAAAACATAGGTATACCTCAAATAGGGAGCGGTGGGCAAGTGACTAATTGCCCTAATAGGAAATACCCCTGCACAAAAAGTATCTCGTCTTGACACGAATACGGGTTCATGAGATTGAAATATTCTCCATTGGAACTGTCTGATTTCATGTGTCTAGATACTGTAATGCGAGACCGAGACCAATGAACAACAAACCGTAACCGTTCATAGAGATCTGGTCTGACCGGGTTCACCTCGTGAAGAATTGGAGACGGGCCAACGAGAATCCGGAACAGACGAGTTGATCCATTAGCTATTCGATCGAATAGAAAGTGTATTTCAGTGTAGGACGCTACTTTCTTCAGGTACCCGATTCGAAATCTCCATGCACTTTCCATTGTAAGTAAATCAAGGGAACACAAGGGATCCGGACCGGAGGACCCCTGTTTACCTATTTAGGAACTTCTCTGCTTATGGGAAATGGCTGGGAGAGGTTAAAGATTGATTAGCAGGTAACTGAGGTCCTTGTTTGCTATATCTATATACTGGAGGCTGTATAGAGTCTTGGAAAGAGGGTTCTTCGTTCTTAGAACGGGTAATCATAGTACTCACGCAGAAAAGAGCGAAGAAAAATACAATGGATTTGTTTTTCCTTGCAGTTAACTGCATGTAAGAATACATATTATCGAACGCAAGCATGCATTCGAGATAAATGCTCGTTCAATCAGATCACGCAGGTACTCAATTTCTGGTTGCACGGAATTGTATGCATGTATGTGTAATGTAGGCCAGTAGTTACCTTGTATGTGTTCGTATTTCCACGGGTACAATCGATGTACTTGTAAACTCGGGTACGTACTACATACATACGTATGAACTGCATGAGTTTGATCGTGTGGAATGTGGTGAGAAAATGCATGAAAAGTTTTTCCATTGTCCATTTTAGGGTTTGAATTGGGGATGATTTTACGGAGTACTTGGATGGGAAATTGAAGCCTCTTAGACTACCCGTGGTTATGGTAGTAGTGATATGTCTGCACAGTACATGATACTTTTTACTTGATTGTCATGCTGTACGAGGTGAAGGTGATACCTCTTTTCTTCCCCTCTGCAATGAGTATAACCGATTGCGCGGCTGGGTAACTTGGTCGAAAGTACGACCTGAACCAGCCCTTTGGGTTTATCGAGCTTCCCAATCGGTGGATATCGATGGATGGAATACGAGGCGTGATTTCACGATTCACTGCCTCGTTCTCTATGTTGGTATACCCAACTCGCGTCTCACATCTCGTGTTTCGGACTTGAACAAAGTCTCGGCGGCATGAACTCGGCAAGGACAGACTTTCCAGAGACCCCTCCTCATATGAAATCATCCTAAGTAGCGGATATCCAGACAGGGTAGCCTCACCTCTCTTCAGCAGTCAAATCTTCCATACTCTCAACAGCTTCCATGCTTTCCTCCCATTTAGTAATATTGACTAACTTCTCCCATTTGGCAACTACGGGCTCGGCTTTTACACGTAACCGACTCTCCGGCTTTGTTTCTTCAGTGAATTCCCCTGTGATCTCCTTCGTATTCCCTCCACCCACATCTTCGGCTTTCAGTCCGCCAAACAATGCCTCAACATCCAAGTCTTTGAGTGCACGTTTATTCATATCCTTCAGTTTGTCAATCTTCTGAGTTTCCTCTCTTCCTGTGGTTTCTTCATGTTCTTCAACTTGCTTATTCCCAACAGACCGCTTCTTCACAGCCCCCCTCTTTGACGACCTCGATTCCAATCCGCTCACTAACCCTTCCAAAATGCCTAATATCGTACCCACTCGCAGCCCAAATTGTGCACCGACGGGATATCCGGCATCGAATCCTGGCTGAACATGCTCTGATTTTGAAAATGCGATTCCATCCCTGTATCCGGCTGTAACGTGTTGACGACGTAGCGAGGGGAGATCGGAAGGTTCTGTCGTGGTAGACTGTGTAGACACTAGACTGTCGTTGGTGCGATTTCTCTCGTAGTCTTGATCGTTGAACTGGCTTTGTCCATAATCCTGGTCATCTGGCGATGACCCGAATATATCATCGAGTGAGTTGTTATTATTGTAGTTATAGTTGGTATCCTCCGCTTCACTCGGCGTTGAAGTCATGGTCGTCGTTGGAGATGACGAGGCAGCCGATTTGGCATCTGCATTTATGGAGTGTGCAAAGCTTGACGGTGACCGAGGCATTTGTCTGTCTTCACAGGCTGAATAAAGCTAACTAAGTGGTGGGATGATGATAAATTATTTCACAAGTAGCTACTAGCGCAAGTGGGGTAATATTACCCTAACCCTCGAATGTCATGCACGTCCACTGCACTTCTCTCCTTACTTCCACCATCAGGACTCTTTACGCAACCACTTGTCTGTACGATTTTGCCAACCATATACTTCGCTGCCCGTGGAGCTATGCTCGTTGTTTCTCTGTCAATATTTTAGCTCAGCTCCATCATATCTAGCGCTGACCTGAGAGCCCGAGCCTAGTCACTAGTGATTACAGCGAATCAAGTCAATTGACATTTTGGGCTATCATGCTAGGTGACTCGCTTTTCGAATCCAGTTTGTTTCATCTAACACAACACTAAGTCGATTCAGTTCCGAGCGATGCTTAGGAGGATATAAAACCCCTAGCCGGAGCATTGGCTTGTCAGGAATCAGCTCGCATCCAGTCACCTGCTTCAAACGACCAATCAAGCCAAATTGCAGTCAAGGCTGCGTTTTCATCAGCGCGGTGCAGCTGGATGCAATGGATCTTATGGGCTGTTTGAGATGGTTATGCATATAATTTGAATTGTGCTAGGGGATTTAGTACGAATAGGGATCGATCATCATCAATGTCCCTTGAAGTGATTGGACCTAGTCCCCATACTAAGATAGAGAAGCTGTTGAGCGTTGGGCCCCATGAAGTGGCAAGTTATTAAAACTCATCTACCATATCCATTGGTTCTTTTATTCTGTTATCCGTGATCTGAGCTTCAGTTCGCGATGGGCTCAGCTCCGTGTGAGCTTGAATACCTAGGCTGTCCTCGCCAGAGCACCACCAGTCGCTTCTTCCCAAAACCGAGGCTGTAACGACAAAGCAATCACACTTGTCATTAACGCCACCCGCTGAGCACCAGACCACACTATACAAACGCTCATCATCAGCATGGAATACAATCTCGTGGAAGCTAGAGATACTTAGCTGGATCGGCAGTCTCTGCCTCTTTATTGCCATAATTGTCGTATTGAAAGTCGTGGACGGGACGTCCACTGCCGGATTTACAGCATGGCATCCCGCCCAACGCAATCGTCGGGTTGTTGGCCACCTTTGGGGAATTTCTTTTGATTATGCCCGTGAGATCCGCCCTTGGGCTGATGAAATGGCTCCGATGGCTTCAAAAGCGGCCAATGGTCAATTTCCAGGATTTCGATCAAGCGAGTCGAGGGCCATTAGGAAGTACATTACTTATGGCTGGTCGAGAGGCGGGGTGTGTTAACACTACGCCTCAGGCCCTCGGCATGGGCACTCCTAATAAGATCCCTGTGGAATGTTTGTGTTCGGACTGGTCTTTATAGTGACTCATCCTAGACCACTCGGATCCTTTGGCGCTTCTCTTATTATCGTTGCGTTGGGTATCAGCGCATTTACTCAGCAGCCGTTGAAATACGACACTGTCTACCCTCATACCGACGAGGCTTATATGCCAATTGCACAGTTCATGAACGGTACTGGCTGGGCACAGTCGCAAACTCATTAAACTCAGACGGTTTCGACACCGAATTGCTAGCCGCGCCTGATATTGCATTATTTAGTCCTGCACATACAAACTTTACAGCAGCTTTTATTTCACGTGGTGGTGGTAGTAGTAGTAACTGTACTTGGGAATCGTACCAGACGTTAGGTGTTCGCAGCACATGCAAAGATTTGTCGTCCAGTCTCAACATGAGCAAATAATACTTCGCCACTACCTGTGGCGATGCATTCACGTACAATACTGACTACTACACACTGCCGAACGGATTCGGTCTAACAGGAAGCCCAACCAGGGCCAATGATCAACCAAGTCTTTTACGGCATCTCTAATGCGATGATGAATGTCACAACGGGTTTCAGTACCACTTCAAACGACACCGACTCCTCTTGTCCAAGACGATATAAGCACCAACTCCCTAGGTATCACGCTTCAACCTCCAGGTTCCTCGACTTCGTTTGCCGTTAACGCGAAGTCATTGGGAACAACACGCCTCTGGCTGAGATATCTGCTACAAGGCAACGCGACCAACGCTCAGAATACGAACGCATCCGAAGACTGAGCAATCGAGAATTTACCTCACTACTCATCAAGCCTGGTGCAAGGTTTGTATACCGGAATGAATACTTCGATCACTGCATTTCCAGATGCTATGAATTATATGTGAGGTGCGAATTTACATACATAGGTAATTCCATCCATCCTCAAGTTATCTTACCTCTAGGGTTACCTAGATAGGGGAAAACAGGCGCTCCATTATCAATCACCAATGTCTTCTAATAAATGAATTTAAATTCTTATACTATATCGCTTGCGGTATGCAGTCCACCACAATAATCGCGTGCACCGGAACAGATTAAATTCTATCATACATTCCTAATCCGAGACAAAAACTACCTATCATTCCCAGAACCAGCCATAACCCTCCAGGCACGCAGCGGCAAAGCTTGCAATTTGAGTGCTGTCGGCCGGATATACACGTAAAACGTGACAGCGCCGATAATCACACAAAGCATATTGGTGATGTAATACCCATCCTGCTCAACCACGCATTGTCCGCCACCGGCTTGACAGCGGTTTTTGTCTGCTTCGAGGGCGCAGGAAAAGGATGATGTGATGAGATCACCTTTCAATTTTGAAGGGTCGGGGGTCGTGGTTGGTGGTACGCAAGTGGCTGATGTGAACATGTCGACCATTTTGAGAATGAAATATTTGGGGAACGTCCCTCCGAGGTTGGAGACACTGTCAAAGACGGTCAGTAACTTCAAAGAAGTGCAAGGAAAGAAAACTTACGTCGCTAGTAATGTCATGTAAGTCCCACCAATGGCTGGATCAGATATACGTGCATGGAAGGCGGATACCGCGACAAACATGACGGTATTCATAAAAGTCGACAAGACGTGTTCCGCAATGACAACTAATATATACCAGAACGGTACGGTTGATGCTGCAGGATAAATCATGACGGTGAACTGAGCGAAAATTGCAGCGGCGAGTCGGCCGACAAAAGCCCAGCACCATAATCGCATTGGGGTGTATTCGGTCGACCATTGACCGGCATAGTAACCTAGCGCAATTTCAAATGGGAAATCAATCAAGACAACAAGTGCCATATTATCTTGTCCAAAGCCCTTGTCAATAAGTTTGAGACTGGTCACAGCTTCGTTTGCTTGAAAACCGATCTTGGCAATCAAGTGCAAAATGATGATCATCTGGATGTTTTTGAGTTTCAATACACTCCACATGCTGCGATATACCTCCATGATGCCATCCTTGTCCTTGGTACGTTCCTCTTTTTTCAAGAAGAACAGTAAAAAGGTCACAATAATGTATGACCATCCAGCAAAGGCAATATACCCGCTAAGTGAGAGAAGCCCATTATTTGGATCGACATTTGCTGCTGACCGGAACCACCGGTTTGCAAAGTCGGGGGAATTGAGTGCAAGGAATACAGTATAAGAAAGGAAATGACCAGCGGTGAGACCCACGGTCTGTGCCGTAGAGGCATATGAGATATTTTGGGGAGAAATGAGTGTAAGCGCCCAGCCGTCAACTGCGATATCCTGTGTTGCGCACAGGAAAACTAGGAAAAACCACCACTTGGTGAAAGTCCATACGTGTGCGTCGCTCTCTCCGGCCGAGTTCAACATCGCCTCGACTCGGCCAGCTAGATAAAGCATAGCAAGACCGGAGAGTAACTGGACAGGTGTGATCCAGCTCTTGCGTCGACCAAGCCGTCTGCTCCAGACTGCGTCCACAATGGGACTCCAGAGCAGTTTAAGGGAGTATGGGTAAGACGCCAAAGAAAAGACGCCAATCTGACCATAAGAGATGTGTGGTTTGAGAAGGAATGGAACAGATCCCATCGCCAAGCCCATAGGAATACCCTGTAGAAAATATAGCAACACCAGTAACAAGAAATTTCTCCGATCCTGCTCCGGTAGCGCAAGGAAACTTGTATTCTGTAATCTCGGAGTACCAGGCAATGCCGGAGGTTCCTCATCTAACGTGAAGGTTTCTCGAGCCATGACCCTGTTGGCATGTTGCGCAGAGGAAGGCGAGTCGACTGAGGGGTCTTTCCTCCTCATTTCCAGTCGCGAGTTCATATCGCCCTCTGCGTGGCCGTTCTGTCCTGTCTCTATCGTCAGGCTCGAAGCTGGCCCCCGTTTGGATGATTTCTCACGACTCCTGCGCTTCATCTGTTTTCTGCGAGATGATTCGGAGCTTCCTTCAAGCAGCCCGGCGTTTTCGTGGTCTTCGGCGTCGTTTGTAGGGAGATCAGAGTCTTCGTCGCGTACGTCGACTATGGTATGTCTCGATGCTAGATCTTGTAGCTCGTACTCGGTTGAATGTCTTTTGCGGGGGTATGACGAGGACTCGGCAGTGTTATTGAAAGAGTGTGACACTGTGTGTGCATCCGATGCAGAATGATTATTACTTTCAACGAGCGTGGTAAATTCTGGAGGAGAAGTTGTGGAATGCATCCATGTGGCGAGGGGACAGTCCTGAGTGAGGCAAGCTGGCCTCTCCAGGAAAGCTGGGAAGAAGGATACGTATCGCGGTGGTTCCTGCCTGAGGTTATTCCTTTGTCTGTGATTGGGCGAGTCTCCTGGAGCTTACGCGACGCCCACTTTAGCTAAGCAACAATGCTGCCACCATATTTATAGGGCAAGACAAAGCAGTACAAGTACAATGCATCAGATACGATGCTGAAAGTCAACCAAAGCTGATGGTTGAGGTAAGCTGCCCCAAACATAAGACGGCCTCGACAATCGCACAAGCAAGCCTGACCCTTGACCTGTTACACTCTTCAGCTTATCACCGCGCCAAGACTGAACCCTGACCGGTCACGCGCACCAAAACGTGTAGCCCTAAATCGCCAAAAAGAGAAGGTGGTTTACGACTTTATTTCTTGTTAGGGAGGTTATGTAGCTGGCTGTGATGGTACTCTACCATCTAGCTTTGCTTAGATACCTTAAAGGGTCCCGGTTATAATATATTAATGACTATATACCTAAGTTAAGACCATATCATGGAAACGTTGCAGTAGACTGAGGAGACATCCCATCCTCACTCATCCTCCTCTTCCAACGAGACTTCACAGACAGCAACCAGTCCTTCCAAAGCTTTTCTTTCTTTCCAATCCTAATCACTCCGTCTTTCACCCCCATCCACTGATCAATAGGCATGGAGATGAACCTATGCCGAGACCAGCAGCTTTTGTACCAAAATCCTTCCTCGAAGTTGTCATAGAACTTGATTTGTGTCTGATAACAGGGCTCGCAATATTGCACATCGGCACAGTCAAGGCAAAAGTACAGTTTCTCACTCCTTGGTCCGAAGCTTCTGGCTTCTACTGGAGGATTCATACATGGGCCTGAGCATGAAATTACTATTTCTTCGGTGTCTAGCAGATCTTGATACACGGATCCATCTGCGGGAGCATTCACAGGCTCAGCTTGTGATTCCGAGGCTGCCGCTAACCCGTTATGAGTATTCGCATCTGGACCAGCAGCTGAATCCACTGGCATTGGTTCGACCATTTCAGTTGTGGGTACAGCGTGAGCATCCTCACTAGGAGCAGGAGACGGTAATGTTTCTGCCGCTCTTTTATTAGATGCGTCTTCTGTCTCCTGTGCTTGAGTGGTGGTGCCGTTCGTTGCCGGTTCCTCGGTAAACGTTGATGCATCATTAGTTTTAACTGTCTGTTTTGATGTAGCATTCTCTTTGTCTTCAGTCTGTGCCAAAGCAGTTGGAGGTACGGAATTAGCAGGGCCGTTGGTGGTCGCTTTCACTTCTTGTTGAGTGACAGACTTTGACTCTTCATGTCCACTTTGATCTTGGGGTGCTGATGATTGCTGCAAAGTCTGTTCCTGCCCACTTCGCTCAGAATTTCCGTTTCTGTTTGACTCCGGCGGCTTTTCTGTAACAATGTCTTCCTTCCTGCTATAGGAATCATCGTAGCTCATATTGACAAAAGAGAACTGTAGAGACAAAGCAATCTTTGCATCGATTTCGAGATTAGCAAACATGAGCAGTTTGGCCAGAAGTCGAAAAGCCGCTGCGTCGTTAGCACCAATGGAGTCTTCCAAGTCTGCGACACAAAGGGTGAAGACCCGTTCAGCATACTGCTTGGCTTTCAGTTCACCGTCAAATTTGCGCCACATTTCCGCAAGCACAAGGAGTGCTCGACCTATAGTCAAAGATTCGACTATCTGCATATGCTCGTACCGGTCAATGATCTTTTCCATCTGTGTGATTATCTGTCGTTTTACGTCTTTCGATTCTGCCATCATAAAATTCTCATAGTGAATGTCAATCATTTCGGGAAATATACGATCAACAAGCCACAAGCTCATGCGATTTTCCACAAGACGCGTTATCAGTTTATCGATCTCAATCTCTGCCATTTTCGTAGCACGTGCATCTGCTCGGTATACCATTGCCAGTTCAAATTGCGTAGCTACCGAGTGACCAATGTCCCGTGTTTGCCAGTACTCAACGGCCTCTTCAAAAATTTGAATTGCAAAGTCCACGCGCCGCGTTTCAACTGCTGCTCTTCTTAAAGAGTCTTTCTTATCCGTGAAATTATCAGATCGGTTCCAGAGCCACTCGGATCTGATTTTTGGTCGTTGACGGCGCACTGCTTGAATCACTTTTGTCCACTCGCCCTTCTTGGTATGAATGTCGACGATATTCTTCAGGAACTCTAATATTTCATCGGTGTACTCTAAGTCCTCGCCTAGCGCCTCTCCACAGGTTGCAATAGCCTCGGCGTCTAATCCCAGCTGTGTCAGAGCTTGTGATTTGAGAAGATAGGCTTGAATACACCGTTCATTGCGTAGCTCCGAGCCAAGAGCCCCTTTCTCTTCGTTCCTTTCAATTAGGGCCTTGTCAGCGAAACGCAAAACCCTCCTCCAAGTCGCCTTCTTTTCTTCTTCGTCTGGGGTTGAAGAAGTTTCAAGCAATGCCCGGTGGTACTCCGCCATTCCCAAGTAGGAATAAAATTTCTCAGGACCTAGAGTTGTTAATTCGGCCAAGTTAGTCTCATACAGTTCGACGCTTAGTTGCCTTGTTTCGTCGAGACCATCGTGATGAAGGATCAAAGCTGCCGCAATACGACATCGAGCGATTTCCACGGGATTCTTGTAGACTTCGTTTTTGCCGTACTCAATAATTGCTTTAACTGCGGTAGTAGTCACTCTAGATTCATAGAAACGTGTACCCACATGTTCGGGATTTAATTTTCTAGTCTTTTTGATGTCAGTAGGTTTCTTTATTTGATCATAAACATAACCTGCGGCGCGCGGCTACAATCATACCTGCCATAAAGCTTGATGAATGAGGTTGTAGGAGATTCTAGCTTCACGATACGTCATTTTCTCTGTCCACCTCGCAAGGTGACCGCGAGCTAAATGTTCCAACACATCCCGTGGATCTTTGAGTAATTTTTCAATTCCTTCCTGTGCTCTGGATGACAGCTTTTCTTCATCATGAAAGCTCATCTTTCTAGCCCATGACAGTAATAGGTCGAGGTTTTGGTTACTTAGTGCCGTATCCGTAGATATGAAATAAAAGTCCATATCGTATTGAACTTCTTGATTCTCGTTCTTCCGACGTGAAATCTCTTCAAACACGCGAGACACGTCATTGTCATTATACAAAATCCGCATCAGGGCCTCAACAACCTGAGCCCCTTGCTGAGGGGTGGTATCCTTGGCGCTGATATCATTCAAGTGGTCAATCAGCCATTCCGCGGCGTATTCTTGAAGACTTTCACGACTTGCTGCTCCTTGAGGTACCTGGTCGCAAAGAATGCCGACAAGTTTCAAGAAAATGTCCACATTCGCCCTAATTGGATCTCGGATCATATTGTTGCTTGACTGCTCCAAATAATCTTTGAATGCTGGTTGGCGGAAGCGGACCTGCTTTTGCTTGTCCTTTTCGGCCCTTAATTTCGCTGCAATTGCGTCCGCATTTTCATTTTCTGTTTCTTTATCAGGCACAGCAGTGCTTTCTTGTAAACTCGTTGACCCATAGTTGTCCGTATAAAGCAAGCTTGCCCATCATTGTCAGTCGCAACAATGCTCATAATACTTTCGTCTTTCCGAGGGTTTTACTATACCTTGACAGCCTACCCTGAATCTCATCACCAATGTCAAAGCTACTTATCGCTGTCTCTTGTTCGAGAAGTTGCTCAAGCTCATATACCTTGAAAGGTTGCTTGGCAAATGTACATAGAGCAAATATCTTCTCGACGATTTCACGATCCCTTGGGCTCCGTCTTGCACAAACAGTGTCGATCATGGCAGTATACAAACCATGCTGACCTTTCACATGTTCTAGTTTTATCAAGGCAGATTTATCGCTATCACATTGTTCGAGCATTGTCAGCGTAAGATCCACCGATGACATAACTCCTAATACACTGTCAGTTTGAAATTAAGGAACCAAAGAAATGTTGAATCCAGTATTAGACTGTTCTCATTCTCCTTGGCTATCCGAACAGTATTACAGAGTGAAAAAAAAATCACTAGTTTTGACTTACTTTCGGGACTATCTAGAAGCCTGCCTTTGATGGTTTCCTTTATAGAATCATTGAAGCTTTTCAGGACCTCTGAACCGTTGAAATGCCAGTCAATGAGTTTCGCAAGATCATTGCTAGACCGTGTTTTCTCAAATAGATCAATCTTTGGGCAATCTGTATACTTGGAAATTGGACCATAGATATCTTCGTCGGGAGATCCAGTCATCAGAATCCGGACCCCGTCCTTGTCGGAGTTCAAGGTCTGGAAGAGACGCAGCATTGCTTCGCGATCTGCATTGTCCATTAATTCCACGCCATCTAGAATGATATAGACAACCCGAGATGTATCTGGCGTCTTCTCGAACTTCTTGACCAAAAGTTTCTCCCACATGAAGTTGAGTTTCTTCTCGTTATTCTCCTCCTTTGCAATTTTGGATGCGGCGAGATCTTTTGCAATTGAGTCACCTAGCTTACTATCACTATCCGCGATTTGTATCAGGATATAAGCCAATACATTTCGAAACGACTGCGAGTCTCGTCTTCCAGGCTCAAAGGGAAAGTAAGTCACTATGGTCGTTTGTCGTGGATTATTCTTGCCTCCCTCTAATCTATCCTTCTTGGCCTTTTCTTGGAGAGAAGCAAAACAGCGGTAGGAGAAGAACGTCTTTCCTGTCCCAGTTGTGCCAGAAACATAGATGACGGGGGTCTTGTGCCCACTCATCCAAGATTTGTACACTGGTTCATCTTCTATCCAAGAGAATGTACCAGGAACAATGTGCGCTTTCAAGAAATCCATATGCATCTGGATCGGAACTATGATATCAGGGTCCAGATCCTTGTTATCCTTGAACGTCTTTGTAATCTTGTCCAGTGACGTCGACTTGCCCCAAAGCGCTTGCAAATCAGAAGGTTTGATTTTCTCATGCAACAAGTCGAGAACATTGGCCGGAAGATCTTCAATCTTAGTATCCAACCCTTTCACCGCGTCGAGGATTTGGAATGGGATTGTAGCGCGAAAGACCAGTATGGTCGTTTTGACCTTTTCGCATCTGGCCATGATTTTTTTGTTTCTGCCATGTAGAAGAGCACGCATGTAAAGTCCTGTCTGATCTTGAGCGGTCTGCTATTGAAGTAGGACAGGGGTGACTAAAGATCACATACGTCTCCTACGATACTCATTGAATAGCTTGCCACTGAATAAACAGAAGTCAAGCATAGCAATGAAAATATCCATCAATCTGTTGAGAAAATTCGATTCACGAAACTTTCGTGCTTTGAGATCTCCGATATCGAGCAGAGCATTGTGAAGTTCAACGAAGGTCGACTCGATCAAGTCGAAGTCTTCACTCACGTTTCTCGCGGCCTATCGACATTTCTCAGTAGGAGATTGCTTATGCAAAGGAGGAGGAACTTACCTGTATCATATATAAGACTGAACCGGCTACGATCTGAGCAGGAGCGGCATACTATAAGGAATTGTCAATGAGTGAGAACAAAAAGGGATCAAGAGGTGAAATTGGTCGCCTTACAGTTCCGGATACATGATCTTTGAAGAATGATACACCCGAATATGTCCAGTCCAAACATCCAGATACAGCTTGAATCACCTTGGTTTTCCGATCCTCGGGATGCCGCGACTTTGCAAAGAGCTCCGAAGCTTTCTGGAGACGTCGATCTGGTTGCTGGAGATTATCGAGCTCGCTTTCTGAAATGGCCGCAATGTTGATACCATTTTCCTTCTGTGCCTTGTTCACAGCTTCTTTCCACAAATCATCAAGAGCTTTAGTGTCTTTCTGCTCTGGAGAGGATTCCGGGTCTGGAACGGGAGCTGGCAGTAGGGTCTGTTTTGCAACATTTTGCTTGTCACTCATGTTTCTACAAGCACGCCTAGTCCTTCAGAGGTAATGGTCTCGATTTCTGGGGTGCTGCAATCGGGAAATGTGCTCCGTAGAGAATCAAGAGAGTAAACCTTAGCTCTGGAGGAAGTCGGGAAGCTGTACTTTTGTAATGTGCCTGAAAAGGCCATGGAAGTCCTACACGCATTGCGCTACCCCAGTCACTTCTGGTATGAAATGCCGAGTCTGTATGTAGTAGGCATTAAATTGATATGCGGCTGAGAGGGGGTCAGTGTGCTAACACCTAATCTAGGGGCGTGAAATCTCATCCAGATTGGCTGGAAGGATTGGTTAAGGGCCAAGGCGGAATATAGCTGACAAACACGAACGCCTCCAAACGCACTTCTTTCCGATAGCGGTCAAGCGTTGACTCTCTGTAGCGCATTACCGACCTAACAAGTCTTAACATACTTCTCAGGGATCGAAGTTGTTGCAGATGATGGATGACCTTGCCTCGCACTTCCCTGATAGGATGCTGTCTATAGTAAAGATATGAAATGAAACTTGACGGAATCGACCCGACTTACGACAGCTGTAGGAACTAGCGTGACGCTAGTATCTAGCCACATAAAATAGTGGTCCGTAGGCCCAATCGCCCAATTGTGTTGGCGGTCATCTGATGTGGATAGCAAGCATTCATTCATTCAATTTCAGCCCCTGACTGACGTCCCCGCAACGATCTGCTCTTAGCGCTCGTGAAGAGACATGTGGTGGATGAACAAGGGTAGATCAACAGAGAAAAGTTATGCTCATGGACTGATACGACAACCATCGCTCTGCTGATAAGAGATGGACATCATACTCCAGTAAGATAACAACACTTATTGAAGGTAGAGGCGGAAGAACGGATTGGAAGAGCTCAAAGTAGGCAACTGCATCACGTGATCTTGAATGGAGATGATCATATGCTGATTTGTGTTGTTACAACGGGAGTTATTTGAGAGACAGGACTGGGAGAAAGATCTGGTTTCTGCCAAAGCTTTAGGATGTTGCAGCGAGGCTAGAGTCCGGGCATAGGTCTTAAATCAGCTCAAGCAAGCTCCGGCTTAGTGCAGAGAAGATTGCAAGCCGGATCTCCGTATTCAGCAGCATCCCAATTTGGATACAGGTCTTTTGAGGATCCGCAGCACACAAGACAGATACCCCAGGCAGGTACTTCATGGAAGTACTGGCACCATCTTTTCTCCATATATCAGAAATTTGTCCTACGAGTGAGCATTCATTGAGAACAGTGCATATGTATTCCCAACCTGGAAGTTCTGCTTCAGAATGATGGAATCGAAAATTTCTTTTTACCTCTTCTCATTTTGTCTGCAGCTCCTCTAGTTGACATCTTCGACAATGAGCTGTCCGAGGTAATCTCTATTGAGTGGTCTGTCATAGAGGAGTAGGTTCTCAAGTCTAGCGATCTACTTCGCAGGCTCAATACGAAGGGCAAGAAGCTCAGATATGATATGAGTTTTACTTAGCAAATAACAATCACCTCAACTTCGAAAGAGGTAAGGAAAACAATATATTGACGACTAACTCAATGAATTGTCAAGCTTCCCGTGGATTCTCCAGGCTGGCGCAGATTAGGACTCCAACCATGGTCTCAGTCGAATAAATAAAAACTGGAATTGAATGCTTATGTCCACTATATAGAATCAGTGATTTCGAATTCATCTGGGGATAGTATGCCATATTAGGAATTATGGTAACGGGTGTCAGAGAAATGTTCTTTGGAATAAATCTGCTAGGGTAAACCAAGGTTAGAGATCTATTCATCAGGTCAGCTTATACTGATACAACTTGGGGTTCTTAGGGAATCCCAGGCTCTCGTCTCTAGATAATATGAAAGTTAGCTGCGATATCAGGCTGAATAAAGATCACAAGCTTATAAAGCAAAGCTTTACCAAATCCTGAACATCCTTGTTTTCATATTTACTGTACAGCTATTATCTGATATGATCATGTCGTTCCAAGGCTTACAAGTTCATTTCAAATTGTTGGTCCAAAGAATATCCAGGGGGTTTTTAGTTGGCTTATAACACAGCATCCTTAGGAAAATAGCCGTGCACCCAATCAAAAAGAGTGATAACCAGTACTATCAAATCCAGCTTCTTTGTCGTGTTTATTTTCTGGTGAGCACGATGTGAGGTTTACCATTGAGGGATATTTTGAAAATGTACTGCCTCCTATATGGTTACGAGTTCACCAATGGCCAGCGAGAACACTCGAGGTCCCGACTGAGTACCCACGATCAAATGCAGACAAGAACGCTCAGCTTGTCGTACTCACTTGATTCTGAAACTTGTTTGATGAGAGAAACAGTCATGTTACTTGAGGTCTGAATAGAAGAATCCATTATTTTCGCTTCAAAACAGGCTGTTGATGTGCTAACTAGTTGTTGTTGTTGGTTATCTAAATTAACTACAGCTGCACTGACCCCTTTACGAAGGTCACATGCTCGAAACATAGTGTTGGAGCTCGGTTACGCTAGGATGGATACGGAATATAGGCAAATAATAAGAACTTAGAGTTGAGAATTTCTATGTATTGATGCACACTCCCTAATACAAAACTTGTCAGGAATGTTGACCTCTTTTATATGTGAGGTCCTGTACAAACTAGATCATGAGATGACGTCCAGTCGAACCTTCTAGATATAGGCATATAAAGCTGATTGGATGTCTATATCTCGTCAGTATTCGAAATTTCTTCATGTTAGTATTATGATGGATTCCCAATTAGGGATAGCGTATTGCGTTCCAACACATAGTTGATCCGTGCCAGAGGGAGATCCACGGGTGTACGCCTGTACGCCGTACGGAGTAGCACCCTGACACAGGCTATTGTATCACGTGACTGCGGGTCATTTTCATCGAAGATGCTCCCATCCGGACGTGACCCAAACAAACAAACACACCTACATAGCAAGACCAACAACAGTATACATCACCATGGATAACGAGACAATTGCAAATATTGATAGCTCTCTGGAGTCACTAGACTCCGAAATCTCCAAAATTCGAAAAACAAGTATGTTGTTATGTTTCCACGCGGGCAACGATCATGTTTGACTAACCTATTGCAATTCCAGTCAAGAACTTTCAAGATACGCGACGCTTATTGTCCGCTAGCTTACTATCATCCCACTATGTTCGTCAAGAAATTGAGCAAAACACTAGAACTGGGAGCGGCACGACAACGAGGTTCGCGCTAAAGGAAGTTGCAACCTTGATGAGCGACGCCCTTAAACACCGCGATACGAACTATCATCGGCTAGCTTTTTCGACAACGCTATTCCCCTGGAAAGATCCAAACCCGTACAGCGAATCGCCGAACCTTCTAGGTTTGAGGATCGATGTATGCGTGCGCAATGGCACATTTGCAAAACCTTACTATGTTCTCCTCCAGCGTCAAAAGGAAAGCGGCAACGCATTGTCATCAACACTACAACGTGAAAAACGGTCGTCAATGTCATTGTCTATATACCGACATACCATTCCGCCTTTCATACCTATGGACAAATTAGCGCATCGATATCTGCCCCAATCTCGACTCTCCAGAAGACAAGGCGAAGACGCAGACGAAGTCGAAGGATTGAAAAGCAAAGCAAAGACGAGGAAACAAGATATAAATGCATTTGCGCGACATTTGCGGAAAGAGTTAGCGGCGTGGTATGCCCGACGGGATTCTATTTCATGGCTTCAGGAACGATTCGGCGTTACAGACGTGAGCCATGGAACAGATGGTAATAGCGGTTTGACTGAGGATGATAGACATCGGACAACCCAAGCTGGAGGTCTTGTGTCACTCGCTGCTACGTCTCTTGAAGCTCGATATGTGAGAATAGAGTGGAAGGACGGAAGAGTTGGCCGATTCAAGCTCTCAAACTCAGGGCTTGTGGAGCGTGCAGTTGTCATTGGTGAAAGGGGCCGAGATAAACAAACAGAGTTAGTCTTAATGGGTGGCGATAAACGAGTGGAGTCTCTAGTTACTCGACTGCTCACTGTCTGATTAACAGTATGGTCGCCTAAGATTCTATGCAGCGTGTAAAGGACTAAAGTCAAATCTACATCTATGTAATTCACAATCATTATGCTGCATATGTAGCTAAATACAATAAAAAGCCTTGGAGTATGAGGGTATAGATGGGTATCAAAATGCATATATTTAGGTATATTCGGTAAAGTTAACAACAGAAAAAAGACATATGCCGCCCTGGGTATATCGTGATATATGAAACAAGATAATCGAATATATGAAAAAGATATGGAGCAGCAAACCATGTATTTATATATATTGCTTTCATGACTCCATTTCATGAGTCTTTCCTGGCAAATGGATTCTCCAACAGGGGTATCTCCAACTCCAAAAACTCACGGTCATTATTATTTCGATAACTGGCATCGCCATCATTCTCATCATCATCATCAGGAACACTGAAAGAAACATTCGGTAACGGACCATATGGTAGTCCGGTCTGATCCTCGAGCTTTTTACGCAGAATCGCTTCTTCGATATTCCATCTTCGCCTGATTTGATTCTTTTTGGCGTCGAGGACTTGAAGCATCTCTTGCTCTGCACGCTGGTGGTCACGTTCGAGTTCGGCTACGGCTTCGGCGTTCTTGCTGATCAAAGTATCGAGTTCTCTCTCGAGTCGAGTTGTTGTTTCTTGTAATTGTTGCTCTTGCCGTTCCCGTAGTACCTTGATACGTGCTTCGTGCAGTCGATCCATGGAATCCCGATCCAAATACTCTTGAGCCAGCTGTTCTTTCTGTCGGCGAGTGACCATTCGGAGTGTTTGTTGTTGGGCGACATTCGAGTTGGACTCAAAAGCTCCCGATCCAGCACCTGAAAGACGAGGTGATTGCGGCGGACTGGAGGTATTGACGTATCCTTCCATATACTTGATCCGTGTTTGCGAGTTTCTTTTTGATCTTTCGAATTCTTTAATCTGGTCGATTTCTACCGACAATTGACGTTCTTCCATTCGTGCAAGGAAATCAGTGTTCTACAATATGTTTAGCTGATAGGAAGAGATTTGAGCTTTTTGATATCCTAGCTCTACTTACCCATTCCTTCTTCTCCTCTTCAATCCGGTCGTTACTCAGCCTTTTCTCCGCAATGACAGCCAAATGCGCCGTTTTTAAGGAGTCCAACAACTCATTTCGGAATTGCACAAATCGTGCTCTCTCGGCTTTATGCTTCTCAAGTAATCTTTTCAGTTGCCCATCTTCCTTGGTCCTCTTTATAGCTGCTTCATCGAACACCGGCACTTCAACTTGTAAGGTTCCCTGCCCTTGCGACTTTTCCGGGCGCTCGGTTTCAACGGTTTTAACAGGATTTGTCTCCACAATGACGGTATTCGCTCGTCCCCCGCTATTTTTCTTTAAACTTATATGCGCATTTGGAGGCAAATTCACAGAGGATGGGGTACGTCGTTTCCGAAATGGCCGGCCAATCGCACTGATGAAACTCGAGCGTTTCCTATCAGAAAGTCTAAATGCACTGATGCTTGTGTTCGTCGAAGTGGGCGAACTGGGTGAACTAATCTGCTGTGGTGACTGCGAGTATGAAGGCCGCTCATGGGGAGCTGATTGTGGCGGAAGGAGCCTGACATCACATGAACTTATTGATGTTGGCCGGGTCGATAATGAGTCAATAGACGGTATACTGCCAGAGTGATCGCGGTCGGATATAGTCGTCTCTGATAATGAGCCAGCAAGCTGATCAATGGATGCGACACTCGATCTAACAAGATCCGCAAATGACCGGGGATGAGTAAACGAAGGTCGATTTCGGGTCAAGCCAGTAGTGGATGATGAAGAAGCTGATGGCGGCGCCGGTATAGTAAGATCCAGAATTCCAGCATTGATAGTCGCTGCAAGCGAAGCCGCGATTTGGATATCGGGTATCTTTAACCCGAGTTCGGATGCTTCGGCGACGAGTCTTTCTTCTATATTGTCTTCGGTTTCGGCTTCTTCGAGTCGGAGGACCTCCTTCCGATAGCGAGATTCATCCGTCGATGACAAGGACATTGACGTTGTCCTTCTTGTCGCCATCTCTGGATGAACCTGCCAGCTTTGCCGTCGCCTCGTTTTGCGTCCTGATCTCAGAACGAAAAAAATGAAGAGAAAAGAACAAAAATATCGAAGCAAAATGAAAAGTATACAACTGAGTAGTGGGCCCCTCCCCTGAACGAGGGAGGACTGTCCCAATCGGGAATTTTGCGCGTCAGTCAGTTCTAAGTTAACTTAGTTACAGGAAAATGCAAGGAATGTCTGCCCCACTGACGAGTGGGTGGCATCATGGTATCAAGGCTGAAGCCAAAACCATCACTAATTAAATCTCTTTTCGGGGCTGCCCGCCAGGAACCGAACACCATGCGATCAGCAAGCGCAGCAAGGCCAATGATATAAGCAAAACCTCCGCAAAAATAAAAAGCGGTGTTGAAGTTGTTCACTTTCGGTCTGTAGAATTGTTGATCGAGAAGACGATTGAGAAAAGTACACCGCAAGGACTTCTACGTCAGGTCCGAGTCCCGCTGTGTCACCGCCACCCAAAACGCTTTGTCGGGTTGCCCACTTCGAAATTTTGATCTGCCATGTGACCCATCACCCGGCAATTCCTTTGCTTAAGCAGCATAGATTGTAAGGAGTGGATGCTGGTAATAATATCGAAGAATTATACGTTTGATGATGCGCATAGATCATCGTCAAAAAATATACGTAGTGGGATTCGACATGATAAGACGATAAAATGCGCGGCAATCATCCCAGTCCGGATTCGGAAGGAGCGGCAAGAAATGTGGTTCATATTGAACGCTGTTTTCTACCACGTGGCCTTGCCGCGGTCCGATCCGCTTCCCAGATCGAATCGATGTTTATTTCCTGCCTCATTTAGAACAGACGAAAAGGCTCTTCTAGAGTTGGCTTGACACTTCAAATCCCGAAGGTCAAAATGCATCTCAATCTGACTTCGTGAATATGCCAAAGGACGACCAACACTATACTGAAGTCACATACGTCCTACCATCACCATATCGCTAACAACACGACTAATAATATACGTGTGGTCCAAACTGATCTCATTTAGAAGAAACGGCGATCGGGAGGAGTCCAAACCTCCAACAAGTGTGCAACACCCCTACCTTTGCGACTTGGGCCAACCCTGTTGCGAATCGGCCAATGTAAATTCTGACAGCCTGTCAAGAGCAATCGTGTAGTCCGTTTAGTTGTCAATTCCTTGTTCATTTCATCAAGAAACCTTACCTTGGTAACAGGGGGTATCCCTGTCCAGCATGCTGCATAGTGCATGCCTACCCGGCAGATAAAACGATGTTATCATTTGTATGACAAGCCGCTGCCGAAGCCCCTGTTTCACCCTGCTACATGGGCATGAAAGATAGCTTGATGAATAGTAGGTATTTAACAGTCTGCATGCAGCATCATGCGATATAATGATTAGCAGATATCGCGCTTCGAGGACAGAAGCTGTTGTTCTACTCCGTACTTATAATCATGTTATCACAAAGAGCTGGACCCATACCTATAGTTAATATGAAAGAAAAGGGACAAATAAGACATAATAAAGCAGAAGTGGGCCCGGCTTCCAGGTTGCCCAGCTTGCAGCTTTGATGGCTGTTCATTGTGAGGCTTAGAATGAAACCAGAGTCGCATATTGCAGCCAGTTCTTGACATCGAATATTGGTGCAAGACTTCCGAGGTACCAACTTACATTCGTTTGATACACTCGAGACCGCCAGAAACAGATTGTAGGACTCTACCAATATGCTGGTTTACAAAGCTCAAATGACTTTCAGCCGTTTCTTGAGCCTTTGCTCATAAATCCAATCATCTGGGCATCACGCAAAAAACCATGATGATGGGCTAGAGAGAGTGATATTGAGAAGTCTAACTAACTATCTGAGATCCGTGGCGTGCGAGGTTGATGTCCTTGCTACGATCACGCTAGGCCCAATGCGGTACCGACGTCTACCTGTATGGCGGTGGTCCCGTGAAACCATTTTCTCCGGCAACCTTTTTACGAAGACAAACCAGTTCCCGTGTCTACAATGGGCAGCAGTTTCTTGTGGCTCATTGCACCTCATCTGGCCTATGCTCCATATACCCTTAGAGTCAGTAACAGTGGCGTAGCTTAGATGGTCATGGGAATGAAAGTCGTAAATGATCCAATTTAAAGCTACGCTCGTTTATACGACAATAACGGGGATGGGAATCTCACAGTCGGGCATGATAAGGCTGGCAATGATGTTCTCAAACACGATATCCGAGCTGTACTTGTATACCAAATAAATGCCTCGGCCATTTCGGATTGACCATGGCAATACAGGCGACACAGAGAATCTCGATAATAGCCTCGACCAAGGATGGAGATGGGTCAGGTGTCGTTAGATAGAAATGTGTCAAGCTGAAATAATGGATGAAAATATGCAGGATAAAGAAAAAAAGGCCAGCATTCAAGTATACTTGATTGTTCGTCTATCATAAAACCACCTTTTTCCTCCAGCCTAAACTTGTCACTGGAGTACAGGACGTCCAAAGTAGCCGTAATCTTCCTATCAGCCATACATCCATCATGAGGTAATACCGTTCTTCAGTATGAAGAGTTTCTCGAAATTTCTTCAATCCCATCAGTCATTCTTCTCCATGTAAGGGCGGCACCCCTCGTATATATCCCTAAATCCGGGGTACTTAGTAATCCTCTGAAAAACACCCTCATCAACCATCTTAGCAGACTGAAGAACCCCAGCAAGGAAGAAATCAGTAAAAGTCGGCTGAGCACCCAACACAAATGGACCCTCGGCCTTGTTAGTCCGCATAGACTCTCCGACTGCTCGCATATCAGCGTCTATAGCAAGCCAATTTTGCTCTTCCGTTTTTGGATCTAGGAGCATATCCTCGAGCGGACAACCCATTGCGGCCTCGCGCGTACGTCGAAAGTACTCCTGCGAGCGAGGAGATAGGATACGTATTTCGCGCGGCGTGATTGAATTGCTGAAGGTTTTGCCGACCAAAGAACGTGACTTGAGCTCGATTTCGCGTCCTAGTTCCGATGTTAATGGTACTAGTGGCTCTGGGTATGTTGATTCTAGGAACTGCGCGATGGCGATCGAGCCCATAATGTATGTGTTTGTTGGTATATGGTGAATTGTGGGCACGGTGTATTTGGACTGTGATCCGTCAACAGTTTTGCCTGGATTGACGCCACTGATAGATACAATTAGATTGTTTTGGAGACATCACGAAGAGGAGAGATGGTTTTTACGACTTACAGCTCTTTCAACGTAGGTTCAATGTCTGGAAATTCGAGAAAAATTGTTTTGTATGGAATGCGCTTGTAATTAAGCATAAGGCGGATGCGCCACACGGCGGGGGAAAAGCAGATACCCTTGACGCATGCCAGATCGTATAAAACTATCTCAGATTTGGGTTCGGTTTGGGTGGCCATCCTGCTTATGTGGATTGGTTAATTTGATGAAAATACCTAGGTAGTTTTCGACCAGATTGTCCTCGAATACGAAAGGAACGTTGAAGAATACATGTAGCAAAGGTTGACAATGCAGGTCTATCCATAGGTGGTAGTTAACTTATATACGCAAGCTCGAACTCCACTTCAAGTAGACCTTATCCGATTGGTTTACCCTAGTTAATTATAGAAACTATACCCTTGTATTCAGATGACCTGGATTGGCTATATATCAGTACAGAATAGAAGCAGAGGGAAGTATATGCTCAAACTAGTATTGATACTGACATTTAGGCCAGAAATATCAGCACTGGGAGAAAAGCAAGAAAGGGAAGGACTACCCCCAGAATGCCATAAAGTTATGGCGCCTTTTTATTAGCTTAACCTTGCCGTATGGCTCCGGGATACGTCCTTATAGTTCCGTGTGAGATATGAGAACGCCTGCTCCGCTTTCTTGTGCTTTTCAACAGTCAGAACCTATCGCAACACATTTTGCCTCTTTGTTCTGGCCCATTTAACTCATTGCTCATGGCTGATTTTCTCTCATTCAAGATGATGTGGAACGTATATAAGGTTAGGGCCTGTTGACTACGAGATAGCAAAAGGGCCTTCAAGGTGGACCGTGTGAAGAATATCACAATACATAAATCCAGAGTTTGTTGGTGTCTAAGCAGTGCTTGTTCTGCTCGAAAATTCTTCTAGATTTACGTATTCTCTGCTGAATCACTTTGGCATGCAATAGTCAGAAGGACTTCGGGAGCCTTGCAAGCGGCACTTTTTCAGTGACTAAATGAGAAATGTCATTTCAGATTCATCATAGGAACATCCAGTTGCAGTACTCAGTAGACATCCTTTGCATTTGCATCACGGTCAGGGAAAACCTAGATGGACTAGGGACAAAAAACCCGACCAAGGTATGAGAAAAGAGTACCTAAAAATGCTGCCATGTCTCCATTCATGTCATCAAGCTAGGTTATATAGCAAGTCAGCACATGAAACAAATTTCTGTTCTTAGAAAATGGGCTATGCATACATTTTACCACTTGGTAGTTCAAAGTAACCGAGTAAAGATTGATCGATGAGCTCGACTTATTGAACTCTAAGTCAAGTGTTGTGGAGATTCCCATTGGCTGGACATAGGCATAGTTTTTGCATTCATCCCCTGTGAAGTCGATCTGGCATGTGCTATCATCCGTTAAAGTTGTTGAGACCTTCTTATTATTATCGTAGTATAGAGTCACCTTTTTAATGTTTGCATCCTGCGTGTCGAACTTGACAAGTAAGTTCTTGAGGGTAGTTTTGTTTGTGAATGCTGGTGGGTTGGGTATTGGAACAAGAACGGTCCCTTTATGCGTATCCACATCATTTGGATTGAAACTGAACGGTTTCAGTTTCGCCATACTGGGACTGCAGCTGACTTTTGTTTTGTTCAATGCATTGAAACAGCCACGTTGCCGTGAGAGGATGCACATTGGTACTCTATGGGGTATGCCTGCGTGCTGCTAGTAGTGGGGATATCATCACCACCCTTTCCTTGCCACACTTCCATAGCTTGATGAAGGTGGTATTCGTTGGAATTCAGAAAGGTTCAATGTTATTGAGATATAAGGTTCACAAAGTTAGACACTTATGAAGGATATGTCGATAGGAAAGGAGAAGGAGGAGTGCGCTGGTACGGCGTGAGGAATATTTATACCTGAATCCTTGCAAACCTACTACATGCCTAGGTATCTCATAGGCATGCTGCCCAGGTCGTTTCAGTCACACGGTGGGTGGTACCGAAGTGACGAAGGGATATGTTAGACCAGAAGGCCAAAGTTGACCGTAAGGTATTTACAAGGATTCTTTTTCCAACATACTTGTGGACCGCTTACGGCTGCTGAAGTAGAATGACTGTGATTGAGTGATTGCTAGTGTGCAGGTGTAAGATACTCTTAAGCACTCTTTTTGGCTAGCTATATGAGAGGGGCCTTTCTTTCTCCTTGGAATGATAGTTAGAAACTAAAAGTGAATGATAGAAGACTTGAAATTGAGACTTCCACACACAACTTCCGCTCATTGGTAAGTTGACTACCTGCTCTAAGTCGGCATGACAACGCTGTCTGGTGAAGTATTGCGTTTGCATGAGTGGCTACTTCTCACGCTCATGGTTTGTCTGTTTGGAGGAGAAAGATATGACTCAAGCTGCTGTGATACCCACGAGTGCATAATGAGAGGCATTTGGTGAGATTTATCAGCTGAACTCATCCAGAGGATTGATACATAGGACTTTGTGCACTACATCCAAGCTGGTGTTCTTCTTTCAGCACAAATTTTCCATAATGACCATCTTCTTACCGTCAGCCGCTACGGAACACCTTGGTAGATGCAAGCAGGATGCTTAAATCTCCAAAAATTGAGTGGTCACAGATAATATTGCATGTCTGAGGAGGTGAGAAGATACGATGCCGTATGTTGGTAATGAAATGGATGCTTCACTGACCCGGGGGATAAGGGTGTCCAGTCAAGACACGGAGCCCATTCATCTGACAGGACATCCACATTCCATTATCCTCCCAAGTGTTTTGCTGCGTGAAAAGAACAAATAGATTCTAGGCAAAGACATCCGTCATGGCCATTGACAGGATGACAATCTGAAAGTCCTTTTGCAATAACTCAGGCAGTAGCATCCAGACCTGGACCTATTGTATGCTGCATGAATTGTTACAATTTCTTTGAATTTCGTATTCGCACAGGCCAGCCAGGTTCTGCATCTATGCCCAAGCTCTGACAAGGACAGATGATGGGAATTTGTACAGAGATGTAGCACTTCCCTGTTTAGCAGATGCGATAGCGTAAGTCGGCTCAATCTTTCTTTTTGCACAAACCCTGACATCATTAATAATTACCTATTGTTTGGCGAGCAATAATAGATACGTGCATATGAGTGTGAATAGGATTGGCTCTCGGATTAATCCCAATAGGGCAGAGATGCAATCGAGGCAGCTATTTTTATTAGGTGAGTCTAGAGACATTCAATTCCACTCAGTCCAGATTAGAGCAACGATTGCCATCTCCCCATGCATCGTGCATAGAATTTAAAGCACAGAAAATTTTGCCGAGCGATACGGATCCTGGTATAGTACAGTTACTCAGTGCTTTTTCAAGCATAGATAGATGACCCACAAAGAGGCCACAGGGTTTCATAGCCAGCTACTTAAACGATATGCAGACACTGCCTGATCCTTGCTCTTCTTTTTTTGACATACTTAGTTGAATATATAGTATACTATTATTCCCACCATCACATCTCGGAATCTATCACTCTATTCTGGAGATATATCGTTCATTAGCTACGGGACCCCCTGCTCGGTCTTCAGCCGTACGACCCTTGTAGGATATATGCTCAGTACGCCACTGGGGCTATTCGCTGCAACCCCAGTCACAATTACCCCAGACATCCACGTAATCCACCCCAGCCTCCGTCAGTCAGTTTCAGCATAAGAGGATCGGAAAGCAATACAGTAGAACCTGGTTATAACTAAGGGAAGGCCGCTCCACATTTCCACTGATATCAGCTTGGAAATCTTTAATATGGGACTGAAGAACATCCGATTTGTTAATACTAAAATGGATCATTATAGTGGAGGTGCCCTTCATCCCTAAATCGAACTCACTTCTGGATATATTGACTTGTGCCTGAGGGGCCTTCTGTTCGTTATAACCAGGTTCTACTATATCTAACAGAAAACGGGCATCAATTTTTCCGCGGAGCGCCGTAGTTCAGCCTTTACGACGGTAATATTTCTTAAAACATCTAATTAGCAATAGTAAGATAGCTTTTTATGTACATATACTCCGAATACCTCAAGAATATGAACGGGATTAGGGATAATCTATACCGCCCAATTTGGTCTAGCGTGATCGAAGCTATGACCAGCTGATAGGCTTATCGCGCGCCTTGCTCGTCGCATCATCCAACTTCATCTCTTCATCCTCTACCTTTGTTGACTTCTTCATTATTTGCTCATATTTCTCGGCTAGCTGTATAAGGCTGGCCACGCAGTGCACCCGACATTGCATTTGTTCTAGGCCTCCCAGCATGACACCGACTCCTGAACCCGAAGTACACTATACTGTGTTCGTGCGGTTGCCGTTTCCTCGTGGGGACTTCATCGACCCTCCACCTGTTAGTATTTATCGAAGCTTCTCCTGTCCCAATGCTAATACGGCATAGGCCAATTGGAACCTTGTTAAGGATCGCGCTCTGTGGGAAATCCTCTCGCAGCCATCCAAAGGCAATGATATAGACTGTATGGTTACATCCCTGAACATCCCAAAAATATCCATCGCTAATCACGCTTCATGCCACAGGGAAAGCCATGTATGACACTCCTGACGCTAACTACAAATATATGATGATTTTAACCATTAACTTGATCAGCGCCGATGATTTCAATGTCACGCTTCCGTTCCTCCTCCAGCAAGCCGCGTGGCTTTACGACCGTCAACTATCCCAAGTTCGAGCACAGATGCTGAAGGTTGGCAATACACACTCACAGTCACCATCTCCAGCGCCTGGAAACACTCTGGGCTCGGTTTCCGGGAGTGGCGCATTAGGTGGACAAGCTATGAGGAGAGCAGGCAGTGGTGGTGGGTCTTCAATATTCTTGCTATTACAGGAAGGAATGAAGCTAAAGGATTAATAGTTTCTCGTACCCCGTCGAGATTATCTGCTGTTCAGAAAGAGAGTCAACCGTCACGGGTGGAAAGTAGCTGTACGGCCGTGAAGGCTAAGGGTAATACAACATTCGTCTTTGAGAATGGCCAAGGTATACTAACAGTCCTAGCGCCATCCGTTCGAACGAACTCTGCAAATACGGTCACTCAGACACAGATAACGAGTGAGACGATAGAGAAACCAGTCGCCACCAGACCAACGCCATTAGCTGGCCGGCTATCACGACGCGAGAGGCCAAGCCTAGCTGTTCTTCAACACCCACCTCAAACAACTCAAGTAGTTGACGATAGCCCGCCATTATCACCTGCGTCCGATACAGATTCGGACTTAGTGGACGACGACAATGACGACGAAGGTGACGTGGTGACGAGTCGACGATTCCCGGGTGTACGCCGATTTGGCAAATATTCCATGCACAAACCTAGCTTAAGAGACGACTTGGATGACGACGACGATGATTCGCCGGCATTTCTCCCTCTCCCACGTGAAAACGAAGCCGGCGCTCAACACATGAATTCGACACTACGACAACAGAGTAATGTACCTGAGACATCGCGTAGACAGATGACAAGTTACACCCCGTCACATCGTCGTGAGCTGGTAAGTCTCGACAGTTCTGCGAGTTCAGGTGTAGCTATAGGTAGTCCCCGAGTGGGACCTCAACGTCCGACGGAGCCATTCAGTCCACGACGAGTCGCCAATCTGTCCCGGCAGAGTTCGAGACAGCCTGGCTCGGCAAATCAAAGTAGTGAAGAGACGCCCAGTATGGGCAGTAGTTTTAGTGACTTAGATGGTACCTCCTCTTTCTTTTTGTGTTGAAAGGATGCCTGCTAACTGATTCAGATGCGAGCGTAACGCAGTCGGCTCTGGAAGAAGCTCTTTTGAGCAATATGCAGCATGGCGGAATGGCAAGTCGAATGAGCACAATCAGCCAAGCGCTTCGCAGTCGGTATTTGTGATATGAAGCGTAGGTTGGCATTATTTTCGAAGCTCACCTCTTTTTGGGTCACGTTGAATGAATGTATGATTATGATCCCCCGAGGTTATCACCTCCATACCCAGCCATCCTAAGCAATGTCTCGATGTCAAATGATAACAGTTTTGAGCAATATATTCAAATCGGTAGAATATAAATAAGTACAATAGAAAATACTGTTTCGAATTGATTGCATCTTATGCGACAACTCTTGTAAAACAAAATCTCGGACATCTGGAGGTCTCGTTTGTACCAAGTAGATCTGATCATACCTCGGGAATAACCAAAACAGATCGCATTACGTTCGAAATATTTATTTCAGGCTGAATAAACAGTGTTCCATTTCCGATTTCTCTATCTCCATCATATCTTTTATTCAATTTTGTTTATATTTGTTACAGTTGATATAGGAACTGCCTAGACACCTCCGATAAGAGGATACTGCGGAGTTAGATAAGAACCCCGCAATGATGAGAAGAATCTCACTGACCGTTTGCGACCAGACATTCACATCAGCTGGACATACACCAAATGCACGATTCGAACTGAGCGATCTTTGCATTCAATTGAACCGAGGACATTGATAGCAATCGTCTTGTCGTCATCTATACTACCGTCATCAACGCGTGGGATTCCCCCGCGGGTAAACGTCACAACCATGTCCACAGAGACAGAATCAAATTATTTCAACAGCTACCCACCACCGAAAGCCCTGCAACGCCATGAGGCTCTCACACGAGCTTTCGTGCAGCTTCAGCTCGAACAGAATCGTCGAGTTGTGCTAGTTACAAGTGGAGGGACGACAGTTCCGGTACGTCCTCCCTTCTTCCACCTCAAGCTTATACCCTACTGACAATTGAAAAATCAGCTCGAAAACCAAACAGTCCGCTTCATCGACAACTTCTCCGCCGGAACTCGCGGCGCCTCCTCCGCCGAGCAATTCCTCGAGAACGGCTACGCCGTCATCTTCCTCCACCGGCAGTTCTCCTTACTCCCCTACTCGCGACACTACAGCCATTCCACAAACTGCTTTTTGGATTTCATGGACGAAGACCCCGTTACATCCTCGATCGTAGTCAGGAAGGAATACCAATCCTCCATGCGCGACGTATTACGCAAATATCGCTACGCAAAACAGAACAATCTGTTGCTGGTACTACCCTTCACAACAGTGACGGAATACATGTTCGAGCTCCGCTCATTGGCGCATTTAATGAAGCCCCTGGGCGCAAATGCATTATTCTATCTCGCAGCCGCGGTGAGCGATTTCTTCATTCCAAGGGACAGAATGGCAGAACACAAGATTCAATCTTCTGAGATTCCGGCTCATATCGGCCAGCATCAACCTATCCAAGATGATGAGGTATACACGGGTTACAACGAGGACCAACCCGGCGACGTCGAAAAGACGGAGTATAAATCAAAAAAATTGGTTATTGATCTTGATCCTGTTCCGAAATTCCTTCATCGGCTTGTGGACGGATGGGCTCCGGAGGGGAGTATGATTGTCTCTTTCAAACTTGAGACTGATCCTACACTCCTCGTGTATAAGGCCCGTACATCTCTTCAGCGGTACGCGCATCATTTGGTTATTGGGAATCTGTTATCGACTCGAAAATGGGAGGTGGTCTTTGTTACGCCCGAGGAACCGCATGAGAGATGGATTAGAGTCCCCAAATCGAAGAGGAGTAAATCTATTTCAGGGAGTGAGAATCAGATTGGTCTTGCGGAGAAGATATTGCATGATCAGGAACATCCTGATCAGCCGGAAGAACAGCAGAAAGAAGAAAAGGGGGAAAGCAGAGGAGAAAATGAAGAAGGTGGCGGAGGAGTCGAGATTGAAAGCTTGATCATCCCGGAGCTGGTGAAGTTGCATTCCAAGAGAATTGCTTCGAGATCGACTACTTAGATAGTTAGGTGACTTGTTGTATGCTTGTACATTGCATCGATCTCAGCGAGATAATATAATGAAACAATAGAAATTGTTTTGTTCATATTCGAACCCTCTTAACGATTGTATCCAGTCCATGGATCCATCCAGGATCAATAATCCAAACGAACGCCATAGCTATGCCTATATCGGTACACAAACCAAACGCCAACCACAACCAGAATATTAGAAAACGAGATCTATAAGCCAGAATCTAGAAGATCACTCCCAATCAACAGTCTCGCATTTCCCCCTCGCTCTACTCGTAACCTCGATCCGAGTCATCATCCAACCGGACTGAGTCCCTTCACGCGGAACGCCCAATCGCGGAGACTCAAAAGTTCGACATTCAGGTCTCATTTCACCTTCGAAATCTGGGTCTTCGCTCCATCGGAAACTGTATTGTCGACAGAGACCGTCTTCTTCGCAGACTCGTCGACAGTCGTTTACGTTTTCGACTCGGATGTCCTCAACTAAGTCGCCGGATAGATTGTCCCAGCCTCGCTGGATGCCGGGTCGCATTTGCGGGAGGATGCGTTCACGGAACACATCGGAGTGGAGGAGATATTTGCGCTTTCGCTGTAAAAGTTAGCATAGTATCTAGGGCTGCTGGGTAGTTGGAAATACCTTGATGAACCAGTCCTGGTCGAATTTCCACATCTCCTCCACATCCTGCGGAGTAAGATGATGAAATCCAACAACAGGAAAACACCACGGCTGTCGATAAAAGCTATTCGTCAACGGCTCAATCTCTCCCAACCGCGCATTTTGTAGCAAGGGCCAGGTAAACGTCAAATCAACCCCGGCATCTTTCAACACCTTGCCCAAAACCATATCCCCAGCCCATTCTTCATTGGTATACTCATCATAGGCCGTAGCATTTTTCGCATGCTGTTTCGAAACCATCTTCATCGCTTTCTGCGAAATAATGAAACCGGATCCACCATGGGCAAACAACACATCCCCAATCTGTGTCTCCGTCCCCAAATATAACGGCTCCTCCGGATCCAGCCGGTCAAGCCACGCAACTAGATTCGCCCAGACGATATGTGTATCGGCCTCCATAAACACATACCACTTCGCATCCGGCTTCGCTTTAAGCGCCTCATCGATCATAGGCAGAAACTTCCATTTATCGAGTTTCCATCCGGGATTATTCGGCATGCCAAAAACCCCATTTTCCTCCTCTGTGGAATCAGCTTCCTGCAATCCCGCACGACCTGATACCCGTAATCGGTTGTAAATATCAAAGTCTTCTATAGTCATGCGAACGTCCTGTCGCACATTCTGCAGTACATCGTACAACTGTACGCCCTCAATCTTTTCCGTGAAATCGGAGAAAACGACATAATTCGGAACGCAGCGAAATGTGGTTCGAGCGTGGACGGGGACTTTGTCCAGGGCTTCTGTAACTCCGGTTTTGAGTACGACGAGGACATTTTCGATTCCGGGTAGAGACGGACATGCGAATTTTGGTTGTTGCTGTTCGGGCTGCACTTTCATCGGTTGCTGTTCTCGTCGAGCTTGTTTTGTCGGTGCAATCACTCGATCATGCGGTTGGTCGTGCAGGGACGAAGCGCCCCGAGGACTAAGTTGACTTGGCGATCGGGTCACTATGAACCATTGCGGACCTCGGAGGAATTGTAATAATACAATAAATCCTATAAGCGGCGCAACGACTGTGATCCATCGACGCGATTTGCGGCGAAGGGGAAGCATGAGGTCGTCTTTTTCTGTATTGTATGATGATGAGGGAAGAGAAAAGGTGGCGGGAACGGAAAGCGGCCAACGCTAAGCTATGTCATTAGACGGGGAAACAGAGAATAAGAAAGTCGAATATAAGAGAGAATTGTGTATGTTGTATGAAAAGAAGATTAAGGAAATAAAGGAAGAAGACGAATGAATGAATGAATGATCATTTAAGTGAATCAAGGAGTGTAGATCGGAATCAAGGATTAAAAAGACCGATGGCAAAACATGTCGATTTTGCAGTAAGACGCCAAAATATGTGGTGGAAGGCCTCCTAGCAGAACTTCAAGGGAGTCACTCTCTCCTAAATATACCCAAGTTGTAAAATAGATAAATCGCGATAAACGCACAGTCCTTATTCAAATCAACAGTCCAAAAACCTACACAAGAAGCTTGTCTGGAGCAAAAGAATTTAAGGAACTCCACGAGGGGCGGGGAGCGGCATAATAGAAGATAGTAATGAATTACGTGAACTCCTGTCTATCCTGTACGTCGCTTGTGTCCCGTTGGGTGTTGTCAGTGATGATCCCGTCAGATCTTCATTTTTTTTTTTTTTTTTTTTTGACCATTCATTCCACGGCCTTGGGATGGCGTACTCCATAGATTCCTAGCTTGCGTATGCCATTCTATGGAGACTGCGGCATTTGACTGCTGTGCCGCGTCTCTATATGACTTCGGAACGAGGACATGGATTTCGGCGGCAATTTTGTGAATCACTGACTGATCTCATGCGAGTATTCTCAACAGTCGTACGAGGTACAGCTGTCTTCCCTCGGCGGAAATCATACGTATGAAGTATCACCATGACTGTTGACAAGGAGACCAAGTTGACGGTTGATCGGACCCAGCAGCCCCATTCTTAGGCTTGTCCCTGTCTTCGACTAGGCTCGTTCGTGTTTAGTGTGTGTCTCCAGCGTGTTTCAGGTTATCTGAACCGACGTCATGCCTGATTCTCTGTGGTTAGTTGCTGTTAAGTTCGCCGTTAGTCGTGTTTAGTCCTCCATGGTGTCGCGCTTAGGCCAATGGTCAGTTACTCTGCTGGTGCTGAGCAGTGAGAAATGTGAATAGGATCGACATACTGAAATTGGGGATCGCTCGATTGCCTCGGTATTTTCAGACGTTCTTGGTTAACCCGTGATGGTTGTGCAATGGAAAAGAATCAATCTGAAGTCGCCAGTCGGAGCGGAATATTTGCCCCGGAGAATAAAAGGGATGCCTCAATCTCGGGCCTCTCTGACTCTGACTCTGACTGTCCCAACATCTGTTCCAACATCCTGGTTTGGCGCTTCACAATGCAGCTATACATGCAGTCAGCAAGGATTCGATCCTACATAACAGTTAGTTGCTTCTTATGGGACCATACAGAGAAGATAATGCCGTAGACAGAATGTAGTCAGCCAGCATCGGTACTTTACCCCGAAAACAATGTTGGCCAAGGTGCCCCTTTCGGCCAAGTCTCCCGCCGCTTTACTCCCCCGCTAGCGTCGTCAGCTCCCGCATTGCTCCCGTGTGCTCGCGTCCTGCTCTAGAGTACTTGCAATCTACTCCGTAGTGGTTTAATCATATTCTAGTTCGGTTTGCGATTTTTGCCTACTGGGTTGATTTGGTATTCCTTTAAGGCGTGTAAATCTGCTCTAAGTTAGATCGCGTGGTTATGTATAGTTAATGGCTGGTGTCGGATTGGTGGGTTTACTCCAGGCCAATTCTGAATAGTAGCTTACGAGGACGGTCAAAGAAGAATTAACTAACAAGATTGTATGTATTGAGTTGTCTGTCCAAATGCATGAGGTTCCAAAGCAGGGCTTATATAGACATTTTGGCGGGATGATTTGTGAGCTATCATGACGGGTCAACATTGAGCTGAAATCTAGGTGCCCAAATAGATACCCTAAGGTGCCTGTTTGACCTGTGAGATTGAACAGCTGATCTCTCTGCCTTGTTGGAAATAAGATAGGCTACATGGGCATCTGTCCAGACTGCTCTTTGCGTGTCATATTCAGGGGCTTTGAGGTTCGACACAAGTTCGAACCTGCCGGAACCCGGCATAGTGGGCCTAAACCGACCAATCCTATATGTATCGCTGGGAAGACCGGTCTTCTAAATATCATTCCTCGATCCCCTCATCGGCTTTTGGGGACTCTCTCAGGATTATCCCACCTGGGGAAGGATCCTTAGCAGGGTTCCATGATGCTTCTTCATACGGCCAACTGACCCCTACTTTTACACCAATTATTCAGCCTTTTCAACTACCTGCACCTTGAACGCGTTGGCCCGACAAGAAAATAACAGCCATTTATCCTCTAGATAGAAGAAATGAACGATAATTTCTGTGAATGATGGTTGAAGACAGACTTTGGAGCTCGAAGGAAGCGCAATATATTCGAAAGCAAGCGTACTGCGGAGTGTTGGAAGCATTTCCACTGGGTTGCTGCCATCTCAGATGGCACACCAGAGGTAATGCGCAAGACATGTAACCATATCTTGAATCATCCTGCGGACGATCATCGTGGAACTTCCTCAATGAATATATATTTCTCGCAAGGGGTTCAATGCAAAAGGCAAGCACCTATACGATATTCGAAAGGCTATACAGAGAGGGGTATATTGATCTCTTTATCTTTTTAAGTCTGCTTAATCTATACTAAGCACTATATATTATAGGCACTCCGGTCCTCCTAGAGAATTCCCTTTAGCCAAGAGGCCTGGGAAGAGAAATCAGTCATATTGATCACCGCCTCACGACTACCTTTCTGGTTTATTGAGCATCCTCAGTTTCATACTGTTATTGAGAAGGCTCACTGGGCCCCATCAATTCCCACAATTCTTTCTTCATTCACCATCCGGAACCGTCTTCGAGAGATAGTCAAATAACGACAGGAGGGTCTCCTACAAAAGGTTCCTGAGGATGCTAAGATCTCTATTGCGTTAGACTGCTGGACCTCACCATTTTGCTAGTCTTTTATGGCTACTACCAGTTATGCATTGATGTGGATTAACTACCTTGAGTTTCTGCTTGGGTTTGAGACAGTTCAAAGAAGCTACACAGGCGCTGACCTCGGTATCATTCTCTTTGACCTTCTCTAAACACATCACCTTAAAGGCCGAGGACTGACAATGACTACCGACAATGCGTCTAATAATAACACACTCTATGATAGCATCAGGGGGACACTTGAAACGCTTAACTTACCAAATGGGCCGCTGATTGAGCGTATACTTTGCATGGCACATGTGATTCAACTCAGTCTGACTGAGCTTCTTGGTAAGATGGAAGCAGTGCTAAAGAATGACCGAGAAAAGATAGATTGGACAGAGGCAGATGAGGAGAATCAACCCCAGCAGGAAAACAAACCGATTTTGCATACTCTGAATAAAGTAAGAAATTGAGCTTCTGATCTGATAATGTACTAATACTATATTAGATTCGGCAACTGGTAATCTACGTGAACAGAAGCTCTACCCACCGAGAGCACTTCCTAAATCTTCAGGCAAAGGAGCCAAAGCTTGTTCTAATATGAGATGTTAAAACTCACTGGAATTCCGCCTTCTTGATGCTCCGGCGTGCAAAACGTCTACAGACTACCTATAATAGATACTGCACTAAGTCTGGCGCTTAAGGTCTTATACTTAATTTAGATAAATAGTGTGACGTCGCCAATCTATTGTATTCGAATCTAGCTAATCCTGCATACAAAGGTGCCTGTCGACTGAGAATATTGAGCATGGGAGAAGAAAGGAAGAAGCAGCTTTACTCTTTGAAGTTATTTCCAGATACGGCACCGCTAGGGTTACCGCTCGGTGCCCTAAGTATCCAAAAACGGAAGCCGAAGCTCACTCAGCTATTCTATTATCACACAACCTGCCTCTTAAACACTAAGAAAACGACTATTCATTCAGTCTTTGCTATTTATAACCTGTTATTTAGCCATCTAGAAAACTCAATCACACAGCTCACACGTAAAAAGGCAAAATAGAAGGCAACCATACTACCCGCCCTTAGGCATTTGCTACAATTATTGCGCCCCATTATAAGCTCTAGTTCTTCGCAGGGAAAGATTAGGATGAGAAATTCCATACGCAGTATCGCAAAAGCATAGAGAAATATTTCAAGCCTTATCAACAGCAATATCTAGAAGTATAGGCTACACAGCCTGCATCATATATTTAATCCTCAGCCGCGCATATCTCCGATCTTGACATAGTACTCACTTCATAATTACCTCTTCAACCAGAGACCGATACAAATAACAAGCTCACACAATATCTTAGAAGCAATAAGCTATTTTGCATTCCCTTCTAACTCTTCTTTACTAATTGTCCATAGGTCTAATCAAACCGTGTAGTCTATATGTATTCTAGAAGGAGAATGCGCATAACTTCCCAGTACTCGCCCGTCTTGCCTAGGATGTTCTTGCTGTTCCTGCCACTGGTTTAGGTGAGGAATAACTATTCAACTCAGTTCGTGATATCTGCTATTACTGCCAAGGATCTTCAGAGTCAAAAATAATCTAGGATCTAATAATGTTTATGTGTATATCTAGGTTTGAGATTGAATTTGAACAGCTTGCCTTATTAGAAGAGTATATCTCCACACAAGAGATTCAGACGCGGACTAAGAAAAAGGCTGCTAATAAAGTTCGAGACTCTAAGTTTAATCTAATAAGTGATACGGAAAAAGATCCCTGGGATATTCCAAATCAACCAACACAACCCCTAACCGCAGTTGCGCTTGGTAAGAGACCTCAACAGACAGCTCCTATGATTGATCTGGAGGAGGAGGAAGAAGAGGAGGAAGAAGAGGAAGATGAAGAAGAAAATGAAGAGGATGGGTTTCCCTAGCCTGATAATACCCACCTGTGTGACCAGAGCAGTACTCAAAGGCGTAAGTCAGGGCGAGTTACAAAGCACTCCAAACAGGATGATGATCAATAGGAGTGTCTAAAGCCGTAGATAGAGCAAATAGATAGTATTTGAGCTTAAAATTCATGTTGTCTAGTGTTCAGTTACGAAAATTATGTCGTGTCAGTCCTGTCTAATCTTTTATCACTATCTTCCGTTCTCCGCGTAATCTAACACAAAAAACAGACTAGATCTATATAAAGTTATGCAAATCACAGGACTCACCTATTTGTATTGTTTGTGGAACCTGAGATTCAACTCCAAAGTCTTGGACCAAGAACCTGGCCTTGGCAGTTCCGAACTGGATCGACCCTAGAGGGTCGCGATTCCTATATGTCGGAATATCAATCTCATGATTCGGCGCTTCTGCACCCCGGTGCAGAAGCAAGCACGTACGTACGGGAGCGGGATAACGTTATCCCTAGCGCCCGTACGGCAACCTCGTATATAGCTACCATGACACCCCGGGGCCCCCTACTTTCTCTGAGTTAGGCTTTATAATATCGAATATCATATATATACAGCTTCACCCTTGACAGGCTTGTCGGACTAGCCTTGCTACCGTCTATGCTTCGTGATACGGACCGTAGTTAAACCGACACTATATGAGGCTCAATCCCCCTAGATAGATTTTCTTCCTTTCCTTGCACTTGGTTATCTAGTCATAGTTGGATAATGGAATCTTAGATTGAGCCTTCACAAATACAGCCCGGATATCCCCACTCGATAACTATCTATTACCATTCCTTTCCTCATGCTTGGTTTTTTATCGGTGTTCATCTTTGACCTGGGCTGCCCTCACATCGGGAATTGTTAAGGACACCACAGATTTTCACTAACGTAATCCACAAGCGAGTTGGCCATTTTTCCCGAAAACCGCTCTATATTGATTTCAAATCTCAATTTCTAACCACATACAAATTATATACAAAAGAATTAACTCCTAGCACGATTAGGACATCCAGTTATTTTATGTCCTTCAATACCGCAACCACTGCAGCGAAATTGACGTCGTACAGGTAGATGAGAGACTGGGAGCTCAGGCTCGGCCGGAGCAGTAGTAACAGTTTGAGATGCCTCAATCTGACCTTGTACAAGTGCCTGAGCTTCCTCTCTGGTAATTCCATGATCATGGGATATTTGCTTTTTAGATTTTTGGCGTTTTTGCTTCTCCTTCTCATGTGCAGCCCGTAGATCATGGAGTTCCTTCTGTGCAATTGTAAGCTTATTAATACTCATCTCATAAGCCTTTGATGCCCGTGTAAACACTTCACCAATAGCCTTAGATGAACTTCTTGTATGCCAGCTTATTCTCTTCTTCATTGTAGTCATTTGGCGCTTAAATTGACGTGGGTTTTGAGGGGTTTGCAAGCAGGATGATTGTGTATCACTTGATCGACTTGGAGGGGGTGTTGGAGTCTTCAATCGAACAGTAAGCTGTTGATAAACTCAATCTAGATTAATGGTACTAATCCAGTTGCTGTAAAGCTATTCCGAACAGTTTGAGCTTTGTATACCATCGTACGAGCCTTTGGGAATGCAGTAAGAAAGTCAAGTTTATCAATATGATTGAATCCAAGCCTCATTCGCTGCTCAACAAGCTGTCCATAATGTCGCTTTAAAACAGCAAAACAGCCAACATCAAGAGGCTGTAAAAGATGTGAAGAATGAGGAGGCATACAGACTGGAATAATATTATTCTTAGTGCATGTATGGTCAAATTCAGCAGTTAAATGGCTTCCATGGCCATCAAGAATCAACATCCAATATTTTCCCGATGTACGGCCATCAATAAGAGGAATAAAATGAGTTTTAAGCCATTCTAATCCAATCTTATCTGTCGTCCATCCATTATCGCTAATATTGATTTTCCAGTCGTCTGGAAGATCCTCAAACCAGCCTAGTCGAGTGTATTTCTTTGCCTTGAAAATAATGTATGAAGGCAATGCCCATCCAATCGAATTAACTGCCTCAATTGCAGTTACCCATTCTCGGTCACCAGGCTGTAATATATTTGGACGATTATATCGATCACTTCCAGTGATAACCTTTGCAGTCGCACAGAGTCCCATAGCGAAGCCAGTCTCATCAAAATTGTAGATATCTTCTGGCAAGATTCCATACTCTAATATAACCTCTCGTACGCGATCAAAATATTCTTGGACTATCTTTGGATCTTCACATTTGGCGCGTTCATAGTTATATTTCCGTGAGAATTTTGATTCAATCTCTGGGCGACGTTTGACAAGATTGTATTCCCAGTTTTCTCCAACATATTGGTTTCCGCGTTGTGAAAGAAGATAATCAGCCATCTCCCGTACAAGAGAGTGTCGAGGAGGTAATCCACGTTTATCTAGATCTAAGATCCATCTAACAAGCGATTCCTCCTCAGATTGAGTTAATTTATGGCCATTGGCGCGTGTTTCAGCTCGATATGCCATGCCATGTAGTCTGTTTTGAAGTGTTGACCGTGAGACATTATAGATCTCTTCTGCTTTTCGTATAGAGGCGTTTTCGGGAAAAGTGGCCAACTCGCTTGTGGATTACGTTAACTTAACCGCACCATAACTGATTACCTAATATTAGTCGTTATGTAATCTCACTAAAGTTACATTCCGTCAAGTAACCTATAACGGTCATCCTTTTTGGAGGCAGAATATAGCAGCAGAAGACCAATCTGAGTACCTACCACTACTCAAACCTCAACTGCCTATACCGAAGGCAAAAAGATCAGATAAAAAGGGTGGAAATCCAGATAAACAAGGTGTTGAAAAGGGGACTCCAACTGCATCTGCAACGGGCAAGAAAAAAGCCTCTTCTAAGTGCTCGAACCGCAGGGTAATTGGGCATACAATTAGATCGTGCAAAGTATAACAATTTCAATCAATCTGCATGCCAAGTTGAGGCATCTTAATCATATAAAAATTGACCAAATTATCAATTCAACTGCGGGAGTGCGCAGTTGTAGTGAGATTATATAATGACTAATAAGTTGTGGTGCGGTTAGTGAAAATCTGTGGTGTCCTTAACAATTCCTCCTCACCTCACATGCCTGATTAATTTGATTATCTTGCACTATTCGTGCTGACTATTTACATAGTTTGGAGCGAGAACGAACCCTAACGGTACATACTATTTTTGTATTGGCTCTGGGCGCTTAATGTACATTTATCCGTCTGATTGATATGTTTATATAGTTCAATCATTCATAAAGTAGGATTGATATTACATTGGCATTCAACTTCGTTATAGCCAGTCTGTACTTAGGTGGTACATATGTAAAGGGAATGGGTGGCGGCCTTGTCTTCCTTGCTCACAACTCCATGGGTGCTTCTACACGCGTGATAAATCAGGCCAATCCCCAGCGACAGACTTCGCTCATACGTAGTCTCAGACAAAGATAAATATCCGCTTTACACCAGGCTAGCGTCGCTGTCCGTGATATCAGGAATCCCCCCTAAGCCAGCGTCACCAAGATAATAGAATGCACTTCCGCACCCAAAATCTCTGGGCCATTCTTCAAAAGCATCCGTTGGGAATTGAAGAGGCGGCGGCGAAGGTCCAGATGGCCATGATGTTGTGGTGGTTGGCATTCCGGATGAGGGGTATATAATGGGAGGTTGTAATGATCTGGGGTCAGGATTCGTTGAGTAAGAATGATCGGCGTTTGAAATACGCTTGTTAACAATGTTCTATCTCCAGGCATCAGCTGGTTGGCACTGCTAAATCAAGTATTAGGGAGAGACCTTACTGCAACATCCTGATCGTCCTCCTGTGATGGCGTCTTTTCCGCGATGCACGATACACCAGCTGGTAGGGCGCTGTGCAGGACATGATTCTTGGTATTCGTCTTTCTCACCTCCTCCATGGCTCTGTCGGTTTGTTCAACGTGTTCTCGGAGTTTGAGGGAAATGTTGACATCAGGGGTCAGGGCAGCCTGCAGGCTATCGATGAGATCAGCCATTGCAAGAATAGCTGAGCGAACCTGCAGATACATCCATGGAGATAATGGGCTGTGAGTAATAGAGCCGAGGAGGTGGCCTACGCCAGCGAGGTGGTGAAGCTATACAGTGATTAATCAGTCCGTGAGCTCAAGGAGTGATGGAATGTAAAGGGAGAAAAAAAATCAAATCTTCGCAAGAATAACACGCTCAGTCAGAACGGGGGTGAGCAGTTACAACTCACCATCGCTGTAGAAGTAGCTTGGACATATATCGTGGGAATGGATGACAAGTTGTCAAGAAGCTCACCAGCCATAGCGCATCGCTGAGCGAGGGTGTGATCCTCTGATCTAGTAAGGACCATCTTGACTGTCGTCATAGTGATTATAATGTTGGCAGCTATGATAAGATCAGTCTATTTCATGATTGTTAGGATATTGGAGGGTAGAAGGCAATCCTCGACCTTGGAAGCCATATCGATCCCCGATGATATCGCCGGTCATGGGACGAGCGGTTTTAAGCTCGGTAGGAAGAGATTCCCAGTCTTGCTGTGCAGTTAGCAACATATCATTTTCGCTTACACGATCTCTGTTCGCATTCAGATTGGCGAATAGCAGGCCAAGATTGCTACCTGGTCGTGTCACGTCGGTCTCTCTCGCCCGCCACAACTCGTTCATGTGCTCAAGAACACGATAGAGATCTGTAACAAAGTTCCAGCCCCGGATGAAGGAAACAGCGCCGTTGGTAATAGGCGCAATTCCCGTCTCTGTAATCTCTTCGTCGTCATAAACTTCCGTCGGATACCTGACGCAACAATACGACTCCCGTTGCCGCATTGGGCACCCAAAGGTGACGGCCAAATAAACATCAAAATGGTAACATTGCCAGAACTATGTTCCATCTTCACAATTAGATGCCACTATATATCTGTTGGTCATAATCCGGACTTACAAGGCGCCGGCGCTCCTGTACCTCGATCTCCGTGAGCGTTGAGGGCCAATTTGCCTCATCATGGAACCCTGTTTCAGCAGACATGGCTAGATATCGATGCAAATGCCCGAGACATCCGCCGAGATCATTGTACTGAAGGTCAAGCATTCCGAGTAAAGCTTCAGTTCGCATAATATTGAAGTCTGGCCCGACCTCTTTCAATTGATTGAGTGTATCCATGCATTCTTGATAGAATACCTTCGATGGCGGAATCGAGGCAAAGTTGAGATTCAGTGATGAAGGAGGAAGAGGTGCTTTCTCCTGTATGCGCGCAGACGCAGTCGCACATACGGCCATGGTCAGAGCATAGAGAGAGCGGTCATGACTGTAACGTTTGGCGCAAAGATTCTGTGAGAAGGTGGGCCAGTGGAAGTAAAGGAGACTGCAGGTAGACATAAGTAATAAGCTAAAGCAAATGTGACGGGATTTCTCGGCGGGAAGAAAGGAGGAGTATATACATGGGATAAACAACACGATAATAAAAATCGGCTAATTGCAAGATGGTCTCGTGGTCTGCGACCTCACGATACCCTGTATGTGGAGATGAGTCCTGAACTGGCTGGAATGATGATGACGCTGATGCTCTAACACCAGCAGTAGAACGAGAACCTGGAGCAGGCTGATCATGTGAATATAAACCACAAACATAGTAACCGTTGCAAGAATGAGATGGGATACATACACCACGACGCTTGGCTGGGCGATTATAACTGCACGTTGAGCCATATGAGACGCATTGCGCACAAATTCCAGGACTACTGCTGGGCGTGCACTACCGGCATTAATTAGCTGATTGCAGACAGGGTTTTATGCCATGAAGCCTACTTTCACACCTCGGCCATGACACTGGTCGCAAGCTCTCTGATGAAGGGAAGTTAGCTTCCATGCTACTAGACAAACGCAGAGAGTAGCTGACAGTTATACGCCGCCGAGTCATTGATATCCTCATCGCGGATACATCGGCCATCGTGGAAAGAAAAGTCTGCGGCAGTATTAGAAGTGGGCCTGCTGTTGCTTGAATTTCTATTTCGTCTTTTTCATCCTTTTAGTTCGTTCTAAGGCGTCTGTTCCACTCGGGACAGTTCGATTGAAGTCTGTGGCGGAGAAAGTATTGGCCGATTCCGCCTCAACTACAAGTACATGAACAAATGAGGTTTATCCTAATCTTAGCTAAGTATATACTCTTTCCTATAGATCTATAATATATTTATTATTACTATATAGTATTTAGATTCTTTAAATTAGTACATTAGAGATTCCTTATTAGAGGTGTTAGTTTGTAGATGATTTTAAAGACTATCTTCTTTAAGTATATGTACAGTACTCTATGTTCTTTACCTATAACAGCACGCATAAGAATGATGTTCCCTGTAGATAGTATTCTTTTTCTTCTCAAGCTTCAGTCTTTGTATGTTAGCAACAGTACCTTTGTTAATGAAGATTGAACACACCGAACGACCTTCTGCCATATTGATAATCCTCCTGTCCAACCCTTGGATTAACCTCCTATTACATTACTAATGGGAGGATTGCCTCGTTTTCCGCTGGTTTCAGTAGCGGTGCTCAAACCCCGCGAGCGAGGCGAGGGCAGAAGGCTTGTGGGAGTATTTAGGATTTATGAACTACTGAGAACTTGAGGTATTGGATTGTATTAGTGCATCTCTGGCACAGCTTTCCATACATAATGCGTATAGTGCAGACTCTAGTAAGGGGTTACTTACTTATAGAGAGGTAAAGTGAACATCCAATTGGTTTATACGCTGCTATATCCACCGTATAATCTTACTGTCACTTACTAATCGAACATGTTATTTGGAAGTGACTAGATTGACAATTAACTGAGCTAGCGGCTGTACCTCTCAGACTCGGAGAGAGATGCAGAGTTTTCTCCCACACTATCTACATCTAACTAGCTCCAGAAAATATTGAGTCTTTGTAAACCCCTCTTCGGTATTCGCAATGGCTCTGGGTTGGCGTGGGCGTTGTCGATGAATTCTCGAATGGGAATCTCTGCCAACCCTGGTATTTTCGTTTTCTTTATCCATTTGTATCCAAAGTACAAAGTAACCACAATGGGGATATTGAGGTAAGACGAGACAAATGTCTGCGTACTCCAGTGACCATGGAGGAAGGTCGTGTAGCCATTAGTCAACACGATGCAGATGAAAAAGGTCAGCACGACCCATGTGAAGTAAGGCTGGAACGGCGCTGCCCAGGGTAGCTCCTTGCGATCAATGTTTTGGGCTTTGCATCCGTAGTAAAGACGAAGGTATGTCGCCAGGATCACAATCCAATTGACCAGAGTCGAAATGGATACCAGGCTCTGCAGCCACTGGAATACTGTGGATGAGGTACTTGAGAGAGACATGTATCCAAGAGCAATAAAAGTGCCTAGGAGAGTCACGGGGACCCAGGGAATTTGAAAGCGATTAAGACGCAAAAAGGCCTTGGGAGCCAACTTTCTCTTAGCGAGTCCATACATTGCTCGGCTACCGTACAGCATGTTGGAGTTGGCCGACGACCAGGCTGAAGTAATGACAATCGCGTTGATGATGTGCGGAACCACCTTGACTCCGGCAGAGTTGGCAGCGATGACAAAGGGGGACTGGGATGCAGTGCCGGTCTGATGGAGAAGCTCGGGGCTATCAGATGGAACCACAAGCGAAACCATGAGGATGGAGATGACATAGAAAAGCAGAATTCGGATGAAAATGCGCTTCGCTGCAATGGGGATGTTCCGCCGTGGGGACCTCGTCTCAGCCGCCGCGTACGTAAAGGATTCTATGTTAGCATAGCTGTATGCAGCATTGGTCAACGTGGTCCAGAATCCCATGAAGCGGCCCAAGCTTCCGCCATATCCTAGATATTGGTTAAAAGGTCCAGGATTGCTCCAGTAACGGAACCCGATGCTCTGATGATTTGGCCCGCCACCGCAGGTGATAACCAGAGCCATAAGATTCACGCCTAAGATAAGGAGGATTTTGAGCCAGGCAAAGAAAAATTCAAGTTCGCCGTAGACCCGGACGAAGACAATCACGCTGGCGATGATGATGGTGCCGAAAACAGTAATCCACTATAATGTGATGTGATGCAAATCCCCTAATTAGCTTGGAAATCGATTTCATAAGTGAAAAGTGTCATTAGAATAAAACGGAAAGGAGACCGTGAAGACCTACGATGGCGTTGTTAACAGTGACCCAGAATTCGACCAGCACGGAAGCTGCAACGATCTCAGCGGGGGTGCCGATGAGGAAGCCATACACCACATTCCAGCCATTGGCAAAGGCGAGTGCAGGATCAAACCACAGATCGGCGTAGCGGATGATACCACCGCTTAGGGGCACAAGAGCGCCCATCTCGCCAATAGCGAGACAAACAGCGCAGACCGCGATGCCCATCAAGCTGTATCCGAGGAAAGCACCAGCAGGGCCTGCATTGTGAATAGCAAGACCAGATCCGAGAAACAGTCCAGTGCCGATACATCCAGCCAAAGCGATCATCTCAATGTGTCGATCATGGAGACCCTGTCTGAGGTCTTGTCGTTCCACAAAGGTCTCCTCTGTTGAACCTATGGCGGGCTTCGGGTCATGTTCAATTGTCTGTCCACTGTCGTGCATTTTTTCCTCCATCGTAGGTAGAAGATGGGTTTTCTTCAGTCAAAGGAGGTAGAAAATCAATATCGTGGCAATTACCCAGTACCTATTGAGAAATGCTATCAGTGGTCAAGAAGAACGAAGAATGCGGTATTGCTGATTCTCTGTGGTGAAACAAGTCTACGTTATGCACGTTTATATAACAGAAAAGGTACATGGGCCTATGGGGTAGGGAATGAGGCAAATGAAGTCCTCTCCAGACTCTCCGCAAACTATAAACTGCCATGGAAAGATAAGAAATACACGCGGGAAAGCTTAATTTGGAGCTGTCGCCTGATACCGTGCTATAAATTTCAAGCCCATTGCACATGCTGACACAGATAGATTCGGCTAAAATAGTCCGAGCCAGTTTAACAGAAAGGATATAAACGCCAAGCGAGTTTAGCAGATAGAATCGTTAATGACCCGTACCCAGTTCATTATCTGTCGAAACCTCAATCTGCGTACATGGATTGTGGCAAAGAGTCATTTCAGAAGTTCTCACTCTAGAGCTTGTGCAGTAATTTCAAGATAACAGGTGATCAGACGGGTACTCGGTTAAATAGTCGGAGCTAGTTTAACAGAAAGGTTAGAGAGGCCAAGGAAGTTTAACAGAGCCACATCTACTTTGCTATAGCTTAACTAACAGCTCAATATAGGTATATGGATTGCAGCAAGGAAGAAGGGCAAGAATCATCTTAGGGATTCTCTCCCCGGAGCTTGTGAGCACAGTTGACTAATTTTCTAAATACGCTAAAGAATAAGCGCAAGAGCACAAAATGGCCAATTTCCACGTTTCGCAACGGGGAGCATATAATTTGAAGTATCGAGATAATTTCGAGGCTCAATCCGCGCGACACCAAGAGCTATGGACGCCGACCAACCCAAACGGACGGTAATTGTTGTCTTCTGGCCAGTCAATGCCTCAGTTAGAAATGAAGAGCTGACCCGATTTCTAGCATTTTCATGGATGTTGCCGAGAACAGCCTACTACATGACGAGGTAGCAGATTTCATTTCCCGCAAAGTACGTACCCCCCTCATCTATCTAAGGATAGATATTCGCTCATAAGCTCATGCAGATCAAGATCGAACCAAACGATCACCTAACTTATGGCAGTGGCCCGCGCGGCTCATTGCGCCTCAAAAAAGCAGCAGCATCTTTCTTGGAGAATAGTTTCAAGGGACGTGATCCGGTAAAGAGTGAAGATATCCTTGTGTTTCCTGGACTTGCAGGTGCTATAGACGCGGTGACATGGGCCATCTGCGACGAGGGGGAGGGGGTTCTGGTCTGTCTCCCTATGTATAATGGTTTCAACGTGGACATCCCTACTCGAACCGGTGCAGTTGTGGTTGAGGTTCCTTTCCATTCTGTGGACGGCTACTCCGGTCTCGAAGACGTATTTGACCCTGACACGAATCGAAGAGCCCTCGAAGCCGCAATGGATCACGCAAAGAAGAATGGTGTTAGTATTCGGGCCTTGTTGATTTCTCAGTAAGCAATATACGCTGCCTATAGTCAAAGCTCAAGGGAAAAAACAAGGAAAGAAAGCTGAATTTATCCAATAACAGACCACACAATCCTTTGGGCAGATGCTATGTTAGTGGTCTCTATGCAGTCTAATCCCTTCCCTATGGAATATATGCTAACTCGACACGTGAATATAGCCTCAAGAAACCCTCCTTGAGATGGCCGCTTTCTGTGGCCGGAACGGGATTCATCTCATCTCGGATGAGATTTACGCCCACTCAGTATTTGACAACCCGGCCCTTCATCACTGGCCTGTCTTTACCTCGATACTTGCACTTGATATTTCCAGCCATATTGACAAAAGCATGGTACACGTATTATACGGCGCAAGCAAAGATTTTTGCGTGAATGGGCTTCGCTTAGGGCTTCTCTATTCCAGGAATGCCGCTCTTCTTGGAGCCATTTCGACAAACTGGTATGACTGATTGCAAGATTTGGAGTTGTAAAACAACACAGATGCACAGATTGCTTACATGTCACAATCGCAGTGTGTTCTCATGGGTTCCCCATATTGTTCAAGACATTTGGGCCTCTATGCTTGAGGATCACGAATGGAGGAAAACGTTTTTTGCTAAGAATCAATCTATAATGGCTAATAACTATGCCCTTGTCATCAAATTCTTCAAGGAGCAAGATATCGGCTTCTTTCATATGTGAGTGCCCATTAAGTTTTGGCTTTCACCTTAAAAGTGCAGAATCAAGTATCTGACATGTTGGTTCGGAAATAGGAACGCAGCTACGTTTGTTTGGGTAGATCTTCGGCGTTATATGCTGCCACGAAACATGCGAAGTCGTGACGCATACCCTATGCTTCAAGTGACCGATCCAAATGTTGGTCTGTATCTAGAGCGAGAGGCCAAAGTTATACGGATCTGCTCTCGAAACGGTGTGATGATCAAACCAGGAAGTGCCTACAAGACTGAGGAGCTGGGCTGGTTCAGGGTTACCTTCACTCTCCCCGAGCACGTTCTCCTTGAAGGGCTCCGTAGGATTCGGAAGTCTCTGAAGGAAATTGAAAAGTTGGGTGGTGACAGTACTAGACTGTAGGAATAAGGGGCTATTGCTAGTCAAAATAAAATTGATATCAGGTATTTACAAATTAGGATAATTATTGCAACTATCAGAGTTACATGGTATGATATGCGGTGTAAATATTTGACTTCCAAGGTTGTCAAGTAACGTACCTATCCTCAGTCAGGGACTTCTTCGCTGTATCCATTATTTGTTGTTGAAAAAGGGTCTGTCTACCTAGCGGTAACACCATATATACCTTGCGCGATATGCTGTCAACACGTACACGGGGGTATTGAGAGAGACTAATGGTTTCTAGCTAATGTCGAAACGCTCAGAGACCGGTTCTTGCATCATGGCCTTGAGACACATCTGACTCGTTGGTGCAAGGCACATCACAACAATATAAGTGCTGGAAGTGCTGGAAAATCACAGCGTCTGTAGACTGTGTCTAATAGCGCAGAGATACACTGCAAAATCAGTAAAGCCATTATATTCCACTAATACGACTTGAGCCTGAATTTGAATTCCTTTACGCGCACTAAAGCAGAGAAACGATATCTATCGCAAACAAGTCTACCGCGGCGGGCACTGATGAGAACTATTAGCGAGAAAAGAGACCATTGTGCAGCAATGCGGTCAAATAATATCCGATACTCGATAAAGGATTTTCTTTAGTGAAACAGGACTATTTTTAAAATACACAAATTATCATTTCAAGTAGTCAAGCCACTTGTGTTGGAGCGACAGCATGGTGTCCAACAATTCTTCGGCCTTATCGACATTGTCCACAACCGGATCGAGAAGGAGAGCTTGTAGTGCTGCCTTCTTCGACTTTGAAAGCACTGCCTCGGTGGTCATCTCGTTAACAGGCATCTGGAGCCTCAGTAAGCCCGCAAACGCCTTGGGGTAGGACTTGAACTTGTAGCCGTGAATGCCGTCCTTGTCAATAGTAGCTGGGACCTCTACCATCTGGTTACGGGGAAGGCTCTCGATAAAGCCGTCGTTGGCAATGTTGACGGCCATCTCAAAGTGGCCTGTGTTGTTCACGATGCCTTCAATGATGGGCACTACGCGCCAGTACTCTGAGGCAGGGGTTCCCTCAGCAACACGACGCTCAGCCTCGGCGAGGTTCCCAGTTGTGTCTGACTTGTAGCTGTTGTAAAACTCCATGATTCCACGATGGTCGACGGCGCTGGCGGCCCAAGGGATATACTCCCCAAAGTGGCTGTCGGTGGTGATTGGGAGATGGTCGAACTTCTTCAGAATGTGCTGGAAGAGACGACGCTCGCCGATATATCCGAACACAGCGGGAGCTTTCTCGAAGTAGGCCGGAGCTTTCTCACGAATATCAGGGTATGCGTCTTTGCCAGTATCCTTGTACTTAGCCTCGACTAGGACGCTGAAGTGGTTGAAGCCACCCGCCTTGATGTCTAGATTGTCCAGGGGAGTGTTTAGAACCTGTGGAAGATGTTCCAGGAGCGAGTAGACTTCATGGCAGATGCCGACAACCTTCATTTCTGGGAATCTGGTATGAATAGCGTGCATAATGCGAACCATTGGGTTGCTCAGATTGAAGACAAGGGCTTTCGGGCAAATTTGCATGATCCGTTCGCAAATGTCGAGGATCGGTGGAATGATACGCAGGGCATGGAACAAACCACCAGGGCCACCGTTCTCGCCATAGACTTGTTTGATCCCGTATTGCATGGGGATCTTCCAGTCTTGCTCCCAGAGCTCGTGTCGGTTACCGACTTCGATGGAGATCACGACAAAGTCCGCTCCTTTAAGAGTCTTGTCGAGACTGGTGTATGCCTCGATGGTGAACGGAAGATTGTTCTTCTCAATGTGGTTTTGCGCAACTTTCCTGACCGATTCGAGGGAGTCGTGGTTGATATCATTGAGGACGAGTGTACTGCCAGCCAGCACCTTGGACTTGAGGACGTCGCCAATGGCACCAAGCCCAAACATGGCGCTGCCGGCACCAATGAGAGCAATTCTAGGACTCATGGTGTCCAAGCAGTATGATGTTCACTTTCAGGAAGGGTGGAGACGGGCGTTGCAGTGCTTAGAATCTTTGATATGGTGGTCTAACAACAATAAACTTGGAAACTCTATCTCTAGGGTACCAGCTGCTTTTTATACACAAAATGCGGAGTGATTCCAATAGAGGTTTGCCCACAAGATACAGAGATTTACAAGAATAGAAACTAGGAATGCTTGCATGCACAGAACGGTGGGAGCCTGGGATTACCAACTTCGATCGGTCTCTACCCCCAGGCCCACTACACCCCATGACGCATGGGGACACACTGTTAAACTGCTATAGACTCCTATCGTCGGCCAAATTACGTTGAGCTTTCGTGCTTGTGGAGGTTGGGTATAGCATCTCGGTTAAACTGCAAAACTGCAAAACTGCAAAACTGGCCTCAGGAGACTTTTGGACCAACATTGTGGACATGAGTAACGGACCAATGTAAGTTCACAATCGGATAGACATTGGATGCGGATATCATCGAGCAAATACGGGAAAAAAGTGACCACTTCATATATTTCTCAGCAGTGGGAGCAACCTTGGAAGGCATCAGCTCTGAGAATAGTTCGGATTATCGAAACTCATACGCCTTGACGAAACCATGTCGAGCCCGGACTCCTTTGAGCCTTTTTCTTTTCTTCGAACCGGAGCCGTTATCCAATCTTGGGATATAGAAGGAACAAACATTGTTCTTGGATTTCCTACCGAAGAACTTTACCAATCACACAATGACTACTACTTTGGCGCGACTCTAGGCCGCGTAGCTAACCGCATTAAAGGCGCTCGACTTACCAATTTAAATGGCCGAACTTATACCCTCCAGCCGAATGAGGGTAATAATATCCTCCACGCTGGTGTTAACAGTTGGGGCCACAGAACCTGGGAAGGGCCCACGAAAGTGGCTGCGTGCAAGATCGACGGCCTTGAAGGAGTCACCGGCGAGCAGAGCGTCCAATTTCAACTTTTAAGTGAGGATGGTGATGAAGGCTTTCCGGGGACGGTGCTGGCTACCATCGTGTATACTGCAGGCTGGCAGATTACCTCCCAAGGGGAAAGAGTTAGTGTGTTGGAATTGGCCTATGAAGCCGAGCTTATCGCGAACGCGGAGGAGACGGTGATTAATATGACTAACCACTCGTGCGCTCTTCAATCCCTGGACCCGCTTCTTCTATGAATTCTACTGACTGGGGTGTTTGTAACTCACTAGATACTTCAATCTTACCGACACTTCTACCATAACTGGGACCCAAATGTCGACATGCACTACACAACATCTTCCAAAAGACTCTGAAAACATTCCTATCTCAGGACCAGCTCCTTTTCCTGGCCTGGAGGCAGAGAAACCCTTTACAATCACCGAAAGTTGGCCTATCATCGACCACTGTTTTGTCGTCAATACTTCCCCAGATACTGTCCCTCTGGACACTCGCTCGTTGGCACTACAGAAGATGGTAGAGACATACCATCCCGACAGCCACATTCACCTTGAGGTATGGGCTACGGAGCCAGCTTTCCAGCTCTACACAGGCGAGAACACTAATGTCCCTGCGGTAGGGGGGTGTCCTGCTAGAGGTGCCAGGAGTGCATTCTGTGTGGAGCCTGAACGCTATGTAAATGCCCCTGAAGTGGAAGCCTGGCGAAGGATGGTTTTGTTGAGAAAAGGAGAGATCTACGGCAGCCGGATCGTATACCAGGCATGGAAAGACCTAAGAGCCTAGTATATAGAGGAAGACATGATTTGATTTTTCATAATCGAAATTTATGAAGCCATTACAGTTTCTTCTGTTCTTTTCCTTTTTAGAAAAAATCGCAATTTTTGGTTCTTATTGCCCACCTCTTGTGTCCACTTCAACCTTTGTTAACTCGGAGCCGATGAAAGCGCGACTTCTAGGAGTACTCTGATCTCTAATCCCTGAGCAATAGGGAATCTACAAGCAAACCAAATTTATGTACTATGTGATCAAGGTGCAGTGTCAAAGGTGCATAGTGCATACGAATCTTGCTTGTATGACTGTCATTCGTATTTATTGATCGGAACTGTAAACGAATCGGCCTTGGGCTCTTGAGTGATAAAGTCTATTCCACGAGATATATGTCGCATACAGAAGAATTTTTAAAAGACTAGAACGAAGCAATGTGCCGAGGCAGGAGTGGATAGAAGAGGAAATAACGTCAGAAGTGTACCTCAGATGTCCCAACCACTCGACTCAATAATTGTACTCGCCCTGCGTTGGCTGTGCAGTCTCGCTCCTTTCTTTCTTTTCATTTGATTCTATTGTGCAGACAAGGTATTGCATTGCTTTCACCTCATTGAGTTCCTGGCCGAGACCCGGAGCATTCGGAATTGTAAACTGGCCTTGCTGAGGTTGATAATCGTTGACGCACAGCTCTCGAATACACGGCTTCAGAGCATAGGTGTGATGCTCATGGATGATGAAATTGGGAATCACGGCTTCCAAGTGTAGCGACGCCGCTGTCGACACAGGTCCACCACAGACGTGAACCTGTACGGTTGCATCGTACAGGTTGGCAAGATCGCAGATTTTCTTCCCTTCGGTTATTCCGCCCACTAAGCAGAGATCGGGTTGCACAACTGCCAATGCCTGCTTCTCCAGCAGCTCGCGGTATCCCCATCGCGTGTAGGACCGTTCGCCTGTGGCCAGGGGGATCGTAGTCTTCTCAGCGATCCGGGCGAAATTGTTCGCGTTAAGTGGATTCACAGGCTCTTCGTAGAACATAATGTTGTATGGTTCGAGCGCCATAGCAAACTGGATGGCGGCGTTGGTTCCAAGATTGGCATGGATCTCACAGATAATGTCCACATTGGGCCCGACTGCCTCGCGGATTGCGGCAATTCGCTCGACTCCCATCTGTATCTCGTCGTGCCGCAGGAGCCCAAAGTACTGTCGCTTGACGCCTGTGTCGGGAGTAACAGAACCGTCACGTCCAACCTGCAAGGGGTCAACCTTGATGGCATCGTAGCCTTCTGCTATGGCCAACCTGGCGCCCTCGGCATACTGTGATGGGTGAACGGCCAGCAAGGGTGTACCACCCCAGCCAAACTGGATCTGACTGGCGTAGGTGCGCAATTTATCATTGGTCTTACCGCCAAGTAGCTGGTATATTGGTGCCTTGAGGACTTTGCCGCGGATGTCCCAGAGAGCAATATCATACGCGCTGATGCCGCCATAAATGACGGGTCCGCCTCCCATCCCCCAGTAGGTGCGGCGATACATTTCCTCCCAGATTGCTTCGACATTCATCGGGTCTTTACCCAAGACAAAGCGAGCAAGATCGCGCAGAATTCCTACGGCCGCTTTGGCACCAGCACCATAAGCGAGCCCGACCTCACCCAAGCCAGAAATCCCCTCGTCTGTGTGAACTCTGACCATGACCGGGTTGAAGCCTACCAAACTGACCTCGCAGTCGAAAATTTCGATCTTAGTGACAATCATAGTCGCGATACTGGAGTGTGTATTTAAATCTTTCTGCTTACAACGATCTCCGAGGGACTTGTTCGGCAAATGATGTCTCCGTAAAATGCTACTTAGGAAGACCTCTGCCTAAGTAGGAGGAGATCAGGTATGAAAAGAGTCACGAGATGTGAACAAAAGCGTATGCATGAGTATGGCTATCCTCAGGTCGTATGAGCTTGTCTCTGTTCCGAAATGGATTTAGCATTCTACCAGTACGGTCTAACTTCAACGGTTTGGGAGACTTACCAGTTTAACAGTTTAACAGTCTATGAAAGTTTAATGTCCATCGAGATACCCACGAGAAAGCTTCTAATTAACAGAATCAAACAGGGCGGGTCAGGGCGCGGGATTCCTAAGAATTGAGCGAGGCGCCACTCAGGTATATGCCCATCCCCCCCGCAAAGTATGGGTGAAGTGTGGAGAGTTAGAATGGTACCGCTCTCCACAGTTAGACCTGGGGATATAGGCCAGTAGATTTGCGGGGAAGTGAGTGGTTAGGAGCACCATGCTGAATTTCACGAACCGGGTACGGGTTCATTTCTGTACCTTTACATATATCTAGCTGACACCTTGAATCCTCCCTAGTACTTGCTTTTCGGATATCAATATACACTCTGCGAATCACTGCCCCGGGCGCACGATCGACATCACAAGAGAAAAATGACCAAAGCTACTTTCGAGAGATTCTCCAGTAAGTTCATTGCAGATTTACAGCCGGCGACTACTCTTAAGACAGATCGCTTATTTCTGACACAGACAACACCAACCCCAAATGGTGGAAAGATGCCTGCCTCCGTATGAACGTCTTTTATTGTATAGGATGCATGATGTGTCCGGTGTACCTCGGGTGTAAGTTATCAGGTCAGGTATTGGCTACAGACTAAATATTCATTCAATCCACTAGATGATCAGTCGCTACTCGTTGGCCTCCAAGCACTGCCAAGGTGGAAAGAGTACTTCCACTCTCCATCAGGTCCTATGCTTGGTCTCATCACCTCGAGTATCATGCTCCCCGCCATCGTCTTCGGCTTTCCTGCCTCCTGGATCTGTATGCGCTGGGGTCACAGGTGGGCAATTATGACTGGCTGTATTTTGACCATAGTTGGTGCTATCTGGAACGCCCTGTCCCTGAGCAGAACTCACTTCATAGTTTGTGAGTCAAATAATTTTGTATCCCTATCTTTATCTGGACTATTTGCTTACGCCACCGTATCGCAGCACGTTTGATTGCTGGCGCAGGCGGTACTATATCGAAAGTGGGCGCCCCAGCACTTCTGCATGAGACAGCGCACCCCAGGCTACGTTCTCCACTAGGCTATATGTACTTTGCATGCTACTACATCGGCTCGATACTGAGCTCCATCATGAGCAGTGAGTATCTGGTTACGCCCATTTTCTTTTTCCCATCTTTATATTTCCGACAGCTTATACCAGCGTGATTTGCAGCAATTGGTCTTTACATTGAGGGTGAGTGGAGTTGGCGTCTTCCATGCTTGTTCATGATGGCCAGTCCTGTAATCATCTTGATGATTATGTTTTAAGCTCCCGAGTCGCCACGCTTTATGGTTAGTAAGGGCCACAACCAGAAGGCGTTGGCTATGCTTGCTCGCCACCATGCGAACGGCGATGAGAATGACGCGCTGGTTAAATGGGAGCTGCAAGAGATTGAAAGCTCTCTTGAAGACGAAGCACAAAATCATAAATCATCTTATGTAAGCCCAAACCGGCTGCGTTAGTTAACTTCTTTGGCGCTTAAACTAACAAGATTTGTCTTCTAGCTGGACTTTCTCAGGACGAAAGGCAACCGAAAACGTCTTGCTGTTGCTGCGGCGTTTGCCATCGGCGCAAATTGGCTTGGCAACGGTATTGTATCATAGTCAGTCCATATCCTCTCCTTACCTAAGTTGCCACTGAAGATCCTGCAGTGCTAAACAACTATAGCTACTTTACCCCGGTCTTGACTTCCGTTGGCGTCAAGAAGCCGATCCAGATCCTCTCGGTCAATCTGGGTCTCAATATTTGGAACTTGATTCTCGCTCAATATGCCGGCTTCAACATCGACAGGTTCGGTCGACGACCGCTCCTTTTCGCAGCAACGGTCGGTATGATTTTCTCCTATTCCTTCGTTATGGGCTTCTCGGCCGGGTTTGCGGAGACCGGAAGCAAGGCCTTAGGTATCTGCGCAATCCCATTCTTATTCTTCTTCTTCGGGTTCTATGACGTCGCCTGGACGCCCCTGAACTACTCCTATGCCACTGAGATCATGCCATACCATCTACGGACCAAAGGTCTGGCCATCTACAATACGATCCAGCAGTTGGGCAACTCGTTCAACCAATTTGTCAATCCAATTGCTCTCCAGGCCATAACTTGGAAATACTATGGGGTGTATATTGCCGTCGAGTGCCTGTATGTCGTTCTCATCTACTTTTTCTTTCCCGAGACCAAGAAGCTTTCGATTGAAGAGGTTGCGCTGGTCTTCGATTATGGCATGAAAGATGGCCGTGTCAAAGCTGCCGCCAATTTCAGAGATGAGTTCGTTGATGGTGGCGATGTCCTAAAACAAGTACCTAAGGTGGAACATAAAGAGTTTCTGGAAAAGCATGAATGCAATGGAGGTACTATTCGAGAAAATCGCATTTGACCGAATGTAGTTTCTTTATAGTATTTCCACGATTGACTCCCTTTGGATATCTCACCGGATCTCTCTGAGTTTATATTCTCTCGCTCACTAAGATTATATCGACATGCCAATAAGCAAGCTACGTTACCGAGTTAGCTGGTAGTTAATACCTGAATGAAATGAAGTGTAATAATCTTTTCTAGGCGCACTACGGTCTTACGCATAAACGCGTAAGACCTCAACAACAGGTGACCTGTTGCAGCCGCCAAACTATATGTAAAACACCGAATCCTATCTGGATTATGTCTTCAATATTCTTTTATAAGGAAATACCGTTACGGGCTAGTCCTACTTTTGTGAGACACTATAAGGTCACTTCAAAGTAGAAAGCACGTATTAGAAAGGATAGAAAGAGAAACAGGCAAGATATCACAACGTGTATAAACTTATATAAAGATCTAGGTCACTCGTGTGAGAATTCGGCGAATCGGGCTAATGGACTTTTTTCCTGGATCGCTCTCATCTGTGAGTCGGTTCGATATATCTGTCATATAATCTGGATATCCAATGAAACAGTCAATCAAAAGCCATCACTTTTCAGGAACATAGTCCCCAAGTTTACCCCTCGCGATAGCTTAAAAATATATCAACCCTACTTGCCGGATTCCATACAAATCAGCTCGCCCAAATGACTATATAAACCCTGCCTTAGAACGTCATGCATTCAGATATAGAGACAACTCAATACAGACAATCTTGCTAGTCAATTCTTCTTTTACCGTCCTCGTAAGCTATCGTATGAAGTGCGGCATACTAGATTCTTACTACTCAGGATTGGCCTGGAGTAAACCCACTAATCCGACAATATCTGGGGGCGCATGAATGGTTTCGGAATATTTTCTAGTGGAGAAACGTTGAAGATGCACTTGTTGGATTGGTGGTGGGTTTACTCTGGGCCAATCCTGAATAGTGAAGAATTCTGTATATTCAGTCAACCGTACGATGCTCCGGTCTTACTCCCGTCCGAGAACGGAAATGGATTTTGGTGACCTGCATTTTCGGGGACAAGTATAGAGGTAGTACGGAGTTATAAACCAGCCTACTACAGTAGAACCTCGCTATAACGAACAGAAGGCCTCTGTCGGGTCTAAACCAATATATCCAGAAGTGAATTTTGATCTAGAGATGAAAGGCACCTTTAATATACTTATCTATTCTGACGTTTATAAATAGAATGCTCTTCAGTCCCGTACTGAAGTAGTCCAAGCTGAGACCAGTGGAAATATGAGGCGACCTTTCTTTCGTTATAGCCAGGTTCCACTGTATAAGGTGCGAGATCACAGGTCATCTATTTATCTATCAACATTGAGTCATTGGCCTCAAGCGGATGCTATCAACAAAACCGCAGCTTCATACGGCTGCAACACTCAAGTCTCCTCCCCGAGATAATTCTCACTCACTCCATAAGTATTCAACAACACCTCCTTCACTTCTGCTAGCATATGCAGCTTCACGCCCCATTTCACCATCTGAACCGTAAAATTACAAATCACTAACGCCTTCTGATCCTGGTACTGCCGTGTATACACAAACAATTGCTCATTGCCGCGGTCAACCAACACAAAATCATCATAGACAAACACGCCAAGCCACTTTTTGCGTAGACTCAGAACTGAGCGCCAGTAGTTGTAGGCGGAGGTAGGGTCCGGTAATTGATTCTCGGCATTGATCTGTGTGTGATTTGGGTTGATGCTCATCCACGGTTTGACGTTGGCGGAGGTGAAGCCTGCGTTGGGACCTGCAGTCCATTGAACGGGGGTTCGGGCGTTGTCTCGTGATTTCTTTTGATATTGCTTACGGTAGCTGTTGAGGGCTTGGAGGTTGTCCGGTTCAGTCGCAAGGTGTCTGTTCAGTTGGTCAGTATGCTCCTAATGTATCTGTTATTGTAGGAAGTACCTCTTCCAATGGTTCAAGCAGTCAATATCCTGATACTCCTCTATGGCCACTCAGTCGGAACATTCCGCATCCCCAATTCCTGTCCCTGATATATAAAAGGTGTCCCTGCCATTAGTGCAAGACAAGTAGCTAACATTTTGCCCGCAACCACCGAATATTCAGGACTGGCATCAGTATACCGATCAATAGACCGCGGCTGATCATGATTCTCCCAATACAACGCATTCCATCCATCATTCTCATACATGAAAGTCTGCCATTTGTTAAGGATGCGTTTTAGATCTGTCAACTTCCAGTCTCCCTCGGCAAACTTGTCGAATTTCCCATGGTCGATATCGACATGCTCAAAATCAAAAATCATATTAATCTCTTTTCGGTCGAAGCGAATTGCTTTGAGGACGTCATCGATGGAAGATGCAAATGGCATTTCACCCACACTAAAGGCATCATACTCTTGAAGAATTTTCCCAATTTCTTGTAAGTACTCATGTAGTTGAGGACCATTGGCGTAGTAAGCATACCCCCATTGCCAAGGGGTATCCGGATCCATCGGAGGTGCATCTGGAAAGTCCTGATGTTTGCTAATGAAGTTGATAACATCCATACGGAAACCATCACATCCCTTGTTGAGCCAAAACCGTATAATATCATGTACGGCTTTGCGAACTGGGGGATGTTCCCAATTCAGATCTGGTTGTTCCTCTGCATAGAGATGGAGGTAATACTCTTCCGTCAATTCATCGTACTTCCACGCACTGCCTAGACACTTCAGATTTAGTATGCACTTCATTCTTGTCCTAGGAGTAAAGTACCCTGAAAATGAGACACCCAGTTATTTGGCGGATGCCTGTTTTTCTGCTCATCAAACCTAGGCGGCTTCCAGATATACCAATCCCTAAACTCATTATTCTCTTTTGACCTTTTGGATTTCTGGAACCATTCATGCTGATCACTTGTATGATTAACCACCAAATCCATCAGTAACTTCATTCCCCTCTCATGACAGCCACTAATTAGCTTGTCAACGTCCTCGACTGTTCCGTGTGGTGGATGGATACTGTAGTAATCGGAAATGTCATAGCCCATGTCTACTTGCGGGGATTTGTAGGACGGGGATAGCCATAGTATGTCCACGCCGAGTTGTTGGATGTAGTCGAGCTTGGAGATGATGCCGGGGATGTCTCCGATACCATCGTTGTTGGAGTCCTTGTACGATGCAGGCCAGATTTGGTAGACGGAGGCTTCTTTCCACCAGGCTCGGTTCACTGGTTTTGATGACATGTTGAGTGTCGGTGTGGGTGAGTATCGAGTATTGAATGCGAAGATAATTGTACCTTGAGCAGAGAACCAAGTATTTATGAACTGGGAGAGTGAGACAAGACAAGTTGTGCTGACCCGCGCCTCTAAATCAGCTACCCTTGGCAGATCTATCAAGCACACACCCTGAACGTCCATCTTTATTCGACGTTTAAGCTGCACCGGTTCCGCATTCTGACTTGGTCATCCTATGCTATTCCACCGTGCTATCAGAGACCTGTAGAGAGGATATTTAACATCGTATTCGAGGGACCACACTCGTTAATCGGTCATTATGTTTCTGGTGGTTGAAGATGAGATGGAAGTTAGTTGCGTCATAATCCGACTCTAGACGTTTACTGTTTACAAGGGCTAAACGAGCCTCGGATTCGGGCACTCTTGATAATAACCTTAAACCATGTAGCAAGATTACTATGGATTACTCAACTATATCTCTCAGACATACTCATTTTCAACAGTTTAAAGATTCGAAACAGGACGAAGCAAAGACGAAGGTCTTATCAGCTTATCAGGCTAAACGGGGATGTCCATATTGGGGATAGCCTTTGTGCCTGATTCATAAGGCAGTAACTAAATGGTCAAGATCGCGACTTCCGTATCGGCAGACCTTGACTCGACAACCACAACAAAAGAAATACTCAAGACAGCACAACATGGCGCAGGCACATCGCTCCTCTGCCTACGATGACAGGGACCGAGACGGAAGCATGTATGACGATCGGTATTCAAGATCTCGCTCCGTTGAGCGCGGACACTACGGCGGTACACGCTCTTCCCTACATGGTACAGACTGACAGCACGGTTGAAATGGATAAGAAAGCTTTATTTAATTATGATCTGAGCTTCTGGCTAACTATTTCATCTGTCTTTTGATGAGCGATATATGAAAAGACCATGCACCTCGAGGACCCGCTGCAAGTCATAGACGACCCGATTACTCGGAAGATCGAGATTATAGAGCTGGTCGAGATGACTACCGGCGATCATCACCCTCGCATCGCGGTGGTGGTCGGGGATATAGAGACCGTGATCGCGAAGGATACCGTTCACCGGAATATGGCAACAGCCGCAGCAGAAGTCCCAGTCGCAGCCGCAGTCGTGGTCGCGGTCGTGATCGTGACCGACATCGTCAAAATGTCCAGGAAAGCCGAGAAGTCATCATGGAAGGATTACCGGTGGATATGGTTGAAGAAGACGTTCGACAACTCTTTGCCCTCCCCGTTTGATTATGATCGATAACGTTATTTTCTGTTTGGAGACATGAAGCTGAGATGTGCAATCACTGGGTGTGCGCACGTTCGCACCCCGGTTGATGAGTGGACAGATCTCGAATGAATTGTTAGAATATTATCATGTTCAAGGACTGGAAGACGTTCGAGTCATTCGCGATAGGCAGACAAGTGCGTATGTCTCAGCTTAACTCGGCAGCAGTACTAACTTTCTGCACAGAAATATCCCGGCAGATTGGTTTTCTCCGCTTCTATAGTTTGAACGACTCGAGGAATTTCATGGGACAGAACGCTCCAACTATATATCTATCTGGACGAAATCCTGGCAATGACGATCACGGTGCCAAAGTTCGCATATCTTTTACTCGAGAGAGGGATGACCGCCGTGGTCGGCCGGAGGGCGAGTGGACCTGCAGAAATGTTGGTCTTTTCTATACTCTGATTTGGTCATACGCTAACTTTGCAGTGTTCGTTCGATAATTTTTCGACTCGTCACAAATGCTTCCGCTGTCAGGCAGATCGTGCCGGTGCGTACCATCAGCTATCTTGAAGGGATCCATTCTGACAAAAACAGAGGCGGAAATGACCCCGGATGAGTTACCTGCTCGCCCCAGCAATATCGGCGATAATGACGTAGCTCCCGACAACACTCCTTCCCAGTTCCTGTTGTTCAGAGGACTAGATACTGCAGTTACGGAAGAAGTCTTTTCCAAGGGCGTCACGAAACTGTACAAACCCACGGTCGATGACAAGCAAAACCCAGAAACCGCGCCGAAAAAAGCCAAAGTCGCTTCCACAACTGGCGATTCTAATCTCGGTGCACGGGAAGGTTCTTTACGGCGTGTACTACTCGTCCGTGACCGCCGTAGTAATGAAAGCTGGAAATTCGGTTTTGCAGAGTTTGCCACTATCGAGGTATGTCGACTCAAACCCCCTTCGCGACAATGGACTAAATTGGATACAGGATGCGCAAGCTGCTTTGGCAAAGCTGAACTCATTTGAAAAGTTTACTATCGCCTCGAAACCGGTCTTGGCCAGCTATATCCACGCTGGGGTCTTCGTACCGGTCCTTAATCCGACGCCTAGTACAGCGAGGTTCACATTCTGCCCTCTGAATAATCCGGCAATGAAACTTGCATACTGGGACGAAGATGGCTATGTTACGGAGCTGGTAGTCTCCACCGAGGATCTCGATAAAAAGCCAAAGACAGACTCAAAGGCTCCGAAAGAAAGTGACAAGGCAAGGAAGAGGAAAGCAGAAGCATCCAGCTCTGTTGGCGTGAAGAAGATGGCTGTACCTTCCCATCTCCAATTCTGGTCCAACCGGCATGCCGAGCTACATGGTATTCAAAAGAAGGACGATGAGGGCCAGGAAGCCGGCAAAGAATCAGAAAAGGAATCTGCGGCCGTTACTGCAGCACCCCCTAGTCGATCTTATGCCGACTTGAACCGTAACTGCTGCTACTTGTGCATGCGCCAATTCAAGTCATCGGCAGAAGTCAACCGGCACGAACGATTGAGTCAGTTACATCGCGACAATCTCAACAAAGAGGAGCTAGTTACAAAGGCCTTGGCGAAACTGGAAAAACATAAAGACGATCAGCCTACTACGGAATACCGAGACCGAGCTAAAGAGCGCCGCCAAGCCTTCGGAAGCACTCGACAGACTCAGGCTAAAGTCAAACCTGCTGCTCCTGCGAAACGCGACGATGAAGAGCCTGCGGTTGTACCGGCGCCGTCCAAAGGTGCGGCTCTATTGAGCAAAATGGGTTGGTCTGAGGGGTCTGGCCTGGGTGCGCAGGGAACCGGTATGACGGCTCCAATTGCTACTGATGTATATGCTCAGGGTGTTGGACTTGGCGCGCAAGGAAGCAAACTTGGCGAGGCGTCGGAGGAAGCCGCTCGGAATACTCGTGGCCGTTATGATGAATTTCTGGAAAAGACGAAAGATTTGGCCAGAGAGAGGTATGAGCGAATGCCTTGACTTATCCAGCCTGTGGTATATGTACACTAGTAAAGTATGATTTGCTCATATCAAACGCTTCAGAGTGGTGATTCATCCAATATCTCCCGTAAATTCCCGTCCAATTCATGCATCCCGATGCTCCCTAACTCCAATGCAGTAGTAATATGGCAAGTCAACTGATCACTTCCCCTCTCGTTTCTCCCGATCCCTCGCCTTCGCCTCCTCAACCTTCCTCCTCACCTCTCCCAAATCCTTCTTATCAAACACATTCTCCAACCACTCCTCCATATCCCCCTCAAACTGCTCCTCCTCTTCCTTCGTCGGTTTCACCCCTTTCCCACCCGCACCATCCAACCCCATTTTCTCTCTATACCTCCTCCTCGCACTCTCCACCGAATCAATATCCATAACAACAAACGTCGCGCCCGCCGCAATCATTGCAATCGACAATGTATTTATAGTCGCGATATTGAGTGCTTCAAAGGCGTCCATTCCGCCGCTCACGGTGGGGTTGTGCCACATGGAAGTTGTGTAGAATGGTGGGCGGGCTGAGAGGTGTTTTCGGATTAGGGCGCGGCGGGTTATGAGGGCGGAAAGGGAGAAGAAGATTAGGCCGCTAAGGAGGAGTTTGGCGTTGTTTGGAATTAAGGGGGGTGGTTTGTTGGTGTTGGTATTTGTGGGAGAAAGTTGTTGCTGCTGTTGATGTTGTTTGGTTGTGTCGTTATTTTCTACCGTTGCCGTCGTCGCGGTGGATGGCGCGGCTGGTGATGATGACTTTTCCTCTGGGGGAAAAAGCCATCTTTTCAAAAGCCACGACATATTTCCTCTCTGGTTTATGGTAGATTGCGGCCAAGTATATGCAATTGAACTGTGAGAGTTGAGGAAGGAAAAGCTCGGACTCCATTCGATAATTACTGTAGCGTTTTTAACCCCGGTGTTGGAACGTAAATTACCACTTGACCAAAAAAGAGATCATCCCCTTAATAGGGCTTTCTAATACCGGTACAGAAGGGTACAAAAGTTCCGTATTTATAGACCCACTAATTTCCAACTCCCAGAAATTGTCACGTGTCTAGCATGTACCCTAACTACAAGGTGAGGTGAACCATTTGAACAAAATCAAGGCCCAATTGAGAGTGACAGTTTTAATGGTTTATGTAGGCATTCTGTGACATGTTTCAGACTAACAGGTGAACAACCATATGGTATTGACATGGAAATTATCACAATTTCCAACTTCCTGTTTCAAGCGTGTGAAATGTCTTTGTGAGATCTCTGTGAAAGACCTTTGTCGTACTCCATAGCTTGTTACATTTGGATGTACTGCCAGCAATATGGCAAGCATACATACCCAAGATTTTATCAGCTATTCCCTGTCCTAATAAGCAAGCATTCCAATATATCATCTTCTGCTCTATTCTCTTATTCTATATAACATCAACGGTGAACTAAAAGCCTGACATGTTGTTTGAGGGCCATTGTTTGTTTTTCTTTTTGACTGTTTCTTTCTTACTTCAACAAGGATATGAAGCTCATTTTGCTGCTTTCCGGACTTATCCTTCAAGATGGATACATTGACAATGACGGCGCAATCGACACCAGATTTCAGCCCCGACACGGAACTAAGAACATTTGAAATACAATGGTATATCAAACGCGCTTGCAGTGTAACAAGATATATATCTATGGATGGCTCGGGTTGTCAAAGCATCCATGGATCGACCGGTCATCGAGATATCATTCACCTTCAGCTTCTGTTACGAATCGTTGATGGGTTTCAAGGTGGACGGTTTACAAATGCATCTTTTCTGTCCTTCATATGCATGTTTCCGACATATAATCACAGGTATCTCACCTCTATTCTGCTATTAGTCCCTCTCTTTCCCGTTGTAGAGTTCTGAGCAACTGAAATATTGCAACCTTTACAGACTTAGCAGCTCCAATCAGATTCACTACCATCATGGATTGTAACCACTCTTTTATGACATTTAACGCAGCACCACTGATGTTCGATCGGGTAATGGAAGACAGGCCGATTGCAGCGCAGGATAGTCCTCTTCTGAAACTTCCGGTTGAGATCCTCTCTGCGATCATGGAATGCGTTGACTTGAACAAAAAGTCCCTGGCTGAACTCGCGCTTGTGAACTCTGATTGTCGCCAGCTGGCACGTTCCTGCCAGTTTCGCAACCTTACTATAGATCACAGCGTTCGGTCATACCGTTTATTGAACCTCCTCATGCGTGAAGCGACTGAGCGGTTTACTACCAGGAACGGTCTCACGCGTCGACCTTCACTAGGTGCTTGTATCCGCAATCTGAGGCTAAAAAGTATGCATGCCAAAGATGAAGTTATTTCGTCTCGAAGAGAATTGCTCGCCCTAGTTTTGAAACTATCCTACAAATGACCAGGAAAGCAAACGAGTTTTATAACCCCAGCTTGATTATGATCATTACTTCTCTTCCAATTTGGATGTCTTGAACTGGTTGATGCTATATAGTATTGATAGCTACACACTCACTGGTCTTGGGGTTTCCAAACTCAAACACCTTAAGCTCCGAGGTCACGTTCGATCGGGAGACATACCAGTGCAAATAGACAGCGGAATTTCATGGCCGCTTTTAGGCCTCGACATCACTATTCACAGAAACTATTCTAGTAATGACGCTCGTTTATCTACTTTGATTAACAGCCTCCTTCAGGCATGCTCGTCTACTCTTCAATTCTTTCGCCTCGGAAACGAGGACTGGCCATATCTGACAACTCCAGCCCAATTAATAACCTCTACGAACGAGCTTCCTGACCTTCGCTCACTTAATCTTGTGAAATGCGATTCAATAAGCGAATCAGCGTTGCGGAGCCTCTTGCGAAGCCCCCGACTGTCTACTTTGATGGCTGACTTGCGTGATACGAACGGAAGCGAAGGCGTAGATTGGATGGGGCACAACCCATCGCTTCTCACCCTTCTTTGGACTGGCCGGAAGGTTCCTGGCACGGCTTTACTCCGAGCTCTTGAGGACAACAATCAGTTGACGGCATTCGGTGTAGCATTCAGCCAAGATACCTCCATTCTGGAGGGTGACATAATCCCTATTCTGGCTTCATTTCCTAATATTCGAGTTCTTTCCTTGAGATGGGCTGGTGAGAGCATTTCAGACTCTTCGCTCATAACCCTTGCTTCCATCACCTCACTAGAGCATCTACACATCAGTTGTGGTCCTAAACTGGGACACTCATACGGCTGGATAATCGACCATGGCTCCATGCTGAATCTTCTATCACCGTTATGCAATCTAAAGAGAATCTTCATCACGCGAGATTGTTACCAATCAACAGATGCGCCATCAGCAGAGCAAGTTTACAACTTCATGAAAACATTGCAGCATGACGATCCTAGAAGGGTACGATTGGAGACGGAACATTGTCAAAATATGCTCCAACACGCTCAAAGGTATCTCTTCACTTTCCCAGAGCTTGAATGGATCCATCTAGGCCAGCTTTCTTTCATTTCTCGACCACGTGAGTGTGTAACAAAAGAGATTGTCTTGGTTGATCCTAAAAGAAATAGCAAGATTCCAGTCGTGGAGACTATGTTTGGCATTAAAGAAATTAACTATTGTGCGTGCCATGCAGATACGACTTAACAGGATTACATGCCTGGGGGCAGGATCGCTGATACCGTTGTCCTACAACTACATGTATACATCATCAAAATCCTGGCAATGGCTAAGTATTATGCCTATTGTATCTTGTGTCAGTAAATTGAGGTCAAATTTTCTTTAAAGTATTGAACAGAGGAATCAAAACAGAACTGTCAAGGTGTCATTACTTATTTACACAATGTTAAGCCTTCATTAACAACTATACTTTGCCTTAGATTGCTTTAAAAGAAGATGATCTGGTAGAAAAGCTTCAATACGACCATAACTCTCTCGGACTTTTCAACTTTGAGACACCAGCACATATTCGGGTCTCTTTGAGGAAGCTGGACTTTTATAGACCAAGCATCAACGAGGGAAACTCACATTCTTATCTACTTAACGAGTATAGTACATGAGAGAGTCGGTCAGCGTAAAAAAAATAATTGAATACAGAATCTGTGTTTCGGGACGACAATATGCGTGCCTTCTACAAAAGGTACAGATCTTACTATGGCTGTTGGAACCTGAGATGCCTAAGATATTCAGTAGAGAGCAGAAACCTATCAACAATACTCGACGAGTGATTTATGTCAAGGGAATGAGGCAGGAATCTCTGAAGCAAGGTACTTCAGTATCTGTTTCCGTTCTGCGGGATACATCTTACAAGTAAGTCACTATATCAAGAATTACCGAGGTAGATCTTCAGTATTTCAGTAGAAACGACAATTATCAAGGAATATATTTCTTTTTCACTGCATAGCTTGATATGATAACACGAAGACGTTGTTCTAGTTGATTTTATCACACACTTCTGGAAGCATTTGGAGTAGAATGTCGGGTTAGGGCTAGGGCTATTAAAAATAGTGGGCACACCATCGCTGCCACAAAATTTTGATAGAACACGGCGCCGACTTATGGCCCAAAAACACTTCCTGATGTCCCATACTTCGCTTAGGGATGATAGTAAGCTCGCCGCTGCACCTGACGAAACAATAACCAGAGTCCTAACCATGCACAGAAAGCTGGAATCGAGACAAGACCGACAACCCGGGCGTACTTTAATAGTGGGCCAAGAAGTAAGAAATCAAAGACTGCATGCCAGCTGCGGAAATAAGACATGATATGATTAGTGAAATTGAAGTCGGCCAAGTCCTGCAATAACAACTTACAACACCAACAAGTCCGCATTGTGAAGAACTGACTTTGACGGATCGAATTTTGTCTCTGCAGATACATCGTTGCCATTCAATCCAGCCTCATGCAACAGAATTGATTTATTGAAAATCAGGTTAGAAATTTTTGTAAATGTCTCGTCATCTCCAATATCACAAGGCTGATTTACATATATCGTCCAACCAGGCGAGGATATCGGAATCTGTCTATGCGCACGAATTTCTGTTAGCATAACATCCTGATACGAAGATCAAATCGCCAGAATGGTAAGGATAGCTTATACGTACACCGACGCATCAAAACCCAGAGGTATTCCACTAGGCGTGTGAGGACCTTTGGTAGGATGATGATAGCGCCCAACGTGAGGGCTTGGAAAAAGGCCCCTCTGCAGATTAGCCAAGGGGGAGCTATTAATGAGGATAGAATCGTCATCAAATGATAGAAGTAGATCCTGCGAGGGGTCCAGAATTCTATGAATGTTCTATTTGTTAGCCAAATAGAGATGACAGCTTGGGAGAGACTCACTCTTCTCGTGTGGGGCACGAGACGGAATCGGATGCCATGATCATTTGCTGTCATTAATAATCTAAGGAAAAGAGAAAAAGACGAAGAAATATTTGTGTCTTGAGAGATGGGCGTCAAAAGAGGTGTTGGAGGCCTAAGGTGTCCAAATCATGCGCCTCCAAAAAGGGAAAAGAAGTCACCACTTTACTGTTGACAACTCCTTCGAAAACAAACATCTCGTTAACCCATTAATCCATTATTTATCTATTCATGCCATCAAAAAGTCTTCAAAGAAGGGTGAGTTCCTTCTCTACATGCACGCTCATGACTCCATACTCAAATCATCAAGGACGTAATCGACATCAATCGTGAAACAATAAAAAAATCACCAGGCCGCCTTCGTCTTCATATAAATATACATTTTGCTCACCAAGGGTTTAAGAGGGTTGTTATCAACTCTTCAACTTTCCGGTTGTTATCAACATATCCGCTCTTCCAGGTCGTGTGAGACGATCAAATCCCAAATGATCTCTCCAATCAAGGCCCTTGTACACGCCGAATCCATATAATGGTTGTGTCCTTTCATTCGGTGGGGTAACGACCAACCTCGTGACAAGGTCCAATTTTGTGCGTGGCTCGCGCAGCACTTGATCGTATAGCAGCGGACTTTGATGGAAGAAGCTAATCAGATCTGCGAGAGTGGAAACATCATGAGGAAGGTAGCGACGACGACGAGGCCAGATCACCAAATACGAAAGCGCGTACAAGCCACAGAAGGCCACCAGGACATAAAATGCTGGTAGATCGGCGGCGATGCGTACTTCGTTTCGAGAATTATACCAGAGCGCGACGAAGACGCCTCCACCGAGAATCGGCAATGCGAGAAATAGTATGCTCACGAGGGAAATGTAGGCGACTTGGTAGTCCTTGGCGACTAGAGCAAGGAAGGACACTTCGAATGGGAGACAGGCTGGATACGACAGTAGTAAGCTTCGCTCGGCTAGAGAACCTTCTGGAGTGGACATGGATGCGAAAGGCTGGAGTGCGCGATGATAGACGTCGATTGGCTGCCAGGCGAGAAAAAAGAAGTTACCGATCAAGGCAGGGATAAAGCTGAATAGGAAATTGGAGGCAGAAAACCCATTCGAAGATGCCAGTGTTGGGACCAAAGGTACAAAACCGTGCGGAATCGCCGCATGCACGAAGCTCACAACAACAAAAGCGATGAACAACGCCAGTACAATGACAATCCAAGTTATGATGGCGAAATCACGCAGGAACCAGACTGTCCATCGGAAACGAGAAAATGGGGAATACAAGGTGCGCTCGAAGGATTCGTTTCGGAGGATACTCTGCTGCTCCAAGTCCTCGACTGGCCCTGTTCGTGCGATAGGCCTTTTCTCCTTTCGTCGTGGTGACGCTGGTGTTGGCATGTCACCTGTGGCGTATTCTTCACCAATACCGTAGAAGATGTCCTCCTTGTCCATGAGTCGCCAATACCCAAGACGTAATGTTCGCTGAGGAAGGATCTCTTGAACGGAGGGGCTGGTCTCGGAGCCTTCAAAGTCACGTAGGATGTTTGATCGCTGAATCAGGGGTATAAGATCTGCATGACTGACGGGATCCCAGAGTAAACCGGTCCAGCTTCGAATGAAACGAGCCATTATCAAGCTCAGAGCTACAACCAGTAGCGCATAAATAACAACAATTGTCCAGCCAACAGCTTGAGAGGCCGTCCATCTCCAAGCTCCATGACTATTAATTGTGTAATATTTGGCCTGGAAAAGACATGCTAGTAGCGGCATAGTAAAAAAATTGGTCAACCATATCGCCAACAACCCAAATGCAACAAGAGGCTCGCCATATCGAAAATGCGAAAAGTCTGGCATGAGATGGTTGCGTGAGAGTATCGAGAGATTCTGTAGTACGCCTGCCTTTTGTCGTTCAGACGCCATGATACAGAACGGCATGACGCGGTAGATAGCTGCCTGAATAACCAAGTTCCATAGCACAATTAATGCTCCAAGTAGTTGAGGCAGATATTGCGTGACGAAATACTGTGATGTTCCCACTCCATCCCAGTCCCAGATACCACTATGTCGCTGTGACCACACGTTGCAAAAGACAACAGCGGCAATCATCCACAGAACAAGAAAAATGTATATTGCCAAAGCCCACAGCCGCAGAACTACAGGCACAAAATCGAGAGGTGGATGTCGTACATCCTGAACTTCAGGCTCAACTGCCACAAACACCGCTTTTCCAGCTTGCTTTTCTGAAAGAGTTGCTGTGGTGGTAGGACCCTGACGACTCCCTGGCTTTACACCAATTCCAATCGTCGTCGGTCCACTGCGATAATAATATCCCAAGTTCTCATCCGGTACAATCCTTTCAACGGGGTAATCCGCTGTAGTCGTTGAAGTGCTCACGACGGAACCGTGTCTACCAACGCCAGCGACCTCTTCGTCGCGGGTTAACTGATCAATTGCAAACCGTAGATAAGGACTATCATCGACACCGGGTGTAGTTGCACTGATATGTTTTCTAGGGTCTTGAATTTGAGTCTGTCGAGGACTGATGTTGTCGACCTTTATATTTTCGAAACGCACGGAATTCGACCTGACAGGAACCTGCGCCGATGTATTGGCAGGCAACTTCTGGACGCTCTTCATACTGTCTTCACCTAATTGAGTCTGCGACTGTGACTGCGACTTTGCCACGTTTGCCGAAGAATGTTGTCCCGACGACGAAGAATGGTTCATGTGCGATTGTGGAGTCGCATACCGCAAAACGGTCACCTTGCTGCTTGTGCTTTGTGAGGAAGATGATTGATCGGACTGTAGTGAGAAGTAATCGTCAGAGGCAGCGACGGATTGTTGCGAGTTTTGATGGGAGAGTTGTGGTCTGCTAGCTGCAAAAGACAAACACCAAGTCAGATTTTTCCGTTTAATAACGTTAATTGCATATTGAGTCTTGTATACTTACAATTAACACTCTTCAACTGCGCCAATTCAGAGGGACTCATGACGGACGTAAAATCGCATACAACACTGACGACCACATTAGGAATGCAGTAACCATTACTTCTGAAATGGGGCCCATCCTCATTTATTCAAACTATTTTCTCTTAGCTTTACTTCGTGCTGTGCTGTCAAATTACCAGTCTCTTGGGTACGTAGTACAGGTGGTTGGGTATACGGAGTATGGGAGTATGGCGGGGTGGCTGGTTTGTATACAAAAAGCTTTCCCAGCCACCAATGTGGCAACACCCGACTGGTTGATGCAAGGTGATATTTGATAATTTAACGATATATGATGGTTTCTTATAGGGGTATCATTGGTTAATGATATTTTTTGGTCTGTTTTTCTTTATCGATCAATTTCTATGAGAATCTGCTACAGCAGGACAATGCCTGAGCAATACCCACTGTTTTCTGTGGGTCGGAGCGGGCCGATACTTAAACCTTGTTGGTTGCCCTATTTTCAAGTGATATACGCATAGAAAGGGAAGTTCGATCAAACACGCTCAAACCAAATCCTGCCCTCCTTTCCCATCTCCTCCTCAAATCCAACTCCAACCTTTTGGGAAATGCCATCCACCCCCACCACAAACTCCGCCGGATACACCGTAGGCACAAAAGCCCCTAGATCGCCGTCATGAACGGATCTGGCAATGAAATAATCGCCGCTTACGTGCTCGAAGCTTAGACTCTCGGACCATGTTGTGTACGTTCGATCTGCGCGTAGTATATTCTCTGCTTGATCCAAGTAGATGGTTAGGGTCTGATAGCCCGGGTGTGTATATGTGCCTGTGTATGCGGATAAAGGCAGTATGGCGGGAAGGCGTGGTGAAGGAAGGGATGGATATAAATGTTTGATTGAGTTTTGATCCCGTTCTTTTGCGCGGTCGATGATTGCTTTGTTGTACTGATCCCAATCGAACCTCTTCTCCGCGGGGATTCCCAGCTTCTCATCGATGAGATGGAAAGCAAGCTTCTTAGCCGCGCAATTCGACGTCCCTGCTGTATTTCCAAGTAATATGACGCTATACTTCAGTTCTGGAAATAGAATCAACTCCGCTCCAAACGCATTCATGCCGCCTGTATGTTCGTAATATTGGTAGCCCTTATATACTCCGGTCCACCAGCCAAGGGTATATGCAGAGGGGCCGGTAAACGGTGCATCTGGATCTGCAGGCATCACAGTTCGCGGTTCCCAAATTGCTTTATACGTTTCCGATGACAGGGGACCGGTTTTGTACATAAGCGAACGGGCCCATTTTGCATAATCCAGGACATTCGTGACTACCGAACCGGCACCGGAGATCTCATTCAGACTCATCCATCCCACTTCCTTGTATTTTGTTTCGTCGTTGTCATCATCTTCATCAAATAAGGGATACGAATATCCCCTAGCCAAATCCTCTTTGGCAACTTGCGCGTCTTCCAAGCTAAAGAATGTGGCCTTCATGTCAAGGGGTTTCCAAATCTGACGAGAAAGCAAATCTCCCAACCATTTACCCGTCACTGTTTGGATAACATGAGAAGCTGCCACAAACATGAGATTACAATACTGAAATTTTGTCCGTGGCTCTGCTGTTAATGGTAAGTATCGTAATGAGCGCACGAGCTCTCGCACAGCAGTTTCCCGGCTTAAGTTATTCCCATACGACTGATCGTGCCGTGGGAGACCTGTTCTATGGGACAGGGTATCTTCGATAGTGATATGCTGAGTCGCATATTCATCGGCGAGCACAAAGTCGTCTCGAATTAGTTGGTTGACTGGTGTCTTCCATTGAACTTGTGGGTAGGTCTTGTTATCTTCGACCAGTTGAGCCATTATTGCAGCCGTGAAAGCTTTGGTGGTGCTACCAGCGAAGAAAAGAGTTGATGGGGTTACGGGAGTTGATGGGAAGGATGATATTCCATAGCCCTTACTACAGGGTCAGCAGCCATCTTTGACTTGAATAGAAGATGCATTGATGAATACCTCAGCCCAGGTATGCTCTCCGTCGACCACTGCAATTGACATGCCTGGAACGTGCCATTTTTGTAATGTCTCATGCACGAAGTTTTCGAAGTCTGCATTGAGGGGAGATTGAACGGGAATTATTCGTTGAACCATGGTCACAGCCTGAATCCTGGGAGTTTATGGTACCGCGTAGCTAGAATGGCGAAAAGAAACAAGTCCAAGATGCGGATTAAATAGCTATCCTGTGCGGGGTAAGTGTTGGATTTGGTAGTTACCTATCCAGACCAACAGCTACATAGCATAGCGCACATAATTAGCGCTGTTCCGAATATTCGTATTTGCGAATATTCGCTGCAAATACTTATTCGCAAATATTATGTCCGAGAATAAATCTTGCGAATATTATTCACAGCGGATTCGGATAGCGAATAACTGATTTGCAAAAATTTGCGAATATTTGCAATTCGCAAATTACTTTGTAGCTGTTACTCAGTTACGGTGCAGATATTGATCTTCCTGACCCAGTTTGGCAATATCACCACTGCGAAATGATACCTAGGGCAGCACATCACGGAATCATAGCTCAACTTAGGTCAGTAGCGGCATCGGTAGCGATGTGAGCTATACATGTGAAATGAAAACAATCGGAAGGGGTTCGTGGGAAGGGTGGGTGAAGAAGCATTATGGAATTGAAAGTCTTCCTTATTTGCTTGAGAAAGAGATATTCCAATCTGATGTTAAGGCTAAGATCGAATTTCCGGAGCTTTGCCACTCATCTCCGTCAAGAGATGCTCAACGAGCAGCATCAGAAAACAACGCCGCACGATCGGTTGCGGAGGTACTAGAAGAAGTGGCTTCGCGAGAGGATGTGATTGAATCAGATGGGGAGGGACCAACCAATATAGCACATTTCAATCACGATATTGCTAATGGTAAGTTTATCTGTATGCCAGTCTTGCTGAAATAGACGATTGATAAACTTCAAGCTTCAACACCTGCAGAGCAGCCATCGGATATCATTTCTTTGTATCCAATGTACTTCCCATGCCACGCCCAATATGTTATTCTTTCCAGAGTACAGTCTGTTTTGGAAGAATGCTGCTTTGAATTCACGCGAAAATGGATGCCCCCAACCTTGGAAGATGGTGGATGGGACTGTGCTGCTGCCATCGAATTGACAAAATGGACAACACGGCTTGTTAAGAACTCGGAAAAGCTTCCCCAACATGCATTCAAACTTGGCGAAGCACCTCTAAGCGAAGTTCTCTTCGCAACGCACAAGTTGCGCCACACCGCTGTTCATCGACTGCCAGCCACCTGTCGTGGGGTTGAAACGCTTGTGAAATCAGCTGTGAGCTTTGCTGAGACCCTTCAAGATCTACTGCGAACCGCGCAGTTACAAGATTTACAATTAGAGACCGACAGCAAGATCAAAGCTATGGAGCTTAATAAAAATTTTCTAGAGGATGCACTCAGTCAGGAACTCCAGAAGATTCAGCAACAACGAGAGGAGCTTGATATGCAGGAAAGGGAGTTGGCGGCGAGAATTATCTGTGAAGACCGCGACAATAAATCCTTGATTGGAAACTTACTGGAGAATTCTGTAAATAGACTGTTTGATGTTAAACCTGTGAAAGAGAGTGTACATGATGTTGATCAAATATCGGATGTCGAGGAAAAGCACAAATTGTGACGGCCGAGCAGGACGTTATTCAGAAGCAGGTTCGATTTGATATTCCTGAAGCAACGGAGCCGGAGGAACGTTGTTCCAGATAGGGTTACGGGAGGGTAAAAGCTTGGTCACGTGGTCACGCGACAACATATCAAGCCCCTGAGATAGCTCTATGTTGATAGTTTCTTCCTTCTTCTTTTATGCTTAGTTTTCTTGTTTATAGCTTTCAATATAATATTGATTGGGCCCTCACACAAATCATCAAATCACGATGAGCACACAATGGAGGAAGACAGGTTATAATAGCATTTACCGCAGGGATTTCACACAATAAGAGAAATAGGTATCTTGTTGCTTCAAATCCAGACGGTACTGTAATCATTAATGGAAACTTTCCACTGATAATACGACTGCTTGCTATTTCTAGCCAGCTTGGCCTTGACTTAACGTAGCTAGAAAACTCCGCCATCCCACATCCGAATACGTAGTATCGCTCCCGAGATGGCGTCCATTCGAGGAACATTGTTCTCTAAAAAAGCATTTCGGCAGAAATGTATACTAAAATCAAATATCATCCCAGGGTAGAGTTTTTATAATAGATCTACGCTTTATCCATGAGCTTAGCAGTATACAATATACAAGGAAGTAGCGTCCCAATCTCTATGATGACTTCCTTCCTTAATCCCTTATGTCTGCGTATAGGCTAAGATGCCCCTATTTAATAATTAGATCTAGGCTTTTGGCTGGAATGAATAAGAGAGGTTCTTACGTGATGTCTCCCTGTCCAGGCCGCCTGGACAACGCGAAAACCTTTTCACCCTTCTTTTGCTTCCTCCCTGGCTCTTTGCGGATACATTCCGCCTCTAGGTTGGCCTGGCGAGTCTCAAGAGCGGACTTTTTAACTTTTCGCTCGGTATGATGTTTGGCTTGCTTCAAGAAAGATATTTGTTGACTCTACTGGGCGATGGTATCAATATCACCCGGATGCCGCTGGTAGATGACCTGCGGGGTGTTTGCGGTTGAGGAGCTTCGCTGTGAAATGTTCTGAGCAGTCGCTTCCACCAGCTGCTGCAGTGTTTCCAGTGACACTTGTCCCTGCTCTCTTCTTGTATACTGTAGTAGTTCTGATTCACGCTCCATATTTGATATAGATACTATGTCTGCACTTCCAAAGCAAATCTTCCATGTATTTTGACCTATCCTAGCTAGTGGATTGCCAGAAATTTGCGTGCCACTATCATAGAACTCTTAAGGATGGAATTTTGCCGGGATAGGAAATTGCTGTTTTAGATAATGATATTGACGGATAACTTAATCTAAACCGGAGGTATGGAAATTTTGCTTGTATTTCTGCTACCATAGCAGCTGCAGCTATGATGCTATATAACCCATATGGCAAGCAAGTGATCATTTCTATTTGATTACTGATTTTGCTGAGTATTCATAACTCGTGAATATGAGCCGACATGTGGCCACACATCACAGAAATTTCTCAAGCCTTACAATGGATCCTAATAAATGGTTAACTTTACACAATGATAAATGTCGAATGATAGAGATTCCTTTGCGTATCAAGAAGCGACATCTCTGCAGCGGGTTTCCAATCTAGTAAAATGCCCTAATCCAGACCAAGCCGTCATAATAACGATAAGATGTTCAGATTAAAGAGTGAAGCGCAGCGACCTCAAAGATACTTGCTAGAAGGAGTAGATTCATGCAATTATGTCTCATGGCACACTTTGGATTTTCTAGGTCACTCCACCACACTTGCCTCCTCGTTGGCCGCTGGTTTAACAGTGACACCGGCGTGAATACCCATGTAGGAGATGCAGACCGCAGCTAGCGTAAAGTGATGACTCAAGTTCAGATATGCCATCTAATTACTGCACTGGAAACACGTTGACATGATGCAGACTAGGTTTCTAGTCCGTTCATGGATGGCCTGCTGAACTTTTCGAGGCCGTAATCCCATTGCTACTACTCCGCACTCGACACAGCATTCATGGACAGGCAATACAGCGGTTGTTCGAGGATGCATGCATCGTCAGAGAACATGCAGGAGAGCTTTAGTGAACTCCTGGAAATGAGACAGCCTTCAAAGCTGACGTATCATCGTCTCTAGACATGGTTCATTTCGGACGCCTGCTGGTTCCCCTCACGAGGCTGTGTTCAGTCAGCACCTGCGCCGCATTTTAGCGCTTGGGAAGAACTTCCACTCGCAATTACCCCTGGAACGATAGATATATTAATATCTTGCCTCTCATATCTACTCACATGTTGCCTTGGTTGTATTTACTTCTGAGCCCATTCCTCCTACAATATCTTCGTATCTGCGGTGAGATGCTATCAAACGAGATTTTTGTCATATTTCCATAAATTAGAACGACAATGGTTATCAAACACGTATGTTTGTCCGATCTGTTTGGAATTTTTCTGTGACTGACTACCACAAAGATTTCGGAGCCGGTCTCTGAAAGAGGTACACCATCACCAGTAAGCTTCAACACGACTGGTGTAGTATCCTATCCTGTATCCCGTTCCACAAATCAATATACGCCATCAACCTTGCGTTACCGAGATCCCGATTACCCACTACCGTCCATCGAAAGAGACCCAGCTTCAACGTCAGCTGAAAGTTACAGCAATAACTCTCTGGCAACTAATATACCCTCCGCTTCCTCCTATGCAGAAGCATTGCCCGAAGGTTCTGAGTGTGGGAGCTTAGTCCAGCGTTTTCAGAATTTGAAAATACCCTCGGGTCTGCAACAGGCAATATCAAGCCCTCAGATCACTGCCTCTCAAAGGGAGCGGTCAGCTGCTTCGCCTTCTCCATCCATCCATATTACTCCCACAGCATCGGATACGAATTCTCGACATCCGACAGCTAACGCAGGGGTAGAAGGTCTAGCTGATGGTATTAGTGTGGCACAAATGAGGCACAATCATCAACGCGCCCAGTCTGCAGAATCCAATATCTATCTGAGTCATGACGACTCTGCGGATGGTAGTCAAATTATAGGCCGCTCAACGGCCTCCCCATCACGACGCCGTCGATCCGGTTCTGGGATCCCGCAACCAACACACAAAGTAGAAGACGAGGAGCCTCCACAAGCATTATTCTATGAGACGCAATTTCAGGAAGCCTTGACTAACGCGAAAAATGTTACAGCAAGACTAGCCAGAGTCTTATCAGAAGTAAATTCACACCATGAAAACGATTCAAGTATTCAAAGCTTGTGCCAGCACGCAACTAGATTAAGCACATTTGAACCGCCTTCGCGCCGCATTGTCGGACTTGTCGGGGATTCAGGGGTAGGAAAAAGTAGTCTGATCAACTCATTACTCGATAAAATCGAGTTTGCGCGAGCGGTAAGCTTTCCTCGACTGACAACTGTGATCAACGATCTCATATGGACATCGAACAGAGCAACAGTGGTGCTGCCTGCACCTGTGTAGTCACAGAGTATCATTTTCATGATAAAAATGATTACTCAATCGGCATTGAGTACTTCACTGTGCAAGAGCTCAGAACTCAATTCGAACAGCTTCTCAGAGTGTATCGGGAACACAAATCAATGACGGTGGCTGAAGCCGGTGAAGATTTGAGACAAGAAACTGAAGCCCGTGAAGACTTGAGACAAAAAGCCGAGCTCGCAAAAGTGACTTTCCAAGCAAGTTTTAGAAGGAAGTTGGATGACATCCCCGAAGTACTTAGTGATCTTCCTTACGACCAGGCTGTCAACACGATGATGGCCTGGGTACCGGAAGTAGCTCCAGAACTGGGCACTCGAGTAGGTGAGACTCGAGAGGCATTCGAAGATATCAATGAATGTTCCAATCGTTTGAGAATATTGACTTCTGAGATGGAGGAAGGAGGCCAAGCATGTCTCTGGCCGTTTATTCGCAAATTGAAGTTTGTTCAATGATTCCTACCCTAATAAATCCAACCTAATCAGCTAATTCTATCAACTACAGGGTGTACATGAGGGCATATATACTAAGTAGGGGACTTATACTTGTCGACCTTCCAGGTAAGCGGGATACAGCAGTCACCAATACACATGATGCTGACTAATTCAGGGCTTCGCGATCTCAACTATGCACGGAAGAATATCACTGAACGATATGTCAGACAATGCGACCAAATATTCGCAGTTGCTAAGATTGGAAGAGCGACAACAGATGCAGGAGTGCAAGAAGTGTTTGAACTAGCATGCCGGGCCTCACTACTCAACATCGGTGTCGTTTGTACACAGTCCGACGTATGTACCGATTCAGTCTATATTTCGTGATAACCTATTAACACCTCCAAAGGACATTAGGACTAATGAGGCAAAAGATGATTGGCCTGCCGAGAGAGCTAGGATTAGCAGAATGGAGGAAGATATTACCCGCAGAAGGGAAGAGCTCGCGTCTCTCGAGGAAGATATCAGTGATTTCAGTCAACAGCATCGTCTTTCGACTCAAGACGTACAAATTTTCCTTGAAATTCAGCAGGAGCGCGGCAGAGCTGTGTAAGTGGTTTCCTCTGTGGAATCATTAGCCTCAAGAACTGAGTTTTCCATACAGGAAGTCGCTTGACCGTTCAGAGTTTGAGTATGTTCATCCCACGATAAGGACTCTCCCTCATACTGAGATATAGAGATATCTGCATACTAATTTTGGTAGATTGAAACGCCATATTATGGCCGTGCGCAACCAGAAGGTCTGTAGCGACTTAAGAGAGCGATACAGCGCGGATCCAAACATGCCAACTTTCTGCGTCAGCAACACCATGTACTCAGAACAGCGTGATAAACCAGTTCAGGAATCTCTTCCCTTTCTAAACCTGAGCGGAATTCTTGAATTGCGTCGTTATTGTATTGGAATTGTCGCTGAAAGCCACCTGCAAGCAGCGACCAAGTACATCAAGCGTGAAATCCCAGCACTGTTGGGGTCCATTGAATTGTGGATTAAGGCGGGCTCCGCGAATACCAATGAGGAAGGGAAAAAAAAGCTTACAGATGTGGTTTCTCTAGTTCAGAATGAATTAGACCGAGTAAGGATTCCTGTTATGCATTAATTAAAAAAAGAATATCACGCTGATTGTATGGTAGTTGACTTCTCCAGTGTCTCGAATCAGTGATATTACGGACCAAATAATGTCCAAATTTGATGACCACTTACGACATTACATGCGTGTGTACTAATCAATACCAATCTTTTGTTTGTTTCTAACCTTCCTTAGGGCAACGAGCGCAGCAGTGGAGTGCCAGTGCAGGGAATGCAAGTCTGAGTTGGGAATCGGTATTTATTCTTTTCCAAAAGATGATTTGTCTCTACACTCACATAATTTCAGTTCTCTCCCTCCACCCATGCAGCATTCTGTCAACATTATGGAACACATAAAACGCAAGCTGTGGGATATCGGTGCTGGAATAAGGAAGCCATCAGCTTGATGACCAGTGACATGTCTGGGCCATGGAACACATTTCACACAGATCTTGACTCCTACCTTGATCAGATCTACAGGTACATTGATGAAGTATTTAAGAATGTTTCTAGGATTGCAACTGATACCGGTAAGTGGGCTATATAGCTGCTTTTCCTCCGTTACAGCTAGGTATTAATGTCCAGCATAGCAAATCCTGATAACAGCCTGCGAGACCGACTATACCCTCTTATTGTGACATTACGCCATCACAGAAATCTGTTGTTACACGCAATTGATATTATCATTAATCATTTTCAGTCAAAAATATCTGATGTACAGACTAATGCTTTCTCGCCTATCCGTACCTCAATCATCGGGGAGCTCATGGAAGCACATTACAATTCGGCGAGCATGGAGCATGGTATGTCAAAAACGCACTCACTCTCTATCTCTCTCTCTATATCTTTATCTTTAAATTCAGTCCTCACGCACGCGTAGGTAAAGGCAGTGACGGCCGTCGAAAACGAATAATATCGTCCAGCTACGGCTCACCGAGCTTAATCAAGGACCATCGCCGACGCTTCAGGGACCAGCTCATCTCTATTTCTGAGAAGCTACAACAGGAAATAATAGATGCGGTGGCACAACAGGCCACATTCATCGAAACTAACCTAAACACTCTAAGACACGAAAATGCCATCCTGGAAAGTGAGAGAAACCCGGAATTCCAAAAACGTCTTGAAACGGAAGTTACTCGGGTTAAAGGAGAGATGAGAACACTCATAGCTGCTATTGATGATCTCTCCATTGTTTGACTTGGGAAGTTCTGAAAAACTAGTAGGCGAGGTAATTAGGGCAAATACGGTCTGGTGTGAAATCTTCCATATCAATCCCATGTTTCCAGATCGCCGTCTCTGTCCTAAAAGGAAGAACATTATTGTTGCACAAATTTTATTTGGCAGAATTAGAATGTGGAAAATTGTTGGATTGTACGTAACAACCTTTAGTGGTATAACTAGATAATGGCAGTGTTATCTTGAGAGACATGGAAGCACGGAGGAGTGAATTCTATTGTGAAGCCCCTATATCTAAGTGAACTAGATAGTAGATACGCTGAGCCTAACCAGGATGGAGAATCCAATTAAACTTCACGTACACGTACTGCGTACTGCGGGTTCTTCTTCCTTACAACTACTTCATGTTACTCGTCATCTTTCACGCAATCAAGACTTGATTTTCCCAGTACATAGATTCATAGTGCCATTACAATATAAAGACACTTACCTCCCCACAAGGGAGCGCGGACGGGGCCCTCTCTGACGCCACGGTCTAACGCGTTTACTCGTAAGACCTTAGCGACAGGTGACCCGTTGCGGCCAAACTACGCAGCGTCTTGCCCACGCCGTTCCCGGTGTTGGTCTGCTCCTGTCAGATAATCCGGCTTTCAAACGAGGCAGAGAGATCGACTGTTCAATCTTACAGGTCTAAAAGGTACCTTTAGGCATATATCTGGGCACCTAGATTTCAGCCCAATATTTACCCCTCCTGATAGCTCACAAATCACCCCGCCAAAGGTGTCTATAAAGGACCCGGCTTTGAAACCTGATGGATAGAGGGACACAGAACTCAATACATACAATCTTGCTAGTCACTTCTTTTCTTTGATCCTAGTAAAACACTCTTCAGGATTGGCCTGGAATAAACCGACTAATCCGACAGCTCCAGCTCAACGAAACCACCAGCTCAACGGAATCAATTTTTACATACAAATTGACATATTTGAATAGCCTCACAAATGCCCTTCCCCTTCATATCTGTTATGATTCTAGAGGAAGATCTGGTTGCCGATGATTATGAGCAGTAGTAGAAATATCAGTTGTACGCTCCCCTTTGGGGATTGATAGATTCTTGATGGAGCGTTTTTCAACGTTCTTTTTCTTCTACTTGTCTTCTAGGAAACTATCAGGAGCGAGGTGTTCAATCCCGTACGGATAAATATCGGCCCGAAGGCTATATAATCTTTACAATATCTATAAAAGGAATTGCCGAATCAGGTAAATCTGATGCAATACTTTCACCTGTAAGCATTTGATTTGCCTGATACTCCGTGAATAGGCGATTTCCTGTTTCTTGTATGAATCGGACGGCATCTTTGGTGTGATTTTGAAGCTCAATCTGGGACAATTTGTACGTAAAAACTGATGCCGTTAAGCTGGTGATTCCATTAAGCCGGAGCAGACCAACACCGGGAACGCTGTGGATAAGACGCTGCGACAGGCACACACATAGGATTAGGGTTAGTTCCTCCAGGCGTAATAAACATTATTCATTCATTCATTCATGTTTGTTTTCCTATCCATGCTTAATATCCTAGTACATAAAAACCAATACCATTCATGTTGCTTACTCGTCGTCACAATATCTGCAATTGCAACAATTTCTCTAGAGTGTAGACTATTTTTCAGGCATCAGCCTATTGGTTATACCTTGGACGCACATAGAGTGAATCAATAATTACATCTGTATTCATACTGTATACAATGTTACTAGTTAACCTGTGTTACAAGCACACTACCCTATATTCCGGATTCCGATAGTAGGCACTTGTCGTCTCCATTCCCTGGCGTGAAATATACACTGGGCCAAATTCGAACCTAGCAAGGCTGAGCAAGAAAACCCCCATTATAGGCTGCATGGCACCGTAAGCGAGAGCTAGGCTTGGAAGTATGCTGGTTTATGAGGGATGGTAAGTTACAGTGCAGGCTACATAACTATTTTAGTATGCATACTTATTGCTGGAGGGGGCCGAGCCAGGCTTCAGCAACCCGAAGATATTTCTCGGCCACTTAGTCATATTTAGGAATGGCTAATTAAGTTCACCTTTATGGGATTTGAAGAACCCAGATTAAGCACTGGAAACAAACGAAAAACGTGCTTTTAGAGACTCTTCAGTAGGTACGAGCATTTCATGCTGCGGTGGTGATATATTGTCATATAAAACTGGACTCGACATATACAACTGTTTGTATCCCATCCCTTCCCAAATAGGCGCCACCTCGCTTCCGGCACGGGAAACAATTATCCAGGGCGTACAAAGGGTATCTATACCTCAAACATCACCATACTTCTTTGGTTTTGAGTTATTGGACATATTCAATATTGACGGCTCGTTTGCAGCTTCTCGGATCGGCTGGCCTTCGTTATTATTTTCGTAATAACCTGGACGGGCCGACAGCAACAAAATGACACCAACATCGACCCTGATTGTGACTCTGACAGTCATTCTCGGTGTACTGGCAATAATTGCGGTAGTTCTACGTCTATACTGTCGGGTTTATCAGAAAGAATCCCTCCGTGCTGATGATTATTGTGTTATTATAAGCTTGGTACATATGAGATCCCGTCACATTCGAGCGAAAGTCACTCTCGGACGTTGTTATGCTAATCATATCAGATTCTCTCCACTGGAATTTCGATTGTTATAGATTACACAGTTTCTGTCTACGGTGTTGGTGATCCATCATATATTCCTCCGATGGACGCTATCATATTCTCCCTTAAGGTGGGCGTTACAATGTAATGAACGGCATGTGCTAACCAGTGAGTACAGGTAAATTTTGCAGCAGAAAATTGCCAGATAGCGGCCATGGGCTTTGTCAAATCGCCCCTGCTGCTTTTCTACAGACGAATTTTCTGGGTCTCTCGATCGTTTTTCATTGCCAGTAACATTCTGCTAGCTATTCTCGCAAGTTTTACCCTGGCAGTGATGTTGGTATGGATAATATCTTGGTATTCTCTACGCAAGGCATTAATCTTAGCTTTTCTTATAGTCAGTTATCTTTTCCAAATGGCCTGTTAAAAATCAATGGAATCCAACGGCACCGTTCAGAATCAACCCTTCGGCAATTCTGCTCTCGTTTGTGGCTGGAAACACGCTTTTGGATCTTTTGACTCTTAGTCTACCCATCGTTGCGATTCAAAGGCTGCATATCGAAACGTCTCGGAAGCTCATTATGTCAACGATTTTTGCATTCGGATCAATGTGAGTAACAGATTTATCCTATGTCTTTTTCCAATTTAATCTCTCATGCCAAGTATCATAGATGCATCGTGGCTTCTCTGCTTCGTTTGTATTACGCAGTGCGGTACACCAAGGTCCCAGCAATACCGACCAGCCTCTTCAATCGTGGGTTATATCTGGAACCTCTGTTTTGTTATCACCATAAAATTTGATGTAACAATGCTAACCTAACAACAAGCACCTTTCATATACAATATTCCATCGAGCCACCTGTGTTTATCATCGGGGGCTGTCTTCTAGCCTTGGGCCTCCTGTACCGAGCAAAATACGGTCCGAAAACCCTCTTTCAACATCTTTCGTCAAGGATTTTCTCGAGGACAACATCTTCTAGTGCAGTTACAAACAGGAACCATGCTACTAGATCAGCTGAACCCATTAGGGAATTGCATCCGTGGGCAGAGACATCCTGCATAATCGAACAGACACGCCCTGGAGGAATGTCAGGCTCAGGAGTATCTAAGTGGCCAAGTAATTTGGACGAAATTCAGCTTCTGCACGTTGCTCCAGAGTTGGCTTAGCTATGAAGACCGGGATTAAGAAACCTGGACATGGATGATACGCTTTCGGAAATTTTCTGTCTTTCCTTCTTTTGCGATACTGTAGATATTTTTTTCCAGATTAAAAGATCGTTATTCCTATAATTCAACTATAGCAGCACCTTTCAACTAGTCAGACATGAAATTAGGCAAAAAGCTTTTTCTTTAAACAAGAGGGTTTGGTTACCGGTCTAAGGCGACAGACAGGTTCAGATGACGGGCCCTCGGACGTCTTTCGACGCGGACGAAACATGCTCGCCTAGATGTATGGTCAATCCATTTACTGAGAGTATGGATATACAGCACCTACATACAGTGTAATGCATGTTGCATGTAACCAAATCATACTGCATTTACCCCTGTCAACTGATTTACAATCCACGCATATAGCATGGTAAAACGCACCTTGGAATGAGTTGGATAGCGGGTTATTATATCTCTTTGTCTGGTTGACTAGACTCCTGTCCATTGTGTCACATTACTTGGCTCATCGTCCAAGTCCCTGCCCCTGAAATTGTACATATAAATCAACAGGAGACTACCTAGGTAGCATTTGGATCACCCAAGACATCAGGTATCAAACACACTTCGTTCATTCATTGCTAAAATCTTGGAAAACAGAAGACAATAAACCATGATTTCCGCATCCGTCCAGTCTTGGTCCTCGTTCCCGGAGCGTCACAAACGCCAGCTGCTTATGGCTACTTGCTACACCAACTTCAATGTAAAGGATATGGTGCCTTCAGCGCTCCTTTTACCAAGTGTCGGTGCTACCGAACATATCACTGCCGCGGATGATGCGGAATATGTGCGTTCGCGTATGCTTCTTCCGGTTCTCGACATTGAGCAACACAACGTCATTGTAATCAGCCATTCTTATAGCTCAATTCCAGCTAGTGCAGCTGCTCGGGGACTGTCCAAAGCGGACAGAATTGCTGAGGGGAAGAAGACATGGGTCTTGGGTCAGATATTCATCGCTGCAGTTGCTGCCAAAGGAGGGGATGGATTGGATCTTGTCGCGAATATTGGCGGGCATATGCCACCCCACATTCGCGTTGATGTAAATCGATTTTTATTTACGATGCGACGACCCTAAACCACCACTATTTAATGATCTACCCACGGAATTAGCAGATGCAGCAGTGCTATCTTGTGTCAGCCAATGCAAAACTTCATTCACGAGCCCTTGTCCAGCTGCAAGTTGGGATAGTGAAACATACAATGGCCGGATCGCTTATATCAAGACAGTTCATGATCAGGCAGTTCCCTACGCGGCACAAACCATGATGTTACAGGCTACAGGGAAGGAGTGGAATACCTGGGAGATTGAGACAGGCCACAGCCCGCAACTCGCAGCGCCAGAGAAACTAGCTGATATTCTGGTACAGATAGCAAAGATGTTTGAGGCACTGTAGGGAAATTAGTCTTGTTTGTGTATAGGTTATACAGACTCGAGTGAACGCTAAATGGATTGGTGATTTTCTTTGTATGCAGTCGTTTCATCTATACCGCAGCTGCTACCAGTGAGCGTGTAGACGACCTTCTCAATAAGTTGGTCAACCAATTGTGTACAGCATGGAGACGAGTGAATGATACCAAGTCAAGGCCAACGGCAAATTATTCGGCTGGGTTGGCTCTCGAACCAACATGCGCCGTGTCCGATAGTCTGAGTAGTTATTACATACGGTCTTAGAGCTGTAGCACGGATTTCGAGGCTGCATCATTTTCCGACTTCCGTCCATTACATTCCCGCTTCTCTTTATGCCTAGAAACTCCTTGTCCTTCCTGCTATCGAGTTTGTTCATGACTTCAGAAGACGACATCAGACTCTCCGAAGAAAGATTACTTTCAGAGGATGATCCACAGTTTTCCAAACTCGTATCACTCGTCACACATGGAGAGATAGTATCAATCTCTGGGTAGTCCAAGGCATATGCTTTATTTTCCCCAACTATCGCCGATACATCATACATTGAATAGCTTTGTTGGGGTGTTTGGCATATGCATCTCCAGCTCGTAGCATGCTAATCATGAATTTCACAGTCTGATAGAGACACTGCGTCGGATTGACTGGTATTGCTCCAGTGCTACTGCCCAATGCATTCCCCGAGTAATCAATTCTAATTAAGTAGGCTCTCCATCATAGTTATTGAAATTCTCTTGAAGCCCTATGTGAAAGAGCATATTCAGTAGGCAGACATGCGGGCTGAGGATTAGAATCCGCGTAGGGAGGAACTCATCTCCCTTTTCCAATTGTTCTTCGCAGGCTTATGGTTAGTTCTAATGACATACACTTGATTCATAAAGCATAGCATCAGAAGTTCAGAACGGTAGAGTGGAATACAGTGGGTTGCCGGTCAAATTTCTACCAAGTGAAAGTTGCAAGTCAGATAAGCCGGAGTTCGGAATACATCGTGGATCCTCACGCGGGGTTAGGTACGGTATAGGTACCTACATTCTACATGACTCACATACTTATCAGATATCTATTCCGAAATCTACCGCCTGCATACTTTTTATCAGATATAAGTACAATCGAGCAGACCTCCAAACCCCCAACCTTGGATCATCACCCCCTCCACCAAATTGAAACATCCAAAATGCCCAAACCCTTCCTCCCAGTCCCCAACTCCACCCTCCCCTTCTGGCTCACAGACCGTTCGCCCCTCGACCAAATCCGGTCCACTCCTGATTTGCCCTTGGAATCAGATATAATCATTATCGGCGCTGGATACGCCGGTATAAGTCTTGCTTACCACCTCCTCACCTCGGATCCATCATCATCGTCAGAGGCACCAACAATCACAATCCTAGAAGCGAGGAGTATATGTTCCGGTGCAACGGGGCGGAATGGTACCCCTCCCTCAGCCCCCGTTTTGATAGTTGATTGATGATGATTGATGAAAATAGGCGGCCATGTACGACCAGATACATACAGCCTCATTCCACTGTACATCAACCGCTACGGCCTCGACGCCGCGCGGGAAGTCGCTGAATTCGAACTCTCGCATATCAAAGCTATTCAAGACGTAATCCGTACGGAAGCGATAGACGATTGCGATTTTCTGCTTACGCAGAATATGAATGTATTCCTTGACCAGGAGCGAGGAAACGCGACGAAAGAGGCAATTGAGGCATTGCGAAAGACGGGGTGTGGATTTGTAGATGATATTTTCCAGATTCCTGATAGGGATGCTGAATCTGTACGCCCCTTCCCTCCCCATCCATTCGAGGGGATGATGAGACTGACGTATGGAAGATATCCGGCGTCAAAGGCGCAAAAACAGCCTTCTCATTCACCGCAGGCTCAATATGGCCCTACAAATTCATCATGGGACTTTTGCGTTCTATCCTAAAACACGGAGGTGACAGGGTGAATATCCAGACAACTACACCCGTTACATCCGTAACATCGGACGGATCAATTTGGCATACAATCGCCACGCCTCGTGGAACCGTCAAGGCGAAGAAAGTAGTCTATACCACTAATGCGTATACATTCGGTTTATTACCTGAATACGAGCCCGCCATAATCCCCGCGAAGGGGATGGTAGCTCACATCGTCTCCCCTACTGATGGAAAAGGGAAAAGACCGCCGTTTTTGTCACAAACATACATCCTCCGTCCCGACTCGAGCGACGGCGCAGATTACATGATCGTCCGCCCCGATGGAAGTATCATAATCGGAGGCGCCCACCAGATCCATACATTCCCCGAAAAGGGTCCGGAGGGAAATTCGGAATGGTACGGGAATATAGACGATGCGAGTTTGATTGAATCGACAAAAGATTATTTTGAGGGGTATATGCAGCGGTATTTTGTTGGATGGGAGGATACGGGTGCGGTTGTGGAGGGGTTGTGGACTGGCAGTGAGTGCCCCTCCCCCGGTTCCTCGAATATCAAAAGCAGTAGAATACTGATGAGAAAAGTAATGGGCTACTCGGCCGACTCAGCACCACATATCGGCGCAATCCCCTCACGACCAACCCAGTTCATAGCAGCGGGGTTTAACGGACACGGTATGCCGGTTATATTCCTCTCAACCAAGGGCTTAGCACAGATGATTCTGCACGATAAATCATTCGACGACACCGATCTACCGCGTATATACAAAAGCAGCGCTGAGAGGTTGGATGCCATTAAACGTGGGAGAGAGGGGGGCGATATACTCCAATCCGTAACCGTTTCATCTTCAGAATAGTAGAATAGTAGAATGGAGATAAGATTAATCACTCCTGGCAACAACAACGCCCAACCCCAGTATCAACAAACACAAAAACGCAACCATAAACGTCACAGCGAGCATTGTGCAGCAATGCCGCTGATTTGCGCGTCGTTCTTTGCGTTCGAGGAGGCGGTCGCAGGCTGAGCAGTGGATGTGTCCGTCTCCTTCTTCTTCTCCTTCGGGTTGGCCATGTTGATGCTGATGTAGATGGACTTGGTCTTGTTCGATATCAATAGAGGTATCTTCGTTTTGGGGGACGTTTTGCGGGATGGATATGTACTGTCATGATTAGTTAGCTAGCATTATGACTATGCGATAGGCAGAGACGGACGCCTGATGTATTCCCTGCGAATAGGTCCTCATATGCAGGAGCTGCTTCGCTTGGAATTGTGCCCATTTTTTCCTTCTAGAATGTCGATTGGTATACTAATCGAAAATTCGCAGTTGTGACGAGAAGTTGTTGAGTGATGGTTTTACACTGCTGCCTAATCACATGCACATCTGCCTTGCGCGTCTGCCTTGCAGCCTGAGGCACCACAAACCACCGACCCTCTCCAATATCCAAACAATCGATAGATTGAGCAATAATTGTATACAGATATACCGTATCACATTGCAGTATGACCAATCTCGTTCCTCACACTCAGTCCAGACTGAGTTTATAACTAAGCCAAACCCACAATATTGTAATGACAAATCGCCAGCCCATGCAGTGGATCACCACAATTCCAAATCATCCCTCTCAGCTACACAGCTACACGCAGAAAAAGCCGAATCAGATCGAACGTAAACCAATTCCAAATAGAGTAGTGTTAACTTAGTAAGCACGAATTGGATGAGTAAACCAACCTTAAGGTAAAGCTAGATCCACGACGTCACTGATTTACGTAGGATAGAATACTCCTCATAGCTTTGACCAGGCGAACAGACGAGTATTTATACCTCGACATCCTCGTCTCCAAGGTCCTTTCTTCACCACTCCAGACTCTCAATTCATCCAATCGGACCGGATCAACAAAAGAAAAGAAAAATGACTCTAAAGGGACACTGCCTCTGCGGCGCCGTGACATATACCATCGATGTCGACAAGCCCCTCCTTACGGGCTATGATCATTGCGATGACTGTCAACGCCAAACCGGGTCTTCCTACTGTACGCTTCCGCTTCTCTTCCTCCAACCCCGCCTCCCCGCTCCATTCTCATGCTAATTAATCATTCAAATAGCCCTGGTAGCAGTCGTCCCCAAATCCGCCCTCCAAATCAACGGCCCCACCAAATCCTGGGCCGGCAAAGGCTCCTCCGGTAAAGCCGTGCATCGCATCTTCTGCTCTGAATGCGGTTCACCCATTGCGCACGACCCGGATTCTGCGCCGGAAATCATTGCTATCAAAGCTGGCACTCTGGATAGTGAGATCAAGAAGACTCTCCAACCTGTACGTATCCCCCCAAACTCCCCTCCTTTGGAAAGAATTGGGCGTGGGCTAATGAATGGGTGATGGGGCAGGATACCGAGATCTGGACAGTGGGAAAATTGCCGTTTGTTAAGGAGAGTTTGCCTAATGCGTTTGAGTATATGCCTTCTTAGTTTATCTCTACGATAGGAGAGAAACGGTGAATGAATGAATGAATGAATTCTATTGAGAACGCCGTCGTACATATTATCAAATCTTCCCGCTGCGTATACCGAGTAAATAAATAGAGAAATGAAGTAGACCAAAAAAGAAAGAACGAGACTCCGAAGGAAAGATCGTGATCGAACAAGGCTGACGGTTTACATGAATATAAATGCAAAGAAACGAAGGAAAGAAAATATCGTACAACAAAGATATCCTCGGCAGAAAGATTAAAGGTAAAAAAAAGAATAAACAAACACAAAAATAGTAAAAGCCGTCGCAAATGTATACTCCAATTCAAACCAAGCCTCTTGGCCCGCAAAAGCGATCTTTTTACTTTGAGGCGTTGGATGCGCAACCCCGGTTTTGGGATCGCGTTGGAGTAATTCTTCGCGATCGGGCATTGAGGGTGGATCAATTGCGTATGCGATCGGGGTCCAGAGGGAGGTAATCACAAACAGGAACGTCAATGGAGGCCAGAAGGCGTGGGTGATCAGACAGAGAAAGACGTTTTTGAAGTTGTTGGGATTTTCTTGGAAGAAGCATCGATACGACGAGAGACACACGGCGACGATGGTGAGGTAGACGAATGCGAGATGGAACAGGGCCATGTAATTCATCAATATCGTCCAGAGACGACGCACCATTCCCTTTCGGCGTTTGGGGTCGCGTTCTTCCAGAGCTGATCCCAACGAGCCAGTTGGTTTGAAGGCTTGGGTCTGTCCGCCGAGCCATTTGGGGAGGAAGAAGGATCGGATAATGCACAGGGCGAGATAGGGTGACATCCACATACCGTATCGAGAACCTCGTTGACCGGTGTGGTAGCCGGCGGGAATAAACAAGGCAAACTCGCAGAGACGGTTGCTCATGGTTGATGCAAAACACGCCCAGACGAGCCATTTGAGTTGCTCCATATTAGCGTAAGCAACGAGTGGTCGGCCCCAAATCAGGATGATCGGAATGGCGAAGAGAGACGCCGTTAGCAGAATAGTATACAAACTCAGCGTAGCGTACAGAAAACCTGAGAATCTTTGGGCAAAGGTCATTTGTTTAATGGCATCCCCCCATAGACAAAACTTGAGTTTGAACGCGGTATCGACTGTACCAATAGCCCATCGAGTACGCTGCTTCAAATGACCGCCGTAATCTTCCGGAACGGTACCAAACTGCAACGCCTCGTGGATGTACGCTGTCTTCCATCCTTTGCCCAACATCAAAGTCGAGGTTGCCACATCTTCAGCCAAGGAGCCAAGAGGAAATTGACCGATATCGTCTAGGGCTTCTCGCCGGACGACGTATCCAGACCCAGTACACCAAGCAACGCCAAGAGCGTCCTTGATGGGTTCGATGACATGCACGAAAAAGTCCAAACTTTGTGCCAAGGGATCTGCAGGGGGGCAGTTGTAGAACAGTTGGGGAGGACAGACCAGGGCCATTTTGGGGTCGATCAGTAAGTGAGGGAGAGTCGCGCGCAGCCATTGTTGTTCGGGAATCTATCACATCAGCAAGGGAGCAGACTATCGAAGTGGGGAGACATACCATGTCAGCATCCAGTGCAGCCATAAATTGACCAGCTCCACCAGGCATCAGTCGAGTCTGTTCCAGGCCGTAATTGAGATTACCGGCCTTGAAATGATGCGGAACGCCAGGGATCTTTGTTCGAGCCATGTAGTGAACGTTGGGATAGGTCAGAGCCAACTGACGAACCGACGCTTCGAGGCTAGAAGACTTGGCGTCATCCAAGACGATCACCCGAAACTTATCCATCGGATAATCCTGATCGCACGCCGCATGAACAGTGTCGATAACGACCTCATCATCCTCACCGCAACACGTAATAAAAACATCCACAGTCGGACAGTCGTCTCCTGTAAGTCGCAACTGCGGACGCAATCTCGACTTCAACGCAAACATGGTCCAACAATTATGCAACATAGACGGAATCGCAGTCGCAAGTTCCAACGCAATAAACACCCAGGCACCGGCAAATGTAGAACGCTCCGCCTTTTGAGCGAGAATCACACACGCAATCCGTAAACCCAGATAGAAGATGTAAATCGCCATATTGGCAAACGTCAAAAACGGCACGAAATTATACACCCACCTCCGCCAGCCTTTCCAGATATCAACGTCGTCACGGTCCGCGATTCGCGCAATCGAGCCTTGTTGAACCCAGTCTTTGGCATATAGCGGCGAAGGGGGTTGGTCGACGAGCGCTGTTAGACTTTGATGGCTTTGGAAACTCTGGTTATTCTGATACTGTCGAACCTGTCAGCATTAAATAGTGTAGATTCCACAGACGAGGCTGGACATACGAATGCTGGAGTGGTGGAGCGAGATCCGGCCGGTGTGCTCGACACACTGGCAAAGGAATCGACATGACCACGTCGATTCGTCAAGGGCCATCCTGACTGCCCGCCTGGAGTGCCGAGGGGAGTTCCAACCGGCGAGACAAATTCTTCGGCGGGTTGAAGGCCCGGTCGGACGGGTTTGGGCGGTGATCTCACCATCGACCTGTCGTCGTATCCGCTCATATTCATACTGTTCATGTATGCAGGATCGTTGCCGTGACCATGTCCGTGGTGGAGGACGTCAAATTCGACCATTTCCTCGCCGTATCCGTAGTTTCCGTTTCCATAATAGCCGTTTCCATTTCCATTTCCATTTCCATTTCCATTTCCATTTCCATTTCCATTTCCATTTCCATTATTTCCATAGGGGGAGGTCGATCCCCCGTAGTGACCACTATGATAGCCACTCATGATGGACGCAGTCCGTGTAACGAGTGAATAGTAAGGTGAGCTAGTGATTAATCATCGGACAGTCAGTAGTTAAAACAATAGATATCAGAGAAACGAGTGTAGTTGGAGAAAAAGTCAAACATCGAAGTCAAAGTTGACGTCGTGTGAGCAGAGAGCAGAGAGCAGAAAAGAAAGTGGACTGAGACAGATGAGTCTCAGCCAGGCCCACGGGAGGCTTATCTCTCCTACACGAAATTGATGTATCAGTCAATACACCATTAATCAGATGGGCCAATCAGAATCTGTGTTCTCCTTAATAAGACGTATGACTCCAGACAGCGAGTTTTGGTTGCTGCTGATTGGCTGAGGTAAAATGGTAAGCTTCCGCTTGCAGCCGCGATTGGCCAGTCAGCGTGCTTTATTCTGGGACAGTGCCCCGCCTGTGCCTAATTGAGACTAGGGTGTAAAAATGTTTCACTTCGATCGACGACTATGTAATACTCTTACAGTATTAATATACAGTAGTAACTGTGCTGAGTACATCCTCTGTGGATGCCAAATGGAGAGGAGAGCGGCTAGACAGCATGTCCGACAGATTCATCATCACAGTCTCACGTCTACGGAGTACATATGCACCCCCAACAGTTCGAGTCTGTCCTACACAACTGGCAGACTAGCAGGAATGTCCAATGATGAAAACGGAAGTCTGTGGCTTAGTGGTGGGACGTGTCTCGCCCCTTTTAATTGATCATGCGTAATTACAATACCGATAGCGACGATAACCCCATTTTCCGTCTGCTGATTGGTTCTCCCGGCTTATCCGATACCGTCCGTACCAAACAATACCGATCCGGGCTGCCAGGAACTGGGCTTGGCGGCTCTTTCGCTGAGCCCACTGTGGATAAATACAGAGACAGGCAACAAAAGCAACGAAAATTCTTGCAAGTTGTGAAGTTCCAAATCAATCAAGTTGAATCAAGTGGATCGCGTGAAAATTTGATGCAACGCGACGTGCTGACTGGCCCTTACTTAGTACGGTCATATAATCAGGGGAAACGCTAAGAATAGCTCACCTGATAAGCAGAACCGCCATTCCGTCATTGGCGCCCGCCGTACCTTTCTGTCAGACAAGACTACCATTTGCGTACTCACCACTCTACGGCGTCCTGCGTCCTGGGATTATTCTTCTACCCTTCAGTCGTTATTTGAGTGATCGAGTTCAGTATCATGGCCTTCCGCTGGATTGTCAACGCAGGCCTCATCGCCATCCCCATCGGAAGCACCCTCGGCGTCCTCTTCGGTATCGACGCATCGCGACACGCAGCAGGACAAGCCCCGTTATTCAGTCCTCCCGACGACGGCACTGGTAGCGGTGGTAGTGGTAGTGGTAGTGGTAGCGGCGGTAGCGGTGGTAGCGGAGGAGGCAATATACCTCCCGATAGTACTGGAGGTGGCCATGGCGGATCTCACTCAAACGATACAGAGTTGGGAGTGACTGTGTCAACGTATTGCAGTTTGACATATGGTATTTTGCCGCCGGCGAAGGGGGGATTAAATTATTCGCGTGAGTATTTCGAATGAGTCGGTAGGATAATATTGACGTGCGCAGTGAATCCGAATCAATGGGGTGTTTTGGCTCAGGATGGTCCTGATGCTCCATCCGGCTTATGCATGAATGTACGTTTACCTCAGCGATCTGGGTGATGTGAGGAGCTAACAGCACAGGTAACAACATTCAACAACCAAACATATCCCACCAAAACCTCCGCCCCCGAGTGGACAGTTACATGGAAATACGATATGGGTCCAGAAACCCAACCCGTCCACGCATACCCCAATATCCAAGTGTTGGACGGTCTACCCGTGACGTTATCAGACGTCAAAGCCGTCAACTTCGACATGGCATGGATATACAACTTGGGAAACGAGACCAAACCAACTTCAGATACACCCGAGTTCGACTCGATCTCACTCAACACCAACGTCGCTATCGATATGTTTTTTGACGGCAACGAAACGAATGCAAGCAACAGCTCTCTAGCCGCGTACGAAATCATGGTCTGGTTTGCGCATTACGGTAATGCGGCGCAGGCTATTGGTAACTCGTCTGGTATCGTGGAGAGGAAAATCATCAATCAAACTGAATTGTACGTTTTCTCTTCAACATTAATGATAGAAAAGAACTAACGAATACAGCGACCTATATCACGGCTCACACATTATAGACGGCAAGACGCAAAACGTCTTTACATGGGTGGCATCAGAAAACATAGAGTCGTTCTACGGCGATATATCGCCACTAATCACCGAGCTGACCAGCAAGACCGGCACCGAATATCCCAAGGAAAGCGATTATATGGGATCCTTTGGTTTTGGGACAGAGGCATACTCCGCCAATCAATTCGTCACCTTCCATGTTCCCAGACTTGAAGTAAATATTCAGACTTGATCATGTATTATTATATACTATACAATCACGATACCTAATGATAATAGACGCTGTTTCATTTTTCTTTGCAACCTTGAAATGAATCTACTTCCTCAAAACAACGCCCTTCTTCCTCATAGACCTCATCTTCTTGACTGAAGAACCCCTCTTCGTCAACAATGCACCTCCCTCCTTCAACGCAATCTCCCTCCCAGGCCCAAAGTTAGGGTTTCCACCCAGCGTACCAAAGATATCCCCAATATAATTATCCGGCTTAACGCCACATTTGAATGTTTCTTCCCACTCGTTCAAAATCCCCTGCACAACATGCACACCAGCCCTGTAGATGTTTTGGATGGCAATCTCAAATCCATCCTGATTCGCATACAGGATATGATACGCGGCATCCTCCCCAGGATAAGGACGGTCAAAATCCGACGCCGTACGCATAACAATTATCCGCGCAAAATCAACTTTTTTGTGTAGTGCGGCTCGCGTAAGGACTTCCAAGGTCGCATTATCTTCCTGCGCAGTACTGCAATACGTCCCTGTACCGTTGGTGAAGATCCTCGTCGTATTATCGAATGCCTCACTGAGCAAATTACCAGTATAATAAACGTCCGACGTGGCAACGTCACATTCTACCACAGAAGGCGGCTTTGCGCCTGCTTGATAAATATTCACGCCTTCACCTTGCAGGTATTGTGCGCGATAACTGGCTGCTTGAGCGGAATCAGTCAAATTCCCCTTTCGAGCGAATGCGACCGCTTTGGAGCGTAGGTTGACGTTTACTTCGAATACCTCGGTGCCGTAGATACTTTCCGGGTATTGGTTTGGTCCGTACGAGCCCTGAGCCCAGTATCCCGTTGACCAGTTGGAGGGTATTTCCCGCGCGTCAAGTTCGTACTGTAGTGCGACCTGGATCGCGTAACGGGCAAATGTTACGGATCCGGTTGTTGCGACTTCTGGGTTGATGCCGGCAATTCCACCGATGAAGAAATATGTGGATGTTAAATCGAATTTGTCGCTAAAGGCGACAGATGATATAGTAGTGGCGGCGTTGATTTCGCTCTCGCCGGTGATCAATTGGCATATTTCGTGGTTCTCGGTGCAGTGGACGTGTGGGAAGAGAGGAGAGAGGCCTGGGATGCTGATGTTGTGTGCTAGGAGGTTGAATTCGGGGATCCCCCACCATACTTCTGCTTCGGGGGCGAACTGTCTCTATGTCAATTGATGTGCAGAGCTAAGAAATTAAGGTGGATGTACCATTGAGATGATAAACACCTTCGGAGCAGGCTTTTCGCAGTCACACCGTTCATCTACAGGTGCTGCCCCGATGAGGGTGGGCACAATGGCCAGACCGGCTAGGAGGTGCTTCAATGCGAGCATTTTGATATTTCCAATGTACACTGACACTGCAATTCTACAAAGAACGTACCTACTATCATTATATACACCCGCCATGAGAGAAACATTCCGAAGCTATCCTACAATAATTCCTTATCGGGCAACCAGCACGCCTATCACTTTGAAATCTACACTAAATTTGTTAGTTATTTCTTAGCTGCTACGCCATAGTCAGTGCGTATCTCGACCGTCCAGGAACAACAACGAGATAAGAATACGAGTCGATGAACGAAGGATTCTGGAAGAGTGACTGATGTGGAAGGTCCTTGTTCCTTAGTACGACGTCGGAATTCACCGATCGAAAGCTCGTCTGTTTAATCAATTCGTTATCTTGATTGATTAATTGTGGAGGAACTAGGTTAGGGCAATGATTCACGGAGGGAAAGCTTCTTCTTATTGCCTGGCCTCCGGCTACTCTCCAGCTCGAATTGTCTACACCTATCTTGTGCAGTGATGCTCGCGTGCATGATGATAATCGATCTGACATCACATTTTACGCGATCAGTACTACTATCTACTTACCTAGTAATTATCTAGACAAAATCCGGCGCATAAACGACCTGTCCGTCTCCACAGTTACATACAGTATCCATCGCCAACGGAGAGTCGGAGCACGTAGCGCTATTTTGAACTAGACGATTGCGTAGTTATATTTGTGTGACGCTCGCTTGCGTTGGAATTGAAGATTATTTGAGCATAATCCTAAATCAATTACAGCTTTGATTTCGGTTTGGTCTGTTTTGCTTCTTGATGTGAGTATTTGTGTTGATGGGGAGAGTTGCATGATATGCACATCGCTGGGGCTATGAGTGATGACTCGGTCTCGATCGAGTTGTTCGCCATAGGCCCAGAATGCAGTTCATCCTCTCGTCGAAGCTGGCGCAACCTTCAGAGCGTCTTGGCAAATTCTACATGAATACTCCGTACAACGCCCTATATAGTGCCATCTTCTCAGGGATCAATTCCGCTCCGAACGGACGCAACTTCTTGTCCTTAAATTGCCGAATCTTTGCGAGGTATGTAATATCAGCCCTGGAGCACCATCTATAGAATAATACAAAAAATGATACAAGTATAATAGTAGGAGTACACTATCAAAGAGACGTTGCGTCGAGAATGTTTTGAAATAGTAACAATTACAAGTGAAAAATCACTAGGCAAAGCCACGAGTCGAGTGCACAACTGCAGCCCTCAAGCCCGCAAACACAGTTTCCTAAGAATGTTACCGAACCAATAAAGGCGCTGCGCAGCTGCAGTATTGACCTTGAGGCTGAAGCATGGATTATTTGACACCCATGTTGCTCGTGTCATAACCCTCCTATTCCAAGTAAAGTCTGAATCGGAAATCTTCGTCTTCTAGGGTTTCGGGATGCCACGCCAACGTTGGTAAGCTTACGACTGAATGATAAGGGGCTAAACTCACATCCGGAATCAGAAACATAATAACCAATGCACCAATTACGGAGAATGCGCTGCCAGTCAAGAATAGCACCTGCCGTCCCTTGTTGTATCCTCATAGGAATTATAAGCAATAGTAAGCACAGTCGTGCCAATTGCCGACCCAGCCTTCCCAACAGCAGCCGCAAACCCAAGAAATGACCTCGAAGTGGCGTCGTAAACGAGTCCGATGCCACCAAGAAGTTACAATCACCGGGCTCAACAGACAAAAAGCTTTGGAAAAACCCATATAGCACAACAAACAGGGAGAACACATGGCTGAGAGGGTATCGCGCTCCGCTAATGATAAACCCAAAGACACACATAATCGACCAGCCAACGACATAAGTCTGCGGCCGTCCGATCCGATCCGTGAGCCAGCCACCGAAGATTGCTCCGGGAATGACAAAGGAGTTGATCAGCACGCTCCATCCACACTCTTGGGTAAGGTCGGTTGCTTGCTGAATCCGCTGACCAGCGTAGGAGCAAGGGGGTTGAAGGGATACACGACAAAGTCGTATAGAAACCAAGCCATAGAACCGCCCAGCAAGAGGCGCCAATAGTTCCTTAGTGCGAGTATATACAAAACTTTGTGCTGGATCGCGTGTTTGGTATACAGCGTCGAATTGAGTAGACGCATGCGGAAGAAAAAGATAGTCAATGGGAACTTTTCGGTCAATTAGCGGTGGATTAGTGTAGGTACAGGGGTTAGAAGACTAACAATGATGCCAATGCCAAAGCATATTCTCCAGATTTCGTCGCTAGCTTTGTTATTGTACGCGGCAATAACGATCAACGGCACGATACTCGAAAATGTAAATCCGGCAACGATGGCCAGGTTGGTCGAGACAGCTACCAAACACCCCCTGCGTTTCTGTAAGGACTCTCCTCCATTGTCGGCGGATTCCAGGGCTTGAGCCGTATAAACTGTGTATTGACCGCCTCGGAATAATTAGCTTTGAACTTTTAAAATCTTGGGTGAGAGATAAAGCTACCTACTCCAACGCCTGCAATGTCTCGAGATATAATGATCATCATAGCATACCAGTGACAGTTTTTTTTTGCTAAAAGCTGTGGAAATAGCAATACCCTGAAAGTCACGTCAATCGTCAATTCAGGAGGGTATGGAAAGATATCTATACATACCAGAACAAGGAAAAGGGTTGTCAAGATAATCCCCACGCGTCGCCCGAACCGATCAATACACAGTCCAAATAGGATCATGCCAACAACTTCTCTCACTAAGATGGAATTCGATAGACGGCTTTGGATACTACTTGTGAGAACTCTTGGATGTCTGTCAATAGGAGTCAGCATGTGAATCTTGCCTGGCTTGGAAGCGGCTCTTACAGCTTTTGCCATGATAGTTTCCATATACCTAATGATTTGCACACTGTAACCGTCTGAGATAAGGGCAACACCTTGGACCAAAATATTCCAAGAAGAAATTATTCATGTATAACTAAGGGCACTAAATGCCTGTAGGACCGACATGAGCACGCCACGACAGCCTTTCCTGAGCCAGATGGTTCCGTGAAGGTGGTTGAGTTTTCGACTTCACCATTGAGTCTATTGTACCAGCCCTTCGATATATGGTATCAACAGATCGAGAGCACAGACATTGAGATCCATTCTCATCCGTTTGGAAACTCCAAGTTTGGCGTCTTAACGTTTGACACTTCGGTTACCGATCATCTGACTGTCAAATTTGAGCTTATCGTTGATGGTAAAAGTGCTTAGAATTATACATGGACGATCTAAACTGGAAATTGTGTGTGCTGAATGTTCAGTACTACCTGTAATAGGTTAGGATCAGGTTCTAATGGGAACATTGTCTTCTCGTCATAATATTGTCTTCGAAATACCTTTACAACGATAAAGAAGTGGGAAGAAAGTGTACATATACAGGTCCTATCCGAAAGACCGGGCTGTAACAAGTTTTGTGAATCCCTTACTAGAATATTAGTGGGAGTGTATACTATTCAAGATTAAACATTATTGTGACTTAGTTAAGGGGGTGGTTTATTGCGGCTTAAGAAAGGGGCCCGGTTGGCTGTGTTGAAGATAGGAAAAACCTACACTTCACTTTAATGAAAAAAAAATTGAGACGCAGGTTTGAACTTGAATACAAGATTGTGAAAGGACTAAGCAGACTCCTTAATATAAGGAATACCGGTAAGCGTAAACGTCCGCTCGTTCAAGACAGGATCCTGCACAGGTCCAGTACGATTCTTGGGACACAGCTTCCCATCTCTCATCGCATCATTATTTGGCGCAACATGTCTTGCATTTGGCCAGTGGGTCGTTCCCAGGCGTTCTATGCTCGTTAGTCTATCCACAAGAAAACAAGGGGAGAGGGGACATACTTTCAAAGGCGTCCTTCTTCCTTATCAAATCTTCCTGAGAAACATCCTTCACAGGCATATAACACGTATAAACCGCCAACCGATCTTGCTTCATGGTCGGCGGAACATTATAATGCGGCGTCCTCGAATCCCAAACAATCAAATCCCCCGGTTCGGCGCATACTTTTTCCCACTTCAAGCCGTGATCGGATAGCCATTTCATCCCTCTGTCGGTGAAGCCATACCATTCAGATGTCCAGGCGGGAATACGTGGCTCATCGGCCATTTCCCGATGGAATTGTTCTGACAAGACATGTCCACCCTTGCAGACGATAAGGCCGCCGTCATTGGGACCGCAGGGGTTCAGATTTACAAGGCCCTGGAGACAACGGAAGCCGGGTTTGGAGGGGTCTTGGTCTTGATGAGGCCAGGGTTTGTTTGCGGGAAGGTCTTCGCGGCTTTCTGCAGTCAGCATTTCCGTCTAAATAATATGTTTGAACTCTCGCGTGGGCGAATACTTTGCAAATCCAACATTGACCACATCGAACGAAACAATCAGATCATCATCTGCATAAACCTTGGCAAATGCATCGATAACACCAGGCTCGCCCCGAATATCCCATACCCACTGTTCATGGGTAACCCCATAGTTGAGTATCATCCCCTTTTCATTGATGACGGGCAACATGTCCCGTTTGACAGTAGAAGGATCATCACGTTTGAATCCGAGGCCACTTATCTACTATTAGACCTTGACCATGAATGGCAGAGATGTAGAGGAAGCAGACAAATCTTCAATATAACTCCAAAAAGCATCCGCGTATTTATCAGCTCGATCACGCGGAATCGCGCCTTTGATAACTGCGTATCCGTCTCGGTTGAGCTGATCACGAAAGTCATTGTAGTTTGTCGGCTGCCCATCGAGATCCATCGGCCCATTTTGGCCCTGAAGGGTTATTGTTTGGCTTTCTGTTGCTGTAGCGAACATATTGTATTGTTGATATTCCCAAGGTTGATTGAAGTAGCACTTGGCTTGGTGATGAAGGATGAATTTTGACTTCCGTTTAAATGCTCGAGTCCTAACTATTCTTCGAGGCGTAGAATGTATGATCCCAGTCATCAGACATCGTCTTTGATCGCTTCATTATCCGTCTCATAGTACACGTGCCGTTCGGAGGCGGTTCGGTCATCCTCCTCGGGGCTTGATTAGGGTTCACATCGGAGCTTTAGCGGCCGAGTTGATGTTCGGATAAGCTCCGCCTTCAGTATAGACTTATAGTTAAGCCTTGTCATCTTTAATGAGCTATATGGAGCTTTCCCCGCATTAAGGCCATGGGGCGAGAGCAAGGACGTGGTGAATGAAGTCGGAAAGTGGAGTGGAGGCCTCGGGAGAACAATTTCCATAATAGCAGAGATCTCGGGAGGTGGAGGAATAGGAGACAGGTGTCATAGCACGGAATGAAGATATTGCGACATCCATCTTCCTGGAGAATCAAAGTAGTAGACGAATCGTTGCACTCTTCAGTGACCGTTCTAAATTCATCATGGCCAGCGCATTTAGAATCATCATCGTAGGAGGCGGCATAGCAGGCCTGGCTACAGTAAACCCTGCCCCTACGTATCCTTGACTACGATGATTCTAATCTTAGGAATAGGCTATTGCCCTCCGATCGTTAAACCGCAAAATTATTGTCCTTGAACAATCCTCTTTCAACCGCGAAATCGGCGCCACCATCTCCCTCCAACCGAACGCCTCCAAAATCGTCGAAAGGACATGGGATCTATCCAGACTCCTTCACGAAAAGGGCTCGATGATGGATGAAGGATTTCAAGTCTATAGCCTGGATGGAGAGCTGCAGTTCCGTATTCCGCTTTCGACAACGGAGAAATATGGTGCGGAGCGTATGCTGTATCATCGTGTTGATTTACATGATGCGCTGAAAGAGCGGGCGACGTCAGACAAGTGGCCAGGTGAACCGGCTCAATTGCATGTTTCGAGTCGTGTTACGCATTGTGATTGTGAAGACGGAGTTGTGTATACAGAATCTGGGCAGACGTTTCAATCCGATCTGATCATTGGTGCGGATGGAATCAAGAGTGTCGTTCGTGATTCAATCCTGGGGACAAAAGTACCTGCTTTACGCACAGGGCATTCAGCATATAGAATGATTCTCCCTGTCTATAAGCTCCTAACAGAATGCAAGGCATTTTGTGACGTAGTCGACCCTACAGCTTCATATACGACCATGATAATGGCCCACAACAGAAGAATGATCATGGGCCCGGCCCGAAATGGATCGGTATACAGTATCGTTGCCATGGTTCCAGACGAAGGAATAAATGAAGATGCCTCAAATACGAGTTGGACGACACACGGGGATATTAAAAAGATGCGAGAAACTTTTGCCGACTTTCCTGAATGGGCGCGTAGCCCCTTGTCGTTGGTTGCAGATGGTGAAGTTGGGCTCTGGCAACTCCGTGATATTGATCCGTTACCAACTTGGACGAAAGGACGAGCTATACTCGTTGGTGACGCGGGACATGCAATGTTACCAACTCAGGGTCAGGGCGCGAGTCAGGCTATTGAAGATGCGGAAGCCGTTGGTGCATTTTACGCCGATATTGCTAGCACTATTGCCGGAAAGAAGGCTCCTTCCTTCGAGCAGATAAAAACCATCAATGAAAAGATCTTTGCGTGCCGGTATCAGCGAGCTACGACTATCCAGCAGTATAGTCGACAAGCTGCTAAGCCAGCTACGGAGGAAGAAAGTGCAAAGATTAAGATGAGTCCGAGTGAGTTTATGGATTATAATTGTAATTATAATGGAGCTTTGGAGTGGGCTAGAGAACAGGAAAAGAACCAGGAGAAAGACGTAGAGGTGAGTGTTATCGGGAGAGAGGTGAAGGCTGGGGCACAGGAGGTATCTGTTTAGATTCATACTTGATATTATACTTTCAATCATTTCATTAGTAGAGTATTTGACAGCGGTTTAAATTCAATCTTACATTAATTGCTTACCGTGGTGTTCGACCTGGTTAAATGAAGAATTATGGATATCTGCCAACTAGAGTAAAAGTTATGCCTGCGCACTAGATGGTAGCTATATAACGGATTTACAGACCGGAGAAGCTGTATACCGGTGGATCTTTCTTTAATGTAGATAAAGAATACCTAAATTAAAGAATTGGTAAACAAGGTATATCGATTATGCCTTGATTCGACCTACGTATCCGTAGGAAGTTGAAACTCTCTCGAACTTTATCTCATTCGAGAAACGTGTAAGGTGTACACTAGACACCAGGGATATTCCAACTATAACACATGCCTAAAGATATGCAAGTCAATCCCTTGCAAACCGCCCAGTTACATGACGAATCTTCTTCCCCCAAATATAAATCGGAATACCCAGAACTCCCAAAGCAGCCGTCAGTGCACCAAAAGTGCCAAAAGCCCCATCGTATCCATGGCTAGCAATAAACGGAGCAGTTCCATAACTCGTTCCAAACGAAATAATGCCTCTAAAAGCACATACGATAACCAACAATGGGCCTGCGCGTGCTGGATAGCTGTCCAACAGGTAGGTAATAGCAGCGATATTTGCACCTACAAAAGTAAAATAGTATGCTGCGACGGCCCACACGTAGACAAACCAATGATACTTTTCCGGATGGGATCCTCCTTGACCATATAGAACAGAAGTAAAAGTTCCGATGATCATAGGGATAATCAACGGAATCAAGCGTACTTCAGGCTCGTGTAGGCCGCCATTTCGTTTTGCCATGCGCTTGATGAGCCAGTCTGAACCTTGTCCTAGGAGTGGTAGTGCCACTAAAGCAGTCGCTATCTGGCCAATGTTGGCGTATGATGCGCTCTTATTAGGCCAGTTATATGGCGGAGCGGTGATGATGGCACCATAAGTCGTTCCGATGGCCACGTTGGTTCCGAGGGTAAGACCATTGACCAGGAGTGCCCAGATGACGTTTGGGAAGAGGAGAAGTTCTCCAGTTTGCTGTGAAGTCGTGTCAATAAATGTTTATAGCCCGGAAATTGGGGCGATTACCTTGAGGACAATCCAAGTTGCAGCCCAATCAGGGGTTCCTTTCCATAAGCGCAGGTCCGACCTCCACGTGCGTGGAGAATAGTTGACATAATCCAATGGAGGCCGATTCATGCAAACTTGTACCTCCCTTTTAACGGATGCTCCCTCAAGATTATCCGTTGTGGAGTCATCTGTGGAAGAAGAACTTCCCTCCTGATATGATGACAATGGCCGGTCATACTTGGTTTCAGGCAAGAAGAAGAATGTTATAATAAGCTGGATACCACTCAGTATAGCACCTAAACCATACCACCACTGCGGTGTGATGGCGCCGGCAATAGGACTAGCGAAAAGCACCCAGATGCATGTCAAGATGGCTTGGAACGCTAACTGGACGGTAATTGCTGTACTGCGTTCGTGCAAAAAGAATATCTCCTGAGAAACCATAGGCACGACCGACTCGCTTTGTCCTGCTGCAAGTCCGAGAACCATTCGGCATGCGAGTTGCCATTCATAGGTTTTGGCAACAGCGCAAAGAGCTGCAGAAATCACTAGGATAACTGTTGAGCCAAGGAATACGATGCGTCTGCCTACTCCGATCGCAAGCGGCATGCCGACGATGTTACCAATTCCCCTGTCATAATCAGATACCAGGCTAACACCTATAGGCTTTCACAACATACATAAAAAGTGATGGGTAAGTCATCAACATGGTTATATCGTTGTAGTCTTTACCAGCTGCAGCATACTGAGGGATGTAGAAGCCCAAAAGGCCACCAAATCCGGAAACAAGAGACAGACCGAGCGTTGAGACTGGCAGAAATTAGTAATTGTTCAGACAGGAGATCCGGGATGACCCACAAACAGAGATGACAGCAAGAATGACACATTTCTGCCACATGGGTAGGTTCAATGGATCTGCAAGCGCATTGAGCATGCCATTTCACATATCAGAATAGGCAAGGTTATACTAACCTTGAGGATCTGCTGTCGGTGTCGGAATATAGACAAGTTCCCCTTCAGTCAACTTCACTGTACCCATCGTATGCACCTGAGCTACCTCCACCTCGGTGCCCATGGAGGGGTCTGCTTCCTCAACATGGAGTGAAGACAGTTTGTCAGAAGTTCGCTTGGTGTCTGCCATATTTGACTCTGATCTGGGTCAAGTGCAAGTGAAATTGTATCAATATAAGGACGGCTGCGAGAAACTTGATAGTTTCCCGCCAATACTGATATAGTCTTGGAGTCTTGACACCACTATATCAACATGAAGAGGTCAAAGACTAGCTCTATATATGTTAATAGCTCTGATATAGTTAAATCTCCATGGTGGACAACTCTGTAAAGCGTCGGCGCGCCTCATGTACGCAGTCATAAATATCCATTGCACACAAAATGGTCCCGAAAGCTTCTCCACGACGGGAGGGAAATAGACCTGGGGTAATGGGAACAAAGTCATGGAGGAAAGCCCGAGCGTTACGGGGCTGCTGAACCATGGGTTGGCTCCGACCACTGTCCGGAGGATTATTCGGTGGCTAGTAAGCAAGCCCCGAGAATTTTGTGAAGCGTTCCCCCGCAGTATTCAAATCTGAGCAGAGCGAACCCCACAGGGCAGAAGTCATACATTTTTTGATGTTGGGGAAGTACTCCCGGTGAGCCCGATCCAATAACGGATTCCTTTTGAATAACTACGTAGTCGATGTAGTTAGATCATCACCAAAAGTCCTGTGCATTAAGTAAGTAACCAGAGTGTTGGTAATGTTACAATCAAGCTCGCTCTATCTCGAGGAGAATATTCGCAGCATGCACAGTCTGCGCCCCAGAACAATACAAATATTTTGAGAGAATAGACAAAAATAAGCCACGAAGACACGAAAGTAATCGTTCTTGATTTATTCTCAGCTAAGATAGATACAGTGGATACTTGGGCTTTCCCATGTGTTTGATCTCAGGCATACGCATCCACTCCAGCCAACTGCAGCAAACGGTCCGTAATCTCAGGCTTTTCAAATGGCTCTGTACGATACTTAGGGCACACTTTGCCGTTTCTCATAGGTTTCTCAGCTGACGGCCGAATATTACTATAATCCAAATTAGCTATTGCTCTGGTTTATACCTAGGTATAAAAGGGCCATCAACATACCAATGTGGCCAGTGTGTTGTACCGAGCCAGTTTTCAAAACATTGCTTTTTCAATTCCAATGCTTCTTCGGTTGCGAATCGTCGAGGTGTCATGCAAATGTACTGAACGTGTCGTATCTGATCACCTTGAGGTAACTCGGCGTAATGAATGGTGCGAGAGTCCCACAGAACAAAATCGCCAGGATCCATGTTGATCTTGACTAGTTCGCAACCACGCTCCTCAAACCATTTGAGGTCATCCTTATGGAACAGGAAGAGGTCCTGGTACTTCAGCTCCGGTGGAGGAGCGTCTTCATGTAGATATGACTCTCGATCCTGGGAAAAGTATTCATCGAATAATTTGGCAGAACCTTTCATCAAGACCAGACCTCCGTCCTTGGGGCCATTTGGCGCAAAGTTCAATAGTCCTTGCACAGCTTGCATTCCCTTGCGAGCTTGGTTTTGGTCACAGTGTGGCCAGGGAGTCCATGTAAGATCTTTTCGTCGGGGTAAGGAGATATTCAGGCCATCGAACGATGAAATCAGTTCCTTTGTCTCCCATAATTTCTCGAATATCTCGATAACAGCAGGCTCCATGCGGGCTTCCCATGCCATCTTTTCGTGCGGTGCCGCGTATGCGTAGTACATTCTAGGAAAGTTTAATGGTGTTGATTCACCGGTGATTCTTTCTAGGGCAATAACTCACCCTCCCTTGAAGTTGACTGGCAAGTGCTCAGCTGTCCATGTCCTCTCATCCTTTTGATCAAATCCCAAGTCAAACTTATAAAGCCATTCAATCTGCTTGTTGCAGTAATACTTGGCCTTTTCAGGGCTGATGACATTCTTGATCACGACACAACCATTTTCGTGAAATTCATCGCGCCAATCTCCGTAGACTCGAGGCTCGAAGTGGACGAGATCTTCGGATTCGCGCAAGGATTTCTGCAAAGCGGCCTTTGCCTGAATCTCAGTTTCCTTGAGGGACATTTTGATAAGTACTTGAAATGTGTGGTTTGAGAGTTTTTCAAAAGCGAAGAAGACTTGTAGGCTCATCAGACGAAAGGAAACTTGAATACTAGAAGTAAATAACTAATGGATATCAAAACAACAACGCTCCCCCGCTTATTGATTGAGAAATGGGTTTCGGCGATACTTGATATTTTATTAGCGGCCGAGCCCTCGGAGGACTAACGCCCGAGAGCTTCCCCCAAAATAAACTCTCGGGGCTCAATTTCGGGGCCTTGGCGTGCCCTAAGATAAGGCTCGGGGCTCATTCGTACTTTGAGCTATTCCAACATCCCCGCATTCTCCTCCACGTCTTCACCGACTGATACTCGGCTAGCATGGAGAAATGGGTCGTGCAGTTTTCTCATAATCAAAAGGAGACTGGAAATGAGAAGTATAGTTCGGGGCATGTGCGACGAGCCTGAAGGATTCCAATATTGTTGCTCTATAACTTCGGTTGGCAGTCCAAAGTAATATTATTATTTTGCTTCACCTGAGTTATTACGTCAGTTAGTATTCCAATCTTAATTCTTATCAGACCCTTCACAAAGCTACACAATCCATCATGCCTCCCCCTCCTCTCCAAATCGCATACAAGCGTATCAAGCAACCGGCCCTCGGTGAAAACGGCTACGCGGGCTTCCAACCTGGCCAAAAGGAAGTTCTACCTAAGGGATGGAATGGTTTCAATGCAAAGCCTCTCAAAAGCGACATTCTCGTTGAGCACGATGTTGAAATCGTGGTACGCGACGGTGCTAGGCTGTATATTGACGTATATCGTCCAGCGAACACAACGGAGAAGGTTCCCGCGGTCCTCAGTTGGTCATTCTATGGAAAGAAATACAGTTCTTTGGAGATGCTTCCCATGACTGTCTGGAAGTGCTGCGTTCCCCGTGAAGATCTTAGTGGCATTGAGAAGTTCGAGGGTCTTGATCCGCAAACTTGGTGTCCACGGGGGTATGCAATCATTAGCGTCGACACACGCGGCGCAGGACATAGTGATGGCTTGATTAGTGTCATGGGAACTCAGGATGCAGAAGATGGATACGACGTGGTCGAAGCAATAGCGAAAATGGACTGGTGCAATGGTCACGTCGGAATGGCTGGTAATTCGGCATTGGCCATTTCGCAATGGCTCATCGCATCTCAGCAGCCACCTTCGCTGAAAGCCATTGCTCCCTGGGAAGGATCTGGAGATATTTACCGAGAACAATTCTGCCGTGGTGGTTGGTTCTTCATGAGCAATTTTGATCTCATAGCCAATGCCATTGTACGCGGACCGACCAACTCAGGGTTGGAAGATTTTGAAGAAATGTACCGCCGCTCGAATGTTTCGAATGCATTCTGGGAGGATAAACGAGCCGATATGACAAAGATCCAGTGCCCTGTTTACATCAGAGGAAGTGACGTATCCGCCATTCACACAATGGGCAGTGTTCGTGCATGGTTAGAAATACCGCATTCAAAGAAGTGGATTCGCTGGGGAAGTAAACAGGAATGGTATGAGCTATACAGTGAGCCTCAGTCGGAAAAGGAGCTATTCCTGTTCTTTGATCGCTACTTGCGAGGAAATAAGGACAATGGCTGGGAGAAGACCCCAAAAGTACGCTGGTCAGCACTTCGATTCGGCGATCGTCCAGCTATCGACGACATCATTCTCGAGGATTTCCCGGCTCCTAACACTGAGTATCGGGAACTCTTTCTCGCCAAAGATGGTCTCTTACGAACAGAAGCCCCATCTAACACCAGCGTCGGAACTGTTTCGTATAACTCAGAACAACGGGAGTCTATTGCGGAATTCTCTTACACTTTCGACAAAGCAAAGCAGCTCATCGGTCTCCCTAAGGCTATTCTGTATGTCTCCAATGAGAAACAAGACGACTTCACCGTCTTTGTCATCCTTCGTAAACGAGATCGGAATGGAAAGTTGCTCATGCACTTGAACTTTCCCATCGAAGCAACTCCTGTCAACTCTATTGATGAGATACCCGAGAAGGATAGAATGAGTACAAATCTTCACCTGGGATCAACTGGAATTTTGCGTGCATCACATCGTGTATATGATTCTGTTAAGAGCATTCATCCCCAGTTCCCCTTCCATCCACACATGAAGCAAGAGAAGGTAAAGCCTGGGGAGATTGTGAAACTGGAGATCGGAATATGGGCTATGGGTTATGATTTTGAAGAGGGAGAGACTATCTCCTTACAGGTATTGTTCTTCTTTCCTATGATCGTGCGGCTTATTGTTGGGACGAGAACATACTGATCGATAAACTAGGTTTCCGGGCAATATCCAAGTATCGCAGAGTTCAAGAGCTTTTCCCAACCTCGGCCGCAGCATGAGTTGAACAAAGGTCTGCATACGATCCATATTGGAAAAGAATATCCCAGCTCGGTCATCCTGCCTTTCATTAAGCAGTGAATGGGAGAGCTGGGACGATATATTGTTTCTTGGTATCTAGCTTATCACGGATTATTTTCTATGGATACATGGCACATGTAATTCAGTTGACAAATTTGTCTGGGTTTATGATAAATCAGTATACGGCCTTGAAGCTGTCAGTATTCGACATTGATCAAATCAAGATATGTTAATGTACAGAGCGTAATAAGTCAATTTAAATGCGTAACAACACCGCTTCAATCCTCACTCCGTCCCCAGTCCCTCCTGGATAAATTTGACTGACTCAATGAGATGAAAAAAATGATCCAACGGCTGGATATTTTCATTGAAAATCAGCATGAACTGTCGAGAGAGTCTGGACTTCCTACCTACCAGAATAAGTCTCCTGAGATCGCGTATACGAGTGTATATCTGTTGTTGAGATAATGCTTGTCTCATAGAATAAGTGTAGCATGCTATCACCAATGATATTGTTACAGCTGACCATTAAATGGACCTTGTATTGAGGCTTATGCTCCTCTGGGGCTCCGCCGATGTCCCCCGGAGGCTAGGTAAGATACCGAGCAACTGAATCGTATGACACTCTCGGGATACTAAGAGGTGCCGGTCAAGAGGATAGCTCCATTATCGGTGTACTCAATGATAGTTCGTGTATAAAATGGGTAATATATAAAAATAAAATGACTTCTTCCGTTCAGATCAACTTTTGATCATTTGACATGCCCGTTTTTATCATCTGAACACAAGTGATCGACAACTGCCGGCTATGACTGCCGAATGCTTATTGACAAGTGCCTCATTCCTCTCTTTCATGCAACCTGGAATTGATTCCGCAATTTTTCTTGTTTCAGCCAATTGTTCACTCTTTGACATCGGGGACAGTTTGGGGTTTGTAAATCGAATTGTGCGATTGGGCAAAATGAGATCCCAGCAGTCTTCCCCGCAGTCTTCTTCCCCACGGGGTCGCTTTGACCGCGGCCTGTTCAGTATCTTCGTTCACCACCCGATCTTCCGGGACCAAAGGCATATACGTTTTGCTTTGCATTGTATGTTGGCATGACGGACTGACTAGAGCACATTTATAGTCAGTTGTGAAATCATGCTTGGCTCGATATGGATCCTCGCCCCACGAAGAAACGCCTGTCCATGGCATGTAATAATTGCCGACTGCGAAAAGTGAAATGCGATGCAGATTATCCACGATGTCGCAACTGTCGAGTTCGCGATGAAATTTGTGCTACTTGTGATCCTCGGCGCCCCGGTGAACCTGTAGTGCGAGAATGGATTGTCACAGAGAAGATACAGGAACTCGACACAACCAAACATGCAGTATACGCCAGTCCTACTCCCTCTCTACAGCGACAATTATTTCCACAAGGTAATGCTCCAGGTACACAGACGGATCAATCTATAGCGGCCAGTGGACACAATGATCGATGTCCCTTTGCCCGGGATAACGAGCCTGGCCATACTCCTCTGCATGAATCTCCCGTACATCAACCATTTCACGTCAGCTCAAACACCGACCCGGAGTTGAATCGCACTAAGATAGTCGGTGGCAGCAGTTCGCAATGTTTGGCAAAATCATTGGACGTCTACCTCAAGTCAGTGCACCGGAAACCCATCTCCGATATGTTCAAATATGGAATGAGATATGCAGAAGAGTTTGACATTCCGTTGGAAGTCTCATTGCCACCATTACCAGTTTCTTCTCGCCTTCGTGCATATATTTCGACTTTTTTTGATCGTATTCATCCGTTGTACCCGCTATTTGACGTTGAACACTTCCAAGGGGTTGTCAACCAGTTGGTAGAATGGAAAGAGGAGCTCAAATCGATGCTAAGGGATCAAATACCATGGCTTGCAATCATTTATCTGGGTATTAGTATGGGCGCAGATGAACAATCTCGTAGTATCACTGCCGATGGGACGCGATACCTCCATGCAGCTGCAACTCTTCTCAGCCACGTGACATTTGTGCCCTATCTTCCCGCAGTACAGGCGCTGCTCATGTACACTATTGCCTATCGTGGACGAAACCAAGAAGGTCTGGGATGGCAAACCTTGGGAATGGCTATTCGTATCGCGCACACCATAGGCATTCATCGAAGAGCAGCCTATAGTGCTCCTCGTTCCAGTGATATGCATCTCATACCGAAGTATATACACGAAGGCCGGATCTGGGCAGTATGTTGCATCCTGGAAAAGTGCATGGAGCTGGAATCAGGACGGCCAACCTCAATCCCTTATTCATTTGCATGTGACGATATCCTACCGCCACACCTTCACGAACATGACGATGGGCAACTTCTTCGGTGGCAGTTAGGGCTGGCAGTGTATCAGCATGAAATCTCTCAACATATATACGGCCATACATTACGGAAACGCAGGGCACGCGAGATTCTACTAGACACGGCTCGACTTGATAAGTGCCTCTTAGACTGGGTCAACAGTATACCTCCTCAAACGCGGCCGGGAAATGACATTTTCTGTCCAAAGGGTGTCTTACATCTTGCTGCATTATTATCTATGATGTACCACGAGGCAATGATAACGCTCCATCGAGCAGCACTCATTGCACCCAATGCAAACTTTGAGGCTGAAGTTGAGAAGGAAGGTCCTGATGACTCGTCACGGTTTCGCATTCTCGGCGGAGAGTCGATTTGTATTAATAGTGCAAGAGCCATTGCGAAGTTGAGTATTGAGCTTTCGGACCAAAAGACAGATACAAGATTGATACCAATCGGCGTTCCATTGCTGGCGTGTATTGTGTTGGCTATCTATCAAATAAAGCATCCAGATAGCAGGATGCAATCCACAGATCTACCGGTGAGATTAGTCAACACTCCTGGCTTTCAGGCATAGATTTATTTGTGCTGATCTGATTTAGCTCCTGAAAACATGCCTAGAAATCTGCAGTGAAAAATGGATTGAATGTGGTCAAGATAGTCGTTTCATCCAAGGTAATCATACTTGAGTTGTGCTCCCGTCGGATGAGACTGACCCTGACTAGGCTTGTCAACAATATACGAGCGTGTCAGTGGATATATTAACTCTCAGAGAGCCAGCAAAATACCGAATGCGCCCCAAAATCGTACAACAACTGGGCATATTTTATCAGATCCATCACACTACACCAAAAAGTCGCGGGTCGCATCTATACAAAACACCCATTTTACTGACTTGAGTCAACAATCCTCTGGTTCTAATAGCGCAAATCACATACCCTATTCCGACAGTAGACGGCACGATACTGATGAAGGAAATGCCGCACATACAGTAGCACAACCGACGTATGAACATATTCCAAACGATGCACCTATACTATCTCAATATGACCATACGAAAGAAACTGTCAACAGTCAGCATGGCCATCTTCCACCGAGTGTCCAAGGTTATGACTGGCTGCAGGAGTCATCGCTACAGGGAGACAGCCAATTTCCCTTTGATGGATACAATGTTGAAGATTTGTGGGAGTGGATGCTTTATTTTGACTCGCAACCGGAAGGAGTGTCTGATACTTGCACTTGATTTGTAAGATTTTACTAAATTTGTCTATTTTTCTATACATCATCTCTCCAAGAGAGCTTTGACGCTCACAGGCTGGACTAGAGTGACCAGTATTAGATAGTTAGAACTTAGCAGGTCCAAGAGCGGCTCCATCCAATTGCTAGATGTTGGAGCTAGTTCTTTACATACACTCAACTGAATGCAGGAATATTCCCGCTATGTCAGAACCGTTATCCGGAAACTTTCTACCAGTTATTCTTGGCTTGCAGACACCAAGGCATTGCAGACAAGCACCCTAGCCCTAACTACGTCGAAATAATGGGGCCGAGCAGCAGCTCCGATTGGACCCGAATCCATTCCCCTTCCTAAAATGGTAGTTGTTTCGCGCGGACTTTGCTCGCGTTACTTTGTGCAATAGTCTTTGAGAGCTTTTGCTTTATTTATATAATCCTTACCGCGTCTTCTGTAAGAGCCTAAAAACAATGACGGACGTGAAACATCGATCAGCGAGTGTGGATGAAGCGATCGATGAAGATGTTGCCATACCGGAAGTCGCAAGACCCATCGGAGTCAGATTATACCTTGTGATAATATCTCTATTTCTTACTCTATTCCTGTCTGCTATTAATGTCACTGTTGTCGCAACCGCCTTGCCTACCATCGCCTCACATCTCAATGCTACTACATCCGAGTACACCTGGGTAGGCAGTGCGTATACTCTAGCCAGCACTACATCAACGCCATTATGGGCCAGATTATCAGATATTTGTGGCCGAAAGGGAGTTCTGATGGTAACAAATGTGACCTTCCTGATAGGCAGCTTGATATGTGCTCTGAGCGTCTCGCCGGCGATGCTGATAGGAGGCCGAGTTGCGCAAGGCTTGGGCAGTGGTGGTATATCGGTAGTTGTGACCATTGTGATTGGTGATTTGTTTTCCTTGAGAGAAAGGGCAAAGTATTACGCTTTGACTGGAATTGTATGGGCAATATCTAGTGGTGTTGGGCCGATGCTGGGAGGTGTGTTTACACAGACAATTGGCTGGAGGTGGTGTTGTAAGTTTGGCCACTTCTCGTGAAACTGATTCATCGGACTTATGAATAAAATAGTCTATATCAACCTTCCTTTCGATGGAGTTTCGCTAGTCTTCCTTTTCCTCGCCCTAAACCTCCCAACGAAAAGACAGTCATGGCAGAATCCCTTTTTCTCGTTTGACTGGGCCGGATCTATTCTGATCGTGGGAGGCACAATATGTTTTCTCTACGGACTAGAAATTGGTGCTAGCAAACAGCATACATGGGATTCTGCATATACCCTCGGCCTACTCATCGGCGGAATTGTTATTCTTGCCATCTTCGGCTTATATGAAGCATTTCATGCAAATAACCCAATCTTCCCTATTCGAGTCCTCAGAGATAGATCTATATTAGCATGTCTTTCAACGGCCTTCTTCCACAGCTTCATTTTCATCGCCTACGACTACTTCAATCCCCTATATTTCCAGACAGTCCTTGGAGTTAGTCCGATCGAGTCGGGGTTATACACACTTGCCCTCGTGCTACCATTATCTGCAATGACTCTCATCAGCGGTCTAATTGTCAAACGCACGGGGGCATATCGACCCATCATTTGGATTGCGGGAAGCATGACGGTCCTAGGGACAGGGCTATTCATTGACTTCGGACCATACCGTGCCGTATCAAAGATAGTTGCCTATCAAATCATCGCAGGGTTTGGAGCCGGGCCACTGTTTCAGGCACCCATGATCGCATTTCAAAGCCACCTTGTAGGGAAAGAAGATCTCCTTGCGGCGGCAATTGCAGCTTTTATTTTTTTGAGGAATTTATCAATGGCGGTGTCGCTGGTTGTGGGTGGAGTAATATTGCAGCATGGATTGAGTGACGATGCAGCATCGTATCTCAAGGATAGGGCCAGCTTGAATCCTAATGATAATGATAAGGGAATTATTGACGGTATAGTTGGTGGCTTCAGAGTTATGTGGATTTTCTATACCGCTATAGGGGGCTTGATGTTGATCTCTTCTCTTGCGATTGGAAAGAAGGATCTTGATAGTGACTCGGGTAAGTAGGGCACTTAATTTGGAATCGATTAAGAATACGTACGCAGGAATATAGACTTCCAAGGCAAAGATTCAATATACCTTCTCTTTTTCCATATTACACCCACGCAGAACCTAGCAGCGTCTGGTAACTGCGTGTTACCATCTACACACGAGAGCTGTGATTCCAAGCTCCCGTTTCCGTCTAGCAACGCCCTTACCCTTTATAGCAGTTTGATCTGAGTGCCTACTAGGTAAAGGATGAGAATACCTGCTTCTAGGCATTTCCAATCCCCTTTTCGGGGGGATAGTCGTAATATCAAGACTATACCATACTACCGGACTAATTGGCTTAATTGGAATATCCTTACTACATAATTCTATGCTTCATGGTCTACGGCAATGGTCCAACTGATAGTAACGTCATATATATTCCATAATAGATATAAGATTCTCATAAGCTATCTCACATACGTAGCTGGATACGAGTGATCGCATAAATTCAATGTTTCCTTGAACCTACTCATATACAAATAATCCAGATTCTTCCATATTATATGCAAGCTGACATACAAGTATCTAGGTAATCTAGATTCTTACAAGCAAGCTAATCTATCTAGTAGTTCTAGTGTCATCAATGTCAAAACAGATTAACCAATCACAATAAGATTTACTAAGTAACATTTCCCATTTTTATGCTCTAGCGAATCATCCTCCAGGAGGATCTATATTGACCCGAAGGGCTAAGTTTGTTTACTTAGGGTTTGGACTTTTGTCGAAAAACGCCTTACGGGACATGGGATAAGGCGTTTACCGACAAAAGTCAGCGTTTAACGATAGAAGTCATAATCAACACGGCAGATAGGGCATAGTGCTAGCTAGCGGATGCTTATACTCTTCTTTTATTTTTCAATTAGTTTACTAATCCATCATTCTAACATCTCTGACCCTATCCCCAACTTTTAACTATAGGGTATAACCCACTACTCGACTCTAGCTTTTATAGCACCACCTAACCAAATCAACATTCTTGCATGGCGGAGGGTCGATTGTTACTTGTATACCTACTAATTTTAAATTGGCAAGGAATATTGAGTCAAGATGCCTCAAACGAGTTCCCTTCCGGGAATGTCTCCGATAGTTCTGATACGTACAACTGTTCGAAGCGGTTGGCAAACCCAACCCCAGACCCATGTGTCATATCAGTAATGGCAATGTTATTAAACTGGAGCTTGTATCTTCTGTCATGCGCGGTTTGAGGATTTCGCGGACCCGCTGCAGAACATGAACAAAGTATTCGTGGCTGCGACCTGTGCTGGGAGTAGGGCGTGAATCTTGAAAATACTTGTACTCTTCGTCGCACAATAGAAGTCCCTGTAATGCTCGGGTGAGGGCGGAAGCAAAATAAGATGGTACCTTTACCTTGGATTCTAGACAAGGAAGAGAGCCATTGGCTCAAAATCATCGAGCCCGGACAGGATATTGCTTTGGAGCCGTCTGGCTTCTGCACGAGCTTTACTTTTCAAGCGGAGTCGACTCTTAGACTGCTCATTCTGATGCTAGGAAATGAAATTGAATCCATGAGTTCTGGCGGTGCATGTACTGTTCGTAGGTGGCTAAGAGGTACCGATTCAGGCACCCAAAAAGGAAGCACAACCACAAATGTGGAAGAGACCGCCATTTTTGAGCTGTGGAGAGAGGGATATGAAGAGGAACTCTATTTATGGGAAGTTGTCCAATTCAGGCGCATGATTCGTTTATCGCGGCCGAAACCATTGGTCTTCAGGAAATAGACATCGAAGCATTAATCAAGGATAGTAAGATACGTTGGTTCAACGGTATTCCGAAGTATTCTTGTCCCCAACACGGCTGGAAAGAGGACAAGAAGCCAAAGCAGTCTTGAGAAAGAACCGAGCAGGAGTCGAGGGAAGAGATATTATGGAAGCTGGCTTTGGCCGTTGACGCAGAAGTCGCTCTGTCTTTTGATTATAAGACCCTCCATAGGGTATGTCATAAAGTGCTCAAGGAGATTGTTGATAAGGCGAATCCATTATTAGACGAAGCAGCGAATGCCGAGGGCTTTCCAATAGACTGTGAGAAAATCCTGCCATACCATTTGCGTCAGGTGGTAGTGCAGGTTCTTGGGCGATTCTTTCGTTCTAATGGGAGAATCCTTAAATAGGCTTTTGGAATTGCTAAAATCATGAAGAGTGTCATTGATGTTGAGGGACGCGCTACTCATGATATGACTGGTAAATATTTTGTGACAGATTTGCGTTGTGCTTGTAAAGGCGATGGCAGTTAAACTGATTCAACCCTTTCGGTTCAATCTTCCAAAATCATACTATGCAGTGACCTTGATATTTGAATGTCTTCTCCTACCAGGTGTGGCCGCGCATTGTGGATTTCCCCCCAGTAATCTAATTGCCCTAGACAGCCCTTGGGATCATGCATCAAACAAGGCGCTTACTGTGCGACCTAAACACATATACCAACATTGAAATAATGGGACCGGACCGCCCAACAGTGATGTCTCGGGATCGTATTGGCAAGGAAAGTGCTACTACACAATTCGAAAGGTCTTTAACGGCAACCTCAATTCTCGCAAATATGAGTTTCTCTGTCTATATTTTCTATATAAAGGTGTAATTGCACATTATTTCTACGAGAATATTAGCATTTGATTATAGTTTCGAGCTTGACTCCTGCCTGGCCTTTTCAAAATACGTCTTTAAATGCACCAACCAATCATCGGACACAGAAGTCCTTGCTTCACGTCCAAGATCCAGCCATCCCTCATTAATTCTCTCTTCTTCCACCTTCCATCTTGTTATCTCCTGCTTCAACCATGTGGATGTCGCATCAGATACGCCGGATACAGCCTCAAATGGAAGATGGTGGCCTGCTCCAGGAAACGTGACCTCTTTAACCCTATTGCTCTTATAGCCACCGCTGCCTCCAATCCCGCTCCCAGTCCGTTCCACTTTTTCTGCTCGGAGATCTGGAGTTGACACTGGACTGGTTTCTCCGTACAGATACAGAACGGATGGCCGAACATGTTTTAGCAATGACCAGAGAATAACAGTTTCAGACCGATAAAAGGGGTGGGTTGCATCTGGAGGACCGATAATATCTGCGTAGAAAACCGCATCATGGGATTGCTGTGTACCAGGGTCTCTATTCGCGTTGAGCGGTTTCTTATTCTGGAAGTTTGGTCGCAGGTACATATTCACCTCTTGATGTCTGGATGTGGCGAGAGTGACTGCAGCCCCAGCTTCTTTGAAGGATTCATCCCCTGAGCGCAATTCTCGAAGACCGTAATCTAACCAGCGCTCAAGAACTCTCGGATCCCACTTCTTATAGGACTTTTTGAAATATTTTGCTGCCTCAGAGCGGGACGACCATACATCTCGTCGCTTGAGTGACAGTGAGACAAATATTGGCCCCTTTCCAGCAAGATGACTGCTCACAATCACGGGTTCCATGATGATAAGAGAAGTGAAAAGACGAGAATGCATTAAAGACAAAAGAGTTCTGCAGCGGCCTCGTCAGTCATCATCTGCCTCTGAAAATGTCTCGTTCAATCTATCGACAGATGACTTACAGTTGTCCAGCCCCAAGACTATGTCCGATTCCCACAAGCGGTCTCGGCATATCTGCTCTGAAGTGGTTGATCAAGTATAGAAGGTCTCGAGCATGATCGAACCACGAAGCTATCACACACCAGTTAGTGGGTTCCATTTTCGGTTGGAGGGGGTTTACGGCAACGTACGATCATTTCCAAGATTCTCTTCATTGAGTATCGCACTCGCGGATTGGCTTGCAGTATCAGCTATCCATATCGAACGGATCCGAATACCCTGGGTATCTAGTCTGGAATAAATTTCTTCCCAAATCGGCTCGTAAAGTTCCTATCATCAAGTATAATAGTTAGCAATATGTGCTTCATTTCTCGCGCAGTATCTTTGTCATTCTGCCGATTATTCTTCCACACTCAGGTTTCCGACTGACTTTAGGAAATCCACTCCCATGAGCTCCGATGATCGTGACGTCTCCTGACCGAGGATTTGGATTCGACTTTGGAATATATCTCTTAACTGCAAGTTTCAAGGCATCGTCTCCCGCCCTGGTCGCCCGAGGATATTCTCGAATGTGCTGGCCATCAACAACGTGTTCTGTGATAAGAAAAGGAGACGAATCCATGACAGATCTGGCTTAAAAGGAATTTTGCTCTCAATGCGAAAGTTAAAAGTTTCGAAAACCCCCTCCAGCGGAATTTATTGATTACACCTAGCCAGCTGCTAAGCTCCACTAATACGGTGCAGAGATATTCAAGCCCATTTCTATGTACGTACTACCTAGCTAGACAGGAGCAGTGCTATGCACCTCAGCTGGCGCCAAACAATCAATGGCTATATAGCCGAGAGAAGTGCATCATGCAGGTTGAGTCGCTCACTCCCATCTCCACTATCTTCTATGATCCTCCGCTCTTGGGCATTTTCGACCTTACAGGAGGCCCAGCAAAAGCCATATTCCACGCTGTATTCTTAAGAATGGCCCACAACAGAAAGCCACGTCGAGGTTGTAGGTATGTAACTTTAGCTTGTGTAACCGCAGTTTCTAGGAGTCAAGTACGTACGTTTAACCTTGTTTTGCAATGCTGTCAATCTAAAGAGATGCATGTACTTACTTATCAGGCCAGTTATTGACTTATACTTAACAGCGTGCTCAATGTCAAACCAAAATAATTCAATTTTCAGATTAACTTTTTTGATATCCTAAAAGATCAGTCACCCATAAAACCTCTCAAACGCTGGATCGGTAACTACCGAAGCCAACAGTCTCCAGCCAGCCAAACCAGGGAATATATATGTTAAATACCCACCTGCGATAAGTCTAATCGGCAATCCGAGTACTCAGGAATGATTGACTCAGGAATCGCATACAATAAAGCGAACTACTATAACTCCGTCGGGTAGGAAAGTCTCTTTCGACTCCACAGGCTGTATTTTCCGACTTGACTAACCGCAATTCGGGAAGGACATCTTGCATCTCGAAGTCGGGATATACGCATCTATCCAATCCCATCTTATTTACATGTAGCAACTGCATGAATACTTCATGAGCATATTGGCATATTGGCTACAAGAAATTGGACGGAGAAATAGCGCGAACTACAACATGGAAGTACTGTAGATGCTCGACCCACCAGACGTATACTGAGACTTTGTGACGATATTCACTACTACGGCACACTCTTGATAATGCGTAGAAACCGAGTGGAGAACAAGTGTATGCCGTGAGACATATTATGCACCGGCCTCACTCGAAATGCAGTCAAGTTAATAAGAGATCGGTCTAGAGCCTCCCGAGATCAACTTTTCTGCCCTGTAGATTGGAATGCATCACACACGGGACATTGCACCTAATTCATGTAGGTGACTAGGGCCATCTACTTGACGCCCCAAGTTGAAATCAAGACAATCAAGTCTCATTTGAGGGTAGCTACCTAACATAAATAGAAAACTTAAGTCAGTTCGCGTCGGTAGTATCCCATACCACATTCCCAGCCGAATCTGTAATTTCAATCCACGGACTCTGGTTCAAAAACGTCAACTTCTGACCCTTGCCTTGTGTACCAGTAACAAACTGTGGTTTCCCAGAAGCATAAGTAACGAAGTTCCCATCACCCTGGAAATCGCAGCTACAAGCGCTTGGATCCGAGCTGCACACTGACGAGGTATGTCCAGAAGCCCAAACGGGGACATAGGACCCCGTCGAAGTGTTGTAAGTGACGATATTGCCGTCACCCTGGTATTGGGTTACAATACTATTGTGTAAGTTCGCAAGCACGGTATTGACGCCGACGTTGAGTTCATTGAGACCGTAGCTGATAGATGAAGGGAGTGATGGCGCCGTGCAGATGAAATTGGTCGAGTTTCCGTCTGCTGCGACAAAGCCACTTTGAAGATTGTTTGTGCCCGTGAGCCCGGTTGGGTAGTAAGCAAGATGGGCGCTTTGTTTCCACAGATCTCTCGTTGGAGCAACGCACGAGTTCGCATCGGAGTAACCAGATGTAGGGCTGTTTACATTGGAGACGTCATTTCCGGTAACCTATCCAAGACGTCAGTTAGAGTAGTGTGGGGATAACTTCTAGTATGTTATCTTACTGTAAGGCCGCCAGTCCAGCCATTGACACCAATAGCAAACGGAATGTTACCGCTGAAGACGTTATTTGTGATAGTGGCCGGTCCTTGAAGAGAGGCGTCATCATTAAAGGACCAAGCATAAGCCCCAATTGCAATTCCGACATTGAACAATTTTTCTCCGGTAATAGTGTTGTTTGTCACTAAGACATTCGCATAGCTACCGTCGTAAAGGTAATCGACCATATTAATCGCACCGAATCCGGCATCTGTTGTTGATGAGACGATAGTATTTCCCTGGACAGTGGTGCCAGGTGCGCCGAACAAGACGATTCCACCATCGGTGCTGCCAGTGACCTGTAATCTCGAATCAGTATGACTTCTCCTTTGGGTAAGGTGTATCATGCCATACATAGTTATTTTCAATCAAAGAATCCCGGCATGCGAATGAGATACCATCCGCCCACTGGCTGACACCAGCAGAGTTAAGACCCTCATTTCCGCATGGACCGATCTGATTGTTGCTAATGGTGACATTGGTACACGGGGTGTCTGTACCACCCTGAAGTAAATGCAGGCAGCTCCATGCGCGAGCGTTTTTAGAGACAATGTTGGATATCTCAATTCCATTGCTATTCTGGCCGAGTTCGATTGTTGCACCTCCATCTGCACCTGTTCAGTTTGTGATTCAACTTCGAAGCAAGCTTCTATTTATGATCATACCTTTGACAAGCCCAAGACTAGGACGCAATCCATCAAATTGAATATTCTTCACACGAAGGCCATTGTATCCGTATCCGCTAAGCAGCATACTGACATCGCTTCCGGAGGCAGGCTGAATAATTGCCCTGGTTTCATCGGTAGGGTAGCCAGAAGTAGAGATTTCTTGGTTATCGGCAGTGAAAGTGATTGTTCCAGTGACGGAAATAGTTGTACCAGCACATATCTGGACGACGGTGCCTGCACCTCCGGACTTGAATAAATTGTTAATTGTATTTTGATCTCCAGAAGATATACAGGATGCAGCAGCGAATCCTAATAGAGGCAATATCGCCAAGCCTTGAAATCTGGAGGCCATTATTATATGAATCAGGCTGTGCGCCAATATCGCCGTCTAAAATGATGCAGTTGTCAAGAGGCGATGGCAATTCTGTTTTCGAACATTGATAACCTCGAGCTGGACATCTCCAGAAACATATACCAAAGACTTTTGCAATCAGATGCAACTAAAACATTTGATCCATACCCAGAGCTCCCTACCCTATATCCGGCATTTTTAATAGACTCATCACTAGACATTAACAAGAGTAGCTGGGGCACGCTATTGCAAATCCGGCTACAGTTAAAGTAGTCAAAGTTTCCCAAACCGTATAATGGGGTACGGTTTGGACCCCATTTTAGTCAGGAAGTTTCACTTTTAGTCCCATTTTATCATCAAGTCTACATAGCTAATTAGTCAGGATCAGTTATTTAGAACGCCTGCCGCTTTAAACCGAATTAAATTATTATATGATGAATAATCCAAATTGCAGGAACGATCATTGTCTTGGGATTAAAACTAAAGTGTTTACAGTTGTTTCACTAAGGTTCCATTCGGGAGACACCGAAATGGAGGGGTGAAGTTAGATCATGCGTTCTCTTCGCCTGAAGCGCTTTGTCAGATGCTTTAAATTTAAGCTAACTAACGTTAACTTAGTTACGTTACATGTATTATGACAAATCACTAGCCATAAAATCATTCCAGTGGCAATGTACTCCGTACACACGTTCAGGGGTACATTGTCAGAAGAGGATTCAGAATTGACGTAAAATATGGCCAGATGCTCAAGGCTCGGGCCGGAACCAAATGAAATGTTTAACCTCGTGTGAGAGATGGCCCTAGATCTTGTCTTGTTGGTAATTCTGTCTGTGATATGCCATGTAGAAATATTCATAAGCGCTCTCACCTCACCAAATATCTAGATTCACAAATGTTAGATGAATTAGGCTCGAGATACTCCAGCACCCTATCAGTAGTATGCTCTCTCCAAAGACTGTTATGATACAGGAACTACCTATTCATTAGGAATATTTGTTTATTTAGCCCTAGTATCATTCTTATCCATCTATTTTGTATGATTGTTCAGAAATCGACGGATAAAAAGGACGATCATCCTAACCCTAACCCTTACACACGGTTCTAGACCCTTAGACACCCCCACGATATCCCCCACGTCAGCGACGAAATGTTGGAGAAGAGATCCATGGGGGAAGCCTTTGTTTCCCTTTCAACCTCTGAATAAATTGCTTCGATCCAGTATTTTGCTGTCTTCGTGAAAGATTGAAGACATCTATAGCCAGTTATCATCATATAGCTCATTATGAGTCAACAAAATAAAGGTGTCCAAATATCCGGCGCGGAGGTCGCCCAGCACAACAATAAAGATTCATGTTGGATTGCTGTCCGGGGTAAAGTCTATGACGTGACCGGTAAGTAGAACTGGCCTCTTTCCGCAGATATTGGCCCAATTGGTTCTAACGCGATGATAGATTTCCTTGAGGAACATCCAGGTGGTGCCCGTTTACTCCTCAAGTGCGCTGGCCGTGATGCCACAGAAGACTACGACGCCATTCATCCTGCCCAACTCATAGAAGAATCTCTCCCAGATTCAGCATTCAAAGGAACAGTAGACCCATCAGAACTCGACCGACCGAAACTAGCAGACAAATCAGTTAGAAATGCACAAAAAGAAGGCAAGAAAGATCCCGATAGTCCACCTCCCTTGAGCGCAATGCTCAATGTCCGGGACTTCGAAAAAGTGGCCGAACGCCATTTAGCAGAAAATTCATGGGCTTACTATACTGCTGGCGCGGATGATGAGTACTCCAAGGCCGAAGCTGAGCTTGCATACCGCAAGGTTCTCTTTCGGCCGCGCATACTTCGAAACGTCGGCAGGGTCGATACACGTACACAAATCTTGGGTCAAGATGTTTCGTTGCCCATATATATTTCTGCTGTGGGTATTGCGAAATTTGCACATCCTCAGGGTGAATGTACGCTAGCAGCTGCGGCCGGCCGTGAAGGGATTGCACAACTAGTTGCGACACGGTCAAGTATGTCAATCGAGTCGATTATGAAGGCACGAACTGGTGGACCGCAACAGCCGATTTTCTTTCAGTTGTATATGCACAAAGACGCGAAGATATCGGATGCTACTATACTTAAGGCTGTCAAGGCAGGTGTCAAGGGCATCTGGTTGACTGTTGATTCTCCTGTTACTGGAAAGAGAGAAAGGGACGAGCGGCTTAAAGCAAATGTCGACGTATGCAACTCATTTCTACGGAATGATGTTTTCAATTACGAGACTAACAAGATATTTCAGGTCGGCGAACAAAACGACAAGATCGGTGGCAAAGGCAAGCCTGTGCAAGGTGTTGCCAAAACCCTATCCAGCACAGTCTCCCCTTATCTTGACTGGGATACGATATCCTACATCCGAAAACTCACAAACCTACCTCTTGTGATTAAGGGTATTCAATCCGTCGAAGACGCCATTCTAGCTCATAAACACAAAGTCAACGGCATCGTAATCTCGAATCACGGTGGTAGATCCCAAGACACCGCCCAGGCACCTTTACTTACTCTTTTGGAGATCAACAAATATGCTCCCCAAATTATCACAGATAAGAAGATGCAGATATTCATCGATGGGGGCGTCCGGCGCGGAACGGACGTCGTCAAAGCTCTTGCATTGGGGGCTACGGCGGTTGGAATGGGTCGACCATTTTTGTATAGTATGAGCTCCGGATATGGCGAAGCAGGCACACGACGGATGATTGAAATCATGCGTGAAGAGATTGAGCAGAATATGGCTCTTGTTGGGGCCACTAAGATATCGGAACTGAGGAGGGAATTACTCAATACTTCTCGACTAGAGAGAGATCTGACAACTTTTATAGCGAAGTTGTGAACATATGAAATTTTAGATACATTTGTTTCTGTATTATTACTAGCGACCAGGAACATACGAATCGACCTTGTCCGTTTGCCCTTGTCTGCTGATATGTCCACAGAACAAGCGTTTAACTAGATCCTACCCTCTACACAACCCTAATTTCTATGCACCTCTTTCCTCTATTTAATCCTTTGACGGTTAAATGCCTGATCTCTCAGACCGAGAGTTGATACGTACTAATTGATATATCACCATAAGATACAGACTCCTCTTTTAATCTGTACATAGACCTTCGGGATTCTCCCCGATTCTCCGCCCCAATCGTCAAAAAACTCCCCCCACGCTCAGTAACTCCGAACGCGGGGGTCAATCTGTCAGTGCGGGGAAATGCACGTTCTTTTTATTTTGACAGCTGGTTGGACTTTTCCTAGTCTGATTCTGTTTTTATCCGGAGAGAGACACTCGATCATCACAGTTTCTCAGTAAACATCATCCATTGCCTCGCTATAATTCCGGAATGGCATCCGGCGACAAGATAGACGTACTTCTCTATGGGCTAGGAGCGTAAGTTAAACTATTCCAATCGAGCATGACTCACGAATGACTTCAACTAACACAATTTCATGTCAGTATTGGTTCCTTCTACGCATTTATTTTGAGTCGCAATCCCAATGTCAGACTGAGTGTAGTAGCACGATCGAACTATGACGCTGTTAAGAGCAATGTACGTTTCATACCAAGTTATTAGATTCAGACCAACCGGCTAAATCCTAATTTACAAAGGGCCTGATAGTTGACTCTCAAAACCATGGGAAACATACCGTTATTCCTGAAAAGGTGCTCAAAACACCCGCCGAAGCTGGCCAAACCTACGACTATATTGTTTGTGCCCACAAGGCAATTGATCAAGATGCCGCGGTGAAGGCGATAGCTCCTACTGTTGATGAGAACAAGACGACTATTGTGATTATTCAGAACGGAGTTGGTAATGAAGAGCCGTTTAGGAATCAGTGGCCGAAAGCTACCATCATTACCTGTGTTGTGAGTCAAACGCTTTTTCATTGAGATCAACATGTTACTGATACCGGAGGGGAAACAGACATGGACAGGCGCAACTCAAACATTCCCGGGCTACGTCAATCACACAAAAAGCGAAGACATGCAAATCGGTCTCTTCCCCTCCTCACTTTCCCCATCATCCTTAACGGAACAAGCCCGCTTATCAACCTTTTCAACCCTCCTGACGAAAGGCGGTACAAAATTCGCCGTCTTAGAAGATATGCCTGTCCAACGCTGGGAGAAAGTCGTTTGGAACGCAGCCTGGAATTCACTTACCTCTGCCACATTACTTGATACCCATAGTTGGCTCGCCTCAAGCCCCGAGGCAATGCCCATGACCAAAAGGTTAATGACTGAAGTCATCGATGTTGGAAGAGCCTGTGGTGTCACAACGCTTCAATATTCACTGATTGATCGGTTGATTGAAAAAATTTTGGGAATGCCTCCTATCGGATCGAGTATGAGGACGGATACTGTGGCTGGTAGACCATTGGAGGTGGATGTTATTTTGGGTTATCCATATAAAAAGTCAAAGGAGCTCGGACTGAGTACGCCTACGCTTGATGCCATTTATGCGGTTGTTACGGGTGTGGATTATAGGTTGAGGAATGGGGTGAGGATCTAGGTCATATGAGACATTCAAGAGAAAAAGCAAGTGAGTTTTCTTGATAGACGCCTGTACAGAGTGCCATTACTTAAGTAATGTTAGTTCCAAGGTTTTCGCGGATTTTTTTGGCCGTAGCTTCGGCTGGATTGATAGCATGACACGTGGTGTATTTTTTATTCCTTGATATATGAACTTTTTTGCGTGAATCACCACTGTGGATTGGGAGCGCACCTAGGCTATTCGAAAACCCATCTGATATAAGTCGCTATTTGTACGACAACAAGCAGCACCCCATTCACTACGTTGTAAATCAAGTCTTACTGAAGTTATGTGTTTTGTGAACGGCTGACTAGGGTCTTAAATGGTGGAATGAACTTTTTCAGCTCTGTTGATGAGTAGCTCCTATCGCTACTACTAGTTCGACATCCCGGAGGACGCCTGAGTCTCGTTCGGAGTAGAGATATTTATCGACTATATCTTCATATAAAATTTTGAACCATAAACATCCCACTACGAGGCCAATCGGGGCAATATGGATGATATTTTACCTGGCTTACTACAATATATAATCATCAAGTAACTTTCTTATATCAATTCCGCCTTTCCATGCTCTTATTGTCTAATCTCTTCCGCATCTAAGTAGCGCCGGTTGAATTATTTGAGTTTTGAGCTCTAATCAGTGCCATGAAGGTGTAGTTTGTGCCACGGGCCGTCAGAGGAAATCAGGTAGGTAGGTATCTCATGGGTGTGGATAGTTACACATTGGTGCCGCAGTAGGATAGGTACTGGGTAATGCCAAACGGATTTATATAAGTGTTGATTCGAAGTCATCTTGGGCCTAGAAAAGAGGTGACATTGCAAGATATGCAAGCTATCCTCAGTATATTTGGGGTGAACTGGACCGAGAAGCTGGCAGCGTATGATATTGCCAGCAGTACCATGGACCAAGGAGTGAATGTGCAGTGAGGACTAAATTTCGACAAAGGTGTGTCATGGTAAAAACGACTATCGACATGGATGTTATTCAACAAGGCGTAAGAACTAATACCTGTTGGAATGAAACCTAGGTCTAAAATGTGAAAGTCCTCCTGCTATGTGTATTCTACATGTACGGTGTCAGTTATCAGCTCAGGCTGGCACTTTTTTCGAAGCAAGGAAGTTCGCTTGCCCCGTTCTGTTTCATTGTTACCAACATTTTAACATAAATGTATCTATGAGACTCTTTAATGATAAATCGTTTGAGATGAATATACGAACCCACCAAAAGTTTGATTCATTTATGCGTGCATGCAAGGAGCTTTGGTCTAGAATTCTTACATTTTATACAAAAGAGTATTACTTCCGTGTTGATACCGTCTAAAGAGATCATAGAGGCAGATCCGCAAAAGGGACCGTTTCTGCTCCTTTTGCTTCTAACATCATTTCTCCGATATCAGGCTCGGAGAAGTCGTCGATATTTGTCATTTCATCAGTGATCGATGTAATTTCATTTGACATGATGTCGACAGAATCGGTAAGCTTTTCACCAGCTTCCCTACAACACGCTTCTAGTTGTGTTTTAGTACGCTCCATGGCTCCCTGCATGAGCTGAGCTTGCTCCGTCTGTATTTGTTCAAATTCCATTTGTAATTCGCCCTCTTAAGACCTGTTTCTGAGACGAGATATCATCGACGATTGCTTGGAAGTCTGCCTCGAGGTTCCGAATGTACCGAACAACTGCAGAATCCTGATGTATCCTTGCCAATCCTACCCCAGCCTCAAAACTCTTGAAAATGGCTCCCGCATCCTGTGATTGACGATAAACTTCCGAGTGGCGAATCTTGGTACAAGCATTGAGGATGTCTTTTTTCTTCTTCACGAACCACGGCCAGTATTGTCGAGAATTCTTTGGAAAGTTCAAGATAGCTTGGCACCAGGAATGCAACTCCAGTGACTTGGGCTCTGCCCAGCCATGTTCCGCCATAAGCAATTGGTACAATTGGTACTGTTCATGTTTGGTGCCAAAATATTCACACATCTTTTCAAGGGTTAACTGGAGATGGGATAGCAAGAGGTGTTGTACTTTAAGAGGAAGGATTATGGGGCTTGGTAATGAGCTATAACTTACAGTTCAGTCAGCCCAGCAAATACTGTATAGCTTCCAAAGGATATTATATTTCATACGTTGATTGATTTAGCCTTGCCCTCATGAGAGCAGAAATCTGCGCTGCTTCACAAGGTCTGCCTCGAGGCCTGCGCCATCTTTTCTTTCTGGGCTTGGTCTCTTTCGTATTACATGTGTTCATTGATGGACATGGCAAAAGTCAGCAGCTACGCAGAGGCACTGAAGAGACATTGTTTAAACATGCAGTTTGTTATGCTCCTACCGTTGGTTTGGAAATAGTGTTGTGCAAGGGGGCGCAGTTTAACGCGTCAAACTGACGACCCTAACCAGTTCAAATAATGTAGGGTTAGGGCAATGAGGAGCTCTAATAGCCCTAAGCTCTCTCAGAGTGAAGACTCTACCCATGGAGTGAGTATATACAGCTCAATCTCGTAGAGTTACCTGATGTTCATATAAAACTCGACGTTTGAGCTACTCTTGAAGATCTGACCAGTCCTGGCATACCTAGGTCTAGGGCTATGTTTAAACAGACGCAGAGGCTTTTTCCGCAATCCAGAATACCTGATAACCCGGCTGAATGTATTATGCAATTTTCAAAATATCCCAGAGCAATGTGAGTAAAGTAAGTCAAATGAATTGTAAAGCCTACATGCTAACTCGGAGTATTGAATGCAGGGAATGGTATATTGGACGGAGAGACGCCCAATCCCATCACGAACCTAACTAACCGACTGGATTGTGTGGCCAGCTGAAAATGACGTGGCACATAACAGATTACTCTAAATAGTAAGTCGAGATGCCGCTCGGGGTGGAATTATTGAGATCCGGGCTGGAAACTGAAGAGGGAATTGTCCGTGGCTATGGAAGGTTTGAACTCGGAAAACATAATTCATTAGGGACTGCTGTTTCCAGAAAAGAAATATTAAAATTGAAGAAGATGCTCCGGGCTACAAAGATGAGGCTTGTTATGCTGCTGCACAAACTATAAATTCAAAATACTTGAAATTTCTGCATATCCTGTATTCTTTTTCGGTTTTCGAGACGAATTTGTTCTCTTATACAGTCTTTCCTTATTGAAAGAAAAGTATGGATCATTTACCACTACCAGAAGGTGTTGATTGCTTTATTGTTGCTCCTTACGAAGCTCCGGAGGTGGAATGGTACGATAACCAGGACTTTGTGGGCTTTCCAGAACGGAGAGGATGGGCAGTCGATCAACTCTTTCATGGATTTGACGTAACGAAAGATGGCAATAAAGCAATTCAAAAGACGGAGGAATTTTTCCAGACATGGCTCTTTTTTGGACTTGTCATTGACATTTTAGCAATGGGCGACATCATTGTAACCACGGAAGATTTCCTCAAACGGAAGGGTACTCAAAAAGCGCGTATTGTTGATACATCGAAGCTCCCGCCCCTTCTCGCGCAATGGCATGGGAATATTAAGAAAACCGAGGAAGAGTTAAGAAATGTCAGACTTTCCTCGACATGGGACAAACTCAATGAGAAATTTGAAACAGTGAAGACCGTATTGGGCCGGTTTTATGCTCCAAATGTCGAGGAACAGAATCATGTTTGCCAAGTAATGAGAGATGAGATTTCAACGACAATAATTGCCCTAGCCGTCTCATTAAGACAAGCTGCTATATCAGCTCTCAGCCCAAGCATCGACACATCCTTAGCATGGCCTGGGGCTTGTATTCACTCCAAAATCCTTGCGAACCGTCTAGAGCACAAATGGTGCCTCGCTGAAGTGAGTACGATTTTGAAAGAGCTCTCAATTGATGGTCATTACTACACTGCTGCAGCACCGAGTCCAGGAGCGAGATATCTTGACGGGCATTACAACTGTCGCCCGGAACGGTGCTTGCATATAACGAATGAGAACCTCTACATGACTCGGCATGCAGATCCACCATGGCATAAGGATAACTGCACGGCGTCAATTGAATACGGTGGAAATCTTAGTCCTGATTTTGTATCTACTACTGAAGTCACCGATGGGGATTGGGTACACGCTGTTTGTAGTATAATCGACAAAGGAGCAATACCAATAGCGCATTGGCGGAAGGATGTTGGACAGCTTTCTTCACTGGCATACGATGACAAAATTGCAGCCGAAGAGAACGTTCCATATGTCGCCATCTCACATGTGTAAGTTGCAGACCTCTAACCCTACTATCTGCTCAGTCATTGAATATCATGCTGATTTAGATTCAAGATGGGCGGATGGAATGGGAAACCCTACTGGGAATTGGTTACCGAAATGTCAACTAGACCGCATCACTAATTTTATTGAGAATGTCACTTGCAGCCCCAGGGAAGGAGTTCCCCCATCCAAGGATATTGGTTTTTGGATGGATACTTTATGTATGTCGACTCCTTTGGGAGTACAGGACTACAAGACTAAACTAACAAATGGTAGGTGTCCCAGTCCAACCCGAAAACAAGGAGCGTCGAAAGAAAGCCATCGCTAGTATGCGTCATGTATACACCAATGCACGCTGTGTGCTAGTACTTGACTCCTGGTTACAACAAATCTCATCTACTGCTCCTATGCTGGATATCATCATACGCTTATACCAGTCGAATTGGTTAAAGCGTTTGTGGACTCATCAAGAGGGCTTTTTGCCGTCTGCTGTCTACATACAATTCAGTGACCGAGCCATGGAACTAGACGATATTAGAACTCAATCTGATGCCTATGACAAGCTTTTGGTTTCAAAGGGAGTGTTTTTACAATTTCCTGCTACCATGAACGGAAAACTGGTCACCGAATACTTGTTATTCAAAGAGCTCATCCAAAGTACGGGAAGATCGGAAGAAGACAGATGGATGACCTACGGAGCTTTAGGAAATTCAATGTCCTGGAGACAGACCTCAAGACTAGCTGATGAAACCATTTGCCTGGCTACTCTTTTAGGGTTGAATGTCGAACAATTCCTCGATATCCCGGATAAACCAGATGAGGAAGCTGCAAAGCAACGCATGGCCATTTTCCTTCGGCAGATGAAAAAGTTTGATTCTTCCATAATATTCAATAATTATCAACGTCTCAACATCCAGGGATTCAGATGGGCGCCAAAGTCGTTGCTGAATTTTCGAACGGCGGATCGAGGTAGTGGCGGCGGTATGGGAATTGCTGAGATTCAAGAAATAAATAGCAAGCTGGGTCTTTTAGTTTACTGCGGAGGTTTCTTGATTGACTTTTCCAAAATCACAACGTCGTCAAATTTTCAAGATTGTCGTTCGTTTGCGGTTCAATGCCATTCGTCACCTTGGTCGTGGAGGGATGTTGATGGAAAGTGGTTAATCGTTCAATCATCAACCAGCAATTTTTCTTGGAGTACATCGAAAAGATATGCGGTGCTTTTATCCAAGTCACCAAAAGTCGGAGAGCCTGCTCGAGGAGTCGTTGGATTGTATAGTGGTCTGGAGGCTCGTGGTGATGGGGATGACGGTGAAGTGCATTTAATTGACCACCAGTCAATGGCCACAGTGTTGGTTCTTGACCACTTGTCTCCAGGAATTTATGAATTAGAGTCATCGATGTTCAAGTGGAGCACTCAATGGCTAGTCAGATGAGGTTGTAATTAATGCCGATCTGGTGCATTACGTTCCATTACCATGTAACTTGGACGAGTGGGATGGCAGAGTCAACTATCTGTGTTATCCCTGTTGACAGTAGCTTAGGGATATGCGAGGTTTATTGGACATTAGTTTCAAACAACAAGGCTGACAGGATACGCCTGTGGACGTCCAAGGGAATTAGACTCTATTAACCAAAGCTTGTAGATCTCACAACTGCCTAGGTAAAGCTACTTTTATTCATCTATCCCTGAGCACTTCGATATCTTACTCTCGACGAAAGAGAAGCAGTTTGAGTAAACCTATCTTGAATCAACCCAGAAGCAGACGAGCCAAAAGGAAGTACTCTGATGTCCATCCACAGACTATTTGGCTGAAACCATTTCAAAAGGATGTGGTCATGTCATGCAACATTCTTGCGGAGTATCGGTATTGACTTGGTCGCAGAAAAAGTAAAAATCCGGACTCGAACTCCCTAGGCCATTTAAAATCAAAATTAACCGAACCTTCTTCAGGATATTCCATCTGATGTAAGCTTTTGGACCAATAATGTAATCCGAATATAATCCCCATGAACATCCTTGCAGAATATGGGGTATTTAGCTGCAGTTCCTCCGGCGAGACCGGCATTCGTTTTACTGGATTTGGGACATCTATTCGTCCTGAGATCTGAGACCTTCCGCAGTTATGATCCCCCTCTTCATACTGAGATATTAAGTTGACATGTGTTACATTGCCAGTTATGCGGAGTATTTTAATCCACCTCTAAAACTTGCACTTCCTTTGACCTTCCTAGGTATGTTTATGGATTCTTAAGCAATACAAAAAAGGCCCATCGGATAAAATGCCTTTGTTTGTCTTTTATAGTCGGTTAATTGTTGCATAGACCTAGAGCATTCGAAGACAGTTAGCTGTAGTATATTCCATTTGTGGTGGCATGTCATTGATTTAAAGTCGTATAATTTCCTTTCCCTTCCAGACTTCTCGTCAAACAACCACTATATAACTTTACAGAAGTAATCCAACATGTCCTTAGGACATAGTTTCAAACGCGCAGGCCTATTCTCTCTGTGCCTGATTGCTACAGGTACCCTTGTCACTGCAGGGCCCTGCGACATCTACTCCTCCGGCGGCACTCCGTGCGTCGCGGCGCACAGCAGCACTCGCGCCCTTTACAGCTCTTACAGTGGCCCACTCTATCAAGTAAAACGCAACTCTGATAGCGCTACGACCAATATTTCCCCGGTATCAGCTGGCGGAATTGCCAATGCTGCTGCTCAGGATTCTTTCTGTTCCGGGACAACTTGCCTTATTTCGATTATTTATGACCAGTCTGGTCATGGAAATCACCTTACGGCCGCTCCTCCGGGTGGCTTCAGTGGTCCGGGGCCTAATGGCTACGATAATCTAGCTAATGCCGCTGCTGCACCTGTGTATCTGGGTGGGCAAAAGGTATACGGCGTTTATATTGCACCCGGTGATGGCTACCGGAACAATGCCGCAAATGGCACAGCTACGGGTGATGGCGCAGAGGGCTTATATGCCATCTTTGACGGGACACACTACAATGGCGGCTGCTGCTTTGATTACGGTAACGCCGAAACTAGCAGCCGTGATACTGGCGCTGGCCATATGGAAGCTATCTACTTTGGTAACTGCAATGTTTGGGGCACGGGCTCCGGCAATGGACCCTGGATTATGGCAGACCTCGAAAATGGTCTCTTTTCTGGTGCCAGTGCTGGTAAAAATACTGGCGATCCATCCATTTCATACCGATTCGTGACGGCTGTCGTTAAGGGAGAGGCAAACCAGTGGGCGATCCGAGGTGGTAACTCTCAATCCGGCTCACTGTCCACATTCTACTCTGGCGGTCGTCCATCTGGTTACAACCCGATGCACAAAGAAGGTGCTATTATCCTTGGAATTGGTGGTGATAACAGCCACGGTGCTGAGGGCACGTTTTACGAAGGTGTGATGACTTCGGGATATCCATCTGATGCCACTGAGAACTCGGTCCAGGCCAATATTGTGGCCGCCAAATACGGGACCTCGGCTTCTTCTGGTACAACTACAACGGGAACAGGAACCCAGCCATCATCTGGATCTGGCCAGGTGCACTGGGGCCAGTGTGGTGGCAGTGGGTGGACCGGCCCTACAAGTTGTGAAGCGCCGTATGCTTGTCAGACGCAGAATCCGTACTATGCTCAGTGCGTATAAGACGAATGCCGTTTAGTAACGTTGTCCATCTGTGCGTTCTGTTACCGAGGGCATAGGTTTGATGGATTTCCATGGGAGACTCGCGAATACCTAGGTATTCTTTCAGTTGCGCTTCAGAGAAGAGTCACTTTGTGAGAATGTAGTCAAAATCATATCTCATCAGTAGCTACACACGAAAAGCAACTCCTCTACACCGCTATTTGACAAAGTGCTATCTAACATTTTTCTACGTATGCACCTCAATTCAACTCGTTTTCTTGACTGTCCACTTTGAAGTATATTTCTGTGTAAGGTATCCTCTTAAAGCAATGCTGGACGAAATAGAATGGATCAGAAAATTACGAAGAGAACTTCTGCTCAAATAGATGTTCGGTTTCCATATCCTACACTATAGTAAATTGGCTACCTACATTTCCTGACTGATGTCGAGAATTGAGAAGATTCGGTATTACGAAAAGCGCGACTGCGTCGCTTTTCGTTTTACACTGTTTAAGAACAGATACGCTTGAGCTAGATACTAGAAACACGCTAGCTGAAACAGTCCTCTCGTAGACATTTCTTCTCCCAGATTAGGGGCTTCAGCGGAGTGGCCCTAAAGCCTTAATCAGCTACTATAAGCGGTTAGCGCGCTGGCCAGTGGGCCAAGGTGAGCATAGTGTGGCCAATAATACGACACATTGTAGTTTTGTGCTTCATAGTTCGTGATTGGCCGATCTATATCTCATTCAACAACCGAAGAGAGGATGTAACCATCGCAGTAAACCAGCGAGTATCACGAATACAAAAAAATTACAGTAGTCTCCTACTACATTATAGTCATAGACGTCCTTACTCAGAGTCATATTTGGGTTCTTCCATCCAATATGCCTCCTCTCAACCCGTCACAAGAGCTTGAAATATGTTGTCTCACCATGCCCTCAGACAAAAAAACTGGCACAATCATCAAATCTGCCAATTTGATATTACTGTCATGTCACGGCTCATTAACTTCCCATCAGAGCTCCTCATACTCGTATACAGTTTTCTAGACAATATCGATGATGCCCTTCACCTTGCGCGTACATGCAAGTTCATGTACAATGTACTCGATACTCCAGGCCGTCGTCTAGACATTTTCTCAAAGATTATCGTAAGTATCCATGGTTCTCAAACCAGATGGCAATCAATGTTGACAAGATAATCAAGCAAAATGGCGACCATCACAGATACGACCTACGACTTCACGCCACCGAAACCATATGCACAAACTTCAGGAACGAGCACTACAATACCTCTGACTTACCGTCGATCTCTGACCGTCCCTTATTTCCGACTGAGTTTCTGGTACCAGATACTAACACTCTATACAAAAAACTTGACCCTGACACCGTCTGGTCCATAATCTCTCGCTGGCACGCTCTAAAACTACTCTTCAGTCTCTACTTTGACTCGACAATCCGCCCCTCCTATCTCCGGTCCGTATTCTGGCAACGACCAGATTGTCAACATAGCCGCTGGCAAAAAGCAGTCGACTACGAAATCCCTCTCGAACCCCCATCTGGTCAAACATGCACAACTCTACGCGATATGTCCAGCACAGATAAAGCAGAAGCATACACACGCTTCTACCGCGCCATCACCTCGCACTGGCTACACATAAACCTAACCTGGCTTGCTGGAATATCCAAATACCCAGACAGACCATCCTGCGACTCAACCTTTTCTCAAATCGACAGTCTATGGTACAACGACCGCGAACGCGCCACCTTGATCCAAAAACTTGAAGCAATCGAAGTAACAGATTTCATCTGGGGATTCCTTGCACGCAAGATTTTTGCTGATCCAGACCAAATCGACTCATGGATCTCTTCTCCGGGGCATCTGGACAATGAAACTATTCTCTGGGACGTTCCACTGGATGCATCCAGTTTTGCGCGTTTGGTCCGGATAGCAACATTTTATCTCCCACCGCCGCATATCATTGAGCTGTTAGTTGATATGTGGGCATCCCCAGAACCAGGCGGCAGACTAAATAAACGAGACTATATCCAAAAACTAGGCTTCTTCGACACGAAACACGGCGTCCTAGAACAAGACGGAGAACAAGTCATTGTTTTCAGTTGGTTTTCGACCGAAATCATGTTTATGATTGAATGGGTGGGGGTGGATTGGACATTGAAAGATAAAGGTATATCCTTACAGCTGGGGATGATGAGCAGTGTTGATGATCCATTGGTATATACCCAATGGCGACGGTACAGAGTATCGCGATGGATTGATGATTTTAGAGGGAAGTGTATTCTCTTCCCGGAAACAGAGGAGGAGATTATCAAGCGGATTGAGCAAAACCAGCCGCCATCTATCCAACCTTGGTAGTGACCGCCTGGAACTAGGCGATAGTTATAAGACAGATATAAAGATTTTCAAGGTTTATATACCTATAAAAAAGGAAGTTAGTTTTCCAGAAACATCTATAATGTTCAAGGAGTAGTCGATCACTCTTAAGGTTAGCTAGGTATATATGGATAACATTGAAATTATAAGCAATGATTATCGCTCAAAATCACCTTCAGGCCTGTAGTAGAATCTACTATTTGCTTTAAAGTCCTGTTAAAGTCTGTCATTCGTATCCCTTCCTCTGAACTGTATTGTACGAAATACTGACAATAGACGAGGATTGGATTTACTATTATATTCTCATCATATAAGTTGTAAGAATATCAGTGACGCATAAATCTGGCTGTACATGACGGACGCTATCATGGTAATAGCTAGTCTTGACAGAAACTCCGCGCATAGGACAAGCGGTTTACACGGGTCGATCTGATACAAATGCAGGGACAGACATGAACCTACAGATAAACAATTCAGAACAGGTGTTCATCATAATGCATTGATTACATTACACATAAGTGATTAAATACTCCGCAGACATCACAGATGTTCCTCGGGCACGCGCAAAAAAAAAACAACAACAACAACAACTATCTTCTTTTCCACATACAACTAAAAACATTCGCATCATCCGCCTCATAATATCTATCCCCAGTTTCTTTCACTGGATTACCACGAAGTAGGTCCAAATGTAACTCCAGTCACTTGGATCGCAGTGTACGATGCATCCAGGGTATTACCAGCAACATCCACTCCCCACCAGTCAGTCATCTCGTGATTCCACAGAGACAAGGCAACGAAGATGAGAATGGTGGAAATGGCAAGACCGACGTCTAAGCCGGCACTAAAGACGTAGTTGTAGTGCATCCACCAGCCTCGCCAGCGGTCGCGGATCCACTTGTTAAAGATAAAACCGACGATACCCCAGGAGAGATAGTTGAGAGGGGTAGCGGGGGGAATCAAAGCGCTGCCACCAAAAATGATGGGGGCATTGAGGTAGCGGATTGGAGACTTGGGCCACATGCGAGCACCGAAGTAGATCATGACGGGGAGCGCGGCACCAGCGAGCCAGAACCACATCATGTTAGAGTACATTTGACCAGGGGAGAAGATACGCTGAGGACCAATGACACCCCAGATAACGGATGCGTTGAAAAAGACACGGCCGTTGGGGCAGCTGAAGTGGTTGATTTGAGTCTGACTGCAGACGTCGGAGATGGCCCCCAAAGCCCAGTTCATGACGGCAATCTGGACGATAGAGCACCAGAGACAGGAAATCATCTGAGCGGCAAAGGTGACGCGAGGTGGAACCTTCATGTAGTGGCCCATCTTCATGTCCTGCAAGAAGAACAGACCCTGGTACATGGAGATGTAGCCAAACGTCTTGAACAACATCATGGCCATGGGCCTTCCAGGCTGCATGTAACCGATGATGAACTCGGTAATGACGTTCAGACCGATCTGGATGTTGGTTGTCGCCTGCACAATACCGCAAGGAACGAACCAAACGCAGCAGATGATCAACGACACGAAGAATGCCCACCAGGAAAGATGAGTCGGGTAACCAATGATGACGCCGAGGGCCATACCCATCATGATCAAGGTGACGCCAGCGTACCACCAGAGAGGGACGGTCTTGAAACGAGACATGAGACGGGCGTGCACGTCTTCTTCTTCCTTGCCGACGCTCTTGAAGCGGATCCACAGCTCCTTTCCGTGGAACAAACCAGTGTGAACAAGGACGGCAATAATGGTGGCAAACGAAAGACCGTAGCACAACATGAATGTGGTAGACAAGAAGAGGGGGGAGTATTCTTGATATTTCTGCAAGTTGAAAGTATAGTCGGGGTTGAGGATGCGGGAGACGTTGTACTTTTGAGCGGTGTTGTCGTAGCTGTTTCCGTCGCTGATCGGCAAGTACTGGTTGTAGTAAAGCTTGGTGTAGTGAATAGCAGGAGTCACGATCCAGAAGAACAACACCATACCGATCAAGGTATTGGCGATACCGAACCAGGGGGCGATGAGGGGGGAGAAGTTGAAACCAGAGATCTGAGTCCAGTCAAAAGTAATCGGAATCAACGACAAACCAGACCATCCACCGAACAACTGGTTGATGACGGCATTGTTGGGTTTGATCCAGGTAACAAAGGCAAAAGCGCTCAAGAAGGGCGCAATGAAGCCAGGGAACCAGTACCACACAAACGAGCCGACCATGGTGTAGAGGAAAAGACGGTATTTGCCAATAGTCCAGCCGCTAGTCTTGCTGGGGTCAGGACGGCGGTGGTCGTGGAGAGCGTTGAACAGACTGGCATTGATCAAAGTAGCGGGCCAGATCATGGCAGCTGGGGTGACGAGGAACCGATGGAAGAAACCGGCAATGCCGAAACCCAGCATCTGAGTGGAGATGCACATGAAGATCTCAAAAGCCCAGCCAAAGTTCTGGCCATAGAACGCGCGCTGCGCAAGAAGCACGTCCGTGGCGTAGGCGGCACCACCGTTGAAAGTGGCATTCGCCATGATGACCGTAATGGCATGCTCCTTCTTGCTGAAGGGGCCGGGGTTGAGGTTGAACTTGAGACCAAAGAGGCTGTACTCGCGATTTGGCAGACACTTTTCCCACGCCTTGCCAATCGGGTACGCGACAACCTGAGCGACGTAACTGGGGATGACAATATAGGGATTGCGCATGGAGAACAACATGTTCAGCGCAGAACCGATGGTCGCCAGGATCAAACCAATGGTCCAGGCGCGAATGGTGTTGCTGTGACCGCCTTCGTCGACGTTGGGGACAGCCGCACGAACTTCAGGGTAAGGGGAGTTCTCCATCAACTCCGTGGCGATACCGACAGTGGTGGTGCCGTCGGCGTGCATCGCCTCGTCGATCTCATCGTAGATGTCGGTTGGCAAATTGGGATCCCACTGGTGCTGCTTCTTGATGTTTTTCACATGTTGAAGGGCCTCTTCAGGGTCGTGCACAGTGACACCTGTAGCGGCAGCCACGGTAGGCTCAGCGACCTTTTCCTCCATGGCGACGCTGAAGTCTGATGAGTCGTCAAAGTCAAGAGTCACGAATTGACCGTGGGTAACGAACGAGAAAGGAGGAAGAGGGAGAGGGAGAGGAAGAGGAAGAAGAAGAGGAAGGGAAGGGAGAGGTTATATGTCGGGCGGGCAGGAGGGAACAAACAAAAGCGGAAGGAGCTAAGTCGAATAAATTAAAAGATAAAGCAAACGCCGCCGAGATAACCAATCTCCGCGATACTCTTAGAGACATCCTACATACCAATCATCATCTGTACATATACCAGATCTCATGCCATGTGACAATTGGCCAATGCGCTATCAGCCAGGCAATACTATATAAACATAAAATCGAGTAATAGAATCGACAAATCACAGCGTGCCATCAACGTGGTCTCCTTCCTAATCGCGTTATTGTTGTCTATAATGTTTTAGTCAACTTCGCTATGCGAAATGTAACCCCAGCCCTTAGTGCGCGCCACTGGATTTAAGCTGTGGCGTGGACAGAGTTGACGCTAGGCTAAGCTATACCAAGCTAATACTAAGCATCGCCGAGGCTAATCATTTCGTGTCTTCTGCTGCCGTGTCTTGTGCTGCGAGTTGGCTCGATTGGCTCGATTGGCTCGATTGGCTCGATTGGCTCGATTGGCTCGATTGGCTCGATTGACTCGATTGACTCGATTGATTGATTCAGGTGTCTATCGCGAATGAATAGTACGACAGCAAGGGAGTACAATGCTACAACACATACATCAACGTCGCAGTACTAATAGTAGTACTGTACGGAGTACGGAGTACAGAGTAGCAGTAGAGATAACATGGATCAGACCTGGGGTAACCACTAGCCCGCACTAGCGCAATCTAAAGATTAGCGGCTGCTCTTACTGCGTTTGGCGTCATCAACCGAGTCAACACATTCTTTGCATTCACTAGCTGTGCTTTCGCTAGAATATGGTTGTGCAGCCAGTCAAACATGCACGATCTGATCCAGGTCCCTGAACTATACACAATATACACCCATGTACATGTATATAGGATGTATTCCGGCTGTATACCGTATACCGTATACCGTATACTGCATATGGGCATCCTATCGGAGCACTTCCCAACGGAGCCTAGCGACCCCGCAAAGATAAGCTTTGGCTTTTCCATTTGCTCTGGCTGGACCCACTGGCACATGTTTGTTGTCTGATTGGATCCACGCTATAGTGTGTGCCGTCTGATTGGTGGAGGATTTGTTCTATCTTTGCTCTCTACTATCGATATTCTCGCGACCTTATTGATACGTAAAATACATCGAAAGCTCCAGTAGTTAGTTAGTACACTAGATTAGATGGACCACTTTGCATTGCAATGATTGCATTAATCTGTGATATCGCAATGATCATGCCATGCCGTAGAGGAATGCCCGAGAATCAGATAAATACGCCTTCGGCGTATATTCTGAGCGCTGGGGCATATCCGCGTTACGCATACATAGTAGAATAGTAGAATGAATTGTCCGCGACACCGCCCTGCTCACGTGCCCGGCTACTTACTATAGTACAGTAACGCAAATGTCTGTAATACACTACAGTCCGTGCTTGAGTCTATCCTACTATTCACTCACTAAGAACCCGTGGCAAATCAATTGTCCTACCAGATAGTCACGATAAAAACGTCGTACCGCACGAGTCAGTCACCTGCATCTATCTAAACAGGTTGGGCGGTTATTTGCGGTCCTTCTTAGCCTATGAATCCTGTTAAGGATCAGTGATAGAAAATGAATTAATGCCGTAGCAAGGCGTGTGCATGAACTCTGCTCTACTGTCACGGTTGTGGCTAGCCGGCGATAAGAATTGGCCCTAGTCACACTGGTACGTGTCATTGGCGGATGCTTATAGGCTGTTGGAAAAGTCTTGGGTTGTACTCCATCACCCATATGTAAATAGCGTGTTCGTATTTTGAGGCCGTACTTATCGCGTGGGTGTGCATGCAGTCTTGATGGTAGCGTTGTCTCACTGTTGTCGGTCCGCCGTTCTAGAAACGTATCCGGTGGAGAGTAAACTTACACCTCGGAACCGGCGAGCAACAAAACCTAATTTCTTCCACCTGCTTAATCGGGGTATAGCGCCTGTATTCTTCCGAATCGATCGATAAGACCATTTCCATTGTACGTTGTCAGGTCATATCGGCGGCAAACTGTTTGCGCTTGCAGTCGCGTTTGCCAGCCACGCAACGTCACTGTACGCTTCAGTCGGAAGCAGATACTCATTATCAAACGCCCATTCAAAATCCGTCAGAAACTCGTCGTTTAGAAATTGGAACTCTGTTCCTAGATCGTTGACTGTATCTGTTAGATTCGGCTGCATCTCATTCTCCCCGAACGCAGGGTTAGTAGTATTGTCGTTAGCAGCATCGTCGTCATCGTCCATCTCAAACTCCTCCCTCCACCAACACGCCAGCTCAATCACAGGCGACATTACAAGTCGACTCCGAATCCGTAACGTGGCATACTCCGATCCGTCGGCTTTGCGGAACGCCTTGGGGCTATTCCACACCTGCGTCAAGGCAATTGCGCATTTCGACGCGAGATCTTTCGCATCCAGGACCATATGTTTTAATAGGCTTATCCCCGCGAAGAATGATATCTTGGCCTTTTCGGCGTCGATTTTGGAACTCATTGAGCTTTTGAGTAAGCGTAATAAAATTGCGCTGGCGGATACGAGTGCGTTGGTGATGAAAATGGGACTGCAGACATAGAGCTCGGGTTTGTCGTAGAGGACTCTCAGATGGTCGATTACGGAACAGGCGGTGTCGGTGAGCCGGGTGAAGCATATGTCGTATGGGCCTGTGAGGTCTTTGTAGAGGTAAAATACTTGGATCTGGAGACGGGCGATGGTGGGATAGAGCGTATTATGATCTGAGTAGTTAGTACTCTATCGCATAACATGGGAGAGGGAGGGACGTACTAGGAGGAAGTTGCCCAACAAGGTCGTACATCTGCGTCTCGTGCGCTCGGATCAATGCAGTCATTGACCTCTCGTGCTCAGAGGAGGTATTCCGTACGCCGGTCGTAAATATATTAACCGAACATTTGGACACAACATCCAAGCATCGCAATTGCAGGGCAAGCACGGGCGATAGCTGCCGACACAGTTTGTTTCCTGAATCAGGCACAAGGTCCAGCATTGCCCGCGGCGGTTGGCCTTTTGATAAACATGCCCTATACGATAAGCAGCTGCCTTAACCGGTAAGATAAAGACATACCGTTGATAAACTATAACGCAATACGCCCACAGTTCAGAGCGACGCTGCATATCCATCATAAGAACGGCTTTATTCGCCTGCGACTGTTCGGACCTTGATACACGCACGTTCCGTCCGAATTCGTGACTTGCCATGGGTATATGAAGTCCATTCTGCATAGCAATGTGTAACAACCATCCACTAAGCGGGAAAAAAATTTCTAACCGCGGCGGAGGCCATGTCAGAAATAATAAGAACGATTGGATCTTGAACACGGGTGCCGAGTTCGTCCCCATTGACAGCAATATCATTTCGGTAACCGCGTCTGCCAGTGTCGGAAACAGCGTCAGATTTTTCGTATAGTTCCGACTCGCCACAAACGTGACCGTCCAGAATAAAAGCGTTGATTGATCAAAGTACGCATTCGGTGTCGTGTTTGGATCCAGAACCGGTAGAAAAGGCGCGTAATCCTGGAAAAATCTATCCCGGCATTAGTACCATCTCGTCTTCGAGTTATTCGAGAACCGACAATTGAAAAATATCATCAATCTCATTCCCTTCAACCCTCACACCCTTCACCATCCTCGCCAACGTCGTCTCATCGTTTTGAGTCGGCCGTACCACGACAGGCGCAGGTCTCGCATTTATAACAACCCCCTGTCCCTGATGTATCGAAAGCGGATCTACGGACTGCGGAGAAGTGCCCATCGTCGACGACGATCCTAGGCTCTGTGGCGTATGACTCAAATCCGGTATTCCATTCAGCACGCCAATCGGAGAGTCGATTTTGTATCTGTTGTTGTTCGTACTGTTGTTGCTGACATTGAGTCGTTTGCGTAATTCTTCTGCTTCGTGCTCGAGCTGCGACATTCGTCTATTCATCCAATGTATATAAGTTTATGCCTGAAGTATGGATGTTTGATGGACTAACTTCCGTTTATGTTCTCGTTTGAACGGATCTGAAATCACACATCTCGCGCCGACTTTGCGACATCGCGAACACGGCGCATCGGGGTTTAGGTATGCGTCGCATTTTGCCTACAGCATAAAATCAGTATTTGCATCAGTCTGTGTCAAGGAGGGGATAATAAACCTTTTGCTGTCTGCATTCGGTACATGCTTTCTTGTGTCGCGCAGAGACGAGTCTATCGAGTCAGTACAACAGTTAATAAAATGTAGGACAGGATGAACATACGGTTTATCCGTCTGGCTCATTTTGGTGGGTTCAGGACATCCCGATGTCGAGACGATGAATTTTGACGACAGAGACAACTGATGTCTTGAGGCTGTCAAGAAATGAGCTTATTTGGAGCATGTGGGTCTAGCCGATGCCGAGAACCCTATCTCCGCGCTAAAGCCGGATTTCAATCTCCGTAGTCAACCAGAACATGTGTAACAGATTACTGGTGAACCATATGAAGAGATGAAATAGGTCAATGAGATTATTCTATTATACATGCCATGCAGATATATACGGATGCAAAATGTACAAACGGAAAAGCAGCCCCCACAACTGTGTAACATGGTAATAACTAAAACTCTCGCGACTCGCCAATGTCACACACATCAAAAACCCCCTTTTCAGGAAGACCATTCCTCTTCAAAGCCTCCTCCAACTTTCTAGGAGGCTCCAATACATCTTCCTCCGTGAGCACCCACGTACCCCAATGAATACCAAGCGCGTTTTTGCATTTCGTGTCTTGAAAGATATTGACAGCATCGTGGGGATCGGCGTGCATAGGACTCATCAGCCATCGAGGATCGTATGCGCCAATCGGGATGAGACCAAGGTCAAATGGTCCGTGCAATTCGCCTACTTGTTTGAAGGCAGGGCAGACGGGCAGATTGCTGTATTCTTCTGCGTGGTCGTCTTGGACGTCTTTTAGTTCGGTGACGGATCTGTAGCCGGTGTCGCTGTTGCTATTAGTATGTTTATTCATTATGAGAGACAAAGCATTCGCTTACCCTCCAAAGTACACCTTCTTCCCACCAGATTCTACGCCCCAAGACGCCCATAGAGTCTTGGCACGGTCGAACGGTCCCCGAGCAGAAGTATGTTGACAGGGCAGACAACTAATCCTACCCACAATCTCTGCAGACTTTGAAGCCGGCGCATCAGGTTCAGTAACCTTCTCAGAATCATCCTTCGTCGGCGATAATGTCAAATCCCGCTGGTCCCACCAATCCAGTTCCGTCACTTTATCAATCCCAGCCTCCTTGAACCACGACGCATTCCCCAATGGAACAAAAAAATGACAATTAGGATGTTTCTTCGAAATCGCCTTCACAGTCGGTAACGACAAATGATCATAATGATTATGAGATATAACAACCATATCAATGACGGGTATTTCGCTAACGTCGCAAGGAGGTTTTGTGTATCGTTTCGGACCCATCCATGAAAACGGCGAGCAGCGATCTTCAAACACGGGATCAAATAAAACTCGAAGGCCGCCGGGGAATTCGACGTAGAAGCAGGCATGACCTAGCCAGGTTGCGCGCAATTTCGACGTTTCGCGCGATGGGAGGAAGTTTGGTTTGTGGACTGTCACGGTTGGGGGGGTGGTATCCGGCCATTTCAGATCGCCAGTTATGGCTCGTCTATAAATGTCAATTAGGTTTTGGCGCTCTTGGTATGAGGCACTTACTTCAGCATTGCGCCTCCTATATCGAGAGGCGCCAATTCCACCCACGAACTAGACTACTATCAGCACTCGTCAACAACACTAGACAGGAGCACGTACTCCCAAGGGTTATGGAATCGGCCCTTCCCATGGTGCGGTTTACTCGCTGCGTCATCCGGTATCGAAGCCGTAGGCGAAGCCGACACGGTAAGCGCATATAAAATCGCAGAGGTAGAAGACGACATTTTGCGTTGATTGAATGAGAATGAACGAGGCGTATGATTTTTACGACGCCAGGTCGCGAACAATCGTCTTATGAACGGATGCATGTGCTGTTTGATCGAGCTGCTATGCGATGAGATAAAATTCGGCAGCCTAGTATCCGTAGAATTGTTAAAAAGGACTGACTTGACAGAATTAGCATTCTGCTCAAACCGAATCAAGGTAAGCCGTTCGGATTTAAGACGTCTTAAAAACGTGCCATATACCACCCATTCTTGGCGCGAAGTTGGCCATACCTAGGCCATCGTCCCGAGGACGGACGAATTCATGCGATATGACTTGATCATCGCAAAAGATAGAATAGATGAATTCAAAGGCCGAGATTGAATAAAGAGATGATTTTGGTGAGAGATGACGCCCATCTTAATGCGAAGTCGGAAGAAATCTGCCGCGATCGAAGTCATGTGATTGATGCTTCTTCTGAGTCAGAAGGGGGACGATGTCAGAACTTCTGACATCGTCACCTAAAACAGCACCAACAGCAATCTTCCTTATTTGTACTACTACACTATACGAACGGGTATGAATCATGGATCAGTTGAAGCTACCAACAAGCGCGCGATTTTAAACTATCACGGATCCAGGGAACTATCCGATACCTTTAGCAATCGCAAACACGGACGCATATAAGATGAAATACATCAAATCGCCTGTTGGAATCACAATACTATGCATTAATTATCATAGTTCCCCGCCGACGAAGCGGAGACCAGATATCAAAGGTAGTTTCTGGAGGCTCGGATTATGATCCAATTCTGCCTGGCTGCGGGCATGCATCGCACGCCTCTACAGAGTTTCATGTTCGCATGCAAGGAAACCTGGAAGTTTGATGTGGTGTATGAACACCAGTACAGTTGTTGCGGGAAATACCCCGGTAGCAAGCTTAACATCAGATTATCCATGACTAGGACCTGACGCCGGCTTCTACGTACCGCAGAACTAGTAATTCGGCGGACCCATTTCAATGCGATAGAGTAACAGCTATGATGATTGAGGGGTAGCTGAAAGCCTATAAAGCCTTGTTAAACACATCGCATCCTTTGATTACTGTCTTCACCCAAGACTCCAATCATCCAGGAAAAAAAAAAAAAAAAAAAAAAAACTTGCATAGTTCTGTCAGCGCTCTCGCCTCCCAAGATGACCCAAACTACATGGCAGAAGGTGGAGATCAAGATATTTCAGGCTAAGAACAATATTCCATTAGAGTGGCGCCTACCGTCCTCCTACCTTGAGGTATTGCAGGACGCCTGTCAATCCGTTCTCGGCATCCCGCATCGTTGTGGCATTCTATCCGAAATGGAGATTCACGTCACCGAAGCTTTCGATGAAACTGCCTTGTTCGAGAAACCTGCTTCTCGTGGGTTGACTGCAGTTGAGGTTACTACCGCATTTTGCAAGCGTGCAGCAATTGCCCACCAGCTGACCTATTGTCTGACGGAGACGTTCTTTGATACGGCCCTTCGCAGGGCTCGGGAGTTGGACGACCATCTCGAGGCCACGGGAAAGACAACAGGCCCGCTACATGGTCTCCCTATTAGCGTCAAAGAATGTTACAACATAGCCGTTGGCTTCAAACCTTCTGCAAGTCAAGTCCCCTACGGCAATATAGGATCCGCAGCGAGGCTTGAGATGGCACGGTTCCTACCCTGTGCTGGTTCCCTCAGCCACACTGTCCGAGATGTTGAGCTGCTGCTAAGAGTGGTGTTAAACTCGAATGCTGCGGATCTAGACGATAATGCGCTGGGAGTTCCATGGAATGCTACGCGTCAGAGACCGTCGCTTCGAGCCGGTGTGTTACCGGAAGATGCCCTCTACCGTCTGGCATCCTCCAATGCAGCGTGCTCTGAAAAATGCAGTAGCTAAGCTGATAGCTGCGGATGCATGAGGTGATCAGCATTTCAAAGCAGATGTCATCCATCTCCGAGGCAAAGACCTTGCCTTTCGGTTCTTTAACATGAACCCCGACCGCACCGCGTTGAGTCACGTTAAGAACGGTGATGAACCGTTTATACCGTCGCTTAAATCCACATATGACCTTGACAAGAATGCTCCAGAGCCTCAACTGTTGGAACTGTACCAGCTCAATGTGTCTAAAGCTAAACTTCTCACGCGAATGAGACAGGTATTCGTCGAGAACAAGGTGGACGTAAATCTCACGCACTAAATCCCTGATCCGCATCTGATCTTTCCGCAGAACCCAGCCTGTGTCATACCATTCGGAAGGCCAAATGCATCTCAAGACGCCAAATTTGTCCGAGACGTTCCGTACACGCCGCAGCGTAGGTTTAAATCGTACTCTAATGATTTTCACCTGCCAAGTAATCACATATAACCCACAGGAAGTCGAAGGCGCGCCTTGCCATATCCAGTTGACAGGCAAACCTATGAGGGATGAAGATCTCATACAAGATGCCTTGATTGTTGAAAAAGTTCTGCAAGGTTAATCACGTACCTAGGTACGTAAAGCAGCTATATTGGCAGTCACTTCTCCTACCTAGATAGTGTGTTCGAGATTCAGATATGTATAGATATAGCAATTTCCATTCACTAGTGCGCACATGGTTTACCTAGATACCATCACACTTTTCCGGCAGACATTTCCGCGACTAAGAGTCCCAGCTTATACTCTCTGTGAGAAGTATTCAGCCAAGGCAACCTTGAAAGTGGATGATTCTCTTGGATCCACCTGATGCTCGATGTCCTCCCCGCAGAAATAGTTCGTTTGGCTCTCTGGTCGATATTTCTACCAAGATCGAAGTGTTTTCTAGGGTGCGTTGCTGGTGCAGCCTGTAATACGGGCTTCCTACATCAATTGCAGTCGCCAACTCACTGGTTAGTAATCAGAAAGACCTTCTTTTCACACGACTCCGCTCACGTGACCGGACTTCCAACGGTCATCAGGATGGAATTACTCAATCTGGCAATGATATCAGTTCATATCAAGCTTGATAAATGAAAAGTGGATTTTGACGTACATCCCAGTTTGTATTTCATCGAGCTAGAGCATGGGGGGTGGAGGTTTGATACCTCTAACGATCATTCAGGGCTCGGGGCGAGAGATTGCTTTCTGTATTGGGGAAATGACCTCGTGCTCCAGAACGGAGATTCAGTCTTGCGTAGTGACCAAAGCTGTCTGCTCCGGGGGAGAGATGAAGACTGAGATATAAGAACAGCCACTCCAGTCAGGACGTTGCAAGCTTGACTTGAAAGTAAAACACTGCCTTAAGTATCGTCAACATGTCAACTACATTCTCATCTCTCCCTATCGTTGACCTTGCCCCTCTTCGGAAACCAGAAGGGCTGTCAGACTCTGATCAAGTAACCCTCAGCACCAAACTGTACAATGTCTTTGCTACAACAGGTTTTGCATACCTAGTAAATACACCATTGACATTCAAACATGCTGATGTCTTTGATCTTGCGCTGGAATTTTTTAATCTTCCACTTGAGAAGAAGATGAATTTGGCCAAGAGGACATTCAAACCGGAGAATCTGAATACCTATAGAGGGTTGGTCTGTTATCGCCGTTTTCTGATAGACTCCACTAATTCAAACAAGATACTTCCCCGTTCAGCCGAATGATGCATCGGACAACCTCAAAGAAGGATTCGAAATAGGTCCTCCGCAAGCAATTCACTCAATGCCTGCGAACCCGGCTTCCCGATTCAACCTCACAGAACCCAACGTCTGGCCGGACGAAAACACATATCCATCACGATCCCGTCTAGAACAGCTCTATATCGAACTGCAATCCCTCTCCTCCACCATCTTATCCCTCCTCGCCTCCTCGCTCGACAAACCAGCCGACTTCTTCACTCCATACCTAACCGACTCCCTCAGCACATTACGTCTACTCCATTATCCCCCATCCCCTTCAAACACCACGGACACCCCCATCGACATCGATACATCAACACCACCCCCAGAACCCTCCGACCCCGTCAAATTAAGCTGCACCCCCCACACAGACAGCGGAATCCTCACCCTCCTCCACCAAGATTCCACTGGCGGTCTCGAAGTCCAAGATTCATCTGGCAAATGGGTTCCGGCCCCTTATGTCCCAGAATCGGTTGTCGTGAACATTGGCGATTTAATGGCCAAGGTTTCTGGTGGGAGGTTCGTGGCTACTATGCATCGTGTGCGAGCTCCTCCTCCTTCTCCCTTCTCAATGAAGCAGCATGGGTTGCATAGTGAGGATGAAGATGGAGACGCAAAGTTTGGACGATTCAGCGCCCCATTCTTCTTTGAACCCGGCGAGAATTGTCTCGTGCACTCTGTGGATACCGATCCAAGCAAAGGTGTGCTTTATGGTAATCATGTTCTCACGAAAATGGAGGGTTTTGTGGAGTATAAGAGTTGATTAGATACTTCAATCCTTACAAAATTAACGAATCGAAGAATCCTATTAAAAAAACAGATGAGATAAATAATAAGAATATGCCCGTCCAACCCATTCAGAAATCATAGTTACTACGCCTTTGCGGTGTATAAATGAAACTGGAAAATTATGAATTAGACGGCCTGAGAGTATTTCTACGCCATATTTCTTCCCTCCACAAGGTAGTGAATTGGCCATAAGAGTGGTGGGAATATGTACAGGCGATTTTGTTTTATGTATCAGGAAGAAGAGCAAGTTCAGCGACTGAAAAAAATTTACGTGGAGCGGAATGGGACTAGGCCTGATGCGATATAGTCCAATGTGCCGCCTTGGTATTTCTTCAGTTTCATCACCAGGGTTAGGGCTATTTAGGGCTACCACAGAGTCATGCGTGTTGTTTGCAAAAAAATTGCAAATGATGCCCAGTAATGAAATATGTGGCATGAACTGTCTGCGGGTGGTTCAGTCAAGAAAATGAATATTCCAACTAGTGGCATGAATATGTCTATGGAGCAACATGTAATAATAAGAAAAGCACTTTAGGGCGGTCCCCAAACCCTAATTGAAGGCTTCGCAAACAGCCTACGAGGAATCAGTCTTTTCCGAGCTCGTATTCTTTTCCTTCTCTGGATAGGGTCATGCATACTTCTGCTTTCCTTCAAAAGAAAATCTCATCCCTGTTGTACTAAAGCGTCGAAGCGCGAGACCACTTGCCTCGAGCACGAATATGATGGCCAAAAATATTTACTCTTGAACAAAGATGAGTGGTCAGCACTAAATCATCATCATTGCAGAGCCGGCTTTCGCAGCAAAACTTACAAGAAAGGGAATAGGAAGCAATGCAACCGCAAAAGACCCTAGTAAGCTTAGCTGCTGGCCCAGTTGAGGCCTAAATTTGTCGGATTGCTGGGTTTACTTCAGGCCAATTCTGAATAATGGCTTACAAGGATTGGAAGGGAAAACAAGAAGAAAGGAAGGAGAATTCATACAGACATCAATGAATAGAGGAAATACCTCTGCTAGGACGCTCCGGACCGCAGTGTTGACACGCCCAGCTATTGTCCATGGGTTTTCTTAATTACTGCGGGCCAGAACTCTTGATAATGCATCATCACTTTGCGCGTATTTTTCTCCTTGAAATCAGCCACTACGACCCGTTATGGAAGGACTCCGCAGACATAGCAGTGTTCTCACAGCGCTTAAACACAATGTGGGCGTGCCTCGAAGCTACTAGATCTTTTTTCCACTCATTTCTCAATCTCGCACCGTATCTCATCCTGACTTTATAGCTTATGGGAACAGCTGGAATATGTGCTGCTAATATCTTGAAGTTTGTCTCTGATGGAGATTCGGGGCTGGGACAGAGACGTCATTAGTCAGAAGTTGCGATTTTGTACGTTTATTGACCAGATAACCTTAAAACTAGATGCTGCAAACGCTTGAGCATGGTCATGTTGGCTGAACGATGAGGAGGATAAAATTTTGGACCGCGTTTCTGTCAAACTTCGTCTAATAAGGCATTGGTTCGAGGAATACAGTGGTCTTGGCCAGACACCATGTCATGGTCAGCAGGTGGATGCTGGGGAACTTATTGATATGAGTCTGGAGAGTTCTGGGAAGAATTGATGAAGGAGTTTCAAGCATCGGTTGTCCAGGCGAGTTGGAAAAAATAGCTATGTCATAGCCAGATCCCGACACGTATTTCGAAAGCTAAGGTAGCGTGAAATTTACATATTTGCATATGCGCCAGATAACCAAAATCTAACCAACAAATCCACAACAAATGCTCGCCTGAATTTATGTATAAATCAAATGCAAAAATGTTACCTCCCGTATATACTCCCCTCCAACACCCGCCTAGACATCCAATATATCCCTTTCCCTCCATCTCCTTGAAAACGATCGAACCAACGACATTGATCCCGTAGGAGAGTCATCATCCGATAAATGTGAATTATGTGAATCGCTACGATCTCGTCTTCTGGGTCCCTCTGATGGATATCGTTTAGATGAGCCCAGAGATGGTTTCACGAAAGCATATCCCGGTGATTGTGAGCGGCCTCTTCTCCGTGAAAATGAAGACGTCTGTTGGTCTCGTTGAGAGGATGATAATATACTCTGTTGGGCGCCGCCAGAGACAGATACAGAGTACCCGTTTGCCTGCCACTCGAGTGCAGCGCGTTGACGCTGTTCATTATATTGCGATACCGAGTTGTCTATTACCGGCCGCGGCGGACTATCCGATAAAACATGTACATCCACATCTTCAATTCCATTATCCAATCGAACCCTCGGTACAGTAGGGGCTTGCGTCCGCTCCCGCGCCATTTCCAACAACCTCTTCACGAACAACTCATGAGACTTGTACAAATTCTTTTTGACGAAATGTGTCAAAAAGAAATTACACCTCAAATCACAATCCTCCCTCAAATATAGTCCTTCCTTCGGGATATCGTACTGTTCAATGCCGATTTCCGGAGCAAGGCGTTGCTCACCCGGTAACCAACCCAGCAACTGCCATTTCCCGCGTATTTCGAGCCCCGCGGGGGCGTGGATGTGTGTTTGTAGACCCGTGGGAAGATCGTGCATGCATGCCGTGTAGGTTACGCTACCCGTGAATCCTGTTCCCGGGATGTATTCGATTTTATCAGTTATTTCGTACCATGCCGAGAAGTGTTCGTCTGGTAGGGCGTGCGGGGGGGGTGTGGTACGGCCGTGGTGTGTGACTAGAGGATTCAGAGTAATCATCACCGAGTGATCGTGCAAAAGTTCGAGGACTGCATCGCGCGAGACGTATGAAGGTAGAGGAGTTATGTGCGTTATCTGAGAGCGTCTATTCATGTTGACTTGTATATATATTCAGAGCATTTTGGTGTCGGTCCCTCGCTCATATCCAACAAACTGTTGTTGTTGTTTGGAGATCCGGCGTACTTAAGGAGAAAGCTTGGACTCGTTCAGAATAACCTGCGCGGGAACTTTTCAGGCATTCTGATTAGTCCATCCCGGTGCACCGACATGGATGCGTCGACAAGATTCATGCGATGTCGAGGAGCCTGCGCTCGGCGGCTCAGCCTCTGAAAGACCCGGAAAGGATAAGCGCGACAGCCTTAAGTTGGCCATATGCTAACCTTTAATAGTTTAGTTTATCTTCTCACTTGAAATAAGCTTTTGGCATACGAAAGCCATCTTTTCTCTTTCAACTTCGTCCAAAACATGAAGAAAATCCCGTCACAAACCGTTTCATGATCGCCGTATTTAGCGCAAACGATCTTCAATCCCCGCTGAATCCAAAACGCTTGTCAACCGGAACGAACCGGATTGATGTGAGAATCTCACAAGCTAGAATAGCTCCTGTGGGTCTCACTAAGGAATTCCGGGGATGGGACTTCGTTTCGGTCCTCTGTTAGACAGTCTGGGTTGCTGCATATAAAAGTACGCCGGTTGATGGCCAGAGTGACGATGTAGTCGATGTGGAACTTCTCTTTCGAGTTTGTTCATGTTTCGCTACCTGCCCGAACAGATTCAGGAATGAGATCCTACTGCTGCGCTCATATTTGAGATCTATTTATAAGGTTCAAGTTCATACAATTTCAAATGCCGGTCAGGATGTTTACTACCGTGGCTTCCGCGGACTTCCTTCTTCCAAGCGAAGTTGGAATTGTTCCAGCCCAACCGTCAGGTTCCAGAGTCTGAAGGAATTGCTTCAAACCTACTCCTGATGAAATTGGTCGCCGACTCGCCGCGTATCGCGGTTACCGGGATCTGCAAGACACGAAGGTTTATGAAGATGGATATCCATTCATATGCAGGTTATATTCTTATGCATTTTCTTTAGCTGACATGATCATCACCCCCAGAATATACTCCATCTACTCCGGCAACCAGGTCACCCCGTTAATTGCCGCTTCCCGTTTATCTGCAGCACTCTACGGTACATCGCAACTATGAGCTTCTGCCGTCGATATCGAGGTCAGGTCCAGATACGTACCTGCATCTGCGCTGCATAACTTCCCTTTGGCACCATTCCGCCTGTATGCATAGCTTCCACGGACTGCGCTTCGCTCGCCTCTTCTTTCGTCACATATACCGGTCCCGGATCCGCCACGGCCGGTAATCCCAAGGCTTCATTTCGATCAGCTATAGAGCGTACCTGAGCCGATACACTGGCCACACCGGGCGGGGCATTGAACGCGCGACCCTACAATATAGCCAGCTCTGCTTAGCATATATCCCGATTCATTATATGGAATAAGGAATGCATATAGTCCGCCGACATCTTGCTCTGGGAACAATGTCCCAAGACTGTCACTGAACGAATCTCGTCAGAGGAACTACCATCCTTGCCATGACGTACTTCGGCAGATTGTAATTGTCTCGCGTCTTCTTGCGTGATATGTGACGGCGGCTTGTGTGATAACTCATCAAGTCTAGCGTCGAAATTCATCTGTTTTGATGACAGAGAATGAGCGGTTGCTTTCATGATTGTTAGCTGTCCACAAATTCTTAGATAAGGAGGTAAAGGCATAACACACCAGCAGGGCCGCCCTTGACAGGTCCTCCACCGGTTAATTCACTCTCTGCCTGCGCGATGGAAGAGACATCTTCGGGAGTGAAGCGTTGACCTGCAGCGGCGGCGCGCTTGATTTCGTTTACAGAAGGGATGTTTTGATACGACATTCTTTTTTTCTCTGTAAGTATGCGTATATTGACTTCTTGGTATTATACATTGAATGTAGAAATTGCAGTGTGAAATGTAGTTCACACCTTATGCCTTCAATGATGTCAGAAATGCGAGGGTGGTGGCTAACATAATTGCCTCTATACCAGTCGCAGCGCCTTACCCACCGTTCCCACAGGTAGTAGGATAGATGCTATTGGCCGAAAATTATGACCCTAACCCCAATTTACTATCAAGACTTCAAGAGATCCTTCATCTATTATTGATATCAATTAGTCGATGACTTCCTCAACATCTTGTTCTATTTTTAAATGCAGCACTGGGGATATGAGTACAGAAACGTGTGCGAGAATGCCTACACTTTCCGCCAAGTCAAGTATCTATCTACACAGTCAACGTTGAGCATTCTCGCGATTTCATTCACTGAGACATAAGACCATATACATCATACTTCACATGAAGACCACATTCCTATCAGACTAGAATCTCAAGATTCATGCAATTCATTCCGGTCAAATTATACGGCCCTCCGCCTAATCCCAACCGCCAAACCCAAAGGCTTCCTTAAAAACCCTTCCCTCGTCTCCATATCATGTTCCTGCTCCAACACAAACTCAAAATTTCTAAACACCGCTCCCACAATACAAGTTAACTCCATCTCAGCCACATTCCTACCCACGCAGGCCCTGGGTCCTGTTGAGAACGGAATGAAAGCAGCTTTTTGACGAGCCGTAAGCCGTTCGGGAGCCCATCGCTCAGGTACGAAGGCTTCTGCGTCGGGGCCCCAGATTTCGGTGGAATGATGGATTGTGTATGAGGGCACGGAGATGACGTCTCCTGCTAAGAATGTTCGGCCGCAGATTTCGACGGGTGGGTTGCCCACTGGGATCTGTCGAGGGAGGCCGAGGGAAGATGTGCTGTGGATGCGCATTGTTTCTTGAATGACATATTGGATACTACCAATATTAGCATATAAAATCAGTACAGCTGATAGCGGTGGGAGACATACTAAGGAACATCCTTCAACATAGCGTAAGTCGGCACTTTAACTCTTTCCGGTAACGCCTCATCCACAACCTCTTGCAACTTCTTCATCACACCCGGAGTTCTCAAAACCCAGTACAACAACGCACAAGAAGTATTTGAAGTCGTATCACTCCCCGCAATCAGTTGCGTCAAAGCCTCAGCCGTGAGTTCCTCACGACCAAGCTTTGCGCCAGTCTCGTCCCGACCTTCCATCAATCTAGCCAGTAAATCTACCCGAGTATTATTCGCCATAACCTCCGGTTTGAGTCTCTCGCTGACACGCGCGACGGCAATACCGGCTAGATTCTCAACGGCTTCGAGACCTTTGCTAAAGAATGAGTCCGGTAGATACGATGCATAAGGTTTCAGACCGGGAATAATTCCCAGCGTTCCCGAAACCTCACCACGGCGATTCAACACTTCAATCGCAGGGGCATATGTAGGCGGCGAATCAGGGGTCTTGCGTACTTCAGCGACATCCTTACCCTTTTCCAACATGCCGAAAGGGGCGCCAAAGGCCAAGTCACCAATGATATCAAACGCCAGATAATTGAACCAATTCAATGCATCGATCGATGCATACTCGGTCTTCGGATTGCGTTGCGTTTGGGACAATTTTGTGAGCTGCTTAACGAATAACTCGATATTCGCGTGTATGTATTGCTCGAATTGACCAATGGATTTTGCGCTAAAGGTATGAGACACTGTCTTGCGCTTACGGGTGTGTTCTGTTCTGTCCCGGGTGTTGAATAATCCACGACGAATAGATACGAAGGCGTCGTAGTAATCCCTTTGCGAGTCAGAACTCCCCCGATCTAATTGTTGAGAGGAAATACGTACGACTTCAAGAATCCATTTCCGTGCCCATAAACAGCCTGAATAGCCCCATCATCGGCAATACTAATATGATTCGGCGCAATCCGCACAAACTTGCCGTACTTCTTATGAGCCTCATTCACAGCTAAGAACCGACGACCGCGCCGAGCCTGCCAAAGGAGCCATAGGTTTGTGTATGCGGCGGGAAAAGGTGCGGGAATAAAGAGCCAGTGTGTTTTGGCGAGGTAGGGGAGTAAATAGTAAAGAACGAAGAGGAGAAGGATTGTGTAGGGGGTGATTAGTAGAGAGACGAGGGATGGATTCGACATGTTGTATACCGTAAGCCTTAAGCCGATGTATGGAGATTTAATTGTCAATGGAGATAGGATGAATTGGATGAAGAAATTAATCTCATCTAGCTATTCCAGCAGAATCCGGAGAATAAATAAAGAAAGATAGTATAAAGAGAATCCAGTGTATAGAAGCTCTTCTTTGTCCCTCTCAGTATTGTATCCTCGTATATATATATACACTCCCAAACGCGCCAAACTCTCGGCTAACCAAGCAACTCCACCCGCAACTCGGTCCAAAGAGTCGGGAAATAATTTGCGTTACTCGAGAAACTCTCTGACAAAGTCAATAAAGGGATCTGTGGAAGTCTGGGGAAACATATCCGACTGTTGAGTCAGTGCGTTTCTGCAGCCCTGTATTGGTGCAGCCTATGATCTGCCGATTTTTATGCCCGAGGACGGCTATGCAGGCTCTACCTAATTGGTATGATGGAATAACCCTAGAAAGCCGCGATGCCGATAAGTGCGTACGTGGCTTCTCTAGAAATAGAATTCATCCCTTATAGAACTTATATCCCTTAAAGGCTGGGTTGTCTTGTTTAGAGAGACAGGTCAACCCCGCCTTTTGTGGCTTCGTCTCCGCACATTCCCGAGTTACATAATCTTCAGCAGTCTGTTCCACGATATGTAGTTAGTTACTCTGTACAGGTACAAAATCAAAATCAAAAATTTATACATGATGTCTAATCAAAAAGCCGTTTCTCATAGGTTATAGATAAGGAATCTACCAGGTCGGGCCCTCTACTTTGAACAACCCAGATTTCCTCTTCTCGGCTTCCCACCGCTCAATCCACGCCTTCATCTTCTCCCTGCTTTTTGCGCTCCCCACATTCACCGTAGGAATTATCCGTCCTATTCGAAGGGCACAGCAAAACATCGTCAATTCCCGAAATGAGCTATGCTCGCTATACGGGACTCCGAAACAGGATGATTCCTTCGTACTGCCTCGCTGCGGTACAAGATCAGAGACGCTGAAGGGCGTTTTCCAATTGCTGGAATATAGGACGTTGGCCACAGGAGGATTGTCCAGCAAACGGCCACCAGGAGGTCGGTAAGTCCATCCTGTTGGGCGGAAGCCGACGACGCGGGAGAAATGACCTTTGAAAGATTGCAGGTAATCGGATAAGGTTTCCGCGCGGATTTCGAATAAAATTTGCATGTGGATTTGGGCTTCGAGAGGGTTGTCGGTGAGAAGTGAAGAAAGTTCTGGGTCTTCGAGACATGCGCAGACTCGTTGTTTTTGAGGCGGTGCGTATATTTTGCATTTCAATGCGCGAGCAATACCGAGACATATTCGCTCTTTACCGATACTATACGTTCCAATAACGACTAAAAGTCGTCCGCGTGACGAATCGGATGTAAACGACGACGGTGTAAAATCCTTGCCCTTTGTCGTCGAGAGGAAATTGGCCATCGCATCCATTTTTCCACGTTTGTGAAACTCCAGTGCTTCATTTCGGTCACCCTGCTCATCGCTCAGCCGTACACACATATCTGCGCAAGCAGTGATAACATCTTCTTGATTCGGGAAGGCATATTTTGGGTTGAGGTACGTCGTATCCAAATAGCACACATCAATCCGCTGTTGGTGTGACTGACCTGATGCCACGTCGACAACGTCTGGCTTCAGTAGAGGATGCTGGACATGAGCTGGACAAGCTCGAAAGTCACCGCAATGCAACACCCGGTGTATACGGCCGGTATCCATGACTTTTTCAAATAAGAAAAGAGAACTGCCAGGGCAATGGTTGGCATATAACATAGTAACATAAACCCCTTTAGTGTTTGGGACTTCCGTCTTTTTCTCAAATTCGAGGTCAACGACATATTTTGGGTCGACCTTGAGCTGCTGCCGGACAAGGTTGCCTGTGACTTTACTACAGTATATAAGTCCATGACTCCATGAAGCAGTCAGACCACCATAATGATCGCTGTGGAAATGACTGAGAAAATATGCTTGACATCCCTCCACAGAGCCATAACGGAACGCATCCACCGTGATTGAGAACCCTGGTAAGATCTTGTAAAAAGGACACGTCCGTTCGTAAGCTTGTTTACCTCGTGATGCCACTTCATTGGCAGCAGCTGTAGCCCATGCGGAGTCTTCGGCATTGCCCGCCATGAGTTTCGCAAATGCCGACGTACTGCCTGTAGACTTTTCCGCGAATGGATTTTGTTGTGCAGGTCTAGCTATAGCCGCCTTTTCCTGTCGCGTTAGACCACTAGGTGTGCGTTCCTTTTTGGGGGATAATGGTTGCTGATTCGTATCCAAGCAAGCATTCACATGTAAAGATGCATCCTATATTATATCAGTTGGTTGACAGCCTAAACAAGCCATCAAACTCACCGCATGTGACTGCCCAGCCAAGCTGGCCTGACATATAGGACACGACGGTCCGTCGTCCATGGGATCGCCTTCCGATATCCCAAAAGCACTGGTCTCATCTTGCATCCATGCCTTTCCCAAAAACTCATCGCCCTCTATGTCATCTTCTATATCATCAAAGTCATCGGCCACCGCACTTGTCTCAAAGTTGCTAGTGGCTGCTCTTACCAGAGGAGGTGGTCGTTCGATAGACGATTCGGATGATTGCACATGGTTTGATTTGTCTGTATCTGTAAATGGTGTATATTCCTCTTCATCCTCGCTATCTGATTCGTCGATAAAAGGCCCTTTAACCACCAGAGAATTGACTTTTCGTCTTTTTACCGAGCTAAAACTTTCGTTAAAGCGTTTCGACTCTGTGTCCTCAGATTTGGGCTCTGCTGCAGGTATACTTGATGCCTCCGGTACATCAGTCGGGGAACTGGTTTTCTTTGTCCGTGTGTCATCTCTAATATCGACCAACTTCTTCCACGATCGATTCATATCTTCCACAAACAATCCTTCACCAGCAGAATCCCCTTTTACCAAAGCACTTTTCCTTCCATTGCCGGCCACATCGAATCTTGAAATAGTAACCCCAAACTGAGTTAATCGAGGCTGCTTCAGCTGCGATTGCGGGGGTCCATCAGCCTTCTTGAAGAAGTTCAATATACTCGTATTCCCATTCTTCTTCACAGCAGAAGATCCTCTTTTTGGTGTCTGGAACGACGGAGTTCTCTTCGAAGCCGGTGTTGTAGTCGATTTTTTCACAGCTGTTCCAGCCATTTGCGTAGGCACCGAAGATGATTCGAGTCTCTTCGTACGAGATTTTTGACCAGGAGGAGTTGGCGGGCGGCCGGTCGACGGAAGAACGTAGTCAGTTGAGGGGATATCTCTATTTTCTCGCGGATTTCGGAACATGTCAATGCATGATGAGCTTGGATGAAATCGATCGAGAAGAGAGAAGCGGAGTGTGGCGACACGCGGAAGATGTACGCGAACTGGCATCGCGAGATCACGTGATCATACGGTTACGATTTCCTGAACAGGTAATAACTGATGAAACCGGGAAATATCAGAATTCAAGCGATTTCATGCTCCAGGACCTAGTTTCCAACTTGTAACATGTTACATACAAAGAAGACTGCAGTTTTGAATCATTCTTGCCCACAACATCGTGATCCCTACGGTACTGAGGTATCTCCCCAGCTGTGGTTTACATGGCCAGAATCAACGAAGATAATAAACAGTTCATTGCACTTCGTCAAAGTATATTAATGATCTATCTTCTTCTTGTACTTCAAATCCTTCAGATCATTTTTTGTGGCAACAGTTATCCGAGAGCTCTTAATGTCAGGCCGAGAGAGGAGCTCGTTATATACATTAGCGAAATCAGATGTCTTCATTGCACCTGTCTTCTCAGCCACTGAATCAACCTCGACGCGAGTTGCCAGGTATACTTCGTTAAAACGAACATTGGTGTTCTCGTTGTCACGACACGCTACGTTGGCCATGGAGTACAGGGGACCTTGGGTGATGGCCGGAGCTGCGCGAGCACCAATGTCACCCTGAGATCCGGTGCAGAGGGTGAACGAAGTCGAACTGCTCTGCTCGAGCAGATATGGGATTGTTGCACTGTATGCGACTATAAAGTATTTTGATTTAGCTTTGTGCAATCCTGCCTGCCATGCTGTGAGGAGAGGACGACTCACGAAAGTTCGATTCGAAGTTGATGCTCATGAATTTGCGCAATTCGGAGGTGCTGAGATCCCGTAATGGGGTTACACCGTATGCCCCGCCAGCTAAAATAAACACAGAAATGTTACCAGATGTACATACAAGGGATCGAGACTCTTACCAGCCGCGTAGACGTGTTGGAAAGTTGGTAGCTTCCCAGCCCGGACTTGCTCAACAACGCCCTGAACTCCCTCCTCCGCCATGATGTCGGCCTCGACGATCGTAATGCCGTCTTTGGATCTTACATGCTGGAATAACTTGTCGGCAGATACCTGGTTTCGCACAATTGCAAGTACATTGCGTTTGGCTCGCAGGGCTCCAAGGATGGCAGCTACGCCAATGTTGCCTGTTGCTCCGACTACTAAGACGGTTTCCATTTTGTTTTGCTTTCTCCTTTCTTTAATAGAGTCGAATGACATGGCCTATAAAACTGTGACCAACCTCTTATATATCCACAAGTTTAATGCTTGATTAGGGTTAGTTGGTCTCGGATGCGTTCCGTCCTCGGGGCAACATCAACGGAGCACTCCGTTGGGATTTCATTGGCGCCGGGGCAATATCTCGCCGGGCTGCATCTGGGTTCTTCCTCTTATTTCTCAAATACTCTCTTAGCATCCAAGATTGTGCCAACATACGGAAGGCAGCATGGAAATGTCAAAGCCCAAGAGGCAGAAGGTTGCTACTGCATGCGACCCTTGTCGGAGCCGGAAGGTTTGCATCAGTATCCCCGACAGATTTGTAAGACTAGCTAACAACCCACACAGGTCAAATGTGATGGATATCAACCAGGTATAGCGCTATGAACAAGGATACCAGTCACGCTACCTCACAAATTGTCATATGTGATCCGCACTTCAGTTGGGTGGACATGCTAAGCAAGGTTTCTCTATAATATGCGGCCCATGCGAGAAAAGACCCAGAAGTGAAACTGTCTGCACGTGGGCTTCGGACTCTTCTCGCGTTCCTTATGCTTCTCCTGGGTACATTAGACAGCTGGAGGATAGGATTAGGTTCCTTGAAGGGTTTAATGGTCAAATTCAGGACAGTAACAACCGGAGTATCGGTAGTGCTTCAGAACAGTCAATCCCACGAACACCGGTTAGACCTGTTACTGCTCTCTCAACCTTACCCGAGCCTCTTATGTGGGAGACGTCTGTTCCGTGGGCGGAATCCACAGGTACAGACTTACGACTATCAACTCCAGCCACTCTCATTGTCCCACCGTTAACTCAATCGCTTCCTGAGGCCCTGGAGAGCACGGATTCGGCATTCATCCCATATCGCCATTCTTCCAATAACACAGTGATAGGTGCCGGTCACAGGCAGGACCCCGTCGCCGGTTCCTACTCTGAAAATTTCATACGAGGACTGGAGAAAGCAATCACAGAAAAGCTCGGTGAGGCATCGAGTGTTCGAGATCCCGGCCATATTTCACGGCAAAAGGTACGGCAAAAGGATTTCGGCCACCCCCTACCTGCTCGACAACAAGCGGACATCCTGCTTAGCTCCTACTGGAACCACGTGCATGTTCTGTATCCCATTCTAGACAAACCACACATTGAAGAAGACTACGGTAAGATCTGTAACCAGGAAAACTCCATTACCGACAAAAAGTCGTTCTTATGTCTTCTTAACTCTATATTTGCCATCAGCAGCCGGCACATCAAATTGGCAGGCCCAGACCATGAGCACTTGGCTGCCACCTTTTGCTTACGGGCACGAGAATTACTGGACATCGAATCATGCTCTATCCGTTCAGTCCAGTCATACCTGCTTTTAGCACTGTATTACCAGAGCATTTTTGTTCCTCGTACGTGCTTGATGTTCGCTGGACTTGCATTACGTACAGCGCAGGTTCTCGAGCTCCACCTCATCGAGAAAAGCGAACGGGAGTCCGTAAGTCGAACGAAAAACCTGCTTCGCAAAGTCTGGCATGGTTGCGTGCTTGTGGATAGAGAAGTTTCCATGATGTACGATCGAGCATGTATGATTGATCAAAGGACAGCAGCCGCTATTCCTCTCCCCTTATTTGACGAAGAAGAAACTCAACTGTTGCATCCTCGATCGCACACTACTCAGGTGCAGCAAACTCGTGCAGCTGAATTTTACTCGGTCTCTCTAAGATTACTTGATATCTTACATGACATTCTCTTCCATACGCACTCGAGCAAATCTCAAAGATGCTATGATTCTCTCGAACACTTTCCATCTTTTGAAGCAAACAGTTCCGTCCTCGAGCTCGAAGCGAGGCTTGCGAATTGGGAAAATAAGATTCCTCGTTATTATAAGGTTGGATTTCACTCTCCAGATAATGACATGAATGGCCTGCTCCTCCGTCGAGCAGTAATCCTTCGTCAAAGGTGCGTCTGTAGATACTCTACTATGGTTGATGCCTAACTAACAAAAGTTTAAGACATCTTTACGTACATTTATTGTTGTTAAGACCTATGCTCCAATGCATCATTACCTCCGAACTTCGAAACAACGGAGTATCCGTTCCTGCTGGAAGCTTGCTCTCTCACAGGGTCTCCTTGCAATGTGCAATTGTATGCGTAAAGGTAGCTCAAGAAGCTATTGATATCATACACGTCAACGAAGGTACAAGTTCCAATGAAACGAGAGATCTCTCTGCATGGTGGTACAATGCGGAATTCTTGTATACATCTGCGACAGTTCTCATTGCAGCCAGCCTTAGCCCTTCCGTGGTGGCTGAAATACCAGAAGATTCAATCTACGGCAGCTTTCATAAGGCCATTGCAGTTCTCCGACAGTACACGACCTTTGACTCCTCGATCCTTAGGCTGACAACTGCATTACAAATTTTGACTTCAATCATACCCAAGAATTACTCTCAATTAAGGCAGGCCTCGCAACGAACCCAAGAACCTACATCTCATAATGCTTATAACGCCGCTACGTTTCAGTACTGGTGTCCAGTAGGATCGAACCATCGCCAGAAATCTCCTCAAAGTGATCTTGAGAGGCACATGAACTCTGGGAATAGTAGCGAAGATTTGTCTTCTCAGTCACTCTCAAATCTGGAGCTCTTTTTTGATTTGGATGACTTTACATGGCTTACAAAAGTCCCTTTTTATACTTGACCAATCTCGATATTCAAGTGATCCATGGATATGTTCAGGAGAACACCTACGGTATATTGAACTAGTGATTTTTTGGATTCAGAAAGAAGAATCACGGAAACTACAACCTTTAAATATTGAAAGCGCTTGCTTCTCTGTTTATAGCTCGGAGTCAGGTTACATCTATTCCATGATAGTCGGCCCGGGGATTGCATCCATGGATCAATCATCTCCAAATTGCAAATCCAGGTGGGTTTCGCCAATACCTTACTTATTCTAAAAAGGATTTTCAACTAAGTTTTTACTTTATTACAGCAACAGTTGCTTCCATTTCTATACCCAAGCTACCTAGGTGATCGTCAAATCAGCAGAACTGAACCCAATTATCCAAATCCATATTCTTAATCACAGTCGAAAACTTCTCCGACCCTTCAAAAACACACGCCTTCTTCTTCTGCGCATCCGTAACATCTTTGTCATTATTGACATCCTCCCCCTTGGGATACTCAATATGAAAAACCGGCTTGTTCGCATCCGTAAAAGGGGTGTACTTATCACACTCCCCGTATTGAACGCACTGCTCATTAACAGACCACTGCATGTTGTCCAGCACACTCTCAATAATATCGCCCGCATTCTTAAGTCCAATCGCCATGTTCCGTGAATGAGCCTCTTTGGCCAGAAAATTGACATAGCCAATTGACTGCTCTTGTGTCAGATCAAGCGCATTTTCCTTGTTCGAGTACCCGTCCACATTATCGGGATCAACGCCATCGCAACCCTTTTGACTGGCCATATTTAATCGTGCGGTCATAATCTTTCTGACGCTATCCGAGCTGATATTGAGCCATTTCTCGCCGGCCCAACCGTCTAAATCACCACCCAGATCGGCCGAGTTGAATTGATCAGCGTCCGGGCGCCAGTTCTCCCAACTTCCAGCTGAAAAGTAGCAAATCACTTTCCGGCCGGCGGCTTGCAGGGATGAGATCTGGTCGGCGTCTGTGTCGAAGAGGTCGATGTCGTAGACTTGGACGTCGACAGAGGTATCGTTTAGTTTGTAGAGGAGCTCAATTTGCCAGGTTGTGCCGGCAGTGGGTTGCCAGTATGTATTGCTGTTTATTGTGGTAGCATTACATGCAGAATCAGAAGATGCACCTGATGTTGGTGAAGCGAGAACAGCGATAGAGGCTATCACCGTGGTTATGATGGCTGACCAGGACCCTTGTCCTGTAGATGCGATTTTAACCATGTCACTCATCATTGTAGTCGTTCTTGGATTGTCTGGATCAGGAATCGACGTTTTCGGATATGCAGCTTTGAGATTATGAAGAAAATCTTCAGTCTCGAATACAGCAGCGAAATCTATTTCATTTTATACTTACCCTAGTACGAAAACATCCACCCACTCACAGCCCGTTAATCCAAACACTGTTGGCCAAGCCACCATAATTCGAGGCTGAAACTTTTCTAGGTCCAAAATAAGCAGCGGATCCATCACGGTCCTTAAACGTCAGCTCATCTAATTAGACCTTTGAAGAATGAGTTGGTTGGTTGGTTGGTTGGCTGGTTGTTTATTCGGGATCCGGAAGGATATGAGATGATCGCCGCAGCTTCCAAGCCTCCTAAGCCACAGGTTGAAACGTACCCTATGTCGTAGGGTAGCACTTCCATAGATGTTTCTGGTTACACTTCATCCGGACCTTGTACATGTGATGATTGACGATTGTCTGGCAGGTTGTATGAGGGGCATTCCTTAAAAGGCTCCTACATTGACATGGACTAGAACCATAACGGGGATGAAACTTGTAGTTGTTATACAATTAACTGTATAAAAGGACTCGCAAATGACCTGACATTATCACTGTCAATTGAGTCTATTCCAACATAAGTTGCTCCGGGACTCCCACTAAACATGATCGCAACCGCAATAACAACTGCGCCATCATATGCTTTCCGCCGGATATAAAATTTTAGACACACAAGTCTCTTCATTCCTCATTCCAGGCCAGGTAACCGGAATATTCAACCTTTAATCTCTCCATCATACACAGCGTCCGAAGTATCATAACATTTCGCGCAATGGCGCTATGTAACATAAGTCCCAGGTGTCGTAGAAACCTCATTTATTATTCGGGTCTCTTTGCGAGTTCGACCGTGTCGTAACATATTCCCCTTCTATCGTAATGGTCCGTACGTCGTAATCCCTTCATCGAGCCTTACTAGCCTGATTCGCAGCCTCTATATCCCAAACATAAATCGGTCAGCACTCCCCAGACTAAAAGCGGATATAGAAGTAGGGAGAAACAAACCTCTCCTTGTCGCATCCTCCAACAACCCTCTATCAACCTCCGCCTGCGGCAAAACCACGTATCGCACCACGCTCCCTCGAATAAACATATTCTTCACCGACGACAGATGCGGATATTTATCCAAATCCAGCACATCGACGTCATCCAGCTTGATGTTGAGGTATTGATCGACTGATTTCAAGGTGCCGCGGATGCGAATGTCGTTTTTGAGTTCGACAGTTACGATGTGGTTTGTGAGGGTTTTGAAGAAGCTTTCTCATATATATTTGATTAGATCGCTTGCATGAAACTTCTGAATTCTTGGTTTTGGGGCACCGTACCTGAAGAACAACATCGTGACTTGTGCTGTGTATGAATTAAATAATGTGGTTTGGGCGGGGAAAGTAGTTGAACAACTGAAAATGCGATTATGTCTGCGATGATTGCATCTCTTGGCGTTTAAGTGAATTCGGTAATTTGGGAAGAGCCCTTACAGCACGATACCACTGGCAATAATCGTTATGCTCAATAATCGCTGAAGTTGTTTCGTTTCGCTAGGTTGAAGTGGTCGAAAGCGGGCAGCAGAAAGGGTAGCTCTGGTTTGTTCTGGAGTCACGTGACCTGCATACAATTTCAGGAAACTATGAGTTTTAGTCATACATACTTTTTTACTATGAATATCATAGCTTGGAGATAGGTGGAATATAAAATGTCAACCAACGGTTGAGGTCTTGATATTAATTTTGTGGGAGGTGTGATATTAACATACAGATACATATACTCCGTAAATCCGGCACATAGGATAATAATCTTCAAGTTGGGCAAAAAGACTTGGAACACCAAGGGGTATATTAGATCAGAAAAGAACGCAAAAAAGAGCATTGACATAGGAAAATAACAGAATAGCCTAGAAGCTGCTCCCCTCATTCGAACTACCCCTATTCATCATCATCATCATCATCGTTGACCTCCTAGTAGGCTTCATAGCCCATCCAGACAAACAAGTCCAGCCAGCATTAAGTTTCCTCCCTTCATCAAACACGCCCCCAATATCTTTGAGTAAATCATTCTCTTCCCGTCCCATTTCCATTTGTATCTTCAACAACCATTGCTCCCACATCCATCCACCGAGCAAACCGGTCATGCTAGCGACGTCAGCTGTACTTCCGACAGGCCCCTGGATGGCTTCGCAGTCGATCTGACTTTTCACTCGGGGGTTAGGAGTCTCGCGCATTGGTTCAGGTTTGATGGGTTCAATGCCCATAGGTAAAAACAGCCAGGCACGTTTGATATCGGCGAAATTGGAGCGTTGCAATCGACTCAAGAATCCGCGCGTGGGTGAGGGATCATAGCCACGGGTTTTGAGATTGAAGGTGAATTCGACGGATGCTGCGGTTCCTAAAGGTCCGGCACGCGCGATTGAGGAGTCCATGGTGAAGAATTCCAGATAGCCACCTGGTTTGAGACAGCGGTAACATTCCTTGAGGCACAGATCATATTCATCGAGTTCTTCCCCAGCGGGACGCTCGGTTTTGAGAAGAGCGTGCAATGACCGTGCAGAGATAACGTCGAATTGATTGTTGCGGAAGGGTAGTTTCCATAAACATGGCACCGAGACGCGACGATGGTTGGCGGGACCCTTGATGTGGCTGTTTACTTCTTGGTTCTTGCCAACAACTGTATACACCTTGACATCGGGGTAGTCGTGCGCGAGTTGCCACGCCCATCCACATGTAGCTTGACCACCGAGGTCGAGAACCCTCAATCGACGCTTTGGGGCAATAGTACCGAGTTGTGGATTGTCCATTTGTTTCAAAATTGTCGATAAACGTTTCGCAGCTGGTCGAGAAATGAGTCGACCACCGTTCAAAAATCGCGAGGCATCCACAGCCCACATGGACTGATACAGCTGTGAAAGAACCATCTGCTCTTTCTCCAGATTCGAGTACAGTGCTTGTTCGGCGAGAACTTCTGCAAGCACCGATTTCCGTGGTGCTTGCGAGAACGGTCCTTTGTAGCCAGGTCGTTCTGGTGCCTCTAACTCGAACTTGCCTAGCAATGCAGCACGATGTTTCTGTGGGAATCCAAGTCGGACAGATTGCACAGCGTCGAAACGAATATCGCTATGCAAGAAAACATCTCGTCGACGGGATTGTTGTAGAACGAACTGGAATCCACGCCAGTAGATGGAATCTTTGCTCATGTCTTCTGGTGGTGGTGGAAGAGGAGACATTGTTAGTTCTTGTACGTCTTCTGAGAACCGGACGGATTTGCGAGGGGGTGAGTGTCCAGATGACGAAACTGGGCGGTTCTCAACTTCGAGAGGCTCGGGTTTCTTGTTGGCCTCTACCACATTGACAGGATTTGTCTCGCTGAGAGCCGACAAATATGAATGTTGAGCTGCCAACCACACACTAGTTCGGTCAAGATTAGCAACGGCTTGACGTTTTAGTTCATCGTCATAAGCTTCGTCATATTCGTATGCTGGGACTCCTGAGCGGTCGAGTTCCTCCACATCTGCGACAACGGGGCTTGAACTATCATGTGAGTCGCTGCGTTTGTGCTGTGCAGAGGGAATTCTGATAGCCGTAATAGGAACAGCGGTAGGTTGATCTTCCGCGATATTCTGGTCCACCGCAACTTCAACGACCTGTTCCACAACCTCACCCTGATCCAGACCCCAGGGGAGATCATAAAATCTTGCAGCAACAGCAGTAGTTGGTGGATTGACTACACTCGGCAACGACCAAGTATACCTCGACTTGGGATCAAGTGACGAGAAGAAGCCCCCAGGAGATGGGATGCTGAGATTCGTAAAACTGTAACCAGACAGCTCAGAATCGGGTGTCGCGTCTGGAGGAGGGCTATTCCGTTGTTGACGGTTAGTCGGTGGTGTAGCGAGTTGCCACATTTCATCATTCTTTTCCGAAGTTTCAGACCAGGGGCCAGGCGTGGAATCAAGTGGGATGTGTTGAAGAGTCGCAATGGCAGCTGGGGGTAGGGTGATTCCATCAAGTTCAGGGCTTTCGGAGCGGGGCGAAACAGGATTATTATGTTGATCATCAGGCGAAAGTACTGCTGGCTCGTGACTCTCGAATCCGGCAGGTATAGCTGGGAAACTATCGAGGAGAGGATTCCAGTCATCGACGGATGTTTCGATTGCTCTCTCCTCGTCAGTTGTCAAGTCAGTACTGGATGCGCCTGCACTACTAGGCGCAGTGGGATCCTGTCGTACGCGAATGATTTCATTGTCCCAATCATGGTCACGCACTGGGCGTAAGTCTGGCGTGGCCGGAGAACTGATATTCGATATCTGATCTGAGGATAAGCTCCCATCCAACGAAGGAGGAGCATGTATTGCCGGTACATTCCCAGGCAGCATCGATAGCGCTGCTGGCGACACTGGGATTTTCGGTGGTGGAGTTGGAGGGACAGGAGAACTCTTATGAGGATTAACAAGCGATGGCCACAGGCTCGCTGTGGGGATCATAAGACTCGGGTATCGATTCCGACTGTTAGTTGAATATGTCGAACTTCTAATAGACATGGTTGCAAGACTGCTAGGTCGACTGTCGGTTAGCGAAGGACAGTTTCGCTCATCATCATCCGATGCATCGTAAAGATCATCAAATGGTCGTAATCCTTGCTGCCACTCCTCGTCCGAACATGAGGATGAACTCGAGGATAATGTGTCGACCGGAGTCGATATCCGCCTAGCTGTCTCTGGAGAAAATGACATTGCAATTTGAATCGAGTGTAAACTCTCCCTCGTCATCTCATGTCGCACACTCTGTTGTTCTCCGGGTGAGTTTTCATTGGCTTCCATTATGGTATTAAGTAAAGGCTTGCGGGCCAGCCGCAGAGGCGAGCTCAAAGTCGCAACCTGGCGATGGTGAGAGTCTGCCATGGTGTGAGTGATGCCAGATCACCTTTCCGCCCCAAATTAAATATGATATAAGTCGATAAAATGAGCTTTGTCCTGATCCCAACGACAGTATTATATCCAACTGGACGGGTATCTCAAAATAACATAGTGTGTCCGATCAACGGACTCGAAAATGACTTCTTTGACCAGCAAAGAAACAACGGCAGGATATTATTAGTAGATAGATAGAGGGAAAAAGAGACCAGGACAAAGATGTCGAAGAGAACAGAAAAAAAAAGCTCAAAAAAGCACAGACGGTTGAAGAATCCGACGTCGAGCAGAGAGCAACATGCCACCATATTATAAGCGGCTATATAAAAAGTAACACCGGGGAAGATGATCTCACCAACCCCACGTGAATTGACACCAAGAGAAACTAATGCAGAGGTAAACACTCCTTGACTGACAATGGAGGAGGCCTGGTGGTCTCCATTGGCCCGTGCTGTTCGTCTTGCAGAGCAACTCGGCGCGAGTTTCTTCGATATTCTCGACGGTGACTGGATGGTCGAGGTGGTTCGGTGGTTGGGCATCCAATAGCCATCGTCAGCACACTGGAAATTGCAGGCGACTAGTGAATAGTCCTTGGTGATTTGTTGAACAACAGAAAGTTATGCACCTAAAGAGTTAGTGATGGGGGTTGCAGATTGGAGGAGCTGTAAGCGCCCATTCTATCTTTAGAATCAGCACAACGTGACTGGCCTGCATCTCCGTCTACTGATTGGCTGGCACCGGCTACTCTATAAACAAGGCGCTATTTTTTTTCTTCTTTTAGATGGTTTCTTCATGAGTTCGTCCAGATAATCTGAAATTAATAATCATGTTTATTCGATCAGGAAACTTGTGTTGAGACACGTCGCCAGTAATGGCCCAATATGGTTAGTGGAAGGTTAGGGCTAGGGTTAGGGCTTGTCTGTACAAGACCCATGAAAAGACAAGGAGAAGTCACTGAGAGGAAATGATACGTTGATACTGTAGCATTGGAGAGTTGTATTATTATACATGAATAATATCAATACGTCCAATATAATTGAGTAGCCTCAGCCGTTCCATTGTAGTGCCACTCCGAGCCATTAACCTTGATTCTAACCCAGGTACATTGCAGCCCTCGAGTTCCATGTTTACCTAGGTATTTGACATACGCTAGTCATTCTGTTCAAATAATATATACATATGTCATAGAAATATTCACTTCTTCCAAATATCCACGGACGCGAGCAATCAGCACCCCAGTGCTCTCTACGTACCTTAGGGTTCCTTGAACGTCGGTCAAAACAGAATGGAATCGATACTAGACGTAGTTACGAAATGAAGTAACTGGCAGCTAGAGCAAGAACGTATGTTCAAGAAGCTCTCTGGCTGTCTTGTGTTCCTCCGGAATCCATTTCAACATCAACCTAATGAATGATAAACACAACTCTTTCTCCTCGCCATTAAGCCGCTTTTCTAGAATTGCAAGTGAAAAAGAGGATACCGATGCCTCATGATGAGCAATCCAGCCACCTGCAACTTATGTCATTCTCGGAGTCAAGTGTGTAATGGGAAGCTGGTACCAACCGCTCGAGTCAAAGCACTGCTCTGTCGTCTCACCACACCGCACGAATTCGATCGGCGGTGGTCCAATTAATGCTATCATAAGCGTCAGATGTCTAAAAGGATCATGGCCACCTCTGGAATCGGATATATCGCCAAACAGATGCTGGCCCTCAAGCAGGTCCCAAATCTATTCGATCATCAGCAAGACAGGGTAGAAACACGAGACTCTAAAGCACTTCACTCACAAGGCCTGCAAGATTCTATATATCAATAGCACTTCCCTAAGGTATTTCAAAAATGACCTCTGGTGCTCTGTATATATGTGGTTGGACGAAAGGTCCTGACTCCTGCTTTTTGCTAATCCTTGCGTCACCAAAGTCGCATATGACTAGGAGACCGTAGTTTCTACCTCCAATCGGCCTGCAGAACTTTTGACTGGTATAAATAATACGTGACTGGTGAATCAACTTCCGAGGGCTTGGGTTTTCGTATTCCGTAGCTGCAAAATTCGCCAGCATGGATCTATCCTCTAAGCTGGGCATCAAATTATCGGTCTTTAGATCTAGCGGCCATCAGTTCCAAATCCAACGTTCACAGAATGGAAGTCTCTACCAGTATGGATAACCTCAGCATCCGCGTGCAAGAAACCAAGCGCCAGCAGAAGTCACCCGACACTCATCTTCACCAGAGGTAGATCAAACGGCCTGGGATCCATTCTCATCATTTCGAGAAGTGTCATGTTCACCGGCTGCAGTACAAGACATCGATGTGTGCCTCCAGGACCCTGGTGGTCGAAGGAATCATACAGTTCGCGGATCAATGACCGACCAAAATGCGAAGAATCAACTTTTGCCAGGTGTTCATAGACTCTTGACTCGCGATCTGTCGCAGTGGGATAGCCTGGCAAAGATGTGGACACCTTCAATACCACGTAGTTATTTGATTTAGAACTCGTCAGAACTCCTTCAGAATCGACTGAACTGGGAGACTGGAGATCCCGGCAGAGCCAGCTCGTTGAAGATGCCCCATACCCAAGCTTTTTCGCAACTTCATACCTGGCGTGATACACATCGCTAATTTTTACCGAATAATAGTGCGTTGCGTTGTAACGTGGTAGGTTTCTTCCTCAATTGGAGCTTCCGTAGGGATGATATGTGCAACTGTAGAGTGTTCTTTCAACGACAAACACAGTCGCTTCTGCCGAATGTTATTCGTTGAAGCTCACAAAATATATTCTATTTGAATCCCACTCAACTTGCTCGGTTGTAGTTATGAAATGGAGCTGTGACTGAGCGAGGTATGGAGAAGAAGAGCTGATTGAGGGACAGGGAAAAACACGAGAATCCCAACTTACTATGATAATCAACGCCTCGTCAGCCTATAACTACCTTCTGTCAAAACAGGTTTTGTGAAGTTTTTCCATCGCCACTGGTCCATTTCGTTCAACCTATGCTTGAGCAAATTTTTCCAGCGCTCAATGTTTCTCTCGGTATGAAAATTTGCCATTTGATGATATGTTTTGCCAAAAAGATAGTTCATTGATTCCCGAGGTCGCAATATCAATTGATATATATCTGGGTGTTTGCAACGCTGGTGAGAGAACTTTTCGACCTCCAAGTTTCCAAGGTTACCCAGGTAGGTCTGAGTGTGATTCCAAACCTTAGAAGTTGTTATTGCTTTCCACCTGTTGCGGGTTGTAGTCCAGTGCAAAACATCAGTAGATATCTGGAGACTAGTTTACTCATAGTCTCGTTACAATGTCTCGCTACCTGCAGTCGTAACCACGGCATATTTATAGAAGCCCGGCCATGGAACAGAATCAGAAAATCATCATTCTACATTGCCAATTAACACTGCGACTTTTTATTATTTTGAGAACTACCTCCATGACCTTCAAGAGTCGTGGTTGTATGCACCTGACACGTCGAGCTGAGTTAGAGAAGATATCTTATTTTCGGATCATGCATGGTGCATGCACCGCATCCCCAAGCAGCACGACTCGATCGCTTTCGCTCCACCACCGTATCAAGCTCCGGGCCTCTAGAAATTTGTAATCTTTCGGGATGTTGGGTATGATCTAAGAATGCCCTCATCGTTTACGTTAAAGCCGGGGAAACGTACATAAACAGTAAGGCTAAGGTCAAAGCCTTGCGAACAACCTCAGTCAAAAGGAAACAACTTGAATAAAACAACCTGACTGGGGTCTTGAACTCATTAATATTCGAGGACTTTTTGGACACAATATCAGGGTTCGTCTTACCAGGGTGGCATCGGATTTAAGTACACAGTCAGCCAGGTACAAACATAGTGAGCAACATGGAAGTTAGAAGAGGGTGGCATGTCAGACTGCTGAGACTTCATTTTGAAAAGCACATCTTTCATGGCAACTGGTTTATTAATCGAACAAGGCGAATAATGCTCCCAACACGGAGGCTCGTATCATGATTGAGAGACACCGACGGATTCACATTTCCTGACCTTGGATCCAGTAAGCCAATATTTCGACAGGTTAAGCCATATGCACTATGCCTAGTCTCATACGATGTGCTAGACCCTTGTCCAGAGATCCGTAACCGAAAATCAACCACATCTCATGTCAGGCTGTCACCATGTCGGCCGGAGGAGAGCAGACGAACTTCCGTTAGGTATTATGTATCTAGACTTTGTCGGCGTTTAGTAATGACCGATTATTCAGTTATCGGGTTCGTATGGGCATGGTTGAGGATATTGGTATGGGGGATCTGGGCGTCCCCTTCTTGTCCCACCGGGTGCGGGATGCTACTTTTAAGAGTACAACCGATTTTGGATGTCGGTTTTGAATTCCATTGATTCTGAGGATAAAAGCAATTGCCAATTTGCTAATTTGCTAACAATACATGATTTATGTCCATTGATCTCATGGAGTCTCCTCAACGCGATATACCAACTTCTCTCCACTAACCTTACCATTCTTCAAATCCTCCAACCCTGCCAAGACACCCTTCAATCCATCAGCACCAACCTTGACACGATGCGCCTTCAGCTTACCCTCGGCCAACAACTTCTCAACCAACGCAATGAACTTCTTGGTATACTCAAAGTCCTCAGGAATAGCAGGGAATGGTTGAGCTCCAAATTTGAATTCCTCTCCAAACACGGTGTACATCAGCGTATTAACTGTTTCAACGTCCTCTCGTGGACTCTTCGCGGTCAAGATGTTACCGTATTTCGCGCCAGATTCTGAGGTGAGGGCATCCGCGCAGATTTTGGCAGAGTTTTCATCGGAAATGGTGTCCCATGCGTATTTGAGGTTGTCCTGTGTATATTCTCGGATTTTGGCACCGACGTTAGGCTCGTTATAGTCGAAAGTCTTATCAGCGCCGAGGCTCTTGACGTAGTCGAAGTTCCGCGGTGAACAGGTTGTGATCACGGCATATCCAGCTCTGCTGATTGTTAGAGGTTAAAATTCCTAACGATGATCGACGAATGAACTTACAATTTGGCAAACTGAATCCCGAGAGCACCAGTGGCAGTTGATCCGCCATATATAAGAACAGGGGTTTGATCCTTGACCGGATCACTCGGCCAATTCAACTTCAATGCCTTCTGGAACAAACCTTGCATAACGGTATTAATACCCAAGGTGAGACTTGCTGCATCCTCAAAGGACAGCGAGTCTGGAATCTTGATCTGAATATCACCCTTTGCGAGAATATGTTCGGCAAATGCACCATCTTCAGGTTGGACGAGATTTCCACCATGCGCAACACCGGCAAGTCGGTCACCCTTCTTCCATTGCTTGGTGACTTTTGATCCTACTTCTTCAACGACTCCTGCGAAATCGCAACCGAGAAGACCACCATCGGCGGCAAGACCGAAGGCTGCGTGTTTCCAGTCGGTTGGGTTAAGGGCAACAGCTACGGGTTTGACTAGGATGTAGTCATCGCGTAGCTTAGGGACAGCTCGGTCGGTGGCCAGAGTTGGTGTTTTGTTTTGAACGACAACGGCTTTCATGGTTGCTAACTAAAGTTTGAGATTTTGAAGTTATCCGGATGTTTTTAAATGTTTAACCAAGATGTTCAAGAAACAGGGTGGCTTTAAATATCAGTATACGCGGTTTGTTTTGGCACCCGTCAACAATAATAGAAGGCGATCCGTAATGCAAATGTGAATTATTGAGAGCGAGATTATAAATTAGGCGAGAGGTATTGACAGAGAAAGAAAAGTTGATGCTTAAAAATGGAAGAAGGGAGCATCCGCATCGACGCCGTGAAGTGAATTAGTAATTACGTAGCAGCATAAGTTATGAGTGTGGATACTCTCTATCCCACTTCTGACCTCATAAATACTCTTTCCATGCTGGGGCTATCTATGAATTGGGTTTGTCACCATAGAAGAGCCCGAAATCTTAGGTTAAAACTGGAACCAATTTGGTTTCATATCTCGGAACTCAAGAATCCAAGCATCCTCGGCAGGATTGTATTATGGCCCTGTTGACAGTTTGATGCTTCACACGAATCACACCGGACGAACCCCTCATCCAAGAATTCCTAGTAACCGTTTTCGATCTTCCTTCTCTGTGGATTGTCCAGCCCGTCGATAAGCGGCTCGCGTGGAGATACAGTAATGCCGTGCGAAGCCCGAAGCAAGTCAGTCATGCAAGCCTATATAGACCTCGTCCAATTAGGGCTATTACGAAGTGATCCACACTGTCCGGCATGCGGCCGCATGCCGGACGAGTGAGACCTACCCAAGTAAACTAAGACTCTGACGCGAAGATTCGCGAAACGAATTCTCCGCCTCGCTAAAATGAGCGGAGCGAGGAGCCTCCAAATCGGTAAAAGACTCCGTAGTGGATCCGTAGGTATGGTGATCATTGATCTTTATTGGTGTCGTTCGTGCCGCTTAGAGCTGCTTAGGCCTCCACCCTTCTGGCAACTTCGTGGTCGCATTGCAACTTTGACAAACTTCTCTATCTCGCCCCGGATCTTATGCTACAGCAAGGAAAAAGGTAGCCAACTCATATATCGTGCTTTTGTTCGATACGAAGGCTATATTCTGTCCATTACTCGTCCCCCGATAGCGCCACAATGGCTCAAGGTAGCCCGAGTGTATCAAAATCCAATTACCACTTTTCGGAGCAATATGATTCATTGCACATTCCGCACAGCAGGAGTCACTTCGCAACATGACCTGTCGATATTCAGCTTTCCTCATCTCAATGGCTGATTGGATCGTCAGCTAGCGGACGCTATGCTGACCGAAGGTTGATAAAATCACGATGCAAGAATGGGCGGGATGGTAGTTGGGATTCCTATACTCATCCGGCTCGCCCCATGTAGACCGCCGAGTAGTGCGGTGGTGTCCGAGTCGAGTTTTATTGGTGTCCTTGTATTGATGTTTTTGTATTGATATCATGATGGCAAGGGGGTACGGCGAATGTCTGTCAAATGCAGTCGATCATCTTGCGATAGATGAGTACTTCATCAAAAGGATGACCCCCTTCCTGTCTGTAATTGGGTAGATTGCATGAAGTGAGAGAGTTCGAAATAGTCTGGCTGGGAGGCCCAGTATTCTGTTCGTCTAGTGACTCGAGCTACAGCACACGGTGTATAATATCCCCCGGTCTCTCTTGCTTGGCCTGGGTAGGAAGTTCTCATGAATCTGGGACCGTCTCGGATGGCATATTTTTTCTCCCCTGCTTTGCGGTTGGTAGGGGTGCCTTTTCTGACGTGGAGTAGGCCTGGTCGAGACTAGCAGGGATTGGTGAACCCATTAAGAATACGCTCCATCCGTGGGCACTTAGTAGGAACAAAGATCCATAGCCCGAGGTTTCGGATTGATAGTTAGAAATACCATCTTTGTCAGAGAGTAAACTGGCAATTCCCATGACTGTGTTTGAGTAGTCCACTAATGCCCGAGCATCTTGCCCTGCGAAGATCTCGTTGAGCTGGAAACCGCGCGTCCACTAGTCAAAAGTCAATATCAAGTAGAGGTCTGCATATTTTTCCAATTCAATAACATGTGCAAAGAGCAATACCAGTAGTATCAGATTCTCGAATGTCTCGAGGAACAGAAATCGCCCAGGTGCCTTCTGTTCTTGAAAATGGTTGCCTGTAAAAGCCTCTCCCGCAGTCTGTTCTCAGCAAAGAACTCGATATACGAGGTGACTGCGGAAGGGTCAATATCTACGCCATGAAAGAGCATCTGTGCAGAGGCGAGAATGCGCCCCGCATCAAGCTGCATGGCCTCACCATGGTTCTTCGGCCCAAGGTTTTTCAGAGGAAACTCAAGCTCCACGTTCTGATCTATTCTGCGTGAAGCATTTATAGCATATCCTGCAATGAGGTTTACGGACTCTTTGCAGACTGGTTCACTATCGCACATTATGACATGTGAATTTAGCATCCTTCGTAAGTAGGTGAGTCCGTATCCCTTCAGGAAATGTCGCTCACGTATTCTGGAAAGGACCAAGGCGTCCCCTGGCTGAAGACCGCAGGATAGAAGGACAGACATTTCTTTATTGTGAAGACGGGTTCTTCGCTTGGAATCAAGCATTAATTTTTCGGTATCATCACTCGCAGACTAACTTATGTACTTGAGCATCGTCAGCGGTTCTGAAATGACCTGGATATTGTCAGACGCACTGTTGACTACCGACAATCCTAAAATGAAATGGACCCATATGACGAGCGTCATGCAGCCAGACTGATCCTGTATGGTAAATTTCCGATCCTCTGGGAGGCTCTGTGCGAGGTACAAAAAGTCCATTGCGCCAGTAATGACAGCCGCGCTCAAGTGGATATACGCCGGACGATACCGATAGCTGGGTATGAGCTTCCATAACTCATTTTCGGCTCTCTCGCGGTATGTGGACCATTGGAATGCAGCGCTCTGGCCACCACAAGCCATCGGCGTCTTCATAATGTCATCGAATCCAATGTAGGCTGTAGCCGGCTGTTGACTTGCTTTTTAAATTTAACCTCGATCTCTGGTGAGATATGACCTCTCCCAAAGATAGCTGCTAGGTCTTCCTCCACGACGGTATCGGATCCCGACGTTCGAAGCTCCCGTGCGAAGTTCAACAGCTGCGTGGTCCCGACCGTGACGAGTTCGGTCGGAATCAATCTCATGAGCTCGAAAGAGAGCTGTATACTAAGGTACCCAGGCATTATCACCTGGAGAAATTCCACTCGTAGCAAGTTTTCTTGACCATAACAGTAAGATTGCGATTCAATGGGATCAGGGTTGACACAAGAGATATTGAGGCAGGGTAACTAGCAATGGACGAAACGAGAACGCCAGCCTTGTTAGTATACAAAAGTAAGATTGGTGTTCTTAGCTGCTGGGGCAGTGAAAACTCCGATCCTCAGTACGTGAGTCTCGCATGTAGCTAGTTATGAAGAAGCTGTGGGAGCATTAATGGATCTTTGCTGTATGGAAATGCATGTCGACTTCATGGTATGTCACTTCTAACCTCCTTTCCCAAACCCCAACCGGCAGGCTGTCTATGGAAACCGGGACGTGGCTAGGTACCTAGGTGGTCTAAGGATACTGCTACCACAGAAATAGCAACATCCATCTTGTTCTCAAGGTTGATAATGGTCTGTAAAAACTCCGCAAATGTTATTTGACAAGTCACTGTTACACAACAATCTTGTGTGCCCAAAAGGTCTCTTGCATGAAAGACAAATTTATCATCAAGTTTTCCTGCCTCGAGTCTCAAATTCTGGAGCCATCCAATCGCTGTCTTCGCTGTCTTCAGATCCGAGCAAATTTTGACCTTGACCAACCACAGCAACTTTCAGACAGGGGTCTTCTGAGATCGTTGCTTTTTCTTTCTGGGTAACGGTTACATGGGGCTGAATTTCTTGAAAGCATTTAACAGATGACACATCCCCCCTTATACAGCGATGGGCAGATGTCAATTCAGACATAACTCCTTCTACTTCATTGAGATCTCCCGCTTCATCCTAACAATTCTATTGCGTACCAGAGCTATTCACCATGCCTGAACGACGGCAAAGGATCCCGGAGGAAAAATGGGAGAAACACAAAGGAGACATCGTTTCACACTTTCTGGAAACGGACTTAAAGCATGTGATCGAGCAGATGCGTCAAAGACACGGTTTTCGTGCGAGACACGACCATTTACTCTTCATTGACCTGGCTGCCTAAAGTGACTACTACTGACGACTCCCAGCAAGAATCAATATACCCGAGCGCTCAGAACCTGGGGTATTCACAAGTATAATAATACCCATATTTACAAATTTGTCGACAGACGCGTTCGAAGGCGACAAGCACAAGGGAAATCTAGCAATGTCATCCTTTATGGAAACCACATTGCTCAGGACAAACTCGAAAAAGGAAATAGCGAGAAATGTGACCTTTACTGATAGATGCTATTACACCGAAAGTTAGTAGCGCAGGATCTTGACAGCAGTGTTCTTGAGTTTTCCGAATGCTAACTTGAATCGCTCAAGATGCTTCAACTCCTCATGGCGTCTTAATATGTTCTCCTCCAGAAACCATGGTGTTTCCGCAAAATCGAGATCTCCGAATTGATAACCTCCCTTGGCTTTTATTCAATCAGGAAGTTCAGTCACAGACCATACTTTATCAAACTTTGTCCGGTCATACAACGTTCATGAGTGGAGGGTCTTCTGATGCTTTTGGCCGTCACACTCTCCTTCCGGCTCAAGACTTGATTCTTATGTCAATTTATCCAAGTACTTCAGGCTTCAACAACTGGACTTTTGATTGTAATAATATGTTTGATTCACTGCCAGGTATCGGCTCAGCCTGTGATTTCTTGCAGCCTCAAATCAATGAGTCTGTAGAAAAATACACTAACTTGGCTTCCACGCCTATCGACCATGAGCTCCAGTCAGCGTCCCTTTCAGCGTTAATGCAAAAAGACAGAGTAAAATCGCTTGGCATCAAGTCATTGGAATCATTTTATAAATAGTACTTAGTGGAAGAAAGTTCAGTGCAGTGCTCGACACCGTCAAGCCGAACCCCTGAAGGAAGCCTTATACCCTATCCGAATGTTTATCAACTTTTCAGCCTGTTCATATTCATGGCGACCAACAGTTTCCTGAGCACGGAAGGCGTTGGGAAAATATATGCGTTGACGATCTTAAATGGTTGCAATGGATTTTTACAGAAATTCTCAAATTGAAATCGACAACAGTCGATGTATCCGCCATCATATTGTTTGGAGCCACTGTAAACGCGGGTGCTCGTTTCCAGGAATGTCGCTGTCGACACACCATTTGACGGTTTACGGCATAGGAGGCGCTTTTGGACCGCGCTATCACTCGCTGTTGGACAACGAAATTATGCAAATAGTTAAAGTATTCTGTAATCTAGGGGTAACTCCTACAGTTCTCCGGGAGGATATCGCGCCACTCAACGGAGTTTGTGGGTCTCTATGGGCTTTCCAAAATATTGGAATACTCCGTTTGCTGCTCAATTATAATGCAGATCCAGATTGTCTAGTCTCGGATGACACATGGTGATTCCCTCTTATAAACGCAGCATATGAAGGCAGTTTGGAAGCAGTTTCTCAGTTCTTGACAGCAGGAGCATACGTCAACTTAAGTATTCCTGTTGAGCTTTAAGACGGTATGTTTTTTAGTAAAGCTACTGGCGACTTTGGGACGGTATTGCAAGCTGCCGCCGCGCGTCGCCATATACAGATAGCCAAAGCCTTAATTGAGGCGGGAGCGGATATTGATTTAGTGTCTAGAGTCTGCGTTGACAATCGATGTTATTTTATGAACAGAGGTTCTGGGTCTCTGGAAACTCCAATTCAACTTGCGGCAGAAGTCACGGATACTGAGATGGCACTGCTTCTGTTACAGAGTGGAGCATCGGTGAACTTCCGCTCAATGTCTACTGTTCTGGACACCGCGAGCAGATTGACAATGTTCTTTCGTGCTTTGAGAATGACAGCTGGTGGTCAGGTTCGCACTTTGAGAAGGATATTATCCGAACCTTGCTGTTCAAATTTCCAATTCAGTAGGCAACCCAAAACGAAAATATCCGTCTTGTTCATCAACTTCTCGTTTCAGGCGCAGCCGTGGATTCCAGGTATATCCACTATGACGATACACCTCATCAGATAGCAGCAAGGTTGGGTAATGTTGGGAATATCACCTCACATCACATATCACCTTTGCCAGCTATTTACATCCATACTAGATCATCTAGTATGCGCGCAGCTTTTTGGTCTAGTTGGTCAAAAGCCCAACAGGTAATGTGAGATTGGTATCTCTTTTACTGGATCATAAAGCTATTGTGCATGCTTCTCCCGCAAATGACAATGGGAGAACAGCAATACAAACGGCAGCAGAAAGTGGAAATATTGCAATTGTCCAAATGTTCCTCGATATGGATGCCGATGTCAATGCGTCTCCGGGCTGGAAAAGTAGGCGAATAGCACTTTAAGCCGCTCTAGGGAAAGGTCATACTGTTGCAGCAAGACGGCTGCTTCTTGCTGGTGTAGACATCAACTCTGAACCCGGATTTAGTAAAGGGGTTACTGCATTGCAAGCAGCAGTATTACATGGAGACATAGATATTATCAAAGCAATCTTAGGTTACGGGCAAATGCCAATGCTGTAGCGGGGGCCGAACTGCTTTGCACGGAGTAGTGAGGAAAAATAACATTTATTTGCTCAAGTTTCTCCTTCAAGCAGGAGATGACGTGAATGCATTTTCTTTGAGGTATCTGAACATGACAGCGTTGCCGTATGCAGTCAAGCAGAGTTGGTTGGAGGGCGTGCAACGTCTACTGAACTACTATTCAGATATTCCTACGCTCCCTCTATGTGAGACCGAAGCAGGGAGATGGGATACCTGCACCAGCAACGGTTACCTGATACGTCGTAGGCACCCTTAAAGCCAGGATAGATTCGCATTCTCGGCACTAGGATGGGCTATTTTTAATAGAGACCATGACATGATAGTTTTGTTACTCGACTCTGGTGCTAATCCAAATGATCCAATTATCAACGATCAAGATGGCCCTCCTACCGCCTTCCTCTATGTGTTATTTCGTCTTGATTCTTTTAAGAGCATTAAACTCTGTGTGAAAAGAGGTGCCGATATCAATTGGTGTTGGGGTCCTTAGCCAGCGCTTGACGTTGCGATTAATGCAATTGAATTGACCCGGATGTGGAAGTTGTGGAAATGATGATAGATTTGATCTCACGAAATGCAGGCAACCATTATGGCGAAGCGATTAGAAACTCATTGAAATGGGTAGATGGAATAGAGTACCCGCCAGATATTGACCTGCTTCGACTGCTACTCGACGCGGGTGCTGATGTAAATGCGAAGGAAATCGGTCATGGCAGAACACTGTTGTGGAAGTGTGTCATCCACGATTGCATTCAACTTGTTGAGTTCTTGCTACAAATGTTAATGCAGCGCGGGCGCCAATCAGTGGAGGGACAGCAATTGATGCAGCAGCTGAACACGGCCACCTGGATATGTTGCAACTGCTCTTGAATGCTTATGGTGACCGAGAAGGACTTGCGGTATGCAGTCAGACAGCATCTTTCGCTGAGAGAGAAGGGCATATCGCCATGGCCGTTTGGCTTAGGGCTTACGTGACTTCTTAAATCTACTTCGTTCAATTCAGGTACTGTATAGAGATATGATTTGCTCTTAGCTTTCTACTACGCAGGAAGTAAGATTACTATTATTTCCTAACCCTATTGTCGAAAAATTGTTTCTCAAAGTTCTCCATGTCCTAAATGCCTGGCTTACCGAACATTTTATTCTCCATGTCCCCTCTACCTAGGTAGATGTGCTTCGTTTTCACTATCATCCATTCATATCAATAAGTAATTAGACGGCTGTTGAACGTATAGAACAATAAGAACAGACCGCATTTTATATCATAGAAAGCTTTCAAAGTATTCCATCCTCGTTGGCTTCAGTGGGGTTAATGTTATGAGTCTAAGATCAGCCAAGCATTCAGCAAGAGAACAGCCTCACAATTTAAACCATCTCAACTCTCCCCTTTCAAATATGGCAAAGTAAGGACAAAAACAAGGCTGCTAATCATAGTCTCTAAATTTCGGGGATGCTGCAGAAAGCACATTTGGCGCGTATTTCAGCCTTGCTGAGTCACGGGCTTTGGGTTTCAGTATCGCTCAATCCTTTCTAGATTTGAGTTTATTTCCAAGCTTAAAACCTGGTTAACAACGACTGTTTCTGTCATATCACGAAGTTCCGAAGACATACTTGCACCTCTGCGTGACCTTGATATAAAGATAGTCAGACTTCCGACTCCTTGATAGTGGTATTTCCCCGCTTCGCCCGCGGTGTGGGTGTTGACGATGTTCAACTAACTGAATGCCCAAGGCCCATTTTCGAAAACGATTCGAGATGGCCACATGCAAATCCTTTGCTGCAGGCTACTGTATGAGAGGAGATAGTTGTCGTTATTCCCACGAAACTACGACTGCAACGTCGAATCCTGCCAGCCTCCCGCCCCGAGCCCCGGGCAACGTGACGGCTTCGAATGCCAACAACCAGATACCTTCACACCCTTCACATGGCGGACTATGAAGGGAGCAGCGAGATCTCACTTCCGCCGAAAGTTTTTCTCAAGACGCCTTATCTCCCGACATCCTACGATCGACACAGCCGTTATCACAAAGCCCGCTAACTTTGAGGAGTAAACTGTCCGATTTAACACACCCAACACAGGATTTGCGATCTCAGATTCCATGCTATTACAATGACAGGGGTAATTGCCGGAATGGAAATAAGTGCCCTTTTTCTCACCTTGACAGAAGCGAGCAGAAGGTGGAGACGAGTTCAGATCCAGAAGTACGTCTTTCCAAATCATACCCAGCTTGCTTATCATCTATATAGTCATTAGTACATGCTAGGAGAATCAAACATGCGATGATTTCAAACGGGAACTCTGTGGCGCATTGGCCCAATTTGAACGTGGCGCTCAAGTGTCTAAAATTTCACTTCCGGGGGACTTCTCCGCTGCTCAAATAAATGGGTTACCAGTAGATAGCTCCCCGGCATCTGTTTCTACCTTTTTGTCTGGCATAGGTATAGAAGTCTCGCCGGAATACGTACGAATCTCCCGGCATGACAACGGTGCCCAGGTATCGGCGAGCATCAGTCGAGGACCCTATGTTTGCGAAACTATTGTGCGCGAAAATCGATGTGAGAAGAATCTCGGAGACTATACTCTCGGAGCTACAAGTAACTCAAATCCCAGCCGGCTTTTCTTCAGACTCAAATCTTCGTCGAGTTGAGTGTAAGAAAGTCAAGTGCTCCTGGTACAAGCCTTCTAGGACGACATGGTTGAACTTTGGAAACGAAGAAATCGCAAAACGAGTATTCAACAAGTTCAATTCAAACAGTTATAGGATTCTTGACCAAACAGCGCACTGTAACCAACCAACGAGGAGCGGAGGATTGAGAAATCCATATGCTTGGACACTCATGCTGACAGACTTATCGATCGCTGTAACAGAGAATGATATTCGTTCCGCCATACGTGCACCGCACGACAGTCCTCGAAATATCGAGCTAGGAAAACCTACTTACAATGTGGATGGTGAGCTGGCTAGTGCAACTGTGATGTCTTTCCTCAGTAGGGTTGGTCCAATTGAATGGAGCCAAGCCAATACAGAATTAGAAGGCAAGAGAGCCAAAGCCATTGCTCGATTCTACGAGGAAGCAGACGCTAGAGAAGCCGTGGCATCGCTGCATAATGTTCCTCTACCCTTTGGAAAGAACATGAAATTAAGTGCTCAGCTTATAAGCACTGCAAAGTTCAAAGTTGCAACCACCATCTTCAGCGCCGTCCAAACTCGGATTCGTACCGCAAGCCAGGGTTGGACAAGAAATCATTTAAGCTTCAAGGTATATCCATGCGCATTTGGATTCCAATACAGAGTTCTCAAAATTGAAGGGCCGGTAGCCAAAGACGTTGCTGCTGCAAAGGAAACCATGGACGAAATACTGGATGGTATCATAGTAATGAGCCACAATGAACCTTGTTGGAGTCCTTCCCTGAGTCACAATGGGATTATGCTTCAGAAGCTAAAAAAAATTCAGAGAGATTATGGTGTTGTTATCATCAGGAATAGGAGAAAGGTGGAGCTCAGGCTCTACGGCTCCCCTGAAAAGTGTGTCGGTGTAGAGTTGGCGATCGCTGACATGGTGAGTATCGAGTCTTCTACAGATCATATTATCAATCTGAATCCCGAAGACTTCCAATGGGTATGTAATAGCGGATTTCGTATGATCTTTCATGCACTGGGAGAGAATAAGGCCACTTTTGATATTGTCTCAACGCCAAAAAGAATCTTAATTAACTAGCGGATCAGAGAAAGATTATGAAACAGCACTGAGAATTGTTAGGAAGCGGGAGCTGAATTCAGAAACCGAGACCACTACCGAGAAGGAAGATTGCGTTGAGTGCTGGACTCAAGCAGAGAATCCAAATTTCACCAGATGCGGACATGTGTATTGTATTGACTGTTTTGAAGGCCTTTGTACTGCTGCCGGCTCGGGGGAGAAAGATTTCTCAATCAGTTGTGTGGGGGATAAGGGGCAATGCCAAGTGGTCTTTAGTCTTGAGGAACTACAAGAAAACGTTTCATCTAAGGCATTTGAAGACATCTTGGAAGCGTCCTTTGCCTCCCATGTCCAGCGTCACCCGCAAACGTTCCGCTACTGCCCGAAGCCGGGCTGCGACATGATCTATCGCACATCTAGCACGATGAAATTAAATACGTGCGCAAAATGTTTCACAATGACATGCACATCTTGCCACGCTGGGCATGAGGGCAAAACCTGTGCGGAGTACAAGGATGAAATCTCAGGGGGATATGAAGCTCTGAGAAAGCTGAAGATGGAGTTAGGTATCAAGGATTGCCCAAAGTGTACGACGCCCCTGGAAAAGACTGAAGGTTGTAATCATATGATGTGCAGGGGCTGTAGAGCACATCTTTGCTGGGTTTGCATGGAGGTTTTTGCAGAAAGTGGCCCATGTTATGACCATATGACAACGAAGCATGGAGGAATAGGATTGGAACATTTGAATCATATTTGATTAATGCGATCCTTTAGGTCTTTAGATGACAGTGGCATTAACCTGGCATGGGCACGCAAATGACTTACTTAATTGGTACGAACAAGATAACCAGTGTGAACAAGTTTACTTTTACTTCCAAAAATGAGTTTGAGGTTCGAGCTCAATCACAAGCTGATCTTCGAGAATAGTACCTAGGTCCCATAATGACTCATTTATATTAGGGGACAAGTTGTAACATAAGGTTCAAATGGTCAAGTTACTTAGCTAAATGGTAGTACATGGTTAGATTCAGTATGATTGTCTATCTAGATATACTTCACTACACTAGAAGCTAAGCCTTGGAATCCACACCAGCAGCCCCTTGAACCAAATCCTCGATCCTCGTGTTCTTGTTTAACAATTGAAGCATTGTAATTTCCATGTTAAAAGTCTTGATCAGCCAATTCCTCAACTCCCCTGCCACCAGACTATCCACACCGTATCGTGAAATCGAATCACCAGAATCGATATCGTCAGCTGCTACGCCAAGAAGCTCTGCGATCCGCGTAGTGATGGCTCCCCGCGCGATTGTGAGCTTCTCAACAGGCATCGATGCGTTTTGCAACTGCGTAGTAATCGAGGAAGTGCCATGAGACGAGTCTATTCTAGCAGAGGCAAGAGTCTGAGCTCGATCTAATATGGCTTGCTTGACTGCTTGGAATCGGGCGTTGTTGTACCATACAAGATCGTTCACCCGATCACCCTCTAGATAAGATAGGAAACGGGCCGGCTCAAGTCCAGTGACTACTTGAGCTGGAGAACTAGGGTCAAGTTTGGATAATAGGGATTGTTCCGAGGACTTGTATGATTCGCATAGTGCACCTTCAAGTAGTTGTAGAAATTCGGTTTCCGACACACCATAGGTGGCATTGCGCTGAAGCATCTGCTGGAATCCAATAGAGGAACTGACTGAGCCCACTTCGAGGATTAATCCAAGCCCAATTGACGTGGCAGGTAGAGACTGCGAGAGGCGGTATTTGGCGAACGAGTCTTGGAAGGCGTTTGCAGCTGTGTACGCCCCTTGGCTAGCTGTGCCCACAGACCCCACAATGGAAGATGTCATTAAGAAGAATTCAAGTGGGAGGTTCTTAGTGGCATCATGGAGATTGATGGTACCGATCACTTTTGGTGCAAGGACGCTCTGTATCTGAGGCCAAGTAGCATTGTTGAAAAAGGAGTCCTAAATTATATCAGCACCGCACATCTCAATTTGTGTAAAGATTGATACTTACACCCTCCACCATGGCAGCGTGTATCACACCTTTCACTTTGCGTATATTTGATGTTTTTCCTACAGTGGAAATAAGAGCGTTCTTATCACATACGTCGCAGCGAATTATCTCTGGATTGGCGCCCGCGGCGACTAGCTGTTCTACAAACGAGACAACTTCAGGGTTGTTGGCACCAGACCGAGAGAGGAATACCAGGTGGCGAGCTCCTCGTTCGACCATCCAGGTAGCCAGACTACGGCCGAGTCCACCCAGACAGCCAACTAAGAGATATGCAGCATTCGGATCAAATGTAACCCTAAGTGCTGGCCGTGCAATCTTCACATAGTTAATATCTACTGCATTGTGTTTTTGATCGATACGATGTCAAAGCTCCTCACCTTGAGTGTCGCCGCTGGGTTATTAAAGCTGATAACAAACTTTCCAATATGCAATCCCTTGGAAAAGGTGCTCAAAGCAGAGTCAAGTTGAGAGATGCAAAATGTGGTCAGGTGTTTGATAGGACCAATTACTCCTTCATGTATTAACTTGATCATCTCCGTCATCAACCTATGAACCCATTAGTTAAAATTGTCCTGACTGCCGTGCTTTCTAGAAACAGTGCTGAACACGTACTTGGAAACCAGGCCAGGATCTTGCCGATAGATCAGGCCCATGTCAAATGACGAAAAGGTGGCATTTCTCTTGAAAACTTCAAGTCCCAGCCTGCCTCCACCGAGGACATCTGTTCTGCCAACATCAATAAAGCGACCCAAAGGCGCAATGCATCGCCACATTTCGTGCATTGAATCTCCGCCAGCGCTGCTCAGAATCACATCAATACCTCTCTGGCTGGTGGCCTTCATGACCTTATCAATAGAACTCAGCCGTCGAGAGTTAAAGATGCGATGGGCTGGGATGCCAAACTCCTCAACAAGTACCCTAACCTTATCGTCGGTGCCCACTGTTGCATATATTTCTGCACCTAGAGACTGAGCTATTTGAATGGCTGCCATACCGAGACCACCTGTTGCGGACTGAATTAGAACGGATTCGCCCCGTTCCAAACGAGCGAGGTGCTTCAGAGCGTAGATAGATGTGAGATACACCACTGGCATCGATGCAGCACCGTCACTGGACATTCCATCTGGAATTTTCGAAACCAGAGAAGCTGGTGACCTTAGTCGGTTGCCCATGTTCCCGGGGATAATCCCGAAGACTCGGTCGCCTAGTTTGACGGATGTCACCTTTGGACCTAAAGCTGTGACTACACCAGCTCCCTCGGTACTCAATTTGTCCAGATCAAACCTTGCAGTGGCAACCGCGAGATCCTTGAATATTGAAATTAGCAACTGCGTTTGAAACTTGACGAGTTAACAGCTTACCTTCATGTTGAGCCCAATGGCGTCTGTCTTGATCTCAATCCAGTCATTGTCAAGCGGTTTATCAAAGTCTTGGTCGCTACTGAAATATAGAGACGAAAGCACCCCCGGCTGTCGATATCGTGCCATTATCGGCCCCTGAGTATCTAGATGCCGTTCTTGGACATGGTCTTGGGGCCCGTGACGCAATCTGAACTGTTCATTGAAAGTCTTCTCAGGCAGTAGTCGTTCTACGTAGAAAACTCCTGCTTGGAGCATACACTCAAGATCAACAACGTCAGAAGGTTTAGAGGTCTGCAGCTCGTTCAGTTTCTGGACAATAAGTTCGGCAGTCCTTGTCTGTGGCGTGTAATAGCTGTGATCCAACTCAATGAAGGCATATTTCGACAATACATTTTCAGCAGAGATGGACCTTAGCATGCCTTTCATGATTGATGATTCTGAAGGAGTAGTCAAATCAGCTGCGACCCACACCATGGACGAAACTTGCGGGATGATAGCTTGTAGGGCCTTGAAATAGGCATCATCACGGCATGTGAGGATGGCGCCGTTAATATCTATAAGACTGATGACTGAAGAGCTCGGTGGTATTTCATGTCCAGAGAACAGGTCGGTTAGAATGGTGTTGATACCTTGCTCTGCTAGAATTTTCACAATGGACTCAGCGAGCAGTGGCAGTGAATCTCGATAGACTAGGTAAACATCAGATGGATTTAGTTCCTTTGAGTGAGTGTCGGCCTTGATCTCGAGAGCTTTGGAAAGCATAACGGTGGTCATCTGTTGGTCTCCAACATACTATTTTTCATCGTTAGTATAAGGCGGACAGAGGTATGGAAAATTTGCTTACGTCTTGAAGAGAAATATTGACTCCTGAGAACCCACACCGTCTGAGGATATCATCCCATTTATCAGCCTTCATAATGACCTGCTCTTGGTCCCATTTGCCCGTCAATGTGCGGGAAAATATCTCAGAAGTCAATGTCGAGCGAGTAGCTTCAAGCAATACAAGGGATCCCGAGTGTTTCAGCAAAGAGTGTATGTTCCTCAATGCTGTTTCAGCGCTGTCAAGCTTGCTTATACAGTCGGCAGCGATGATTAGATCAAAATCATGAAGTTCGAAACCTTGTGAAACTGGATCCTGAAGAATGTCAAGTGTCTTGAACACTACTTCATCATGGCCGATCAATCTCGACTGCGCTTCTGTAATAGACCAGCCAGCAAAGTCTGTGAAAACGTATTCTTGAACTCTCTTTAGCGCTGAGTTCGATATCAGGGTGTCCAGAACAGCAGTTGTTGCTCCCGCCGTACCAGCACCGACCTCCAATATCCGCAATTGGGGGTTTTTGTGACCTAGAAGGTCTACAATATTTTGAAGCTGTGAGTACGCCCCGCTTACAGCAATCCCTGATGCGAACAATTCTACCAGGAGATTGTTTTCCAGAAGCACTTTCATGCTGTTGGTAATTCCTCCAAGAACTTTGCTTGAGTTATCGTGCAGTGCCTTGAGACATTTTGCCTCAGGAATATAAATCAAGTTCTCTGCCAGTCTTTCAATCATGGCCAATCTCTCTGCTTTACCGAGTTTCTGAACATCTTCTCCATTAGCAGAGCTTATCCAAGATTTAACCCAGTTGGCGAAACTATTATGATTCTGAGATCTGTCAGAGATTATATTAGTTTGCAATTTTTCTCCAATGCTTGCGAGTATATGAGCAGATAGGCTCTCCAATGCAGTAATAGATGATGGCGGAACTTCCTTCGGTGGGAACATGGCTGTCGCAGCTACTGGCATCAAAGTATCAATATCGACTCTTGCGACGGGCCGCCAGTATGGTTCACGTGCAACGTTTGAATTGCTGGCGTCCGATTCTCCATCATACGATACGCATTTTAGCTCCCCCATATCTAATAGCGGAGCCCCAGACGAGCTGTAGAGCTGAGACCGTGCATACATGCTTCGCAGACCAAGTATCCGTCCGCTTGCCACACCTAGAGCTTTGTCGTCAGACTCAGATTCAGGCACCCAGATTGAAACATCGTCCGCAAAAATCGGGACGAATGCATTCTTAAAGTTCTCAACTTGACCCGCGTGGCAAGCTATCAGAGCCAGTTGGATACACATGTCTAGAGTTGCAGGATGAATTGTGTACTTCGATTCATTGGCAAAGTCGGCAGTGGGCTTGAGGGCTACATTGGCACTGGCAAGGTTGGAACCACGAAACGCTCTGAGGTTTGACAAACCTTGAAATGCTGGGCCATACTCAAGACCGGCTGCGTAGAAACTCCGATGCCAACGCGCAATATCGAGGGACCTCGAACGAGGGTCTGCCAATAATCTCTGGCCTTCATCAATTGAGGCCTCCGTGGTGGACACGGATATCAAGCCAGTACAATGCTGGGTCCATGAATCGGTATCAGGTATTATCGAACCAACACTAAATTTGTACCACCGCGACATGGCAGCTGTGTTTGTCAACGGTAGTCTTTCCATGTCGAGCACGGTCTCTACACCGATCTCAGTGTCTTCTACACGGAGGGCAGAATTGATTGCGACTTGACGAAGCTTAAAGCACTTGATTGGGGCGGCGTCTTCCGCTTCATAATGCAGCTGACTGACTGCTTCGATGGCCATTGTTATGTATGCTGCTCCAGGGAGAACAGCATGTGGAAGGAGCTTATGGTCTTCAAGCCAAGGGAGATCTTTCAGGCGGAGTACATTCCTCCATTGTGGATGTGTTCTTGAGCCTCCAGGGACTCGGGTTCCGAGAATATCGTGGCGGGGATGCTTCCTAGTCCGATACTCCTTATTGAAGCGATTTTCGAAGTGAATCGGAGTTTCGGGATATGTGTACTTGTATGGGGGCATGTCGATACAAGGGAAGCCATGAGACAGAGTTAAACCGCCATCTACCATGGTCTCGGTAGCATTCACGGCCACTATGTCAATTGCGACGTTGTTGATGAAAAGGTTACCTGCAAGCATTAACATGCTGATCACATCGTTCTCGCCTCGTTGAAGGGTTGCCAGACATGGCGGAAGAGAAGATCCAACACTTTCCAGGCGGGAGCGGATTTGTTTCAACGGGCCACTCAATGCTGGATGTGGCCCAACTTCAATTAAAAGGTCCATTGGGTTTGTCTCTGCAAGCTTCTCGACCGCGGACGAGAACAGCACGGGGGACTCGAGATTACGTCGCCAGTAACTAGGAAGAACCGATCCTTCCACTTCCTTCATTGTCACCGAAGAGACCCATCTCACAACAGGATTTGATGGCTCATTCTCTATGATTAAGCTGACTTCTTTTAGTCCTTGAGTGACTAGCTCTTCATATGACGGCCCAAGTGCCGCCATGTGATGAGAGTGGTATGCGTTGTTCCCGGTCTTCAATACACGAGCGAAAATGCGCTTGTCTTCCAGCTTTCTGTTCAATTGCTGGATTTGTTCTGGTTCTCCAGAGAGTGTTACACTTTCAGGAGAATTGATAGCGGCAATTTTGACACCACTTTCAAATCCTTCCATGAAGGACACAACTTCGGCTAGGCCAAGACCGACGGCCATCATAAGTCCTTTTCGTTGATTGCAGGACACTACTTGACCGCGGAAGTACGCCAGAACAATGGCCTCACTCGCCTTTAGACGCCCGGCAGCATATGCAGCAGCCATTTCACCTATACAATGGTTAGACAGTATCTACTGACTTATAATGATATCACAATATTGACTCACCAGAGGAATGTCCCACAGTGGCTGCTGGATGAACATCCCATTGTTTCAACAAAGATACCAGCGCTATTTGTACGGCAGTACAGACGGTCTGCGAGAATGCCGGTTCATGAATGCGACTGGAGGCTGTCGGCTCTAGAAGAGCTCCCTCAATGCTCCAGCTCGGTCTCCGCTGCAACTTGCTGAGCACCAGGTCAAGGTACTGGATTGCGCTTCGGAAAACAGAAAATTCGTTTAACAATTTTGCACCCACTATGTCAATATTCGTTAGCAATGTCCGAAAGTGAAGTCCATGTACCATTGAAATTAGAAGTCATTCAACGTACTTTCCGGCCATTGAGCACCCTGTCCGGTGAAGACGAACCCAATCCGCTGTGGTGGGGAACTTGGTGCTTTTCCGGTTCTCACCAAATTGGAGTCAAGTTCATCAAGAACTGTTTGAGAATCAGCAATAGCAAATGCACGGCGAGAGAAGCTCGATTTGCGACACGCAAGTGTGTAAAGTAGATCTGCAATATAATACTGCTTCAACAACTCAGGTACCGCTGATAGTTTCATCTTAAGTGCAGCCTCGTCGTGTGCAGACATCGTCAATAAGATGAATTTCCGAGCCCCTGCTTGTTCGATTTGACGAATTTTTGCAGGCTGACACCATGTGAAAGACGGTAAGCGCCCGTTATAGGTATCATGGCCGTTATGCTCTGCGTGACTATTCGAGTGACCATTTGCGTGGCCATTGGGGTGACCATTAGCGCAACCATTTGAATGATTGTTTAGGCGACCGTTGTTATGTCTATTCCAGTGGCCATTGCCATTTTTTTCACCATTGGATTGAACAGTTCTCAGTGGTGAGCTAATTGACATCTTCTCGTATGCATATGGGAGACCTCGTAGTTCATATCCAGGAATGACTACGCTGGGATGATCTAAAATGCAGTGGGCATTTGCTCCGCCGTATCCAAAACTGCTCAATTTGTTAATACCTCATTACCGTACCAGTTGAAAAGGCAGACATATTACCTATTGATACTGACTCTTCGGAGCCGGTTAGTGGGCCACGGAGTCATTTCAGTTACAACCTTAGCCCTGGCTGTTTCGAAGTCTATCGCAGGGTTGAAATTCTTAATGTGAATGGTAGGAGGTATCTCTCCGTGTTCCATTGCTAAGACCGCCTTCATGATCTGTGACATAGCACTAGCAGCTTCGCTATGCCCAAGGTTTGGCTTGATCTAGAAAGCAAGTTAACGAGAAACGTCAACGAATAGACGGAGGACATTGCTGACATACCGATCCAATCAACAAGGGATTATCTTTGCGCCCTGGGGAGAAAACTCTCCCGATGGCTGAAACTTCAATGGGATCACCAACTGGTGTTCCCGTTCCATGGCACTCAGCGTACCCTGTTAGATCAGGGTGCAATCCCCCAGCGGCCTTGTAAGCTTGTCTGATGACGGCTTCCTGCCCCTCAGCACTCGGATGTGAGATACCACCTGTTTTGCCGTTGGCATTGAACGATGTACCACGCACAACAGCGCGGATTGGATCTTCTGACGCAATGGCGTCTGATAGCCTTTTCAAATAAATTGCACCAAAGCCTTCTGCTCGAGAGTATCCATCTGCCGAGGCATCGAAAGTATGGCAGCGAGATGTTGGAGAGACAGCACCCAATTTTGTTGTAAATAGCTGATTGTCAGGGCCAAGGATGACGTTCGCACCGGCAACAACAGCTGCGTCGCAGTCCCCACCTCGAAGAGCCATCACGGCCAAATGCAAAGCGTACATTGATGCAGAACAGGCAGTATCGACGACCAAGCTCAGTATGAAGTCAGTATCATTGAGCCTGAGGTAGGGTTACGGATACTAACCTCGGCCCCGAAAGGTTGAAAACATAATTAATGCGATTACTCAAGATCGTAGGACCACCTCCGGTCACAGCATAGGGTAGTGTATGATCTGGGTCTCGATACTGCATAATTTGGTGTTCGTTATTGAAGTTTCCCACAAAGACACCCGTTCTTGACCCGAAGAATTTCTCAAGGGGCTCGCCAGCGTTCTCGACGGCCTCGTAAGTAACTTCCAGCAGCTTTCGCTGGCTGGGGTCCATGGCCATTGCCTCCGTGGTTGTAATACCAAAAAAGCTATGGTCAAAGTCTCGACTATCTCCTTGAAGCAAATGGCCACCCCTAGTATACATGCTTCCCGGTCTTTGACCGTGGGGGTGGTAGAAGCCGTCGACATTGATGCGGTCCTTGGAGAATTCGGACCACCCGTCTCGCTTCTCTTTCAGTAAATCCCACAGTTGTGAAGAATTTTCAACTCCTCCAGGCCATCGACAGCCTGGATATCTGGAGTTAGTATGACATGTCAAATTAGGATATAGGAGAAACACTTACCCATTCCTACGATGGCGATAGGTTCTGGACAGGCAGAAAGAGGGGGGTCGGAGACTGGCATTGTGTGCTCCATCTTGCCAATGCAAGACCTTTACTGAATCAAAAGATTGATTTGTATCAGGAAATAGAAGCCTCTAACGATTTAATAATATAAACGACTTAGAAGCCAAAATTCACCACAGTTGATTCTGACACGCTGGAAGTCCTTTTTCTTCATCAGAGAATTTTTATTATCTTAAATACAAACTTTGCAAACGCCAAGGGACTACTAGCGGTACTTATGTCCATCGTATTGATAGGCTGTTAATAATATATTCATGAGCTGCTTGGAAAACACCAGGTCAGTGCTTACTAGCCCAGAGAGCTCCGTATGAAGCCCTCGAATGTACGGCACTCAAATGACATACCTACATCCTACCACAATATGACGATGGACATGGCATTTGCAATGACAGGGATAGAATGCTGTATAATTGATTTCAAGACCTATTGGAACGCAGTGGCCAGTGTAGCTCTTCAACGAGGGCTAAAATATTACGTGAGAAGACTATCTAAGCCCTCATACTCACGGTCCACACTGATACAGAGATGTTTTCAAAATCCAAGCTAGTCTGTGGTGGTGTAATTTACACTGACTGACTGAAACATGTTTCTGTTAACTTACTCAATGATTCCACTTCTTTCACCGTATCCGGCCAAATTCCCTTTCAATAGTCGGTATTCATCCAACAAATAACAACATGCATTGCTTTATCATAATATTCTCATGGAGGGTAAGATAGCTGAATGACAATGCATGCATTAGTTCTTACTTGCTAGTAAAAAATGTCTGCATGAATCCCCGTTGGTGATATACTGATGATCTTACGACCCTTGTAAAGCAGTGTGAAGCCGATAATAGTACAATGGGGTATATCGATAACGACACACATGCATCAATGATTATACCATGTCTTCTAGCCTGGTATGTCCGATATACTTCCTAGAATACTTCATCAAACCATCTGCAAGGCGCTGAGCGTCTTTCCTCAACATATGAATCCCATCCTAAGTTGGGCTGAAATATACTGATAACATAGTTAAATTGCCACAAGTTGGCCTAGACTTGGCAAGTATCCATAGGCCATACAGGTTACCAACAGCCAGCTTTCGTACTCCATTTAGCGCCTATCATTTTATCTCGCTGCCTGCGTAAGACTGGGATCTCGTCGCATTGCTGGTATGTTATCGAGATGCATCGTAAGCTTGACATCGCCAACTTTATCCCTTTTCAGAAAGTGCTCAAACACTTCGCCTCTGGCCCGTGACGGCATTCAACTCGATGAGTGGGCAAAAAACATGGGAGTGGATGTCTGTACGGTTCCATTTCGGATAACTTCGCATACAGGGGGTAAGGATATGCCCAATTTTAGCTCTATACTCGGTCATCTAGATAGTGTGCTACGGAAACTCGAATCAACATACATAGAAAGTTGAAGGTTTTGATTGAAATGACAAATTAGATAATATAAGCTGCTAATCTTTCGGACGACAAGCGACTGGATTCAGTTTATGTGGTGAAATTAATGCACGAGACTACTTAGACACTTTAATTGACAAGGTTAAGCAGATTGCGAAAGCTGTAATCTCTCGGAAATCATGCCACTAGCTGTTTGAGAATTCGCACAAGTAAGAAAACATGACGAGTTTCCAAAGGCTATCCATTACTGCTGAAACTTCACTTCTAACAAGCCCATTATGCCCTTGCCATGCACCTTGATTACCTACACAGAGTTAACAGCAAGTTCAATAATTTACATCGAATGGCATACCTCAAGTCGCGGATCGGCTTGCTTAAGCAAGTGCTGGAACTCTCTAAGCGTCCGCTGCTTTGCTGCATATCCATTCAACATATGGATATCAATTTGTCGGAGATGGTGCTCCTCGACTTTTGGCTCCGTATTTGGAGGGGGTAGAACCATGTCGTTGATGAGCAAACTGGTGCCTCGATCACATTTTTCTAGAGCCGGGATGAAGGACTTGAAAATCTTAACGCAGACATCATCGGGATAATTATGGATCACCTGCCGCAAAAAGAAGAGCCCAGCGTCGGTGATGGGCTGTGGATCGTAGAAACTGTACTGCATAAACAAGACGCGATCCTTAACACGAGGGAAGTCCGCTCGTTTGGGACCCTCTTCGAGCATAACGGTATTGACATCTTGAACGACAAAGCTGAGTTCGGGGAATTCCTGCGTGTAGTCAGATCATCGGCTGTACAACATCAGTTTCCTCGGTTCCCTCTCACATTTGCCAGATAAATGGAAATATGTCCACTTCCTCCGCCCACGTCGACAACTTTCTTGTTGCCGAGCTTACCCCAGGGGAATCGATCACGCAGTTCGGTGGTATCTCTGTTCACTATTACACTGATTAGCTGATGCAATATAAAATTTTGTCCGAGAACATACTTTGAACAAGGCCAGCCATTGCCGAGGCAAAACGTGCTCCGCGCTCAGGATTCTCCGCATACCATTTGTAGGGAGAAGTCCCGAATCTGAGGTTGAAGGCACTGTACTCGGCCACAGAGTTATAAGGCAATTTCTCAATGGATGTTGCCGTCAAAGAAGATGCTTCGAACATCTCATCAGCCCTACATATTTGTTAATATTAAACATATCCACCGTGCAGCTAGAGTATCAAAAGCTTACTCGAAAGCAAAGCATTGCTCGATATCCTTATTTCGTGCAATATAAGCGGACAAGGAAGTATGTTCAAACTTATCGTCGTCTAACTCCTGGAAGCAGCGCTGGGTGGTCAGGAATTTTATGACGCGGCGTAGACGGTCTTCATCCATCTTCGCATGTGTAGCCATTTCCTTAACCGAAATGGGCCTGTCCAACGGCACTATAGTGAAGAACTTGAAGCGCAACGCAACCTGCCAAGCTGCAAGATCATGATGACAGCAGCAGAAAGTTCGAATCCATTGCAAAGGACCATTGGCGAGCAGCATAAGATCCTGTGCGGTCTGACTCAAGTCGATACGGATAGAGTCATATTCATTATTCTCAGGGTGAGGAGGAGAAGTTGACGAGAAGTTTGGCTCCTCGTGACCGTTTTCCTCGAGGTAGTTCACAAGCCTTTCGGCTTGCTTCAGAGCTTCGCGGGCCTTCTCGAGGACCAAGGACTAGACAAACGTTAGTCTCGACAGGACATGTCAGCATCAGTTATCTGCGTACCTGACGCTTGATGATTGTCATGATTGTAAGATTCTAGTGTAAAGTTTGTGTTGTGGTGTGTTAGAGATGAAGATTGTAAGGGAAGAGAGAGAACCAGAAAAGGTCTTGCAGAGAGCACGGAGATTACCCTTGTACGTTACGTATTTCTTTTTCTTTTTCTAGCCCAGACTGGACAAATTCGGATCTTCTGGTGACTACTACTTTTCGCTGTTGAGGTCATCAGCACACGAACCCTGACCGGGCCGATAGCAACGTTACATGATCATTCAATAATTTCGTTAATATAGGAGCAAATGATGTTTCACATGCGATTCCTCAGTCTTGACGTTCGAAGAGTTCGTTTACGATCGTTGGGGGAACGTCGTCTTCGAGTAGTTCTGTAGGGGTTTTACTTAGCTTGCATGCATGTATCTTACATTACGATATACTTTTGATTAAACCTCACGCTAGCTTAGCTGCCGTGGCTTTATTTTTTACTTTTACGAGCGTCAAAGCGTACATACGTAGCCCTAATTTCCTTGCTTTTATCCTAGATACAGGGCTGAGCTAAAAATGCATAGTCATGAATACGAACGACGCCCTGCATAGATCAACCAACACACTGCGTCATTTTCGTCGGCTCTCTAATCATTAATGTACACTAATAAATTAATAATGTCTGATTCGGAATATCCTGCTTCCAACAGCTCGTGATTGTTATCGATCTCTCTTCGAACCTCCGCTTGTCCGTTGAAAGGTGTTGTAATGTAATCTGTAATCTGTAATTGTAATTTAAAATAAAATACTTGTAATGGGGGCCGTATCTTGTATTGTTGAAGGACTGTTTTACATCCCTGAAAATTGTAGTACTGCCGGAATAAATAAGAAGATTTACTAATTCGAAATTGACGGAATTAGCAAACTGCAAAGATAGAGGGTAAGCTATCAAAATAGACTGTTATTCTCTGCCGGAAATGTACTGTATTAGATAAAGTCTAGGGGCCCTCAGCCAAGAGGCCACCATGTTGAGGGGCTATCAAACCCCAGAGTTACTAGATCTAAGGGCTAGTAGGCTCCAAACCTATTAAATCTGTAATACTGTATCTCGAGGGGAATGGAGGGGTGGAGGAAGGTAGAAAAGTATAAAGCACGCAAAAACTTCAATAGTTAGTCTGCATACTCAAGCCTTTCATCATATGGTATCAAAGTTCAATTCCAATCCTCGACTTGAACATGTTTTATACTTTCGTTGAAGCACTACCCTACAATCCGGACCGCAAACAGTTTCTGTTTGTGACCTTAGTAGCCGCAGTTCTAGTCTTCCTCTTCTTTGTCCAGCTTCGTGGCTCAAAGGTCAAATCTCAGTACCCCCTCGTGGGCTTTAATCTCAAAAATAAGCTATTCACGAGCGTACGCCAGCGGTGGTTCTGGTTCAAGCATGGCCCAGAACTTATACACGACTCTTTTAAGAAGTTTCCCGATGCGATCTTCACCCTCCCATCACTCGATCGCACTTCCATAGTTCTACCTCCTCGCTTTCTGCAGGAGATTAGAGACCTTCCTGGCACCATCGGCAACAACTCTCATGCAACCTCGGATGTAAGTCTTCACCACGCCTTTGATAAAACATGCACTATACTGCGAGATATTTTTAACATGTACGTAGTTTTTTATCGGCGATTGGACAACGCTGGATTACGAGATCTTTAACCATTCTACAATTGATGCCATCAAGACACAATACATTGCCAAGATTGGCCAACAAATTGGGCCCGCTTCGGACGAGGCATCATACGCTTTTAACAAACATTTTGGTCGATATGAAGGTTTGTTCATAGCTCGTTACAAACTCAGAAAACGCTGGTACTAACAGGAGCGTCAAGACTGGACTCCCATCGTGGCCCAGCCCAGAATTCTGCAACTTGTGTCACAAATGGTAGCTCGTACCATTGTAGGGCCAGACATATGTCGTGATCCGGAATGGGTTCCAGCTGTGATCACTTATGCACAGAATGTTTTCATGGCCGCAGTTGCCTTCAAGCTTGTGCCTGATATGGCAAGACCCTTTGCAGGACTCTTTACGCCTTACCTCTACCGTATTCATAGGGCTCGCCGTACCATCAGGAGACTCGTCCGCCCAGCGATCGAACAAACGATGGCTTGGCGTCGTGAAAACCCCGAGTCCTGGACAGCACATACTAAAGATGACACAGTGACGACGCTGGAGTGGCTAGTAGAGACATCCGAGCCTAAAGATGCAACTGTGCCAATGATTGCTCATCGTCTTACTGGTGTTAGCTTTGGTGCAGCTCATACAACTTCGAACACCATCACAAACGCCATTCTAGACCTGGCCAACGACTTTGACCATTGGGCACCACCGCTACGACAAGAAATCGGTAGCGTCCTAGGTGAAAACTCGATCACCAGTCTTTCTAACTCCGATCTGTCCAAAATGTGGAAGCTCGACAGCTTCCTGAAAGAGTCACAGAGATTTCATCCTCCATCAAAGCGTACGTAGGCTGTATTTTATACGCATACAAGTACCTATCTACTGACCAACAGAATTTAGTCTCTGTCAACCGAAAGATGATGAAAGATCACACTCTCTTTTCAGGAGATGTTCTTCCCAAGGACGCCCATGTTTCATTCGCTGGAGTACCCATGTCCATGTCTGAGGAATTTCTCAAAAACGCCGAAGAATTCGACGGTTTCCGTTTTGAGCGCCTCCGCCGTAATCCCGAAACGGATCATAACGGTTTGCAATTCACTTCCTCTTACGCAGGTAGCCTACATTTTGGACACGGTCGATACATGTGCCCTGGAAGATTTATGGGCAGTTTGATCAGCAAGCTGATGGTGATTGAGCTGTTGAGGCGATATGACCTAAAGCTACAAGAGGGAGGCCGGCCTAAAAATATCATGTTCTTTGACATGGATATCCCAGATCCCAAGTATGAGATCTTGTTCCGTGACAGGAAGGCTTAAATATTATACTTCTTTTGTTTTTAAAATCCTGTCTACGCTCATGATCTGTAGCTAACAGCTTGTTTGAGAGATCTGTTGACTTGCTCGAATAGCAAGCTTATGTACTTAGACAGATTGAAGGAACCTTCCAGACTGTAGCTGAAATAGATTGATTTCGGCCTAGACAATTTTTGTATGATATTTCTGGTAACCATCGCCAAGTGTTCTAAAGACTTAAAGTATGCTGTCATCCCTTCTTACTTATTTATGTTTCGTTATACTCTTTTGTATTTGCATCGGAGAAATTTCGTTGTACCCTTGGTAGATTTTACAACGGAAATAGGCGAGTGCTCCAATATAGTTACCTGGATGTCATCAGCGACTCTATTTAATTGTTAGTATGATTTTGCTACCGCTCAAAAGATCTAGTACTGTAAGTAGGATATAGCCGGCAAGTATTCTCATGGAGTGTCAGAGGTGGGTGTAGGAGCTGCAGTGACTAATCTCGACAATTGATTAATACCTCCAGCAGAATTTTTGGTTCTCCTGGTTATCGAATTGACACTATCTAATCTATTATCTGAAGACTCTAGTAGCAATATATCGTTACAAGAACAATGAATATTGCCGGGAGTAATGAACTTGCATATCACTGGGTTTCACTTTCTACTCAGACCCAGTAATTGTGGAGGCAATTTTCTCCGCCAATGCATCTAAATTTATCTTAGCCGAGGATTCGCAGAGTGAGTACTAGGGTAATGGAAACTTACACACAGTAGCCATTGGATGTCCTGGTGGCAGAATAGGGAATATAGAAGCATCAACCACTCGAAGATCTGAAACACCGTATACTCTCGCTTCTGCATCTACAACCGCCATCGGGTTATCTGATTTTCCCATTGAACAGGTGCAGGCGGCGTGGAAGATAGTCAGGAAGGTTTCTTTTATTATTTGTGCAAGATCTTCATCGGTCGATACGTCAAGACCTGGGAACGCTTCTTGTCTGTCAAGCAAGAACGGCTGAACAGCTGTTGTATTGAAGAACTCTCGAACACGCCTGTATCCAGCTATCGCTACTTCCATATCTATTGAATTGGAGAAGAAATTTGGATTAATAACGGGTTGAACTGCGTTATCAGCCGATGTGATTGTAAGATTGCCGCGCGATTGCGGCATGACTATGGCGACACCCATAGTTGCATAATTGAAGCCATCGTGCGGATCGCTGCCACCGGATATATTTTGGTAGCCAAGGTAGGCGGCAATGGCAAGATACTCTACCTCCGGCCAGTCGGTAGGATACTGCTCGAGAGCATGGCGAGCATCTGCAGACAAAGTGCTTCGAATTGGCTCCGGTAGCTTCTCCCAGCCAAGCACATCGTTGGAAGGGTTTGTAAGCATTCCTGAAGCATTTTCCTGGAACTTCACAGAGGCATCAGTGAAAAGTTCTGGATTTCCAAGAGCCGAGGTCGTCTGCCCTAGAACTTTGTAGGATGGGCCAAAGTAGACATGGTCCTGCATATTTTGGCCGACACCCGGTAGGTCCGCAACGACGGGAATACCGAGTTCCTTTAGGGTCACTGCCGGGCCTACGCCAGAAACCATGAGGAGCTGGGGAGAACCAAAAACACCGGCTGAGACTATTACTTCTTTTGCCGCGGTGAGAACATAAGTGTCACCCTGTGTATCAACTACGACGCCAGTAGCTTTCTTATCCGGGCCAAAAAGGATCCTTTTAGCCATGGTCAAGGTATAGACTGTATAGTTGGGGTACTTGAGAGCTCTCTGAAGGAATGAAGTCTCGGACGAGTCTCGGGTCATTGTTTTCGCATCAATAGTAGATACAACATAAGATGAACCAAGAAGTTCACCGCTCTGGAAGCCATCGATTTGAGGAATTCCCATGGCTTGAAGACCTTCGATAGACCAGGATGCGAATGAGAACGCGTAGTTTGAATAAGAGAGTGATAGAGGGCCAGTGCAATTGCCCATCACGGAAATGTTGTAGAGAGGAGTTGAATTGGAAAAGCGAAGCTCCATGTTTGGTGGCGTGAAGCAAATGCTCTTTTCGAAGTATGGCAACAGGTTGTCAAGCGTGTAGCTGTCGTCTCCAACCAGGTCTGCCCATGTTTGATACGTACCCTTACTTCCGCGCTGATAAATCATGTAGTTTCTCGCCGAGCAACCCCCGAGGCATTTTCCACGTGCATAGTGCATTTCCACATCAAGGGCGCTCTGTATTCTGATTAGAACAGATGCCATTCCAGACTCATTTTTCAAACTACTGCGTACCTGTTGCGGACTTGTCACATAACCCCAATCAATCAGAGGGTGCCAGTCATCGGGACGCTTTGAGATGTAATTATCGTCTAAGCCTGGCACCTGGCTCAGATTTCCGTTGCTGATCTCGTAAAAAGTTCCAGCCTCAACTACAGCAACACTGCCGCTTTGTTGTTCCGCAAGACGTGTAGCGACGGTCAGACCAGCATTTCCGCCACCAACGACAATATAATCGTACGTCGCATTCCTTCCGGGAATCCCAAATGAGGATCCTAAAGGGCGAATTGCCGTAGTCAGCGGTGTGAAGACAGAGAGAGCACAGAGGAAGCGCAAAGCTAGGCGGGAAGACATCCTGATTCTAAGAAGGTAATACAATGACTTTGCCAAATTGTCATCTTAGCCAGACAATCCCTACTCGCTTTATACCCATTTTCTAAATATGATTCTAATGGAAGATTCTTTCGCTTTCCGGGCTAGCATGCATTCATGAGGGTAGTGGCTTTCGAAAGATGAATACGAAGGCCCAGGCATAATATTTGATACGACGTCTCGAAAAGTAACTAGTAAATGCTGGGGCCAAATGCTAGCCAGCAGTAATACGAATTTCGAGCAAAGAGAGGTGAAGAGACAGGGAAGCCACCTATGACGCCTCGTATCATGGGCATGTAGACCAGTAGCTGAAGATTTTGCCATTGTATTATTCCATTCGTGATTTATGAAGCTCGGAGTCCCTTAGGCTTTCTATAGATATATCAGATCAGCCATCAGACCAGCTACTCAGTAATCAGGAATATATTGTATAGCAATTTGCTAATCCCAAGTTCCAAATTGACTCGATCTACCAGTAGTTATGTAGTTAGAACATATCATTTTGAACTTCTTGTTTGGTTTTCTACCAAGTCTCGAGCTTCATCAGCTCATCACATGTGTTTATTGCGATAGGAGGCGAGTTTTTTATCATACTGTTTCATAACCTTGTATAGTTATAACATCCTTCTCCCTATTCTACTATTACTCTCTATAAAAATGACAGCTTACAATGGCTTGTACTAATTCCTAATACAGTTAGACAGTAGAGTTAGGGCAAAAAAGAACAAAGGAAACGAAATACCGTATTAATCCGAGATTTTCCGCTTCAGTCGTCCAGGGTCTTACAGCTCGACTCCACCACCAACACTACTACATTTAGAAAGTGATATGATAAACTTACATTGTGGTGGCTGGCCTAGGCAATCTCTCTTTTTCGACCTTTCTCATAGCTGACCCCGCTCCATTAGTACGGATAATCGGATATTCAGCGACGTTTGTGGTTTCTTTGTGGCGGTCTCATCCCACTTTTTAGGACTTCGCACTCACCCCATCGCAAAGAAACTCGTCAATCCTCAACTCACATCGGTCTACAGACTTAGCAAAGAAAAGAACAGAAAACAAAAAACAGAATAACAAAATGTCAGCTCCAGTGTGGCTCATCACGGGTACCTCCAACGGCTTGGGCCTTGTTCTGGCCCTTCGCGTTCTTCGCGCGGGGCATCGTGTCGTGGCCTCTGTACGCAACAAGACTAAAGCCGCCGCTGCAGTGCAGCAAATTGAGCAGGCAGGAGGCTCTGTGATTGAAATGGACATGACAGAGTCCCAGGCCAGTATTTCAAGCAAAGTGCAAGCTATCGGTCGCATTGACTATCTGGTCAACAATGCTGGCTACTCTATTCTTGCCCCGTGCGAGACAATCACGTACGTGATCAAAATGTCGGCTGCAATAGAGGATTTAACTGACGCGGGTAATAGTGAGAAGGATGCAACACTTCAACTAGCTACCAATTTCTTTGGTCCGCTGTACACTTTGCAGGCGGCCCTCCCAGCCATGCGAGCCCAGCGCTCGGGAACCATTGTCAACGTTTCTAGTGTCGCGGCCCAGGACCCCTTGCCTGCATGCTCTCTGTACAGTGCATCGAAAGCTGCGCTAGAAGCAGCATCCGAGTCTCTTGCAAAAGAAGTAGCTCCCCATAACATTCGCGTGTTGATTGTCGAGCCGGGCAATTTCCGCACCAACTTTGTCAGCGCTGTAAGTATGGTGATTTCTCAACTTTCATAGGATCGAGTTCGAAGCAGAATTACTGATACTCAGCATTACAGTTGGCTCAAGCAAGCCCTGATCCGACCACTGTCCCGCCACATTACGACGACCCAGTTGGTAACGTGATTCGCAAGTTTCTCACTGTGCACGGCAAGCAAATGGGCGATCCCGAGAAGGGCGCCGATCGTATATTTGAGGCCTGCACAGGAACCGGCATGGCCGGTCATCTGACGGGAAATGTCTCAAGACTAGTTCTCGGGAGCGATGCGCATACCAGGATGAAGAAGAGCAGCGAGAAGTTTGTTCATGAGTTGAGTTTACAAGAAGAAACTGCCGCTAGCACTGCTTTTGAGTAAAATACAAGATCAATTGTCAATGCAGTGCTTAGAAATAAAATACGCAGCCTCGAAATCGTTGGTCTGGCCACAACTGTCTGTCGTGGCATGTAAATTAGGTCAGGGCAACTTCTTTCCAGTCCTTTGCTAGATAATATTATCTTCCTGGAATATGATTCAATCATGAAGTTGAGTATACCTGAAATCCTAGTAAGATATGCATCCTTCGAAGAAGATGAAATGTAATTCAATTTATTGAGTACTCAACTGCTACCATCACTAAAATACTTAATCATGATATTTTCCCACGTCCTGCCTGTGCTGCAGCTTCGACAGTACTGCGAATTATAGAGTATAAATAAGTTTTACACCACTAACATTGCCAGCTTGCATTTCCTCCAGACCTTTTAGTGCCCCTTCTAACCCACTACCGGTCTTATTAACAACAAAGTTGACAGGTTTGATGCTTCCATTTTCCAATAGAGGCTGAGTCAACTCCAAAAAGAACTGGTAAAACTTCATTTCTTCGGGGTCCGGTGTGATCGGCGTCTGGCCAAGCCAGCAGTAATACTCGCCCATGGTGTCATAGCCGCGCATGAACTCTTGGCCGTGAACCATGGGGTTAGTCTTTTTCAGAAGGTCATAATCTGATGGCATAATGGTGCCGTAAACACCTGGTTCCGAGTCACACATAGCCGCGGCACAAATACCGGCACCATCACCGGTACAGTCCCAGGCATATTTCAGGCGGTTACCAGTTAACTTTTTGATATCGCTTGCACACGTTGGTGACTTGTAGTCGAAAACGGCATCTGCTCCCAAGAATGTCACCAAGTCGAAGTTGTGAGGAGAGCAGGTCGTAATCACAGTAAGCCCGGAGAGCTTAGCGAACTGGATGCCAGCCATGCCTGTCGCAGTGCTACCTCCGTAGATGAGGATGGGGAAGGGTTCTTTTGCTGGCTCTGTGGGCACTGGTAAATTGAGGCGCTTGTACATGCCTTGGCCCTAGTTCAGAAATCAGAATACGTCTCTGTCTCAATCTCTCTCGCTAAGGGCTTTAGGTTTGGCCTTACGACAGTCATGATCGCAACACCCAAGGTTGCGGCTTCTTCAAAACTCAAGTTGTCTGGAATCTTTCTCTGCACCGATGCCTTTGCAATAGCATACTCGGCAAAGGCACCAGACTCGTGATTGGCGCGATTCCTCAAGCTTTGTTAGACACCCAGTAAAAACAGACCGTACAAGTTCATACTTACGAGCCATGAATCCAGCCTGTGATTCGATCACCTTTCTTGAGATTTGTGACTTTGCTTCCAACCTCCTCGACAATACCAGCATATTCACATCCAACTCTGCACCCGACGTCCGCAGCTCCGTACGCGATATGTTTCCAGTCCGTAGGATTGATGCCTATTGCCTTAATTTTAACAAGCACCCAGCCGTCACGGACGATGGGCATGAGCACGTCGCGGACTGCAGCCTTTTTCAGTTCTACCACGACGATAGCCTTCGTAGTGGGCAGATTGACACTCAAGGATTGAGAATTCATGCTTGCGTTTTCGAGATTAGGGATGGATGTCTTGAAGATTACAAACTCACAAAGTGGGTGCGATGACTATTCGCCTATCCTTAAAATGCACAATGTAAGCTATGGTGCATTTGGCAAGTACACCTATCCGAGAACGCTTGAGCTTCATGTAAGATGTGTCCCAAAACCCGAAGCCGAATGAGACCTGGGACTGCCTAGATCTTACAGGCGTTTACGTCTATATTAAAGTTTCTCGCTTCAGCTGCATCCTCAACGAAGCGTCCTATTCACCTGGTCTACGCCACGAGAACCACGGCGGCGCGGGCCTTCTTCAAGAAATTACGGAAGCCAGTCTCTCCAATACTCTAGTCAAAGCGACATACTTTGTCTAATCTCCCGTGGCGAGTGACGCTATCTTGAAGCCTCAGAAACATGAAAGTGTAACAGTCTGATGCCAATAAACTGATATCTTCACCCTCCTATACATAAAGCCACAGATTAGGCCCCCAAATATACGTGATGCAGTCGTTACTTGCCATAACAGAAATGTGTAGTAGTATCCTTGGATTCTTTTTTCGAGCCATACCAGTGCATATTTGATGGCTCCAAATGTGTCTTACCCACCAGACTAATGTTTGCAACCCTCATATGCATAAATGCACAGGTGCAGCAATTAAGCTTGACGGTAGGCGTTTAGCGATGTGCAGTCACCATTTTTCAACGTTTGCATAATTATTAATTAATAGTAAAAGACTATTAAGAATTGCAACCCCTGTTGAAGAACCAAGACCTTGCCATGTACTTCTGTTGCTACAAATCAAAGTAAAAGATAAGCGAACATCCCTGGTCCGCACATGCCAGTTTCTGATTCCTCTGATAAGCCTTTCGGCTTTTTCTAATTAGGAAGGTGAACTTATTGCAAATCAGGAATGTACTCAGAATCTTTTACACAGGGCAGTCATACCTTTCCACAGCCACTAGTTACTCGAGCCTACAGTTCATACAAAGTTATGGGGACTGTGGGGCCGAGCACGGGCCATGCGCGGAGCCGGTATGGGGATCAACACCAATACAATACAGTACAGTACAGTACCGGTCGGTATGTTTCGTACTACGTATTACATAACTATGTATTGTTGCACTTCTTCACTTCTACGATTCTACCTAGTCAGACAATTCCAAATAGTCAAGGATCATCTCCTGATTCAATTACGTATTCAGTTCTGAAGACCTTGACAATCATTCAACTTAAGTTATATGGACTGACAGTAGTGCGAGGGCTTCACCCTGAACAGGTCCTCTCTAAGTAAGTTAGTCCAGCACAAGTGACCATTTTGGCTCGTCAATATGGAACTCGACACAGATGTACTCATCATAGGAGCGGGAATGTCCGGCCTTGCCTTTGCTGTGCAGCTTATACATCAATACGGATATAGGAATTTTGAAATAGTCGAAAAGGCCGAACATATTGGAGGCACTTGGTTTGTGAACTCGTATCCTGGCTGCGGTGTAGATGTAAGAAACCTACTTCACCTACTAGGACAAAAATACAACAAGGTTCCTGCTAATTATTCACAGGTGGCAGCGCATTACTATTCATATTCGTTTTCGTCGAACCCAAATTGGTCGCGTAAATATCCATTACAACCCGAGATTCTCGATTACTTCCAGAGCGTCGCGAATAAATACAAGATTGAGAAGCATACCAGATTTTACTCCATCGTCAAATCGGCCTACTGGGATCAGTCTCTGGGGACGTGGCTGGTTACTGTCGAAGATTTGAAGAGCTCCGAGATTTATCAGCGCCGATGCAAAATTCTCGTTTCTGCTGTTGGCATTCTCTCGGTGCCAAACAAATGTGAGATCAAAGGAGTAGAACGCTTCCAAGGCCGGTTATTTCACACGGCAGAGTGGGACCATTCATTCGACTGGAAAGATAAAGAGTTAGTTGTAATAGGTATTGTTCTTCTTCACTATCTACCAATATGCCTGTCAACTAACAGCTCGAAGGAAATGGATGCAGCGCAAGTCAAGTAGTCCCAGCGCTTAGCGAAGGTTATACCGCGGCAAAGAAAGTCACACAGTTCGCTCGTCAGGCGCAATGGGTATTCGAGCGTCCAAATCCAGAATACTCGAACTTCTTCAAATGGGTTATGAAATGGATTCCACTATCAATGCGTGTTTATCGCGCTGTGCAAAATTATTATGCAGAGCTGGACTTCCTGAGCTTCCGTACTTTGAGCGGTGCTGGAATTAGGGAGATGTATGCCAACACTCAAGGGGCTTATATTCGAAGAACCGCCCCTGAGAAATACCATGAGTTCCTCATCCCAAAAACGGAAGTTGGCTGTAAACGTCGAGTGATGGATTCTGGCTATCTTGAATGTCTGAATCGTGATAACGTTGAACTGATTTACAAAGATCCTATAGACGAGATTGTTGAGAATGGAGTGCTCACAAAGTCAGGTCGAATTGTGAAAGCAGATGCTATTGTTCTCGCCAATGGCTTTCAAGTTCAGAAGCCTTTACTGGCCCTCAACCTATTTGGTGAAGGAGGAGTCAGTGTTGCGGAGCATGTAAGTAGAAACTTAAAGATCCAGCGATGTCGTGGTGTTGCCGCTGACAATCTTGGTTATCAGTGGGATAAATTCAGTGAAGGCACAGCCTCGGCCTATTTTGGCACATGTCTGTCTCAATTCCCTAATTTCTTTATCATGATGGGCCCGAACACCGCCAGTGGACACGGTTGTGTGACCTATACCACTGAGTGTCAGGTTAACTTCACCCTTCGCGTCATTAAGCCTGTCCTAAATGCACTTAAGGCTCAAAGATCTATACTGCCAGTTCTCGGAAAGAAGGCTGATATAGTGAAGGTGAAGCCTAAGGCCGAACAAGAGGACATTGACAAAGTTCAGGATAGTGCCAAAGAACTGGTTTGGTCGTCTGGATGCACCTCTTGGGCGCTAGATATGCGGACGAATAGAAATACGACAATGTATCCCGACTTCCAGTATAAATATTGGCTGAGAAGTATATTTATTCCATGGAAAGACTTTGAGTTTTCAAAGTCATCTCAGTTTTCTGATTCGTCTACAGTGAAGTTCATTGGAACTGGAAGTTGGATCGCCGTTTCCGTAGGCATCGTGGCCGCTGTGGCGACGTTTTGGCGTCAGATTTAGTTCACGAGAACCGTATATGGAGGTGAGATGCTGGAAGAGGTTGAATTTGAAATCTTGTATTTGTTGTTATTTGATTTTTCTAAGTTTCCAGGACGCAATGAATCATTGGTGACCAAAATATAGATGTTCTGTTTCAGCCAATTCACCCAAAAGAACAATCATATGGTCAAAAAGACTGCTATATGTATTTACTTTCAAATACCTTTTCGAGAGAAAACCAACTTTCGTCTTGTTCTTTCTTTCACCTGGAAGGTTACATTGTATCGACAATAGACTATTCTGTAAATGATGCCGCCTGTATTCACTAACATCCTTCAACAGGTCGACAACAACCAAGTGCCCTCAAGGGTTCAGCAAAAGACCATCGTCTCTACCTGGTCCCAGTTCCGATAATAAAGATACGAGGTCACTGTTGAGCGCCGTCCTGAATGGAGTTGCAGGGAATTGCAGGGAAAAGCTACCTCCTGGTCCTTGACGCAAAGGCAATGATTGAAATTTGCCGGGCGAAGGTGGATAGCGTTGTTCGATTTGGTTTTCATGGAACACACGTCGCTGAAGCAAATCTGGAAATCATATCATGTTGCAAATGCTTTATCAGTGTATTCCGTGAGTTTTCTTATCTTAATATAACCCTAACTCCTTTCTCGATGAATCGGGTTTACTTTCGTAATGATCTTATACCCAGGCGTTACGTCTATTCTACCAGCCATACCTCCATACACATAGGCCATCGTCCATAACGGATAGCTCTTCCTTCCCATATGCTACCATTTCCACCCGGACAATCCAGTATATCAGCAATACCGCCATGTTTGCCCGGCGTCATGGATTCCAATTTGTGTTTATAATTGTACACAGGAATTCGACGATACTAAACGGGGAGCGACATACAAAGTACTTCGAACAGATTAGAGACATAGTGAAATAGTCTTATCTCCGCGTTGAACTGAACCCCCCCAAGTATGCTAGTTAATGCTAATCGGATTGAAGATTGTTGAAGACTAGATGACAGGCGCAACAGGATCAAAAAATGTGAACGAAATCGGCTTTATTCTGATGAAAGTAATCTCCGCATTAAGGCTATCATTGTAACTATGTCTTCTGCAGTGTTGATAGAACTGTAACTCGTTTGCATTCTAGGGTTAGGGGTATGACCTTATATAAGGACGGGGAAGGCAACTTCCTTCTTTCCCCAACTTTCTTTCAACTTCATCTCTCACTTTGAAATGCCACATACACATTTTATATATAACCCATCCATTGGTATCTACTAGTTCCTCCAGAATATTACCTCGCTCCATGTGATTGCCTCTCTAAATATCTACCACCGTACTCGATCATATAGTATGCAGGCAGCTTCAAGTCTAGTTGGTTAGAGCTCAGCATAACACAACGGATGTCATCGATCCCGCCGCTATATATCCCGAGCAAGAGACAGAGAGATGAGTCGAAGAAGCTGGAAAACAAGAGCAGAAGTCTTTTGAAGATGAGAGACAAGATAGCTAAAAATAGCTCAAAAACCACAGGGCTCTTCTTGGTGGAAATAATATGAGCCTTGGAACACTCATGACTCACCCACCAAAAACCCCCATAAAGGGAATCTCCTTTTTAGCGGAATGGTCTAATACCTCTCCCCTACTATTAAGGTACCCGGTCCTTTTGATAATATCTGATTGGCTGCAACACTCTACACCCATTCAATTCATACTTGGTCTGAGTTCTCACGTTCTGTCTCTGAGGAGCGAAGTAAGACGGATTCGTGAACTATGGGATTTTCTAAGGTGCTTCACGTGCGAATAGCATCACATTGGGGAGACTTGGGGTTACCTCCGATATCTCTTTCTCACAATTCAATGGCGACTATCAGGTTTGGGAAGCAGCTCGAGTTCTCTTTCAGAACATGAGACAACTCAAGATTGAGCCAACGTTTTCAAGAACAAACAGAGGCTCTATCTTTGGATAAGGCCCAGGGAACAATCCTCGCATTATGAAACTCTTTAAATCCCGGATCTACCAGAAAAGCCATCAATCGAGAGGCTGTCGGCCTGGCTTACAGGCGAAATCAGAAGTTGCAAGATCCGGATAATCGATTCCGCATTTGGACGATTACGAGTGAACAAAAGCCATCCTTCATCCAGAAGGATTGAAATGGCGCGATTTGGATAATCGCAAGCTGGTATTTAAGAGCTCACCTCGCCCCCGCTGCTCGACATATGTACTTCCACTATTGCCTACAAATCCTCAGAAGAGCGTGGAGAGTTGTCACTGAGGACAAAGCCACTTATACACTGATGAGGTTCTGAGAGCTAGTATGGCTTGATTACTCTGGCTCATTTTATTCCCGGAAGATCTCGAATATTTCATTGAATACGAAAAGAAAGTTTGTGAAGACCGGCGACGGACTGGTGCTCAGCGCACAGTGCCCAACTGATAGGGTGGCTACAAGAAATTCCCCTACAGTCAAATTGCATCAAATCATTATTGACCGATGATGACGTCGAACCGATCCCTTTCCAAGCAGGCTTTCAGGACGAATCGACGGATGTGGAACTGGCTGACATATCCGACGCCAGAAATCAAGGACAAGGTCATACAATTACTAAAACGACACAACAAGCTCTTCTGTTTGGGATTAGGATTGCTCAAGGAAAATACCAGAATGCCAATTTCGTTCAAAGACCACAACGACCTCAATGTACTAAAGACGGGGCCATACCAGATGAGTCATAGGGATAGATGTCGCCTCCAATGAGATTCTGGACGTTCTACGGAAAGGGAGGATTACAGCCGCGCAATACCGAGATCACCAGTTGCTAAATGGTCTAGTTGCAAAGGAAGCTACTGCGGGCCTATATGTTCCAGTGATGATCAGGCCATATTTCGGTCGGTTCAGTAGGATTGCAGACCCCAATAGGCGGGAGCAATGCCGGCAGATGCAGTTAGAAGATTTCTATCAACCAAGTGAATGGCATGGACACCCACTTGTTTCTCTTCAAAGAGCTTTTCATGTCCTTGGGAGTGGTAGAGCCAAGGCTGCGATACCAAAAGAGCAACTCAATCACTTATGGGAGATGTATGATCTATACTTCACTCCACTTGAGTCTGATCCTGTCGGGGCTGCTGAGTTAGAGACTATCAACCCTACAGATACCTATCGTCGAAATCAACGAAATCTAAAGAGAGGCCGTCATGAACCTGCCGATATCAAAAGCGAATAAAGTCTGGAAATGTTCCAAATACTCGTACGACAAGACGCAGCACTAGAATGAAACAGCAACATCACTCAGAAAAGGTCTGGTATCCAGACTTCAAGAAATAAGTAACCCTCTATTGGATAGTCGGTCTAGACTTTATAGCCAAGAATATAGTCCAAAAATAGCGGGAATCTATAATTCCAGGCCTCTGATAAATGCTTTATCCAAACACCTAGCTTTTTCTTGGTTTACTCCTCCAGGTAAATGAAATGGCTAGTATCCTTTCTTAATCATAAACGGACACAACCCTGCAGACTCCTGTGGGTGTGCACAGTCTTCTTGATTATACATAGTCATATCGGAAGCCCCAAGCATTTGGAGATATATAACAGATAAAACAAGAGGGAACAAGAAACTCCTCGTTACCCTTTAGCTGCTTTTGCCATTTGAATTCCAAATGATCGAACCCGTACTATATCCGATCTGTATGCCACTATTGTGGCTACCTGAAAATGTTACACTATACGTCTTACCGCCGCTGTGATCTGACAGCCCGGCGCGCAACTGTGATGATACAACACTAGAGGCAGTTTCGTCAGCCTTTAAAAGACGTGACTGCTCTTCAACTTCCTTCATTGCTAGAGTTCGTTGAGCACCACCATCTTCCTCGTCCTCTAGATTCTCCTGAAGTTCTTCCTTGCGCTCCAAGGCTTCGTTTCGTCGCCCCTTTGTGAAAGAAATATGCTCCTGGACTGCTTTCTCTAGGGATCTCAATCGTGTCTTCAGCTCCTTACGATCAGTCTTTGAGGTATATTCCGAGCGGAGCTGAATGAGCCTTCTAGAGCATTAGTGTATATCAGAAGCGTAGTTCGCAAGGGGGTTCTTACAGCTGAGTGCTTTCGATGGCAAACTGGACGATGGCTCGGCACGATTGAATTTGTGTTCTAAATGTACGTATTCTTTCTTTGTTCCATACTCCAACGGAAAGGCGATCCCGAAGAGAGAGGTGCGTATTACTAGAATGCTTTGTCCATTGCTGAAATTTCTTTGTAAAGTCGGCACACGCCTGGCCACATTTATTCACAGCTTCTGCGATCCCAGTCTTTTCAAGATCCGATTTGGCTTCAGTATACATCGCCTGGTTAGGAATTTGAAGTTCTTCCAGAGCTGCGAGCGGGCGCTGGACACCTTCCAACATTATAGCGATATCTTGCACCGTTTCTTTGGCATCTGCAAGGCTGCCAATCAAATCACAAAGGTGATGAATACTAGATATAGCAGCCTCTGTAATGCCAATGGCGCCAACAGTGATGCTGAAGGGGTCCATGTCTTCCTGAACCATAAAGGAAAGTGCTCAGACTCCGTAAAGCAGACAAAGAGCATGACAAGAGTCAGATGGATCTGGTTATGCATTAATAAAGTTCCATCTATCATAAGGAGGTGGGGGCATTTGTGGCTGTGGCTCGGCCCGGGTCCAATCTCAGCCAATCTTTGACTGAGTCGGAATACCTTCATTCCAACCGACGTCCCCTGGTTGTACTAGGCTTTCCCAGCTCTCTAGGCGATATCGACAGAATCTGTCTCATACATCCGGTTCGTACAACCGGAGGCTCAACATCGATAAAAGCAAAAATAGGTGTGCATTCTGACCTTCTCGTTCCTTTTCTGTAAAACCCTTTACAACTCCTAACTTAAAAACTGCTATTGGACAAAGATGAGAAGCATGGTGGAAGATCGCCAATTCGGAGCATGCTATGGTTTTGGAGTGACATCGAAGCTGAACAAATCCCGGTAGCCTTCCCGGATTTGACAGCTACGATATTACGACTCCAGACGAGGCAGTGCTAGGAGCCCGGTCTATGCGGATATTTGGGTAGGAGAGGAATGCGGACAGATGGTTTAATAGTAGGGGGCTTAAAACGGTTTAACGTGTGTGACGCGCACCTGTATCGCAGATTGTCACTCGCTGATGGCATAGGTGCATATTATTGATTCTCACACCGTATGAATGTTAACTGCTTCGCTATGTTAGCATACCAAGGCCAACCAATGACAGCACGAATCATTCCTCACAATTGTAACCAGATCTGGGAGTATGGTTGGTGTTTATAATTAGGGCACACACGGGCGTCCAGCATAGGTATGCCCCCCTTCCCCCCAACCCCCCGATCGGAAAGACTAGATTGTAGATGAGATACAATGTCTCAAACACCACGGCTACCGTTGCGTATCACGCCACCTTCTCGAACTCGCACAACTACGGACTACAAGTTGGCCATAATGCTGGGGATATCAAGATCCACTGCCACTACGCCGTGGCTAGGTAAGCCGCTACTGTTTCCACCATAAAGCCGTGCTGACAATGGCCCTAAGAACGTCTCGGGACTTCGCCAGAGCCTTCCCTATTGATCCTATTCAGCGCCGAACCCGGTTTGTCGACCGTGTGGCGATCCTGGATCAACTCCAATACCGATATGCTAACTGCGCATGAAGGAAATCCACAGCTCGCGATACAATACGCATATCAAACCCACGAGCGATCTCCTGCAACATGGATTTTCTGGATATATGCCAGTAATGCCGCGCGGTTTGAGCAGAGTTACAGAAGATTGAGGATGCCGTCAAGCTCTTCGGGCGGCATGATCCCAATGCCAATGGCCTCAAGCTTGTGTACGACTGGCTGCGAGATGATAGCAAAAATGGAAAGTGGGCTCTTGTACTTGACGATGTTGATGACACTACATTCCTCCTGAACCGCCCTGATAAAATTCAGGGGGGTCATGAAAATAGCAGAGTGGATCGCCCACTGGGGAAGTATCTACCACGAAGTCCGAATGGATTCATTCTAATAATATCACGAAGCAGTGAGGTTGCGTTGAAGCTCGTTGAAACCCAAGATATTATTATAGTCGACCCGATGGATGAGGAACAAGCATGAGCACTAGTAGAGAAGAAGCTGAGAAAGCAGGGTAAGAAGCAGGATGACAGCCAGGATATTGCTGATCTTGTAGCAGCATTGGAGTTTATCCCGCTAGCAATTGTTCAAGCCGCGGCATATATTTGTGATCCAGATCGAGATTGGTCGGCACGACAGTACCTACATGAGCTCCAGAAAAGTGATTATAGCAAGATCCGTCTATTGAACAGCGAGAAGGCCAGTTTCGTCGAGAGTGGGAGGCTGAGAATTCTGTTGTCGGGACATGGCAAATGTCCTTTGATAGTATCTGCCAAAGGCGACGCTCAGCAGCTAACTTACTATCACCGGTGAGCCTATTGGACCGCCAAGGTGTTCCTGAGACCGTTCTTCGAGATCACCGCGGACTAGGAAATGTTGAGCTAGATAGGGGCGATGATACATATGACAGTGAATCATTATCTAGCATGACAGACGAGTTCCAAGATGATATTCTCATCCTTCGAAGGTACGTCTTGATCTCGATGAATGTAGACCGAAATACCTTCAACATGCACAAGCTGGTGCAGCTAGCACTACGAAGATGGTTTAAAATGAACGGCGAGCTAGAGAAGTGGAAACAGCAGTATATCCGGAATCTGAATGCAGATTTTGCCACGGGAGAATATAAGAATTGGGCACAGTGTCAAGTACTGTTCCCGCATGGAAGTTGACGGCCAGTCAGCCGCCAAGAGAACGTGACTCGTTAATTGAGTGGGCAGCAGTGTTACACAGGGCCGTAGGGTATGATTCAGAAAAGGCAATAGGGTTGAGGCTGAGAAACTGTCAGTAAAAGCAATGGAAACTCGGAAGACATGTCTCGGCCTAGACAATGAAGACACATTGTCTAGTATGGAAATAGGAGGGATAATATACTTATATAAGGGTCAATTGAAAGAGGGACAGGAGGTGTTTACGCAGGTCATAAATATAATGAGGTGGGTACTATGGGCAGAGCATCATCATACCCTTGCTTGCATGGTCAGACTAGCATCAACATATCGGGAGTAAGGTCGATTGAAAGAGGTAGAAGAACTTGGTAGACAGGTGATGGAGGTTAGTGAGAGGGTCTTTGGCCCAGAACATCATTACAGACTAATCAGCATGGCTGATTTGGTATCTACAACTGAGATAAAGGGCAATTGGAAGAGGCAGAAAAGCTAGTAATACTGGTCATAGATATAAGGAATATATGATCAAGAGCATTTTCAAATACTATCTACAATGGGCAACCTGGCATGGGCATACCTACTTCAAGAACGATGAATGGAAGCAGGAGAGCTGCAATTGCAGACAGTGAAGACTAGTACAGGAGTACTAAGCGCAGAGTGTCGTTATACAATATTCAGTACAACTAACCTGGCATGGATATATCTATCTCAAGGACGAGTGAAAGAGGCGGAAGAGGTAGGTATACGAACAACAGAGACCAGCAAAAGAGTGCTAGGTTCAGAGCATCCTTATACACTGATTAGCATGATCAACTTAGCATTAATATATCTGTGTCAGCGGTGATGGGAAGAAGCAGAAGAGCCAGAAATACAGGTAATAGAGACTAAGAGAGTGAGAGTGCAGGGTCCAGACCAATTTTATCCACCAACCAGCATGTCCAACTTAGCATTGGCGTATGGGAGGCAAGGACGATGGAAAGAAGCAGAAGAGGTATTAATAATAGTGGTGGATATAAGAGAATATGTGGTTCAGAGGATTCTCAAACACTATCTGATACAGTCAACCTGGTATGGATATTTATGGGTCAAAAGCGGTGAAAAAAAAAGGCAAAAGACATATGTATACAAGTGGTGGAGGCCAGCAAGAGAGTGCTAGGCCCAGAGCATCCTGATACATTGGCCTACATATCCAGTTTATCAGTGATATATGGGAGACGAGGGCGAAGAAGATGGAAAGAAGCAGAAGAGCTAGGTACACTGGTGATGGAGGCTAGCACGAGAGTGCTAGGTCCAGAGCATCCTACTACATTGATCTGTATAGCCAACTTAGCAGCGATGTACGGGGGACTAGGGCAAAGGCGAGGGCGAAGGAAAGAGGCAGAAGACCTAAGTATACAAGTGGTGGAGGCCAGTAAGAGAATACTAGGTTCAGAGCATTCTGATGCAATGGCCCGTAGAGCCAACCTAGCATTAATATCCTGGAATCAAGGGCGATGGAAAGATGCGATGAAGCTAGATATACTGGTGAAGCGGACGAGAACCAAGGGTGCTGGGTATGGAGGATTCCGTAAAGCTTTCCAGCATAGGTACCTGGCATTTACGTACAAGGAGATGGAAAAGTGACAAAAGAGCTGGGTGCACGGGTGGTAGAGACCTTTTTGCCCTGCAATCTTCATTTCGTTATCAACTGGTTTTACTGTAGCAATCTAAAAATAGGGTAGATCAGATGAAATGGATGGATCGTAGAAAATGACGCAGGGAAAGAGAACTTGTAATGTGATTGGCTATATACGAGGTCCGCAACGGGCCGGTCCTTGGCCCATTCGATCATTCATCTAGATCAAGTCAAGATACATATTGATCAGAGCAATTTTCATTACTCTGACACTGCCATCAACATATCCAAAAAAAAAAAAATGAAATAAAATAAAATACGCGAACTCTTTCTTTCATACACTTCTTGGTAGTGATGTCGTGAACCCGCCAAGATAAAATTTCAAACCGGACTGAGGATACAAATGACCACGACGATCCGGGGATCTAGAACTGGTCCATGTTAACATCCAGCCAATTGATTGTGTTTGTCCTTGTTGGGCTGTGAATTTGATTTTTCATTCGATTCTGGTGACCCTCCTGGTTTGGTCTCGGTTTGGGCCAGGCAGGATGCTCGTAATTGGTATTCATTCCGCTGATTGTGTGCTACAATGTCTTCAGCCGCCGGAAATCACTCAATACTGCATAGAGTAATGGATAAGTCGTTATCATGGATATCAGATCGATGACGTACGGAGTACACGGACAGTGACTAGAATATATGAACGAAGGCGGTTCAGCCGCAATGACTGGATGAGCCTGGCTGAAAAGGACGCTCGAACGGACCTGAACGGACCTGACTCGTAGTGAAACCGGTATGCTAACGACTTGATTCTGTTAGCGATGAATAATAATGGCTGTTCGGGGTGTGCGATAACCCAGGCGGCCTCTAAACAGCGCCTACAGGGGATATGCTGGTGTACAGCCCGTATTTACTAACAATACGGACTAAAGCAGTAAAGCGAGCAAAATGAATACGAGGTTATTTACCGCTAACGCAGCTAGCGTGACGTCCCGTGTTGTCACTGGCCCGGCGGTGTGTCGACGCCTTCCGTCTCGCTGCCTCACTTTTTCTCTTTCTTCCACTCACCAACACTCTTCCCAATTCTGGTCTCTCGGGTCACCACCACCAAATTGATCATGATCATCAGGTCCATTGTTACATACGATCTAACCACTGTTGTGCAGACTAGTATCGCACCAACAACCCTGAGACGGCTCGTTTGAGGAAGAGCCCAACCGGTTGGTGTTGACCGGTGATTCGGTGCCAACTCGTCAAGTGTCTAGAACATTTGATATCCCAGTTCTTGTCCTATTCGAGCATAGGCCGTCAAACCTGAAATTACTGCACTGTTACGGCTAGCAGCTTGATCACGCATCCTTCGATCTGTCGACCAGCTCCGCCGTCCTGTTTCTGATTTCTCCCGTCGTCGTTCTGTCTCCATCTTTTGTCTCTTCTCTCTTAAGACTCATTCAATATACATCCTTCTCCAGATTATACTCCTGATTCTTCAGGCACACTCGATAACTCACGCAGCATTATCTTGTGAGCCTCCAACTGACTCTAGATAGTTTTGTGCTGACGAGAACAGCAGATCTATTACTTGAACGCATCCAGGACTCTACACAATACCATTCTATTCAGCACTACCCCGTATTCATGTTCACAACATGGCCGTCTCTACTGCTGACGATGACCTCTTCACCAGAGCCGTCTCTGGCTATCGGGAAGCCTTTTGGGACCGCCATCAACATCTCTCGGAAGCGGAAAGAAATCTTGCATGGACACAACGACTCAGTCAGTTCATCACAGCCGGCAGTTCGACTTCAAGCATCCCATCAAAAACAGGACCACCACCAGATACTTCAGCAGACACTTTGGGAAAACGGACTCGACAAGGACCACGGACTGTATCAGAAGTCTCCTTCTCTGCGAAGCGACGTGCAACCGTATGTCCATCCATGTTGCGATAAATGATTGCGACCCTTTTCATTTGGTTGGTCCAGGCCCAGGTTGACATTTGGCAGAGTGCGGAATCAAGTGCCAGTCCGGTAAAGCGAGGCACAATCGCAACTTCGAGCGTCCCTCAGTCAATTAACACTAAGCTTGGAATGGTTCGGTCCCAAAGCCAGCAAATTCCATCCCCTCCAAGACCGATCCAGGATACACGACGACAGTCGGCCGAATCGGCCTTGTTCAGACAAAACATGAGCAATGTGAACGTACACGAATACTCGCCATCGGAATACACGGCGCAGTGTTTGGAAGACGTTTCTGGTCAAGGTACCCCAAGTTTTGCTCTGCCCGTTTCTGACAGTATCAATCTGCAGTCGCAGCAGTTTCAACACACTCCACAACCTCAGTATCTAGGGTTGACTCAGATGACTGACCTGACGGTCCAAGCCGCTGAGATGAGCCGTAGCACAACGACAGATTCTATTTCAGGAGGTCTGGACATGTTCCGATTCGAGTCCTCAGCGGGAGCGAATCTGGAACATGTCCCAGATCTCGGTCTTTCTGTTTCTTCTGATTTTCTCAACCTACAATCCGCTGCGGATGTAGGCTTTCCTATCTCTCCAATTGGTAACATGGCTCATGTTCCAATTGGATCGTCTGATTCTTCTCTTTATTTTTCTTCTTCTGCACCAAATCCTGTATCTTTTTCACAATCTTCGCTGATACCTTCATCTGCATCTCTGGAGATGAAGGCTTCTTTTTCTGCCGAGAGCAATGCCTCGGGTGTGTCTATGACACCACAGTCCAAGACTGTTATTCCTGAACATGTTCAACATGTTCAGAGACTTATTGCACCCAAGGTGCCGTCTACTACTAAACACAGCGCTGTTGGCAAGTCGAAAGACCAACATCGGATGATTCGCATTTCATCCGAAGATGGGACTTCCAAAGAAGTTGCAGCCATTCCCAAAGCACCCTTTCAACGGGCCCCTCGGCCCAAGACGTATTGTCATCTCTGTAGTGATCAACCCGAGGGGTTCCATGGCGAACATGAATTGCGGCGGCATATCGAGCGCGTACATTCGGTTGTACGCAAAGTCTGGGTCTGCATTGACATTTCACCCGACAAGACATTCCTCGCCAACTGCAAGGCGTGTCGTAACGGCAAGCGATACGGAGCGAATTACAATGCAGCAGCTCATCTCCGGCGAACACATTTCAACCCTTGTCAGCGCGGTCGCGGCGGTCGTGGCAAGGATAGCGAGAAGCGGGGTGGTAAAGGCGGCGGCAATCTCCCTCCCATGGATGTACTAAAACATTGGATGGAACAGAGGGAAGAAGTCGTCCTTGAGAATGCTTCTTATCTTGATGAGCCCGCCGATCCTGCCGCACTTCCTGCAAATATCCCTGCTCCTATCCCTGCTACCGTCCCTGTCACCACTGTCTCGATGTCCTCCGCCACGAAAGCAGAATACGCCGAACCGGACATGTCGACGACGACGGCCGCCGAATTTGATACAGCGGTCTTTACATGGGATCCTTCAGCGGTTGCTATGGGTAATGAGTATATGAATTATTACATGAGTAATACTCAGCCGTTGGTTGTGGGTGAAGATCCGTATCTTGTGCAGACGGCTGTATAGCACCTTGAGTATATTTTTTCTTCCTACTTTATGGTTATTTCTATAATTTTGTTTGTTTTGTTTGTACAGCGTGGTGGGTATGTCGTTTATTCGGATTCGTTGATGATATGAAGTGACGATATTGTTTTCGATTTCTCTTTTTTCTCTTTTATATCGTTACTATTGATAGTAATCTTGAATAATATGCAATCCCTTGACTTGCCGAGTCAGACTCAATTTCTAGAAAACTCCCAAGTGGAGGGCCAAGCCTCTCCAAGTATGTACGTACAACAGTCACCGACATTTTTGCTGTATTGAACTTCTTGGCCAGGAATAGATTATGCCGAGTGATCCGATTGTGTATATTGCAATATGAACATTTACTTGATATGGAAATACTACATTGTCCTACACCGTAGGCCACTGGTTTGTAGGGAAATCTATTCATAGAATACAGACGCTCTGAGCAAAGAAGCGCGGGTCTTACATTTCCAAGGCAGACGAATTATTTCCCTTGCGAGGTACGTAGCGAGATCCACGGTTTGTAGGGCGCTTAAGCAACAGTATGAGCCACAGGCATATCCCGTAATCCAATCATGTCAGCATACTGAACCATGTCTGAGCGAGTAAAGCAGAAAGAAGAGCCGAAACGTGGATCGTTTTGGGTAAAAGGGATGATGTGGCTGGTAGGTGAATAAGAGGGCACGGACGGGGAGTATCCACAGGGTGAAGCAGAGTCGGCGTCCTTTTCTATCTTGTCCACTACACTACACTTCACTACAAACTCACTACATATTGTAGTTCTGCGACAAAGTCTTATTTCGTCAAGTTTTTTTTTTCCCCTATTCCTTTTGATTTCTTAGCTTGATACCCAGTATGTATATCGATTGTTTACGTCTATTTGTCTGCTGCGAGTACTGACGCGTGGTAGATATGGCGTCTCAGGATTATTATCAACAACCTCCTCCTCAGGCGTATGTTCCCCCAGGTACAGATGAAAAGGAAGACGAAGCGATGCTAATAGTGATTACAGCCACTACCAAGGCGGCTACTCTGCTCAACAACCCGGCCCTTACGCTCCTCCTCCACAGGTATACCTCTTCTCCCTCGTATGGATAGATAATGGCCGCGATTGATGCTAATAACATGGTGCGAACAGGGCTACCCTCAACAGGGCTATGCTCCCCAACCTCCCCAAGGATATCAACAAGGTTACCCACAACCACAATACCAACAGCAAAATCCAGACGGTCAGCAGCGCGGCAGTAGTGATCGTGGTTGTCTAGGCGCTTGTCTTGCGACGATGTGTTGCTGTTTCTTGTGCGAGGAGAGTTGCGAGTGCTGTTTTGACTGTATTGAGTGTTGCGAGGGATGCTAATCACTCCTCGAGTCGTCGTTGTAATATGTGGTATGGGGAACGCGGGTGTACGGGCAGGCGATGGATCTTCCTGGTTTGAAGATTCTCTCATGTTGAGTCGAACCGAGTTGGGGCTTTCTGAATATACTCGTGAACTTGCTCTTTTTCTCTTATTCTATCGTTTTGCTGATTCATACATGAGTGTGAAAACATTTCCTCTATTCCGTCTTTATATTATTATTATTCCCGCAATCGAATCTTTTATCTCCTTTGTATTGTTTCTATTCCGAATATCGCACTGCTGATATCTACTTCTTAAGTGAAGTAAAACTTCGATAGATTCCACGGTAACGACCAGTTGGCAAAGTTTCTTTCTTACAAGTAATACATGAGGTCAGTGGCTTGCCCCTTATTGTTCTCCTCGTGGCGGCTCATGGTGTTGCCTTTTTACATCTGTCTATATAGATAGCTTGCCTCTGACGTATCTACTTTTACTGGGGTATATAAATCGTACATACCTCCTCTCCTGTACTTGACCTCACGTACCTCTGCATCCTACCAAAAAACCGCCAAGCGACAGACCAGATAATATCATAATGAAAAGCCCACACCCAGGTGACTTCAACCAGCCCTCGGAACCGGTCTTCCGCAACATCGAGCGTCAGTCACCCACCTCGCTCTCTCGCGAAGACCCTCATACCTATAACCGCGACGAACGGGGCCGCTCACGCGTCGCGCACGAAGCAGAAGGGAAACCGCGACGGAAACCGCAGGCATCGAAATCGAGGAGTCGGAGTAGTGGGAGTGCGAGTCGGAGACTAGGGACGAATTCGAGGCCGAGGTCGAAGATGAGGCGGGAGAGCAAGGGAAGGCCTGATTATCGGTTTGCTTATTTCTGATCGTCTGTCTTGAATACTATGTGAATAGACGACTCGTGAATGGATTGTTGTATAAAGAGGCAATAGTCAGTAATCAATGAGATGATGTTTTATATGGAGAAATTGCGTCGGTATGATGTGCCTTAAAAACGAGGAACCTATCACAGGCCCTGGCTGACGTCACGGTCTGAGGTACGCGAATTGACTGAAAAGCGCCGCTTAACTCATAGATTTGGCTGGGAAGTATAGTTATTTATTTTTGGGATTGCCCTTGTGAACGAGGCGATAGTTTAGTTGACTTAGTTGCATTAGTATTTTCTGTGTGTTATTGTCGGAAAAGTTGAAGCGGGGGTTACACGTGATCTCCAACGGTGACGTCGAACAGTTTCAGTTAACTTCACTACGTGATAGTCTAGACACTCTAGACAGACAACTATTCTGACGAATTTATCAATCGAAGAAACAACACAACGGTAGATAGCGAATACAACAACAGAATACATGGCAGATACCACCCTCTACCTCTACACCTCCCTTACCGCGGGCTCCTCGCACATCATCACCGCCACATCGCGCCTCGAGACAATCCTCAAGGCCAACAAGATCCCCTTCCAGGCCATTGACGTTGCCACTGACGATGCGGCGAGGAGATTGTGGGGTCGGTATTCTAAGGGGAGGAAGTTACCTGGTTTAGTCAAGTACAAGACTATTATTGGTGTCAGTTTCGACTCTTTTTTGGGGTCGATGGTTTACTGATGTGGTAGCAGGACCTAGAGCAAATAGAAGAATGGAACGAATACGGCGAACTCAAAGCCGAGATTGGCGCCATCAAGGATCCGAATGATTTTTCGAGTGACAGTCAGAAGAAAGAAGTCGAGGTTCCGAAACCTGCTCCAGTAGCTACGACTACGAATAAATCGAGCGAACCGTCCGCACCACGAGTGCAGATCCAGAATCCCCCCGTTAACGAGAACAAAGAAGATCAACGCACTCTTGCACTGAGACTAGCAGGTGAAGAAGCAGCTGCAAAAGCTAAGGATAATGCAAGATCAAAACTGGGATCGAAACCGGCTACGACTGAAGCTGATGGCAAGGCGCCTACATCTGGCCCAGAGACCAAGGGGACGGAGTCTGCGGTTGTGTTGAGGCAGAAGGATGAAGAAGAGAAGAAGCCTAACGAAAGTTTTACGAGCGACAACCGCGAGAAGACAACAACAAAAGATAGCGTTTCACATTCGACGCCAACATCATCCCCGGCAGGTCGTCGCTCCTCTGTTGTTCCTGAGATAATTCCACCATCGCAACTCAAACGTCCGTCTCTGGCAGACGAAGTCGCCGCCGTATCCAGCGCGAATTTCCACGCCGATAATGCCGAGCTCCTAGGTCTGGTGGGCCATCATCGTGGTTCGATTATATCTGCTACCACGGAAGACGAGCAGGAGAAAGTACGAAAGGATATTCGCGCGTCGATTTCGGAGGCACCCGCTGATGGGGATATTGATGCATTGAGAAAGACGGCGGTGGAGAGAGAGGGCGATACTATTTTCGAGGATGAAGAGGAGAGCGAGGAGAAGGAAGAGAAATCTGTTGTTCCAGCAGCAAGGGAGGAGAAGCAGGAGGATACGAAGAATCAAGACCCCATGGATGCAAGTAAAGCCGGTGTCAGTGTTGCTGACTAGACTTATATTCCCAGATTTCGTCTCATTTCGGTTATTGCAAGTGTTTTATGTCTCACGATTAGCCAAGATTTGTGATACCACTTCTTTTGACTATATCCTAGCAGGGCTGCGTTTTGACCAGATCTTTATTATTATGATTATGATTTTGCATAGCATAGAGTAGTATCTCAATCAATTCATCCATTCATCTATATACACCCGCCATCTAGAATCAAGATTAAGACCTCCTCTTCTCAACAGTTTCCCTCAACTTCGCAATAACCTCCGCCGGATCCTTAGCCCCAAACACCGCGGATCCAGCAACAATGACATTCGCACCCGCATCAGCCGCCTGATCAATTGTCCCCAGACCAAGACCACCGTCAACTTCAATGTTTAGATCTGGGTATCGTTGGCGCAAGGCCGTGACCTTGGGGAGTTCAGAGGCCATGAATTTCTGTCCGCCGAAACCGGGGTGGACTGTCATTACCAAGACCATCTATCCTCATCAGCATACTTCCTAACAGAAGGGAAGGGGGGAACGGGGTACATCAGGCCGTTCAATCTCCTCCTCATTTTCAAGTATATCCCATAACACATCAACTTTGGTATCTGGTTTTATGGCTATACCGGCCTTCATACCGGATTCATGTATGTAGCGGATTAGTTCTCGGGGTGAGGTTTGTGCGGTTGTCTTGGAGGAGTTTGCGGGATCTTTGGCGGCGGTGGAGGATATGGCGGCTTCGTAGTGAAAGCAGTAGAGGTCGCAACCGGCGGATTTGAATTCTGAGACCCATTTTTGGGGCTGTTCAAATCAGTATTTTTGTATGTATATGAATTGAGGATGCTGGTGGTGGTGGTGATGATGATGGATGACGGGTAGGCATGTGAAATGATATCATAGCCAGTATGGCTGGACAATTGAGTATCCCATCCCATCTCCCATCAAATCCATCATCATTCACCATCCATCCTAGGTAGAAGAGGACATTAGACAAACCTCAGCAATCATCATATGACAATCAAACGTCCCCTTCCCCCCCGGCGTCGCCGGTTTCGCAACATGAGACCTGATCTTCGTAACCACGGGAGCACCGAACGTCATATTGGGAACAAAATGGCCGTCCATAATGTCGACGTGAAGCCAGTCGGCGCCGCGCTCTATGGTTGTCGCGCATTCTGAGCCGAGTTGGGCAAAGTCGGCGCTTAGGATTGAGGGGGCGATTATGGCGGGGGGTGACATGTCAATATTCCGAGAGGGTGGATGTGGTTAATGCTTAAGTATACGAGTTGGATTGTTCGGATTGCGTAGGTAGTGAGTGGACTGGTAGGTAAGTGTAATAATTTTATAGGAAAATGTGAATCGAGAAGAAGAAAAGGTTGAAATGTCGAGGTTAATTATTAAGTTGAGGTCAAAGATCCACCGAATATGGAGAAAGATGCATCATAGCGAAGGAGGTCGGACTTAGACCGAGACACTTCGTCACATGATTTATCTTTAATACAAGTCCTAAATATGGCTTAGATTGATACTTCAAATACTAGGTTAGTAATATCTTATGTCAATTAGTAGTTAACGTTAGTGTAGGTGTTGGCAACATTTTAGTCAGTGCTAGGTTTGGCTGCTGAGATAATATATCTTCAACACATCTATGAAAAGGATTTCAGATGCCCGATGGGATGGGTACCCAGGTAAAGAAAGGCCTTAGGCTTATTATAAATGGACATCCCCTCACCTCATCCTATACATGCCTGGAAGAGGCTGGAATACTGAGTTTGAGAACCATATGCCATTTAGCAGGCATCCCAGATAAAGATAGCTAGCGCATCGATGTCTTCCCGTCTTCTATACAGACTCTATACTTCATATTCTAGCCTGCCCCATTATATCAACCACAGATACCTTCCTCTCTGGTGTAACTATCTGGCCATAATCACACATCCATGACTCCGATGTCAAGGTTTCATTTGATCTATCCTACACTATATAGTTAATTTCATAAACTTCAAAATAGCATTACTGAATACAAGATAAGTCCAGAAAAATATACAGAGTGCGCTTTCATAGCTTCTTTCACATCTGCATAGGGTTCTAGATGGCATTATGAAAGCTACTATATCTCTTCATGTGAAGCTGGCACTGTACATGAACAGATAGTGCTACAACGCTCACTGGTCCTGAAACCTAACTTCATTCAATATGACTATTTCCAATACACCTTAATAATGGGCCTTTGTGCATGTTCCAAGTACTTGAGGTTGTTTCAGCAAAACATCCATGGATCTCAAAGGCATGATCAAGTCCACCACTAACTATATAAAACCGTAGATCGAGGGAGCTCGAAGATTCAAGGGCGTTCAGGTACGCACATCTTTATCCTGGACGCTTTCGACTCCATTCATCTCGCTTATTCACATAAAATGTTCATATCCGCTTATAAACGTCACGTAACTCCTCTTCGTTACAAGATTGCACGTCCAAGGCACTCCCATACGCCTGTAAATCCTAGAGCACCCCAAAAGCCAACCTGCAGACGAAATGGTTTTATCTCTATGAACTCGGGCGCTCGGCACCCTGACAGAAGGAAAACAACAAACCCTAAACCCTAACCCTTCCCGTTTGAGGGAGGACAAGGCAACTCCACGCCCTTATCTAGTTGCCCTAGACGTATGCAGAACACTCAGAACACATGCTAGTGTTGATATCAGCGCTGATTGCTGATTATTAAGCTGCAGAAATGTTCAGTTGTCTGCTTTGTGTTGGACAATTGAGAATACTGCTGGATATTGGGTAATGGCTCTTGAATAGTCGGGAGTCGGTACAGGAGACCGAAGACCGAACAAAGAATTATCCGACCTCAATTCTTCAGCTCATGCTTCCAGGTTTCGAGGACGGTTTTATAAGATGGAACAAAACGACCCCTTCATATTCGGCCCTGAGGCCTCAATAGACATGGAAACCCTATATGCAACCCACTACAGTGACGCATATCGGTCTAACAATCCGCACGAAATGTCGAGTTCAAGCTATCTTGACATACCAGAAACTCGGTTGTCCGACGACGCGGTGACAGATTGGTCAAATCTGCAATTCTCGTTGAATGGAATTTCATCTCCGAGTAGTCAGAGCAGTGCTGCTCAGGATGCGAGTATATTCTACGAGACCTTTCTGTCACCTCATCAGGACCAACAGGTTAGCAACCTGACCATGGCGATTGAAGGCATAATTCATACTGAGGCGGGTACGGTATTTGATGCGACCCCTGTGCCGGATGAACTACCTATACATCCGTCGTACGTCGAACAAAAACCAGCTGCCAGAATGACGAAACAGAGTCTGCGCGCTCTTAAAGATTGGAAAATCGAACACGGCGACGCCGCAAAACCTACAAAGCATCAACTCCATCGTTTGCAACGAAGGGCAAATCTGTCTGCAGAGCAGATAATGAATTGGTTCAATCATACGAAGCGACGAACTGAGAATTTAATCGCCGGTCATTCTCAACCTCAATTAGAAACGCTGGGCCCGTTGCAGCAGGAGGTTTCGTCCAACAACGCGATTCAACGACCGCTTACGCCGGCGGTACGAGATATCATCCATACATCTACCACACCACTGGGTGACATGGATCCAATGAAACGATGGGAAAACTCACCACCAGAACATGAAGCCGCACTATTCAGCGATATCGCAAAAGCATTAGCTCACTCCCCCCTACCATCTGCCAAAGTCAGGGCCCAATTGCAAGCCAAAAGCCCTCACTCCGCCTCTCGCGCAGATTCCACATCTACACGCTCATCCATAAACGACATTCACCGTAACCTCTCCGCCTCGTCCCTCGACTCTGACATACCAGGCTCAATAGCCTGGTCCGACCATTCAGCGACATCAGCACAATCCAATCGATCCGGATCTGGGCTTGAATACCGACGACGACGAGCCCGTAAGCGACGCACAAACCCTTTGTCACGAGGAGTAAACAGTTTACAAAATCACAATGTGCCCAAAATATTTCAATGTACTTTTTGTACCGATAGCTTCAAGACGAAATACGACTGGTCGAGACATGAGAAATCCCTCCATCTAGCCCTGGAATCATGGACATGTTCCCCTTTTGGGTCCGTGATTCGCGACGACACAACTCAAGAAACGCAATGCGTATACTGCAACAAACCTTCACCAACAGAAGACCACATTTCCACACACCGATACCTAGCCTGCGACGGCCGCCCAGAATCAGAACGCACATACTACCGCAAAGACCATCTGCGACAACATTTACGCCTCGTCCACAGCTGCCGGTTTGTCCCTAGCATGGAAAAATGGAAACATACACCCGAATTCGTCCGTTCTCGCTGCGGCTTCTGTGATGAGATCCTCACTACCTGGCAAGTGCGCATAGATCATTTAGCTGGCCACTTTAGAGCGGGCTCATCAATGGCCGAATGGTCTGGCGGATGGGGCTTTGAGCCTCATATTTCGCGACTCGTTGAGAATGGGATTCCGCCGTTTTTGATTCATCAAGAACGAAACACGGTTGCGCCGTTTAGTGGATCGATATCTTTACTCAAGAAACATAGAATCAACAATGCTACTGTTATGCAGATGGATGAAAATAAACCAAGAAGATACATAAATCAATACTCCTACCCGGCCAACGGCGAAATGTCCTGGTACGACAGTTTTGAGACTCAGCTCGCGACGTATATCAATACAACTATTGAGACAGAGGGCAGGATACCCTCTGATAAAGAGATTCAGGACCAAGGAAGACGGTTTGTCTACGATGAGGATGATCCGTGGCATCAGACTATTGCTGAGAATGCGATGTGGTTGGAATATTTCAAGGAGAGGCATGGGTTTGTTAGAGGGGATACTTGATCCTATGTATTGATGTATATATTATTGACTCGCTACTCTGATAGAAAAGAGATTTTTTGAAATGCATGAAATATATTCGTATATGACGGGTATAATTTTTAGGAATATTTCTCTCCAACCCACTTCTCTCTCACCGGCTTCCTAGCAGCCTTGATCTTCATATAATTGTACGCAATCACACTGGCCATAATAGCAACCACACCACATATATTAACACTGGTCAATTTGTCTCCAAACACCATACCCGCAACACCGATTATCACTACTTCCTTGAGGATTCCGCAGACACTCAGGGTGACGACCGACGATCGTTGTAGTAGCGCAAATTGCGACAGAACCATACAAAACGCCAGACAGCCTGGAAGCAGGAGCAGCGAAATGGCAGTTGCGCTGCTTCCGCACGTTTCAGACAGCGCATACAGCGCGTCAATGATTTCGTTTGGATCTTCGACGGAGATAGATATCCCGATGAGTGTGATGAATACCACGGGACTGAGATGGAATAGCATCGACACCGGGTTGGATGTAGCGGGGTGTTTGAGGATCAATAGCTGCGACAGAGCCCATCTAAATCCTGAGAAGAATGCGGATCCTGTCACGAGTGCGAATCCTGGTAGACTAAACGTCACTTCGCCCAGAACCATCATGACTTCGCCGGCCGTCATGACAGCGATAATAAGCGCCAATCTTGCTGAGGGTCGTTCGAGACCGAACAAGAATGCGAACAGCAGGATAAAAACTAGTGTTGACGATTTACACGCCGTCATAAACGTCAACGACGAAAATCGCAACGACATATTCCCCAATCCCATATCCAGAGCTGTCGCGACACCGCCGGGAATTAAGTGGATGAGATATAATCGCTTGATCGACATGCTGCCGCCTTTCTGCAGATCGGCACCTGGCAGTACGGCAGGCGAAGGGAGAGTCGAGTTATTGGTGTTGTTGCGTTGAGGGCGGAGCGAAGGAACGAGATAGAGGAACAGAGCGGAGAGGCAGAACTGGACGGCTTGATGGAGGCTGGTCATGAATAAGGGGAAAGGGAAGGAGATGATGTCGCCGGAGAACATCCATTTGTTGTACTGCATTCATTAATATGGAATTTTGCTGAAAGTGAATTTTATGAAAAGAAAGGTAGACGTACGACTGAAATAGCCAACGAGAACATATGCCACAATACCGCCAACAGAGCAATACTGAGCGCATTGTGAATAAAATCCAGATCGGACAAGAGATCGCTAACCGTCCGTCTCGTATACGTCACAAAATGGTCTATAGAGGATGTTCGTCGATGTGATTGCTGTGAGGCTAAAAGTCCGACTTCTTCGGCAGCAGCCAGGCTGATATCGTCATCCGACGAGTCGAAGATACTGATCTCGTATGTATCGGTCATTTTGTTGGGTATAAAGGAGTGCAGGCGAGAGGAAGAAATTACGATAAAAGGACGGTAAGCGATGAGCGTCTAGCCATGAAGTTCGTGTCGCTAGGTAGCTGTCGCAGTTGTAGGTGTCAGAATGAAAGGAAATGGTGGAATTTCCAAATCATTCCTCGATCCTGACCAAAAAAGAGTCAGCCCTTAGACTCTTCCAAAGTCACAAAAATGCAAAACGCAAAGCAAATCCCTTCTTTACCGTACTCCGTAAAACCTAGGGCTGGTTCATAACCCGAAACAACATCCGCCGCGCTCCGAAGGCACACAGGTTTAGTGGATCTTCAAAGACGGACGAAACGGATGCCGAGTCAACATGGAGCGGGCGCATCGAGCAGCCCAATCAAGGGGTAATACCTGTATCACAAAGTCTTAGACTATGCTGGATGGAGTCTAGAGTGTTGGTTAAGCCTTCAGGAGTTGGAGTTGGAGAGTTGGAGGGTTGGAGGGTTGGAGGCGGTGGGGGTCGCTAAGATTTTTTGCCTGGAGCACCTGACCACTGAACAACGAGTTCCCATACAATAATGGACCCCCGGGGCTACATATAGAATATGATATGATATTTTCTCAAGAACGATTTACCAGGTCATGCAGACGGTGTATACAGTGTTGGACTGGAGGTATTTTATTCATGATTGCGATCTTCTTCGGGATACGGAGACATATCTGCGTAAATGCAGCGGAGAGGGTTGGAGGGATGTTTACTTGGCCTACGCTTCCGTATACTTCGGGTGTGTTGGTGAAGAAGGATTAAATGAAAGTTGAACATGGAAGCTCTCATATATGAACTTTACGTCTCCTCGAAATAGGAGTTTGTCAAAGGTCCTCCGACACTGACGGTATGGTGTCTAAACATTCAACATTCATATGGTTCATATTTCATAAATGGCATCCCAATGCTATGCAGGCATTGGACATCCAGGTGGCCACCAGTCAAAAAAGGTCCAGTGCATCCGCAGTCCACGGACCAGACTCAGTCCTAACTGTTAGAACACTAAAAGATTTTGAATTGAATATTATTAGGTCCTAACTAATGAAAATCCTAAGCTTGGGAAGAGGGAGGAAAAGAGAGGGGAAGATCTAAGCTACAGACAAGTTGATATGATCTCGCAATTCTGCCATTCTAGACCGCTTTCCCCATAAGGCCTTCATCCATGAGACTAACGGTACTACGGAGTACTATTCCGTTGATGCATTGGAGGTCCCGTAGTAGACTGTAGCAAGAGGACGAGAAAGGGCATTACTTGCGCCATCCAGATTTTGTAACGCATTCGTATCCGAGTGAGCTTTGCAAAAGACACAGTCGCTCCTCTTGATGGGCAGATGTAGGAAGTCTTTTCAGACTTTCTGCTACCGACGGACCGGCTAGACTCTCTGCGGGATCTGATTGAATGGGATCAGGTTCTGGGACCATGTGAGATATATAGGAATTGCTGCGCATAACAGGCGCTCTTTGACCCGCTGCAAGCAATTCGTGGTCGCTGTCTGGTTCCAAGGGAGAAGATGCCATTAGTAGGGCTAGGTCATCGCCCACGTCATCTTGTAGCACCACCCCTAGCTGGCGAGGCAAGAGGACTGTATACCGAAGCATGTATTGGAATTCGGTCCAATTGTCTCGTTTGCGTGTTCTGTGACCTTGAAATCTTTGGTGATTGGATTTGCCGCGAAGTGATATCTGGGTTTATGACACTCCCTGCTATCAACGTATCAACGTTCGTCGAGGTGTCTGTATTCGATTCCTCGAGTACGGCAAGCGTAGAAGCCGAAAGAGGAAAATCAAGGTCGAAATCGCCGAGCGAGTCCTCAACGGCAGCTTGGTCTATTATGTCTCCGCCAACCTGGATCATTTCTTCAGTTTCGAGAGATTTACTGAATTGGAGTTCGTCTGCACTTTCCTTTTGCCCTTTTAAAGGAAGAAGCGCTCTGTACATGAGTCTTTGACGCGGTTTCTCGTTGCTCATGCGTAAAGGATTTATGGGGACGTTGTTGCTGTTCATAACCGAGTTCGACCTTCTCGGACACGACCTGCGTTCTTCCGGATGAAGACTCTACATTCCTGGTGAGGTTTGAACTACAGGTCTTGCCTATTCTCGATGTGATGACTGCTCTCTGGGTGGTGCAACTAATGAGATTCTGCGTTCATTGGATTGTTTTTCAGCGTCTGGCCGGGATTGACCGCGACCTGGAGTTTGCTCCAATACTGATTATCGAGTATTCCCTGCAGAGTTTTGTCTGGTTGATTTCTGACCTTCTGGTCGATTCCGTACCGGCTTATTAGTACTTCTATGTTGTAAAAATATCCGACCTAGATGTCGGTTTTTGTCGTTTAGCGGGCCGTTCGTCTTTGTGTAACTCGTTGTGGAACGATGACATTGTTCATACGGCGATTGCGGTGTAACTGAGCGACTAATACGCCCTCTCCGAATACCCCAAAACATCATTTAGTGGTTTGAGTGGGTTGAACGGCCTGGCCAGTCTTGCAAGGGGCGATTGTCTTGTGTATGAAGCTGATGGAATACCGGACGACGGGAGTTGGGGAGGAGCAGGCGTTTTCTGCTGCGGAGATTCTTGTCTAGCTTTGCGTTTGTCGAAAAGTACCGATATATCAGTCTGCGTGGTTTCCATACACTCGGTAACTTGTATTAAAACACCCTTGTCAAGTTCTAACTCATCGCCATCCTGGGTATCGTGGCTTCCCGGCCAGTGGTGATCGCCTATGAAATTTCCAGCATCGTCGTATACCAGGGCGCGTTTGTTGAAGGTGTGGTATTTGAGGTACCCATCTTGCCCGCGTTTTTACCTTGCGACGAGCGTCATGAGTATACAGACATCGGAATGTGATGACTGGAGCGGTGTTTTGGCTTGCAGGAACACTGGTCGCGCGATTGAGAGACGAGGGAGGTACAGACATTTCAGCCAGCTGAGATGTCACATCCTAAGATGTAGAGAGCTTGCAACGCTGTGGTGGAAGATGACGGTTAAGAGTAAATCCAAGAGCATGACGCGTGGACCGGAAGACGCGTCTGATAGCTACCGTACGGCGATGCCTTAGGGTTTTCATAAGCAATAGCCCTAACCTCAATCTCAAGGGAATACACCTGCATCTCCAAAACTGATTCGGTAGGTACCTTTGTAAAGAGGAAATAATGCATCCAGATAACTCTCATCTACCTCTTCCCTCTGGCCTAAGTAATGAGCTAGTGACAACAAGATTGCTGATTTAGTTGTTGGGCGAGCATAAAGGGATGACTCTTAGTTTAATCAATCAGGGGCAAATGCTACCGCAAGTTAGTCGAGTTACATCCTTTCGCAGTTTCGCTACTCACCTCCAACCTAGGCAGTCCTGGTGTTCACAAACCCCACTAGACTTCAAGTTGACTAGCACGTAATAGATGCATATGCACCCGGACAGAAAGAAAAGAAAAAAATAGCAACTAATTTGCAACCAATGCTGGAATTCAGGGACCCCGAAAAAGGGCGGGTATTTCTCATTCAAATTCGGCTGCTTTCCCCTCTTATCTGCTTCTTTTGTCCTTGAGACAAAATAACACCTTCTTGGAAAGATGTACCATGACCTCTCCATGCTCTATTGACGCGGACAACGTCTTTGGCCCCGGTGTAAATATTTCTTGTCGTGATGGCTTCGATTTCACCATGCTGTTTGAACAAAGCATCCTGGGCATTCTACCAGCAGGGGCTTTTCTGATTGCATTCCCGGCCGCACTCTACCCTTTGACCAAGAGTCGTCCGCGAACAGAGCACAACTTGATACGAGTCCTAAAAACTGTATAGTCAACCCCAAAAACCGGGAAGGAAAAACATAGATCCACGGTGTCTTTTTATCAGGCTAATAATCGAAATATGCAGGTGGTCGCCACTCTCTTCGTGGCAATACAAGTCGTCTTGCTGGTTCTGTGGGCTCTTCATAAGAACATTCAGACGAAAGCCTCGATTCCGTTGGCTGCGATCAATTTGTTAGTCGCAATCCAGCTCGTCGCATTGTCATGGATTGAGGATGTCCGCTCGGTAAAACCTTCTTCACTACTGAACACGTATTTACTATTCACGTTGCTATTCGACCTGGTTCAGGTCAGAACGTTGTGGCTGCAAGGTATACAGACTACCTCCATCCCGGCCGCTTATACAGCTGCCGTGGCGCTCAAAACAGTCTTCCTTTTGCTGGAAATGCTGGGGAAAAGACGGTATCTCAAACCAGCATACCGTGATCTCCCACCAGAATCAACAAGCGGGGTGATCAACCGCAGCGTGATGTGGTGGATTAATGACTTACTTTGGCGCGGGTTTCGCTCATTGCTTACGCTGCAGGATCTATATAGCTTGGATGAAGACCTCAATTCGGCGGAGCTTGGGGATAAGGTTCAGTCGATATGGCATCGCCGAGAGAAACCAGAACGCAGTTTTGAATTCCCATGGAAAATGTGCCAGGCTATGCGATGGTCACTCGCCTCTACAGTGTTTCCGCGTCTTTGTTTGATCGGATTCACTTTCTCTCAGCCGTTCCTAATATCTGCAATTCTCAAATGGGTTCAACAAGAGGACACTAACAAAAATGAAGGCTATGGGCTCATCGGTGCAACGTTTCTGGTTTACCTAGGACTCGCCATTTCTACTATTCTTTATAACCACAAATTATACCGCTTTATCACCATGTTTCGTGGGGCAACTGTGTCGCTTATTTATAGGCACGCGCTTCTCCTTCAAGATAACGATTTGCCGGACCGCTCTACAGCAATCACCCTGATGGGATCTGATGTTGATCGCATTTCAGCCTGTTTAGTAAATCTGAACGAATGCTGGGCTCGCTCCATTGAGGTAGTAATTGGTATAATAATTTTAGCCTATCAAATTGGATGGGTTTGTGTCATGCCGATTGCGGTTGTAGTCGGTAAGTATTCAGCATAATCTTCGTGACGATGTAACTAACCATAATCAAAGTTTCAAGTCTTGGATGCATTCAGGTTTCTAAGCGAATTGGCGGTCGACAAAGGATCTGGATTGACGCAGTACAGGAACGAATAGCAATAACCAGTTCAATATTGACTGATATGAAAAGTGTGAGAATGATGGGATTAAGCTGGCATTTCACTAAAGTGATCCAGGGGAAAAGAGTAACTGAAACGCATCGAATGGCTGGCTTCAGATGGAGTATCGTATGGCAGAACGCGATTCAGAATCTACCCTGGGCGATGGCACCTTCGCTTACCTTCACAATTTACGCGGTATTAGGCAATTCAATGGACCCTTCGAGGGTGTTCACTAGTTTGTCTGTGATCACACTCCTTACGAATCCTGCTGCAAAACTTTTCAGTGCTATCCCTTCGACGGCAGCATCTTTGGGCTGCTTTCACCGTATTCAGGCCTTTCTCACCATGCAGCCTAACTGCTCAAATCCTCCAGCTGTTAACCTAAGTCCAACTGGCAGCTTTGAGACTGAAAAGATCTCTAAGAAATTTGCTGTATCCATGCATGGTGTTCATATTAGCCCTGCCATGGGAACGGATTTTATTCTGCGAGATGTGAATATCAGAATCCTTTCTAAATCCTTGGTTGTACTTTGCGGCCCTGTTGCTTCCGGGAAAACCACACTTTTGAGAATGATACTGGGTAAATCTTATCATCAGAACGGGTCAATATTTGTAGCGCATGATCGGGTCGGATATTGTTCACAAGTACCTTGGCTTCCAAATACTACTATCCGGGAGGCTATCTGTGGAATCACGGACACAGATAAGCGGGATGGCCAACATATGGATATACAATTCTACAGAACGGCTCTACAAGCATGCGCTCTTGATGATGATATCGAATTACTTCCCCAGGGTGATGATACTCGCATTGGAAGTGGCTCTAGCGCCGTGCTCAGTGGAGGCCAGATGCATCGCGTTGCTCTTGCTCGCGCCATATATTCTCGTTCAGAGATGGTGCTTTTGGATGATATATTGAGCGCACTTGATCCCAAGACCGTGAGAATCATTACACAAAGAGTATTTGGTAAAACTGGTCTTTTCAGGAAGTTAGGTACCACCGTGGTTCTTGTTACGCGTGAGAGTAAGCATTATCCTATTTGAACTTGCTGTCTACTCGGTACTTACTCGATTTTAGCTGCACTTTTTTCTCAAGCAGATATAGTATATACTGTGTCGAATGGATCTGTGCGCAAGAAGCAGTCCGATGAGCAAGCCCTTGATACAGAGCAGCCTTCGAGCGGTAACGATGTTAACGAAGGGAAAGCTCAAGATAGGGAGGCAGCTTTGAAGAGAGATGCAGCCCAAGCAGCAAAGGATGACAGACTGCATGACTTAAAAAGAGCTACAGGTGACTGGGACATTTACAAGTACTATTTCCAATCCATTGGTTGGTGTAAGCTTTCTATCTTCCTCACATTCGTCATAGTTAACGTCTTTTGTAGTACTTTCAGCCGTAAGTAGAGACAAACTTGGAATGTTTTGGAGAAAATGTGCTAATTCTATCTCCAGAAATATGGCTCAAATGGTGGGCTGATCGTGGCGGGGACCAAAGAGCACTGTTTGTGAGCGTTTACTTTGTGCTAGCAATTTTCAACTCCATTGGGAACGGCGGCTATGTCTGGTACGTGCCTGGGATTCCCTAATCATTTACTTGATGCTAACTATGACGAGGGCAATGATGGTTCTCATATCTCCCTCAACTGCACGTAAACTCCATTACACTCTATTGAGGACTGTTATGAGGTGAGTGTCTTGTGTGTTTCTCCTAGGCACCTTCACTAATACCATACCGATCAGAGCTCCTCAATCATACCTTTCGGCAACTGATAACGGTATCATCCTGAACCGCTTCAGTCAGGACATGACCTTAGTCGAAGGACAACTGGCAATCAGTTTACTCATTACTGCTTCGAGTAAGTGACCCATGCCATGCCCTTGGTATAAAGGAACCTTAAGCCTGGAAGATATCTCTAGTCGATCTCTGTCCGTGACATTTTTCTAGACTAACAAAGAAAAGATATTTTCACATCCATTGCTACAGCAGCCTTGATAGCGACTGGCTCATCTTATATGGCCGTTACGATTCCGTTCTTAATGATCGCTGTATTCATTCTCCAGCATTTTTACTTGCGAACATCGCGACAGCTTCGTCTTCTGGATCTCGAGACTAAAAGCCCTCTATATTCCCATTTTCTTGAGAGCGTTAATGGCTTGACGACTATTCAAGCTTTTGGGTGGCAGCGGGAGTTCGTCGAGAAGAACCACAGGCTCTTAGATAACTCTCAACGACCATATTATCTGCTTTATTGTATACAGAGGTGGCTGAGCTTGGCGCTGGACTTGATTGTCACGTCTGAGGCGGTAATTCTTGTTTGTATGGCTGTCACCATAAGAAGCTCCAGTAGTGCGGGCCTTTTGGGAGTCTCTCTGAACAATGTATTGTGTAAGTTCCTCTCTCATTGTAACCTTCTATTATCCGATTCGATGCATCGGTAACTGATAATAAAATGAAGCCTTCAGCAATAGTCTCTCATCCCTGATTTCAGGTTGGACACAGTTGGAGATTTCCCTCGGATCGATTGCTCGTGTGAAGAATTTCGAAACTCAAGTCACTCCTGAAGAGATAGGTAATGAGAAGAATGAACCTTCACCGAACTGGCCAGAACGAGGTGCGATCTCTTTCCACGGAGTGAACGCATCACATAGGTACATGAAAAACACTCCAGGATCCAACATCGCCTCTAAAACTGACCGACTACTATCATAGTCCTGGTAGTGCAGCCTTACAAGGTATATCCTTTGATATACAACCAGGTCAGAAGATTGGTATCTGTGGGCGAACAGGAAGGTAACCTCTTATTCTTCTTCTTATTTTCCCCCCACTACTTTTCCCATATTCCCGTGATGTCTGGTCTCTAACGTATAACCCTGTGGTAAAATTAGTGGAAAAAGCTCTCTTTTAGGGACATTACTCGGCATCCTAGAGGTTGAAGAAGGGCGCATCTTCGCTGATAGAGTCGATCTCAACAGCATTCCACGGGAGACGATTCGAGAGAAATTGGTCACAATCCCTCAATTCCCCCTCGTGGTGAGTGCTAGCTCAGTGCGATCCAACGCTGATCCCGAGGGCCTCCAAACAGATGCAAAGATCATTGCAGCCTTACAAAGGGTACGGCTATGGGACAAAGTCAAAGGTCAAGGTGGACTAGACGCTACGAGCATTATATCTTCGCTCTCCCGAGGTGAGCAGCAATTGTTTGCTGTAGCGCGAGCTCTTCTCAAGGTTCAAGTGAAAGATTCCAAGATCATACTTCTTGATGAAGCTACGAGTAGCATTGATCCGGAGGCGGAGCAGATGGTCATGCAGATCCTCAGAGAAGAGCCATTTGCTAGTCGCACAATTTTAATGGTTACCCACAGCCTTACTACAATACTGGGTTGTGATATCATTCTTGTCATGGAGGAGGGTCGGATTGTGGAGATGGGCTGTCCAAGCGATCTCCTACAAAAGCCGAATAGTAATTTGAGTCTTTTGCGAGGAACTGGAAGTCATGATTAGGATAAATTCTGTGTCGGCGATCAGAGTTACCGTGATAGGTCAGCCCACAACGGCCTACATCAGGTCAATCAAAAACATTTCGATACAAGTCCTCGAGAACTCACTGGTACATAGGTAGAACTATTTGGGTTGAATTTCGTGCTACTATAGCGGCCCTGAATGCTGATATGTTCCTTGTGCCGCAAAAACATTGAAGCTGGGATGACATTTCCTGTTGTGATTTGTCCATGTGAGCCATTTCAGGTAGGCATGGTGAATAATTTTGTTTAGTAATTTACCATTTGATATTTCAGTAATTTTCAGTATTTGGTACATACATACGCCTTATGTACATATTACTCCGTACACTATACAACACTTGAATATTTGTATTTAGTATTTACAATAAATGAACTCTCTGCTAAGTACTAAATATACATCCTGTGTCATGGAACTGGGTAGGTAAATTATATAAACAAATCTTCCTTTGCCCTTTTCTGCACCAAGCTTCTGCAATTGTTAATTTCTTTGGCCCGTTATCCATGAACATTTCTTTCTCTCAGGATGACAGTCCCTCTTCCAATATTCTACCACGTCTCGTAACAGTTTTACGCATACTGTCAGCTGGCAATAAAGAAAAGATTTACTTCTACATCAAGATTTGTGATTGGTCTCATGGGATTTATTCTCGCACTGTCGTCTACCCTCTATGTTGCATTTACTCTTTCCAACCCAGTGCACTATTGTCAAATCAAAATGCCGAGCGACCAACTACAGAAGATTCCACTGATTGTGGATATTCTGCTATTGACACTCATCAATGAGGATGTCTCTTTGATCCCCTCAATCTTGCCTGGCAACAGGCGCTTGCCATGATGGCGACTTAATCAAACGATTTCTGGACAGCGATAGTTAGACTAAACCGCACTACCCGGGGCGTATTCAGCGATAAGACAGCAAAAAAGGAGCTGACCATTGCTGAAATCATGACAGGTAATTTACAGATGGATTATGTTGATGCCAAATTTTCTCAAAATGCAGTGTTACTTCAGATGGATGGAAATGAGCCGCATCCTCTCGTGTGGAGCATCTATGTATGCATTTCTGGCGGACGAAACATGGACAACACTTGATTGAAGAAAATGATAATGGAAAAGGAGAGGATCTAGTTGTCGCAAAACCTGTCTGCTTTCCTGTAAGTTATTGTATACATGTATGAATAATAAGGGGGTATTCAGTGGAGTGATAGTCTCAATATTATGGAGATCTCCACCAAACCAATACTCTAAGCCTCAAACTTGACTACTATTCTTCTTAATGATGCCCAGAATACATCATGGTTTAGAGTTGAACTTGTTGAAGAATATGTTCAGTCCAATGAGCTAAGAGCGAGCATCCTCTTTTCTCATACAATATAGATCATCTGATGAGGTAGCACGACAAGAAGAAATTAGGGTCAACCCTGCAATAGTCAGTGCAATGAAGGCATTTTGTTGGCAAGCAAGGAGTGTCCTACTATTGAATGGCATGTGTATGACACTCATTCTGAATTTATAGCCCATGGATATAATATGCCTTTGAATCAGAATGAGGCCAAGATTCTTAAGGCGGGGGATCTTCACATATAATCACCGAGACACAACATTCTATACGCCGCCGTGATGCCTAAGCGGCCATTTCATTCATGAATTGTATCATTATCCACTAAGTACTGCCCGCACTTAATCAGTTGTAGTACGAAGTAGGTAGTGTGCTGAGCATGCTTCTATGGAGTGATTTAAGTGGAAGCAATTATACCTGCAATGTCGATAATGAGGCAAAATACGTCACTGGGACCAGGGCAATATTAGCCCTGCTCAACTGAGTCTTGACATCCCATCTGATGGTGCCGAGGCATATGCGGGATGCGTTCTGGCATCACATTACGTCTGTCCTTGCTGATGGCAAGATTATGGCTTTTATTAGAAATCGAACTCACTTTCAGTAGTATGGCACTACCGTCTCGGTTCCTCGATTTCTACGTCGTTGAGAAACCGAGAAACAACTAGCACATAGCTAACACACTTCAACTGTTGTTGAATTTTCTGGACATCGATTTTACAGAGGTTTATCTCCAATTCCTTGGTGAAGGGCTCTATTATCAACATGTATTCAATAACTCATTAGCATTACAAGGTATGGATAAGGAACGATTTCATGACCATGATCAATTCTATCAGAGCTCATCAGCAGAGTAGGCTACTACAGCTCTTCCAGACCAGCCATAACCGACCGATCAAGCCCACACCCAGCCAGAACGTCCCGATCTCTAATCCAGGCCTCATCTCTATAAACATGCGTCAATCTGGGCCCATTATTCTTCGCATTCCCAAAAGCCATGAAATGAATCTTCATCTCTTTGCACCCCATCAATACACCACGAACATCATACACCGACATATCCCCATCCGAACTCACTTCAACACACACTTTGTCTTCCCATCCAATACGCATCGGTATTTCCACCTCGGCTCTTAACGTCCTCCAACTCGTATCTGCCATTGGCTCAAATTGCAGGTAAGACTCCATCAGGGGTACTGCATCGCCCTCTCGTTTGATTGTAACTCTGAATTGATGTCTGCATCTCCATTGTAAGAATTGCCGACCAGATAGGACGAGTCGTTCGTCCCAGAGGAATAGGTTTATGGATATTATGCGGAATATGGGTTCGAGGAGGTGTGGGTCACCCTCTGTGTAGGTTTCGTTGCTGGAAAGAAATATTATTTCGCCTCGGAGTTTGATTATATCTTGGTTGGCATGTGGTTTTCTGTTCAAAGGGGTGTTGGCTTGATAATCAAGAGTGCTTATTGCTGACCTGTTACCGGAGGTTTTCCGTGGTCTTTCGAAAGGTAGCCGAATAATTTGATCCAGCATATCTTTCTCATATACTCAAAACTTTTCTTGACAGATGTATAACTCTGAAGCTACCTAGGTAGAGTGCGATAAGAAATTGACTTAGAGAAAGGTCCAGGAACATCATCTAATCATATCAAACATTACATCCATTAACAACTATGCCGTCAAAGCAGACCTGCCTCCCCCGAACAACAGCTACTCATACAATAATCCTCCTATACCAAAGTTTCACAAGACGGTGCATGTCCAAAATGTCCGAGACAATCTTCGTATCGAGTATGGTCGAGTGGTACAGTTACCCGGGAAATTTTCACCCCCGTGATGATTCACATGCTTGATTCCGATGCAACCTTGGATAGTCACACAAGGCGAGAATCTCGGGGGTTATAAACCTTCCTTGAACTAAGTAGATATCTTGTTATCTATCAACTGCTCGTGTAACGCTCTACATGGCCCTACATGGCAAGCTCATGGCGTAGGAAGATGGAGAGAGGAATGAAGTATATCACCCGATCGGGAGATGTTAGGGCTAGTGCTTGTCAGATAACCGGGATATCCGGCGATGTAGAAGATAGGCTATTTGATCAGGTCATCCAGTCACCTCAAGCTACCTACACTTCAGCAAATAAGGGGTCATCTTCTTATCAGGGCTCAATATAGCCCTCAGTTTACCCCTCATGATAGCTCACAAAAGACCCCGCCAAAAGTGTTTATAAAGGACCCGGCATTGAACCTGATGTATTAGACAGAGACAGAGAGAGAACTCAATACATACAATCTTGCTAGTCACTTCTTTTCTTTGATCCTAGTAAAACACTCTTCAGGATTGGCCTGGAATAAACCGACTAATCCGACAGTGCTTAGAGGTGATTCCTACCGTCGTCCATCTTTTTTAGGAGAATGTAATGCTTCTCGATTAGGTCATTCTATCTATGAACAAGCGTTGCCCAGTTGTAGAAACGAGCGGGCTGTAGTCGTCAGTTTGGGAAAGAGACTTGTATCCAAACCCGCTTGATTCGTAATCTTGCAAAGCTCCACACAGCACGCCCTGTGGCTACCCACGGCTTGATATACTCTCGGATATTATTTCTCTTTCCTTGAACATATGCATCTATGCAGGGTCAAGGGCATTGTAATTGATACTATCGCGTCAATGCTATACTCCACTCACCACGTTGACAAGTAGTTAGTTTCGCCGAGGTTGCCCTACTACTATCAACACATATAATTGAGGATAGAGAATTACCAAAGCGGTCATATATACAGGAGAATCAATATCCAAAAGTTCCAAGGTTGCTAAGCAGATACATCCTTGTTGGAAGGTGTGGCACTGCCCTATTGTTGTTTCCGGTCCGTCTCCCATAGGCATCAAGACTAATCCGAACAAAATATTACTATCATAGCTCAATTCACTGCATAACATCAATCTTTAAGCAATTTATACTTCAACCAGCCTCTCGAGTTAGTGCTATACTCTCTACTAACGTGTGGGCCGAAATAGCTCCCCATGTTCAAGATTATATCCCCGCATGCCTTCGGCATATAGTAACAGATTGGAAATACCGAAAACCCCATGGGGAAGAGAGGAGAAAATTTGCATATAACCCATCAGATCTGTCTCTGACTTTCTACTTTTCAGTGGGAAGTAGGAATTGGGAACTATGACCAATGGCATCAAAACATCCCAACCCAACTCAGGTACCACGAACCATGAGGAAGTGGAACAAATAGAAACCCTATCGCTGGATAATGTCAACAACATATATGCTTGTACTGGTCTCCTCTTCCGCTATTGTTACCCAGTCTTTATCGTGACAGCCGCTGGTTCAGTGATTGCACTTATAATCCGTGATCTTGGAAGAGATAGTCCTGATGCAGGTGCACTTGTCAGGTGGATTATTCGTATGTCCTCTTCTTCCCCAAGAATCTCGGGAGAAGTTAATGGTCAATAGAGAGTCCTCTTCTTATGCAAGCAGTTCTGTCTCCTACCTTCGGACGACTGAGTGATGCCCTTGATAGAAAGTTCATTGCCCCCCTTCCCCCTTAATTGCATTTGGGGGGCGTTGTAATATCTGCCAAAGCAACGTCCATATTCATATTGATTGGCGGTGGTATACTCATCGGTGCCACTCTGTCGACAATAGCTATTGTGCAAGCTATTCCAAGCGAAATTTGCCATTGAAGCATCGAGCTTTGGCTAATGGGTTTGCCTATATGGGTGGCGCTATTGGTGGAATGTGAACTTCTTCTCTTTCTCGCCAGATATTCTAAAATCGAGCTTACCTTGAAGCCAGCCTTGAAGGATTAGTAGCTGGTGCAGTTACAGAAGCAAATCCAGGTGGATGGCGATATATCTTTTGGATACAAGCAAATTTACATATCATCACGACTGCTGGCCTGTTAATCTTTTATCATCCAACCCACAGATCTGATTACCCTAGAATGTCGTTTAAAGAGCATATCTGGGCTTGTGACCCTATTGGTTCTCTCATGTTTATTGCCAGTGTGACTTGTTTGCTACTGTCTTTGAACCGGGCAGCGGGATTGTATGCTTGGTCGAATATCCATGTTGCGGCTCCCCTTGGTGTTGGCCTTTTTCGATTTGTTCTTTTTTGTTTGTATGGTTTGTCATACCTTTCCTCAACAAGATATCTGACCAACGGAGAATGGCAAAATGGAAAGGCAGAATGGAAAGGCAGAAAGGACGGCCTCGCCGCCAACGTCTTCTTTTGAGGTTCGCCAAATTTCGCCCTATCACTCTTTGCTTTTGCTGTCTGAGGAATGGATCTTCTATAGTACCGTTACGAGTGTTATCCCACAGGTCACACTTTTTCTTGGCTTTGAGAGGAGTGCCTTTCCAAGGTCCCCCAAACTACGCTCTTCCAGTATGTCTGCAGGGACGTCCTTAGCATTAGTTCCCGGCGTCAATTCGACTATCGCCGCGGCTGCAGCTACTGCAAGTGAGAATGCGTATGCGCATGCCTATCATATGGCTTGGGCTAGTATTCTTCCATTTGTTGTGTTAGATTGCTTCGGTATTGGCTCTTAAGGGAGTTAAACATTTGATGACCGAGAAATTCAGGCGACTGTCGAGCGTGTACCGGTAAAAGATACTGAGAAGTCGTTTCATGGAGACCTAAGCTCTACATGAGTCATACATAGTTAGTACATTTGTCTATAGATGATGAGCCATTTCGTGCGGTATTATGCCAGTGACTCTTGCATTCAGAGTACATAAAAATCAAATGCCATGTGAATTATAGATCTGACAGGAGGTATCATACTCTAGATTAGATCAACCCTGATACTTTTGTCAGAGAGAAATCTCAGGCGGCGGGAATACAGTGTAATCCGTACGTATATTGGTATTGTACGGTATATTAACATACAAGCAGATTATATTTGTTCTTTCCGCCAATCAGATTTTCGCATTGTGTTAGATGTTTATCAACACCCTCATGGTCAACGACTCTAGCAGAACACCAGACATGAGAGCAATAAGTATATCTCATGGAGAAATACAATCTACAACTGATTTTCTCTGCAGACAGGCGCATTTGTAGCTTGAAGAGCCGTAATCAAGAGATCCGATTCTACAAAAGGAGTACCCGTAAATTACCGTATTTATCTGATAAGCGTTGGACCCAGCATATGAAGCATTATGATTGGCTTCCATATAAGCCTTGGCGATCCGCTGCGGCTGAGGTTCTTGCACATTTCTCGATAGCTAGCTGTTCTGTTGATGCGTCTTCTCCTATCTGGCCTCTTTGAAACATGCATGTCTCATTTACTTCCAGGGTGAGGTCCAATTTGTCCAATGCGAATATTTAGCCAGGAGTACGGAGTATTTGAAATTCCCTCAGAAGAGGAAAAATACACCGTTTCAGGCTAGACTGGTAGCACCATGACGCTGTTCAATAGCCTAAGCCTAAAACGGACTAATCACAGCTATCATATAAGCAGTGATTGGCTGACATATCAGTGCTAGTCTATAAACGGTTAAGTCAATCTCTACAGCCCGATTCCTTTGTCGATGATTCTATCCTGAACTCATTTGTCTTCTGACTACATTGCCATCTATCATTACGTCCAGCACGCCCTTGTCGCTCACGGCAGGGTTTGGATAAGGCTGCGACTCGCTGAGGGCATTGATATTGAGATAATTCATACGCTCCGATCGAATTATCGTCGAACATGGAATAATCGCGCAGGCGAATCGCACTTTAACAGTCCCGCATCCCGGCCATATCAATATCAGACTCACTCCTTACACGACGTCGCAATGGACATGTCCGATTTTAAATCGCTCAGGCGCTGGGGCGACCTCCCGCGAAAGATTTCGCATTGTTCCCGAATGACATATATGGTATTTTTGGCATTTTGTGGGTTATTTCTGGTCAGTTTGTCGTGGGTACTTTTACGACCGCCGACGTTAGATTCATCCTCTCTCGAAAATACGACCGGCAAGGTACCTGCAGCTGCGCCCACGGTTGCTCACTTACCGACTCCCACTCCGGAACTTTCGTCAGTCACTATCCATCAATCTGACGAAGGCACCAGCCATGTCGACCACTCTGCGACACCGCTGGTAAAGCCCGACGGGGTCCGCATTGTGGGAGTCGTGTTCTACGGGCGTCGCGATCGCTCTTCGTTACTTGAATGCTATCTGCGAAAGAATCTGGCATCATTTGGAGGTTGGTTAGACGAAGTTATTTGGGCTGCAAATACCGAGGATGCCGATGATCTATCCTACGGAGAACACATAGCAGGGACAGCGGACGAGTATACATTTCTTCCCATCAAGAACGAGAATAAAGACGATGGATACTTGAATATTTATACACACGCCTTTACAGAACCTGATACGATATATGTCAAGATGGATGACGATATTGTTTTCATCGATCAAAGCGCTATCCCGCGGGTAGTCATGACATTAATAAACAACCCACGAGCGCTGCTGGTGTCCTCTAATGTGGTCAATAATCCGGCGCTAGGCTGGGTACACTATCATATGGGTGCTGTACACCCATATGTACCGGAAGTCAGACCGGACAGCGACAATCTCGCCACAAAGGAGAACGGGGTTTGGCGTGCCTCAGATCTACCCTCGTGGTCGGGTGCGGAATGGGAGATGCCGGAACTAGACCACTTCTTCTCACTCTTCGGGGTCAATGACAGGGCAAACGTGCCCGTTCATCGATGGATACCTACACGAGACCTCAGTTTGTTATATAAGACGCCCGTCGCCAAATCTGAATATAATGCATTTGGCAACAATCTACTTTTCTGGCCTCTAGCCGCACAAGCACACTACTCCTTGTTGCAGAATATTGAAGAGAAAAGGCTAGGACGGTATTTCATGGTCCATGGAAGTGACGAAGAAGCAGTAAGTACCTGGGACATGAGGGGCAGTCGCATCAGTATCAATTTCATGGTCATCAAAGGAAAGGATATTATCGATAACTTGCCAAATTTGAAAGGGGATGATGAAAATCAGCTTACTGTGGAATTACCAGCAAGCTTGAATCGAGGTAAGCAATGTCTACTCTTCTAGCCGCAAGTCAGTCACTGATATATAGGTAGCTGTTTTGGTTGAGACCACATCGGTAGTAGCCCATTTCTCTTTTGGACCCCAGAAGAATCTTGCCAAGACCGATATTCTTGCTCGGTATCACAACTATGCAAACCAGAATATCTGCCCTAATTCCATCCTGGAACCGGAGATCCTTCTTGCTACCGATAAGATGCCTGGTGTTGACGCTTGAATCCACCAGTGCCCTTCCACTTCAAACCAATTCTAGGAGTCTGCTCTGGTTTAGTGCTTATGGAATTCGGTCCGATTTCTTTTCTATGTACATAACATAACCCGCTTGGAAAAGGATTATCCCTTCGCGGTGACCGTCTAGTTTTTATTACGCAATCTACGCCTGCATATACCCGTTCTGCCTGGATTGGTCGCTATATAACGGGATGACCTATTTCACCTTCTATCTTCGTGTAACTTATGTTGGCTGATATTGGATTTGTCGCCATACTTTACCTTTCTTCGACTATTTCTCTTCTACTATATCGGCGGTTATTCTCTCCATTGACTTATATGCTTACGAGAACACGTTGTCTCCGGTGTTTGTCGAGATAGAAATCATAGATCTCTTCCTCACTTACTATTTTCCTAAGCAATGAGATTTGAGTTAACTCATGTTCTCGAATTGAATGATATACTGCTATGCTAACTGGCTACTTAGGCAGTTGTATACTCAATCATACTGCCGAAATGTGTTATACCATGCACCACTACCAGGATAGAACCATGGCTGTAATTTATCAATCTCCTCCGCGAAAAGGGGAGTCAAACATGCATCTTGATGCAACTGTACGACGCAGTAAGTACCTGCCCATAACAAGGACTGTGAGATGGGAAGACAAACCTCTATGCTCTCCCATCCAAGGAAGTACAGGGCTAAGCGCCTGTCATCTGGTTTGAGGAGGGTGTTGTCCGAGAGTGGGATGCCATCGGGGTGATTGGCATCGATGGAGTATGCCCACTGGCCACTGATAAATCCCTGCATTTTATAGCAGTCGGTGTATGTCTTGTGCATTGAAGTACGCAAGCCAGGGTCAGACAATGGGGCCACTGGCGACAAACGGATAAATGCCTGCATAGCTATTAGTCCTCCGTAACATGTTAAGGGTGGCTAAGGAAGTCGAACAAATTCACAAATTGGGGCCTCGATACCACGTGTCAGTTGCTCAAGCTGAGAGTCATCGAAGTCATACAGCATGGTCGTAGCTGTTCCCTGGATGATATCGTCTAGCCCAGTCACTGCCGGTTTGTTGGCTACCGTGAAGTTCTTGTGCCACACTACAAATGCGAAAAACCCATTAGCTACCGGACCGGATACGGGGAGCTTCAGAAGTGCATACGTATGATCCAGCAAATCTCATGTCTTTTCTTCGGTAGAGACGCAGACTGGGTTGACATCATGTAGCTCAGATATTGACGAGAAGCGCCAGCATTAGAAACATGCTGGCGGAGTTGCGCGACTGCGGGAGCAGCGAGCGTCAAGGATGGTAGCAGTGTGAATCGGACGAGCTGAAGCAACATGTTGCCTGATCTTTTGTGTGTAAAAAGAATTTATTTTTCAGGTAGCCAGCAAGCGGCTTCTACTTGTATTTGAAATATCTGCGCATGGTCGAGGCGCCTCAGCTGTTATGGCACATAAGGTTTAAGATTGCTAAGCGAAATCCGACGCTTTGCCGTTTCGGGGAAGCGCGCGCTCTTCTCTAACAGCATCATTCATTTCATCCAGTCAGACTCATTCGATCATCATACTTCCATAGTCCAGTTGAAAATTCCTGACATCGCATACTCTGGTCATGACGTCTACCTGCTGGACCTGTCGACTGCGTAGGAAAAAGTGCGACAGAGTGCGGCCTGTCTGCACGACCTGTTCACGGTTGCGTATTGACTGCGATTATAGCAGGGTCAAGCCAGAATGGATGGACGGGTCCGAGAAACAAGCTGATAGGGCCAGGGCCATTCAAGCCCAGATAAGACAAGGTGCTTCATATGTTGATGACAAGGCTTTTGCCGTTCAGGTGTTTCCCCGACGAGAGACTTCCTTATCACAAAATCGGTCGACGGAAGTAAGAACCGTGACCGACGTTAAAGCTTCAACATCGAACCCAAAACCCTCGCCTCCGAACGAAACAGATGATTTTTTGTCCTCTTTGTATCTTGACACGGTCTTTCCATGTCTGTTTCCATGCTACCAACCCCAAACATTGGAGGGCGGCCGTAGTTGGCTGCTGACCATACTCAAGACGAATCAGGCCGTGTTCCACGCTGCCATCAGTCTCAGCGCCTATTATTTCACACTGGTGCTTGCCCGGGACGCGACCCATACTCTCCGCACGCCTTGTGAGCAGCACGTGTGGGATACTTGGAATGGCCATATGGACATGTCCATGCGACTCATCAGAGAAGACTTGAGCGAGACGAATGCTAGCCGCAGACAGACAGATGTCGTTCACGGCACTCGTGTTTTGGACGGCATCGTTCACCTCCTTATCTTTGAAGCATCTATGGCCACATCCGAAGATTGGAATATACATCTTACTGCCGCATTGAGCCAGTTGGAGGACATATTCCGCGTGCACGGCTTTATGGATGGCAGATACCACCTACAATCTATTCTAGTCAGCATGGAACGACCATCAATTTTTAAAGGTGTTCACCTCGGCTTCCGCGTATGGAACGCCGACCAAACTTCGTTTTTGTTTTCTACAGCTGTTCTTATATATACGGATATTGTTGCGAGCGTCTTACTCAGACGAGTTCCTAAATTACGACACTGTCACAATGCTTTAATCGCGGATAGTAGTGTTTCTACTACCCAGACTGATCAGCTTCTGCACCTGGAGAATTACTTTGGGTGCTATGGCTGGGCATTCATTTTGATTGGAGAGATTGCTGCACTAGATGCATGGAAGTTAGCTAATATGGCAGACGGTAGGATCTATCCGGAAGAGCTTACAGTTCAGGGGAGACAGATGGAAGCCAAATTGTACTGCGGCTTAGAGAACATTCAATCGAAGCCTTTATCACACGAACCAGCAAGAAATACGAACCGGTCTGAACAGCATATCCTGATTACAAAATTATGGCTACATGCAGGTCTAATATACCTATCGACCGTTATCTCCGGAGGGCAAATAACAGACCCTCCCATCCGTGCTAATGTCCACACGGCATTAAATCTGATAAAAACCCTCACATCCAACTACAATATTCGCTGCCCGATGTGGCCCCTCTGTGTTGTCGGCAGTATGGCTCAGGATGATGAGATTCCAGAATTGAGACGAATCATGTCGGAATTACCGCCTCTTCGATCCTTCGGCGCGAACAAAGAGGTTGTGAAGATTATTGAGACTGCCTGGGATCGTCGTGGTCAACCTGGAAAGAATTCATGGAATTTAGCAACCCATTTCCAAAGTCATGTTTCTAATGTCTTATTCATTTGATGGCACGTTGAATTATCCACGATATGCACCACTATGAGTAGTCTCAGTGGCTTGTGAACCGATCGCCCCAGGGCACGCTGTAGTAGTATGTCGCTTCATTTTTGACTCCATATAATACCCTAGATACCAAAATACGCAGCTTCATGGCCAGAATTACACCTCAAAGAATGACAATATCAAGTCGTGAACAAGGTTTCTTATGAGCTTTCAAAGTTCATACGCCTTGCCTATTCAGGACAGCGCGCGCTCGCGGTGTTAGGGCTCGACCGTCATTGATCCGAACTGACGGATTATGGTTTCTAGCTGATATGGATTATTCTACGGTAATTTGTCAGAAAACATGAGGATTTGTCAGGGAATATGAGAATTTGTCAGGCACTGCAGGGAGAATCGGTGCATAGTTGGAACGGGTATAAAGTAGCCATAGCGTGCCGTTTCAACCAACAGACAATCACTGGCACAAGCAAAAGATTCTCATACAATACTCATCAGAGCAATTTTCAGTTAAGCCCTTAGTTGTCGGAAATCCCACGGTCACTATGGTTGTCGTTGCCGTCGCAGGAGGATCAGGCAACGTGGGCCGTACCATTGTCGAAACTCTCAGGGAGATCGGAAAACACGAAGTCATTGTTCTTGGACGGAAGGTGTGTATCTACTTGCTTCATTGAATAATTGATACTAATGATTTACAGGCAATTTCAAACACAGCAAACGTCAAGTTTATTGTCGTAGACTATGGTGATGTGGAAACGATAACAACAGCCCTGATACAGCACAACGTACATACAGTCATATGTACAATTTCAGTTGCAGATGAGATCTCATCAAAATCGCAAATTAATCTCATCAAAGCAGCGGGGCAGTCATCATCGGTGAAACGGTTCATCGCTTCGGGCTGGGGTGCTCTCCCCAATAAAAAGTAAGCAGAAGCCATCATACGTCACGCCATTTGTTCTTTTAGCAGCTGATCGTCCTGTTCAGATCGCCAGTTTATGCCTTCCAGGAAACAGCAAATAATGAGCTCCGGAAGACTAAGCTAGAATGGACAAGATTCTCAAATGGGTTCTTCCTCGACTATTACGGCTCTCCCAATGTCAAAACACACCTTCCTACCATCACTTTCGCGGTCGACATTGCTAGCAGAGAAGCAGCCATACCAGGAACAGGAAACGAGCCTATCGCTCTAACCTATTCATCCGATGTTGCTAAGTTCGCGTCGGCATTCTTGAGCCTGCCTAAGTGGGAAGAAATAACGTACTGTTATGGAGAGAAGACGACTTGGAATGAGTTCATCAAAGCGGCCGAAGATATTACTGGTAAGATCTTACTTGTCCCCTGTGGGGTACCCTCCTAATAAAAATATGTTACCTTAGGATCCCGTTTTAGAGTTACCTACGACCCAGTCGAAAAACTTGCTAAAGGTGAATTCACTGAACTCCCTCCGCATGCAAAGGAACTTGCCGCTTCACCATTCCCGGAGGAGATTGCTAGAGCCCTTCTCTCGATTCTTGGTCTCTGGGCAGCTGAGGGGTACTTCAACATTCCGGTGGAGCAATCGTTGAACCAGAAGTTTCCAAATATCAAGCCCATGACGGTCCGCGAGATGCTATTACTGGGACAGGGTCTTAATTGATACATACGGGGAGATTGTTCGGCAATGGGATGAAGTGATAATGGGAGACCAGAACTCATAATAATTTCTACACGCATATCCGTGGATGGATGGAGAAAATGGGCTTAATACTGTTGCATATGGAGGTATTATCCGCACATGGATAGCCCGAAGCGCCGTTGTAAGAGACACATAAGAAGCTCAATGCTGTCCTGTTTACTGATTTAATGCAAGAATTGAAGAGATTATGATACTTAATTACTTAAAACATCGGCTGCTAGACTTTCCAATATCAACCGGATGCAAACGTCCTCTTAACGCATTCATCACTCCACTTCCACCATTTCTCTGCTTCCTCTAGAGTAATCCATTCAGTAGGGGGTAGAAACATTGCAGTCATGGAGATATTTCCCAGAGTAAGCTGGGTCCAAATCGATGTTAGTTAAACCTCATCACGACGATTGCAAGAAAATATGCCTTGTCTAACCTTCTAATGATGGGACTAGTGCGGCTCTGATACCTGTTGGGCCACCCTCTACAAGCGTCTTGATTGTACTGTAGTCCTCAAAGTCTGGAACAATAAAAATGTTTTCTGGGCACCGGGCTCTGGTAACTGATGAATATTATCTCAAGCTCATCTAGCAATCCCTCCGTCGTCACAGGTCGTTGAAGGGACGATGAAATGCTTCCTGGAAGTAAAGAGAAGCAGGCAACATCTTCTTTACGGCTTTTATTACCCAGATACGTTATCATTAGAACATTTGCAGTCTTGGATTGCCCATACGCCTCCCAAGCGTTGTATGTCTGGCCCCGAACGAAGTCGGCTTTATCACAAGAACATTCGATAGTCTATATCCAGAGCTGCCGACGCTGATAATTTTAGCATCTGGCGCGGCCTTTTTGATTTTTGGAAGGGACTTGGTGAGTAAAAAGTGACCTAGATGGTTCGTACCAAGTTGAAGTTTGAGTGGGACTCTAGTGGGAGAAAGCCATGTAGTTTTGGTGTAAGGAGGGCACATGACCCTGGCGCAGTTAGTCAAGACATCAATGTGATCGATATCGTGAATTTAGAATCTCATCCCCAGCACCTTTCACCGATTTCGAGCTTGAAAGATCAAGCTCAATAAACTAAGTCCTAACAGTTGGGTTTATGGTATTCATTTCTCGGATGACAGGCTCAATGCTTTTGTATGTACGGCCTGGAAGAATGAGAAGCGCAGGAAAGGCATCTCGTGCCAAAGAGATTGCAGTCTCGGATCAGATTGATTTTTCACTGCTCCAGTGATGAGAATTGTTTCAATGATAGTCAGTCTTTTTGCGAGGATCAATTGGATTAAAACGACGAAGATCATTACATGTTCGGCCATTGACCCTGTCAGGAAACTCCTTGACTATATCGCTGGCCGTTGTATGCGCGGAGTAGCTGATGGATGTCATTCCCGTTTTCTTATTCCGATACCCTTCTGGTGTAATTTCGGAGACAGTAAGTAAACATTATGTATAGTTTTCCTTCGGAATCATCCAGCGGTTATGATGCCATTTCCGGAAAATACACAATGAAAGTGGTTTGGAGGTGTGCAGTGGCACTACCTAACCCGAACTAAAGAGGGGGTCCTGTTGGATTGTACGTGACAAACTCAAGCGGTATATCTCAACGTATCAAATTGTGTATGCAAAAGTATGGAATCCTTTGATCCTTGTTGTCATTGTTCTTCTCTAAGTACGTAAAGGTAGGAGACTTTCTTTTAGCCCCTATTCGATGGATCCTTCTCTAAAGTGTGTGGCTCGCTCTGATTGGCTGATATATCTCATCTGTCTGATTGGCTGGATCAACTTAGCTAATCCAACAGGTCCATCATTGGGGGAATTAGTAGGGACACCACAAGTTTTTAGTAACGTAATCCACAAGCGAACCGGCACTACAAGCGAACCGGCACTTTTTCCCGAACACGTACACAATATTGATCTCAATCTCAATTTCTAACCCACATACTAATTATATACAAAAAATTAATTCCTAATACGATTAGGACATCCGGTTATTTTATGTCCTGCAACACCACAACCACTGCAGCGAAATTGACGTCGTACAGGTGGATGACAGACTGGAAGCTCAGGCTCGGCCGGAGCAGTAGTAACAGCTTGGGATGCTTCAACCCGACCTTGTACGAGTGCTTGAGCTTCCTCTCTGGTAATTCCCTGCTCATGAGATATTTGCTGCTTAGATCTTCGACGTTTTTGCTTCTCCTTCTCATGTGCAGCCCGTAGATCATGGAGTTCCTTCTGTGCAATTGTAAGCTTATTAATACTCATCTCATAAGCCTTTGATGCCCGTGTAAACACTTCACCAATAGCCTCAGATGAACTCCTTGTATGCCGGCTTATTCTCTTCTTCGTAGTAGTCATTTGGCGCTTAAATTGTCATGCGTTTTGAGGGGTTTGCAAGCAGGATGATTGTGTATCACTTGATCGACTTGGAGGGGGTGTTGGAGTCTTCAATCGAACAGTAAGCTGTTGATAAACTCGATCTGGATTGAATGGTACTAATCCAGTTGCCATAAAGCTATTCCGAACAGTTTGAGCTTTATATGCCATCGTACGAGCCTTCGGGAATGAAGTGAGAAAGTCGATTTTGTCAATGTGATTGAATCCAAGCCTCATTCGCTGCTCAATAAGCCGTCCATATTCTCGCTTTAAAACAGCAAAACAACCAACATCAAGAGGCTGTAAAAGATGTGAAGAATGAGGAGGCATACAGACCGGAATAATATTATTCTCAGTGCATGTACGGTCAAATTCAGCAGTTAAATGGCTTCCATGGCCATCAAGAATCAACATCCGATATTTTCCCAATGTACGGCCATCAATAAGAGGAATAAAATGAGTTTTAAGCCATTCTGATCCAATCTTATCTGTCGTCCATCCATTGTCGCTAATATTGATTTTCCAGTCGTCTGGAAGATCCTCAAACCAGCCTAATCGAGTGTATTTCTTTGCCTTGAAAATAATGTACGAAGGCAATGCCCATCCAATCGAATTAACTGCCTCAATTGCAGTTACCCATTCTCGGTTACCAGGCTGTAATAGCTTTGGCCGAGCATATCGATCGCTTCCAGTGATAACCTTTGCAGTCGCACAGAGTCCCATAGCAAAGCCAGTCTCATCAAAATTGTAGATATCTTCTGGCAAGATCCCATCCTCTAATATAACCTCTCGTACGCGATCAAAATACTCTTGGATTATCTTCGGATCTTCACATTTGGCGCGTTCATAGTTATATTTCCGTGAGAACTTTGATTCAATCTCTGGGCGACGTTTGACAAGGTTATATACCCAATTCTCTCCAACCCGGCGGTTTCCGCGTTGCGAAAGAAGATAATCGGCCATCTCTCGTACAAGAGAGTGTCGAGGGGGTAATCCACGTTTACCTAGATCGAGTATCCATTCGACAAGCAATTCCTCCTCACACTGAGTTAATTTATGACTGTTGGCGCGAACTTGAGATCTTTGTTGAGTGCCGTTTAATCTGTCTTGTAGAGTCGCCCGGGGTATACTGTAAATCCTTGCAGCTTGAGCCACGCGCAAGATTCGTCCATTTTGTAAATCGGAAATAGCTAATAAGATTCGTCCTTCTTGCTCGGCTAAATCTTTCTTATTTTTATTGCGAATTGGTGGCATTTTGGCGTGTTGAATAGTATGGAATTAATATTGTGTACGTCTTCGGGAAAAAGTGCCGGTTCGCTTGTGGATTACGTGAAAATCTGTGGTGTCCTTAACAATTCCCAGTCCATTTACCCGGATTGGATGGCACATTTAAGAATACGGTGCTCTGGTATCTTCAGCTACCGTGGAAACTAGAAAAATATTGGAGATAGACATTGGACTCCAACGAATGGTCGACGACGAGATAATTTACCCACGTCTAACCGTGTTCTCCGTTTGAACCTTCTTCGGAGAACGGGTATGCGTGGGAGAGACTATCAAGGCGAACATCGAACTTTGAGAGGGTTGTTCGCTACATAGTGATAGAGAATTGGGGCCGAATGCAGAATTTGTCAAGGAAGACGGCACCCATCGACAAGACATGCGCCCTGGAAGCCGGCCATGCTTCTTCGAGTCGACAAGGTTGATTTCTTATATATCAACATTCACATCAATGCATACCAGATGTATCCTCATGGAGAAGGCATACTCTAGTGTTTGATACGGTCTCTCGAAAGTTCTGCTTTTCCGCAAATGTCCGAAGACGAATGCCGTCTGGAAACCAATAGGGTTAGGGTTAATAATTATAGTTCTCACCGCAACTTAGAGAACATTGTGTAGTCAACGACAACACATTGGCCATTTCAAGGTATTAGATGAATTATTTTCCGATAAACGTACGTATAATAATACTATGCAACGCTAACGGAGTAACCCTGGGAATCTGGCTTTAGTAGGTATTCATGCATGGATGGATGCAATCTATCAATACCGTCAACTGGTCCGAGTAGAAAATATATATTTGGCACACGGCCACCTATTTATGTAGGGCCGTCGGCGACATCAATGGAACGCTTCTATCTGGGCAGAATCTCGGAAAGAATAAGAAAAATTCTTCTTAATTGGCCATGTATTGTACCTTCTTAATCTGCTCTCAGAATGTATCATCAGCACATATTGATTTTTCTTGTGCAACGTAGTTGGATGACAGGAGCGATCCGGCCGCATGTACCTATATCCGCCCCCAAATATCTAGTGCCTAGGCCTCTATTGAATCGCTCAATCAGCGCCGGCTAAAAGGGAGTTGGAGTGTGGATGCCACCGGGACTAAGAGATTTCTGCCCCTCCCGACTTAGTTCAGGCTTTAAAAGACTCTAGACCAAATCATAACTAGCATACTAAAGGCCTGCTTTTCTTCCACGCCTCATCGCCTTCAAAATGGCTCCAGACTCAACAGCATAACCGCGTACTCTCAATGCGCCCATCTCCACTGCTTCAATTTCCCTTACTATTTCTATATACGAAAGGATTATCAAACATCCCAACGATAATCGGCTTTTTGGTTCAATTTAAGTTATTGATCGATTTATCTGCGCGTGCTGAGTGGCTACTAAACTGGAACGGCCATTGCTAGCGGCTTCTTGTTACGCTCACTTGATAAGTTACGTTTTGAACTCAATAATATTTTAGACACGAAATCAAGCTCGTGCACGACTCGAAAATAGATGGACCGCAATTGATGCCATCCACAAAAAGCAATTCATCATTTCTGGAGAAGTATTTGTCTTATCTCCGGCTCAAGTTTTTGTGTTATAAGAACAGTCCGGCTTCCGGGGGATTTAGACACTGCGACAATTCAGAGAAGGGCTATGGGGCCCGATTCGCCGTAGTCAAAGGTGTAATTAACGAGAAACGACTTCAAAAAGCAAATGAGATTAGTCCATCTCGTCGCCAAAAGATATGGGAACCTCGAGAAGGTTTCATACCAAGACGCGGAACGGATGTACGAATTGTAAGAGGCGGCGGGTCAAGGTATGGCTTTGTCTCGCACTACTTCATTGCTGCATTTTTAGGTCCTTTGAAAGTTGATATGTGTGGTATGTGATCAAGACTGACATGCAGCCCTTCAGTGCAATCTCCAAGCACCACAATGCCATCACTGCAAGAGACGTGGTGAAGAATGCAGTTTCCAAATAAAAAACAGCGACGATGGGGCAATCAATAAAGCAGATATGCAAGATCTTGAAGACACCCAAGGTTATCACGACGGAGACAACGGGTTACGGAGTGTCTCTTCTCCAATCTCGCGCAACCAGCCCGAACCCCTAAGATTATCACCAACTCGATGGCCAACCCTAGATATTGAACAGTCACGATTAAGATGGCATTACAACACATTTGCAGCCAACTCTCTTGCGCTTCTACAAGAAGATCCGCGCCGTGTCAAACTGATCTGGAAAGGTGAGGTATCCCAAAAAGCTGAATATGATCCCTGGCTCAATCACGCTGCCATGGCCATTTCGGCCCTACACATCTGCCATCTAGAGCCTCCCGATGCCAAAAATTATTATACTGCTGCTTATAAGAACTATCGTAACGCGGTGGTCGCTTTTCCCAAGGCAGTGAAAGGAATGGATCCGCAAAACAGCGTCGCAATTTTATCCTTCTCATTGCTGATCCTGATGTTTCAGCTGGGTATTTCGTGTGTGCCTGGTGCAGGGCCGATGTCCGATGCCTATCCAGCGGTGGACGCATACAATGCTATTTCCGCATTACGAGGAACCTGGTCGTTGATTGATCAGCTCGGCCCTCATCTTGCAAAGAGCAATTTGAGCCCTCTATTCGTACATCGCAGACACCTTCGCTTCGAGGTCTTGGACGAAAGCCACGAAAAGATGATAGAATTTCTCACACACCTAAATGATACCGTTGAGTACGGACAACCGAATACTCAAAGTCGCAGCGAAAGCGATCACCAAACTTGTGCCCAGGCGATCACCGTACTCCGTTTTTGGTTCAGTGTTATGGCCGCCAAATTACCGACTACATGGCTGTTGATAATATGGTGGCCCGCAGGGGTCTCTCCCGAGTTTTTGTTACTGTTGAAAAATAAGGATCCGATGGCGCTGATTATCTTTTGTCATTGGTGTGCTGGAATACACCGTATACCTGCGAAATGGTACTTGGAAGGATGGGCGAAACGCATGTTGAGGGCGATGATAGTCTTGTTGGGTCCGGAATGGACTTTTGCGCTCCGGTGGCCTATTGATGAGGTTTTTCAGGACGAAGACGAGGGAATCTGAAACAGACGAGGCTTTCTGTACTGTATATGGGGCTTGAGTGTGGGTACACGTATTTGAAGTGTAGTTATCCTGGATATGTATATACACTAAGTAGTTAGCCACTAGAGAGGACATTCTTACCGGCCTGCGTACTCAATCATATTGGTTAGCTACATACATACCGAAGTAGGTACTTCAAACAACTAATCTAACACGCCGACTCCGTGTCCGAGTCATCAATATCAAGCGGGCCGGATACTGATTAATTGCATCCATCTATTATATTAGAGACCCGGATTGCCCCTAAATGGCGTACTTAGTTAATTTGTTGGGAGTTTATCAATGTCTTTGACATCGTTTCAGGCAGTACGGAGCAGGAAGTTTTAATATCACACGGTTTTGTGAAATCGAGAGTAACTTCAACCGAAAAATACTTATAATTGACTGACAGTGTATCAGCTTGGGCTTCAAAACACACCCCTTCCCACTAGTTCGTAGTCTATTAGGTCGTAGTCTAACTAAAATTATCCCTTACGAACAGGGCTGTTACTTAAATTAAAATAAACTCTACTTTAGACCCCGAACCTTCGAGCGTCTCATAACGGGCGCTTGGATACCTCGGTACATGCGTCTTGTTTTACCCCTGGTTTCTGAATCCCGACTTTGGAGACAACACACGTTACAGCTATAGATTGGTCGGAGTCGAGTGTCGACAATATACAGATCCAATTATTGTTGTAGATGTATCATCGCATAACGATAATTTCCGCCATACAGCCACGCTCCCACTTTGCAATTTGCATGAGACTGACAGGTAACGGCGGTTCTACCTATCGGTGGAATTGGAGCAGGTACCAACATCATGATTCCAGACCAATGATGCAACTGATTTGATTGTATGATCCGAAGTCCGAAGTAGAGGCTAGTATGGATTTCAAGGTGAGCGACTATTAAGAACAATTATAAATATGTTCACTATCACCGACTTGGTTGTATCTTCTTTCTCTCTCTCATCACAAAAACACGTTCTCTTCGCTTCTCTCTAACGACATTCATTACCATTAACAGTTCTGTGAACTGGTTCTTTTCTGTCATTTTTGATTCTTATCATTCATTCATTAAAAGTCTATCGTTTCTGGCCGGTCCGGAAATTACTTATCTTCATTCATTCGACTTCTATCTTTTTCGCTTGAGAGAACGATTTTCGAGGAAATCATATACCAGCCAATATGTATTCCAAGACAGCTTTTGTGTATTTCCTTGCAGCTGTTGCAGAAGCTCGGTAAGTTTCTTATCAGTATCCAGAAACGTGTCCAGCGAACTGACTCTATGACTATTATCTAGTTTCGGACAAGAGCAAGGTAATGGTGCTATTGCCGCTATTCAAGCCTTGTCCAACCTCGGCCAGCCTGGTCAGGCAGCTACTCTTGCTGGAGGCTCGATCCAGTTCCTGCTTGCGGCAGCTAATCCCTGCGGAAGTATGTTCCCACTGAGTCCCACAATGTTTATTGTTTATAGAATGAGAGCTAATGAATCACAATAGAACTGATCCAAGCAGATAAGATTGTTTCTCAGCTTGGAACAAGCGATGCCGCCATCGCCGCGGCGCGTGGTCTCGTTGCCGCGGAACAAAACTTCAACCCCTTCGTCGTCAGCATCCCGTCTATCTGCTCTGACCCTACTCTACCAACAACCGCTGCCCTTCGTGGTGTTGTCCCCCTCATTGATCCAGCTGTCGGCGGACAGGACATTGAGAATGCAAATTCGAAGACCTCCGTGACCACTCCATTTGATGCTACCGGCTTGAGTGTCGCTCAAGTGATGGTTGCTCATGGCTTCTCCAACTTTACTGCCGTAGCCCAGGATGGAACTAAGGTTGCTGCTTCGGCTCTTGGAACAAGTGGTGCTTCCACGGGGGCCGCATCCTCTGCCGCCGTTGCTGTCGCTGCTTCCTCATCCACAGTCGTTAATGCATGCTCAGGTCCTACTACTTTGGCTACTGCCGTGAGCTCTGCTGCTGTCGCAACAGCCACTCCTTCTGCTGCCTCGGCTGCAGCGGGAACTTGTACCGGTTCCGGATCTACTTTGACCTGCAGTGCTCCTGCAGCAGGTGCCAGAGCGGTCTCCGACCCCGTCACTGGTACCTTCGGTGGCTTCGTGGCATCCACCATTGCCGGCCTTGACTTTGGTCTCTGTGTCCCCACTATGAAGTTTGAGGCTGGTCTAGATGGCCGTTCTACTTCCGAATCTACCTTCCAGGCTATTGACCCTCTCATCAACAAGGGCCAAGAGGAAGCTAAGAACCCCCTCATCATCGCCAACAGAATCCATGATCAATTGACCAATGTTTGTGGAGCTAATGCCGCAGCTAAGAGTGCTGCCGCCGCTGCTCAGCAAAAGCTTGCTAGCTTGGGAACCAAGGACGCCAGCACTGCAGACGCATGGAACACTGCATTGGGATTCGCTGGCACTAACACCAACCCTGACAATGCTCCCAAGGCCGGGTTGGTCGGACACACTTAGGTGATTGGATAATGTGCGAAAATGTAAGGGACAGTAGTCTCGACTACCAACTTACTAGGGTATGATAGGCTTGAGATGTTGTGGAAGGAAAATGTGTTTTGATACAGTAATCAGTTTGTATGTAGAGACTTGGTGAAATAACAGTATCTACATGAAATCTTTAAAATTACCAAAGCTGTAAGATTATTATACAAGTAATTTGGCATTATCCTCTTCCTAGACAAGAGGAGCATTGGTGTCTCGCTGGAGAGCATGAACCACCTCTTCCCAAATTCTGTCTGCAAATCCTTGCGCATCCCCCACACTATCTGGTAGCGCACTATATTATAAAGTCAATAAACTTGAAAAGTCAATGGTGGTTTGGTGGTACTTACATATCATGAAGTCCATCGTCAAACCAAAATTTGCCATGTCGTTCTTTCGTACCTAGTGCCCCTGACACAAGTGTTCTCGCCCCTTCTTCGGCTCGCCTCAAAACAAAAGTATTAAGTACTGCTCGTAGCACATCGGCTGCAAACCCTTGGTGACCTCTCGAAAGGTCTGATTGACAGAAGCCAGGACAGACAGCCGTGATAATGGGACTTCCTTCCGTTAACTTGGCTGATCTGGAGGCCAAGGATTGATAAAAAGCCATCAACAGAAGCTTAGAAACCTGATACTGCCGGCTAGCGTTGAAGTTTTGTTTCCGATTGAACGTCTCCAACAGATTATGAGACTTTTTCTCTTCTTCCGTAAGTTGAACAGCCTGCATCCGTCTCGAAGCCACGAACTCAAGCACGCCAACTTCCGGTTTGATAATTTTCGCTTGCAATAAAAGTAGACTCAAAAGTGCAGTTGACAGGACATTGACTTGCAAGTCGTTCTCCCAGCCATAATTGCCTGCCGTCTCGTACTTCACGCCGAAAACACCTGCGTTGAGAATAGCTACATCCAATCGTCCATCTTTCTTGCCAACCTCTTTGACAAAGCTATGTATAGAATTGTAGTCACTCATGTCCAGCTTGCGCACTGAGATTGTTTGGTCGTCTGGATTGCCATCCTTGGTTGTATCCGATGGTTGCGCCTTCATGGATGTAGCCCTCTGTAATATACGTTGTTTAGCATGCTCGCCCTTCTCAACATTTCTTACTCCTAATATAACATGTTTTGCGCCTAAATCGACGCTCTTCAGGGCAGCTTCGAAGCCTAGACCGGTGTTTGACCCTGTCACAAGGATTGACTTGCCTGCAAGGCTAGATGGTGAAGTACGTAACGGATCCTGAAGTGTCTTCTGGAATAGGGAGTAAGATCGCTCAGTATCATATGTGCTCAATTTTGATGTCATATATGCATGAAAATTTCCTCCTTGATATCGATGCGCATCAAGTGTCGGTTTTGTTTGCTTAAGCGCGTTGTTGACAAGGCTTTGTGGTCGAATTCTGGTGATAGTCGACATTTCAAGCTAATTATACGCCGGATAGAATGGAATATAAGTTGCGTTTTAATATTACTTTGAGATTGAAGCAGCAGATATTGACATGGAAGGACTTAGCTGTACACGAGGTAGAATGATGTGGAATGTTTCTAGATTAGGCATGGCAGAGGGGAAGCCACCGGTTCAGCGCCGGTACCGGAATTGTTTGATACTATAAATGCCATTTTTTGGCTACACTCGTGCATTGTTGTCCCAATATGAATAAAATTTCTACCGGTTTTGATAAATATTATTGAGCCCAAGTGATAAGCGCTGATTTTATCCTTTCAATGTTTGCACCAAGAGTCTGATGTCTCTGAGTTGTCTTGTCGCTGAGTATATAGAACGGGAGTCATCTTAATTATCTGACAGAAGGCGAAAACCCCATTTCAGCGGGATTTGGTGGCCGGATCGATTACCGTTTGTTTTAAAGCTCCAATATTAGATTCTGAACCCATCATGGGTTGAGATTATTAAATGTCTTTTTTATGTATTGGCAGCACGGACCTAACCCTAATCAATGGGGCAATGTTCAAGTTTATTGGTGATACACTCTGAGAGAGCTGTTGAGCATACCTAACTACGACGACTTTGGAAATAAGTCTCTATATGGTCAGCTGGGTAGTTATACATTGTCGTAAATTAGGTATCTTGCATCGGATCGGCCCGATCTCCGCAAACCAATCGATCCATCTAGATTCTTGAAATTCTTGTATTCTAACGTCAACATTAATCGTTCATGCAAGTAGCGAAACTACCAATCTGTGATACTCACCTCCAATTCACATTGTTCAGGACGTAATTAAGAATTCGTGGATATTTGAACATGTTGTTGGAAACTATTCTTGCGGTCTTCCTTGCTGTCGGTATCGCTCATTGCCAGACCCCCCCGGGATTTGAGCCGTCTACATCACACAAATTGGGAGTTAAGTTCAGCAAGAAGGTTGCTGTTCATCTGGGAAATAAGCTCGATAAGGATGGTAAGTAACAATTAAGGCATGTCGTTCTGTCCAGAAAGGGTCACAATGTCCAGATCGATCGTATAGTATACTCATTAACTATCCATATAGATACCCAAACTATACCACACTTAAAGGTCAAGTCACTAACCGACGACGCCAAAAATGCCTACTGTCTTCAAACAACAATTTTTTCGTCCCACTATATGGTCTTCATGATCGATTTGGATGTCCCTCAAAATGATACCACAGTCCCATTCTTACACTGGTATCAGCCTGACCTCAACCTAGATCCCAAGTCAGGGAGACTGTTCCTTCCTAAATCGAGTCATCTTTCCAATGCTGAATACTACCCTCCCTCACCGCCACCAGGACCTCCGCATCGCTATGTCGAGTTGCTTTTTGGTCAACCGCCTCATTACAAATTGCCATCGCAGTTTGAGAAGTACCTAGACAAGAAGTCATCGGCACGTGCGGGATTTGATATGAAAGAGTTTATAAAAGCGGCAAATTTGAAAAGGCCGATTGCTGGGAATTGGTTTTTGGTTCAGAAGGTTGAGGATGAGAATGAAGAGCTATGATTATTGAAGAGGAAGGAAAGCATGAGTTGTTTGGATGCTTCGGAGTATTTCAAGATTCCTTGAATTGCATTTCAATCCTTACTACGACAATTCAAGAGGCCTGCTAGTCCACATACATTTGCATAATATTAGCCGAATTACCTATTAAGTTCAAGCTAATAGACACGTGGCATACGCAATCAACTCACATTTTGCAATGTTCCGTGATGGATATATAAGATTCCATCTGTGATCTTGGACCACCAGTTCTCCGAGGGCTTGTCACCCACGCATTTGGGATGTCTGCACTTCTCGTCCGCAGTATCCAGAATCCACTCTCGTTTTCCACAGCACGACTGATCACGCCGTGGCCGCTCTTATTTCCTCTGACAATCAAGGGTATAAAAATGTATTTTCCCGCAGGCACTGTTGAAATAGCAAACCTGCCGACAATGATGAGCCAGCTACAATTTTACTGCAATATAATCAAAGTATATTTTGAAATCTTTGGCTTATACGTTGTCTTGCGCGAGTCTGGCGCTGTGGTAATAACTATCGACGTTGCTTGAGACGGTCTCCCCCTCGCAGTTGATGCACAGGTACTGTATTACCCGGACGGGCTACTGACGCGGCCATTTTGTAATGTCGAGATGTGTGACATATCGCTCGATGGTCGGTGGTTTAATAAAGTCGCATCTATAGACTTGTATAATATTTCGACATCGAGGGGTGGTGTCATTGTCCGGATTCTTGGAGATGACTTGTGATATGAGAGGGAAGCTGGTCGAAATGATTGGCATTATAAAAACCTCACGTAGCCTCACTACTCGGACTTGTCAAGAGAAAACTCTGGTAGGAATATCGAAAATGAAAATAAAATCCATGCAAAAAGCGAAATACATGATCTGAAATTTTGAATGCGGTTGTGGGAATATGACGGATGCTGAATATGAGTGTGTGTTGGTTTATAGGTGCAATCGAGATTTCTGGCACCGACGCGAACCAAGGAGAGGTCACGTGAAGTTACACGTGACCTCGTCAAGCAAGGACTATATAGACCGCGTCGGGGCCTCATTAAGAGAAAGAAAACGATTTTCGAGTTGATAGGCGACTTCCTTATAATTATTTATATCAAACAGTCGGAGGCTCAAAATCCTCAACCCTCTCTACCACCTAGCTCCCAGGAGTGCAGCCCTTGACGCGTCTCAACGCGCCCGGCAACACCATGGCGCGTAAAGGCCCTGGTACAGACGGCCCTCTACAGACAGCCCTTCTAGAATCCACGTCTGCAGCTACAACAAGAGCTTCTGAAGGACAGAAGATCTTCAGCCCCATAGCTGTATTCCTTGATAAATACTGCAGCCAAACCATCGGCCTTGCTCCTCACCTACTGAGAGCCCTCACCGCTCTAAGCAATGACCTCGCCTCAGTAGCTCAACAATATTTCAACACTTATATCAGCGATATCTCAATGACCTCCATTCTACCTGCCCTGTCTCCTTCCCCTTCCTCTTCCCCCACCCCAAATCTCTTACCCCCTTCACCCCCTCCCTCACGTCCTCCCTCAGGTCTTAACCAGTCAACTTATATGACTATTACCCAATATGCCCTAGTCAAATCAACTCCCACCACTCACCCTAAAGCCTCTATCAAAAAGCCTATGCCTCTGGTGAAACAACCCCTTCCTAACATCTGGCTCTTCGTACGCCTCCCAGCTAACTATACAGCTAGAAAAATGGAAGCCTACACTATCTACTCTAGCCTACGATCTCAACTAAACTTAAATAGTGCAGCACTAAAAGAAGTCTAAGCTACAAAGACTGGCTTTGTACTATGCCCCTCATCTCCAGAAGCCCTCCTAGCCCTTAAGGCCCAAAAAGAGACTATCTCTGCATTCTTTGTTAACTGCCAGATAAAACGCAGCTCCTGATGGGTCTCATACCAAGTCACTAATATGCCAAGGAAAATTGGCCAAATCTTGGATGGTTAATACTCTCTAATCCCTGTCAATCCTACACTACTATCCTTAGAAATTAGCGAAACTACAGGGCTCAAGCCTATATCTATTAGCGAGACCACTACAAGCGCTGCTAACTCTAATACTCTCTCCTTAAGCTAGTTTGTCAACTTCCCAGAAAGCACGAAATCACTACTGCCTATCCAGCTACATCTTTTTGGCACTATCACCAATGCTCATCACCTCTCTAAGAAAATAACAGTTATTCAATATATATAATGCTGGAAATGGCATAATGCATGATCCTGTGCACGCCCCTCTCAATGCCGACTATACAGCTCCTCAGAGCATACTGAAGAGGGCCATGTCAACTACTGCATAGCCCCAGAGCCTCATCAATGCTCTCCTAGATATATACACTGCCATAGATTATATCTAGCTGATTTTGCAGAATGCCTTCTGCGCCTTAAAGGTAATACTAAACATACTAAAGCTCAACAAATAGAGATCCGCAAATCCTGCGCTATAAACCTCGCAAAAGCTTGAACTGAAGGAGGATGTAGCTCTTAGCTCTCCATAGGCACACAAGAAACACCTATAGCATTAGATGAGATGCTATCACAGCCTTTAATCTATGAGATTATCTCTTCTTTCTATTTAGTAACCCCCCCACCTCGCGCCCCAACTAAAGATTCTCCCATTACAGCTTATATAGTCCGTTTTATAATTCCTCAACTACAAAACTGGTTCGCCTCTCTTCTTAAACAGGAGCTATAATCTATCACTATCCAACTTAAAAGGCGCCTCTCAAAATCCTACAGTTAAATGTAGGGCACGCGTTAGACGCATATGAAATAGCCCTCACATTGGCATACACTAGCGACATCGATATTATTCTAATCCAAGAATTATATACATTTAAAGACCTCAGCCAACAGATCACTAAAAAACATCTATTATATGAATGCTTCTCCCCAACTGATAGCTAGGTAATAAGTGGCCAACCACGAGTCCTCATCTATGTCTGAAAGAAGAAAGGCATCCAGACCTCCCAGCTGCGCCCCTTTACAACTGACACTAAAGAAGCCTCGGATCTCCTGTTCCTTTAGATTTTTTTGCCCACAGGAAAGTCCGCTCTGATAGTTAACATCTATAATACCCCAGCAGGCTGCAGCAGAGCAGGTGAAGCCGTGAAAGCTCTCACAACTCTACCAGAGGTGTATTTCCCTCAAACAATGATACTTGTAGGTGATCTCAACCTACTACACAATAGATAGCAACCCTCGCTACAACGCAGCCCTACAACTTTTGCAGAGCTGTTTATCAACTGGCTGGATCTCCAGGGTCTAGTACTCATTTCCGACATAGACTGTCCCACACATGAAAGGGGTAACATGTTAGACCTCAGTTTCGCCTCAAGCCCTCTGGCACTCGCAGGAGCCAAAGCTAGCATAGCGAGCCACTTAGATGCTACCTCTGATCATCAACCACTAATTACCACTGTTCCATGGGATCAGAGATACAAGGAAACAGCTCAGAAACTGAGATTTGACACACTAGACTACATCTCCTTCCTCTCGCTCCTCACCTCTAATCTCGCTGGCACCGAGAGCTCAGCCGCAACAGAAGAAGATCTTAATGCCCTTGCTGAAAAACTGACATCTGCAATTCAAGGAGCATATAAAGGTTCTGCTAAGAGGACCATGACACAAGGCATAAAACAACTATAATAGAACAAAGACTGCAAGAAAGCTTTACATAATTACCACTTAGGCCTCTGCTCAAAGACAGACTTCCACAGGATAACTAGATGGTCTCAACAACAATTTTGGCGAGAGAAGCTCTCTACGGTAACATAAATGAAGGATGTTTTTGATATGAGCAAATGGCATAAGTCTACAGGCATCTTCCAAAGCCCTTCACTAAAAGATCCGCTAAGGCCCAACAGCCTCCCAGCAGTTACTGTACACAAGAAACGAGACGTACTAGTCTGCAATCTTCTTCAGAACTCGGCAGAGGCAGGAGACATACCTCTGGACTCCCCAGCAGTGCCTTCCACTAGTCTCTACTTCCCAGATATATCGATGCTACAAGTGGAGGAGTCAGTACTTCAGGCAGGAAACACAGCCCCTGGCGCAGATGAAATCCCAACCTGCATACTCAAAGTAGCCTGGCCTCTGATCAAAGATAAGGTACTAATGCTATATCAAGGGTGCCTAAAGATTGGTTATCATCCTAAATGCTTTCAACACGCAATCTTAGCAATCATCCAGAAACCAAAAAAGACTAATTAATCTTCACCTAGATTATACAGACCAATCACTCTCCTATCAGTACTTGGCAAAGGACTGGAGCGCTTGGTGGCATAGAATATGGCATAGATCTCTATATACTATAAAGTATTAGCAAGGCAACAATTTGGGGCTCTCCCACTAAGATCTGCAACTGACCTGACCACATGCCTAACACATAATGTTGAACAAGCGCTAAATTAAGGCATGACTGCCTCACTTCTTACTCTAGATGTCAAAGGTGCCTTTGATTCTGTACTTCCCGGTAGACTGATCCGCAGACTACGCGAGCAGGGCTGGCCTACCAATCTCGTTCTCTGGATTGCCTCCTTCGCTACTAGAAGATCAGTTCAGATCCGACTCGATGGAGAGATCGGCCCCTCAACAGACATTACCTACAGTCTTCCACAAGGATCCCCAGTATCTGGCATTCTTTTCATGCTCTACATAGCACCTCTATTCCGTCTAGGAAACCCAAGGAACAGATTTAGTTACGCGGATAACGCAGCCAACCTGGCAATCTCAACTTCTCTTGCTACTAATTGCGAAGCCTTATCAGACTCACTTTAAGAAGCTCTTAATTGGGGTGCTGCAGAGAGCATTACATTTGTACCAGATAAATACGAGCTTCTTTACTTCTCCTAATATAAAGTAGACCAGGACCTAACCCACACATCTTTAGTGAAAGCTAGATCTATTACAATATCAGAAAACACTAAACGGCTATATCTACGATGGCTAGGAATCCTCTTTGACAAAAAGCTAACATTCAAATAGCACGTTAGAGAAATAGTATCTAAAGCCCTTACTATGGCTAACGCTCTTCGCTCTCTAGGGAATACTGTTTGAGGAGTCAAACCTGATTTACTACAGCAGGCTGTATCAGCCTGTGTACTCCATAAAGCATACTATGGCGCAGAAACCTGGTGGCCAGGACGTACTCGCCCTAGACCTTCTTAGATTTCAAACCAAGTTGGAGAACATTTTGAGAAACTAACTAAAGTAATACTAACAGGCGCAAGAGCAGTCCTTCCAGTCTTCCGCACAACCCCAAAGCCAGTCCTTTATCGAGAGTCTGGATTCTCTCCACCAGAAATCGAACTAGATCAAATAGCCCTCCTTGCAACTGTCCGTCTACGGCGTCTCGATCCTTATCACCCACTTCGAAGACGCGCAGAACAGATCACTAGTAATGGCCAACAAACCAGCTGATTTGCCCGCCGTACACTGGCCCTCCCAAACTCTGAATAGATAAACCCTCTCTAATACACTCCCTGGCACCCTTGTGAGCCTCGTGGGAATGCTCAAGCTCAAATAGGAGCTCCCATGGGACGTACTAAGGAATAGGCAGCGGCTAATTTCATAGCTTTTCAACGTACCATCCCTAGCTCAGATATTGTAATCTTTTCAGATGGATCTAGGCTAGCAGATGGACGTGCAGAGGGTAGCTATATTAGACTTTAAGCACACCATCAGTTCCTCCACTCCTCACTCTCATACAGACACGGGAAAGAGGTCTTTGACGTAGAAGCAGAAGCAGCTCTAGCTGGTGCTTAAATAGCAATAGTGTACCCAACAGCTCAATTTGCTACCAATCTATAGATCTACCTTGACAATCTAGAAGTTACTATACGCCTTCTATCTCCCTCTATAGGATCTTCTCAAGAAATCTTTGAATCCTTCCGCACCCTTATAGCCGCCTGGCCACTTCGCAAAAGGCTTCCTCACACTAAAAGTGGATCTATCTAAATCTGATAGGTCCCTGGACACGCTAAAATCCCTGAGAACGAAGTGGCTGATCTCGCTGCTAAAGAGGGAGCTGCCTCAATCCCTCCTGCTCCTCACAAATCCTCATACGCCTTGCTAAAGAGATACGCCAAGACTTAATCCCTATCCGCTGCTCAGTCACAATGGGAGAAGGTGGCACCACAGAGCTATTAAGATCTAGAAATAACCACTTCCCCTAAGCGCCCTGGGGAGCTTCAACTCAACCGACTTGATCTTGGCCATGTTATTGCAGCCTGTACTGGTCATGGAGACTTTGCAGACTACCATGAATGCTTCAACTATAATGATGCTTATCTTCTCTGCCGATGTAGAGCACGAAAAGCACCTCTATACTTCTTCTTCTGTCATATAGCTAAGAGACGAGCCCCTCGGCCTCCTGGGCCCCCTTCTGAGGTCATCTCTTTTCTCTTAGACACTGCTAAAGGAGCACAAAAGCTAGCCACATGGCTAGCAGAGACCTACTTCTTTGAGGATATCTGCCCTCGCCAACCTCTCCTTAGCACCTAGCTAAGACAGCCCTACTCTTCCTTTATATTTCTCTTCTCCTTCTTTCTTTCTCTTCTCTTCTTTCTTTCCCTCTCTGCAAAACTTACTGTTCAGTTATAATAGTGGTGGAGTAATAGGTCATGGAGTGTAGGCGGACCATTGCAGCTGGCAAATACCTAAAACCTACTCAAAGTGGACCTCCCTGTAAGACCATGGCAGCTATAGAAATGCGCCAGAGTCTCTTATTTGTACACAAATCTGATAGGACCCGAAACCCGAGGCTTACCCCTCGGCGGCCTATGTCCCAGTAGGGATCGGTGGGAAGCGTGCGAGTCACGAACCACGGCCGTTAAATATACACACACACACACACGCCTCATTAAGAGAAGAGAACAGACAATTGAATACATTTGACCATAGTACTTGGAGTACCACCTAAAGCGCGTGTACGGACGTACGTACATTGTTTTATTGGCTTTATAAGCCAACCCACAGTGTGATTGAAAGTTTACCATTGACACATCACCAAGACTGTTGGTAGGTCCCGAACGTTAGTTGACTGAATATTTTCCCATGTCTTTTCCGTTTTACTGATCAGAAACCAATAATACCGGATGCATGACTCTTCGATTGCTTTCCAAAGGGAAAACCAGATCAGATGACAGTGAATCAAGATGTGAGTCTCTACCTAGCAAGAAGTTGAGCTAATACGGTATATTAATTTGTTTTTGAACTGGGGACCATGTAATATTCCAACATTTCAAGGTTTTTTGGTATACAGTAGAACCTGGCTATAGCGAACAGAAGGCCCCTCAGGCCCAAGTTAATATATCCAGAAGTGAGTTCGATTTAAGGATGAAGGGCACCTCCACTATATTGATCCATTTTAGTATTAATAAATCGGATGCTCTTCAGTCCCATATTAAAGATATCCAAACTTGTGGGTTGGCTTATAAAGCCAATAAAATAATGTACGTACGTCCGTCCACGCGCTTTAGGTGGTACTCCAAGTACTATGGTCAAATGTATTCAATCGTCTGTTCTCTTCTCTTAATGAGGCCCCGACGCGGTCTATATAGTCCTTGCTTGACGAGGTCACGTGTAACTTCACGTGACCTCTCCTTGGTTCGCGTCGGTGCCAGAAATCTCGATTGCACCTATAAACCAACAAAACTGATATTAGTGGAAATGTGGAGCGGCCTTTTTTTCGTTATAACCAGGTTCTACTGTACCCCTGTATAAGGTATCAAAATTTTAGTTGGCCGACAGAGCTTGAAAGGGCTTTACCTTTTAAGAAGGAGAAAACGTTACTGGCAGGAGAGCTCATGCACTCGTAAGATGCCAGAAATAATCACAACTCAGGAGTTAGCAGGCTGAATGACGTTGTCAGTCTAGTACGGATCAATGATAATTATTTGACTAGATAGTCGGAGTTTGACATACAATAAATACGCCTGAGAGTAAACTAAATAGTGGTTTATTCAAAATAGGACCGGGCATTACCTGGTAAACGTTACAGAGCTATTCCTTTTCCTGGTACTTTGTACTACGTGGTGTTACAATCAATTATTGCATCGTCAGCATGTACCAGAATTGTTACTTCCATGTCTCAACGGTCAGTGACTGAGACTTCTATCAGTGCGTAGGAAACAAGGAAAGGAATACCTAGTAACCATTTGACTAGGATTGGAAATATCGTTGAGTTCATACGCTCAAACAAATACAATATTTGACCGAGTCTGCCTGTACCTAGTCTGGTAGAATATATCCAGTCATGAATGTGAAAATGATTTTGTCATTTCTGCAAGGCACATCCCGGACCCTGGACCGTTAACAATTTGATCACAGGCCAGTAAAAGCGTATTAAAACCCGAAAAAATGGGCAGCATCATGAATATGTATAACACGGTTGGATTCTAGCCTCTTGTACCACGTCGGATCACCTGCGTACCATTTGGACATTATACCTCCTCTCCCCGCAGCATTTTATACTCCGCTTAAGTAACATGTACATTAATAAATTTCCAGTTACCACTTACATACTTGATCATACCCGAAGCATATATCTTCAAAACGCCATGGCTGAAACAGTCTCTCTTTGCCTATCCTACATCACCGAGTCATCCGACGAATCCCTGAGGTCACTTGACAGTAGCGTGACTGCCGATGATGCAATAAATATACTCAAAGCGACGAAGACAAAAGATGGACATGTCGAGGCGGTGGATGTTTCCTCGCTGCCTTATCGTTCTCCCTTCCAGTGGATCGAGATTCTCTCTAGCATGTATGCTGGTAAGCAAGAGAAAACACCCAAAATGGACATGACAGCTTTGGAAAGAGAACCGAAAAAGACGAAAAGTGTTAGTAGCAGTCGCAGTTTTGAAAGAGGAGAGTCCTCGGGCACTCATACTTCCACTCACAAGTCAACAGAAGCTCCCAGTGAAGTTATTGCTGCTGGTGACATGGACCGCAAAGCAGAAAACCATATGAGGTCTAGTCAATCAAATCCGCATGAGGCTTCTTGTCCGGATTTGGGCCCAGGTGACGCTTTCGAACTTGATGTCTTGATCAAACGTGCTTTCCGACTGTCAGTAACCGATGCCGACGGATCAGAAGAATTTACTAGACTCAAAGTGGCAGAGACCCTGTATACAAACAAGGGCAAAGAACCTATCCGACCTACTGCCGCGGAAAATCCTTCAATTTCTGCCAAGGTTGACCAGAGTGTGGGAGGAAACTTTCAGACTATCAAGAGGAAACACCCACTTCGGTCAGCACTAAAGAAGTCTAAACCTTCGATTGGAATCATCAGCGAGAGGCAACCATCACTGAGCTCAGCACAGTCAGATCACTCCGAATCAAGGACAATGGTACAATTCCAGTCGCATGAGGCGCACGAACAAGTCGGAGCCAACCAGCACAATATGGAGAAGATACAAACGGACGAAACCGGGAAGTCAGACTATGATGGGAGGGATGATGAAGACTCAGAGGACAGTAGATTCGAGGAGGAAGATCAACAGCACGAAGATAAGGAGCTGTTGGACCAACTGGATGCTCTTCTCAAAAGCGGTCCAAAATCAGCCATAACTGTGAGGCCATACACAAACCTTACCACTGGACGAGATGTATTCCTATTCAACCATGGGATAGTCATTCCGCAACGAATCACAGGCAAACTTGCATATGGTGTAGCCATTCCAGGAAAGATCTTTCGACAGAAAAAGAACCGATACTCCTCCACATTTGCGTATTTAATAGCACTGTCTAAAGCAAACTTGGATGTTCTAGATATTGGGATAGGTGATATCGATCTAATTCGATCCTTGATCCTGGATGATGCCGAAGAGGCTTACAGAAAAACTGTATATGGAGAAAACACATGGATTGGTATAATGAAAGAGAGAAAGCGCCGATATGATCCAGACACGCGATCTTGGATGTCAATATTTTACCCGTCCCAATGGCGACGACATGGACTTGTCTTGTTGGAAGGTCAAAATGTGAACATCTCAACTCTTCTCAAATTCGATGGAATTGGCTATTAGTACTGACTTTAATAGCCACCTGAAAATAGCTGCAAGTTCCGAATGGTAACCCTATGCGGAAAAGTGTTGTATCAATGGTATGTACGATGTGATCAACGCAGAGCTTTTGGACCACGAAACATCATCGTTAAGATATCGTGTGGAGAAGATGATAAATGCGAGAAGTTTTTGGATTGGGAGCCTGAACATGGACCGTTTATACATAGTGACTCCGTCAAGTGCTGGACTGAAATTGATCCCGACAGAGAAGGGGTTGGTCTTCCTGACCAATTTTACCCATTTATGAAATTTTGGATTATTGAAGGACCACCAAAAGATGAGCCGCCACCGGTACGTACTTCATAGTAGCTGATTCCATTACCATGGTGGTTTACCATATGAATAATGAGGCTAACTGATACTCAGGGCTGCATGAAAATAAATTGTGTCACAAGATGTGGACTTGTCAAGAGTAGAATTCGCCTGCTCTGTGCCAGGCACATCTCCAAGAATCCAAAATGTATTGGCGGTGAATTCACAATGCTGATCAATAGAGGATGCGCTCTTCGGGACGAAATTGACCGGTGTGACGAAAAAACAGTATGTGAGGGTTATCTTGCGTGGCTCGATGCCAGATTGGGTCTACCATTGGAGGAGTTGAGTGTCAAAAAGGCCAATGATCTGGACAGGTTGCATACCACGCTTGTTGCAGCGTACAACAGAGAGACAAGGCGCATGGGATCGTTCCTAAAACACAAAGACAGCGAAAAGAAATGGCTTGATGTGATCTATAATCATGTTGATTATTATGAGATGTTGTTTAAATGGGGTTTAAGATCTATTGAATGTCCCGAAGGCCTGTCGGTGGTGCGAGCAGATGATTCGGTGCTCAAGGGGTGAATTATGCCGCAAAATTTGGTCTCATTTAGTTATCATCTCATAACGTTGTGATATACCTAGCTTGAATTATTTGATTACGAACACACCTAAATTACTATATTCATCACATCCTACGTTTGCCCTAAATAGATGAATTAGCACTAGTTTACGTAGAGTACTTTGGGTAGCACGATTGTATCCTTCTTATCCTCGTATCAGTAACTGGAACATCTCCAAGAATAGTCTCAATATCAGAGACGCGTTCCTTCATCATATCTTTTTTATTTTATGTTTTCTTTTAACCCTTTTTCTTCATATCATTCTGTTTAGTAGATAGCTCAGACGGTGAGAATACCATTTCACGAACAATTGAGATATATTCGAAGCATACTTGGCAAACTCAGTTTCTCAATATAGTTATTAACCTGGCCATCTGCTTTAATCAATGTAATATAACCGTGCTAGGACGCGTGCATTAACTGATTGCATGGCAAACCGTTTTTGATAATGAAAAGGGTTGGTATGGCACTGCTTTATTCCCATAAGAATAGTATTATGGCCGAGTTTGCATTGACTATCGGCCTTGCACTCGTCAGAGAATATCTCTATTATCATTTTAATGAAGTTCGTGCGCCAGTGGAATCGTCCAGGGATAGGGAGTATTTAACAATAGCTATCATATATATCTCTAGACCACCGGATTTCATTTTTAATGATTCCAACAAGACTGCATGTTTTCTGATTGCCATACACCAACTAAATGAGATCCTTATAATGATCATTCATATCCAATCCAACTTGCATCTTGAAGATCTGATTTATGACCCAGTAGGTGCCTTCAATAGTGCCTTCATTCTCCATTAGCGGATCAAGGCCATAATGAACAGTTTTACCACGACCAAGTCGACCAACGACAGGGAATTCTAGTTTTTTCGCTTCATCGGGTGTCAATGAGCTATAAAAGCCTTAGGATGCGCCGATTTGATGCACTGAGCAATAAATGAGATTTGGCGCTGTTGTGAGGTAGGATCAAACAAACTATTTCCCGGTGCATGGTGAATATGCTTATCTGCATCCAATTGGAACATTTAATCTAACATTGACGAAGTAATGCCACCTTCCGGTATCCGTAAGCACCTGCAGAGCTTCCCAGTTGTGGCTGAGAAGTGCTTATTCTGATTATCCAGAGTCCGGTGAAGTTTGATTATAATCAAAGTTATCCCAACATTCAAATATTCCTCTTGGGCCTGGGTTTGAAGTGCTGTCTACTGTTATATTAATACTACATCAATGGATAGGAATTAGAACTTTGGTAACTGTTTGTACGCGCACAACATCCTGTCGGAATTTGGCACCACTGCAAGAAGCTGCGGGGAGTTTCTGTTATACGTGTTTCATGATTTCGGGATAGCTCACAAAATCCTTTGTGAGCTCATATTTATACTTCACTCGTTGTTTGTACATGTCTCAATTGCCGGATTGAGTCCTTACTCAATCCCCAACGTAGGTTCCTACGCAGGCATAAATATGGCCTGCGCTCCCCATGAGATAGTTGGAGTTATCAGTTATCAATTAGGAATCATGTTACTATATTGATCGAACTCACCCTTAGGCTTGTTGGACTAGCCTTGCACCAATCCCTGCTTCGTGTTCTGGGACCGTGCTAAACCAACAGTAACGAACCTGTGCATGGCTTGCAATGTCATTGTGGTAACGTAGGATATTGTCATAACTGAGTGATACATTAAGTGCATGAAGTATATCAATCAACCATCTCCGTGCCCCCAGTGAATGGAAATGAAGCCCCATATGCACTTGGAAGCTGTTGCTAAGGATTGGTGTGAGTGCATGGCATAATAACGCAGCTATCAATCCGAATGATCCGTTCTGTTGATTATTCATAGTATCATCCTCTAGCTGAGCAGTAATTGACCAAAGAAGTTGCCATAGAAGAGGAGCCTTGTTGCGTACTTGTGTATAGAAATCCTTCACATCAAATTTCTCTGGAGAGCGCGTAGCATCAAATTGGCCAAAAGAGGGATCTCCTGTTTAATAAGTAGAGCTCCATCCTGATCATCGAGTTAATACCTTCAATAAACAGTGAAGATATCAATTCTTCATCGTCCATGAAGATTCTCCAAGCCTCAGGTTGCTCGATAAATGCTTTTCGGATACCTTTGACAAATTGAGTCTTTGACCCGGGTCTCAGCACTGTGTGCGTAAGGAACAGTTGTCACATGCTGTATGAGTTCTTCTATGTCCCATCTGTGAGCAGTACGAAGATTCTGGTAAACCTCTTATAACCGTTCTCCGGTGCTGAGCCCAGGCATATATCCTGAAACTCTATTCCCAGGGCGGGCGGATGAGATGGGGTGCTGCTACTGTTGGATTAGCTAAGCTGATCTAGCCAACCAGACAGATAAACACTATCAACCAATCAGAGCGAGCCTCACACTTTAAGAGAAGGATCCACCGAATAGGGGGTGAAAGACGTCTCCCACCTTTACTGTACTTAGAAGAACAAGAATGACCACAAGGATCAAGGATTCCATACTTTTGCATACATAATTTGATACATTGAGATATACCGCTAAAGATTTTTACGTAGGGAGTACGATCCAACAGATACACGCCTGTATTTAACCCCATTCCGACCTCCCTCGGACCCGACAACCACTTGTTGATCTGGTTCGATAGACATATCATTGTACTCGGATACACGTAAGCAATTGATTCAAATAAATAATAAAATTGGATTCCGATCAGTGCTACCATACGCTCAGACCATAGATCGAGTAAGGTACTGCATTAGGTCTAGCGTCATTTAAGGTCATGTGATCTATGCGTCTTGTTGGAACTATACTGCGCTATGTCAGATAATCCGGCTTTCAAACGAGGCAGAAAGATCGACTGTTTAATCTTACAGGTCTAAAAGGCACCTTTAGGCATATATCTGGGCACCTAGATTTCAGCCCAATATTTACCCCTCCTGATAGCTCACAAATCACCCCGCCAAAGGTGTCTATAAAGGACCCGGCTTTAAAGACTTGAAAGACAGACACAGAACTGAATACATACAATCTTGCTAGTCACTTCTTTTCTTTGATCCTAGTAAAACCCTCTTCAGGATTGGCCTGGAATAAACCGACCAATCCGACAATTAAGAGTCTGACTACCCCTACCGGCTCTATATCAACATGTTGTCCAACGTTGCCACCGAGTATAAGCTCAATTCCCCAGAGGATTGGGACGATTGGCAAAACAAACTTCTCAATCGGGCCAGAGCCAATGATCTTCTTCCTATTCTCCAGGGAACTGAGAGACCAATCAAGAAACCTGTTCGACCAAAGATACAAGACTATCTACCTGAATCCCAGAACACTACACAAAACCGTGTAGGTGCAGCTCAAGGAACGCGTCAGAACTCTGCTCAATCAACCCAAACCACCACGACTGAAGATACAACTGATGATCGTACTGAGCAGAGGGTAAGAAATGACTTCAACCTACGTCTCAATAACTACAAAATGGAGTTCAGTGAGTGGGAGGTTCAGCGTAGAGACATCGACAAAATCTTTGAATGGATGAAGCGGACCGTGTGCCACAGCTATCTTAAGACCTGTGTACACGTGACACACAGTTGGAAGAAAGCGTACAATAACTTAAAGATGCAAGTTGGCCAAGGATCGCGAGAAATCTAGCGACGTATACGAGATGACTATAACCAGCACATGAAACCTTTCAGAGGTACTCCGCGAGATCCGGAGGCTTGGTTGATTAAGTGGGAAGAAATCATGCTTCAAGGAAAGAAGAAATCCATGTCCTTTGCCCAAGATACGGAGGACTGGGCATCTAGGTTTCTCGAAGCTATTCGACCACTAGATGAGGCGTGGGTAACGTCTTTTGAGCACTCAATCGATCCAAAGATTGATGACAAATCTCTTACCTATAAGGATCTGTCAAATGGCTTCCGGAGACTCATCCCACGACTCCGTACAAAACGACAATCCCGTATAATAAAAGGCTCTTTCGCCACTCATCTGAGTAAGAGCGACGACAGCGAAGAAGAAAATGAAGAAAGCTTGCAGCGAGGGAGAGCTGTGGAGCGTGGTCAACGACGTTCGCAATCACAATCATTTGAAGGAGGACAGCGCAGCGGATTTGCTCCAGATAAAAGAGGTGGACCTAAACCGACCTGCCCTGCATGCGGAGGCATGCACTTTATTGACTTCTGCTTCTATATTTTTGGTTATAAGGCTCCTCAAGAGTTTGAGCCAAGACTTTGGCTTCAACAAAGAGCCGATAGATGGCTTAACAGCAATGCACTATTAGCAAAAGAGGTAAGACGTGTACTAACCAAAGAACAGGGACAAGCTCCTTCTCAAAGGAAAGAACGATCTCGCTCTAGAAGTCGATCCCAAGAGCGACGAGAACCTATAACTCAAAATACTTAGAATGAGGTGACTTTCCAAGGAGAAACAGCAAGTTCGAATTGACTTTTTAAGACGGCAGTAGGTAGCTGCAAATCGACCTGCTACATTCGCATGGAAAAGGATTTGGCTGCACTGTCAATTAACGAATATCCTTTAAAACATTCAGCTTTATTGGATTCAGGGTCATCAATTCACGTTTTCAATGAGATAGAAAGGTTTGTGAACTTCCGGAAAGCGACAGCAGGAGACTTCCTATGGGCAGGCACCCACCAAGTACCTGTCTTAGGATATGGAGAAGTGGATATCGAAATCCACGGCCTTGGTGGAAGACTTCAAATTCTGCGCCTTTATAACGTGGCATACTGCAAGGACTTTGTGGCAAACCTGGTGTCTTTCCAACAACTAAGAAAGCATGGAATCTGGTGGGACACCAGAAGAGGCTTCAACTGCCTTCGGAACGAGAAAAATCAAGTCCTTGCATATATAAAAGAGAGGGAAGGTCAATTTGTACTCGAACATATCGCCAACGATCATCCTCTCGTAAAAATGGCCTTCATTATACGACGGCACCGCTTCAATTCGTGGACAGTCAGAAAAGAATGAAAAGCTGACGCTAAGAGATGGCATGCTCGCCTTGGCCATCCTGGACCCCAAGCTATCGAACACCTTGCCACAATGATAAAAGGTGTAAGAGTGACTGGCCTATCCAAAGGTCCTACCACTGTATAGTGCGAAGCCTGTGGAAGGGCAAAAGCCAGACGAATCATACGACGAGAAGAAAGAAATATTGTGGAACGACCTGGCGTGCATCTAGTGATTGATTTTCATGACTTTCAGAAAAGCTCAATGAATGGAGAAAAGACATTGATGCTTATAACCGATCGATTTAGCGGTTTTATCTGGGACTTTTATATGACGTCGCACAAAAGCGTGGAGATCTTAGAAACTCTGAAATGGTTCTTTGAATATCTGAAAAAGCACCATGATGTTAGTCTGATCAAGATTGAGATGGATAATGAGATATTCTTACACCGACCTGAGGTAAAGGAGTGGCTGATTACCAAACATGTTACTATCGAGCCCTCAATGGCAAATAATCAAGGACAAAACGGTGCCGCTGAGCGCTCAGGGGGTGTCATCAAGGATAAGGCTAGAGCCATGAGAAATGGTGCAAAGTTACCTACGGATTTATGGTCAGAAATATATCGAGCCTCAATCTATCTTTACAACCGTACCCCAAAGTTCATGTACAACTGGAAAACGCCATACGATAGGTTCCATACTTACGTTGCTTTGCAAAATGGAATTTGCATACAAGATCAGAAACCTCAACTTGCTCACCTGAAGGTATATGGCTGTAAAGCATATGCCCTCACATCGGAGTATCAACTCAAGAAAAATCGACTTCAACGCTTCAATCCGCGAGCATGGGTAGGCTATCTCGTTGGATATAACTCAACAAATGTTTATAGGATTTGGAATCCTTTGACAGGGAGGATCGTGCGAGCAAGGGACGTTATTTTTAACGAGGATGAAGTCTTCAGTGGAGATATCCAAGATATTAAGGATGATCTCCTTCATGTGTCTGTTGAAGAACTGACAATCTTGCTGAATAAGATAGATATCCGAGTACAGTCAGGTGAAGTCGAAGATAATGCTAACTTTGGAGATGAGATGGAGGATTTGGTGTTTGACCGAAATAGGCACAACGATGAGCGTACGACAACAACAGGCTCGGTGACTAGTTCTGGATTTGAAGATTCAAGTCAGCTTGATTCGGACTATCCAAGCGGCCCATCTCTGACGCCAGGAGAAGGATTGTTAGAGGGGATTAATAAATATGCTTATCCTACACCTCCAGATACGCCTCCGAGCGCACTGTTGGCGGCTAGCATAACTATCGTCCATGAAAATGACCTCAACCTCCGTCAGAGCTCTGAGCACGCAGCTGGAACGTCAACTGGCGGGGTCAGGCCCAGAGGGTCGCTCGTTCAGGAAGCAACCACCAAGGAAGGTCCCAGAGGGGCTCTTGATGGTGTAGGCACGGTCAGGTCCAGAGGATCGCGTGCTGAGTTTGGGGACAGGCCCAGAGGGTCGCCCAATCTGCGTGACTCCATGGTAGGTCTCAGAGAGGCTCATGGCAGGCATATCCTTGAGGACAGACCCAGAGGGTCGCTTGAGAAGAACGGGGTAGGCTTCAGAGAGGCTCCTGTTAAAACCGTCGCCGCTGCTTTGACTACGCAACGAGGAGAGCTCAATCCTTGGAGGTTTGCTTTTCTAGCAGGCACACGACATCGTCAGTATGAGGTGAACACAGTCAAATTTGATCACGTGAGCCTCCAACGACGTCTAAGGTCAGGACGTCGACTTCAGTCAGTTCTAGTCCGTGACCTACCGCCTGCTCCCAAGAGTCACCGTGAAGTGGAAAAACATCCTTTAGGTTGGTTATTTGAGGAGGCTGAGAGAGATCACCTTAAAAGTCACGATCCATCTGGCTCTTGGACAACGGTGCCTATCGGTAAGGCAAAAGGAAAGCAGATTCTCGATTGTATGTGGGTATATGTCTATAAGCAGGACAAGAAAGGTCGTCTAGTCAAGTGCAAGGCACGACTCGTGGTAAGAGGTGATCAAGAGAAAAGAGATGATACAAGGGACATGTATGCTGCTACTCTTGCTGCGAGATCTTTTAGGACATTTATGGCTATTGCTGCGCGCTTCAATCTGGAACTCAAGCAATATGACGCTGTCAATGCCTTCGTTAATGCCATACTGGACGAAGAGATCTTTATGAGAATGGCTCCTGGATATCGTGAGTCTGGAAAAATATATCGACTAAACAAGGCTCTTTACGGATTGCGTAGATCACCACTCCTATGGCAAAAGGAACTTACCAGCACCCTCATAGAGTTGGGTTTCAAAACAGTGCCTCACGAACTGTGTTGCATGTTGAAATCTGGGATCATACTGTTCTTTTATGTAGACGATATCGTTGTCGCATATAAGAAGAGCCACCAACCAGAAGCTGACTCAGTCATGAACCAACTTCGTGCCAAATACAAAATATCCGGAGGAGGAGACCTGGAGTGGTTCCTAGGTATGAGAGTTATACGGGATCGAAGCAATAAGGTGATCTGGCTCAGTCAAGCCACCTATATCGATAAAATTGCGAAGTTAGCCGACACTCAACAAACTGACGACACACCAATGGCTCGAGAAGAATTACTCCCATACAAAGGAATGGCCACCTACAAAAGTAACCATCAATATCAACGGAAAGTTGGCTCAATCATGTATGCGGCAGTAAGCACTTGACCTGACGTGGCTTTTGCTGTCTCACGGCTTTCACGGTTCTTGTCAAATCCCGGACCAAAGCACCATCAAGCTGCTGACAAGGTTTTATGCTACCTCGAACGTCATCGTGCGTACGCCTTGAGGCTTGGAGGAGGTGAAGATTATTCAGTATCAACAGACGCCTCCTTTGCAGATAATACACTTGACCGTAAGAGCTCGCAAGCATACGTCATGACACTTTTTGGTGGAACGATAGGATGGCAAGCGAACAAGCAGGATACGGTAACAACGTCAACCACTGAAGCTGAACTGTTAGCTCTCGCTCAGGGGGTGAAAGAAGGCAAATATGTCCTTCGATTGCTTCTGGAGCTGGAGATACGTTTTAGAACACCTACTCTTCACGTTTTCTGCGATAACCAGCAAACTCTAGGATTGCTGGAGAAGGACGCTCCGCGACTGCGTACGAAGCTCCGACACGTCGATATTCATAATCACTGGGTACGACAAGAGGTGCAGAAGGGAGACATCCAAGTGCACTATATGCCCACAAAAGATATGATTGCCAACGGCCTGACCAAGGCACTCAGCAAACAGGAACACCAAAAGTTCCTCAATCAGATCGGAGTAGAGGATATCGACAGCTATCTCACTCCCCAGCAAAAGAATATGGAGAACCCGGATATCGAAGAATTACTTTCTCTCAATGACGTGCCCGACAACTTATGAAGCTATTCCAGCTTTGCAAGCAGTTGCTTTCTGCAGCTGAGGGGGTGTATCAGATAATCCAGCTTTCAAACGAGGCAGAAAGATCGACTGTTTAATCTTACAGGTCTAAAAGGCACCTTTAGGCATATATCTGGGCACCTAGATTTCAGCCCAATATTTACCCCTCCTGATAGCTCACAAATCACCCCGCCAAAGGTGTCTATAAAGGACCCGGCTTTAAAGACTTGAAAGACAGACACAGAACTGAATACATACAATCTTGCTAGTCACTTCTTTTCTTTGATCCTAGTAAAACCCTCTTCAGGATTGGCCTGGAATAAACCGACCAATCCGACACGCTATTCCTCTTTAAGATGTGATCCAGAGAACCGTACAAATACTGATCAACAGGAAATTTCGAGAAATTGGATTCACACATCAACATAAGATTGATATTACAAATCAACTTTACAGCTTATATCTAGAAAGTTCGATCGAGTACAGATTGTGGTTTCAAATGATGTCATTTGTATTGAGAATGTGAATATAAAAGGACCAAGATTGTCAGATAGTGAAGTTTTGGATAGTGTGCAAAATATCAGAAAAATCCCTACTCTAAGAAACTTCTTTGGTTGGCCTAACCCAGTTAGCACTAGTACGGAAAAGTTACAATACGTCTTGAGTAACTGCAAGCTTTGACTTGCTTTTGAGATCACCTCTCACGGCAGCTGTCCCTATTTGCCATTGGCTGCTTGAACATGTCTGCAGACATTGCTCGAGGATTTATGTAGATATAGAAACCATTGAATCCTCCCGCATCTTAATTATACGCCGAGCGAACGATGAAGCCCTCATGGGAGACACCAAGACTCGCAAGACTGAGGCCATTGAAGCGAAGGCGCAGCCGCTCGCAGGCAAGAAATCGCGGCGTACGCTATCTTGCCTCAGCTGTCAGAAGCGTAAGTTGAAGGTATGTTTAGCGGCTATCATTGATAACTGTGATCAATCGTTGATTATTTTCATCATAGTGCGACCGCGTCAAACCATGTCGAGCTTGTTGTATGCGAGGCGTTCCCGCCGAATGCGACTATGGGACTACAAAACATGACCGAGGCTTCATCGCGCAATCGGATCTCATCGAAGAGCTCAGAGCCAAATTGAAGAAGCTTGAGCAGAAGCTCGCCCAACATGACGAGGCTGTATCACAAGGGACTATGGTCGCCACGAGTTCTGATCCGGATAGCTCTGCCGTGAAAGTGAAGAGCACGACAGTCAAAGCCAACAATAGGTCTGCATGGGAGGTATGTTGCTTAGTTCTGTGGACGTATGGCAAGCCTCAAATCTAAGGCTTTCAGGTACTCTCGGCATTGAATCTACGAAAAGCGCTAGCCGAGTCACCAACTCCAGATAGACTGCTTATGGATGTATTTGTTGGAGAAGTGATTAATGCGTTCGCACCCGACCCGTTAAACATCCATGGCCGAGTATTTGATCTGCGTTCAGCAGCTGAAAGACGGATCTTTTCTCCGGTACTGGCCGCTGGCTTTGATGCAACGGCTCTGATATTCGTTGGTCAGCGAGATCAAAACCAGAAATTTCTCAGGGCTGGCAATATCCAGTATAATCGAGCTTTAAGACTACTACAAAAAGCAGTAAATGATCCCCAACAATGCACATCAACTGACGCTCTGACCATGGTCGTTCTTGTGACAGTAATCGAGGTGAGTAAGTTAAATTTGATTTCTGATAATCACTTAACTTATCACCCTGTTAGTTAGTGTATACTAATGGATGTGGTAGGCCGTCAATCAAAGCTCCCCGGGTGCAATATTCAAGCATCAACTTGGAGGGCTGGAGCTGTTACGATTGCGAACCCCTTACCGACATCGAACGGGGTTAGATCAATCGCTTTATATCGATCTACGAATGTTCTGGGTTCGTAATTGTCTGTGAATCGAACATTCAATTATTAACTTACGCAGGTAACCACCGCGATCGCCAACAGAAAGCCAACGTTCCTCTCCTCGGAGGAGTGGTTGACGTTGCCTTGGACCAAAACTGGCCCGCAAAAGGATATCCTTCATCATCTTCTGGATGTAGCCGTTGATATCCCTGCTTTTCTTTGTAAACATGACACCTTCAAAACAAGTTTATCGAAGGGCAATTTATCGCAATCGGAACTTGTATCCGCACATGACGAGATACAAACTACGGCGACCATTCTTGACCAGCGCCTGCAACTCTGGCATTCTGTGATTGCAATTCACTACCAACACGGATATATGACAGAGGAGCCGGCGGAGGACTTTCTACGTGACTCCGATGCTCCTCGTTTTTACTCCCGAAATGTGTCCTGCGGGGATATAGACCAACCGCCCGTACTCATTTACCCAGACTTACTGCTAGCCACAACTCTGAGTCTGTATCGTGCTCTTCGGCTGGTGATAGTCGGTAGTGACAACGACGGCCTATTCTCGGTTCTGAGTTCTTCGGAGCGCTATCAGCTCGCTGTTGATATATGTCGAAGCATGCCATATTATCTGAAAACTGTCTCGGGTTACCTGGTATCTAGGTTAATGTTTGTGTTGCGTGTCTCCTTCGACACTTTCTCGGAAGGGATGGTCGAGAGGGAGTATATTGAGCAGTTGTTTGTGTATATTGGGGAAAAGTATCATCTCCGCGTATTTTCAAACCAGTGCTCTGAGTCGGCGACGGCAGTACGAGAGCTCTCTTCACGAATATAGCCAAATGAAACTCGGACTGAAGCAATCCTAGCGCCTAGCAGTGCCTCACTTTAGCCTTCCGGTATCATGCTGCCTATATGCATAATAGTTAGGCAACGACATTACGCTGACAAAGGCGTGTTTCGGGCTCTACCTGCAATGAAATGTAGTAGAACTTCCTGAAATGTCGACAGTCATCCCTTCTCAATGCAACATAGAAATAGTACATCCATCTTTATAGTATGCACTTAATGTGTCCTAATAGTTATGATAGATCTCCAATCTTCAGTTGTAGGGCTACGCCGCTCTAACCCGGGCTGATGTTACCGAATGTTACCGCCTGAAAATTACCTGTGGCCCCCAACACTTCCATCCAGATTGAGACTAAGTAATAGCTTGCAGTCGGCTCCAGCAACTTAGTAACGTTCTCAAACCAGCTTGCAGTCTCATTGTTGCCACTTTTAGCTACAAGCTGCGCGCTGTCGGGATAATAATTGAGCATCCAATTTTATGATCCAAGAGGGACTTGCTCCACTAGCTAAAATTCCGGTTATCTCATGCTTCATTCCTATATTTGCGGTCAATGCTTGTGGGCTTGGTGGCCAAATGGTTACAGCTATATTCAGCTCACTTCTGTTTTCAATGCCCATTCTATGATGGGATTAATTACCTGCGGAGTCCTTGGCAGCTATCCTTTGGATGGCTGCTTATATGATCGAATCCCGGCGTCTGTTACGACACATTCCCATCTGTCTGTTCCAAAAGGTTCATCTATAGCACATGACTAATGACTTCGGAAAGAAAACGAACTTTTACTCGACGTTCTCGAGCAGGATGCCGAACATGTCGGTTAGTTTCCGTCAGTCACTTACGGATGATAACCCTTGCTAACTGCAGACAATTCGCAGACTACGACATATTAAATGCGACGAAACTCCAATTGCTTGCAAAAACTGTGTCTCTGACGGCTGGAAATGCGACGGTTACGACGAAATTCGGCTGTCTCACCCAGGCAGAGGAAAGCGCAGCAGCAATAGCAATAATGTGAACAAGAGCGCTATCGCCACAATCAGAACGGAACCTTCGCTTTCTATTCGACGTATCGAAACTGCTTTACCCGGAACTAACTCGGAAGAACGTAGAGGGTTTGCTTATTTTCAATGTTGGACTGTGCCGAAGATGAGTGGCTTCTTTGACACCCAACTCTGGCACAGCCTGGTGCTTCCCATGAGCTATTCAGAACGAGCGGTCACTCATGCCGTCGTTGCACTTAGTGCACTCCATGAGGATATAGAAGCAAGAGGGGTCCCGTTATCGAGAGCGGAACTAACGAACCGCCAGCAACGGTTTGCACTTGAGCAGTATACGCGAGCCTTGTCTGCATTAAATGCCCGCAGGCATTCCAATGACCCAAAACTACAAGAAGTTATATTGACATGCTGTCTTTTATTCGTTGTTTTCGAGTTACTCCGTGGTCAGTACAATGACGCCTTTGTACACCTCCACCAGGGACTATCCTTGGTTAAAGGTTCACAATCAAAAAAAATACAGTGCAGGGACTTGCCACCATCGGACTACTCAGAATATATTGAGTCCTGTCTTTCGGAGACAATGTTGCGCCTTCATCTCCAATCTGCTTTTTTCGGCGTTGACGTGTCTGATCCTTACCAACTTACTAAATCAGAGTACGACGATAACCAAGACTTTGATAATATTATGGATGCCCGGCAACATCTTGACAGATTGTTTCAGCAAATTTGCTGTTACATTGCGGCGGTAGAGCAGCTACCTTCAGAAGGAGGAGGGGAATCGTCAAGTATGACTCGATTGGAAGTCAAAAAAATGCAACAGAGTCTTCGAATAGAACTCACGAGTTATCTACACCGGCTTAATAAATTCGAGTCTCGAGCGCGGGGTCTATCAGACACAAGGTGTCAGCGTGCAATCGACCTGGTCCGACTACACCACAGAACCTTTTCACTAATGCTAGAGACATACATCGACTCAGAAGACATAATATACGACCTTCATGTTAATGAGTTCGGGGAGGCCGTCTTACTCGCCGAAGGAATAGCGAACAGCTTCTGGGAAGAAAACATCCCCAGCAATTACTCCCGCCCAACACTATTACTAGATATGGGAATTCTTCCACCATTGATATACATCTGTCTCAAATGTCCGTCTGTTGTCATACGTCGGCAAGCGCTTCAAATCATCCGAGAATGGCCACATCGAGAGGGGCCATGGGACTCCAATCTAATCGCTATAATGGCTAATCTTGTTCTTCAACTTGAGATTGAAATGGAATTTCAACGTTTATGTGGCAATACAGCAACAACAATCTCTTCGGCATCAGATATTACATATATCTCGTCCTTGTCGCGAATCATGAACGTGAATATCAGCTTAGATGCTGATCAAAGGAGCGCAATTTTGAAATACAGAACCAAAGAGTGTGGTCCAAACGAACCGCCATTCGAGAGACATATCTTACTTGACGAATTTGATTGGTCGTAGACATCGATATAATGCTGATGTTCGTGGATGAATACACTACGTTCGGTGATCTATCAGCATAGATACTGAATAAAGACGTGTACGTAATCAACAGGTGCATAGAAAGGACACCGTTTGACACCACCAAGGTACCTAAGAAACGATAATTTGATAATTTGTTTGGACCTCCGGCTTTCCAAGAATTAAGAATCACGAATGATTCTGCCCTGGCCGAAGCGAAAGTTTTATGGGCTTATGTTATCTATTCATTCTTCTATTGACATTGAACCTATCACCATAGTACTTGAGAGAGCCTTTTTTGTGATATAACACTATCGCATTTGTAATCTTTGTATACGTATTGCCTATATGGCTGTTATTTCCTGTTCACGGTCAATATAGGGTCGGCCGAGCTCCAGTGTGTCTGGAGCTAGGACCGAGGTGAAGAATAGAACCGAAGACATCATCATATTCATGAAATTCTAGTTACCAATGGGAAATTTAGCTCGGGGAATTGAGTAAGATCCTCGCTCAGTAGATTTCATATTCCACAATATTTGTAATCTTTGGTTAAATGCGAAGAGCCGTCTCTCGAATCTCGACTTTAAGTGGGAGACATTACCTATTTTGGAAAATGTGCCCTTATGCCCGAGCTCACCACTTTAAGGCTCGGTCTACAGCTTAGAAATGGATCTCAATTTGGTAGTTAACTAGCAAATTCAAAGACGTATACATGAAAAACCGTATAGAAAGTCACACGGATCTAGTGTATAAATAATATGAGAATTATCGAAATCGAAAGACAATATCCCTGAAGATCATTGGTCTCAAGAGACAATCACAAGAACTTTAACATATATTAGGTATATCTTTTCAAGCTGGTGGGATGTCTTCATCTACATGTATGAATTCTAGAATCGCAATTATTGGTGCTGGACTATCTGGGCTGGCTCTTGCATTGGCGCTTCATAAAAATGGTTTCACAAATATCACCATCTACGAATTACGTCCAGCATCCCTTGACATTGGCGGTGCGATTATGCTATCACCAAACGCGTTGAGAATACTTGACGCACTTGATGTATATTACCAACTACGACTTAGAAGTTACGAGTTTGACACTGACAATGCCATGACTCCTGTAGACACCTTTGAATTCGGTTCTGCAAGCAAATATGGCTATCAAGCTCTCCGTGTGTACCGCTACGAGTTAATCGAGGTATTGCACAACTTGACTCAAGAGAAGGACGGAATCTTCATAAATTATGACAAAAAGTTCGCTCGAATAACCTCCGAGACAAGCAAGGAGGTGACTTGGTCGTTCACCGACGACACTCAGGCATCGACTTCATTTCTGATCGGAGCGGATGGAATTCATTCTCAGGTGCGCAAGTACCTATACCCTGACCTCGTACCCCGTTTCACAAAGGGTATCGGAGTAACGGCCGCCGTGCCAACAGCCCAACTACAACTTCCTGAGGGTCTCAGCACACCACTGACATTCATGAACAATGACCACGGGGCGTTCGTTATTACGAAGCAACTGCATGATGGTAGTGAAGTTCTAATCGGCAAGCAACGTCGATTTACAGACAACCTTGACAAAGATGGCTGGGCAGATCTACTCAATAATAAACAGTGGTGTATAGACTTCCTTCGGCAAGGTGCCTCGGATTTCCCACCAGTGGTCTCCAACGCCGTTAGCAATATTTCAAAGGAAAGAATAAATCTTTGGCCATTCTACATTGTTCCGAAACTCAACACATGGGTATCTGAGAGAGGAAATGTTGTGATTCTGGGCGATGCAGCACATGCAATTCCACCCACGGCTGGACAGGGGGTAAAACAAGCCTTTGAAGATGTTTACACATTTGCTGGTGTTCTCGGCGCACTTGAAAAGCAGCATACAGAATCCGGTCATACCTCTAGGAGAAATGAGATATTCAAACGATGGCAGATAGGAAGACAAGCAAGAATCGATAAAGTTCTGGAACTTAATGCAATGATTGACAAAAGAAGATTGCCAAATCAGGACAGTTATGAGATTCAGAAGGGAGAGTTTGATTTGAACTGGTTGTATAACATTGACTTTGAGCGAACTATCTCGGAATGGGCTGTTTAATTCTTTTTTGAAACCAGTTGCCCTATAATCAGTGCGAAAGCTACATATCATGTCAAATGAGTTGAATACATTACATGGTGATCCTGTACTTTAGCAAATTGTGTCAGTATTTCGGGAAATTTTCAACTGTATTTGTCGTAAATTTCGCACTATACTTGCCAGCCATGCTAAAAGTATTTTAGTATAGTAAGCCTCTATCCAATGAAAAAAATCCTGTTGGATCCAGCCCTGGCGGACTTTATGGCGGAATCAGTGGCGTGCTCGGGGGAATTATGAAGTATCTGTTCCATTCATATATACGAGACTAGATTCGAGTACCATTCAAGTTAACTCAGGCGCTCGATATTTCCTACTACTATTGCTCTATACAGGCATTGTGAAGAGCGTGTGGTTGTCTTTCAAATGAGCATCTCCATTCCTCACCGTAAATTCCGCCGATATATCCTATGAATATAGTTATTAAGAAGTCACAAAGTCATTGATTACAGTAAAAGAGATGTAATCACTTATTGTATGTATACTCCCGGCATCAAACACGCTGTATAAGAGAAACTAAATGGCCACTCTCAGCAAAGTCCCAACTCGAGCCTTTGGCAAGCACGGCCCAAATCTCTCACGATTAGGACTCGGATTGATGAATAACAGTGGAGTATTTAACCTCCCACCTCCTGATGCTGAGCGCTTCGTATTATTAGACCATGCCTACAACCGAGGAGAGACATTCTGGGATACAGGTATGTTCCTTCGCGAGCATCTAGCATACATGTGTTTCGGGATACCTGACAGTTTGGCTCCATAGCCGACGAATATGGTAATTCCGAATACTTGCTTGGTAAATGGTTCGATGCGAACCCTGAGAAGCGAAACGATATTTTCTTATCAACTGAATTCGGTATTCGACACGTTAATGATAGCTTGAGCCCGAACTCGTTGATTGATTGATTGATTGATTGATTGATTGATTCATACACGCATCTAAGCCTAGTGGCCGGCGGCGCCTTCTAATTGGGCAGCGGGCGTACTACCGTATAAAAGCATAAATCAACGTCAACGTGCCAAGATGCTTCCGGCTTGACGCTGACTTAGTCAACTCCACGCGAAAGTCTCGACACGTATCCGTATCCAGATCCGAAGACCACCAACAACAGATAACGAGCGAACAGAACGCCGAACCAACAAAGGAAATGTGTACATATACAAAATGAGTGAAGGATCTCGGTGCGGGGTGACGTGATATTTATGTTTTGGTGCCCGGTTCTATTTCCAAACGTGTCAAGTGGCTGATCCGTCCAAGCCGAATCAACATGGTTACTCTTCATCAGGGTAGTGTCGCACTCACTGTGAGCGCGTGGTTGTTAAGGGGGTTACGTGATGGAACTGCGTCAATAGACCAGTCCGCATCATAAATTCAATACTCTGCCGAACCCACTGAGGTTCGCTAAGGAGCTTCCGATAATCTGTTTCGCGTGCTTCTTTCCAGAGAGTCTCCATACGCAGGTTTATATGGGTAGGACACCGTATGAGGACGTGGGCCGTATCCTGATCCCCAAGGCCACATTCGCATTGAGGTGAGTCTTCAATCCGTACACTCGCTAGGAAGCTGCGTAGCGCTGATTTACCTGTTTGTAGTTGGATTAACACTGAACTCCAAGCCCGTCGTAATCCCTCGTGCAGCTGCAACACCATCTTCGTTGGTGCTTTGATTATCCGATAGAGATGCCGTCCATGGTTGGCATGCTCCCACTGTTCCTTCCACCTCTTTGCAAAGCCTGCATGTAGCCTCTGGCGACACACTGCCATAAGGATAGTTGACTGATTTGGAATATACGACATTCGTGCGGCGTGTGGTGTAGTCTGATTGGGTGCGCTGATCCTGGCTATGCGGGCGTTCTCCTGTGTACGCCGTGTCGCCTCGACTGCAGCCAACTTTGCCAGCTGTCTGCTTTCTCGTTGCCTGGGACCCCTTCGTGGCCTGCACCCACTGTAGTCGTACACGCCATCGAGATCGGTTGTCGCGTAGGAGGCCCAGGTGTCGTACGATCCGTCAAAGGATATACTGCCCAGAGGACCGCCCTAGCTGGCACGTGGCGCGTATTGCGGCTTGATTATCTGTGTAGATTGTGGCTTCGTGTGGGTTGTCGTCGCATGGCTGGCTTCGGAGTAGGATTTCCAATGCCGCATCGATTCCCTCCAGTTCCCCTGCATAAACAGTATATGTGTCAGATGAGCCTACTGGCTTATAAGCCTGTCCTATTGATGAGTAGACCGCTGCCCCAATCCCATTGTCAAAGCCGCTCCCATCGGTAAAGAACTGTATTGTTGTATCTGTTCCTGAGATTGCTTCAATAGCCTTGATAGCCTCCTCACGGGTATCGTCAATCCTTGCTTCTGGTGGCTCCCACCATGGTGGCACTACAAAGGGGTAGATTGTCTCAATACATTGGCTAGTATCACTCCCCAGTTTGTGGTCGATGGCTGTTTCCAATCGATGAAGTGGCGACGTGTATGGGTCGTTACAGTGGGCTTGGCCACGTATTTGGTAAAGCGTAGATCGAAGTGGTGAGGTCATGATCCGCAGGCAGGCCTCCTCAGCCAGCTTTGCGAGCGTGAGCTCTGCAGGTGGTACATGGAGACAGACCTCTAGGGCCTGTCGTGACGTATGTTTGAACGCGCCGGATATCTGGTGAAGAGCCTGATCCTAGATCGATCGGATGGCTTGCTCTGCAGCTCGCTGCGCACCGGTGAACCCTCTTCCACCTCATATATACCACGTGGAGCACGCGTACATGATCTGTGGTTGGAGGACAGCCATGTATATCTTCCTTAGATGAACCAGGGGCGTTCCCCATGTCGATCCTGCGATTGAGCTTAATCCCGCCACCAGTTTTGCAGCCTTCTTTCTCATCTCCTGTACGTGCACTTCCCCAGTGAGGTGGGTATCCAGATAAACTCCTAGATATTTGATTGAGTCCGTAGGCTTAATTTCTACTCCCTTGATTATGAGAGGTACATCCAGCCTACCACTCGGCTTAGGCACCATTTGGTGCTTCCGCCAAAAGTGGGTAAGTTGATATTTGGCAGGCACAAATTTAGAGGCATGTGTCCTCTCCCAGCGCTCTGCAACCTAGTGTACTTTGGTGAGTGTGTGGCAGTTGGCTGCGGCGGAGGTCCCATATGTCATGATGAAGATGTCGTCAATATATCCAAGTACAATCACGTCCGGGCACTCGGCGAGTATCTGCTCAATAAGATCTGCATTAAAGAATAGGAATAGGATTGGTGACAATGGGGAGCCCTGCGGAATGCCTGTATTGACTAGAAATTCCCCCATATTGCCCTCTAGGAGTGTGATTGACGTGCGGCGATTGCTTAGAAAGCTCTCAATCCAGTCAATCAGGTCATCTGGCACCTGGCGCTTTCGTAGGTCGTGTATCAGTCTTATATGATTGACGTTGTCAAAAGCCCCTGCCGCGTCAAGTGCAAGCCCTGAGGCTACTCGTGAGCCCTCTCTCCACGCACTATGGGTCTCTTCTAGTAAGAGATGGATTGCTAGTTCGCATGAGCGGCCGCGACGTCCTCCAATATGTTGCTTTGGTAAAAGATTATATTGCTCCACTAGATAGCTGAGACGTCTGGCTAACACTGATTCTAGTGCTTTGCCAATCGTGCTCAGTAACGCTATTGGGCGGTACGCCTTTGGATCAGAGTAATCAGGCTTTCCAGGCTTGCGAAGGATGACTGTTGTCGACTTTCGGAAATGGTCAGGGCAGTATTATTGACGTAGACATGCATTAAAGAGATTAACGAGATAGGCCTTGATAGTAGGGAGCAGCCTTTGTAGGACCAGATTGGGGATTCCATCTGGCCCTGGTGCTTTGTCGGGCTTCACGTTGGTTACTGCCGTTCGGACTTCGTCTAACGTGATTGGTGGCATCGTATACGGTTTGGGATATCTATATTGTGGCCCAATATCTGACAGATCTGCCTCCGGGGGCTCTGGGTGGAGGACCTCTCGGAATAGGGCTGCTTTCTCCTTTGGGGCTGTGTAACTCGTGTTATTGTAGTGTAACGTTGGGGTAAACGTGGCACGTGGTTTGCCCCTATTGCGGACCCAACGGGCAATTCTCCAGAATCCATCTATTGACTCTATTGCCTGCTCAATTCGTTGGCGATGTAGATCTCGTGCGAGCTCATTGGTGCGCCGTTTCATCTCTTTCCTAGCCTCTGCGTAGTCCTCCCATGCCTGATCTGTATTTATACAACGTGCGTGTCGTCTACACCTAGATACGTGGTGTTTAAGCTTCGCCATCTCTGGGGTGTAGCCCGCTCGTGAGTAGATGCTGATCTGTTTTGTAGGTGTCGCTTGCTCAGCTGCCTGATTGATTGCCTCAACTAGATAGCGGATCGCCTCATTGATCGCCTCATTGTCATTAAGCTCCCTTGGGTGCCAATTGTATATGTCCATCAGTTTAAGGAAGAGGTCCCAATCTGTTGCATTCCACTGCTTGCGAACCAATGGAGGAACACGTATAGCTGTAAGGTCAAATTGAGTGGAGATTGGGACATGATCTGCTCCGTACCACCACTCTGGCTTGGTGTCGCAGCTCACTACCCGGTTGGCTAGATTGTGCGATGCCCACACCAGATCAATTGTAGATTTGGCGTTAACCCTCTCGTACGTGATCGTGCCTGGTGGCAAGAGCTGCTCGAGCCCATGCTCATCCATAAGATTAATTAATTTGGTGGCCTCCTCGTCAACGTGTCGGTACCGCGGGCCCGCCCACAGCGGGTGATGTCGGTTGAAGTCCCCCAATACAATATGCTGCGCCCTAGGTGCCATGGCGGTTTGCAGGGCGCTAATTACAGATTCCTCGTTGCTATTGACTCCTGGATTGTATACATTGTGAATATGGATGGTTCCATGGGCGGCTGTATGAAGTGTCAATGTGCTCAGATCTCTATTATGGTATTGGACCTCCCATGTGGCTGGATCTAGCCCTCTATTGACGTAGAAACAGACTCGTGGGCGTTTCTTGTATTCTTCCTTGGGTGTGGGCTGCAGTAGGATATGGAAGCTGCCCTTGAGCGCTAGTGAGTATGTTGTTAGTGGGTCGGTATGTTTGTTGATGTAGGATTCCTGGATAGCCAGGATATTGTAATTTTGCACCTCGCTCTCACCAAAGAGATGCATCTGGACCTCGTCCCGCGATTTCCAGCAGTTAGCCTGCAGGATTTGTAGTCGATTGGTGTTACGATACATTACTGATTGTTAGCCCAGGTGCTGTCTTCAAGGTTCGTGGTCATTAACGTATCAGCCTCCTGAGCTGGCTCGATTGGATCCTGAGGGGCTTCGTGGATTGATGGCTGGGTAAGTTTATCCTCAGATGAGTCATCGTCTGGGATCGTATGCACACTCTTACTTCGGCGGACAGTCCTAACAGCTTGCACATGTGAAATTTCTAGTGGAGCAATATCTGATTGCAGAACCGGGGTTCCTGGTGGAGGCTTCGTATTCTGACGTGCACGTGTGTTATATGTATATTTGATCTGGGTCTCAGGTCCTGTCTTAGGTTCAGGATTAGGATCTGCATCTATAACTAGATCTTTATCCCACTGCGCTCTCATAGGCTTTTTCGAGGATCTATTGGTAGGGTCACCTGATGTAGGGCTTATCGGCTCGGGCTCAGATCGTTCTGCCACTTGTTTTCGGGCGGCTGCTGCGCTCTTACTTCTTGAGTTGGCAGATCGACGTGTGGTGGCTGTACGAGCCGGTGCGCGAGGACTTCGCTCTGTATTGGCTGCTTCAGCTGGTGTAGGGTCATTTGGTGAGATGGCTCCGGGCTGACTATTGCCAGGTCGTATCACAGGAGTGTGATATTGTGGGCCGTATGTACGTCGTTGATGTGCCTCTGCGAGGCATGTAGCTCGTATCGGGCACTCCCTCGCATACGCAAAGTGTTTCGTATTGAGTCTCTTGGCAGGATCTTTGATATGGACATTTTCTGCGGTGCAATTAGCACATTTAGCGTATTCTTTCTCTTTCGGTGTAGGGCAATCCCCTGTATCATGAGATCCAGCGCAGTACGCGCAGCAGATCTGGCGCTGACAGTGCCTGGCAATATGTTTATACATCTGACACTTGAAGCACTGCTGGAGATTGGCTGCTTTGTCGTATATTGAGACATTGTGCTGTCTTCCCTTAATAATAAGGCCGCGTTGGATTGCAAAATTAGCAATCCTTTCATCATCAAATATGACTACAAGGTGGGCATTTGTGAGCTTCTGTTCCTTGATCTTATACTCGCTTAGAAGCCAGCCCGTGTGTGTGACATTCATAGAGGCTAGAAGCTGCGCGAACACCGGGGCGTTCTCTAAGGTAAGCATGGTTATGAATTGAGGCTGTTTGGGGTTGATATTCGTGTTGACGCCGTGTACGACGACGCCCCATGTACGTTTTCGTATACGTGCTTCGTTTCCGAATGCCCTAATCCAGTCCTTCTTGCGGGTAAGCTGGTCGACGTCGTCCACTGTGCCTAGTAAGAGTATAATATCGCCACTAGGTAGTATACGGGCTGCCGCAATTCGTCGATGTGCGATGGTGGTGTCTTGAGTGCTGCGTATTGCGAGATTTGCCTTCTCCACCACCTTATCCGGGAATCGACGTATCGGGTTGAGGATATTTGGATCGGTATGTTCCAGATAGACCTCTAGGTCCTCCTGGCTTGGATATGGGGTTGATGGCAAGCTTCCTCCACTACTCAATCCCACGCTAGAGACCGTGGGAGGGTTCGAGGGCACCTTACGTCCCCAGGCCTGTACGTACGACTCTGAGCTAGTTGTCACGTGACTGAAGCTTGGAGAATTTTTCGCGGTACGTGTCCCTGGGGATGTTGGGTGGCATATTGCCTCCACCAGGCGGTTCGTGTTGCTTTTGGTCGTAGTAATCTCTCGAGAGGCCTGAGATACCTCTTTCTGCGTCTTTTCCACGTGTAATTCGACCTTCGCGAGCCGCTGCGCTAGTTGCTCATTCGTAGGCGTATTCTTCACCCTTCGAGCCAGGTATAAGAACGCGTCAACCACGGAAGTAGAGAGCTCACGGGGCATGCCAATCTCCAGTGCTTCTTAGTGCTTCTTCAGTGCCTCGAGATCTTTGATGGCTGCAGCTACATATGCGCGTATATCAGGGTCATCTGCAAACCGTGGTTCTGGCCACGGAGTGCCCTTTTTACCTCTTTTCGGGCCCATGCTTCAACCGCGTCGATTGAGCAGGCGAAAGTTGGTAAATATACTGTCAAGGAGGTCTATTTTCACTGAGATTCTTTCCAGCAGTACTTTTTACCTGCGTGGGTGCGTTTTCATAGGTGCGCGAGGTTTTTCGAGGAGCCCGAACTCGTCGCCAGAGTACTGCCGACGAGCGATCGAGAAGTCTTTGAAACGCCTGGGATTGCCTTATATCGATTTATACTATATCCACCCTCTAGACAAGGTGACGCCTATTGAAAAGATAATCCAGGCAATGGTCGAGCCAAAAAAAAATGAAGGTAAAATCAAGCACCTAGGGATCAGTGAGTGCAGTGCCGAGTCGTTGCGTCGAGCTCACGCCGTTCATCCAATTACTGCAATTCAGATCGAATACAGTCTGCTTTGCCGTGAGGTCGAATCACCGCAGATCAGGTTATTGGAGACAGCACGCGAGCTTAAAGTGGCTGTGGTATGCTACTGTCCCCTGGGGAACGCATTTTTGACTGGCAGATATCATACTATCGAGGACGTCAGTGGGCCTGGAGACTCTCGTAGCATCCTACCATGGTTCTACCCAGACAATTTGAAGACAAATTTGGTTATTCTGGACAAGATTACCGAGACGGCAAATGCGAAGGGGATAACTCCATCTCGGCTTGCTCTTGCCTGGTTACTAGCGCAAGGTGACGATATCTTCCCTATTCCCGGGACAACCAGTCCCAAAAGTCTTGATGAGAACTTAGCGAGTATTTCAGTGGACATCGCCATGGAGGAAGAGAAACTTCTTCGAGACTTGGCAAGTTATGTAGTTGGGGAGCGCTTCCAAGCTAAGACAGGGTATTCGTACGGAGATACGCCTCTTTTGAAGAAGGATTAGGTGCTTGTTTAGAATAGATTGGTGAACTGTTCGAACGAGGCAGTAGACAGGGCTTATCAGAACAACACCCAATATTTTTAAATGCATTACTCGATAATTCAGTGTTCTACTAGAGAATTCCAGCTATAGTCACAGACCAGGTTAAGATTGAATATCATTCGAGAAATCGTTGCAGCACTCATTAAGTGCTGTAGTAGCTTGGAGAGTGGTTCCAAGTTCGAAATTCGAATGCTCTGTGTTGCTAAGTGATAAGGCTGTATCAACATTGATGTATTGGACGACTCCAGAGGAAGTTGAGTGAGCAAATCAGATCTTGGGATACTCTCGTTACGTGAGCTTTCGCACGGAGCCAAGTCCGAATACAAATCTCCGTTGCTAGTAATTCGATCGAAGCGTTCCTAAGATTGGGCGCTTTGGCTTTCGTTGATGTTATTGAGACTATACCAAGATAGGGTATAAATAATTCCGAGTATTTGTTCGATATGATAGCTTTGCGGTTCTGGCTCCATGTGAAAGAATAATTGGCACCGAGTGCTGCATTTGCATCAATTTCCAGCAGAGTACGCAACTGTTGAACGCTTTCGACGTAGTAAAAATCATTTTAAAGCGATTAACAAGTCAGTAAACAATATCTATGTCCTGCAGTCTTTGCTGCTCTAAATGATCATGCACAGATACTTGATGTCTGTTGATATGAGCCAGGAGGAACTTCACAGAAGCAATCCATGCTTTGGGATCCAGCCCTCGGTAGGCACTTGCATGATGAACGTTTCTGAAAAATCAAAATTGATTAAGAAGATGGCGACTAGCCAAAAGGGCAGCTAGCTTGTTGTAGGTATAAACAGCGAGGCCATGGAAGTCATCAATCTCTGGTGCCCTTTGGAGCTAATACCCCCGTAACAAAATCGGCTGGTGAAGAAGAAGAGACAGGTAATAGTGGTGCATCTGGACAGTTAATGTTGCTGAGTTTTTCAATATGTCCTTTTGTGTCGCGGAACTGCTCAAATTTGGGATGATCCAAGGTTCGCTTGACAGAATATTGGCTGATTGTTTCAAGTCAGAGTCAATAGCTCTAGTAAGTTCGCACACTAAACGCAAATCCTTGTCTGATGATTGCAGGAGCATATTTCTCTCAATTATGCGTCCGAGAAGAGAAATATGGACCCGTGAAAGCCTCTCGACAGCACTTTTGCCTTCCCGTGAACGTTCATATGCAAAACTAGTATTGAACTGTTGCAAGGCAAGCCAGCATTCGCAGACAGGAACCGATCGGAATAATCGAGTAGGTACCATATCTTTTCTGCGGAAGGATCGTTACCTGCTTTTATAGTACGCAAACCCATAATTTCGGCAATACCTATAGTTCGACGAAGAGTGAGTCATGCGGCTTGATGATTCCGAACGCTAGCGTGATATCCAGACTCAAGCATCAAGGTTTCCAACCCGTCAAAGTTCTCCATTAATTTGTCATGAGAAGTAACATATTTCATGGCAATCTCGACAAATCGTTTTAAAGCATCTTGCACCGGCTCCATCATATTGTTTCTTGTTTCGTAGGATTTGATAGAATATAGCTGCTGCATACGGAGTGCGAGGTTGACAATCTTTGTGCAAAGACTGCAGGGTGAAATGGCGTTTGGAGGTAGTTTGCTTGGGTGAATATCATCTTTGTAACAGCATTCTCAGGCATTATTGAATGCAGATAGTGACTCAAGGAAACGGAGGCATCCAAACTTTGCTGATTAGGGGAAAGAGAAAGAATAAAGGAGGGTGCCGAGAAATTGAAGGTGGAGAAGGTATCGTATGCAGAAGTCCCGCGTGTCAGTATCAACTCGTTCGACAGGAATGCCGTGCGATTGCCAGTATTGCAGCTTTGACTTCGGACACTGCTATTGAGAGAATATTTCATGTTTCGTTTACTCCTCATGATCTGGTTGACCATGACCTCGACGTTGTTGATGCGCTGCTCGATGTCTCCACTCCTAGTATCCTCAACTTCAATGTACTCTTGACTCGTGCAATTCAAATATCGCTGCCGGCATGACTCGCAAACTAAATTACTAGGAATCAAAAAGTCACAGCGGATCTTGCGATTTTTGCATTCCCAACAGCTGAACGTTCCCTTGCGTAATTTTGGCGTTTGAGAATCGCTCCGTTACTGGAAAGTTGAGATCCTGACATTTTTTACTTTTATATCAGACCACATGAACTTCGGCTCACCAGATCCTATAAAAATTGACCTCTTGTTCACCCGGGCAATTTTTGGAGATCCAATACGCCAGACAGAAAAGTGGTGAAGATGGAAAGGACAAAAAGTATGACTGGGGAATATGTTTAGGACAAATTTCGCACTTTACTGTCTTTGGAATTTCCAGTTGAAAGTTTCATCGTGGTAATTTGCAAACTAGAATAAATCACAGATTTAAATTGAACGCACCTCACTGTACCTATGTATCTCTCCCCAATTCAAATGCATCCTACAAGCCTTCTAAACTTAGTTATGAATGAAACGCTGGATCAGTGCTGGCGAAGGCACAGCGTCTTAAATGAATCCAATATCTTAGCTGTTATTATGTATTATGACATCCGAGAAGCAAACATTTCATCGAACTATTCGGTATGTCTCTTGGTCATGTGCCTGAGTTATACCGCTATAACGCGAAGGATAGAAAATAGCATAACCCGGAAGTCAGGTATTCGAAAAGCCTTGAATATGCTGCTCGACGTGAACGAGAATCCTGATATCCACTAATGATTCGTCGAACTTGATTCACGATAGCAACCATTTGGACACCTATCAAATAGTAAAGTTGTCATTCTAGCCAATACACAAAGAGTATGAGGTTGAGAGATTACCTCCAATCTGGTCCGTATTAGGGCCATATTGGCCGATCCAGTCCCAGCAGCCCAATGAATTGTTCCGTTGTGTGCCGTCCCAAGTTCTACGTATGGCATTGTCAACAACCGCTTGAGGAAAGAGAACAATAATGTCGTTCTTATCTAGCAGGCGGGATTACTTAGTAGAGTCGAGATTGGACAACTGGGGCAGGTCAGCTCTTACCAGCCCACATATTATACCCCGTATTGTTGATATATTTGTCACCAATGAAACCATATGCCTGGGTACATCCATGAAGGGCAACATGCAGTTTGCAGATAGTCGAGGAGTCCTCACACGAAGCGGGCATATAGAGATAGGCCGTAGTGTCCATCCCGGGAGCACCGTAAGAACCGGATTGGGCAAATGGGATAACTCTTCCAGACAAGGATCCCGTGTTGCGCGGATTTAGGTCATCATACAACCACTGCAGGACCGCACCAGCGCCATCATAGTTGCAGTTGCTAAGATATGGGGGCTCAGACGTATCGCATGGGTTGTCACCCAAGCCACCGAAATCTGCAGGAAATGTATGGGCCGCATCAGTTGTAGTGACATAGGTAAGTTCCTTGGAATTAGTGAATTGGTCCAGCTGTGCTTTCAATTTCCTCATTACATTTGGACCAATAACTTCATCTGCAGATCCAGTTTGCATGTAAATCCTACGACTCCTCAGGTTGGAGACATGTGCAATTTCAACACCACTCCATGATTTCATGTTGGCTGTTGGAATATCAATGGATGGAGTGTTGTCAAACATGCAGTTGTTGAAAGCCTATCAGAATACGTAGTCAGCTGTTGCCATTTCTGTGATATCGTATTGACTTATTACGTTCTGGTTACGCGCACAATCGTAAGGACCACCAGCAAATACGCCGAAACCAACATTGAAGACATCGGAATAAGCAACACCAAGTTGTACGGTCATGAAGCCACCGCTTGAAAAGCCGGATATTGAAACCGAGCTAGGATCAACATTGTAGGCACCTAGGACACCTTGTGCTAAAGCCGAAGTCATTGCCACGGCAAAGCAGCTGAATAGATAAAGAAGACCGACCATGTTGTGTCGCGTCGCTCATAAAATCCGTTCACGTTGTGGTAGTTGAAGAAGGTAAAAGAGGAGGCTCGACGCGGAGTGGCTTCTGCCTTGCATTAGCGATGGTGATCCTTTCATGGAGCTCCTGAGCCAATGGTAGAGCGGCCTATGTTACACCTACGTTTGTTTATAGATACGTTTCTTGCCGTGACTCTATAAAACTGGTGGAATGGAGGTGAATTTCTTGTCTTCCCATGAGAAACTGTTTGAAATACAAATTCATACTGGTCCTTGGATTATAACTGTATAGGCATGGATGAGAGGTATTCCGTTGAAGGGGAGGGGCCCTCTGGAAGGAATATATGTAATGTTGGTTTAATTATGTCTTGATAACACGAAGTAGGGCTGTTACGAATATTCGTATTTGCGAATATTCGCTGCGAATAATTATTCGCAAAGGTCATGTCTGCGAATATTCGCAATTCGCAAATTATTTTTTGGCTCTTCCTTAGAAAGTCTACTACAGAGTAACGCAAGAGTAAGTTATATCTGTTCTGAGTTAATCAATAATCATCTACTGCTTAACGATATACATCATCTAACAGCATTAGCATCCTCATAGTTTCTCCCTTCATAGAGTATCTCTGTACGCCAAGTATATCTCTTCTTGAGTTAAATAACCTCTCAACTGATACTTCAGAGGCTGGGATTGCTAAGTAATCTCTAGCAGCAGCAGCCATCCGAGGATAATCCTTCCTATGGACTCTCCACCATTCGAATAGCCAATTCGGATCTTCCATGTCAATGGCATCAACCCAGATATTGTCGAAATACCTATCAATATCAGAAGATTGAGGCTTGTCCTGAGGCTGTAGCCTTCGCAACATCCGGCTGCCCACTTTCTGCTTCTTATAGCTGTGATCTGGGGGCTCCACTATAGTACGCTAATCTATAGTATCAGGATAATTTTCATGAAGGTTGCCATGGAGGACTTGGAGAATCTTCCTGCCAGTTTCCTCGTTGTCCAATTCATATAGGAGAAGATCTCCCTTTACACGAGGATCTAGGATCAAGGCAGTATAATACGTGTTAGAGATATCCATTAAAGTATAGTATTTCATATACTTCTTAATACTCTCTCTGACAGCGCTTGCGACATCCTCCTCAATATCTGCAAAATCTTCTTTGCGCTCAGCAGCATCATGCAATAAATCATAGAGCTCATAGTATATTGGAACTATGAGACTAATCTGTGGTTTTCTTTCTAAGATAAACAAGGTAAACTCATTGAACTTGGAGAGCACAGTGTGAATTTGGGAGAGTCGAGTCCAATCTTTCTGTGAGAAGGGAGGGAAATCTATCTCATAGTGAATGAATTTCTCAAGCTGTGTCCTTGACTTTAAAGTATTAGTTCCATATTATGCGAGTGTGTGAAGCTAGTAGCTTACCTTCAAAGCGTCACTTAGCATTCTAAAAGTAGAATTCCATCGCGTATCAACATCATACTTAATAAATTTATTAGATAAATTCATGCGCTTATAACTACTATTCCATATCTGCCTTCGTTGAGAACTTCTGTGGATCCAGAGAGCTAGGATACAAAGTTTTGCAAGTGGCTCAAGTGTATAGTATGAATAATATCTTCCTTCATCAAGGGTATTATAGAAAGAAGTAGTTTCTTCTATATTGCCAGACTTGAGAGCAGAAAGGATGTCTTTTACAATAAGGTTGATAATGTGTGCTAAACACCGTACATAACTTCCTAGACCACAAAATAAAGGACTAGCCCCTAACTTCTGCAAGTTTTAGAATAATTGTAAAACTATCCGCTCATTATTACTAGTGTTGTCACTAGTAATTGAAAGCAATTTATGCTTAAGATTTAGTTTAACAAGTAAAGCTTCAACAGCTGCAGCCAAGTTCTCACCACTATATGGTCTATGGAGCTCGGTAAACTCCAGGACTCTCTCTTAATATTTAAATTCTTCTGTGAGCTAATGGCCAATAATACTAAGGATTGGAAGGTGATTCTTGCTGGTCCAGACATCAAGGGATAGAGTAATTGTTTTTGCACGTCACTGCAAGCTCTTCTTTTAGTTTGACACATTGTAAGTCAAAGTCCTCCAAAAGACGCTGTCGAAGTGTGTGACGAGAGGTAAATGGAAGTAAAACTCCTGGTATATCCTTGAACATTTGTTGGAAGGCTAGTAATTCAATGACTGTAAAGGGCTGCTTGCTACTAACTACCTAGCAACAAAGATTCCTTTTAAGAAGTTCTTGAACTGTGAGTATGCCTCTACTACCCCAAAGTCCAAGGATAGTAGACTTTGGTATAACAATAACTGGCTGAGAGGTATTAGGTGGTAGAATTCCATGCTTCTCCTTCAAATGAAGTCTTATATTGGTGGTAGAGGTCTGTCTTTTTGAGTCTGTTGTAAACCAGTTATATTGCTTCCCAGTATCTTTGCTGATAATACTACAGTATATTTCTTGGTCTATGAGCCGCCTTTTTTTGTTCCTATTCTCAATCCATGCATTAGGGAACTCTTTTGTATAAAAATAGCCCCATAACCATTCATTTTTTGTGGATTCACATGGGAGATTTGGGAACTTGCGGTATTAGTTGGAAGCTGAGATACTGAGTCTGTAGGCAAAACTTCATCATCTAAAGATTTGATAGAAGAATCGAGGCGAGTACTGACTGCTGATTGAGTCGGATCAGGGTTTTGAGATGGAAATGATGAGCCTGTTCCTGGACCTTGGGCAGTTGGACTCCTAGATAGCCTAGATGTCAAGTCTTCAGGAGGTTCATCGCTCTGATAGCCATCGTTTAGAGCGAGGTAGTTCAGACGATTTCCACGAGTCTGCATCACCAGCGGAAAAGATCAAGATCTGTAGGCAAATATATGGAAGGGAAAATAGTAGAGGTATTTTCAGCGAGAAGTCTGTAAGATGCCAGGGGCCTGTCAATATGAAGCAGGATTAATCATATTGGTACTATGTAGCGCGAATACCAAGCATAAGAAGAGAAGGGAAGAGTAAGAGACGAAGCTATCTTTAGCTGTTTGATCTCCTTTGTGTGTCACATAATTGCTGCACGTGATATATTGCGAATAATTATTCGTATTCGCAGTTTATTTGGCGAATAATTATTCGCGCAATGAAGACTTGCGAATAAAAAGAGCGAATATTATTCGCAATGTTTGTGAATTGCGAATGCGAATAACGAATATTGCTGATTACTGCGAATATTCGTATTCGCAACAGCCCTAACACGAAGCACAGGATTACGCAGTAAGGCTATTCCAAAAGAGTCCATGAGCCTGATAATATTAATGTTATTCTAATATTATGACCGGTTCCTAAAGGGAATATCCCCAGGGTAGGTGAAACGGAATAACTAATATTCCGGTGCTGATACTAACACCTGGGGATTCCCATACACACATGTAACGAGCTTTAAAAAAGTGGGATGCCCTCACAGCAAGAATTCCATTCTTGTGACTATAATGCAAAGCTCGAAATTTGAATCTCGTGTAATACGATAGGCGTATCAACGTACGGTCGTCGAGCGGACTATAACGTCTTCTGCCATTTCTGAACTCGTTCTTTCATACCTTGCTCCACTGGTCCAGCAGAAGCGACGTTCTCGGGATAGTCCTTTGATAATTCATTTCGTCGCAGTCGAATCCTTTCTCTATTTGCTCCAAATTTGGGGTCGCTCCCCGTCTTTCCACTCCGTCCATCACTTCACTTAATACCGGCTTGCCAAATAATTCGTAGATCGGGATGACTCCAGACCACACGTCCATCTTCTGCCAATTTGGAGACTACGCCCAAACAACTGAGGGATCAAAATCGCCGACGTCATGTGCCCGAATTTTGGAGCTTCCAGTTCGTATCTTCACCTCTATGACTTGTACGCTTTTCATTTCTTTTGCAACTCGATTAGTTGACTCCCATCTGCCCGGCTACATGTGGTTTGTCAAAAGACACATTGCCCAACGCTTTTTCTGTATTTCCGTATTGGGAACAAGACTTGCAGCACCGTGTAGTACAGCCGACCGATAATTAAGCGAGTGTCTATTCGGTGTTAGGAAAAGAACAATACTATCCACTGGTTATGAGAAGAAGTATTCTTAGTTAGCGGAGATATGAAAATTTCCATTGTAAATATGCCTTGATTGGCCCGTTCATGATCAGTTTCTTGCTTTCATTTTCAACCTGTTCGTCCGTCAAACCATTGTAGTCGGTGTTCAAATCATATCTTCCCAGTACGCATGTCATAGGCAGATCGACTGGAGTGTCTTCGCCCTCTTCGTCCGTGATGTTGAATGCGACACGAGAAACTAGAGCCGAATCTGTGATTGAGTGTACTGTGCTATAGTCATAGTATCCTGCGATACACTATTAGAATTTAAGTTGCTTTGATGTAGGTTGTGGAATGGATAATCACCAAGGCGTCCATACCTCGCTATTTGTGGATTCTAATAGTATTGATTCTTTCTTGTGCATACCCTTCACTACTTGGGTTCTACTCGAATGGACATGACATAAGGATATACTAGGAGTTTTACTTCTATTTATCTCTCGTCACACACTTTGATAGTGTCTTTTAGAAGACTTTAATTTACAACATGTTAAACTAAAAGAAGAGATTACGGCAATATATAAAATAATTGCCCTGTCCCTTAATGTATGGATTAGCAAGATTCACTTTTCAATCCTTAGTATTATTAGCCATTAGCTCACAGAAGAATTTAAATATTGCGAGAAAATCCAACAGTTCACAGAGCTCCACAGACCATATAGTGGGTGAGAACTTAGCTACAGCTATTGAAGCTTTAATTATTAAACTAAACCTTAAGCACAAATTGCTTTCAATCACTACGATAATGCTAGAAATATAGAAGAAGCTACTTCTTTCTGTAATGAAGAAAAACATCACTTATACTATATACTTGAGCTACTTGCAAAACTTCGTATTCTAGCTCTCTAAATCCATAGAAGACTTCAATGCAGGTAGATATGGAATAGTAGTTGCAAGCGTATAAATCTATCTGATAAATTCATTACATATGACATTGATATATGATAGAATTTTCAATAGCCCTAGTGAACGTAGTAAACTAGTAGAGCGTAAGCTCTGCTAATGAACAATATAGCCTTCTTCCCATTGCTTCCATATTCCACCTCTGAGGGTATTACAGTACTCTTCTTGAGGTCCCATTCCGTACGTCTATGGCATGTTACAAGTGAAGATGATTAGTTGTGTATGAGATAGTATGTTCGTATGCTATATCCCAAAGAAGCTTTCTTCTATGACATGTATCATATCGGTACATTCTTTTCTCAGTTCTTATCATCCGCTGAACTCCACAGGAACAGTGGCCGCTCTTTCAATGTCTTCACGTCCGTAATGCCACCACTCCACATTGGGCCTTGCTCAGCAGACATATTAACTAGCTTCTGCGCCAGTGGAAGATGCTTTTCTTCATAAGCCTGTGAAGCCTGGACCAGGGCGTCTGCAATCTGTTCATTTGGAGCATCTTCAGGAAGCGAACCAGACCGAATAAGAGGATTCCATTCCTCATGCAAGAACGTTGTGCAGCCGATGAAGCCACACGACATAGATCCTGCCATATGCGGAGTCATTGCATTTGCTGCATCGCCAAACAGAGTCATACAAAGCTCTGGGTTGACCAGTGTTTCAAGCTTCTGTATGTGAGTGATGTTAAGCCTCTGGCAGCCACCGTGGGTGTCACTGTGTACGAGCTTAGCTTGTCAGTGACATTTCTCTGGTTATATGATGTCTTACTATTAGAGATCAACTTCTTCTGCTTACCTTAAGCAAAGTATCTATTTTGGAACCCCGGCCAGGATAGTAGCTGAGTAGCTGTTCCAGAGTCACCTTTTCATCGCGCCTGAAACGCTTTTCCTCAGGCTCCACGCAGAATGCTGCTATGTTCACAAATTTGCCGTGCTCGATTGGGAAAATAAGCACATGCCATCCTTTGACCCCTATGAAACAGTAGGTCTCTTTTGAAAACGCTTCTCCAACCAGTTCTGTCACTCTGCCGGCGTCCACCTTGCCCCGGTAGGCCAGCATGCCGGTGTAACTAGGTGGCCGATAGACCTCACCTTGCACAAGTTTGCGGCAGAATGAATTCACGCCGTCAGCTGCCCATACCGCGTTCGCTTTATCCGTAGAGCCATCCTCGAAAACCAGTTCTAATTGCTGTGGGCCAGTCTTGCGTACGTCAACTAGACGTTTACCGTACTGGATCTCATCTTTACTCATACCTCCTGGTAGACTATCATCCAGAAGATGCATAAGCTCCTCCCGGCCCAATCTACCAAACACTTTGCCTTCAGGCATGTCCACATTAGCGATCAATCGGTCTTCCTCGCCGCTGTGCCACCATCGCATCCAGATAATATCCTTAAAGGACTCTTCGTAGAACCGCTGACCAAACTCGGGGTTAAGCACTTTGGCTGCACGAAAAGTCTGCGGCCCAATTCCGTATCCAAATGATGGACGTAATGGCAGCGTATCTGCCTCGTACTGGGTGAGTTCGATGCGCGGATGTGGCTCTGCAGAGCACGCAAGTAATTTTCCAATTGGGCCTGAGCCGATGATGGCAATGCGAAATTTGTCAGATGCCATATTTTATATGTAGAATGAAGTTGTGTACTGTCTGTCGTAACAGGATGTTTACAACAGCACCTGTTTGGAATTCAGAGCAGCTCTGCGTATTCTATAGTTTTCCGATCATCCAGTACCCAGGTAACTGATTATAATACACATTTTAAGTCTACCCTTGTTCGGGTTGTATACATATCACAGCGCTACATACGTGTAGTACATGTCAATGTTTCCACATTTAACGGTTCGTGTAAGCACACTTAAGAAACTACATGGTAATGGTAGTTCAAATAGCATTATCCAATATTTTTGATGTACAAAATAACATATACGTATAAGGCTTCGTGTGGAAGCGATCCTGCCTAATTGACACCAGTTACTTCACAGCTTCCCTAGTCATAGCTAGATTGATACCGAAAATATCACATTGCTAACTACCGAGAATATTGTATCGAGACCGCATCCAGGAAGGTCTCTAGACCACATATTCCGTAATTAAGGAATGCATCAAAAATTTTTCATTCCGCTCCTCACGTCCCTCAGAGCGCCATTGTTCTATCGTTATTTTCGGATTCTTCATTCAATCACATGCGAAAGGGGTTTGATCAGAAACAGCAAGACATTGGCTGCAATGTAGCTTTTACAAGAATTGCATCTAATTTGCAGCGGTCCAGACACACATTCTGGACTTACCATAACGTACGTACAATGCACTAAATATTTCGTAGTCCACAAATCCCTGTTTCTCCACAAGTGGAGCACATCCTCTCACTCGTAAGTTCTGTCCACCTCTCCGTAACTGTTGTGTTATGTCGTTCGTTGCATCGCTTAGTGTAATCCACCATTTGATCTCGAACAGTCAAATGCGATCGTTCTCCGTCCAGAAGAAGACAGTCAACCGCGTCCAGAGTAGAGTTCCCTGTGTATAAGGTTACCGGAGACTCGCCGACCGCGGGGTTGTGGACATTGATCGAGCGATCCCGGTGGAGTTGGATGCTCCGTAGAAAAGACACATGAATTGGGACAGCACTACGGAGTAAATTCGCTAATTACGCACTGTGCCGCACTAATCCTTAGTTATACTAGCCTAATACAAGCTGACTAGGGTCTAGCTGCGAGTAAGAGACTCTGAGGTTGTTGGCCCCGCCCTTAAAAGTAAGCGAGCTTCGTAGGATGATACGTACTACATCCGGGAAGACAGAGAGACGATGTACTCCGTAAGTTATCCTGAAATTTACCATCTCCGTACGTGGTTGGCTGGCGACTATTGGACAGCCGTTGGTAACCGACTTCTAAGTACTCGCTAATTGGGATATCAGGAGACCTAACCCTAGAGGCTTTGAAAATTCTCCAACACAACCATTTGCAATACAAAGACATTCGTATCTCCTGCTTCAGTAATTAAAGAAGATAAGACCACGGAAAATCCAGCCTGCCCAGCTCTAATCCCAAACCAAAGAAAACCACATGGCTACTGAAACCTCATCCCCCATACTCATCGTCGGTGCTGGGATCAGCGGCCTATCGTTGGCCCAGTACCTACGAAAGTCTGGTATCCCTTTTCGGATCTTCGATCGAGATGCCTCTATTGTGTCTCGCACAGGTGGCTGGGGTCTCACATTTCACTGGGGTCTACCAGCGCTCAAGGAACTATTGCCTGACGAACTGTATGAGCGGCTCAGAGAGTGCAATGTGAATCCCAACGCGCAGGATGCAGGAAAATATCGGTTCCTGGATCTCAAAACTGGCGAATCCCTGCATGCTGCTACATTTCCGAAAACCGGTCGCTTACGTGTTATTCGGTCCAAGCTCCGGACTCTGTTGGCTACTGGTATTGATATTGAGGTAAGTCAGCAAATATTACCTCAAAATCACTTCTGTAATCTTCGGATACATATTAAACTATTATTTCTGAGCCAGTGGTCAAAAAAATGCGTGGATATTTCCGATAACCAAGACGGTGTTAGTATCTCTTTTGAAGACGGCACGACTGCAAATGGCTGGCTGTTAGTGGCGAGCGATGGCGCCAACTCTCGTATTCGCCAATGTCTACATCCGTCGGCTTTTGAAAACAATCCTGTGCCAGTACGTCTTCTTGGTGTAACGGTTTCCTATACACCTGAGGAAGTGGCCTCCGCTCTGGCCATCGACCCATATTTCTTTCAGGGCACGCATTCAGATTCCAATATCTACCTCTTCTTTAGCTGTAAGTTTGTTGTTACTACACCCCAGGGTAATTGGACTTTTTTACTAATCGACCAATCGCAGTTTTGAACTCTCCATACAACACAGGGAATGATACCGGCAATTATATTTGCCAGGTCATTATTTCATGGGCCGAGAGTAAAAGCATCACTACCCCGGAAAGCAATCAGGAGCGTATTGCCTTAATAAAGAGGATTACATCCGACTGGGAGCCGCATCTACGAAGCCTTATAGAAATCATCCCAGACGATGCAGAAGCAACAACAATCCATCTTGCCGATTGGTTTCCAACCACGAACCGCGAGCATGAACGTGTCATCCTCATGGGCGATGCGGCTCATACTATGACCATGTGTGAGTTGATATGAGAAATCACCTTTGTCAATGACTTCTCTTTAACTAAAATGTTCTTATATAGTTCGTGGCGAAGGTGGAAATAACGCCACTACTGATGCATATGATTTCGTCAAGAGGATCGGTCCCTTGATAGAAGAGAAAAATCAGCATCGGGAAGTACCATGGGAAAAGTTCAAGCAGGCTCTAGATGAATACGATCGAGATGTGTTGACGCGAGGCCGACTCTGTGTGATAAATGCTCGACAAGCCTGCCTCGATGCCCATGACTTCTCGTTAGTGACCGAGGACAGTCCGTTGGTTTCACGCAGAGGTAAATAGAGATTTGATGTTAGAGTGACCCCGAGACCCATTAGGTCCATAGAAAACAGCGATAATTTGGCTCTGCAGTACTGAATCGCTGTTGAATCCTAGATCTCATTATAAATTAGAATACTACTGAATCGTGGTCATGCAATACAACTCTGGTGCATCCTGTAATTGGCTACTTAACGCCCCAAGCTCCATTGTTACACAATTTACTATGTAGTAGTACAATCCGATTGCGAAAAATTCACTGAAAGGGGTATGGTTGGTGGAAATAAGTAGATGCAAGTCGCTCATTGGATTGAAATGTAGATTTTAAGCACGCTTTTCAATTCCTAGTATGTACTTTTAATACTTCCAAGGTTGGTATCTAACCAATAATGGACGCACCATAGATATGCGCGACATCCTCTATGTCAATGTCGAATACGTTAGAGTCTGCAACATATTTCTAATCCCTGCGGCTTTTTCTTCTGTTTTCCGATCCTTGTAAAAACACGTGGAAAACCGGTCTCTGAGTAGTGAGAATGACTTACATACATACCATTTAGGGAGTACCTACTCTAGAAAGACCGAGGACAGGTGGTGGTCTGACTGGGAGATAATTGGGCATGGTACGGAGTATATTTTGGGAGGAGGCCAGACGTCGTCCTCTTCCCAACCTGACCCGGAAGTCGGTTCCTACACGGCTTGTTATCTTTTGAGTATTGACTTTATGGCCTAAAAGACATGCTGAATGTACTAATAACTATTGGAACCTCGTACCATGTCTTTGTGCTTTGAATCATGACCCAAATTAGGGTTTAATTGACATCGGGATTCGGTATATTATCCTGAACGTGAATGATGCATTCAAGCTTAGATACGTAGCCAGTGGTATAAAGTTTCTACGAAAGATTTTTTGGTCTGTCCCAACCGTTGGTATATTTACTAGTAATAACACTAAACTCCTAGCCCTAATGTACAAAAATAATCCGGATATCCTACTCAACGGTTAGCAAATCAATTCGGCCACAAACACATAGAAGCACATACCGACGACTAAAGGAAGCATTCATTTGGCTAATAACTCTAATTTCTGTAATCTTTTATCGTTTTATCCTCGTCCACGACAACCTTATATTCTGTTGTCCGTATAATCTCCCGCGGACCGGGTTCATCGCCAGCGCCTAAGATAAGCTCTTCACTTGGAGTACGTATCACGGCTCGTTTGGATATTGTGGAGGTAGGATCGTGGTTCACGCTGGACTTCACACTATTCTTCCCGTAGCTTTTCATTATGTAGTTCTCGGTGGTATGGATAGTATGTGATCGACTGCCGTATCCGATACGATATCCGAAGTCGGACACCCAGCGTCTGAAGAGGGGGGCCAGGTATGGTACTGAGGTAATGATATTCTGGCAAATCAAAAGATGTTAGTTCATCAATGGATGTAGGAGAATTTAGGGTAACGGGCTCTCTTACACCAACATTGAATTCAATCGTTCCCCAAAGCACGAGCATTGTTGAATTTCCATCTCCATACGCAATGACTCTAATCTGTGTCAATCTCAGAATAGAACAGATTGTTGTGAAAAGTCCAAGCGAGAAAAGAGCAATGATACCCGCTCTCTGCGCTGGCCGAACTTTAAGATCCAGAAGCATCGGAATGGGAACAAGGATGGTTGTGATATCGCAGCCAATCGAAAACCCAGCCATACCATAATTCGTAGGTCCGAAGGGCAGACAGTGTCCTGCTTCTGTTGGCGTCCATGATTTACTGACCTAGTTACATGCCTGTATGAGTATAGGAAGACTGTATACGGATACGGGAATGACGAGTCGAACCTACCGGATGGCAGTTGAGAATGAGAACCAAGGTCCAGGCGAGATGGCCAAGTGTTGATATGGCGGCAATGGCAATGATAATACTTCTGTAAAATTTTTTCGATGTACCGGATAGCAACCGCAAATAACTCACACAAAGTGCTAGCTTGAAAAGTCCGATGCCGAATTGGTAAAATGGACGACCAGCGAAGTTCACCTATATCAGCCCATTAATATCTCCAGTTCTGTCATGTGTGCTTACGCACATTTATTCGTACCTTTGTGTAAGTGCTCAGATTTTGCCGGGGACGAACGCTGAGAGGTAAACCTAGGCCGTATCTCGTCTCTGTGCCGATTGTTAGTACAGCCAGCAGGTTCTCTGGGGTTAATGATCTACTTCACGTACGGACAATGCAAAGTGTGCTGTATACTATACTGAATAACTAAAAGATAGTCAGCGTACAGTACTGAAGAATTTGATCCAGTGGTAACTTACCATTGCAACGGCCATAATATAATCATCAGGGCCTGTTCGGTGCTGCTGCCATCGTACAGCGATACGAGTCGAGACCGTCAATGCCATCAGTAATGTTAGGATAATGCATACAGCAATGATGGCTGGATACTTCGACATGGACTCAACCTCCGGGGAGGCATTGTATACCCAGCCCATCTTGATGGTCGATCAAGGGACTCACAGACCACGAAATCGAGATCAGATTGCTTCTAGAAAATGAGGTGAAGGAGGAATGGAGCTGGGATACGTATTATACTGTATGTCTATCCTTTCCCTGTTTGTGCTGATCGGATCTTGTCCTAATTATCAGGATGCTGTGCATGGTACATACGTTCGCCCCTAATCCGCATCCACTTTCAACAAAGTACAACCGAAGCAAGTCAGCAGTCAACGAATCAGAAACATAAATACTATGTATGATGAAATTTTGTTACAAAAATTTCCAAGTACAAAAACAGCCCCCTTCAACCGCTCCACTCGGTTTGCAGAACCAGAATTTGTGTTAGAAATCAGCAGAGAAGCTAATCTGGAACCCATGCAAGTCAAGGCACGCAGTACGTTTTCCACCCCGAACCTCATGCTAATTAGTTCACATCAGTATAATAACATCTTTTGGCTCATCTCAACAACTCTTGGAATCAATGGACACCAGCTTCTTTCCTGAGTTCTTGACAAATCCTCTTCGTTGGACGCCGAGCCTTGTAGCAATATGTAGCCCAATACACAGGAACAGTAGCCGGTCGCCGAGATAGAATCCAAAAGAATGGGACGAAGTATCGTATGTTACCAACCTACTTGTCCATCGAGGTCATTGTGAATACGCCCGTCTTTCATATCAGCCAGTCACAACAGCCCGAAGACCACTTCGACAAATCGCAAGGTTCTATTGAATGATCTGTAACTTAGCCCAGAGCAACCACTACAGAGACCCGCTTAAGTACAAATCACGTCTTTCCCTTTTTGTCAATACGTAGCTTCTTGCTACTTTCGGCTAAACTGCATTCGGGGTTTGAATGAAGGGATGCTCGATTTACGTAGTATTTTCCAGCCTTCCGAGACCTTTCGTTTCCTTTTCTCTTTTGGGGTACTATTTCTTTTTCCAGAACTCAAACTAATTGTACCCTAAGCCACACTATGGAGTACAACAGCAGGATTTGTTTTCCTTCTCAATTCCTGCTATGTCACTGCACCAAATTTTGCAAAAGATCAATTTGTAAATTGCACGTGTAAGGGTAAAGACATGTTTTGATGAGCATATAGCAACTATTGACCATATTCTTAACCAACAACTGCCTTAACTACATCTCGTACAGACTTTGCACTTTGTTAGCGTTTTCAGGGTCCTACTGGACGAGCCTTATAGGGGTCCTGGCCCCCATTTGGCTCATACATATTTTAGTTTGAACCATTAACTGTATTGGGCCTCGGCGATCAAGCCACGACGTGTCCCGTGCTTTTCTACTACGTACTCCGGAACTCCCCCGAAGTTTACGCGACAAGCTCAAAGGGAAATGAATTCAATATCCAATGACAGACGATGCCATAACTAACGTTGGCGCTAGTAATGGATAACTATCACGTACGGTGGGGAGGTGATGGAAATACACTAATACGCGCTAGAGGGCACTAGAAATGTATATCATAATTAATTACAACTGATTACGGTTTGGAGCTCTCTAATTTTCTATCTAGCTGATAGCTAAGATCTGATTTGGTTTAGCTTTGTATAAAAACATGTCAAATACCCTCAGATTACACGCTAATTGCTAGCGTATTCCCATCACTTTTGACTCCCTGTAGAGAGTAAATTCAGTGTGACCCACATTAATAATTAAGAGTCTGTAAATTACTGACCATGACTGGTAGTTTTTTGATGGTTCCACTTCTGAATGCCATTGTGCTCCGTACGGAATACTCCGTATGGACTATGGAGTAATCAAGGGCCCCAGTCCGTGATCATAGAAGTCTCTCAATGCTTTCAAGTCTTAAGTCTTTGTGCATAGACTCTAAATGACGAATCAAAGGTATTTTGTACACGGTCCACAACCTCGCCGAGGCTTACTCACTTTGCTGATCATTCCAAGACTTGGTTTCCATTGGAAGCTCACAAAATGGAGAGCTGATCTCATGCGTAGCATAGAGCTTGTTTCTCACATTGGCAATATTTACGACGTAGTATTTAGTGGGACTCAGATTGTGGGCTGGCTTCACTCATACTTTCGGATTTCGGCTTTGCTGAGTACATATTCGACCTTTTGCTACCATTTAGCATGAACAGATTCTCACCTCTTGATTGGAATGAATCAAGTAGATACCCCTGTAGCACCTCGTATCTTAGTGCTCCGGCCGTTTCACAGCGGATTATTCCGCATGTTGGTTCTGTTAAATATCTAGAGTAATCGAATGGTCCAGACGTATGATCTGAACATGTAACTCATTGCCATTGGTTCATTCAAGCAAATAGTCCTGATTTCAATTGCCCACAGAATACAATTTAGCCATCGAGATCATCCAGACCACGCCGGTGGCTGTAACTTCGGTTTTACTAGCTCATCCTGCATGCATAGGGTTCCACAAAGTTGCATCCATACTATCCGCTGGTTGTTTTAGTAATTCTAGTACTGTAATTTGAAAAAAAAAAAAAAAAAAAAAAAGGACGTAGACCCTTGCTTCCTGCATGCGCGAAGACGGATATCACTTAAGAAGAGATGAAGAATACAGGGGATGCTAGCTGGTAGTTCCGTAATCGCGATTTGATATCGGAGTAATTTTTATCAACTAGTACACACTTTAGCCTTTTCTTTATAACATTAGTTAGATATGGTTGGCCATGTCTGTGATGCAGCGAGGTTTCTTCTCCTTTCTTTTCCTTCTAATAATACTTCTCGGCCAATGCCGTATAACCAACACGCAGTTTATTGTGTCGTATTCCTGCAACATTTTTCCTGATCGGCACAGGGTTCTGATCTTTTGTTTTTCCCCAAACTTCAGTTTTTTATTCGATATTCTTTACGGATTCCTCTTTTCTTTTTCTCATACCCTGGTTCAGCTCCTGCAACTGTAGATCTCGTACATCATCTGTATGTGATTACGCGCAGCTCCTGATTACATTATCCTGCCCGTAATTCTTTCATACATTATGATAGACACAGCCTCAAAGCAAGCCGAGGTAGCTGCCCAACAGCTTCCCTCCGGGAAGCGAGACGATGCATTGCGATATCTTGAAGAACACAATGGCATCAGCTCTGCAGAGGTTGATGCAGTAAATCTCAAGGCTCTGCGGACGAAGGTGGACTGGCACATTGTGCCATTGATGTTTTTGTGCTACTTCTTCCAGTTCATTGACAAAGTCATTATCAACGTGAGTATGCTCAAGTCCTAAAATAAGTTTGTGTTCTGACAAGAAGGCTAATTATGACATGAAGTATGCTGCTGTAATGGGAATTTCGGCTGAGTTAAAGCTCGTCGGTAACGATTTCACGAATGCTAGCACCTCATTCTTCATCGCCTACTTGATCGCAGAAGTCCCAAACAGTACGTCCTATTCGCATATCCAAGTGTGACATATCAGTAGACTGATGCAATAACAACAGCACTCCTCTTGCAAAAAATCCCCGCCGGAAAATGGCTCGGCTTCAATGTCATCGTTTGGGGCATAGCTGTCGCTGCTACTGCTGGAGTCAAGGGCTACACCACTCTAGTCGTAGCACGTGTATTTCTGGGCTTATTTGAAGCTACTATCGGTCCTTCCCTGATGATTATAAGTAGCCAGTACTATACGAAAAAGGAGCAAGCACCACGTTTTAGTTTCTGGTATCTTGGCCTTGGCGTTGCTCAAATCATTGGTGGTTTGATCTCTTTCGGCTTTCAGCACGTTCACCATGCCTCTATCAGCGGCTGGCGTATTATGTTCATTGTTCTCGGAATAGTCACTTCGATTGTCGGAGCAGCTGTGTTCTTCCTTATTCCGGATACTCCAATGAAGGCCCGCTTCTTGACCGAGGTCGAGAAGGTCGCCCTTCTGAGACATGTCAGCGAAAACAAGACCGGCGTTTGGAACAACAAGTTCAACTACGAAGAGATTATTGAAGCTATCTTCGATGTACAGGTATGGTTGTTGACGTTGATGGTCGTCCTGGTATGTATTCTGTCCTTATCCTCATTCTCGCTCTTCAATTTTTCCGTAGTTGCAAGCAGTGCACTGAATCTCAGCGAACTAACTTCTAAATCAAAGCAATCTGTCTCATCCGGCGTCGTCACAACATACTCTTCCACTCTCATCCGCAACATGGGTTTCAGCCCTAAAAATGCTGCTCTTTTGAACATGCCCAGTGGTTTCGTTAGCATCGTTTCCACGTTGGCTGTTGGTATTGGTATTCGCAGAGCGGATCATCGTTGGGCCTGGGTCGCCACGTGCAGTATTCCAGGAATCATCGGTGGTGGCTTGATGTCGTTTCTACCGAAAAGTAACAAGGCAGGTTGCCTAATTGGTATTTACCTCGTCAATGCCATTGTTGCTCCTCTTCCCGTTATCTATCATTGGACTGCAGCGAACTGTGCTGGATACACCAAGCGCGCTTTTTGCAGTGCTCTCGTTGCTGGTTCCTTTTCCATCGGTAACATCATTGGACCTCAAACATTCCAGGCGCGCGACGCGCCGGACTATCACCCTGCTAAGATTGCGGTTCTTGCCACCCAGGCTGCGGCTGGAGTTCTGGCTGTTGTACTGTTTGGCTATTATATCTGGGAAAATAAGCGTAGGGATGCGCGCAGCGCTTCCGAGCCAGTGGTTGACACGTCAAGTGAGGACTACAAGGCAGAGGCTTGGTCCGGAATGACAGACAAGCAAAATCGCAGTTTCCGCTACGTCTACTGACGCGGGAGTCTATATCTTCTACATGTTCAAGATGATGCTTGTTCAATGATTATCAGATATGACTACATATCAGGGTGGCCTTCCTCTTCCATACCTGGGTAGGTATTACTTTATTCGTGTTTCAAAATTTCAAACGTCCATAGGATTTCCATGGTAGATACATACAATCCATAGAAGCCAATATGTGTGAGACATAGCACATCACTACTCTTAATAATGCATGTTTAATATTCTAGGAAAGGTATATACGATCAGATACTTTCTGTATGACTTAGTCAAATGTCTTCGAAGATGCACAGGAGTGAAATCTCTGACTATGTATAACTGGTATTGCAACCTTTGATCCGTTGATAGACTTCGAGCAGAGGGTCTTCTATCACTTTCTCATAGCATTTTAAGTACTCACATCAATAAATCAATAAGATCTCCGTAATGAAAGATTATGCTCTTGTAGTTTTACCCTCCCTATCAATCAGCCATTGGCGTCAACAATTTAAGAATTATCCCCCTCTGGTACGGTTAAAAGCCTTGCCTTGGAAAGCACATGGCAGTCATGGAACTAATTATCCATGTATATACGCACATTTTACTTAAGCAGGGTAGGATGATTGTTCAGCACCTGCAGACCTAATAGACATATGGGTACATTCATGGATATGTAGCTATCAACTCAAGTAAAACCTAACGTATCAACTGATGGATAACGGTGTATATTTCTTGGACGGGCATGTGATCCATTCATTGTATCAGTTGTAAGGTACCCAGTTATGCAATGACTATTTCAAATGTTCAGGCAATGAAACTTTTCAACCGTTAGACATGCCGAGAATTGCATTGACAAGCTCTAATTATGACAGCAGGCGAATACTAGTAGTGATGGATGTAATGATAAGCCAGAATGCTCCCATCTGATGTAGATACAGTGCCTTTCCAGTAGTGTTGGCACCCCCCATATCCGAAACCACTATCCGAACTTCACCGCCTCCCTAATATAGTAATAAACTAAACAACGGAAACTGTTGGATGCGAGGATGCAGTCGAGATCTGGATAACTGACATCACGTGATTTCAATCACGTGATGAAGGCTACACCAGGAATCCCTTACGCGTCGGGGTCAAAGATAGAAAAGACAGACAACTTAAGACTACCCAATTGAACCCATATTCCATGTTAGGAAGCCTATCGTACTAGTACTAGTGCAGATGCACCCACACTGATCAGTCTTGGTTGCAGAACTAAGATAGATTGGCAAGGTATTAGACCCCTGCGCTGTAGCCACCTGTGGTTATAGGTAGTAAGGCCTGACTCCAGGATTTGTGTTGTCTCATCGCGAGGAACCGAATCCACGTGGAAGAGACGGACTTTGCAGCGTCACCTGTGACAAACTAAGTCTGTGCTAAAAGCCTCTCTCCTCTCAGAGTGAGACCCAGAGAGACTGTATTTGGGACAGTTCGTTAAAACGCCGACATTCCATAATACCGCCCTATCGCGAGACCACGCTGTTGACGCGTTCAAAAGTTAACAACACCAAACTAATAAGAAGAGACACCCTGTTGGTCAGTTCTTTGAAATCAACAAGCACCAATGTCTCATCCGAATCATCAAGACCAAGAAAATCCAGATGAGAATCAGTCACTCAACAGTTATCAGACTAGCCCCACTATGGAGCTGCCAGACGACAAATTCATAACAGAGATTGGATTTAATAATTAAGCTGGTAAAGATTAAGTCAACATGGCGAATTGGCTCTACGACGCCGTGCCCGGTGACGACGAGAAGAAGTTATCCACGTATACAATTCGGGTCATGTACGAGGCTGCAAGTGGCCTCCAGGTCGACTTTGAGATGTTCCAATGGTTCCATGACTTCTTTGAGGATTGGAAGATTGAGGACTTCAACCATCTAGATAAGACAATAAGAACCAAGTTGAAGGACTTCCTTTTATGGCGTGGCGTGTATGTTGACCACACGAATAGGAAGACCATCCTAATGGCGTTGATGGAATTATTAGAGATGGAAGACCCTCTTGAATGGCCTGAGAAGGCTCTACAAAAGAGGACTTTCCACCCTTGATCGAAGATAGCCTCACGACACCATGAACAGACAGCAACCACCTATATCAAGGAGTCAAGGATTGTCAATGATACCCACATGGTGCCATCTATCGAAGAAGAAGACGAGGGTATTTATAAAGAAACACCTTCTAAGGTGCCAAATCAGGTGATTCAAGACCATGTTCAATCGCCATTAAGATTGGTACAAGACATCTCAAGATTTACACCTGAAACAGGTGCAAATGCAATACTAGTCATGACACCAAGTCACAGCCAAGTCAAGATATCTGTAATACCTACCTCTTCAGTGCTACTCCAAGCAAGATCATTGGATCCGTACACCAAGGTGCCACCTAACGAATATGGACGTCAACCTGTTGATTCTCAGTTGGCTATGAAGTTCACCAAAGCATGGGATAAGACGAAGAATTATTCAGGAGAGCTTTACGATATCCTAGATGACAAAGTTTGAATCTTCTTACGACTATGCCAGTTGATAGAAATCCAGTTGAGTCAATGCTGGGCCGTCTTTCCCGAGATGCTTTCTGGCAGAGCAGAAACTTATTACATGCACCATGTCAATCCTGATGTATTATTTGCACAGATGTATTGGGCAATAAAGAGCTACTTTGACACAGAGTCAAATCACGCTCTCTACTACCAGGATTGGACGTCGATCACCCTGGTCGACGTGCGTCGTGAGAACACAGGGAAGACACTGCCAGAAGCAGTAGAAATCTTAGTAGAAAAACTGCATCTATGCCAACGTGCGTTAAGACCGCATTATATGTCCCCTGAACATCTTGTATCAGCTATCATAAGGGTATGTTAAGGATCACCAGAAATGAGCGAGGTCCTCAGTGAACCAACGACGAAGTTTGAAACACTGGTATCACGACTTTGTGCAAGGGCTGCTATTATGCAAAAGAAGGAAGCAGCTGGTCAATATCTTGCTAAATCTAACAATGTGCCATCAATGCACTTCATCAACAGGAAGTATATTGGAAAGACTAGTCAAGGGAATCGCCCGCCACCTCAGAGATCGTGGCGACGCCAAAACTGTCAAGATAATGGCTCTTGACAACGACATAACAGCTAATGTTGGATATGTAATAAACCAGATTGTCGATCTTACAACCACTCAGAGAAGGAACAAAGTGAGGCGAGGGAGCAATTTGACAGGTATCACCATGCTGAGGGCAAAGCTAATGCCTCGGACAAGACATATCGCGCGTTTCTAATGGACTTTAAAGCCAGTTATAATATCACGTCGGACAGCGAGGACGAGGAAGAAGCTGAAGATAATGATGAGGATGAAGCAACAGTATACTTTATGGTTGGACAACTGCAAGATCAGGTGTTCTTACACTAGATAATAGGCGAGGAGACTGAGCAAGATAACCCCCCTACCATTGCTTCTCAATTTGTGATAGACTGACATGACAGTGAGATTTTCCATGGAATCTTACCTGACACAGGAGCAGCAAGAGTATCAACAGTTGGAAGACGTCAACTCACCGCTTTACAAAAGATCTATCCAGGGATCATAGTCGACAAATCTCGTGCAGGAGAGTACTCAATTCGATTTGGTCAAGGGGATAGCGTTGACTCTGAGGGAGCTATTACTATAAAGACCCCAATTGGCAATGTCGATTTCCATGTTATGAATACACCAACTCCATTCTTACTTTGCATTGCTAATATGGATCACCACGAAGCTTACCTTGACAACACCACCAACTGCTTGGTCAAGGGAGACTTGAGAGTGCTAATTGTCTGGAAATGAGGACACCCTTGGTTCTTCCTAGACAATAATCATACACCAGTAATATTCTTAACAGAAGTAGAAATGAGACGCCTTTATCGACAATTTAGTCACTCAAGCGTTGACCGATTGCACAAACTCTTAGAGTAAGCCGGTCATGACGATGTTGACCACAAATCTCTTGCTAAGATCAAGAGGTATTGTCACCACTGCCAAATGAATCAGCAGGCCCCTCGATGATTCAAATTTACGTTGACCGACGATCAAGAATTCAACTTTGAGATCGTTATTGATGTCATGTATCTGGATGGCGAACCGGTCCTCCATGTCGTCGACTCGGTGACGTCCTTCCAAGCCGCCAAATTCTTAAAATCTCTGTCCGCTAAAGACACTTGGGAAGCAATCTATATAACATGGATTGACACCTATCTTGGTCCACCAGACGTCATCTCGCACGATGCTGGAACCAACTTTGCCGCTAATGAATTCAAAGTAGAGACAATGATGATGGGAATTCGATGTTATTAAATGCCAGTTGAAGCACACTCCGGGATTGAAAAGGTTGAACGATATCACGCACTGCTGTGCCGTGCATTTAACATTATTTCAGCAGAGATGGGAAGCACTATAAGCAAGGATGTGGTTCTGCAAATGGCTGTGAAAGCTATCAACGATATAGCAGGACCAGATGGAATTGTGCCTACCGTCCTAGTTTTTAGGGTATATCCACGCCTAACTTTAGATTCACCACCGTCTGCTCTGATGATTAGACGTGCCCAGGCGATGAAAAAAGTAATGGCCGAATTAAGAAAGGCAGTGGCTGAGAGGAAAGTCAATGACGCGCTAAACACTAGGAACAGTCCGATAATCACAGAGACACTCAACCTCCCCCTGGGGGCCAATGTCAAAGTTTGGCGAGAAGGCAAGGGTTGGACAGGCCCATATAAACTTATCTTAGTAAATGGTCATGACGTGACAGTCGATCTTGGTAATGGTGCTGTCGCTTTCCGGGCAATGTCAGTCCAGCAGTATCTCTGAGATCAAAGAGAGACAGATGATGGAATCCACGTCCCTGAACCACCCGTGACACCTCCACCTCCACGACATCGAGGACGACCACGAGGATCCAAGAACAAGCAAAAAGCGGATGTCAACGTATACCTATCGAAGAAAGAGAAGGGCGACCTTGAACTCGCACTCAAATTGAGACGAGAAGGAAAGATTGTGATAGAAGGTGCCCCATTCGAACTTTCAAGCGTTGCAGAGATCAATGGCCTGATTGCAAACAGGACGTTCAAAATCGTCCACCGAGATGATGTGAATCTCAGAGATCTCCACATTTTCAACTCCCGCTTAGTTAATGAGATCAAGGGGAAGAATGAGATCCCATATGAGAAATTACGCCTAGTCATCCAAGGATATAATGACGCTGGGAAAGCTAGGATCCTGACCCAAGCGCCAACAATTCAACAGGCCAGCCAGAGGCTATTAATATCCCTTATCCCCACTTTACTAAGTATAGATATGATTGTGGAGATCTGTGATATCACACAAGCGTATACACAGGCTAAGACAAAGTTGCAACGTATTATCGTTGCCAACCTGCCCAAAGAAATGAGGGGTAAATATCCACTAGACTCACTACTGTTGGTAGAAGGAGCTTTGTATGGCATTCCCAAAGCTGGCGTTCATTGGTTTGGCACCTACCACGAGCATTATAAGGTGAAAATAGACATGGAGACTTCTACGTATGATCTATGTCTACTCGTGACAAAACCAGGCGCTGAGAGCTTCAGCCTAGTGGGCATGTAGACTAATGACACACTCATCATCGCAACAGAAAAGTTTGCCAGGGGTGAGGAGCAAGCACTACAGGAAGTGGGATTCAAAGCCAAACCCAAAATCCAATTGTTGCAGGATACTCCTTTAGAATTCAATGGCGCAAGGATTATTTTAGAGCAGGACAACGTCTTCATGCAGCAAAAAGGACAAGCGACAAAGATAGAGCCAGTTGGAACAACAGATCGCGCGTAGAAGTACATTGAGCAACGAGCACAAGGGGCTTACCTCGCGTCTATCTGCCAACCAGAGGCTTCTTATGATCTCGCCGTCGCGGCCTAGCTGCAGGAGAAGGATCGATCCGAAAACGACTATTTGGCATTGAATAAACGCCTTATATGGCAAGCCGAGAATCCTAAACGAGGTCTTAGATTCATCCCCCTCGATTTAACAAAGGCAAAGATCATGATCTTTACAGATGGATCCTTTGCGAATAACCGAGATTTGACTTCCCAGATTGGTTTTCTAATCGCTATGGTCAACGAAGACTTTTCTAAGGAAGGACGCTTTATTGCCACCGGTAACATAATCCATTAGGTTTCGTCAAAGTGCAAGCGTGTAACCCGGAGCGTTCTCGCCTCGGAGATCTATGGGTTAACAACTGGATTTAACTATGGAATTACATTGGCAAGTACCATCAAGATGATCACGGACCACCTTAATTTACCTACAATCCCAGTTGTGGTTTGCACCGATAGCTACTCACTATATGAGTGCCTCGTCAAGTTAGGAACCACAAAGGAAAAGCGCCTCATAATCGACCTTATAGCGCTCCGTCAGTTATACGAGAAACGGGAAATAGATGAAATCCGCTAGATCCATGGAGACGATAATCCCGCGGATGCTTTCACAAAGGCGAACCCAAATGGGGCCCTACGGGACTTCATTGACAAGAATAAGTTGACGATTCATGTGGAAGGATTTGTGGAAAGGACCAAGCAGGATTAGGACAAGGTTGACAATTGTTGACAGGGAGCCTGATTATTGGGATTTGCATGCTTTTATGAGAGTTGGGAGCTCGACTGCAATTCCATTTGTAAAAGAGATCCAGTGTTGGATGCGAGGATGCAGTCGAGATCTGGATAACTGACATCACGTGATTTCAATCACGTGATGAAGGCTACACCAGGAATCCCTTACGCGTCGGGGTCAAAGATAGAAAAGACAGACAACTTAAGACTACCCAATTGAACCCATATTCCATGTTAGGAAGCCTATCGTACTAGTACTAGTGCAGATGCACCCACAGAAACCTCCAAAAAGCTCTAATATTTTGTATACCAGCCATCTGCGTTTAGTACTGCCTGCACTCTATGAGGCATAGAGTCGCTTAAATTTTGAAGCACGCGCTCCCCGATTGATTCCCATGCCTCTATGCCTGCTTGTATTAATGCGCATAACGTAGTATCATTATCCGGTGCATTTTCTAGCTCAGGATGATCCTGGCGGATGATTGTTTTCATAATTGCCCATAGATTCTCGATAGGATTCAAATCCGGTGAATATGGCGGCCAAATCATTACTTCAACTTGCATTTCTTGAAGTAAGTCACGAATAATATGAGCTGTATAAACAGGCGCATTATCTTGCATAAAGATATCTCCATTCTCAAGTAACTCTGGAAGCTGGTCCATATAAGTTTGGCGTATAACTGTCGCAGAGATACCTCCTCCACGAGATGATCCATCCGAGGTTAATGGAACTAAGCTCGTACGGATATTATATTGAAATGCAGCCCAAAACATCTTTTTGATGCTTTTCCCAGTACGAATCTCACGTACGTCATGCTCAACTAGTTGCTCACTAGGATCATTCCAAGTCCAAATCAATTGACCTCCTTTGCCTCGTTCAACTGTAGATTCGTCACTCCATATTACACGTTGCCAATCTGTAGGTGTAAAATGAGCATACCTCTGTGCCCATTGAAGCCTTTTTTCTGCATTCTGAGGAAGGATTTCAGGGCGGTCTCGTTGTAGCCATTTCCTCATATGAAGATTGCGGAATGCTCGACGGATAGTAGTCTTTGAACATCGCATATCCACCGATTCTTGAAGCTCATAAAATTTAATATGAGGATTCTCTTTTGTAAGCTGAACGAGGTTCTCTTTTTGCTCAGATGATAGTTTGCTAGGCTGCCCAGAGCGAGGTAATGAGCGTTGATTAACCCGTTGATGCTCTTTTTTGATTGTATTGCGAATAGTTGATATAGGGATCTCTGGGTGCGCTTTATGAATTCGTTTATAGCCCCAGCGCGCGCTTGTATGAAGCTCACATATCCGAGCTCTCATACAAGGGTCTAGTTCTTTACGCGCTGTACGACGTCGAGGAGCCATGATTTTTGGTGAAAAATATAAAGATATAGGACTTTCATAATAATTTGTATTTGACGCGATGGGACGCGATTTCAACGGGCTAATTTTGCCGGCAGTAAATGGGGGCGGTAAGAGGGGGGTGCCAACACTACTGGACCCCCACTGTACGTGGACAAAATCTTAAGCATGTGATTGGCTCAGCTGACCCGTTTGACCCGCTTCGGGCCGGATCTGCAGTAACGGAACACATGATTGGCGGCGCGCATCTCTGATGTATGGAAGCGGTGGTCTGATCTCCAGACAATGCCGTAGATCAGACGATGAACGATCTTATTGATAAGAGCTTAACTGGACATCCATGGTTTTGGTTATCGGGCAAGATGAATTGTCAAAAAATAAGGTAAGATACATGTTGCTGCTGTGGCTCACTAGATAACAAGTCTGCATGAAAGCCAATATTGCAGATATATGTTTATATATTTGCCCTAATTGATTAAGTATTTTTGGAACGATTTCATTACTTATCATGCAATGTGTTATCAGGCTTAGAGATACTCATTTATCTAACTCATGCTATCCATGGATGGGGATGTATCTGCCAGAAAACTTATCCCGAGAGCCCTATTGTCACAAGAATCAAGTCACAGCCAATAGATTAGCCCATCTTGGATAGACTACTGCTCGATGGAACAATAGATTATCCGGATAATGGATTAGGACATTAGGGTTATTCGACAAGGAATGTTGTGTTCAGGACACAATATGGTTTACCACGGATACAATACGTTGTGTCAGGGATACAAATCATACAATCTAGAGCGGATATATAAGGACGCTCATTTACCGTGTACTAGTTTTCCTCCACTGTCTTTTATTAACTGTACAACCTAGGGTATAAGAGTACATACTGTACACAGATCACTCTAAGCTAGTCAACACAGTTACTCCTCTCTTATTGTCTCTTTGATATAGCTCGATACTCGTCTTTGTGACACTCTCGTTAGCAGAATACCACCGAACCTTAGTTCAGTGAGGAGTTTACTCTGATCTGACTTACCTGTCAACCAAGGTTTACGATACCTATAGTTCCAACATTACCTGTGCTCATGGCGATTTTCTCTATTTCTTCTTACTGGTCGATAGTCGTATACCTAATAGTTGAAATCTTTTTCCATTGCTAACCCAGCAACTCTTATTCAGTACTTCAATCTGACTGCTGGATCAAGCTAGGCAATGCTGGCACATTACAAGACTATTGCGGCTATATACCCTTGCTGTTACCATCACCTGTAGTCTAGCTAATGAACTATATCGCTTCATCATGTTTCATATCCGCTCCCCGAATGATTTGAACGGCGTATTTGTTCGTTGACTCATACAGAGCGCGTGGGACTTCGTCTTTGTAATGCAAGCTGTATTGGAGTATTGTGTCTCGTTCTCTAGACGTTCGATCAACTGCATTACGATGCCGAGCCCTATCAGCATATTTGGATGTCGGAATATTAAACAATAGGAACACTCGGACTATGCATCACCCAGTGTCACTCCCAGTAAGCAATAGCACAACCGTCAAAAATCGAAACGTCATTTCCAGATAGAGAGAAATCGGACCTAAGGGTTGCTGTATGTCTGATTGGTATCTTATATTTTTCTAGTAGCTGTCATTAAATGAAACGAGACATAATACAGATAGAATTTGACAGACGGCATCCCTTCTGTAGATAGTTCACCGTACCGAATGTGATGTGGTTCGTGTGTCCTAATACAACGATACAACAGTACATATTCTATCTGATAGGAGTAATTGGCATGTATAAAGACAGTCAATCCGCCATGAAGTGATTGCAGTAAGCTCCCTATGTGTCATGTTCCCAGTCTCTTTTCTCTCATTTTGTTGTAAGTCGTAGCGACATGGCCGCTATTTTCTGCACGTATAGGTGTCGCTCGATGTAACTGGGGTGAGAAAACACTAGATATCATGGGAGGATGACCTGACAAGATGACAATGGTGGCGCTGGGGCCGTTAACGGCTCTGGTATAGAATGCAATGTTCGCATGATTGATTCCAAGAAGGCGAAGAAAATCAGAATGAACTTAGTTACGTGCCAGCTACCGACTAGCTACATTAACACCCGAAGATTTTAATGCAACAACTTATATCGTTTATAGTGCCATAGTACCGCTGTACTCGATGGGACGTTGCACACATTTCAAAATTCGACTGCAGTATCGGTTTCCAAGCCGTGGTTCGCTGGCCGTCACTATGCAGGGATCAAGTGTTATGTGACTCGCTAGACGAACTCATGATTGAATCGCCAGTTACCTATGCGATAAGCCCTTGTAGAGGGATCTTTTCACCAATGATCCGGTACCTGTACATGTTTCAAAAGGGAAATCAATAGTTGGACAAGAGAGCCAATGCGTCAAGCCAAAAGTGAAAATTATGATCGTATCAAAAAAGCGCGAGAAGAGTGTATAGTCACTTTTTGTATCGCTTGACAAAGGAGGTACAAAGGAGAACCTTGGACTTGGCCCAGGGACAAACCAATAAAAGTAAACTATGAGTTAAATCTGATCACATCCCGAAGCCAAAATGCTGGATCTATGTAGTCCCGCTTAATCCTTCCAGGTTTTAACGTTTACATGTTCCCCCACCACCAATCACGGCAAAGGAACAAGGGGTGACTCTGAAATGAAACATCAGACGGCTACAGAAATCGAAAATGGCTTGTTGTACCTTAGTCCAGTACTAACTAGAGCATGTCAGGTGGCGTCGCTAGCCATGACTCTGTAATGTCAGCAGGAGATTACTTTCTAAGTACTCAGCATGGATGACATATTGTACGCGTCAGTGGTAGTTAATTAGAGGGATATCATTCGCTAGGTAGTTTCTATACCGTTCAAAATTCCCATATCATATGGACATACGCTCCTCGAGAAATCAGAAACAAGTAACAAATTACTTTTTTGCTCTGGACGTCTGAGTACGCTCATATACCGTTTTCCAAGTTATATTTCATTTAAAAAGATCTTTACGGTAAGGGGCCCGAAATTTCGTGGTTGACGCCACGTTGCTACCGCACCATCGATAACGGTAACTGGCTATCTAGAAAGAGCTTAATTTTAGGGTCATCTTTGTACTTGATAGTTCTGCTGATGACTGGCTCACGATAGGGTAACTACTACGTTGTAATCACACTAGTATCATCAACTCGCCAATGGTGCGACAAGTTTCATTATCATCTCGGTACCTTAAAATCAACGAGGGATTATGTTAAAGCCGTAGTTAGAGCTTGACTTGTCTGTATCCAGGCGTCCACCACCAGGAACGTGATTCTATTTTAAGACGTTACTGATGACATCTGGGTGCTACGAATATGACAGAAACCATCTTCAAGATACATTAAGCTCCTCCTCGTTTCAGATCTGCGCAGATGTCATCGAGGTAAACTGCTTCGATAGATATGTTGAATGAATAGCGAGTCGGAATTTTTCTTTCATTCAGTCTAGATCTAAAGAGATTGGACGACTTCAACTACCGATTGGTTTACTGGAAGCTAGTGTGTCACAAATCTAAACTGGCGCTTGAGCCTTAGAAGCATGTACGTGGTGCCCTAGCTTTCCTGGTAAGAAACGTGCTTATTCTTTTCTCTGATTTGATCTAGCCCCCTCAATGGGTACTAATATGTGCTCCGTCAACCTCATGGCAGGTGTCGCTGTAACCCTCTGTCATTGGGGGTCAGTTGATACCTCCGATCTTCGAAACCACCACCCTGATTGAGCCCTCACATGGGGACTCGGCTATGTAACCGTCTGCATGAACACATGGCTATTCTTATCTATGTTTGATTACAACCGGGACCAAGCTCATACATGAATGCATGTAGATGATTTACTAGTCCCATGTTTGTGTAGCACTCGCTGCGGTTCCCAAGATGGTGCCTCCTGACTATGGTTCCGGAATAGGAAAGGGAGCTCTAAGATTTAGGGATTTACAGACCGTGGCCCTCCTCCAAACGTTAATATAAGTATGACCTTGTCTCCCAAGCTCATGGTTCCTTTCTTTTTCTTTTCAACTACCACTCTCTCAGTTCACGAGCCAGTCTCTCCTTTCAAACCCCCTCACTCAGTTTGACACTGAATAGATCCTTGACGGATCGTTACACTCCTTCTTTTGTCTATTCTTAACTTCCACTGTACATAGCTTTTGAAATCCAGCTATCTAGCCTTTTTGCTGCCTTCCAGCTGCCTTCCAAAGCTCAGTATATAGCAATGAAGACGTCAACTGCTTTGATCTGCCTCGGCCTTATGGCCAGTGCCGTTATTGCTGCTCCTCATCGGCTGCAGGCACGCGGTCCTGGAGGCGAAGTTGTTGTTTATTGGGGCCAAAATGCGGCCGCAGCAAGCGAAAATAACGACCTTTCGACCTACTGCACTACCGACTCCGGTATTGATATTGTTGTTCTTTCCTTCCTTTACGAGTACGGAAACGGTAATACGATTCCTGCCGGTGTGATTGGGAACGATTGCTCAATTAGCACCTCCGGTCAAGGCACTAACTGTGATGCCCTTGCCAGCCAGATTGCCACCTGTCAGTCAAATGGTGTCAAGGTTATCCTTTCGCTCGGCGGTGCTGTTGGTGCCTACTCCCTCACATCCCAAGCCGAAGCAGAGACAATCGGCCAGAATCTCTGGGATGCCTATGGAAAGTCCTCCGGGGGGAGCATACCACGACCATTTGGATCTACCTTCGTTAACGGCTGGGACTTCGATATCGAAGCTAATAGCGGTAACCAGTACTATCAATATATGATTTCTAAGCTCCGCTCCAACTTCGCCTCAGACTCCAGCAATACCTACTATATTACCGGCGCTCCCCAATGCCCCATCCCGGAGCCTAATATGGGTGAGATTATTCAGAATGCTCAATTCGATTACCTTTGGGTGCAGTTCTATAATAATGGTTACTGCTCGTACCCAAACACTCTCAACTACGCTGACTGGGTTTCATACGTTTCCGGTACTCCTTCTGCCAACGCTAAAATCTTTATCGGTGTTCCTGCGTCCGAGCTTGGTTCCACTGGCACTCAGAGTGGTGCTGTTTACTACCAGTCTCCGAGTGTCCTCGCAAGCACCGTAGCTTCCTTTGACACCAGCTCAAACTGGGGCGGTATTATGATGTGGGATGCTGCATTTTCTGACGCCAATGTGATTAATGGCTGCAACTACGCTCAGCAAGCGCATAGCATCTTAAAAACTGGTTCTCCCTGTGGTGGAAGTGGAACTACTCCTCCCTCCACGACTACTACACCCACCCAAACCACGTCTACTGCCACTGCTACTGTCACCGCCACTGGTGTGCCAGTACCTCAGTGGGGTCAGGTTAGTTAAAAACTTCCTCTTCAATTTTCTTATTTTGCTCCATCTAACCAACATCTTTATAGTGTGGAGGTGAGGGCTACACCGGTTCGACCGTTTGCGCTACCCCATACACCTGTGTTAAAGAGAGCCAGTACTGGTCATCGTGTCAGTAGAACGCTTCGCTGCGATCTGTAAGTCTCCGATGGGGATCTGGTTCGGAGCTACCTACCCATTGAGATCACAAGGGCAAGAGTGTTCATTGGCGTAACAATCACTCGGTCATATTGTCAAAAACATCTACTATAGGTAAGGGGTGGAGGAAGAACGACTGCTACTATTTTGCTTGGATGGGCTTTCACCTCATCTATTTATCATTGATAAATTTCTTGTTTATTTTCCACGCTGATGCATTTTCTGAACAGAGTGGAACATTCCTCGTTACTACAGCATTTACAGTGCTCTTCTGTGGGGACGAAAGGGATTGGAGAATCGTTCGCTTCTTGTACATATTTTTCTCTCAAACAGAGATCAGTTTTGCAATAATTATCTTGTTATCCGAATAACATTACTTGATCAAATCGTGCCGAGTCTGATTCCAACTGACTGAGAACCTGTAGGATATTGACCTAAGCATCTCGACGATCCAGCAACCGAATTGGATTGTTAATGTTTTCTCACAACAAACTCAACTACTTTAGTCGGCTTGCTCAATGCTCATTTGATCCTATCAAGCATGACTTAATCCCACCCAGAACTTGCCGACAATTTGTCTCCAAGCATACGAAAAGCATGCGGTAAGGCTCTGAAAACATGAACATTGGTGGGCGCACTGCATATAAAAGCCAGTTATGTTAGAAAACACCGTCCTTGACATGTTATTTGGCTAGGAAACTTCAGCGTACCCTTGTTCAGTCAGGAACTTTGCATATAATAGCCCTTCATCCCGGAGTGGATCGTAACCTGTAATACCAAATGTTGTCGGTGGCATTTTCTTTGCTTCTTCTACCGTCAAAAGCCCGGGCTTTAATCGCCTGTCGTTAAAGTTAGGACTTCCGACCATTAAAGCGTCATTGAACATCTTTCTCGTTTCGAGTTCAAGAAACCTGTTCTGGCACAATGATTGTAGGAAGATAGAGCCGGATCTTTTATCTGGCACATCTGAGAGTCGTAGCAAGCAGCAAATACCGAGGACGGCATCATCAAATCCTGTCCACAAATGGTCGGCTGTTCCGATAGCTGCAACCGATTGGGGTCGATGGTCGCCATTCTTGTCAATGATGCAGGCAAATGGGTGCCGACTGAGGTCGCGCCAATTACGAGTCGGTCAATATCTGCATTTATACTAGATTCATTCTTGCAGAACCAGGCCATGGACCCATGGAGTCTTCGAGATCATTCCAAGCCGTGGGATAGGTATATTCCGGTATATGACGATCATTGATGTTCAGGACGAAAAGGGCTACAATAAAGCAAAGCGGGTCGTCGGATTTTAACAAACCATACATGAATCAACCGCCATGAAGATGGATGTACACAGGCAGTTTGTCTTCTGATGAAAGTCGTGATCGATATGTTCGTGCTTCTACCTGATGCCCATGTCTGGTGAAGATCGAATGGCAGTGCATCAATATTTTACTAACAAGCTGAAGATTTTTCATGATGTCCTCTGCTGCCGCATCCCTTCTCGCATTTTTGGTTCTTTCCATCTCCTCAACGCTCAGACCTGAAGTGGGTGGTAGTGCTGAAGCCACGCGAAACCATCCTCGCTCGGGACGCCATATTCGCTGAAATCACATTATACCGGGTTGTGAATGATATTAGGACCGACAAATATTTGCAACCTTGAGGAATAGTGTTAGATTTACCGGGTTTTATTTTACCCTTTATCTGGTGAAATTGATAGAAACAAGATGATCCTGTAATTTCTCAACTGAAGGCTTGAATTCCTCTCTGCTTCCTTGACCAAGTCGTGCTGTTTCTAACAGGAAATTGCCCTCTATAATGAAGAATCAAAACCTCTCGCTTTAATACGTGTTTCTTCCTGATTGCTACGCCAGTTGGGCCTCGCTGCGCTGTGCACTTCACCAATAATATCTAACAAATAGTTGCACGGAACCACGGCCGTGGAGCGTCTTATATGATCACAACTGAATCCGCGAATGTCTAGGTAATTGCCTGCATTGACAGTGGATCAACTACCTACCGACATCCGAGGCCATTCTTTGTGAAACATAATCCGGTAAATCATTGCGTTTTCGGTGTCCGAGTATTCTTTAACTTTACGGGTTCTGGCTGGAGGTGTTTAGCCTGGTGAAAATTATGGCTTACTTTTCTGAAGCGCTCTATACTGTTCCTAATTCCCTATTCTGTAAACAGTTTTGCATGGCAACTGACCACTGCATATTGCTTTCTCCATTTCCAGCAATCTCCGTGTTGTAGCATGTCCCTGGAGATGTACTCCAACCACTATTTCACGGACTCGAAGTTCAGCAACTACTATCAGAGTGCTTGTAAACGCTCCGTACGGGAATAGGACTTTTGTAATCGCAGACTTGTATTCAGGTTCATGGATCTCTACTCCAGAGTCCATATTGGTTTGTTGATAGATTGAATTGAGCTCACATTTCTGCTTATATGGCCGTCTTCATGATAGCTCATTTGTATGTATGGGGCTTGTATATGTGCTAGCTAGGCGTCTAGTCCATTACATCTTCCACCATTAATGATATCCTCCACTTGGTACTATGTACCTTATCTGGCAATGCGACATTACTATTCATAAGCATACGTGCAGTCTTTCCTCAACTAACCCCGACTCGCTGGCTTTCTACACGATTCATGTTACATCTCCGTAAGATACCCTTAGCAGCACTTTGAGCTTTCCTTATGATTTCCATCTCTTTCAAACACCCACCATCTGCCAATTGTCCATTCCTTACAACGATCCGACCATTCACAACTGTTATATAAACATCCCGCCCTGTACATCCATGTACAACAGTCGTAACGGACGTAACTCCATTGAAGTCCTCACCATCGTCATCATCAGGGTTCCACGGTGCAACGCCAATATTTCCACGCCCGTATGGATCAAGTATGACGAGATCTGCCTTTTTGCCAACTTCCAAACTACCTATATCGTTCTCTAACCCCAGTGCTTTTGCGCCATTTATCGTTGCCATTTCGAGAGCAGTCTCAGCTGGAACAAGTGAAGCATCGTTGTGTACTCCCTTGTGAAGTATAGACACCAAATGCATTTCTTGAAACATGTCGTAATGGTTCGAACATGGTGCGCCATCTGTACCTAAGGACACATTGACGTATTGATCGTGTGCTAACATGCTCGGTACGGGTGCTATCCCAGAGGCAAGTTTAAGGTTGGAGGACGGATTATGCGCAACTGTCGTATTTGTCGAGGCTAGTATCGGAATATCCCTTTCCAGATCTAAATTGACCATGTGCGCTAATACTAAATTTCGCGGCTTCGCGGCCGTGGCCGCAGAACACAAATGCGTTGCTTCCACGAATTCCATTGGACTGCACCCATAAGTACCTCGGTATATTTCTAGATCTCGGGGAGCTTCCGCACAATGCATGGTAATAGATATGCCATGCTCAGAACAAGCATCCCCCAGTTCTTGAAAGGCATATTTCGGTGCACCCCGCGGAGTACCGGCTGCAGCCCAGACTTGTAATCTGTTATCGTAGGATCCGTTGTGTGCTGTGTGAGCTTCAACGAGGGCAGGAATAGACATTGCAATTAAGTCTTTGTCTCTTGGGTCTGTGATAGAAAGTTGTCGATTGGTTTCGATGAATTTGACTAGTTTACCCTTCAACACTGTCAACGAGACAGTTCTTAGCAACGGTGAAAACAACCTACCAAACAACCCCTAATCCCCATCTCACCCACAACATCACAAACTCTCTCAAACCCCGCTCTATACGTCAACATTGGATCCAGAAAACACGTTGTCCCGGTCTTTAGCATCTCCGCTATTGTAAGCTTGGCAGCATTATACCCATCATCATCTGCATAAACGGCTTCCAACGGCCAAATTGCATCACACAGCCAATTGTGTAGCGGTAAATCTTCAGCCAATCCGCGCAAAAGTGATTGCACGAGATGGGCATGTGTGTTTATCAATCCTGGGATGATGATTTTATTTTTGCAATCAATAATTTCCGTGTCTCCGGGTAGGAGATTAGAGGGATATCCTTTTCCGATCGAAGCGATCCTGTCGTTGATGATATAGATATAGCCATTTCGGATTACTTCACGAGAGTTGTTAACGGTTATAATGGTCGCCGAGTGGAAGAGTATTGTATTCTCGTCTGCCGCCATGGTCTGGTGTTATTTTTGATACGTGAGATGAACAATATCCTGGAACGAATTCAGATAGAAGATCTAAACTAAATGAATAGATTCCTCAAATGTTATCCACCTGAAGCTTAAGAAAGGATAAGATCTCAATGTCGGCCGAGCCCCACTTTGATCTCGGTCCTCTTCCGAGGCTGATAAGATCCATTGATAAGCGTAGATAAGAATTCATAGTAAATGATAAGCTACTCTTGCTCCAGCATGATGCTGACTCTTTGACTTTTGTCGCGATAAACGAGCTAAGCATCGGTTCGATATATGTCTTAAACATTCTTATAGAGGCCCAAAGTTATAATACTTGGCAGGATCCTGCCGATGCATAAAAGTAGTCGTCAGCTCTTGAGTAACTAATTCACGGGCAAGACACAATGGAGCCCTCAAAGAAGAAAGTGGCTACATCCGAACGTCCAGATGCTCAGTCATCGTCATCAGTCACTGAGAACGTTTCATCATCGCGATGGGAGTATTTGAAACACTACTTCACGAGTCGTGATGGCTGGATTGGAGATTATGTATGTCACTTCATATTTCCGTTCAGGGGCTCTGCTAACGAACGGTGCAGGACTACATGTACCTCATCACGCCGAACATCTGGCCCCTCAACAGGAAATATAAAGATTTTGAAACGCCTTTCTACGGCCTCAATGACCACGTGCCAATCTTCCTAACTATCATCCTCGGCCTTCAGCATGCCTTGACACTGGTCGGATCCGTAGTTTCCCCGCCATTGGCAATTGCTGGCGGCGCATTCTACCTCGATTCTGAGCAAACTCAGTACCTCGTCTCTACTGCTTTTATTACCACTGGAATTGCTACGGCGTTGCAGGTCACTCGGCTCCATGTCATGAAAACGCCGTTTTTCATCGGGACGGGTCTCTTGTCCGTTGTGGGACCGACGTTTGATATTCTCAATATTGCTTTCAATTACACCAACATGCGATATGCGGATGGGACATGTCCCGTTGACGAGACTGGAGCGAAATTGCCTTGTCCAGAGGCATGGGGTGCCATGCTCGGCACAATGCTGTGTACTGTATGGGTTCAGATATTAATGTCGCTTGTTCCGCCCAAGATCCTCAATCGCATATTTCCCAAGATTGTTACTGGTAGTTTGCTGGTACTTGTCGGTGTGTATCTCATTGGCAATGGAATGGAGAACTGGGGGGGAAGTTCCAACTGCAATGGTGGAACAGGCTTTTACGCCTTGTGTCCAAACACCGCTGCTCCCAATCCGCTACCATGGTGCGTAATGCTCTAAAAAATACTTCACAATTGTCTAACATTATATAGGGGCGATCCCAAATTGATCGGTCTCGGATTCAGCGTTTTCATAACTATAATCTTTGTTGAGATCTTCGGATCACCACTTATGCGCTCCGCATCTGTCATTTTCGGGTTGGCTGTAGGCTGCATTATTTCTGGTGCGGCTGGATACTGGTCCAGGAATGAAATAGATGCTGCCCCTGTCGGTACATTTTTGTGGGTTCATACGTTCAAACTGTCCGTCGATAGAGCGCTTGTCTTGCCTTTGATGATTATGTTTGTCTGTGAAGCTGTCAGTTGCATGCCTGACATATTGGCGACGGCTGAGCTTTCCGGTGTCGATATCGATGGCACTGAGTTCAATAGTCGTATACAAGGAGGAATATTATGCGATGGTTTGGGAAGTCTGATCAGCGCCCTTGGTACTGGACTACCTATGGTCAGTCAGGCTGGCAACAATGGTGTCATCTCCTTGACAGGATGCGCTGTAAGTACTAGTAACAACAGCTAAGATCTGTAATTTCTAACTATATTTTAGAGCCGGCGTGCCGGATGGTGTGCCTCCGCATTCCTAATTCTGATGGGTATCTTTGGCAAATTCGGCGCAGGCTTCGGTTCAATGCCACCATCAGTTCTCGGTGGGATGCAAGTATTCTTGTATAGTACAATCGCTATTGCTGGTATACGTGTTTTGAGTCTTGTCGAATTTACAAGACGAAATCGATTCATTTTGACCGCCGCTTTGGGTATTGGCTTTATTGATATCGTATCGCCAACCTGGTTTTCTAAGATCCTCGACTACAACGGGTCAAATGTTAATTTGCGGGGATTTGAACAAGGACTGAATCTGATCGTCGAGACACCTTTCATCATTGCGGCAGTTATTGGAGTTGTGTTGAATTTGGCACTGCCAGAAGAGAAGGGGGCAACTAAAAATACCCATATGCTTCCATGGCAGTGACAGCCGACTGAAATGTCTGAGCCGAGTAGATAGGTATCAGTCATGTACATCATGCAACCCATAATAATACAATATCCATCAAGTTATGTAGTTTGCAGCTAGAGCAAAGACTTCTTCAAAGTTGTCAGGAAACTCAAATCCATAAATCGATTGATGTCCTGTCGGCGGCATAATTGTGTCCCTGTCTACATCCGCTTTGCTTTCCGTTGGTGGCCAGCTACTTTGATTTTGGGCGTCAAACCAGTCTGCATTTTGGTTAAGCCTACCCATTGCTGCAGAAAAATGCAAGTGATCTTGCTGGTAAAAATTCCGGATAATCTCACTGATGTCCAGATTCCTTCTATCATTTCTGGTCGAAAGATCTCCGTGATCAGAACCCTCAACTTCATGCAGAGTCTTTTCTCGAATTCTTTTTTCGTTTGCGAGCATTGCTTTCAGTAAAGGGATTCCCCGCTTCGCAATCATATTCGTCTCGCAAACTGAGAGCATATGAAGACCATCTTGAACGAGACGACGGTGTTCGTCACATTCGGGAGATGACTCTAGAGAGTAGATCATGTCAAGGCATAGAATAATCTGCTCGTTCATCAGTATATCGGGACTGAAAAAGATTATGAAGAAACTCACCCCTGCAGCTACTACGAACGCGTGATGAATCCACAGAATTGGGCCACCATCACTCTTAGCTTCCTTTAATTCTTTGATAATAGTTCTCGCTGCTGCAACGCATGTCCGTCGGGTTCGAGAAAACATTGGATTGACAAAACTTATCCCTAGGAATTTCCTGTGAATCATGATTACCTTATGTGAGGTACTAATGGCGAGACAGCGTCGAGCCCATGGAACATAACACGGCCACGACGGATCAAGTGGGACATTTTGGAGATAATGTGGTAGACGAGTAGTGGCTAGTACGCGCAGCTGCTGGTCATATTCGAGAACTTTCTCGTACCTCGTGTACAAGGTGTTTGAAGAGACAATCGCATCTTGTACACGAGGCATAAGAAATGCAACTTCATAAAAATAGCGTGAGTAGTTCGTAATCGTTGGTATATCATCTGGTTTTGTGATCATGTCTCTATCATCACAGTTCCGTGGCTTCGTGGTATCAAAAGACGTTTGGTTTATGAGATAGCTTTCTGTAAATGGAATGGAGAACCAATCCTGCGTACAGAGCTGGCACCAAACACGACGCCCAAGCTCTCGATTGATTAAATCATGTGGTTCGGTTTTCTCTTCATCATGACCAAGCCGGTGTAATCCCATGCTTTGCGCAATCCGGACTGCAGAAGCTAGAAGAACTGACTGGCTATTTGATTGTCCTAGCATATGAGCGGAGTGAGTCACAGTAGCAATCGCTTGAACGGAGAAGATTGAATGAGAGGACATATAATCCGAGTACTGCAAGCAAAGATTCATTGCTTGGAACCACCTATGTGACAGTTCTTCCCGCTCGTCATCGTTAAAACCCCAGGACAATACCAATGTTCGAGGAGCACAGGTTAATGAACCCAAGATGATGGCAAAGAGCAGGCCAGTCCATTGCAATCCCGTATTCGTCGGTTCAATCTGTCCATTTCCTTTGTCGAAGAGGTCGTCCACAGATCTCTGAAAGACAATTGTATGGAATGAGCCGTGGTACCAAAGAAGATAGTCACAGTGATACTTGACGAGTGTGTATAAGTGAGATCGACTAGGCAGAAGAGACTGTAAGTAAGAATAAATTGCTATTTTTGAAGGGAAAAAGGGTATTTGCTTCTCCATATCGATGTCTTTTGGAGAATATGGAGTAAGATTGCCATGGGTAGTGTTGATCAGGCCATGATATTTAGGATCTTTACATCGACCCCAAGCTAGAAACTCGAGAATAGTAGCAGCATCTTCAACTTCAGAGGTGCTTTGCGTCGTTGATTCAGTAGTTTCATCACCATTTCCTCCAATATCTCGGGAAATCACTGGTGTATTGGCCGACAAAGAGAGTGGGGGCGGTTCACTTGACATCCTTTCCGACAAAGTAACCTGTGGTTGACGCAGCGCAGATTCTAGAGAGTTGACTTTCGCAGTGAGGCTTTTCACCAAGGCCAATAGTTCCCTATTTTGGCTCTCCTCCAAGACAGCAGACTCGGTAACTCTGTTGTCATAACTCGGACTCGGCGCGTTGACCATGGAATGATCGACGTGACCTCTCGGACGTGAACAGTTAATGCCTCTAGAATCATCAATCTTTGATTCAGCTGTAATTCATATAACGTGCTCCTTCAAGGTGTACTCACTTCACGGTGCAATTTCGACAAGGTAGAGTCTTATCACATTTCACTTTTCGTCGCGTGCATTCTAAGCATGCAAGCCGCTTTCTTCGTATTGAGAAACTCATATTTCATTTGTAAGTGAGGGCTTAGCACGGCATTCCCAATCAAGTGCTCCTCAGAAATGCCCAAGGAGCTTCGCTCATAGGGTCGCAGGCCGAAGCATTTCAGAATCACAACTATGCTCGGCCGAAGGTTTACTGGAGTTGCAATTGGAATATCGGTACTGGAAATTTTGTCAATTACAACCGAGGGAAAAGAGTCATGGGAGTCTGTCCAGCCGGCGAACGCCGATGTGCATCGAATGTGGAAGTCGCGAACTTCATCGCGCATTCTCACGACAACGATAAGGTTCCTAGTTGCTGCCTCAATTCTCAGGCAAAAACATCAAGCTGATAACGATCGGCCGAGAGTGGGGCATCTCTCCTCCCTATGAGCAACCCAACAGCAATGAGACGATTTATTCAGCGAAGAGAGCTAGCATCAGATTATATCCCGGTTAGACATCAGTTATTGTATTGGAGTTCGCCGCTTCATCCCCCCAGGTTATCAAGCTCACAGTCATCGATCTGACTACTTAGCAATATATATCTTCACTAGAGCTGAATACCAGAATTGTCTTCAAAATGGCGACCAAAACACGATATACAGACCGCCTTATCCCTCAAATCTCCCTCCATGACTTTGACTCTAGAATCGATGAAATCACATCCGAACTAATTCATGCTGCCGAAAACGTCGGTTTCTTCACAGTCATCGATCATGGCCTCTCCAACGACGAAATTGAAAGCATGTTCTCTAACTCACAACGCTTTTTTGACCTCCCCGACGAGGTCAAGGCAACAGTGCCCTGGAGTTCGAAGAACGTCGGATGGGAGAAAAACGCCCAAGTCCGGCCGTCAACTGGGATGCCTGATACAAAGGAGTCTTATCAACTCCAGTTTGGGGAGAATATGAATGATGTCTGGATTGATGAGAGTCATCTGCCGGGGTTTAAGACTACTTCGTTGGAGTTTATGTATCGAGTACAGGGAATCTCAGAAAAACTGATGCGTTGTTTTGCACGCGGGTTAGCATTTCCGGAAGATTTCTTCATCAAAGCCCATGATGTCTCTCGGCCTAATTCTCAAACCGTGTGTCGACTACTACACTATTTTGCACTACCCGAAGAATCAGACGGCAAAGTCTACCATAGAGCAGGCGCACACGCCGATTGGGATTTCTTGACCCTCCTCTTCCAAAAGGCCGGCCAGAGCGGTCTCGAAATCTGTCCCGGCCGCGAAGTTGTTACCGAGTTCGGCATTGGCGACCTATGGACAAAGATTGAACCCAAAACTGGGGAGATTGTATGCAATATTGGTGACCTACTCATGTCCTGGTCTGATGATCGCTTCAAATCGACATTTCACCGTGTAAAGGCACCCAGTGAACCAGGTGACTACTATGGCGATCGGTACAGTATCGCATTCTTCAATCAGCCTTTCTCGGACGCGACGATCCAGGGACCGCTGAAGAAGTATCCCATGGTTACTGGGCAGCAGTTTACGGCGAACGCAATGAAGAGGAATTTTGCAGCTCTGCAGGAGAAGTTGAAGTCGATTGAAGCTGCTGCTTGATCCTTTCTATATGATTACACTTTATAGTTACTTTGTACGAAAGTTCAAGTTTTTTATGGCAACGAAATCAATAACAGCTGGAACCTGAATTATTGTTGGCATCCATGGAGCAGACTAGATGTCATTCTTAGGGTTGGATGTGGGGGCAGTCGGATAGAACCAGAGAATGGTCTCGGAGAAATCACCGAGCAAATCGAGGTTCTCCATTTAGTACCAACGTCCATAGCAATATTGAAATATTGAAAGTTAAATACACTTCTTATTCCGATCTCTATTCTATTCGACACTATGGAAAACCCATTAGCAATAGCAACAGTCGCTCTTGGACAACACCCATACCACTCTCTCCCATCCAAAATCAAAGCAGCAGCACAGCACGGCTTCTCCGCAGTAGAGATCGTATACAATGATCTGGCCTCTTATGCAGACTCGAGATTGCCCAAAGTAACTGTACAAGATGCAGCAGAAGAGATTGCAGCTCTCTGCACCGCTTACAACGTTGCAATATTATCCTTGAACCCATTCAGAAACTTTGAAGGACATTCATCGCCACTCAGCAAGCGACTTGAGGCAGCCCGACATTGGATCGAAGTTGCTCAACTACTTAAAGCGCAGTATTTGCAAATGCCATCTCAATTTGACACCGAAAATAGTACTGGGGACGAAAATGTCATCATCCCAGAACTCCAGCACTTGGCAGATATGACGGCCGCGATAGCCCCGGGGTTGAAAATTTCGTATGAAGCTGTCGCCTGGGGAGCTTATGTGTCTACATGGCAGGATTCCCTCCGCGTTGTTCAGTTGGTGGGCAGAGATAATTTTGGGTTATGTCTTGACTCGTTTCATGTTGTTGCGCGCTTGTGGGGAGATATCACGACGGAATCGGGTAAACAAGAACAACCTGGAAAGAATGTGGATGATATCCTTCAGCAGTCTTTGGACAAGTTTGTAGCAACTTGTCCACTGGATAAGATTTTTTACATACAACTCTCTGACGGTGAAAAATACTGGCCACCGTTGAGCCCGCAACATCGGTTCTACGATGCTAATTATCCGTCTTTGCTGATTTGGTCGAGGAATACAAGGCCGTTCCCCTTAGAGACCGAGTATGGAAGCTATATGCCTGTAGCTGAGGTAGCAAGAGCCTGGTTGGTGGGAAAGCGGTGGAAGGGCTATGTTTCATTGGAGGCTTTTGACTGGAGAATGAGGGATGAAGAAAATGGACCCGAGGATAACGCGCGGAGGGGAATGGAGTCTTGGAAAAAACTTTTAGCAGAACTGAAGAATACATGATCGTACGAATAACGTGATTCCTAGGCAATGTGTTTTATCTATTACTATACATCTATCACGATGAAACAATTCCCCCATCGACCTTCAACGCGCCTCCCGTCAAGAACTGCGAGTCACCACTAGCCAAGAAAGACACAAGAGCAGCTACATCTTCGACTTCCGCCCACCTACCCAACGGCACAGTCGACAGCATTTGTTGCATCTTCTCCGGCGGCCAAGTAGCTTGAAACATGGGCGTATTCACACCACACGGGTGAACGGTGTTTACCCGGATTTGGTATTGACCCAACTCGGCGGCCGCAGTCTGACATAGTCCCCGTAGGGCATATTTGGCGCTGGAATATGCGCACAGCCCTGGTGTAGCGCGCAGGCCGGCGATTGAAGAAGCGAGGATTATGCTTCCCCCCTTTCCCGAATCACGCATGACGCTGCCGGCATGTTTGATGCCTAGGAAGGCTGCCATTGATAATTAGCATCTTGTTTTTTTGTGCATTGGGGTCATGCATACCAGATCGAGTGTTTACTCTAATTATTTTATCCCATAACTCATCATCGGTGTCTAAGATACTGGTCGATGAATACGATATTCCCGCACAGAAAAAAGCAATGTCTAAGCCGCCAAAATGCTCTGCGGTCTGTGTCACAAATCTTTTTACGTCAGGTTGATCTGTAACATCCGCTTGTATTGTCAAAATTCGCTCTGTGATTTCTGTGCTAGGAAAGGAATCTTCCAACTTCTTTAGCGCGTCGTTCAAGGCGGTCGCTTGAATATCGATGAGAGCGACTTTGGCACCCTCGGACAAAAACCAGCGAGCTGTCTCGAAGCCGATGTTGCCAGCAGCGCCAGTGATTAGCGCGATTTTATCCTTGAGGCGATCCGGGATCGGCTGAGGCAGTTTCATTGTGGTCATTTGCGCTGTATTGAGTGACACTTTCACTTAGAGGACCATTCGATATGCTTCATCGTTCAGGCTGGTGTCTCTTCTGAAAATAACAACTAACGGTGTCGAAAATTGGGCCATTACCTGCGTTCGCCTTCGATTTTCGATTTTCTTGACGAGCAACTAAACATTAAATCCCCGGGGAGAACGCCGACATCGTTCGCCCCATAGCAATGAGCTAGCAAGCAATTCTCCACACCATTTCAATTTGAATCTCGAGCTCTCAAACTCAGTGAGATATGGATGCGGAGTTTCGGTTCACAATTCGATTCTAGTGAATCACCAATTTCTGGAAGAAATCCGGGGGACATGGAGAAGAGGAAAAACGAGTACGGCATTTCCCTTAGCCGATGTTTTGCAGAACGGGTAAGCTCTCCACCGGGAGGATTTGATTGGTTGTGCTCCGTACCCAGGAATATGATTCGTTGACTAATATATATTCTGATTGGATGATGATCCAAATAAGACTGTTTGCGGGGAATCGGTTCCCCACTCCGGTAGCTCCTTCCCCATACAATCTTTCCCCACGTGCAAGGGATTCCTCAGGCATTAAGAGAAAAATTCGAGTATTTATCGGTCATATCCCGCTTTTTCCAGGATCATTCTCTCGCTTTAGCTTCATATGTTGCTGTTGTGGCTGGTCGGTATACCTTCAGCAAACAGCGATATATATAGCTCCACCATTATAGCTCAAAGTCGTTCCAACATTGAATCTTGGAAGGTTGATCCACACGACGATAATCATGAGGAACCCGTTCGCTCTCTCTGGCGCAATCGGAGATGACACTCCGCGCGAGATCTTCGGATATCGCATCTATTTGCTCGCTTTATCGGCTACCTGGGTATGCAATTGGGATGCAATAAAGTAGATAAGCATGGAGAATGGCTGACCTGGAAGAAATGTAGGCATCGGCCATGTATGGTTATGACTCTGCCTTCATCGGAGGCACCCTCAACCTACCCTCCTTCCAGACTTCCTTTGGTCTGACAGCCGCTACCACCACTAATCTGTCATCCAACATTGTCTCTACCTTCCAGGCCGGTGCTTTCTTTGGCGCCATCCTCGGCTTTTTCTTGGCGGAACGTCTTGGACGCAAGCTGGTAATCATAATATTTGGTGTCGTCTTCATCACCGGTGTTATCTTGCAGCTCATTGGTCACCTCGGACTTTTGTACGCTGGTCGAGCCTTGACGGGAGTGACGATTGGCTGCACTTCTATGATCATTCCCATTTACATTTCCGAATGTTCACCAGCTCAGATTCGTGGTCGAATGGTCGGAATGTTTGAGATTATGCTTCAAATCGCTCTGGTCTTTGGATTTTGGGTCAACTACGGCGTGCAAAAGAATATTTCTGGCAAGACCCCAAAACAATGGAGAATTCCTGTCGGGGTTCAGTTGATTCCCGCTGGGCTGTTGTTGATCTTCATGCCGTTCATGATTGAAAGTCCTCGTTGGTTAGTCAGCAAGAACCGGAATGAACTCGCTTTGAAGAATTTGGCCTGGGTGCGCAACTTGCCCGAAGACCACCCATATTTGCAACGCGAGATGGCTGATATCCAAGCCGCTGTTGAACACGAACTTCAAATTGTACACGGCTCCCGCTCTGCTTTCCAGATGCTGCGAGAATGCGGCGCCCCTGGAATCCGAAATCGTGTCCTCATTTCCGTTATGCTTATGCTTTTGCAGAATCTTACCGGGTATGTTATTTCCTCGCCGTATTTATTAGGCCGATCTAACAAACCTCAGAATCAACGCCATCAACTACTATTCACCCACCATCTTCAAGTCCATCGGCTTTACTGGCACGTCTGTCCAACTCCTCGCCACTGGTGTCTACGGAATAGTCAAGATGGTCACAACAGTAGTCTTCATGGTCTTCATTGTTGACAGGCTCGGAAGACGTCCGGCCTTGCTTGTTGGTGCTGTCGGCGCTGCTGTTGCCATGTTCTACCTCGCCATCTACTCCGAGCTCAGTGGCTCATTCAAGCATATCCCGCCTAAGGACTCCGGGTCTAACGCTGCCGTCGCCATGATATATATCTATGCCATCTTCTACGGTTTCTCATGGAACGGTATTCCCTGGATTATTGCTTCCGAAATCCTTCCCAACAGAGTTCGTACCCTGGGTATGATGTTTTCAGTCTGTATGCAATGGCTGGCCCAGTTCGTGGTGGTTTATTCCCTGCCACATATGGTTAAGTCTATCACCTTTGGAACCTTTTACTTCTTCGGTACCTGCACCCTTGTTGCACTCGCATTCGCTTATTTGTTCGTCCCCGAAACCAAAAGTGTCCCTCTTGAAGAGATGGACTTCTTGTTTGGTGAGGATGTCAGCGTCTTCGCAGTGGCTGCAAAGCGGCATTACTACGAGTTCAAACAGACCGGCTTGACTGTCAGTGAGATTCACAACACCGAAAAGGGGGGTGAGACTCAGTATATCGAGAAGGTTTAACGAAGTATAGCTATATTCTATGATCTGTAGTATATAAATATATTTAGGTTACAATATGGATCATTGAATCCGTCTTTCTAACTATCCCATTTGTATAATGAAAATAATGATTATCATCTTTCGGGTCTTTCAAGAGCAGCCTAGTCAACTAGGAGAGACCATCTCGGTTTTGCACCAAGTGTACCTTAAACCGAGTCCGCCGCTACGGCTACCTGCCTGAAACCGATACTAGAAGCCGGATTTACCATAGCCATCCGCTTCATACGGACCCCATTTACCCCAGAACTAGCCTCGAGCTAGTAGACCCTGGTTAATGCTACTATCCAAGCCAACCCCGCATCATGGGTTGCATTCTGTTTTCTACTCTCCATCTTTACTCATAGCGGATTAGCAATAACTAGATTCAGGCAGAATTGAGAGACCATATTCCCGTAAGGGGTAATGAACAACAACCCCGGACGCTGCTTGGATGTATGAGTGGTCACAGGAGCATAATGCTTGTCTGCTATGTCCGTCCAGCTAGATAGATAATATTTCCACTAATCATGATGCAACCGACCCTGGACTTTTTATACGTAGATAACACCATGCTTGCCCAGGTTCTTTGCCGTACTACTTTCCTACTATGAGGTTTTTCGAATAGTCTACGACTATCCGCATGCAAAGAGCACTACCTATCGCCAACATGATAGACGGATACACGCTGATGCACAAAATCGTGCGAAATGATGCTATCAAATCTGATCCCCCAGAGGTATACAACTGGCGTGCTTTTGCACTTGCTGCTGCCGTGAGTCTTCTCGTTTGTCGGCCATACGTGGGTTCCCTAATGGTTATATGGAATTATAGGCTTGCTTCGGAGGAACCCTATTTGGCATGGACACTGGAATTATTGGTGGTGTTCTGACATTACCTGATTTTAAGAAGTGAGATTTTGCCAACCATCACCTATTTCGTGGCCTAAATGATGGGGGCAGAGAATTCGGTCTCGATAAACTCGACACAGTCGCTCGCGCAAACCTATCCGCGAACCTCGTCACAGTAGTCCAGGCGGGTGCTTTCGCCGGTGCCCTCAGCGCATTACCCTTTGCTGAAAAACTTGGTCGAAAAAAGAGCTTGCTTATCGTCGCGGTGATCGCGTTTATTGGTGGATTGTTGCAAGCTTTTGCATATGGCCACCTTGCTTGTTTTTATATTGGACGGTATACCCACACCATCATCTTCTATTATATTTCGAGCCTAATAATGGAACAGATTTGTAGAAGGACTGGGATTAGGGGGTGCCACAATGCTGGCTCCGACATATGTTTCCGAAAATGCTCCTAGAGGCATTCGTGGTCTATTGATTGGGTTTTATCAACTATTCGAAACGATGGGTGCAATGATTGCATTTTTTATTGATTATGGGTCACTGTTGCATATTCCGGTCAGAATCTTTTTTCCAACTACAATCTTAGGTAAATCTGTTTATGCTGATGAATAGAATATTGAGTAGGGCCATGCGTCATGGATGGTCCCCCTGGCGATACAGTCGCTCCCTCCCATACTGATCTTCGGGAGCATCCTACTATGTCCAGAATCGCCACGCTGGCTTGCGAGTCAAGATAACTGGGAAGAAACAACAAGAGTGCTCGTCAAAGTTCGTCATCTTCCATCCGATCATCCATATATCCAGCAAGAGTTACTCGAACTTCGAACACAATTGGAAGAAGAGCGTCGTTCTGCGGGTGGAAAGGGTTTTTGGGCCTTGCAAAAAGAGTGTTGGCTTATTCCCGGAAATCGGAATCGAGCTTTACTTTCAATTGGGTTGATGGTTTGCCAACAGTGGACGGGTGTAAGCCTACTTCCTTTTCTGTTGTGAAGTGAAATACTTATTGACCAACAGACAAACGCAATAAACTACTACGCCCCAATGATATTTACTGACCTCGGTATAACCGGAGAATCCAACAGCCTTCTTGCAACCGGCGTCTACGGCATCATAAAGATGGTATCATGCGGTATCTTCATCACTTTTCTAGCTGACACCCTCGGTCGTCGTTGGTCCCTTGTCTGGACTGCCTTTGCAATGTGGACCTTCATGTTTTACCTAGGGTTTTATGTTCGTTTCGATCCTCCCAAAACCGGTGAGCCCATCTCATCTGCCGGCTATGCAGCCTTGGTCATGGTATACCTCTTTGCGGCAGCATTTCAGTTCGGCTGGGGACCTGTCTGCTGGATTTATGTCAGTGAGATTCCTTCTAATAGGCTACGAGGATTGAATGTCTCGCTCGCGGCTGCAAGTCAGTGGCTTTTCAATCTGGTTGTAGCTCGTGTTACGCCCGTCATGCTCGTCTCTGTAGGCGGGAAGACTGGATACGGGACGTATTTCATTTATGGCTCGTTTTGCTTTACCATGGGTTGTTTGGCATTCTTCTTACCGGAAACGAAAGGGGTAAGCATACTCTTCTTTCCTGAATTGAGAATATCCCTATTAACTGGTATATAGATTTCTCTTGAGCGAATGGACGAATTGTTTGGTGTCGCCGACTTCTCTGCTATTGATAATTTGGAACTAGGAAAGAAAGAGAAGGCAATTGAGACCGCTCATATTGAGAACTAGAAAGTGTATCAATGAGTTACAAGAACATAAATTAGTGGCATTACTAGAAGATAGAGGATGAAGACGCATGACCACTGCCCAGCGCGAACTGTGTAGCCCGTAAAATATCATCAATATTTAAACTGACTTGGATCCTATCCGTGAACCTCGTCACAGCCATCCAAGCTACTCCTTCTATCAGCAATCAGCTGGTTATATCTTCTGTGAATGCAGCATCTAAACTAGTCTTATCTGATATCTAGGTAGAATATTACTATTGTTTTTGCTTCCAGAAGAAATAGCTAAGTACAACAGAAACTAACTATATCTTGTTAGAACAGCATGTAGCCCTATGCCATAAGAAGTAAAACTAATAGCCATTAGATAACTAGACATCTGTAAAATTTTCGAACAACTGACATAAGCAGCATACAGGCTGAGGTAATGGATATCTAATTAGCTAGAGCACCCCCAAGTCTGTACACATTTATATATAATCATCATTGATCTTCTCATTAGGAAACCAAGCAATCAGCTGTTCTGCTGTATGGATAAATTAGGAATGGAAAAGGAAAAAAGGGTAGTTGAAAGTGTTCATATTGAGAACGTGAAACAGCGGCTTTGCTAGAAAATAGAAGACGAAGATCCATGGCCCCCGTCCAGCGCGAACTCCGTAGCCTGCAAAATATCATCAATATCTAACAGTGGCGAAAATGTCATTTGATTTCCTTCCAAATTCATAGTTCCACCACTATACACCGGACTTTGCGGTAATCCTAGATGTGCCTGTATAGTCGCATACGAAATTTCTAGGCTGTCTTTAGCACTCTCAATCATCCGTTCCTGAAGCGATTGACCCGGTAGTAGGCTCTCAGCTTGGCTCAATACAACACTGAGCTTCATGTGTAACCTGACGTTGGTTTCGCCAAACTTCATGCGTTGAGCTGACTGCCATTGTGCTTCTTGTACAGCCGCTACGAGTATTGCCCGATAATCCCAGGGTGGTTGCGCCACCGGATTGGAGCCTTTCTCTTGTATCTCAATGAGCAACTCTGACGCTAGGGCCAATGATACGTGGATGATACGGTTTTTGAACATGCCGCTACCACGTAAGAGAAGACGAGTGAAGTTTTCATCTTTTGGAGGAGAAAGTAGAGTAGAAGCCGAATCGTAGCTAATCTTCCTCGAATAGTAGAACAAAGGGCTTACATGAGCCCTACTGGCCCATGGACGGTGTAGGCTGAGCAGAAAGCGTCGAATCAATAGATCTGCGAAATTGTGGCGGAACACTTTCCCTTCATTTCCGGGGCCGTGTCTGATCAAATCGCGGCAATGGTTGCAGGACTTGATGATTTCGGAGGTCAAAGTAATAGCCTCCTCCTGAGTCATTTCTGAGTTCACACCGTTCATTATATGCAGAATGTCGAACCTGGGTTGTAAACACTCGGATAAGAATATTTGTAGGGATGTATCTGTTGATGTAGCGTGCGGCCTCGGAAATATCTCCTCGGTACGATCATCTATGTCCGTGTCATTAATGTTAGATGGTGGTTTCGTATCAAAGTCTTGCAGTGACACAATGGGTTGCATTCCGGCATCCAAGGAAGCTTGTACATTCATCTCCATTATAGTAGCCCAAAGTCTTCTCCGGATCTCCGTGTCCCTAGTCACCATTCATGAATTAGCACTGTGCTAACCAGACCGATTCCGCGGATTACTCACAATACACTCATGTTTGCCAAATGACTCGGATCACGATGAAGACCCATTTGCATTGCTGTGCGAAGAAGGGTTCCCATTGAAACCCATATCAAATCCCCGCTTACTGATAGACACTGCCGTGCGAGAATCAATAAGCATTGTACTTGCAGACCACTTATGCCTATACGATCTTTTTCCATGGGAGCCGACAACCAAGCTTGCGAAGCGTAGACCCATTGGCATGCTGCCGAGTACACTTGGTCCGAGCCATAAGGTTCTTGACAAAGGCTGCATCCAATAGAAATGACAAGATGTACCTTATACTTAGTAACATCAGGGGCAGTTGCAGGATGTCTCCAATAGTTGTCATACTCAGCCCAGAACGACGGGATATGAAGAATACGAAAAGCCGATTCGAAACGTGACATGTACAAATGAGCCATTGCGTCTGCAAATACCTTGGTAGGGAGTGCAGGCTCAGACAGCGATAAACACCTAGTGGGCCTGAATGTTTTGATCCCTTTGGCGAGGAGTTTGCATTTTTGCAGGAGCATATGTATCTCCGATTTCAGGCTTTTGATACGCTCGTTGTCACTGGGCTCAGGGGTTTCAATTTTCATGTAGTCATTTATCCTTTTGAACTATAATAGAAAAGTTAGCTTAGTGCAAGCAAACCTGGGCACGCGACCTTTGCGAAGTGAGAATATGTACCTCGTAGACGTCGTTCGTCCAATGTGTCCGACCAAACAATCTCGACTTGTTCAACGTGGTCTTTGTACCATGTAACACTGAATTTGATGCATATTCACTTTCGCGAATGGTCGAGGGGCCTGAATTTGAAGTTCGATCGACATCCAAACTAGACCTATTGCGCGAGAGCAGATGCTCCAACGTTCGGAGCCGAGTTTCGAGCTCATTGATATGATCATCGTGTCTTCTGCTTACACTAGAGATGTCCTTTGGTAACGCGTTTGCCCCAGGAGTCATATTCTGATGCGTATATCTGGGAATCGATATGGTATCAACACCGTCTGCTTCTGCTCGACTATCATCACGGCTTGGGGCTAAAGCAGGTTCCACTGTCGATTGGGGTGTTACTTGAGGACCTGCAATATGAACTGTGTAGCTGGTCGGAATCGTATTACCGCTGCTAACTCCACTTAGCACTTCATTGTTGTAGACGCAATGCTTTCTTGTAGTGAGACAACGACTGCATGGCACTTGTCGGTCACATTTCACTTTTCGCCGTCGGCACTCGTTACAGGAACGAGCAGAACGGCGACGTCTCCGCGTAACTCTCAAATTGGTATCAATCATTGCAGGCATCATAGCTTGGCAGAGTCTAATCTCAAAGTGAAGCCAAAACGGTGATAAAAATTATTTGTTGCGAGATCAAAATCCGAGGGAGAAAAGGATGCGCCGGAGATACGACATCCAATAATCTTCATTATCTCCGCTTGAACCAATCAAATTCTCAAGATTTTCCACGCAAGCTCCACTATCGGCTCCGAGTCTGTATCGCCCTAGCATTCAGGCATCAAATGTCCAGCCCTAACTTTTGGAGAAATTGCCTAAATTGGTAATTCCCTCTTCCTTACATCTGTTTCCAAGAGTTAGGGTTGCGATCTCTTGACGTTGAGATCCACATCTTCTCCATAATATATCTTATAGTCTTCTGCCTATGAAGTCTAATGCTGATATTGCTACTGCGGCTTTAAGTGACGGGGCCGATCATTGTTCAAATACAAAAATCACCAGCGGACTTAATGCTTATAGAACATAGCTATGGAGTACATACGTATGTGTATATAAGTATCTTCATTTTGGACTAGGGTTTGACCTTGAATAGCTGAAATCAATCGTTTTTGTCCTCTGTCTTTCATCCGTTGACAAACGAGCCCTCGTCTAGAAAACCTGCCGACCTGAACCATGGAACAGCAACTCCCATCCGAACATCGAGCTCTCGTCGTGACTCAAGTTGGAGCAGAACTGGAGATCAAACCACTCCCTACCCCATAGGCTGCTATTGAAACTGCAGTATGCCGTGTCCTTCACGCTGGAGGATTATCCTACCACAGCGGGATTTACAGCGGAAAGCGCCCATATCCTTTCCCAACGCCTCTTGTAGCTAATTACAGTGCAGTTGGGCGTATCGTGGCCGTTGGAGAAGATGCTACAGCTTTGAAGCCGGGTTAACTCATCTGGATCGATTGCGTCATTCATGGACGGGATGATCCAGACAATACGTACCTTCTGGGCATCCACGATGCTATGAACGAAGGAAGTAAGAAGCTGTCGCACAGTATGTGACACGACGGGGGTGTTCGCGGAATTTATTAAAACGCCTCTTGAGAATTGTATTACGCTTGACGAGGCTAGGTTATGCCAACAACTCGGCTATACAACTAAGGACCTGGTCTATATGGCTCACCTCCTGGTGCCGTTTGGTGGACTCCGAGACATCAAGCTCGAGCCAGGTGAAACAGTGGTCATTTGCCCTGCTACAGGTGGATTTAGCGGCGCTGGCGTTCAGATCGCTGCCGCAATGGGGTGCAAGGTAATTGCCATGGGCCGAGACGAGAAGGAACTGGCAAGGCTCAAGGAGTTCGAGGAAAACAGACTTCCATCGGCAGCAGTTGAGGCTGTGAAGATTACACATGATGAAAAGAAAGACACTGCGCATTGTTGTAGATACATTGCTGAAAGAGCTGGGTGGCGATGGCCATACTGGGTGTCTCTATATGCAGCTGGAGTGGTCACCGTAGGAAATATTTTGCTTAATACCGAGACGAATTCGATCATCTTGATGCGGCGGAAAGCCGTACGACTACGCAAGGAGCTGAATCGACCAGAGCTACAATTCGTTTTTAACAGCAAAGATGAAATAGATATGTCGATGACTACAGTTCTTAGCCGCGGAATAGTGAGACCCGTGAGAATGCTGTTCGGAACTCCGATTTTGCTGCTCCTTGCTACGTATATGTCCTTTGTATTTGGCTTGCTATATCTGCTTTTCACGACCCTGACTTCTCTTTATATTTCGACATACCACTAGCGAGTAGAACATTGTGATCTAGCTTACTTGGGTGTCAGGACTGGCTGTATGATTGGATTATTGGTGATCGCTAGGGATATGCGCTGTAAATTGACGGTAATCTTACCAGCATGGTTTATGGGTAATTCGACCGTAAAATATATAACTTAGTTACTGGCTTAATTTACAGAGTACAGAAGCTCAAAATTATAGATTTCTTGGGAAGATAAGGTGCAGCAGCATGCAATTAATTGATCAAGTCACAGCAATCTCCACTTGTATCTACCGTTTTCTCTTGAAAGGTTTACGACTACTATATTCATTATTATCGTCTTCCCCAATGATTATTAGCAGAGATCCTTCAAGCTCAAGAGCCTCTTCATCATTTAGTCAATCAATCCGCCTTTTCACCTTCTTTCGATCTAAGATTCTGCGATTAATATGCATATAAGCATATATTATCAATCTTGTCGACCTTCAATCGGTTCCGGTAGCGGGTGTGTGTAAGATTCATCGTTAAGAATACTCGTTCCGACGGTACTGAGTTTGCTGGCGTCTCGAATAATCGCATTGTGAGTCCAGCTAAGCCAGATGAGTATTTTGAAGCAAACTGCCAGAACGTATATGGATCACCAATCACTTCTTTTTCCCAGAGCGCACTACTCTCAAAACCCTATCTCATACGCTTGGAATTTAGGAAATCTCGTCGAATCTCTGTGTTGCTCAGAAAAAGTATATTTTTTGATGAATTTAAATATAGTTGTTTGGTCGCCATTATTGAATCTCTTGTGAACGTTCGTTGGGTCAAGATGGAAGATTACAAGGTGGATTGGTAGTAGCTGAGTGGCTTTTCGAAATCTGAAGGCTGTGAGGAGATTGTCAGAATGGCGGTAATAACTCAGTGTCTCTTTGATTTAGCTCCAGTGCCCTTTCACTAGCCTAAATGAGCATTTGAGCTTTCGAATGCGACTTGAGTATTGTGTATTGGATCAAGGATATCAAGCGGCACATCAACACCCACCCAGAAGGAGTATTCATTATTAATATCTCGAGCGAATGTTTTTAGAGTATCCTTAGACAGCTTTAGATGTGCAAGAACATTGTGTTGTGTTCCCCACCGAGTCTCGCAGGCTAGAGTAAGGACGTACTCCTGCCAATAAGATTCTCACTGATAGTAACGTAGTAATACTAGCTGTTTATTAGCTGCACGGAAATGTGAAATAATGGCATTAGCATCTTTAATTGTCTTGCTGAGCAGATATACATCGGACAGTTACTTCGCTTACGGCTGCACGAAAAAAGTGGTTGAATTTGTACAGTATACCTCATATTATGACCTCTATTAATGGATAATAAAAACACAATGTAGCTCAACAGTTCTTTACTAGCTATACACCTTTTATATTAGAGCCGATTACAGAAATCTCCGTGTGAATGGTCCTCATCGTTTCCTACGAGAGACATCCAAACTCTCCGCATTTTTCGTGCAGTCGTAGGCAAAGTAAGTGTCCGATGTATATGCAAGGAAGGAAACATGTCGTATTCCGATTTGCGGTGAAATGGCTAATGATAATCATCCCAGATCGGATTGCATATGCGACCTCAACCTCCAATCCGGGTGCAGAACCCTAAGAATGGTGCACGCATCCAGAATTCGGTGTCCGGAGAATGGACTATACATGTCCGTCAAAGTCATAAATAACTACTACAGCTTTCCCATCCTCTTCTTTATCAGGCTTTAGAATCTCCGAGTTCAACAAAATCTACACTTACAGCACATATAATCCCAATATGAGCATGTTCCCAGACCCACGACGCATTGTCACTGGCCATGATGATGAAGGCCGGTCTATTGTTGTAGCAGATAGTACAATTCGATGCGAACCAACACCAGTCAAGTGCAATTTTGCTGTCCTCTACGAAACCCATCAATTTCCAGCATCCAACAATGAGTGGATTGACCCTATTACTACCCGAACGACGGACTTGTCTAACAAGGACGGTGTCGTTTTAAGAGTAGTAGACTTTCCACCTAACACAGAGACGGTAAGTCTTTCACTGTCTCCAATGCATACTTAGCATAGTGCATAACCTGGTGTACAACTACATGCCTGCGCTCAGAACTATCTCCTGACGAAACTGCACTAGATATATCATCGAACTGTGTCCCTCGATTTTGGCATCCTACATGAAGGAGAAATCACATGGTTAGTCCCATACTATTGCTAGAGAGTGACAGGGGGCTTATATTCTCTAACCAATAGTCATCTCGATGACGGTGTCCGAATCGATATGAAACCCGGAGACGTCTGTGTTCAACGAGGTACCATCCATGGATGGACCAATTACACAGACAAACCCGCAAGAGTTTACTTTATCTTGACCGGTAGGAAAGCCTTCTGTAATGGTGCATTGAGAAGTTTATCTAACACTTAAGTTTGCATCTGCAGCTGCTGAGCCGGTCACTATCAACGGCCAGGAGCTGGGAAGTGAAGGTTTCAAAAGAGATGAAGTGGAGTCTGGTGGTCATTGAAATGGCTTTTTGAATCTCTACAGAGGATTCATTGAATCGTTGACAAAATTTCCGAGCTCGGCTCCATAGGAAAGCGGCAATAGTATACCATGAATCTTCATCTCCGATGGATGTATATGTATTCGTAATACAGTATGCTTCACTAATTGACATCCTAACATGGCTAGCCCAAGCATTTCAACCCCGCATCTTTTGTAAATACATCGTATTGCAATTCTCCCATACCGTAAATGTATACAACAAGCATGCCAGGAAGACGGTGACAAATACAGGTTGCAAAGAGATATTCTATCATCCCATCATTGGACAACAATGTATAAAATGATAACGATACCCCATATGTGGCTATGCAGAACAATCAAAGAATAAAGCTCTGAAATGCGAGTCCTCTCTCTCCAACAGCACTGAGGATCATCGTACTCCTGAAGACGCCCGTTACTAACAACACGACTTTATCACACTCAAGAAGGTGTTCGAGTTTATGCGCTACACTGATAATCGTGTTGTTCTGGAAGTTTTCCCGAATGATGTCTCGTATCACAAGGTCCGACTTTGCATCGAGACTGATATGAATTCTGTTAGACGGCGTTCTGACCTATCACTATAGAAGAGTAGTCACCTGCTCGTAATTTCATTCATCATCATAACAGAACTAGGATGCGCAAGAGCCCTTGCTAGAACCAGAAGCTGACTCTGACCGACCGAAAGTGTCTGCTCATTTGCAGGTGCATCTAACCCTCCTTGCTGCTCCAGAAATTCCCATAAGCCTACCTTTTCAAGGAATGATATGCATTCTGCATCTGTGAAAGTACCCCTTGGATCGACGTTCTCTCTGATCTTGCCCGGTACCAAGACTGGATTCTGTGGGAGGGCCAACAATCTTTCACGCAGAGCATCTGGTGATATCCATTTCAGTTCCAGGCCGTCGACTGTTATGCTTCCTCGCGAGATTTGGAGAATTTTAGAAAGTGCCGATAGAATTGAGCTTTTTGCCACAACTTAAATTGGCTATTAGTATTGCTACCCTTAGGAGATCCCTGTAATCGTGAAAGGGATCGTACCTTCCGGTTCGCCCACAGATGCCAATTTTTTGACTAGGTTCAACGTCAAATGTGATATCTTCGAGGACATCTATCGCTCCAGCGCTAATGATCCGTTAGCACAAAGACAATAGTCACTGTAGGACTACCACCTACACATATGAAGCATAAACATTCTGAAATGATGCTTTTCCCGCCGAGGGCCAATCTAGCGGCGGTTCTATAGTCGACTCCGTCTCCTCTGACGGCGTATCTTCACAGAACACCTTAATGGGCCAGATTGCTTGAATATTAGTCTCGGGAACGGTCCAATTTTGAATCAGGAAATTCATATTCAACGCAAAATTGATGACACCGGTGAGACCGGCTCCCAGAAATGTGGTCGTTGCACTTCCTCGTACCATGACAGTCAACGAGACCTGAACAACGGCGATGCCGGCGACGATCAAGTCAAGCACGAAAGCCATCTCTATAACCCTAACCCTAAAATTGACTCGTTTTTCAATAGCCTCAAGCCACAGTTTTAGCCATTTGTTTGCCATTGTTACGATTATATTGCCCATTATGACGCATGCTGTGATATAAGGTCAGCCAAGAGAACCAACAGCAAGCTGACTATATATGATTAACCCCTAGCAACAAAATAATACAATCCTAACAGTAGCGAGACCCAGCTGCCGGTCCAATAGCCACGTTAATATCCCAATCTCAATCAAACATGCATACGTGTTGTGGACTGTTGTAAGGCGAGGTTGATTCGCTCGGTGTCACTGTTCAAAGAGTAATTGTAGAAGAAACAGCTTCTCCCGTATCTTTCCGATTGCGTTCCAAGGCATTTTCAAAGAGAAGTGCTATAAGTCCACCTCTGATCTGAGTCACGAATTTGGTAGTGAATACATATATGCCCGTGTTGACAACTACCTTTCGTATCAATAAGATATACCCAAATCCGCCTGGTAGAAGGTAAACAGGAAGCTTACAGCTATACCGACATAGACTACAACATATGCAATAAAATCCCAGGTACGAGATGACACAGATGCATTCGAGTCTTGTTCATGACCAATAACCCTAGCCAGTAGAAATGGTTGTGAAAAATTAAACGCGATGAGGCATAATCGTGGAATGACACCCGCTATCAAATTCCCTTTATTGCTCCAGAAGCAGACCTGAGCAGAGAACACGGTTTTCGCTGATCGACTGCATGGTGACTTGTTTAGCATAACAAATAAGAACCGGGAGAAATCAAACGAGCATACCCAGTTTCCAACCTGATGTAAATCCTTGTGAAATATTCTTAGCTCTCATCTTGGGATTAAGCTCAAATAGCATATTGAGAGTCAGCGAGTGCTTGTATCCTAACCACATCAAACGGTGCAACCACCAGAAAGCGGATAGCTTGATGACACTGGCAAGAGCTTCCGGTGGATAATTTGCATAAGGTTGTCTTAGCGCCCTTCACTTGCTCTAAGACTCAAGTATAAGAATCATGAACTTAATGGCTTAGACTATTGTAAGTATAATAGCGACGACAACCGTGCTATTGATGACATAGAGGCTGTAGAGGCGAATAACGTCCAGGACGATAGTCACAAACAAAAGAACAGTTAAGAAGTCCGCCGGCCTGATAGACAACCTATGCTTAAAATCTGATAAGCAGGTAAACAATGCGGACGAAATGAAACTTATAGCTGTGGTGGCTATTGAGAGTCGTGTTTTGGGAGTGGATGGTAGAGCCGTAATAGCCAACTGGGATAGTTGAAGAGCCGAAAGCAGCAACCAAAAGCCCTAACTGGCACTTAGCAATGACGAAAAAACTTTTAAGAAATACTAGATTACCATTTTCAAACCCCATAGTCCTTCTCTTCGAGCTTTATCCGAGCTTTTTCTAAGCTGTATTAACCTCGCAACACCGATAAGGAAAGCTAGACATGTCAGCAGCAGACTCATAATCGATTCTGCAAACAATAAAGTAAAGATCTGCGTGCCACATGCTGGACTGCTGCTGAACGCAGACCAGATGCTCAAGTCCACTATTGAGCACATCTTCGCGGCAGATGATGTGGCTTACTTGCCACAAAGTAACATGAACCCAACAGGTTTTGATACCCATCTACTATCCATGAGGATACCCGCAAAATTAGTGAAGAGCAAGTCAAGGGCTGTGGAATTGTTGAGTAACGCAATCAGTGATTCAGGCCCATCTCTACAACCGGCCTACTAAAATCATGTGACGTATGCGTTGGTAAACGCGCTTTGGAATTGGGAATGGGTACTGAGACTTGGATGGAGATAGCCCTGTCAGGACCCTAGTGACAAGGGCAATCCAAGTATTGCAGATTTTCACTGGTACAAATCCTTGTCTCAGCCCCGACGGCCCAGGACCATGACCCAAATGCCGCACAGCCTTGGGGCTAAACCTGGATGAGTGGGAAAATGTATGCGCACTCGAGAAAGCACTCAATAGACTGTCCACGGTACGAAGTGTTAAGAAAATGAGTCGACATTATGACAGTCTCGAGGTTAGGTTAAAATGGCGGGCCGACAGATGTTATGTTAGATATTATTGGTGAAGTGCACAGCGCAGTGAGGCCCAACTGGCCTTCCATTCTGGAAGAAACAAGTATTAAAGCGAGGGGTCTTAATCCTTCATTATAGAGGACAATTCCCTGCTAAAAACAGGACAACGTTGTCAAGAAGAGACATGGGAGCCTTCAATTGAGAAATTACAGCATCCTCTAGTTTCTATCAATTTCACGAGATTGAGGGCAAAATAAGCCCCGATGAATCAAACATGTTATGATGACTTGTATGAAAACAGTGATAGAGGATCGGGCGTACAGAGCAAAGTCTTAGTTATCAATTACTGGACAGCCCGGTGAGAGTGGTATCTTCAAATTTCGGGCTGAGGGATACGCCTGGGGAACCATAGGACCGAAAGGAATGGGTCATAATAAGACGACTTAGAGCTAGCGTTCAAGATAGACCATAAAGTTGCGGTCTGTTAATCCATTCACCAATGCTTCCGCGGAACGAATATTAACTCTCATCAATATATGCAGAAGAAATACATATTATGCTTATAAAGTAAGTTATGCGTTAATGTACAAGTATCTAACACGGTCCGTTCTTCGACGCCTTTTTTTTCTCCGTATAGAGTTCAGGGAATATTCATCCGTCAGCCACCGTCCAAAGTAAAGACAGGCTGGTCTTGGAGCCAGCCATATGAATTAACCCAGCGCTCATTAAACAGAATTCAACGCTCCGAACAACACGAGTCGTGAGAAGGCGGTTTAAAAAAGAACCGAGAACCAAAAGAAAAACAGCAAGCTCTATGCTATGTCGTTTAAAAGTGATGACCCAAACCGAACACCGAAGAAGAGAGACTTTATGCGGGCACGTTGTAAAATGGTAGTATAGAAAAGGAGGACGTGTTGATGGTCAATCGAAGGTAGATAGTCGATATCGCGTTAGTGAATATATAGAGGAAATTAATCATGCGAAAGCTTTTTGGTCCGATGGAGGTGGAGGAGGAAGCTGTTTTGGTCGGAGTTAGCAAACGAGTCAACAATTCCACGGGCACACGCCAAGCCAGCAAACATGGGTTGTCATACCTCGAGTTTTGTATTATCAGCCATCATACGCTGGAAACCAATACCAACACCCTCAATGACAGCAAGGAAGACAGCACACATAATAGCAGAGTTTCGGGCGGCCTTGTAACCACCACGGATCGCTAAGGAACCACCAGTGAGGAAACCAGCCATGATCGCATTATACGGATCTTCCTTCTTTCGGATTCCCTTGATCGAGCAGTCATAAATACTAAAAAGTCCACCCCAAGTGCCGAAGTTACCACCGAGAACGGGCGCGCGTGCCTTGATGGCTGTGATTGCACCTATCCGGCGCTCACCGTAGGGGCTATTCCTGAATCCTTTGACACCGTGCCAGACAGCACCACCGATGGCACCCATAGAGAAAGCACCGCCAAAGTCACTGAGAGCGACCCAGGGACAGGGATCGCGCGAGTGATCCATTATGTATGTGCGAAGGTGTGAATAAGGAGGTGGAAATAATCGAGTAAAGAGGTCAGGAGGATACGCCGACTATCGCGATGAGACCAGTCGACGGAGCGCGTGAGGTAAAAAAGGTGATCGAGTATCGTTATATGTCAATATTTCGAGGATTGTTGGATGGTAGCAACTCGAATACCGATGGATGACGACAAGAAGCGCAGTATTCGAGAGAGCAAACGTCGACAAAATCAAGTCGGAGATTGCGGGTCGATGACTTTTTTTTCTGCCGCTTAGTGCACGTGACCTCCCGCAAACCGACCCGGTTTTCCACGGTCGGTGCAGATTTTTCACTCGATCTATAACTTCTCCAGACTCCAGAGTATGGGGAAGAGATATGTTTGTTTGATCCGCTCTTCCGACTTATTGATCTGGCGGATTCTAGAATGAAACATGCAGTCTTCCTCTCATTTCTCATCAAGCGGCGATTGGAGCAACCGACACAGGATCTTGCACTGAGGGTACAGATCTCATACGACGACATCCAAACTATGGGAGTATATGGCAATGACATCCCAGCATTATGAATATGCTATGCCAATTGTGACGTTATACTGGCACGGAAGATGTCGGGCGATCTCTCTTGGACATATGTGAAAAGGTAAAATAATTCTATTTCGCCACATCAACCCAAATCGATCAGCTCATAACAATAGAAGAATTTATCCCTTTCTTGTTAACTTCAAGTTTCAAGAAGGTGGATGGTATGTAGCCATACTTACGTGACTATAACTGACGTTGTTGCAAAGAAATATGTAATTGTACGCTCGAACTGGGCATCAATCTGCTCCTTGTTTAAAATGTGATGTTCCATATATCCCGCAGTGGGTTCGACACAATATCGAGGAAGTTCCAACACTTGACTGATGAGTGGATGAGAAGTGGCGCAATGATAGCACTCAATTGTAGTTCTCGATCACCTCCTTCCAGTTCGCATCCAAGTCCGTTTTCCACTATTGTAGTGATTAAATGTGTAGTCCTCAGCAAAGTCAAAATCTTGCATCCGTGTTTGCTCATCGATTCTCTGGCAATCATCCTCCCATTTCACGTCTGGCTTGCCTGTTTGAAGACTTGCCCAGATGAGCCAATCTTGTCGGTATGGACATAGATGGGAAATAACCCATGCTGGCTTTCCTCGAACTCTGAAACGGTCTCGAATCTCGGAGCTTTAGAGAGATTCCCTCTGAGTCCGTACGACCATCCATGATATTTACAGCTAAGAATCGAAGTGGAAACAGAACGAGCCTGCACGATTGGGAATGCATGGTACCGGCAGATGTTATGATAACCATTGATACTCCCATCACAATCCTGAACAAAGAAGAAGGATAATTTTGCAACCGCGTAGGACAGAAAGTCGCCTTGCTGGGTGAATCTTCTGGAGTGGATGAGGAAGATCCAGCGCTTGGAGAAAATCGCTCGGCGTTCTAATTGACGCGTTACTTCGGAGCGATATTATGATGCAGGGAAGGCCTCGTGGAGGCTCTTTGTCCGTTGTTGTAGATGAGCAGCCCAAGTATTGCCACATATTGGTAATATTCTATTAGGAGAGTACGCTAAGAAGATTGCTGACACCCAGAGATCTCCAAGACGTCTATATACGGTACAATATTGACCATACAAGAATGGGAAAGTTCACAAATGGGCTATTGAGCTGATTTTCAAAGATGGGGTATGCGGGCACTCTGATAAGCAGTATTTATCGGAACTTGCTTTGTACCAGCACAAACTCAGTGAAGCTCAATACTCAAGGGCTTTTTAATATTGGGAAATCTCGATATTGACTAGATTTTTGTGCACACTCTTCTATATACATCTCGATGGGATTTTGGACACTATTTATATTTGAGAATCTCATAAAGACGATATCCACACAATCTCAATAGCTGTAAAATTGATTCGTAGGCTCAATATCGTGTCTCCAATTCTCAAATTTTCCTTGTATCAATGTTGTAGGCTTTTCTTAATTAGGTTTAGCTTACCTAATCTTCGACACACCCCCCAGGAATGGAAGCTTGAAGCTTTTATTCCTGCACTAAGTCTACTATATCCACCAATCCTTAGTGTTTTCTCCACTCCAGGAACCGCTGTCCATGTAGGACCTTGGTGAGACCATCTGCCATCATTTACTTTGTATCAACCCATTTAATACGCAGGCGCTTTTTGGAGACTTTGTCGGAGCTAATGATGGTAAATATCAATGTGCTTGAGGTTCGTATGAAACTATGATTCTTCGCTAGTCAGCAGTAGAACAGTTTGTTTATTATCATTTTGGATTGAGAGCTCCCTATCAGGCTTAAATCTAATAGACCTGAAAACCCACTTTCAGACTTAGTCTTTTGGCGGCTTCAGTAGCGGCACGGAGCTCAGCTTCAGTCGTCGATGTTGTAACTAAGCGCTGCTTCGTGGCTCTCCAATCAACTGCGCCTCCATATAATGAGACTAACGAAGCTTGTACGGTCAGGGTTGTCACCAAATGAGGCATCTGAGGCGCATACGAAAGCGTCCATATTGAATGCTGTAGTGGTAAATATCCAATTGCTAATGAACGGGGCGTTGTAGAGATATTGGATCACGCGTCGAATCTACCGAAAATGAGTTCTTGAAGGATCCTTGGTATGCTTAGCTAGCACGTTGACAGCTTTGGCCACGTCAACCCTAGTCATCACGGCAATATAAAGAGCTGATCCCATAAGTTCTTAATAGGCATGGATCTCTTGATTAGTTGCTTGTCCGGTTGAAGCCTCAATATTGCTAGATATGGATGTGTTCACATTGTTTGTGGTGTTAATTCCAAATTTGCTAGCTATCTTGGTGATCTAGCTGTCCTGGCAGAGTCAAATATTTCTCTGAGCACGGTCGCGAGTGATCCTAATGTTGAGAAACTACTCAAATTTCTCCAATTTCTGAAGTTCGTACTTGCTCATAAGGCCTTTCTCAATTTCCTCGTCTGGAAAGTATGTGTAAACTTCTTCATCGAGAATACTGTTCACGAAGGCATTCATGGCATCATATTAGATAATCTTAAGATTAAAGATAGCTGCAATAGCCATCATCATTCTGAAATTTTGTGCTGCAAGGGTAGCTGCTCGTTTTTCAAGATCGTTCGGTTGTTGTAGATCACCACGTACGCAAATACGTGCTTTGAACTTCGTAAGCTTGCCATATTTATCAAATTTATATTTAAACACCCATGTCGGTGTTAGAATCTGCTTATTTTGAGGTTTTAAAACAAAGTCAAATGTGCCTTTCTTCTTGAGAGCTTCAAATTCCTCTTTTGCAGCATGCATGAACTGATGCCTGAATTTATGCCTTAAGATTCCTTTCTAGTTTTTAGGCTCTGGTGGGAGCAGGTCATTAAGCGGATCCTCAAGCTTTTCCATAGCGGCTAAAAAGATTTTATCGGTTGTTGAATCATGGAGCAACGTTTGTCGGGCTAGAAACGCTCGACTCAGCTTCCTCTGCCTTTTTCTCGATAGAGGGCTTGATTCTAGGCTTCGATTTCTCTTTGGAGTTTTTCGTGGGCCTGCAGCGATTGTTGTAGGGCTCTGAGCTCGATTTGAGGCTTTTCGAATCCTTGATCCTGCGTCCTGCAGCAAATGTAAGGCATGTCTCGCTGCACTGGTTGATGCTTCAAAATCCTGATGAAGCCAACGAAGAATATTCTGCTGAGATCTTGATTTATCGGCGGGAGTAACAGTTCGTCCTAGGATTTGCGTTGCTCCTGCTACAATCTGCAAGTCTAGGATCTCGACATATAATGCCAGAGAGGCAGCATGATAGAGAGTATGAGCTTCCATTTTTAGTGATGTGGAACGGCGCAAGTCTCCTGTCTGTGCTAGTTTTATAGCTAGGCAATCTTCGTCGAAGTCCACTTTCCAGAGATCGTAAGACCGGCTCACGCGTGGAATCCGAGCTCTCACCCGCCCCAGTGTCTCGGATCGTAGCGAAGTTTGATCTCGACGCTTTAGGTCAGCAGAGATTGACATTAATCCATGCAGAATGTGAGTGCAAGAAAGAACATTCAAATCTCGAGGTCGAGGAGTAGATCCTAGCGTAACATACCCTTTAAAAACCGTAAGAAAGGGCCTGTTTGTTTCGCTGCTAGCTAGCTCTGCCGACTCTTGAGCCGACGATGCTTCCCTGGTGGCAGAACTGCATGGTAAACAAGATCTGATCGCAAATTCTGACATGCACAGTGGTTGAGAGAAGAGGACTGCATGTTGGGTATCCCACATGAAGCAATGCATGGCTAGCCTCTTGCGCTGCTCGGAGTCCATAGCTTGCCTCCATGCCTGCTCCAGATCTCTGGATCTAGCTAGGTGAGGCGAATCTTTGATACTGCAACAGTTGCTGCGGCAGATAAGTTTGATTAATACACGATGAAAAAGCTGTGCGCGCTCCCGCTGTTTGAGACCAGCTTTCACAAGCTAAAGTGCACCAATTCAGAAAACCCCGCGATCTATACCAACCTGGTAGTCTTTGGGAATATTGAGAGAAATGAGAACTGCATCTTCCAAATCGAAGATAATTTGATCACTATCAGTAGGTATTCAATTTCTTGTTATCATCATCAAGCGCGAATTATCAGACGATGAAGTGATAAACCTATAGCCCTAACCCTAATAATGCAGCTTTGTCTATATAACAGCACAAGGTCGCTCTGACAAGTAAGTCCTTAGCTGCCAGGTCCTATAGATGTTAGGGCTGAAAGTTATATTCCTTACAACCAGTTGTGACAAATTGCGGCAAATAGTATTAATCCATAAATTCCATGGATTCACAGATCATGAGTAAGTGGGAAAGATGTCCACCCAACTAGATATGTTGCTGCTTTGTAGAATAGATAAGAGTCAGGGTTATTTCAACCTTTAATCGGTCTGGAAGACCAACTGTCAAAACCTCAGCTATAGTCAATTATTGGCGTCGACTTGATGTATGTTCATAGATTACCGATGCAATCTAGACCAGCGATGCTATATTTATAATCACTGAATGTAACCCACCTTGGATATATATCCATTGTTACCAGGTCATGAGCCAAGCATACTAGGTAAGTTAGATAGACCACCTTCCATTGACGACGTTATAAAATGCTACCAGATGTACTGAGCACCACCGGATCGTAATTATGCACACAGCCACTCATCAATGGCTGCTGAATGGTTTAAACAAGACAGCGAACCCTCAAGGCCGTCCACTTGGCGCCATCCCAGTAACCGAATTCGGTAATTTCTAACGAGATGAGGCGCAGAGCCGCAAATATCCGTGAGGTTGAGTACCATTTTTCATTGTACATAAGTCGGATGCTCTGCTGATTGTTTATGGCGAGAATAACATCTCGAAGAAAATAGTCGAATCCGGAGAGTGATATAGCATCGCCAAGATGAGTCACAATTCAGCACAGCGTGTACGTATTATAATCTTAATGTCGACCGATCGACAGGTATTGCTTGGATTGTTCTTGACTAATGTATCCCTAGGCCATTAGACAATGCCCCGAGAATGGTGTTCTTGCATACACCACAACATGGTATTATCCCGCAGAGAGCCCTAACTTCACCATCTGCTCAAGATGCTATACCGATAAGATCGGCCACACACCATTTGCAAGTCAATTCAGATCTAGCATGTTGCCCTCGGATCCAAATAGACACTGTCTTTGGAACACAAAGCGTGTAGAGTCTCTACTCGGATATGGCTTAAGCAACAATACATGGGAGCCCATACGCCAATATATGATCCACCGACCCAAAATCCAGCATTGTACAGGACCACGTACACCCATCTCTTTATCTTCGACTACTGGTCGTTATCGCTGGTATCGACCCCTGAACTCGGAAATTGAAGGCTTTGTCTGCTGCGAAGGGTGTTATGAGGACTTGGTATCGGCAACCAGTTTCCGGGATAGGTTTATACTCGACAGTAATGTCGTCAACCATGGCAACCAGGCTACCTGTGACATGTGCGTCCCTTTTATAAAGAAGTGTCTATTGGAACATGCTCCGACCCAGAATTGGACTACTTTTGTGGAGTGGACGAGTGCGAGACTGAAAATTCCATCTTGCAAGGACATCCAGGGAAAACCCTGCTCCTCTACACTTTGGTACATGCCTCTTCCACCAATTCACAATCTTGTGATTTGTGGTGAATGCTACCATGACGGCGCCGATCTCACCCCATTGGCATCGAGCTTCTCGCAAATTCAGATTCCTCCCAATCGACGACATGAAGTGTGGGAATGCGCAAACTCCATTAAGGTACTAGCAATGATGGTCACCTGGAACGAAGCGTGCGACAAGAAAAATCTGCAGATATGGCAAAACGCAGCACGAATAGTCCCGACCTTGCCTCCATGCACAAAAGAAGGTATTAGAAATGTGAAATGGTATACTCTCAGCGGATGCCCTAATTTTGCAATCTGCGGTCGTTGTTTCATCGGAATTGCGCAAACGTATGGAATGGACAGGTTTTTCCAACAGACCAATGGTCCGACAAATGGCTCGGTTTTTGTTTGCGATTTTCATCCGGAGATACCTCGATCACATAGTTACTATGGGAAGTTTGACGAGGCAATAGCTCTTCAAGACTTCTCTATCTTCCACAATTTCGTCGCGAGAGTCTCCTGTCTGCCAGTTTGTCCAAAAGATTCTCCGTATCGCAATCGTCGATGGTACTGTGGCGACGATGCCACCATCTGCGAAAGTTGTTACGAAGAAGCTATCCGAGGCACAAGTCTTGCTTATACTTTGACTTTGCAAGAACGTCCCGGCGAGTGTATATGTGACTGCTATACACCCCGAATGCGAGGTTTATGGCACAAAGCCTGTGCCGAAAACGACATTCAATCATTCAACGCAGCCCTTCGCCAACGAATGCAAGTATACCAAGCGACAGTGCCGCGAATGCGCCAGATTCTTGCAATTACTAAGATGAGAGCAAATACACAAGCTACCCTATTCATGTCGTCTATCATGCTTCAAGGAGCGAATAATATTGTCTCAGCATCGGCGTCACATCACCCTTACCAATATGGGAATGCACAATTGGGATGGTGGGACACTCCTGTAGGCGCTCAGGGTGCAGCGCAGTTTCAACAGGCTGTGAGTATGAACATTGCCCCTACCGGAGACATGGCCGAGATGACACAGTTAGGGGCTATTTGGAAACAATATGAATAATCTGTATTTTGGAGGATTGTGACTTGACAGAGGTCGATGCCGTGTTGGAAGTATAGTCCTACTTGATCCATGAAGTTGGATAGCTCGATGTACTAATCCATTTGTAAATGAGTAGATGGATGGAGAATTGTAAATCCGGTGAAATGTTCTCTAGATATAATTAGCGGAATTGTCTCTAACAGTAAGAAATGATACTATTATGTATACACAAAAGTAAAAAAACAAATTATGCCAAGTAATCCACCAATCTGCCCAAACTTGGATAGTTCAGAATGTCATCCAAAGTGATGTTGATACCATGTTGTTGCACGGTAGATACAAATCGTGCAGCATCGACCAAGTCTCCTCCAAGGTCATAAAATGGAGAACAGGAAAGCGAGGAATTCACAGCACCACGTTTCTGACCGAATATGGATTTCCAGATCTCGAAGATGTTCGATACTTGCAGTCCTGAATGAAGGTGAGAGACTTGCCCCGCCTGAGACGAGCCTGTGTTTAATTGGGGGATTGGACCTTGAAGGAGTTTGAACGTCGAAGTAAACGAAGCCTCTAGCTCGTTTAATGGCAATTCAGGCGTAGATGAAAGAAAGCCAACAGCCATGCAAAGGAGGTCGAGGATGCTTTCAGTTTCCATAGAGGACATAATTCCCTCAGCACATCCCAATGTGAGCTCAAGATGACCTTCAATTTCCTCAGAGACCACCGCGATATCGTACAGGTTAGCCATCTTCCCAGCATCTGGTATCCAAGTCTCGACACTATAATTATTCTCACCCAGCGTGATCGAAGTTGGATTTGCATGTCTGTGATTGACAATGGAAGTAAAGCGTGTAGATGGGAGCCACTCCGTACAGTCCTTGATGATACTTCTAAAACCCAAGGCCTCGAATGGCATCCGATCAAAGTGTTGATCTTGAACGACCATCAAAAGATCTTTAGCCGTATGTGAGCTTTGCAGATCGATCCTAAGAGGGACATGAGTTGCGCAACAGCCAACAACGTTGTCGAATGTGGTAGCATTAGGGACATTGCGACCCGAGACCGTGTCCCCGAACACGATATCGGTTGTATTGACAAGGTGGCCCAATACGAAAGCCCAGGCTGCTTTGACAACAATTGCATTGGTCATGCCGCTGATAGCTGTCTTCCCAATAGGGAGTTTCTTTACCGGAACGAATTGCATTGCCCTAGGACACTGGTCTTGCACGCTTCGGGTAGCACTCAGCTGTGGCATAGTCGACCCTCTCAATCGATTACGCCAGTAATCGAACGATTTCTCCGTTGCGTTGGAGGCGAAGCTGTACAGATATCGAGAAAACGGCGTGGTCAGTATGGCTGACTGTCCTGCATATAGGCCCTGGAAAGCTTGCCATATGATCGGAAACGATGTGCCATCAAAAATTGCATGAGACATGTGGAATAAAATACGATGCTTCATTGTGCCTTTGCGGCTGAGTATTGTAACCTTTATCAAGCTATGACCAAGCTTTAGAGGTCCGTTTTGACTTTCATGCAGTCGATTTGTAGCAGCATCAAGAGGCTCATCGACTTCCAGAACTTGGATCTGGTTCATATAGGTATCCAAGATGAGTTGAACGAGTTTATCTCCAGAAAACATGTAAACCGTTCTGAATGCTTCGATACTGTTGCATAGATCATAACAGACTCTTCGTAAATGATCCGAATTGTAGGGACAATCTCCATCGATCTTGAAGTAGTGAACTTCGACTTGAGACTGGGTCAGAGCACCAGCAACACTGAAGGCCTGTGAGTCAGTGGCAGGCAGAATATCTATGATATTGTTTTCCGAGACTGCGCTGCCGAGCGCGTTCAAAGATGCTACTAAGCTCCTGACCTCTGACGATGAAACAAGGGAGAATTTTTCGTGCTCGGAAGAGGTAGCAGGAGTTGGAGAATCCTGCTCCATCGACAGCGCCATATTTTCCAAGGTAGGGTTCCGGAATACATTCTTGATATCCAATTTGATTCCTCTTGAATTACCGGCACTCATGAGTCTCATTGCAAGGATAGAATCTGCGCCAAGAGCGAAGAAGTCATCATTGCTACCAATCATGATTTCGTCCATCTGTAAAACTTCCGCCCACAGGCTGCGAAGAGTCTTTTCAGCCTCGGTGTTTACTTCTTGAGGTGCGGACTTCATAGAAGTGTAAGACATCAACTCCTGCAAGGAGCGGGCTATGAGTAAATTTTTTACTGCCCGACGATCAGTTTTGCCGGAAGCGTTCAACGGTACCTTGAATAAGGGAACAAATGCTGTGGGAACCATGTATGATGGAAGTTTCTGTTTCAAGCTTTCTCTAAGATCCCTGAATGTGCCGTAATATTCTTCTGAAGGAGGTAAAATGGATACTTCAGGGCCTGGTAGCGCAGTCACAAGGCTGCTACCTTTGAAGTCTATAGCAGCTACAAGCATCTGCTCCGTGGGAGCGTCGATAGGACAAACTAGGTCAACCACAGCGGTACCGATATTGCAGTTAAGCCTGGTGATCCAATACTCAACCTCTCCGACATCTAGTCGTTGACCACGGACCTTTATCTGTGTGTCTCGTCGGCTAAGTAGGTAAAGGAACCATCTTCATTCTGACGTGCAATGTCGCCCGTCCGATACATTCTCGGGCCAGGTTCAAGTCCTAAATACTGAACAAAATCGGGGTCGGTGATAAATGAGGCTTGAGTTTTGATTGGATCATTGAGGTATCCGCGAGCAAGCAATGATCCTTCTATCAGGATCTCACCGGGTGCGCCGACAGGAACCAGACGGTTATAGTCTTTTGGATCAGCTATCCATATATTTCCTGAAAATGGACGTCCAATGTTGGACGCTTCTTGTCTCGAAGTCAAGGGTTCACTGCACGTGGAATGCATGGAACACTCTGATGGGCCGTACGAGCTGAGGACCCCAATGCTGCTCCATGCCTCCACAACAGAAGGCTTGACTGCCTCACCGAAGAGAACTAATTTCCGTACGGTTGGAATCTCGGCAGGACGCAGTAAAGATGCTGTACTTGATGTCAAACCTAGCAAGTTCACTTTGAAGTGGTTGATCGTTTCCGTCAATGCACCCATGCGCTGCTCTTCGGAAGGAATACAGACGCAACCGCCATATATCAATGTGGAAAGAGTCTCTTGAATGGACACATCAAAAGTATAAGCGGCAAATTGGAACATCCTTGTATCCTTGTTGAGCCCAAATGCTGGTCCATGGCCCTGGATACTGGAAGATAGTGATCTGTGCTCAAGAAGGACCCCTTTCGGAGTGCCCGTACTTCCAGAGGTGTAAATAACCCATGCGATATTGTGTGGCTTCACATTTGACAGGACTTTCTGTCCAGCAGGGACATCCAAATCCTGGAATAAAAGCTCATCGATTACAATGGTGGAAGAGGCCAAATTGTGTAAGCGTCGGGCTTGTTGGTGGTCCGTCAAGACAATGGATGCAGCCGTGTCTACTAGAATGTCCTTGATTCGAGATAATGGATGTTGCACCCCCAAGGGCAAGACTCCTCCTCCTGAATGTAGAATTGCCAGCATCGCGACGGCTGCCCATTTGGATTTGTTCATGCACACGCCAACCATAGCGTCAGGCTCTACTCCGAGACTCCTCAGTCTTTGACCTAGTGCTTGGGCCAACGTCTCCAATTCGTGATACGTAAAAGAACCGTCCCATGCATCAATTGCTATGGTGTTTGGCTGGCTATGTGCTACACCGCTGATCAGATCATGAGCACAAGAATTAGCAAGCGGAATCGCAGAGCCGTTCAACTCTGTGAGAAGCCTTGCATCAAAGTCATTCAACATGTTCAAATCCTTGATGTGAAAGATGGAATCGACACTGCTTAGCTGCCCAACAATGTGGTCGAACTGGCGTACCAGGCGGGACACTTGCATTTCAGAAATGACGACGTCGTCGAACTTGACATCTACAACGGCATGGGGCGCTGACTCCTTTCCGAGCCTACATTCAAATATCAGAGCCTGGCTATGGAATGCTTCAGATTCTTCTTCATCTCTGGATACAAGTCCGGGGAAATCTAATATTTTCTCGCTTTCTTCAACTCGCTGCGTCAGAAATATGTGATTCAATTCCAACTGGTGAGCGAGCTCTGGCACCAGTTCTCGAATTCGTTGTATACCAGTATGCTCATAGGGGATCATCTCGACTGCCTGTCGCTGTACAGATTCAAGGAAATAATGAACGGGTTTTGTCCGATCTAGTTTTATGCGCACCGGCACAGTTGTCAATGTAGGAGCAATCATCTCGGTAATACCTGTGACGGGAGCCGTCCGACCAGACAGTGTGACGCCAAAAAGGACATCGTCAACTCCTGTGAACTGCATTACCGTCAATGCCCATGCAGCACGCATAAGATTCGAAGCCGAGATATCATGACGAGGCTTCACAGCAACTGACTGCATTCTATGCTGTAATGATCGTCGGGGCTTTGGTTGATATTGGGCTGCTGGCAAAAGTGGAAATTGTGCGAGCACCTCATCTCCGAACAATTGATTGCGCCAATATGGGCCAGCCAATACAGGGTCAATATTGTTGGTATACTGGATGAATCGTGCATACGGCATGTCATAGGGAGAGGTTCCACTGAGATATATGGAAGCAACATCCCGATATAGAAGCTGCATGCTCCATCCATCGTAAACACTGTGGTGTGCTGTCCAGATAAAATATCTCTTGCCTTTATGTTCATCATCGACAAGTCCATAACGCACCAGCGGCACTCCTGGTTCAATACCAACGGTTCGATCTCTTTTTAGATAGTCGTCCAAGTTTGTACCTTGTAACCACGATATAGGTTCCTTAACCACAACCTGAAGCGCCCTACCATGCTGCTCAATAACAATACGAGTTCGTAGTATCTGAGCGGCATCGTACATGACTTGCCAAGCAGCACAAAACCGATCAATATCAACTTCACCGGCCAGTTCGAAGACACGTCGACTTATGTACGTGTTGGGTTGACGCATCGTAATAGCCATCAGTCCTTCTTGCAAAGGGGTACAGGGATATATATCCTCGATTTGATCGACATGTACTGCGCATTGAACGGCAATGAGAGCTTTGTTTTTCACTGATGAATTTTTCCAGAGTTGAAACGGTTCAAGTGACAGATCCTCTGGAATTGATAAACTCCGATTCTCGACAAGCTTGATCATATCTTCCAACTTTGGATGCTCGAATATATCCGCAACGGTAAGGTGATAGTTGAACTTGCGTCCAGCTTCCACCAACCGGATTGCCATAATCGAATCTCCACCAAGCTGCATGAAGCTATCTTGCAGGCCAATTTCTTCGGTTTGAACGTTGAAGACTTTTGCCCATAATAATTGAATATATTTGCCAGTCGTCGTAGTTGGCATTTCCTTGGGAACGTGGTCGCCAGTGTATTGCATTATGAAGAAAAGATCCATCGCTTTCAATAATGCCAGAGCTGAACGACGATCCGTCTTGCCAGTGACGGTCTTGGGGACTTGAAGCAGTGGAACGTAGGTGCTTGGGATCATGTATGCTGGCAACTTTGTTGATAGAAAATCGCGCAGGTTTTGGAAATCTCTGCGGAAGACGTCAGAAGGAGAAAGAAGTACTGAATTATCAAGCGTCTCATGTTGCAAATATTTGCTCCCTTCTACAAAGTCCATCATCGCGATGAGCAAGAAATTCTCTCGATCATTTGTGCTAGCCAGGAGATCGACAATCACTGTCAGAACATCGCCTTCCAAGGCCTTTGCTATCCAATATTCGATTTCGGCGACATCAACACGTTGCCCACGTATTTTGACTTGTGTATCCCGGCGTCCAAGATAAGTGAGAGAACCATCAGTGTTTTGTCGAACAAGATCACCTGTGCGATATATTCGACGGGCTCCAACAGGGGAACCAAATTTCTCAACAAAAGCAGCATCCTCCACGAAAGCCGCCTTTGTCTTCTCTGGATCGTTCAAATATCCACGAGCTAGGGCCGGACCCTCAATCAGAAGCTCACCAGGAGCACCAATAGGGCATAAGCAATGGTAATCCGTCGGGTCGACCACCCATACTGCGCCATTAAGTGGATAGCCAATATTCAGGGAATCCTTTTTGTCTTTGATAGCCGGGCTACATACTGAATGGATGGTACACTCAGAGGGTCCGTATACGTTGATCACCTCGGCGTACGGCAACCAAGTCTCGACAACAGAGGACTTCACAGCCTCTCCAAATAGTGTCAATGTCTTCACAGTCGGTGTGTCGCGGGGATCTATCAAAGATGCACTCGTGGATGTTAAACCGAGGAAATTTACTCGCATGGCTGCAATAGTTGCGGAAAGCTCGTTCATTCGCTGATGCTCTGATGGTACACACACAACTCCACCGTTGATTAAAGTCGAGCAGATTTCTTGAATTGTGATATCGAATGTGTGGGCACCAAATTGGAATTGGCGCGTACTGGTATCGAATTTGAAGCGAGCGCTGTGCCCCTTTATTCCGGAACATAGAGCTTTGTGCTGTAATATAACACCCTTGGGATTTCCAGTACTGCCTGATGTATAAATCACCCATCCAGCGTGTTCTGGTCGAACAGTAGTACATATTGACTGCTCACTGGGCTCCGTGGGGGATTGAAGCATTTGTTCGACTTCAATAACGTGAGTCGTCATACCTTCTAGGCGGGCTCTTTGCTGTTTGTCACTTAAAATGATAGCACAACAGGAATCTGATAGAATTGTCGCAATTCGTGGTAATGGATGCTGAACTCCTAGTGGCATCACGGCACCGCCTGCATAAAGTACAGCAAGAACTGCGACAGAAGCCCATTTGGATTTGTCCATGCACATACCCACAAGCATATCAGGGACAACTCCAATGCTCATCAGGTAGCTTGACATCCGTTTTGCATGTCTGTCTAGTTCCTCGTAGGTAAATACACCATCCCATGCCTCAATTGCCGTGGCTTTTGGTCGTTTCTGTATTGATTTGAGTATAAGATTCTGCACAACGTCCTCTGTAGCTGGCGGGATATGTGTATTCATCTCTCGAAGTTGCTTCAAGTCGTAAGCATTCAGCATATCGATGCTTGAAATTGAATGATTGGCCATAGCTGCTGTTTGGTTGATTTGACTAACGATATGGTCGAATTGCCGGATGATTCTTACCACTTCAGCTTCTGAAATCACTCCATCGTCGTATGTGACCTCTACCACTACTGACTGCGATTGACTTGCTGGAAGGGTGCACTCTACTACCAGCGGATAACTATGAAAAGCATCCATGGATATCGAATCCTCTCGAGATACCAAGCCAGGGAAGCCCGTTGATTGCTCCTTTTCTGACGTAGGCTGAACGACAAAGATATTGTTAATCTCTAGAGCACCGGCTATATCAGGCACCAATTGTCTGATATTATGTAAACCAGTGTGCTCGAATGGAATAGTATCAACAGCCTTTGATTGAAGTTTCATCAGAAAGTCGCGTATTCCCATACCTGGATCGATAGATATGCGAACTGGAATAGTCGTTATCGTGGGCGCAATAAGCTCTGCGATATTTCTGACAGGAGCGCTACGGCCTGATAGTGTCACGGCAAATACCACGTCAGATTGGCCCATATATTGGGCGATGGTCAATGACCAAGCAGCACGAAGTACTGTGGAACGCCCTACATCCAAAGACGCGGGAGATGATCCCCTGAGCTCATATGATAGGCGCCGGCGTGGCTTGGGTTGATAATTCGATGTTGGCAAAGGGGGGAAATTCCCAGAAACATCACCTTCTAGCTCGTTACGCCAGAATTCTGCGGTCTTGTTGACATCACCTTGAGACAAATAGCGAAGGAACCGCGTGTAAGGGACTGTTTGGGGTACTTCTTGGCCATGGTAAATGGAGCTGACATGCTTATACATCAGGCCTGCACTCCACCCATCATAGGCGCTATGATGAGCTGTCCAAACAAGATATCGATCACCGGATGTCTCCGATATAAAGCCAAATCGAACCAACGGCTCGCCATAGACGATTCCTCTTCGCTGATCTTTATCAATATACGCCGATAGGTCGTATCCTAGGTGCCATTCGAGGGTTGATGGAGCACGGGACAGCACCTGGACGGACTTTCCTGACTGATCCACAATTATGCGAGTTCGTAATACCGGTGCGATATCACTCATTGTCTGCCAAGCTTGTTGCAGACGGTCTGAATCAATGTCCTTTGACATGGCGAAAATACGGCGGCTAACATATGCCGTTGGTTGATGCATTGTGATAGCCATTAGGCCTTCTTGGAGTGGAGTGCAGGGGTAAACATCTTCTATGTGTCCAGTCGATATCCTGCACCGTGAAGCAATATCAGCCAATCTCTCGTGTAAAAGGTTATCATCTGTCCCGGAATCCCACAATTCGAAGGGCGCGGTATCATGCTCCAATTCCGTATCCATGTCCATCTGATCGCTTGTCAACAATGCGGCTAAGTCTTTCAGTCGAGAATGGAGAAGGATATTGGCTACGGTCATTCTTAGCCCATATTTCTTTTGCGCGGCATCAACCATACGAATAGCTGATATTGAATCGCCTCCAATCTCGAGAAACGAATCATTTCTACCGATATCAGTTGGAATCACCCCAAGAACCTCAGCCCACAGCGACTGCAAGGTCCTCTCCATTTCGGTGATAGGATTGGCCTTCAGATCCGCTCCAGTCATGTATGATCTTGTTTCTGACGACTTGAGTGATGAGATGAGGTGTAAAACAGCCCTTCGATCCGTCTTAGTGGACAGTGTTAAAGGCATATCTGCCAAAGGAACGTATAAGTTGGGTACCATATAAGATGGGAGCTTTTGTAACAACTGTTCACGTAGTCTTTGAAATGCATCTCTCAGCATTTCGGAGGGAGGTAGCAGTTGAAATCCGTGTAGACCCGAGCGATATGGAGACTCCTTCGCAAACCCAACGACGGCAACCAATTCATTCCTTGGTTTGATAACATCTACTATAGGAGTGGTCACATCACTGAGCAACTTAGAAATCCAGTATTCGACTTCACCAACGTCCAGGCGTTGGCCACGGATTTTAACCTGCGTATCCCGGCGACCGAGATATGTGAGTGAGCCGTCTGAATTCTGTTGAACGATGTCTCCAGTTCGATACATTCTTCTTCCACTTCCCAAGTTCAGCTCACCGATAAATGTAGGGTCTATTATGAAAGCGTTGTTCGTCTTAACAGGATCGTTCACGTAGCCACGGGCAAGTAATGGACCTTCAATAAGCAGCTCACCAGGACATCCAATTGGGCATAAACGGTTCATGTCAGTCGAATTCACTACCCAGAAATTCCCAATAGTCACAAATCCAATATTGGAAATTTGAGATCTTACATCCTCAAATGGTTTGCTAACACTTGAGAATATCGAACATTCAGTTGGCCCGTAACCGTTCAGGATTTTTGCATACCCGAGCCATGCTTCGACTACACTAGCTTTGACAGGTTCACCAAATAATACGAGCTGCTTCACATGGGGCAGTTCATTGGGAAGGATCAGTGATGCCGTGCTCGACGTCAATCCGATGTAGTCCGCGTTACGGCTAATGATTGCCTGGGTCAAGTTATTCATACGCTCATCCTCTGATGGAATGCAAATGCAACCTCCGTGTAGGAGCGTTGCAAAATTTTCTTGTATAGCTGCATCGAACGTGTATGCCGCAAATTGGAAAACTCGAGCATGTGCACCCATATCAAACACGGCCCCGTGCGCAATCATACTTGAACATAAGGCTGCATGTTCTAGCAGCACGCCCTTCGGTTGCCCTGTGCTTCCCGAGGTGTAAATAACCCAAGCAGCATTACCAGGTTCTGCTTTTGATTGTAGTGGCTGCTGTGTGGCTAGCTCTGCAATGCTATGGAAAAGTTTCTCGTCGACCACAATCTTTGGTTTCTTGACATCTGCTAATCTGATGGCTTGCTGCGTATCAACCAAGATCAATATAGCCTCAGAATCGATCAGGATATCCGTTATACGTGAAACGGGATGCTGAACTCCCAAAGGCACAACAGTACCACCAGCGTAAAGAATCGCAAGCATTGCGATAACCGCCCATTTAGACTTATCCATGCACACTGCAGCCATTTCTTCTGGTCGTACACCTTGATCCACGAGATGGGATGCTAGTGCCTTTGCCAGGTGATTCAACTCGAAATATGTCAAAGTTCCGTCCCATGAATCCACAGCCTGTGCCTGGGGTTGCTCATGCACTTTGCGGTCAACAAGTTCGTGAACGCATGACTGTACACTTTCAGGAATGATCCCATTTGTCTCGATGATTCGAGACCTATGTTCACGAGGTAAAAGGTCCAAACTTTCCACATCCGCAAAGGGTTTAGCAATGACGCAGTATATAGCCTCCCGGAAGGTTTTCAAAAGAGCATCAGCGTAGTGTGCATCCATCTTTGAGGACCAGTAATCCATGCTGACATCTAACTGGTTCTGTGATGCTTGAATATTGAGTGATAGATCATACTATTCATTATTAGTAAAGAGTCGCAATCATCATTAACATGAGGTGTTCTGTACTTACATCTGTCGGGCTGAAGGTGTCTATAATATCGCATTCTAGGCCCATCATCGCCTTGGGCTCTTGACTCAGGTTCCGTCGAAATGACATAACTGTATTGCCCCGTTGTCGAGCAGAAAAGCTCTTTGCGAACTCGTTTTGATATTTTAAATTCTGCAAATACTCCCGATTCACGCGGCTGAGGACGTCAGAGACCTTTTGTGAATCGAGCTTCATGGCACATAGAAGCGTATTAATGTAGGGACCAATTGCATCCATAATACCATTCAGAGGGGCTTCTCTGGTAGAGGTGACATAAGAGAACGAAACGGATTCCAGCCCCGTATAATATCTTAATACCAGTCCCCAGGCAACTTGACAGATATTTGCGATAGTCACCTTATGTAATTCACAGAACTTGTTTATGTTGGAGGTGATACCAAATGTAAATCGTAGTGTTTGCAGATCATGCATTGGTTCCTGGTCCTTCAGCATTGGGACATGCGTCTCCTGTGCATTGAGAATGTAATTTTTCCAATATTGCGACGCTAACTCCTCCTCCTCAACTCTTTGGAGGTATTCGACGTAATCCTTGTATGATAGAATTTCGCGGCGTATTTCTTGCTCAAACATCAGGGAAGACATATCCTTCAACAGAACCTCTGCAGAATGTCCATCTATCAAAGAATGACTGATATCAAGTTTGAGAAAGAACTCTTTCCGCGCGATCTTCGTGATATGTAGGCAATGAGGAGCTCTAAACTTTTCGGGGATGAGAGGCTGGCGTGAACCCATATCAATGGTGTCTGTTGAGCCCGTGGCATCTATTAATCGCACATTAGGTTCGATGTGCCGGAGTATAACTTGATCAAAGTGGCCCGGGCGTGTCACACTATCGATAAAGACAGTTCTCAAGATAGATCTCTGAGATACTATTATGCTCCATAGGGCGGCGACAGCCTGCATGTCATAGTCTATTGGGAGCTTGACACGAACAGTAAAAGAGCATTGGTAAGCTACTGGACTGGTAGCTTGCCCGAGAAGTGTCCTTTCTTGAAGAAGTGAACATGGGACGATAGCTTCTATATCTTCTAAAGGAGATGTCGTTATTTGCTGCAATGTTGGAAGAAGTAAAGTTTCCAACTCCTCCGATAATGAGAACACGCTTTCAGATCCAATACAACTACCGTCCAATGGCTCGAAAAGAGAAGGGGTACCCGGCCCGGTACTCGAAATGATGGACTCGTTATTTTCGTTTGTTAATTTTCGTTTGTTCGATGGCGGCTCAATCAATTTCTGCGAAAGCTGAGCAATACTTCCACCTAACAGAATATCTGCGACTTCAACCATGAATCCATTTTCTCTCAAACGTGCGATCACAAAAACAGCCAACAAGGAGTCTCCTCCGAGCCCTAAGAAGGACCGGTTGCTATCTATCTGCGATCCATTCTTTTTGAGAAGGTCTGCATAAATATCTCGTAAGAAATTTTCCGCCTCCTTGATCTCGGTAAAACTCCTCTTCGAGGCCTGTTGATCAATGGCCCCGAGAAGATCGGGTAAACTATCAAAGTTCATATCGTCGGTTTTTTGATAGCTTGCGACAAAAGCTTCTTCACCAAGCACGCGTTCAGTACAGTTGGACACGCACAGCTCTTGCAAAAAGTGATATTCGATGCAAAGGTCTTATCTTACCGACTTCATGTCATTTACTTCGTTGTCCGTTCGATTTTACTTCTAATGGTGTGGTGGATTATGGCAGTATGTCCATCCAAATCATGATCGTTTTCAGCTTAATTTCCACAGTTGATAGTTCTTGGCGACAGAGCTGACAATTTTCGCTTTCGGGATCATCGATCTAGAATAGAAGTCAGCACGAATTTAGTCCAGGGATATGGAGATCCAGTTCTAGTCTCTGCCTTGAATGACTTTGAAGCACGTACGATTCAAAGTTGATTGATATGGGGGCCGTGGTTTCGACAGTAATAATGACTGTACGTATTACAAACATACGCGATTCCAGGTATGTAACGATGTATGGTGTGCCCTACATAGTAATACCTGTATCGACTGTAATATATTCACATACGGAGTACTGAGCTGTAACTTCCGCAGATTCGCTTCGTATTCCAGATTTAATTTTTACGCCTGCTTAACCGTCACGGATCCAGATCCTGGTATGTCCAATGAAGATATGTTTGGGAAGCAGCATGGGAATGTATCACATGGGTCGACTAGTGGCTGTGAACAGTGTGAAATTGCACTCTTATTTTTAAACATTTTTTCACTGTTCAGATAACGGACCGCAAGGCTTGGCCCCGGGATACGAATACTGGTCCTAAAATGGGTATGTGTATATCCTAGATAGCAAAATCTGATTGATGGGTGCGTATTGGATGTATTAGCGGAGGGTGCTTTGATTACAGCCATGTGGGCGCTATCCTGCATTGTAATCAAAACTATCCGACTTTTATCGTGACTAATAACTCCTCCCTGTTAATATCGACGCAAGAAACTGGAAATTATTAAGAGGACACTGAGCAATTCAGTCAAGTCTACTGCGAATTTGAGTATGCCGACAAATTGCAACTGTGCACCTGGCCTATCGATATCGGTATCAGTGGTATCGGATTCAAAATCAACCGATCAACTCATTCTCCAGCAGAGTACAGGCTTCCCGTAAAGAGGTAGTGAATTCATCAATCTAGTAGACAGTTAGCAAACCGACTTTGACATGGTGAACAGACATTCATTACTAACATTAATTGTATCAAAAATGCTGAAATGATGGCCAGGAATTTCATATACTATCTTGACAAGGTCGGCTTCGTACATATCCCAACATAGCATATGCGGAATTGGTGAGCCTTTCCGTGATGGCACAGGTTCCTTTGCTTGAAGCAAAATGGTTGGAGGTGGAGAGGCCATAGATATAGAGTCCAGGCTTGAGTCGGATCGGGATTCATTAGCCCATGTTGGAAGTTTATAATCTTTTGCTGAAGCAGTCGCCTCCTTGATGTGTTTAATTATCTTCTGGCGCTGTTTAGTAGGAATATCACGACTAAGATTCATATCTCGGATATCGGGTTGGAGATTTGCAGCAGTTATTGCTGGTGGGTAAATAATATCGATCATGATAAGGCCGACGACGTCAACCGTGAAATCGTTTGCTAGTATATGGGACATTTCCAGGGCTATCAAACCCCCAAGGGACCATCCTACACCAGGAAAGAGGGTTAGTCAATGTGATAACAAAAGTCATGTGGAACTTGATATAGCCAAAGCGTACCACCTAGTATGATTTTGTTCCCTGGAGAAACACTCTTTATCATCTTGACATACTCTTTGGCCATCTCACCAATGCCGCCCGTCCATTTTTCATTGTCCTGAAATCTAGGGTTGTAAATCCCATATAGATCACGTCCCAAGTTTCCAAAGGAATAATAGCTAGTTATTGTACCACCACCATCGTGGATGAGAAACAACGGCACTGAGACCTGAAGCCGTTCTTGTTGAATTATCACTGGATTATCTCCAAACATCCTTCCGCGCATATGTTGACTGTCTCAGTCGTATGAATGTATAGTGTAACTTGAGTTTAATCAGGCAGAATGGTAAAGCACAGAAAGCACAGACAAGAGTCAATCTGCGAAACCTCCGTTTACGTCTCAACTTAGTCCGCAGTTATCATTATGCGACACTATGCCCAGCCTCAGAAAAATCTGTTCTTACAATCTGCCATATCGAGTTACTCTCAACGTACTGTACTAAACACCGTGCTTTGCTATGATTTAGACAAGGTTGGAGCTTTTACTGGAGCTGACTATTCGATTACACAACATACCAATCCACTTGTAATACAGATAAGCATAATCATTTCAAGAAAATGACTCAGTATTAGTGAATACAAGGTATCTAGGTACTCGTATCTACAAATGAGTCGCAGGTGGGCCAAAGTTACGACCAGTGGCTAAACTCTAAACCTAATCAAGTAGGTTTAGCCTCCTGGCCTGGTACGTACTTAGATCTCAGCTAGAGTTTTAGACCCCACATAGGCCTTGCAAATCCTTGGTGCACTAGTCATAGTTGAGTGATTGTAAATCAGCAGGTGGGCTATTGTTAAAGGATCTATATGTAAAGTATGTAGCGGAGACGAAAGCAGTTCAGGAATTGGGCGCCAAGTTGGCTAATTTCGGATTGAAGTATACCTAGTATGTACCATAGGCGCCTTACAAAGCCGATCAAGATTGCCCATGACGTGCACTTCGTTATTGCCTTCCGGTTATAGCCGCCAAAGAAGGATTCTAGAATACTTAACGGTCCTTACATATCCGCTAGTGTATCCATCCTTATGTCCGTAGGTCTTAGGATTATACTTCATAGTCCAAGCAAACAGCCACGATCTCCGAAATTTCGCTATTATTGGAAATAACAGGATACTGTAGAAAGGCATACCACGTATTCACCATCTATAATATGATTATAGACTAAATTATTTTAAAGCCACCTACATGGCCCATATGAGATAATAATCAGTAAACAAGTCTTATATGATAGATATCCGCTGTTGGCTGGTGTCGCTCATGATGATTGCTCGTCAATCAAGAAGCGGAAATGGCTTTGACCCTCGGGACCACAATAACAGTCGCACTGGGTCATCGGTGTCTCATGAGTCGGGGCCAAGAGTTGGCAAGGCCATAATAACAGAGAGGTACAATTGGTATGTGAACGTATGACATATGGACCAATCTATTAGCGAGATTGTTCTGCTTCTCACGCTGTGTACAGTAGAAGTTCTACACAGTACAAATGCTGTATACAGTACCTCATATACGGGATCCCTTAATCGTAAAATTATTGTCAAATCAAAACTCATTGATCGGTCCACAATGCAGTTTAAATTAAGGTTGATTGGAACCTTATTTATGGGCCATGAAAATCGTTCTCGTTCTAGAACGATACAGTACATACAGTACATACAGTACAGTACATGTTACAGCTTGTAAATTTGTTTCAAACCATGTTTTATAGATCATGTATTTTGGGTTACAGCACTTCAATACAAGCACTGAAACCCCTTACCGACTTTTGCAACAAAGCTTCTTCTTTGAATAGGATCATACAATACAAGATGGCATGTCTTTTTTGACGAACTTACTGTCATGGCCCCCAGGGCTTTTTTTAGCAATGGGACCCCGATATTCATAGCTGAATCGACGGCTCTCCACATGCTTACCACAAACTGGCTGCAGCACTCAGGTCTCTGAGGACACTCAAAGGCAGTATAGTCTACTAAGTTTTGTAACTGTGGAATCTTACTCATAGACATGACCGTATGCTTTCAAGAATATTCAGTCGTTTCACTCACATCTTGCTTCGATAAGAAGAGTATACCTATCTGGAATCTTACTGAATCCTGAGTCCACGTTGCCAATCCACAATCCGAAAGTACATTTTGCAAAAGCGAATTATCTTTCTCAGAATGGTTTTTAAATCCCCCTCTTGGGTGCCAAGTCTGCCGTGTCCGATTCCAGATGACCTCCCCGTTGGAGACTTTGTGCTAAGTGGCTATCAAAGTCTTCGATCAGAGAAGTCCCGAGAGAGCTCGCTCATTTGCGGAATCACGGGGAAACAATACTCAATACAAACCATCAGTGGACAAGTAGACCTAGTTGCACGGAGCCTAAGCAATGAGCTTGGATGGAAGCCTAATGAGGGTGAATCATGGGACAAAGTCCTTGCAATCTACAGTTTCAACTCCGTAAGTCCTATATGCTTGTTCTAGCCCTATATGATGTTATTTCCCTTCCCTAACAGGGCTTTCGATACCAGGTTGAATATCTTATATTATGCTGGGCTGTCCATCGTCTGAACGGCATCGTCTTAACAATCCACACTGGAAGCTCGACCAAAGAGATTGAGTCGCATTTGACTCGCTCCAAATGCAAGGCCATTTTCGTGTCCCCAAGTCTACACAAGACATGTATCGAAGTCACGAATCTACTGGGCATTTCACAAGAGTGTGTCTACACGATCGCAGTTCCCGGCGAGCTTGTGAGCTCTGTGGACGGTCACAAAAGTTTTGAGCAGCTTCTCGCAGCTGGTTCTGATCTTGCACCCATGGAGCCACTCAAATGGGAGAAGGGACAGGGAAAAGAACAGGCCGCTTACTTGGCCGCTACGAGCGGCACATCTGGCTTACAGGTAATCAATATCATTGCCAGAAATATACGTGGAAAAGGACTAACCGATCCGTATGCATTAGAAATTGGCCAAAATTGGACATTACAATATCATCGCCAATATTCTTCAGACGGCAACCTACGACAGCGGGTTTACTCCCAACCAACCGGAGAGTGGAATTCTGTTCCTCCCATTGAGCCACACGTACGCACTTGAAGTTTCGCATATGATGTTATGGCGAGGAGATGCCATTGTTCTTCAACCTAACTTCGACATGATGAAGATGTTGAAAGCAGTTAGCACATTCAAACTCGAGCGATTATATCTTGTGAGTTCGCCTTCATATGCAACGGCTGAGAGTAACAAGCTTATTTTAATTATCATGGTCTATAAAGGTTCCAGCGATTATTGCTGCCTTGATCAAAAATCCGTTCTTATTCCAGATGTTTGACGTTTCATCAGTGAAGACGATCATTTCTGGATCTGCACCATTTGACAGGAATCTCGGTGAAATGGTAAAAAATGTCAAACCAGACTGGAAGATCCTTACTGGTTACGGTGAGCAAATAATTTCTCTCCTCCTCAAATCCTCCGATTCTCATCAACCTATGTGTACTAAGCGGAATATCTAACGAGTACTAGGTCTCACTGAGAGTTCCATCATTGCAACATTTACAAGTGCCCACGATCAAATGTTTGGGTCATCAGGTTCATTACTGCCAGAAGTCCAACTCAGGCTTATCGATGAAGATGGCGCCGATATTGATGTACATGAAAAGGCCGGCGAAGTGCTTTTAAAAGGACCAAACATTATATCCGGGTATCTGAGCGATTCCGAAGCGAGTGCAACCCTAATTGACTCAGAGGGCTGGCTCCATACTGGAGATGTTGGTCTTATCAGGCTATCACCCCAGCAGAACGAACATTTAGTCATTGTTGATCGCCTGCGAGACATGATCAAAGTAAAGGTAAATAACCCGTTATCTGTTTTGTTCATGACTGATATATCCTTGCAGGGTATGCAAGTTTCTCCCGCCGATATCGAAGCTGCACTTCTCCTACATCCAGCAGTACGTGACGTTGCTGTCATTGGAATCAAGGATGAACTTTCCGGGGAGCGTGCAAAGGCTTTTATCGTCAGGTTCCCGGACGTCATGAAGGATTCATCCGAGGAGCAGCTGAAAGAGTCAATAAGAGAGCATGTAGAAAAGAACCTCAGTGAGCTGCATTGGTTGCACGACAGGATTACATTTCTTGCCGAAATCCCTAAGAACCAGAGTGGAAAAATTCTCAAAGTCAAGCTGAGGGCAATGGAACGTGGCGAGTAGATTAACGGTTCTTCATTGATGATATTTTGGGGTGACTGCGGACATGCGTACATATGTAAGAAATGAATTATTGAGTTTCAGGGGCGTGTTCTTTCGAATATCCTTTTCGTTGATAATATAATTAAGTGGCTTATGAAATGGAATCTTTAAAAGAACTGTGAATGTACCCATACGTGGAGCCCTGGAGGTAGCTGAAACTTGTCAAGTTCGGCACTGACACGCGGTATTATATGTATCCATGGATATGGAATTGATCCGTCGTTCCTCCTGTGGTCTTCGGTGTCTCATTTACCTTGACAAGGTAACCACTCAATCTTGAATCTACCTAAGTAACAATAGATGCCTAGGTAACTGGGATCATTTAAAAATGGATTTGTATCTATACTGTTCACGAATGTGGAAGAAAGAAACTAAGTATACGGCCTAGTACAAATAAAAACAATCAAACAATACTAATCATAACCATTTATCATCACTCCTTCAACACAGTCTTCGGCTTTAAGGAATCCTCCACGAGCCGGGACTCTTTGGTGACATCTCTGCCAACTCCTGAATGCTTCCAGTACCTCTCAAGACTAGTAGAGGCACGTTCGCTTGTAAGTAAGCGCCAATCCAGTTTCTAAGCTCAACGGCAACAAGTGAGTCAACGCCATAGGTATCCAAACTTTCACCACGGCTGAGACGCTCCGCGGGCAGTGCGGTGACTTTACTCAACTGGATCAAAATTGCCTGACAAATGACTTCAACTGCGTCCTCAGGCGTGCCTACTGAACGAAGTTCGGTTATCACATCTGAAGTTGCTCCGGAGATTTGAATTTGAGATGAGCCTTGTCTACGCACATGGGTAAATTTCATATCTTCCATCCAGACACTTTCTCCAAGCCCAAGTTCGTCCCCAGATGGGACCAACCCAATTGATGTTTGGCAGTGACCAGGCTGACATGCAATAGGGTTGGAAATAACTTGATCGAGATGGGCAAGGAATTCATACACGGATGTAGTGCCCATACCTTGTCGACGCAGGGATGCAGCAACCTCTGGATTTTCGCTCACATAACCAATTTCGACAATTGCGCCCACATTGATGGAGTGGGCACGTAGACCACGAGAGGTTCTGTAATGAGCAAGAGCATCCTGGAAAGCGCAGGCTGCAGAGTAGTTGCTTTGACCCACGTTACCAGCAACAGCAACAGCGGAGGACAACATGATGAAGAAGTCAAGATTTGATGGCAAAGCCTTGTGAAGGTTCCAGGTACCTTCTACCTTAGGGTTGACAGCGTCCAACCAGTGCTTAAATGTCATCTCATCGAACACAGAGTCCTAGCACATTAAATCAGCATTCAATCTTATAATGCGTTCGATTGCTAGTCATTACCTCGAGAATCATTGCCGACTGTACTATACCACGAATTGGGGGCAGGTTGTCTTTCAGTTCGGCCATAACTCGTCTCAACTGATCCATATCGCCTACGTCGCACTTCTTGACGTAAACAGTAGTTCCCAATTCTTTTACAGAGTCGATCAAAGCCAATGTCTGCTCGTTCAGGGTACCGGAGCGGGAAAATGTCACGATGTTCTTTGCGCCTCTTTCGGCCATCCACTTGACAATCTGCTTTCCAAGACCACCAAGGCCTCCCACGACGATGTAGGTCGCGTCTTGTTTTAGCTTTGCTAACTCTGGGCGAGGAGGAATAATCTGAAAGTTGTGAGCAATGAATTTTTCTCATGCATCTACCTCCGTTACGTAAGAGGAATATTACCTTTACTCTTTGGTCTTCTGATACGGTCAGGATCACTTTTCCAATGTGCTTGCCGGCTTGTATCAGACGGAAAGCATCCTCGAGCTTCGAAATCGGCATTGTCATAATAGAGACAGGGCTAATAGCACCAGCAATGATCAACTCAATAACGTCGTGAAGCACACGTTGAGCGAGTGTTTTGGCCTTTGCAATGACGAGGGCCATGTCGACGTAGGAAAAGGTCACATTCTTAAGAAGGAACTCCATTGGCATTAAAGCGTCATCCATCAGGTCTTTACGACCAATCTCGACAAATCGTCCAAAGGGTGCGACAACGTTAGTCGACTCGCGGAACATCTCACCACTCAAGGAGTTGAGGACCACGTCAACACCATGGCCACCTGTGATTTGCATAATTTCTTCGTAGAAAGATGTGTTACGGCTTGAAAAGAAGTGATCCTCAGGAATACCAAATTTCTCCATGAGGAATTCTTTCTTCGCGTCACTCCCGACAGTCACAAAGATCTTTGCGCCAAGGTATTTCGCCAGCATAATGGCAGCTTGACCAACAGCTCCAGCACCAGAGTGAATAAGCACACTTTCGCCCTTTTTTAGTTTACCCATATCAATGATTGAATAGTAGACGGTGATCCAAACAATTGGAAGGGATGCTGCTTCTTCAATCGACAGTGTGTCAGGAATAAGATGACAGCAGTCACCATGAACAATGGGATAATTGGTGTATGAACGAGAGTAAAGAGCACACACACGGTCGCCGGGCTTGTACCGATTTCTCATATTTGCTCCAACCTCCACGACAGTACCGGAGCAGTCATTTTGCATCTGGTTGATACCTTCCAACTGGCCGGAGGCAATAAGAACGTCCTTGAAGTTGATACTGGCTGCACCCAGCCTGATTTTGATATGGTCCGGATCTAGCGGTCCAATAGCTTCAGGGTCGTCCCTCCATCTGACTGTCTCTAGTAACCCAGGAATGGCGAGCTCTGCTGTAAGGACTCTATTGTGTCCGAGGAAAGACGATCCTGTGGGTTGGGATTTTCCTAGAGAACTGTGGACAAATTTGCTCATCTCACGTTGAGCAATAACTCGAGGCACATAGAGCTGACCGTCTCTTTCCCGATATTCCGACTCAACGTCACCAGCAACAGCATCGAGATCAAATGATGGACTACAAAGTACCTCCGCAATCACATCTGCGACACTGTCTACAGTGCCTTCGGCGCTGATCTCTAGGGAGATAAGCCGTATTTCGTGATGTTCCATGCGGAGCGAGCGAAGGAAGCCGTTAATGACAGTGCCGTCTGGCCTGGTAGACTCCGAAAGTCTTGCTTGTGTGATGAAAAGAGCTGCTCTTGACGTGGTGATCCGCTCTTTCAGCGACTTCCACTGCTCTTCATCCAGTGATCCTGCGAGAAGATCGCAGACTTCCGGAAGGAAGATAGAGACAGTATCGCTCTGGCCTAGTGCCTGAAGATTGGTTGGGAGAATGTCTTGATTAGAAAGCAATTCCTTCAGTGTCTTTGACAGACGACCGGCAACATTATCATCAGGAGAGAGGCCAACGATGTCCACCGCAGAATTGACTGCTTCAGATTTGTGTGTCTCGTTTGCATGCGCGACAAATACACTGATTGTACCTCCATCCTTCCGTTCATAATCGTTGAACATGGGTTCTGTTTGTTCAAAGCCTGTCTTGTAAAGTTTATCCTTCCACTGAGGAATGCTGAGTAAAGGGGACATCGTACGGCCCTCATCGTAGCCACTCCACCATCCAGAGAATGCTCCGTAAAACATGTTGTAGTAGAGTTGATTCAATGTGATTTCCATCAGAATAAATTTACCACCAGGTCGAAGCAATGATCGTACGTTTTTCAACACCGTCTCAATATTTGAGGTAGCATGAATCACGTTGCAGGCGACAACGATATCATAACTATTTGCAGAGAATCCTTGTTCGACGGGATCGTTCTCAGCATTTAAAACTTGATAGTTAACCACATTTTCGTATTCAGCCAGACGTTCTTTTGCTGCAGGGAAGAAGCCAGCCGAAATGTCAGTGAAATCATATCGTGAGGCCAGAACCCTATCATCTGACTTGATCTTCTCCAACAATGGTAACGTAACCGATGCTGTTCCTGCTCCTATCTCGAGAATCTTCATATCCGGTGCCTGTCGACCAAACTCGGCACAGTAAGCTGCAATCTGATCATAACATCGAATGCATCGTTCTTCGAGATAGACCTTTTCTAACAGGCCATCCTCTCTCATGAATGACAGAGGATGAGCATTGCCTCGAAGGATGTCTGGCAAGTGAGGCCCAAGTCTTCGAAGTGCTTGACCACCGATGGTTTCATCCATCATTGCCTCAGCTAGGACAGTAGTGTCAAAACTATCATATGCGTGGGTTCTCATCCAGGCATACCAGTGCTTCAGATGCCCTTCTCCGACTTCCTCTGGAGAGACCTCTTTCAGTGCTTGTTGTATGTAAGACATGGCTAGTGCATCTAATCTATTGTTTCTGTCCATGACAGAGTCCACCTTTTCCAGTCCCTCTTTAAATCTTTTAATTTGATTTTTGGTCAAGCTTTGCATATATGTGACCCATTCAATGGAGTGGATAAGATCGCGGGAGCCTTCTTCAACAGGTACAAGCCCTGGGAGTCTGGTCGCTGTAACTGTAGACGCTTGAAGAAAAACGGTTGCAGGTTCTACCTCTTTGTCAAAAATACCAATATCGTAGGTGAGTTGGCCAGTGGTTCTTCTTGCAAAACACGTCAAGTTCTTCGTCGAGAGGTCTCCCAGATTGCCCGCTACATTCAGAGTCTTAATGAAAGTGGGTACAACAGTCTCCTTGAAGTTATCCTCGAAAATGAGAACAGCATAAAGACTGTGGAATAGACAGGCATCCAAGACAGCTGGATGAATAAGATATGGTGTTGCATCCTGATCTGATGGCTTGACGGTGGATATAGCTGCACCGTTTGTTGTCTTGACATCAATCACGTTGTCAAATGGACTTACCCAGTCGAGGCCCAAGTCCTTTGCCAGAAAGTACAGTTTCTTTGGGTTTATATATTTCCCAAACTGGAGCAACTGTGCGTGTAAGTCCTGATCTTGAGCTGAGATGACCCTATTCATATCACCTTCACTCGCCAATTCAACATGGACTAAACCACGACAGTGTTCTGTCCAAGAGTTATCGGCAGTCACTGTAAAAACACGGAACTCATTCCACGTCTTGGAAGACTTTCGTGCTGAGTGCACTTGTGGTCTCAGTGAGAAATTAAGCTCGAGGTTTTCGATCCCTTCCGACAGAACCAATGCCATCCCAAAGCTAACGTTGCGAAGTTTATAATTCTTGATAGACGCATCCGGATTTTCATCCAATATTTGCTCTTTCATAGCTTGAATGGCCATAGCAAGGTAACCTGCAGCCGGGAACACGACTTGACCTTGAACGATGTGTCCTCGTAACCAAGGAAGGTCATCCAAGCGGATGAATTTACGCCATCGAGGCTCAACGCTGTTATAATCACCCCCCATCGTTCCTAGTAGGTCATGTGGTATGTTCTTCCTGTATCTATAAGCCTTAGAGATACGACTCTCGTGCCAGAATGTCCGGCTATGGTCGAAGGAGTAAGAAGGAACATCAGTTACAAGCTTGTTAGCAGTTGTTGAATCAAACCCATTATTGACAAGATCAAGTTTGACTGGGAAGCCTTCCAAGAATAAAGTCCTTAGAGCTGAGAAAATGGTTGTTTCAGCATTTGTCCCTCTCTTGAGAGTTCCCGTGTAAGGAATCTTAGCTGAATCTCCCCGAAGAGTACGGAGCGTTTGTGAAATCGGACCACCAAGCTGGAAATGAGGACCCAGTTCAAGAAGAAGATCCAGTCTCTTCTGCCCTGACCAAGTCTGACATAGTTTTCTTGTTGCTTCGGTAAATTTCACTGGAGATACAAGGTTCTGGACCCAGTAGTCTTTGTCGATAACAGTATCTCCAATATCTTCGCCAGTGAGAGAAGAGACCATCACGATGGATACATCTGTCTTTCCACCCTTGATACCATCCAAGGCTTTACGATATTCACTTTCGATCAGATCCATTTGGTGCGAATGGTAAGCTGCACCTCCAGTACGTAATTTACGGTTGAAAATATCAGCACCACTCAAAACTTCTTGCAGTAATAAAATGGCGTCATCGTCACCCGAGACAGTCACACTGGATGGACTGTTGAAACATGCGATTCGAAGGCGTGTTTGAGCTTCTCCAATCTCCTTGATTTTAGCGGCAACGACTTCAGGAGATTCGCCAACAGCCAACATGCCACCTGGATGATCAGAAACCCTCTTGCGCAGTGTACTGGCAAGTCGACCTCGGTGATAAGACACAGTCATCGCATCGTCAAAGGAGATAGCTTTAGCACAGTATGCTGCAGCAATCTCACCACTGGAGTGGCCGGCCACAAATGATGGGAAGATGCCCAGCTCTGCAAGTGTATCGGCAAGGGCAAGTTGGATAGCTGTCGATAATGGTTGAGCAACTTCCGGTTCATCGACACGTGTTTCTTCGGCCGGTTTCAACAATTCGGAGATTAGATCCCACGAACAACCAATATCTGTCAAGCATTTTCCAGCACGCTCGAGCGAGTTACTAAAAGCTGGAAAGTTCCCAAGCAATTCTTTTCCCATGCCGGCATACTGTGCACCTTGTCCGCTAAATACGAAGCCGATGCGGCGCTGTCCCTTCGTATCCCGCCTGGGAACTGCTTGCTGGGACAAGTCCTCTAACTGAACTATGAGTTCATCCACTGCGGATGCCACCACTCCAGCTCGGTGTCCAAAAAGTGATCTCCTCCCAAGGGTATATGCGAGATTGTTCAGCCAGATGTCAGCATTTACAGTATATCCAGATTTGCTTTTGAGATATTCGGCCATTTTTTGCGCCGAAACTTGAACAGACTTTTCAGTCTCAGCACTTAGAATAAAGATTCTGCTCCTAGCGGACTTTTCGGGCTTCGATGGCGCTTTGATTCGTCCTGTCAATGGTGAAGGAGGAGCAAAAAATGAATCGACAGAGTCGAGAATAACGTGAGCGTTTGTGCCACCATAGCCAAAGCTATTCAACGCTGTTAGTACATTGCTTTGAATGGCCGGTGAGTTAAGGGGTAATTACCAATTGATAGAGATTCTTCGAAGGTCACGACTTTCTAATTGCAGTGGTATCTAGAGAATATACGAGTTAGTATCATATATGGAATGCAGGGGTAACTGTTCGTCATAAGTGCTTACCCTTAATTTCAACTGCTTCAATGGTATTGTAGTATTCGCGCGCTCAAAGTTTACCTGAGGAGGCACCAGACATTTCTCAAGCATCAATAGACCCTTCAATAAGCCCGTCAGGCCAGCAGCACTTTCCAAATGCCCAACATTTCCTTTGACAGAACCAATCAAGAGAGGGTTCTCCTCATCCCTTGAAGAAGACAACGCATCAGCAATTGCTTTTGCTTCGATTGGATCGCCGACCTTGGTACCTGTACCATGAGCTTCTACATAGTCAACATCTAGTAAATTGATACCAGCTTGAGCGTAAGCTTTGCGGATAGCAGCAGATTGCGCAAGACCACTCGGTACACTGATTCCAGGAGTCCGTCCATCTTGATTGAGGACAGAATTTCGTATTATGGCTCGAATTGGTTTCCCCTCTTTGAGTGCACTGGATAATGTCTGGAGAACGACACCAGTACAGCCTTCTCCTCGCCCATATCCATTCGCTCTTTCATCAAATGGGAAAGATTTTCCCTCTTTTGAGAACATCTTGAGCTGACTTTGGTATGTATATCTCTGGGGATCCAATGTCAAGTTGACACCTGCCACAAAACTGCGGTCTGTTTCTCCCGTGCGAAGACTTTGAACAGCCGAGTGTAAGGCGACCATACTTGCAGAACAACCGGTGTCCACTGTGAAACTTGGTCCCTTCATGTTAAAATAATAGGATAATCTGTTCGAAGATATAGCAGGGCCAGTGCCTGTTGTCTGATAGAAAGCAGGGAAATTCGTGTCACGACTGAGGACCTCATTATAGTCGGATGTCCACTGGCCAACATAGACTCCAGTATTTGATCCCCATACTTGTTCACTTGTAATGCCAGCATTTTCGAAAGCTTCATAGGCAACTTCGAGCAGAAGCCGTTGCTGAGGGTCGATAGCCTGGTTGATCCGTCAGCTAAGTGTATCATCGAAGCACAGATGACTGAACTTACAGTTGCTTCCATGGGCCGAATTCCAAAGAATGCAGCATCGAATGCAGCAATATCGTCTTCTAGGAAGTGACCGCCGTTCGTATTTGTCTGGATTTATTGTTAGTATTTATCTCATCGCGGCCCCGGGGCACAAAAGTAACAATAATAACGGGATATACAATAACCTTGGAAGGACTTACAGTTCCGTTTTTGAGCCCGAATGGACTGTGAAAACCTGAATGGCTGAATCTATTTGATGGGAACGGGCCCCACGCCGACTTTCCGGCTTCAAGTAAATCCCATAATTTCGAAGGTGATGAAGCACCTCCAGGGAGTCTACAGCTAACACCAACAATTGCGATGGGCTCTACGCTGCCCGCTTCATTGGATATCATTTCGTCCGAGGTATGCGATCCATTGACCTGGGTCCATTCAGATGGTTTGGAGCTGCCAGAGTCTCCCATTTTCTTTAAAAATCGCGTCGTTGATGGCTGGAGGGTATTGGAAGATCGCAATGCAATAGATGATGTTGACAGACGGATAGTCACCCGTCAGTTGCAAGGTCGTGGGAAACTGACTGGATGGAAGATAGGATGAGATATTCAAAAAGAGTGAATGAGGACGTAGAACATTCAGAAACCCAATTCCCGATTGCGGCAGTATCATTGTTCCCTCAAAGGGGCTGACTTTGTATCTAACTATAGATGTCCACTCACTTTCCGCAACCTTGTTGCCACTTTCTAGGCATATAGGTCAAGGACTTGAAATTCAGAAGCTCAGCTCAAGCTGATGATGGATTAACCCATCAGCTTTGATTGCGACTGTGGCCTAGGGCTACTAGCTTAAGCTTACCTTACAGCTGCCCCTCCTCTTGATGACCACTGCTTGTAAATGATCGCAAAATCTCCATAATGAAGCCCCCATGTGTAAAGGACCGGCCATACTCTGTACTGTACTGTTATGGAATGAATGAATCTATATGACAGTATGCGTATTGTATTACATAACATATACTGTGTCTTACATTACATACCCCCAATACATCTAGTAATATCAATACGTCCAAGGCCTACAGGTGGGTCTCATTCTCTACTTGCCTCATACAGGCACTCCGCATCCTAATATCTGCATAGTAAGCATATTTGTAATCATCGGGCCAAATTGAAATCCGCTATATGTATGGAACAGGGATCAATGAGGACATACGGCCAAGATCTAACATGATGAGTTCTTCATTCTCGGTCGCGACAATTATTTTGGCCTTTCATGCTTACACGCCGCAGTCACGGATTCGTCTAGATTACGTACCTAATGACTTGTCGCTAAGACTACGAGTCAGACAATCCATTTTGGATGTGACACTAGTAAGATTAGAAAGAGATACACGACAACCGATAAAAATCTGAAGCTTCAAAGTCTTCATGTCTCACGTACAACTGATACACGTTTTTCTGGTATCACTCCATTCATCTCATGATTCTGGATCCACAGTCAGCCTTCTATACGGATCATCCTTCAGCCAGCTGAAGAGGGGGCCAGATGAACATGAGTTGAGCGAGCAACATACGATACTGCGCAAAAGCAATCACCCAATATCGGTGATGGTATCGTTTGCTCGTTAGACCTTACATCTAACTAATGGCTGTTGTCTCCAGTCTTAGCCAGCCTAAAACTGATAATCGAGATCCTCGCATCTGGACTTAATGATCCCGTATCAACTACCCATCCGACTGTACACTAGTGCATATTTGGGTAGCTGGGGGTTACAGTTTGCTATTGCTGTTTGAATCGGAAAGATAATCGACGATGGCGGGAGTCTTAGATTCATTGAGTCCAAAGTTGCTTGAGGATGGCAGGGTGCTTGGAGTTACAATCATAGCAATATTGGCAATTACAATTCTTCTAAGAAGAATATCCCAGCGTTTCTCGTCGGATTATCAGTTTTGGAAAAGCCAGCCATGGGCCGGAATACGGTCCGAGTTGTTCTCTGGGACAAGAGCATATTTCCGATCTTTCTTTACCGTCCGTGACATGGTCGAGAACGGATATCACAGCGTAAGAATATCTCTGATGTGAACCTCATCAAATTGTTTTCGCAGCCATAGACTAATGCGACTGGGATTATAGTATTCAACGAGTAGAAAGGCATTTGTCCTACCCGTGTTTGGCGGAAAGCCATGGATAGTACTTCCAAAAAGTTCTGCAAAAGATCTTATTTCAAGATCTGACTCGGAATTGAGCTCAGATGACATTCATATCGAGCAGTTGCAGGTTAACTATACACTTGGCCCCAAGGGTGTTCATCTAATGCGAGTACCACTACAATTTGATGTACTCCGGCGTCAATTAACCCGAAAGCTCCCTCTTCTGACGGGAGCTGTTTATGATGAATTGGACAAAGGGTTCAAACAGTACTGGGGTACTGATACTACGAATTGGGTTGAGGTAGAGGCATTCCCTACTTGTTTGAAATTAGTTACGCGCGCAGCCAATAGAGTCTTCGCCGGTGAAGAAATCTGTCGCAATGAAGATTTTTTGGAACATTCGAAGCAATACACTCAAGGGACGGTATTTGCCTCTATGGCGCTGCGACTCATTCCGAAAGTATTGCGGCCTTTAGCATCTCCAATCCTACTGTTGCATAATAATCAGCATTTTCGTGTCTGCGCACGGATTTGCGTGCCGGTTGTGCAGGAGAGGATTCGAAATACAAAAGCGAAGCAAACAGATGAATCCTTTGAATGGGAGCCTCCGGTGAGTGCAGCAACAGACTAAGGAGAAGAAACGAAGTGCATTATCTAATAATACCTAGGTTGATGCTCTGCAATGGCTTGTGGAGGAGTGCATAAACACCGAAGACCCAAAGGAACTAGACCCAGTCCTGATTACACGTCGACTATTACTTCTAAATATGGTGGCAATTCACACAACCTCAATTAGCATCACTCATGCAATACTCAACGTCAATACTTTTGAGCATTCAGAACAAGTCATTGCCAGTCTAAGAGAGGAGTGCAATCGCCTTCTTGGTGAGAATAATGGTGTCTGGACGAAGGCAGCTTTGAATGATGCTTTGCGCCTGGATTCTACCATCAAAGAATCCATGAGATGCGATGACTTAGAGCCTTTTTCGACCGGTCGTATGGTAGTTCACCCCAATGGTATTGATATTGAAACTTCGACTGAGAGTTCTCTACACGTTCCGCACGGGGTAACTCTCTGCTTACCGTCGCACGGAATTCATCGTGACCCAGAATACTATTACTCACCACTTGAATTTCGACCATTCCGTTTCTCTGAGCCACGAGAAGTGTTTCTGAAATCTCAGAAAGAGCTACCGCGTGAGCAATCCTCGGCATCAGATGTACAGGGGTCTATCAAACAGACCGCACTTGATTTGAAAACAACGGCGCTGGTCACGACTAGCGACACTTATCTTGCTTTCGGTCATGGTAGACATGCTTGTCCAGGTCGCTTTTTCGCGGCGCAAGAGATGAAGCTGATGTTGGCATATGTGCTTCAGAATTATGATATCGAGAAGTTGAGCGAGAAACCTCCCTCTACAATGTTGATGGGTACAAATGTTCCAAATGAAAAAGCCAAGATTCGAGTGAAAAGAAGGGCTTAGTATGTTTGTTTATGATGGAGGTGCCGATATAATCTGATTCAGTCCACGTCTATGTGGTAGCAACCTTGAGAATTCATATCATATCCTATTATACTTGCCATTTCACCTAACTAGGCAGAATGAAGTTCTTTACAGTTTCGAGAATTCCCATTAATCAAGACCTGATAATAACTAACTCTTCTATGGCCCCCTTAAATTCGTTCATTACCATCTCGACCCATGTGCCCTTGACTATTCCTTCCAGCCAAGAAAATCCAACATTCAAACGACCATTCGGACCAGTTGCCAGCGTCACTTCCAATGGTGATCCTACCACATTTCCCGCTTGGCTGAACAAAACTTTGCACACTTTCCAGCCCGACGATTCCACTCCATCCGGAACTGAGAAGACACCTAGATTTGAAAGTTCAATACTTTCTCCCCGCGGTCTGCCAATATTTTTTTGAAAAAACTTGTGAGAATCTCCTACGAATTTGAGTAGACCTGTTCGCACGTTCCTCCCCTCCTTTGCGAGTTCTCCCTTAATGGTTGTGCGAACTTTAACTGCCTCATCCCAGATATATGAGTACCTTTTCGCGGCGGAGTCGGAGATTGGTCGATTATGCTCCTGTACATAGCTATTTGACCAAGTACCAATGGAATTATTATCCACCAGGTTACTCGGAAGTATGGGCCTCAGAGAGATTGGGCCAGCAACTTTCAGTATCGTGTAGTTCTTGGGTAGTAGGTTGAAAACCGTGTAGACCAGAATAGCCTCAATAACACCGGTAACGGTAGTGTTTTTGCCACGAGAGATTTCTATGATTTTGGATGTCTTAGAGGCAGAAATCGAATATGACTTGAATCGAGACCTCTTCATGTCCGGATCATCAGTAATATCCTTGGCTGTCCACACGGTACCGCTCCATCGTGGCACAAGTTCTCTCCAGATAGTACCAAGTATATAGAGAATGGAGATAGGCAATGGGTGCAAAGCCTCCAGACAAGGGATTAAGTCTTTCCTTGCTGGAGTCACGAGGTAAGGGTTATTGTCTCCGGGGGATTTTCGGGAGGCCCCAGCGTGGTCTGATCTTCCTAGTGCTGACAAAAAGGATCGGTGAAAAGCGATACCAGAGAGACCATCTCCTATGGCGTGGTGAACCACAAAGCAGGCTGTGAATTGTGGTAGACTGCCGGCGTCGCTCTGAGAACGTGTGTGTAGGATGACTAGCCGCCAGAAGGGCAATTCGCCGTATCGTTGTTTGAAACTCTGGTTATGTTCCCGCTCCAATATCTCGTCAAGTTCGGGATCGATTTCGGTATCTGGGTCCCATGACTTTTCTCTCTCTACAAATGTGACAACATTCTGTAGATCAAATTGCGGTAACCTCGCAAAATGCGGGTTGGGCATGTCTTCGCCTACTGGAATGACTCCCAAGATAGCATGTTCTTGGATGACATTTTCCAATGCCGAGAATATCAAATCATGCAATATAGCAATAGGAGAACTGTTCGTATATACAGCGCTCACGGCTATATTGTTATGATAGCCTAGCCAATGCTGAGCGGTTGAGTGTCTTTCCAGCAGGCCTTGAGGGCAGAGCACGCGTCTTAGCCAACGTGCTCAGATATCCTCATCAACATATGGCGCTCACCTAGTGATCTAACTTTTTCTAAAGATCCTGCGATCGACTTAGACATGTCGTACCGAGAGACGAGAGGTTAACGGGCGGCTTGGTTACTTCTCGCTTCTCACTTTGTCACTCTACTTTGACAGAAAACACGGTATCCTGATGACAATTGTATAGGAATCTGCGCTACAACTTAGTTTCCGAGGCAATGATTTTCAGACCGCGAGTGTAAACTAACATGACAACAGGCAGCACAGCTATGATACTTGTGCCGTTCTACATGTCTAGTCAAGTGGATGTACTAACATGGGTACCTAGGTAATCAGCCTCGTGCAAGTTCGATTGGTATCCATTCTCATGAGACCTGTTCTGTGAGCGTGAGGCCATCCCTGTGGATTGTTGCATCTCCAGCTTCTCGCCCCAGTGGGGATAGTCTACTTATTCTACAAGCTAGCTATACGAAGCAAGAGCAAATCAAAAATCCACCCGAGCAAGCTGCCATCCATCTAGCGCTAGTATCAGGGTTTTTTTGCACTTGCCATGCCTTACTACTGTAGTACACGGTGTTGATGGTATCTCATACCAGTGTTATACAATACCATTCTATGACACTGTTACTGTAATTCTGTATTTTCGGAAATTACCGCTAGAACGTAATTTGCGCCACAAGCGGTAGTCTCTTTAGGTGGATCGACAACAGTCGTGATGAGTGGGGCATCTTTTGTTGTATTCTTGATCCTTTGCGAGTCAGATCACCGTACCTTTCGATGCAGGATGGCGCTACTAGCTACCAGGACCAATCTACGCAGTACGGAATTGTTGGGATGTGCATATAGTTATCTTTTTGCATCCTTGGCGCAGATATTAAGAGGCAACTCAAATCCCGAGTCTCCAATGCTCACTCCGATGGACCCCAAAATAATAAGCACCAACGACGAGCATACGAGGCGACTATATCAGGCACCCGATATATCAAAACTCTAGAAGTTGAGCTGACACATTTTCAAGATCTTAGGTCATCAGTAATCGTGCATGTCTGCACCCCGAGTTAGCTCAGGTCCGAACAATAATTCCTTGCCGACCTAAAACGTGGTATATTTGTGACTGTTGAATGTGCGTGCTATGTTACTTACATCGCGTATATACGGAGTAGTTACATATTACTCTTCAATATCTTTTTTAAATCTATGGATAATACCCTTAGTAATTCTCCAAGGTGTCTGATCCCTCCCCTAGACACCTTTTAGGAATACCCATGAGAAAAAGAGCATTTGTAGCGATATTTTACTCATAATATCATGTGCTCATGCCCAATCTGATTCGGTGCGCAGTTCGAGCTCGGAGTACGGAGCAACGTCGGATATCTTTCTCGGAGACTTTTCCACTGGGGATCAGGGTTGTGTTGAAACCCTAGCGGGCTTGTCAAATATGGAAGGGTTGCATTGAAAGACCGCAACATGGCAAAAATTGACAAACAATAGGAAGAATCTGCGTTTATTCTCTGCTATATACAAGCCCCGTCTGAGATGAAGTTACTTTTATTGATCTGTGGTACTGGCTGGGACTTTGTATCTTTGACGCCGCTCACATACATTGCTAAAGTTGCAATGCTGGAACTGTATTGATACCTATCCATGCTGGAGTCATTATTCAGGGGTCGTAGCCGTGTGCAATCGATCTGTACATTTCTTCTGTCCAATGTTCCAATCCTAGAATTGATGAACAAGGAGTGGAACATAAAACATTTCTGCATGATCAGCTTGTCGTAGCCATGAAACGCCTTTACCCTCAACTATTAACTGGATTCTACTGTATCATTTCAAGGCTGTTCCGTGACGAGAAACCTGGAGCAAAGTGTTTACAGCCAACTCGTACGCTATATATATCACAATGAGAAATCAATTTTACAGAATAGCATACCTAGGCAGTTACTGACGCCTTTGGATCAGGAAGTAGGACATTCTATCCATGTATTATACGTATTCAAAGACAATTGCTGGCAGCAGTAACAAAGCTCTTGACCAGCATATTAAGATGGCCCGGCCTAACTCATAGACTGCGCGCTATCAGTCCTTAACCAGATGACCTCTAAATGAAAGTATGGGAGTGAAAGATACTATAGGGGACTAGTCAGGTCTATCCGACGTATCTCCTTGAATAAAGCTCTAGACATGACTTAACTGGCAGCTACTTTCCACAGCGTCTCAGCTAAGAGAAATCATGGTCGGTACCTGAACCAGAAATTTGGACAAGTCGGCTCGAACTATAGATGTGTTAAAATTATTACATATCAGCTCTATTGTTCCCCAAAAACTCAAAATGCACTTAGCAGAAAGCCCAGGCAATCCCCATTTTGGTTTAGTGGCATAAATTCTTTCTCGACACGAGTACTCATGAGAGCATAGAACCACTTTGGCAAAAGAATTAGTCTACTCTACTGGACTCTATGTGTGAAGAAACATAGTTAACGACGCCATGAGATGAGAATTGATACAACCGACTTTTCAAATTATATCGAACCCGAGGTCCAGGGCTGCAAAGACCGATCTATCATGTTCAAATGTTAACTTCTTCCAAAGTTCCCTCAATATATCGATTGATCCATGGAAATCCACGTGTCTATATAGCTGCAGGCCTGTGGCTTGAGTTCCATAGCGCAAGCTCCTGTCTGGTATTCCTCATTAGGCTGCATTCAATCTAAGGAATTCAGAGCAAATAGGTGCTTCAGGTGCTTGACATTCTGAGGTTTTCCACCCATCCACGTGGGATGTCAACATTAGCGGGGTGAATGAGCGAAGAGGGGAAATGTGGGGATTCACCAACAAAGACAATGACTTCATATCTGAAATCATAATTATCAACGGCTGAGCAGAGACCCCTCGGGAGGAATCGAAAGAACTGAACAATGCGAGCTTAAAGGCTTCCCGGGTTCAATCCAAGTACTGGATAATAAAGATGCCCTTATAGAGGCTAATCAACAGCGCCTTGGAACGACATTTTGGTCAGATGGCTCTAGACTTGATACAGGACGTGCCGGAGCCGGTGTAGCCTTACAAACAGTACCTGAGGGCCCGTGGGAACACGTAGAGGTGCCGATGGGTCATGGACATGAGGTCTTTGACGCAAAACTAGTAGGAGTGGCCACAGCCCTTGAGTGGGCACTTGAGAGGCAACTTCTAGGTCCTATCTGGGTGTTTCTTGATGCACAGAACGCTATCGATCGCCTCAAATCGACAAGGCCAGGCCCTGGGCAAGCCCTTGTCCTCAGGGCTCACAGGGCAGCTGAGAAACTAGCCTCAAGAGGCCAGCCGGTGACAATACAATGGGTTCCAGGCCACTCCGGGGTTGAAGGGAATGAACAGGCTGATCAAGCTGCCAAGAGGGCAGCTAGCAAGCATACAGCACATGGTTTCGAGCACCTATTTCTAGCATACATTAAACGTGCTTGTACCGAAGCTAGGAGAGCTGCAGTGTCTGAATGGGCTCAAATCAATGCCGTACAAGGTAGGCATAGAGATGGATGTGTCTACAAGATGCCTCGAGGCTGGAGCCTTGACCCACTGGCTGGAAAAGCCCCAAAAAGGCTGGCTAGTCGGTACTACCAGCTGAAGACAGGACATGCCCCAATAGGCACCTATCTACACCGGATAGGCCGACGGGAATCGCTTGAGTGCCAGGCCTGTAAGGAGCCTCATGAGACGGTGAGACATGTGCTTTTTGAGTGTCGAGGACGTCGAACAGGAAGGAAAGTCTTATATCGAGTCCTCAAGAAAGCTGGAGTGCCGCTGCCTACAGCGGCTGAAGAAAGTCCCTGGGCTAGGCTGTTTGCAGAGCCTAGAGCGACGCAGGGGTTGCTGCAATTTGTAGCTGAAGCCAACCTGTTTCATGATAAGGAGCAGACAGCCAGAGAAGCTGAGATTAGTGATGTGTGGGGATGGGATACGTTAGAAGAAGGTGGCCTAGGTGTCACATTGGAGGATGAATAGGGATAAGGGCACACTAGTCAGGGTTTGTACCGACTAGGCGTGCCCACGGGTTTGGAACTATAAGGGATCTCCGGAAGGATAGGCCTAGGAAGAGAGCCCAGAAGCTGCTGGCTCATAGGCCATACAGCAGCGGGATAGTGATTTTGAATGTTGCATGTATGATTCTGATAGGGGTGAGGCCTTTAGGGTCTCACGAAGGCTTCTAGTGGTCTGTCATAGCCTATAGCGCTGGGTATGGACAATAAACATGATTAACAATAATAATAATAATCAAGCTAGCGCTACAAGCTCACGCTCTGCTACGACTTCGGTGGACAAATGCACCGTAGAGGCCTTGTATTCTCTTTATTTATGATACTAACTGTTCTCCCATGAATTCTCATTCTCTGTATACGAGAGATCCAGATCTCAGCAGGTTTCGTTTCCTTCGCTATAATCAGATTGGCCATGGAGGTTCATCGGCGCCTGTAGACCCAACGAAAACAACGTTTGTCACGCTCGCAGATGATGTTGCTGAATTATTGAAGGCTATTGGTATCAGAGCTTATATGCTGGATCGGTATTTCAATGGGTGCTGCGACAGGGGTTTGCTTTGTTACGCGGAATCCTGGGGTGGTGAAGAGATTGGTGGTAGCTGATACTATCACCTCATCCCCGGACAGTGCTGGTGTCCCTGATCTTTTCGTCGGTCGGGCCGAGATTGCAAGGAAAGAAGAGGACGCCATTGAGAATTTGACCGAAACTACCTTGGAGAGATGGTTCTCTCAACAATGGAGGGACTCAAACCCAGCTGAAGTTGAACGGATGAGACAGCTAATGAGAACAACCAGCAGAGGCGGGTTTATTGCTTGCTGTAATGCCTTGTCTCATGCATCTTTTGATTTGAGACCGTTGCTGAGAAACGTCGGCTCCTCCGTTGAAGCGTCATCGTTGATTGCGGGGGAGCAGGATGCCAACATTCCAGAGACAATGAATGTTATGCGCCAGGAGATATCAGCTGGGTCCACGGGACCACAGCAGGAGCATTTAATTATTATAAAAGGCGCCGGTCACGTTCCGGTTGTAGATGGGTCTAGTCAGTTCAAGCATGAAGTGTTGAACTTTTTGGCTGAGGGGTCTCCCAAGGTTTAATTTTAGCACACGAGCATCATCTAGTTTAGGCCATGGCTGTACGATTCATATCTGTACAGTGTTGATTCCGCATTACTATTTCTGCAAGTATTGTGCTGCCTGGGATTCAACAGTCAATAGAATATGTAATGGTTTACTCCGTACTTGACCTTGAGTCAACCTCTGCTCTGATCAAGTCAAAGTCTCATGAGAAATTCCCCAACTCATTGTGCATTGACAATAACCCTAAAAGGGGAGTAAGCCACAAATACCGAGTCAAACTCAGTTTTCAGGGGCTAGCCTCGACGGAACTGGATGTCCGGTCATGACGTTGAGAAATCAAAGGCAACCACCACTGTGCTGCAATGAATGTAGATAGCCTAACACCTGTCACAAAGTCATTTACATCACTTGCTATCCAAAAGTTCATGATCCGTGATATCTTCACATTCCGCGGGCATCCGGTGTCACAACCAATCAGACTTGATTACTAAAAAGGGCACTGGAAGTCATGTGATAATTTAGGCGGTGAAGCAACTGCCGTTCTTATTCTACCGCCCTCACCAAGCAGCAACAATAGATAAAAATCGAGTCTTCGACAAGATCATCCATGGATCGATCCCCTGAATATATAACCTTCACTTATCAAACCGCCAGTCAACAGTCTACTAATGGCAAAATCAAAAATATTAGCAGTCGCAACACACCTCGGCCGACGTGCATACAGACACAAACTCTCCCTCATCTCCCTGTGCTTTGTGATCTTCTTCATTATCCCCATCTTTCTATACACATTACTAGGCACGATACTCGCGAATGATCCAAGACTAGTTCCGCATGCTATTCGGAATGCGCGCAACGTGTTATTGATCACGGCTCATCCGGATGATGAGTCGTTATTTTTCAGTCCGAGTATTTTGCACCATTCGGACATGCCGCATGTGAATCGGCATTTGCTTGTTTTGTCGTCTGGTAATTATTCCGTCTGATTCGGGTGGGAGGTGGCTATAGCTGACTTTATAGGAAATTTCAATGGTCTCGGTGAACATCGACGAACAGAGACAAAAGCCTCTTGCGCTGCGCTAGGAATCAAAGACGACAATTGCGTTGTCCTTGATAATAAGGATTTACAAGACAACCCCCGACAGTGGTGGGATGATTCCATCATCGAAAAGATACTGGCAGATTATATCAAAAAATGGAATATTGACCTCATCATCACTTTTGACCATTACGGTGTCTCGGGACACGTCAACCATAGATCGGTCAGCAGAGGAGTGAAGAAATTCTGCGATGAGCATGATCATATGCCACCGGTCTATGCGAACCGGTCGAAATTTTTACTGAGGAAGTATTCATCGCTGTTCGATTTGATTCCGACATCTTTGCCCTTTACATGGCGAATTTTGGAGGCGTTGGTCTCTCCCGTGCCAAAGGGGTACGAGACGGCCGTGTCGATCACGGAAAAGCCGGTGCCACCACCAGAAGGCGGCGATAAATACGGTGACAAAGCTCTTCTGGTGACGGATTGGAGACAGTATAGGCAAGGCCGGACGGCGTTTCAGCAGCACGCATCGCAATATTCCTGGGACCGGGTGCTTTATTTGATAGTGAGCCGGTATATGTGGTTTAATGATCTGAAGAGATTGTAAAGTAATTCAACTATTGCTATCTCACGGAAGAAAGAAAACACTGTTCTTGACTAAGTAGTAAAACAATCGCTGATGCAAGAAGATGCGAATTAATACACGAATATAAGAGCAACGAAGGGAAAAAGGGGAAAAAAAAAAATCGCAGAAAACGACAATAATCCGCTATGCCTCTTTGATGCAAGAAAACCCACGCTCAGAATCAAATCTATCGCCCATTGCCTTATCCCGTGCCGCAGAGCACCGTCTCCGTCGTAAACACAACCGTGTGACATACACGGTCAAGAGTAGTGATGCGACGAAGATCAAGGAAATGATAATCGAGCCGCTTCGCAAGTGACCAATCCAGTTGATAAGAGCAGCGTCAAAGTTGTGCCAGGATGACGATCCGAGATGGCGGAACAGCGGGGTATCGACGAATCCATTCAACATGTGTAGCCGAGGGGAGCCGGTGATTCCGCCGAGTATTCGAAGGGGATTGCGATTTTCTTGGAGGGTGAAGATGGTGCTATCGACTGAGTTAGTCAAGGTATCAGTCCTGGTGAGGAAGTAAACATACGATGCGTAGTGACAGCCAGTGCTGAACATGACTGCGACATAAGGAAGGTAGAACCAGACGTGGTTGTATCTGGTAAGATTGTCGACAAGGTCTCGTACAAATTCATTGCCTTGACTGGCCATCATGAAGCCGATCGAGAACCCGGTTGGATGAGCAGCTGGCGCGACAAATTCAAAGCGTCGCAACGGTCCTAAACTGCGTTTGCAAGCGAGGTCGAAATCCAGCACGACACCTGATTCGATAATTAGCACAACGCAACAATAAAAGGAGAGAAACAGCCGACATACCGCCGTATGTCTGCAGAACCATGTATCGCAGAGCATCCACACGCTCAACAGGGTAGCGATAATCTTTCCACATGTCGCTGAGATGAGGAAACTCTTCGTTCACTAGTTTCTCGGCGGAATCGTCATCCCAGATGTACGCCTTCCAGTTGGGGTGATATCTGATGCATTCATCTCGCGCACCCATCCACTCCGGTCTTGGCTCGTGTGGTCCTAAGTGAATATGGTGTAATATGGGTGGAATGAGATCCTGATATCCGGAACCTGCAGTTGACTGATTGACTGGGTATGAAGCGAAAGTCACGTCAAAATCATCGCGATCTTTTGAAATGAACGACTGCACCGACGCCTGTCGCCAACGACTCGACAGCGCCACGAGGTTGAAAAGAGTGTGACCTAGAGGCAACCACCATTTTTGTGACAAGAACAGGGCAACGCACACGACGATGAATATTTTAACTCGAAGGCAAGGCATTGTCATGATGACAAGTCATGGGAGAGGGAGTGGCTTTCCAGGAGTTTTGAGGGGGAAGTCGAAGAAAGCAAAAAGGAAAAACGACTGTCTTAGCGGCGGCGTGATTGGGCAAACAGACCCTGAGGCTGAATGGCTAAGCTCAAGACTAAAAAGTTAAGCTCAACGCTAGCTGTCATTCTTTGACTCAGTCTGACTGGCCAGCTCGCCTATTTCTCTTCCGGAGTCCCAATGCTACGTCCCACTCTGCAACAGATTATTATTAGCAGTCCACACGGCCCACGGAGTACACAGCTACAGAATAAATAAGAATAAATAAGTATATGGCTGCCTAGCTCGTATGCACTCTCGTACATACCATGTTGGACGCAATTTGCTCTCGAGTGTGACAATTGTCTTCCGTAGTTCGGGATTTGGTCTTCGCGGGGTGTGAGTCTGATCCACTGCTGATTCAGATGCCACTGTCGCTGACTGAATCCGGCGTAGTGCTACCAAAATTGGAAAAAGCAGGAGGCAGCAGAAATAAATTAATTTCGGTCGGAAAGAAATGAAAAGAGGCTTTTTTGTCCAACAGCCAACACTGCGCCCGTCACCCCTGAATCAGTGCTCACAACATGATCGACTGGACTTGCGAGTCTTGCGACTTGCACTCGGAAAATATTCTGGACATTTTCCTCGCAGTGAATTAATTCGTCGCATGATTACTGATCCCTGTTGGCGGATTGTTGCGGCCTGTTACGGCAATTTTAGCCTGGCCACTGGTATCGCCAACAAGCACACCATCCAAGTTGGAAATTTGCGTAAATAATTTACTTTTAGTGGGAAATCTTCATCGTTGGCCCCACGCTAACTACCTTACTAGTACCTATACGGACGCCGATGTTTGCACTTGTAAGGAAGAGAGAATGCACTCGATGGAGTATCGCGCGATTCTTTTTCCCCTCGCCGTTGTCTTCTTTTTTGCGATAACAGACTTTTTGTAGGTGGTAGAGAGTCTAAATCTGACGATTCTGTGCTGAGAATAAGAAAACCCTAACCCTTCTAACCAATGACTAAACAAGCCGCCTGGGCATCCAGGCACGTGGTGGAGGTTTGATTGGCTGCGCAACATCTGATTACATAAGCACACTCCGGATATTCAGTAATCCGGGTCCTAACAAAAGATGTGGCTATTATGGCGACATCATTCATTCATCTCGGTATTTTCACTCGACATTGCATTCTACTATGTAATATATACAAGATTCAGCCACCAGAGGTTGTCAGGAACTCTGTTTACCAAGTACTTAGACAATTGTCGTCCGTGCTGGTGTCATATTCATGATGCCTATTTCTACGCTTCAGTGCGGCTTCCTACCAATCGGTACACATATGATCCGTGCATCCGATAGACGGCGTTGCCGAATGAGAATACATAGTGGAACCATATACGTTCTTAGAGGCATGGTCATATCAGAAACTGCTCTCATTATATGCAAGTTCTGGTGGCGGTGCCATTATTTTATATACCCAAGTGGTAGTGTTGCAAGCAGATGCCTTGTTCTACTAGGAGAGAATCACCCATCTTTTCTGAATGCTACAAAAGCTGATCCGAATGATCAATGCAATATATGGTAGATAATCACTTCCTCCCGAGACCCAGAACTGCTATTCCCTTGCACACGTTTCCATTCTCCTCGACCAGTTTTACCCACTCATCACGACACACGGCCAACTCCTCTTCGCTGAGGCCCTTGATGATCATCTCTGTTCCTGGATTGGAGCTCCTCGTAAACGCCACGACGGCTTTCTTTGGTTCAGGAATATGCCAAAGGGCCTCAACATATTCGGTATGGACACCCCGGAATCCGGCAGCTTCCATTTCGCCTTTAATGCCTTCGGTAGTTTTCCATATAGTTGGCAAAGCCACCTGTATAGCTTCGTCAGCATACTCTTTTTTATTGCAGCTGATATTCTTACCGATGGTGCAGTTTTCTTGCTGGCTTTGCAAGCCGCCTGTGTCAGGAACTCCATCCATCCGACCTTCGCCCAGCTGGTGCAGGCAAACACGCCGTCATCCGATAAAACACGGTGAGCTTCAGAGAGTCCTTTCTTGTGGTCCGGCAACATGAAATAGACCATGCTTCCCGTGATGTGAGATACACTACCGGTAGCAATCTTTTCCAGGTTCTGTGCATCCATTACGTCGAGTTCGAGTCTCGCCCAGCAGCCCGCGGAATGCACATCTTCGGAGTTGGCTTCTAGCTCTTTCCTCATTCTGGCAGCTTCAACCATGCCTTGCGAGAAGTCAGTGGCGATTAACTTCGCTGTCTGGGGAATATGTTTCCCATAGTTCTTGAACAGCAAAGTAGCAACCGTTCCGGGACCGCTGCCGATGTCCAGGGTCGTCGAAGCAGTGCTGAACGAGCGAGCATTGTTCATAGCCTCCAGCATCCTAGTACAGGGGATATACATTGGGCCTTGTATAGGTATTTGTGCATATTCAGCAGCTGTTCTGTCCCAGTCGGACGGGTTTGAGAGGGACATTTTGAATGCTGTGCTAAAACTATATTTTTGAAAATAAATAGGATTTCAGACAGTAACAAGCCTTTCAGATTTCTCGCAGTTAGAATTAGGACAATAAATCTGAGATTGATTTCTGGAATGACCGGCAGCTTTTTAAATCCATCTAGAATAGCATCGCACACTCTCAAGGCATGGCACGGAGACTTCTCGGAGACATATAAGAAAATAGTCCAACAAAGGAATGATATTCAACCAGTAACAACAAGCAGGCCTATTCGAAATTCTTGTCAGGATAATAGATTACATGGGGTCCGGAATGGTCTTCAGGACAAATTAGAAGCCTCTCCCGTAAGATTTCCTGATACCTCTGAGGTATCTACAGGTAGCAAAATGTTGTCTTAGCAGAAAACCACATCACCAGTAAGTCATAAGTTATCTGTTGGGCCAATATCATATATGGTCTAAACATGATACGCATTCAATACATTTTTGAAGCCTAAACCCATTATATCTAGCATCTTAATACAGTTCTGTAGTCATTGATTGGGACTGAACCCTAACCCTTGATTAATAAGAACGCTGTCATAGTCTAACTAGTACTAGTCTTGGGGTCTTTCTTCTGATCCGACAAAAGGAAACAACAACAGGCAACAAAGACATCTGACATTGTCGTATAAGTCCAAGTTGGTCAAATTATCATCGCTCCTAGTCATGGGACACCTAGTCTATTCGTGATATTGAAGTTTTAGGCTGATCGATAGCTCACGATACTCTTACCAGATCGGCCTGGATGAAATGCTGTTGCAAAGATGGTATCTAGAGGGATCTGGAATTTACATATTCACAGTAAGTACAGCAAGTACAATTCTATTATCTGATATTTAGTTTACTCCTTTCAGGAAAATGGCATCGTTTGTGCCATCCACGAGGTCGAATAACTCCTCCTGATGACAAGTCGACTTTGCCAATTCATTAAGCGACTTCATGATAACCCAGATGATCTTAAAGGGCAGGAGTAGGTTTCATTCCCAGATCCTCTCCACTCAAACCTTGATTATGTATATATTGTCGACCGAGACGCTGGTGCTTTGATCATTCCATTATGGAAAGTGGAAAACAAATCTTTGAGGCCGGCCGCGATACGTATTGACCTTTCAAAATTCTATGAGACCTCGGGACTCATCATAATGACTTCTTTGGAACAGTCTTCATATGTATCTGATGATCAAACTTCTCGGAAATCCATGACTCCTAGTGAATCACTAGTGTACGGGACACTTACACTGAACTTTGGTCCTCCAACTCCCATGAATGAGCTGCAGGAACAATTCTTTACCGACTTTGTCTTTATATGGTGATTTTGGATCTATGATCCTTTGACGAGGAAACATAATTTTGATGTCTTTAAGGTGTTCTGTATAGCCTTTCTGGGGCTTGCTGCTTGGGATTTTGAAACATCCCCGATTGCAATCCTGATTTGCCGATCAATTTCGCATCAATTCCAAACTGGAACTCTCCTGCGACGGACGTGTTTTGGTTTCATGAATGTCTTGTTGTCCTACAAGACATTGAATCTGACGCTATGATAACTTGCGCTCTTACGAAAGGCAAACCTAACATCGATGCTCCCAGAGGAGGTCGCACGTCCCACTTGACTGTCATGTCACGCCGTCAAATTGCATTGGCTAAACTTTCAGCTGGCGTCATCCTCATTTCCAAATATTCGATACTGTTGGCCAACAATTCAGCACTTTAATGCTTCCCGATTTCCGTGCCCTCACGCGGATTCTAACCAGGCTGCTGGAAGAAGCCTTGGACTCCTACAGAACGGTGGCAACGGTCTTTGCCGCCCGGTTCTCTTCAGAAATTCCTAAGCGAAACAAGCTCTACAGATTCTATAGCATTTTCTCGGGCTTCCTTCACAGTTCAGCAGTGTTACTACATCTCTATACCTTGTTTCGACGGCATCACTGTGCAAAACTATGGATCTTTTATATCATGTTACGAGAAGCGTGGCGATTTAAATTAGGGAGGAGTGTTTTGTTCCAGCTGCTACACTTGGCAGCATTTGGAATATATTGGTCTTACTAAACAGTCACTCCATGATCAGTACGCTTATTTGAACTGCCGAAAAACTGTTCAAAATACTACTCCTGATACTGGTCGAATAAACAGATCGAGCTGCCGTATACGTAGACAAGGCTGTCCCGTAAAGATTGGCAGTTGCAAACAATCTCTTCAACTCCGGCTGTCTGAACCTTCCCATTTACGACCAGGGCTATGACTTCCGAGAAATCTCGATTCTATTCCGCCGCGCCTGATAGACTATACGATTTTATTTAATGGCTTATTTTCTGGCTTGGCATAGGTTTGGAAGGGCACCCGTAAACCATGCGTGCGTACTTGTAGAAGCCAGACGATAGCTGTTAACTCTGAAAGTAATCATCCTACTTTATATCAATAACAATAATTATAATGACTTTAAGTTGTAAGTTGGGGCACTTAAAGCGGGATGGGTATGCATATGGGCAAGCTTTTCTTTCCTAATAGCCAGGTTCCACTGTACTACGACCTATGCCGCGAACGATACGGCTTCTTATGTCGAAATGCGAACAAAATATGAATCCGTCATATCAATAATATAATAGAGGACCCTTCATCGCTAAATCAAACCCACTTTCGGATATATTGACATGGGTCTAAGGGGCCTTCTGTTCGTTACAGTCAAGTTTTACTGTACCTAGGTACAAGGTCTCTACGGTGCATTTTTCCACCGAAGGCATACCAGAGCGTAAGCTTTGAACGCTAGTTTGATTACATAATCCTTACGATAGAGATTCCAAGCCAATCAGAGCAAAGAGAGTAGAGATTTTGATAACTTTTAGTGAAGAATAAAAACAACAAAGCAATTTGATCTTAACCCAGCACCCCAAACCCCTCGTCCCCCAACCCCAATTCTCCCCCCATCCTCCGCAAAACAAATTCGAAATGGAAATCTATGTGGACGTCAGTATATAGACATTAGACTGATGTTCTGGAGGGGATACTTGTAACAAGCAGGATGAACAACTGAACAAAACAAGCTCTTGAGAAGAGATAGAGCTTCGAGGACCCTAATGAGAAGTTAGCATATACTTTGCGGAATGCTGGGGAATGGGTGTAGAGTACTTACTTGACATCTCCATTGGGGGTTTTTGCCTCTCAGGGTGTTGACGACGTCGACAATATCCTTAACAACGCTGAGGATATTGTAGACGATAGTGAGGAACTCCAGGATCTTCTCGAGAACGCCGAGAGTCTTGTTGACGATGGCGGGCGGGGACGTAGCCGAGCATTCTTTTGAAAGACATCATCGTGATAGGAGCGACGATGGTGGGTGGTGGCAGCGGACGCGGCAGCGATGGCGAGCAGGCAGCGGAGTGGATTTTCGACGATTCTTGTCGGAGAGAGTGGTGAGCAAGAAGAAAGAAGAGAAGGGGGGGAGAGAAAGGGGGGAAGGGGAGATATTTATACCTGGTCAGAAAGACAAACTAAGCAAACAACACGAACGACGCAAACACGATGCAATTGACAGAAGATTCCGGGGGATTCCATATCGTGATGCAAGAACGACGACGACGATGCAAGAACGACGACGACGATGCAAGAACGACGACGACGATGCAATAGCGACGAAGACGACGCCAAGAATCATGCAATCTCATCGTCAACCGGGGGAGTTTGAGATGATGCATGGGGTACCAAGGAAGAGGCTCTTTGGGGTGATGATGTACGTATTGGTAGCGACGCCTGGAAGATTTGAGCACTTGATCGAGCTACCAGCGCATCAGGAAGAGGGACGTAGTCAATCTAGAGTTTTGAGTTAGCAGGGCTTCTTGATATAGGATAAGAAAATCTGGATTAAAGACATACATGCTGCTCTAGACGACGTTGAGCATCCTCTTTTCTCATAACCATTGTAGGATGTGGCTTTTTCCTGACAAAGCGTTCGTAGTCAAAGCCTTCCTCAAATAGTACACCACTCAGCTTCTTTACACGCGATAGAGCTACATAGGTGAGTCCAAGAGCGAAGTCCCGATTAGTGATATTAAGCACTGCTTGATCCACTGTTATACCTTGGGCCTTGTGAACAGTCATGGCGTAAGCGACTATTATTGGAAACTGTGTTCGAGAGCAGGTAATATTACTGGTTGAGAAATCCCGTCGTGACTGAAAGATTGGAACAGCAGTCTTATTATCAACAAGACAGCAGTCAGGCCCATCATAAGAATCAAAATGAACCAATAATAGTAGTAGTGGTGTCTGTCGAGGGTTTGTAGTGCCAGCTTCCCAAACAACATCAAGCACTGTTCCAAAAGCGCCGTTCACAAGACCATAATCTGTCCAAATGTTTTCAAGTAGCATGATACGGCAACCAATAGATAGATCTAACTCAGCATGTAGATTACCGGCTTCGTCACTTGATGCCTTCTCTGCGTTGAGCCCTTGGTGAGTTGCAATGATACAGATGACGGGATTGCCAATATCACGTAGACGACTGTGATTGAAATCATGAACCTCGGCCTTCTTAGAATATATTCGGAGGGCGTTTTTGAATGACTCAACCACATGAGGAACAACAGCTTTGACGCGAGTGCAAAGAAGCTTCCAATCAGCTAATTGAAGTTCATCCTCACGAAGATGATCTAGTGCCTCTTTGAATTTAATAGCATCCACATCAGTATCATCTTGGCGTCGAATGACATTCAACTCAATAGTAATGTCGAACTTCTTATAAAGAGAATGCCCATAGATCTCCTCAATAAAATCCAGCTTTTTGTTATAGTATAACGGACGCTGGGCAACAGGGGGAAGCTGATAGAAATCTCCAGTAAGAATTACATTCAAACCTCCAAATGGGGGCGCAGATTCGGACTCTGGAGTCGGGAAAATTTGCTGTAAACGGAGATTGACCCAGTATAGCTGCTTCAAGCCAATCATTGATTTCTCGTTAATAATCAACCACTTCACTCCATGGAGATTTGCTTGCAACGCTTGTAGATTCTCAGAAGTAAGATCGGCCATTTTACCCCTCGCAATAGGCAGACGGAATAAGGAGTGAAGCGTTCGACCACTGATGTTATAAGCAGCGACGCCTGTAGGTGCTGCACGTATAACTGGGGATTTGTTCAACCCAGCTTGACGTGCAAGTCACTCCAAATCGCTGGTAATAAGCATCAAGACATGAGATTTGCCAGTTCCAGCTCTTCCATCAACATTGACTAGTAATTGTGAAGGGTTTTGTCCAGCAAGATGCTGCTTATAGTGGTGAATAACCAAGTCGTATAGATGGCGCTGTTGTGTTTCTAATGATTCTGGCGAAGCAGATGAATCAACAATTGAAGGCCGAGGAAAATCTTCTTTCATTAGAGCCCAAAAGTCTGTCTGGATGTAATCATGTGTCCCAATATGTGTCGACCAGTCCATTTCTCTGTCAATCGTACGTTCGCCGAGAAGGTCAGGATCCTCTACCCGAGTAGCATCATCGCGATTTGGAAGCTGTCGAGCTAAGGCCTCCCAAGAATCTGGAATGGTAAGATCATTTTCATTATCAGATTCCTCATGAGTAGACTCTGGCTGCACAAGCTTCTCACCATAGTGATCACCTTCGTGAGAACATGAAAGTTGACAGTATGCGTAAGCATCCATATACGACGTGAATGAAATACCTTCAAAGTCCAGCGCATTCTCGATAGCACGAAAAGGGTGATAAAGCATAAGCTTGACTCGAGCAAAATCTTCAGGTTGCTTTTCAGCGTCATAGATAGGAAAGTAATTAATCACTCTCTGCGGAGTCTGGGTTCACTCGTAGATGTTTTTGACATTCCTAAAGTCAAAGCTTCGTAAGAATCGCAAGTACGTAACATCTTCGAAAATTACTGCACGTCTTTTGTATTTCTCAAGGGAAGAAAGGCCTCGTCTGACTGGTTCGTCATCCTGATCTTCAACATTCACAAAGTTAGCTGGTTGATCGGTCTCAGGTCGACAGTCCATAGTGATCGTGACGCGACTTGATGCTTGTAAAGGCAAATCGAGCAAGAAATGCAGGACCTCTTGGGCTGACCAATCTCTCTCTCCGATAAGATGGTTCATCATCTTGCTGACAGCTGAAAGGAAGGGATCTTTCTCATTCAGTCATGGTAGAAATCGTTTCATCAGATCCTTATATGACTCAGTTTTTGTCTCCGCCTTTGCCACGTACTTTGCAATATACTCCAATAATGCCTCAGTGCCGGTGCAAGGAGCAATGTCAATATTAGCCAGCCAGGCCATCAATATGCAGCGATTCCAACTGTTCATCATCGGGTCGTTGCGGATAGGATAGAACCTATAGAACTGATGACCTGGGGCTATCTCAATAGCAGCTTTGTCTCGAATGGAGTGTGGAAAGTGGAAGCGGCAAGATTTCTGACTAGAACCTTTCTCTTTTCTGAGACAGTAACCGTCGGTACATTTATGGCGTTAAACACTGTTAGATATCTGCGAAAGATATTGAACAGTTTTGTGTTGGTCAGAGAACGCAAGTTGGAGAGGAGATCGCTCATTCCCTACATTAACCATAACACCTGGTTGAGGATTGAGTGCTGAGATATATCCACTCCAGAAATCAGTGAATGCTTGTCGAAGCGATTCAGACAGACGTGCGATTTCTGACGGAGGAGCACCATCGAGCCAGTATAGGCTATGAACATGAACAGATCCGCGTCCTTGCCATTCATATCTATACCAATGATCAACCACTTTGAATTTCTTATCCAAGATCTCCTTGCGGAATGTAGCAAACCGAATATGGAACCAGTTCGCCACAATGTGTGGGGTGTCGCGTAAATTCTGACGTGAGATTTGAATGCGTTCTGATGCTGTGCCTTGTAGCCATTCCTGGTATCGAGGCATATGCCACATCAAATCATCCCAGTGTAAGTCCGCAGCCGATAACGTTAGAAAGAGATGAGCTGGCCCAATATTATGAACCATAGCTTTGAGCTGTTGGAGCTTATTCGTCCAGAAAGGACGCGTGCCACGAAGCATTCCTGAACGACGAGAAATAGAGTTAACTAATGCTTCACCTTCTGGAGTATCTTCCTCAAACGCAGCACGAAGTTGCTCTGCTGTGACCTCTTGTCCTCCAGCTATTCTTTGCTTAACAAAGAACCCCGCCTTCTTATTAGCCTGCTGACGCATCATCGTATTAAAAACAACATAACGAAATCTGGGGTGGCGAGCAAATCGGCCGTCATCGAATTTCATCAGATGTTTGACATAATCATCAAATCTGACAGACCTTTGACGAGGAAGGATGAACTCAGCCTCGCCACGAGGGAACAACGTTGGGAAGGCCCAGGAAAGCAGTGGTTGTGTTCTTGTAAACTCAGCAATGGGTGTTGATCGGAATGGCGGCATCTCTATGTGTCTTTGCTGTGGAAGTTGAGGACGTAATTGCTGGCGGATAGCTGTCATCTCATCCTCTTGAGCAATGAGGTCAGGAACAACACTATGTTCAGGAAGCTCAATCTCCTCGGAGATGCCACTTGCGTCGATTTCGATAGGCTCGGTTGTCTCATTGATAATTTGATCAGCAACGCTGCTGTCTTGTGGAAGAATATCGATAACTTGTTGTGATATTTCGATGTCACGATAACCGGGATGACTTATCCGCAGAAATGCTAGCCACTTAATGATATGCTCTTTTCGTACGCGAAAATCATTCACATATTGGCGTTGGAGCCTAGGATCAGCATCAGCATTAGCTGGACGAAGAAGAATGATTTCCAAGTCACGAGGAAGTAAAGGTAGAGTGTCATAAACCCGTGCGGTATCTCGTAAAAAGTTGACAACGTGTCCACTGTACTTGTACTGTTGACCCCGGACTCTTCGCACCTGTACAGATACATGGACACGAGCAATGAGCATTTCTTCAGTCTGTGATAACTCCGGTAGGTCTGGCATGTTACCAGGGTACATGTTATTTCCAGCGCCAAATAAATGAACATCTTTGTTTTTGTCAGCACGGACACATCGACCACAGATACCTTGCGAGTTTAGACGTAAATTGAACCATCTTTCACGACACCGCTGACAGTACTCCAATCGTTGCTGGTCTAGAGACTTATGAAAGCTCTTGACATAATCCCAATCGGTTTCGGTAAGTGCAGGTCGGAGAAGGCTGTCCAGGTCTCCTGGAGTATAAGAAGGGTCCTGTTCGGGTTTCTGAGCCGAGGGAGACGTTAATGATGCATTGTCGGAACGAACATTACTACTCTTAGGAACATAGGAAGGGTCAGTCTCAGTAAGGCCTGTAGAGATGGCACGACATGGGTTGCAGTGGGGGTGCTCACAGGATTTATCATCATAGAAAGCTGATATGGGTATATCTTGTTGACAACCAACACAAAATTTGTGTTGATCCTCAAATGGTATGCTAGAATCCTAACAATATTCGCAAATATCGACACCGTTTGCAATTCGGCGACTGAAATGACGTGGTGTGTTACATGTATTGCACACAAAATGATTCGACACGATATTGCGGTATGGTGTTGAGTAAAGACTGGACGGTCTTCGAAAGAGGCGGCCTCTATAGGGTAACAGAGGAATGCTCCCAGGGGGTGCTATCATGACAGGAGTAGATGCACCGCTACCGAACATAGCAAGAGGATCAGGGGTAGATAAAGGTATGCTTACACCAGTAGTTGTTCTACGTAATGTAGGACTGATTGGGTCACCTCCAATAAAAGTAAGGGGATCAGGAGTCGAGGAAACATCTGTAAGCAGGGCAGTCAGCGGGTCTGGTGTAGATGGGACCTGGCTTGCCTGTCCTTGAACAGACGGGGGTATGTCTTGCTCCATTTGCTGTTCAAGATAGGCGTCGAGATCCTGGGCAAATGGTACTTCTTCTCCAGCACGACGAGCTGCACGATGAGCTCGCATATCTTGCTCTCGACGGCGGCGAGCTTCTGCATGTCTTGGTGTGTCCTGTGAGTGAATGCCTCGAGGATGGTAGGATGGAGTAGATGATGGAGAAGAAATTTGCTGCGATTCTTGCGAATCTTGAAGCTGTTCTGCAATTTGTTGAACTGCCAGACGTTGAGGGGCGATACACCGTAAAGAAGCATTTGTTGGCCTCATAAAGTAAGGAACATGAGGAGTCCCTTCAACTGGACGTTCTGCAGTGTCATCGCTTGTTCTTTTTCGTGAGCGAGTTGACCGCTCTCGACACGATAAGCAGGTCTTGACAGTACGTCCACCACTTTTTGCAAGAAATTGATTAATGGACTTTGTCTTATGGCATGACGTGCATTGACGCGTAGCGTCAGCCACTTTGAAGAAACGGCGCCAATCAGAGGATTATGGCGAGTCTGTAACACGTGAACGAGGTGAAGATACAGATAAATTGATAGAAGAGGGATAAACGAGAGGTGAGATGCGTACGGTGGAGGGTAGGGTGGAAGGAGGAAGTGATAGAGGGGTGGGATTGATGTGAAGGAAAGAAAGAGAGACGCCTTGTGAGGAGCAAGCCCTAAAATTATAACCCTACTTTATATACCAAAAAAGGAAAGAGAGGAAAGTCACGTTACGTGTCTTTTTTTCGACCAATCGGGTTGGATTTAGACTAACCAATCAGAGCAAAGTAGGATTCCCGAGACATGACCGTAAACTACCAGAGCTTACGCTCTGGTAATAACTATTCAATAAGCTGGAGACCCATTGATACCAATGTATGAGGCTGATTTTGGTCGTCACTATATCTTCACATTTGAAGCCACAGCCACCGCTAAACATGCCCATGCAGCCAAATCCACCGTCCAGGTACGCAGGAAATGGATATTCAACCATTCATCCAAAACACTAGTAGGCGGACCTTTTGACGGGTCATCCTCGACAATAGCGCGAATACGAGGTGCTACCAAAGGCACAAATAACAGATGGCTAGCCGAAAGCGCGGCACCTGCTATATACCATCGTAGTGAATGACTAGCGACCAATGAGTCATATCGCCAATAGTAATTCCCAATTGATGTCCAGAATGTCAAGCCAAGAAGCCCGATCACACGAGGAAGTCCTGCCGAGAAGAACTCTTTAAAGTACGTGGGTAGAATAAAATCGGATTTGGGTCGATTGGTTGGAGACGTGAACACGCGCAGGAAATGGTGTTGATCGAGGGCATACCAGAGTGTGCAGGTCGACGAGACTAGAGGGGCTACAGCAAGAGCAGCCATGGGATCAAATACAAGCCGAGAAGCCATATTTATTTTTGTCTGGAATGCTTTAGCGACAGTGATGTTCTTGAATGGCAAGATGGGAAGGGAAGGTGAGTGAGACTTGAAGAGAAGCGGGATTTGTCGGAACGGTCCCGGGACGGGACGAGACCAACGAAGTCGCAGCCCTAACCCTAGCCCTAAAGTAAGTTCATGAATCGTAGGGATCTTTCAGTGTCAAGTCAATTTCATAGTGTTTCTACTCAAATACCTCAAATATGTCCTAGGCAAGTTGTCATAAAATATGTTATCCACTATTAATCCGCTCTATTTGGCCTTGTCCTTTACAGTGAAGGAATACGAGGGCTTCGTATCATCCTTGACAGGATACAAATCTCCGCCTTCATACTCCATGTCACGAATGTAGTACTCAAATACCAGCTCCTTGGAGCTAATGTCCAAGGTGACGAACCCGTTACCTGCACCCGCAGCATCGGCTCCAAGGAACTTGACGAATGAGCCCAAGGAAACTCCATTGTTACAATCCCCAGCCTCAGGATAACCAGCAGCACCGGAAAGAACAAAGTTTGTTTTGTTACCAACGTAGTGTGCAGCACAGTGATCGTGACCGTTCAAGACAATACCGTTGTGTTTCTCCGCGACCGAGACGAGTGGCCAAAGCTCAGTATAGTTGGTGCTTGATGACAGGAAACCGTGATGGATTTGCAAGAACTTCCAGTCAGCCGTGGACTTGGCAAAGGCTTGAGTCACAAAGTCGACCTGAGTTTGTTTCTCTTTGTAGCATGAGGTTGTATACCCATTCTGGTAGACAGAGCTGCTCTTCTGGTACTTCTCAATGAAGCAATCTGAATCAACGACGACAAAGGTTGCCGTCCAGTCTTGACCAACAATATCATAGGTGTAATAAGGGAGTCCTTCAGTGCCAAAGTACCATCGGTCATCATACAACGGGGCAATCTTGGTCTCGAAATCAACACCTGCTTGGCCATAGACGATGTCATGGTTGCCAAGGCACTGGTACCAGGTGGCGTTCTCATAGATACCTTGAGAGTACATATCTACCCACGTCTCTTGGAAGCGGTTGACGCCGGTGGTAGTAAAGCCAACACCGCTGTCGTAGAAATTGTCCCCAACTGAGATGAATGCAGAGCAGTTCTTCATTGTGCAAATATTCTTGATGTAACTGGCCGTTGATACTGTCAAGATACGTCAGTATGGCTTTTTATAGGTCCTATGGACTTATCTTTAAATCGCATTTGTACCTTGAGCCGCTGAAGCATTTTGCGCGGCTGCCCTGTCGCCGGCGTCACAGTCATTCTGTAGTTCCCGGGGAATTGTAATGTTCTTAGCTGTCAAAACTGGCGCCACTTCATTGCAAAAGTAGGTGTTGGCAGGACTCCATCCGCTCCAGCCAAAGTCTGTAGCATTGTCAGGTCAGTTATCTCGTCTGTTTCAGTGACGTTGGCAGTTTACGTACCACCAAGAATGCCAACGGTAAGCGAATTGTGACCCTTTGGCGCAGCGGCAGATCCGGGATCCTTTTGAGTCTTGGCAGAGACTGCACAGATGACAGCACTTACCAGGAGAACTGAACGGAGTGTGATGGCCATGTCGGGAACCTCGGTCTTGACAATGATTGACAGCGTGGATGATTAATTTCATCCTTGAGTCCGGTACGTACCGTCCCTATTTATGATTCTATGGCCATGATGGAAATGCTGCAATCTTCGAATTGCATTAATCAAGCGACGACTTGACCATGTGCTCGATTATCACCCCACGATTCGATCATCACGCTGGAATCTATGTAGAAGCTTTTTTGCATGGGCCCGGGATCTAGCGTAAGCTTGGTGTCGATTGATTGTCATCTACGGAGCAATTGAAACGACAACAAACATTCAGAATGTGGTATGCAGAGCACGGACGTTCACTTTGAGTTCAAGTGTAGGAAACCTGGGAAATGAGGTAAACATATGTTTGTGGCCGAGATCTGCATAGCTACTCTGTTCATCAATCCGAGACGTCGCCCATAGATCTTAACCACTACTGTATTCCGCAACGCCATTGATGTTAATGTCGAATCGAAACACGCGACTCTACCTTTCGTTACTGGGTAGATGATGGACCCAGACAATGACCTTTGCCTTGGCGATGCAGGAGAAAAGCTTGTCTATTCTTCGAACCCAATCAAAATATGGTTTTTATTAAGCGACGCATCCGGGTGGAACATCGCAGATTGCTGCGAATCTCAAAGCACGAGCAACCCACGTGTAGAACAATACGGGCCGAAGGTGGATCGAGGATGACGAAGCTTCAAACTACGTGTTCTTCTTCTCCTCAACTGGAAAGTGTTCCGACAATGTACCGAGAGTTCCGAGTCATTTATAAGGGTTGTACATAGTATGTCTTCCATTGTTCACGATTGGTTGCTTTTGTCGGCGCACATGGCGGTCCAGGAATGCGTTTGGTATGGACTTATCAACTGATATTCTATCTTCGCTCGAGAAACAAAAAATAATACTAAATATAACGAGTACAGACAATGAAATAGTGCGTGACTTTACACGATACTTGGGCTATAGGGTTAGTGCTCAAGCAACCCTACATAGGCCTAAACCAGCAAGTCGGCATCCTTTTTCAGGAATCAAGCAATGAACAATGACATTATTGTGTTCACTATTGACACGGGGATCTCCATCTTCATGTTTGAAGCACCCAATTCAAATTAAGAATTTCCTCAGAGGATATCTCCTACGAGGGGGTTCAAACAGAAATCCAGGCTCCGGTTTGTTTCGTTCAAGTAGGTCCAGGAAAACCTTTTTGATTTGTTTGAGATTGTGAATGATCCAATGACGAGTACCAAATTCGGTGTATGTTTAATTCTAGGCACAATCGTTAGGTTTTACCAGGCTGGCAGGGTGTATGGGTTTTCCCGAAGTTTCCAGTTACCTGGATCCAGACCGTTATCTGAATCCCTTCCATGCACAACATATTTCCAGGACTCCCTACACCAACTCTTAACGTTTTCCGTCCAGAACAGTTTGATTAATCTCGGAAATATCTTTAGATTGGCTTCTACCAATCCAAACCCTATAACACGGTCCACTAGTATCCAGCAGTGAGCGTGGACAGGATAGCCTAACTGTTCAACCGGAGCTTTCCTGTTATTGTCGGGGTTCAATATAGCCGCTGTCCAGAAAGGAGTACTGGAGGATATTTTGGGGTTCACTCTTGGTCGACCTATGCGAGCCCTTCGGGGATCACAGGGAACATGGGCTTCATATATGAAACGGCACAGATACGACTGAGTAATGCCTGCTATGCCGACATAATCGATATGAGGTCTACAAATGACTATTTATTTAAGGTCAGCATGTCACTTTCTTCGACACATTTTAACCAACTTGTTTACTTGATCGGTGAAAACCTGTCCATGTCTAAGGCCTCTGTGGGTGCACTAAGGTGCATGTACGTACGTACGAAGCAATGGAGTCAATTTCAATGGGTATTCATTCAGTTCTGTGTCTATCTTTCTAAGTACATCATGTTCCAAAGCCGCGTCTATATAGACCTTCTCCTGAGCTGATTTGTAAGCTATCCCATGAGGTAAACTTGAGACCATTCTCTTACACATGACAGTTTCGGATTGATCGCTTCATTGGAAAGCCAGCTTATCTGACACATCTCGATTGCATGAAGCAACCAACAGCCTCTTGTGGAAATACATGCTTTCAATATCTTCTTCCTTGACCATACACGAACGATCACTCCGGCGACCCTTCTTGAGATTTTTCCACTTCCCAGCTCTTCTAATGCCTTACTGAGAGTACGTGGAGCCAGAAAACCTGTTCCACATGCTATACAACAATGACAAGGCTCAGGGCGAGGACGTATATGTAACCTCTGCGGGGGAATTTTCAAATGAGTCTATTTCACGGTCACCAAAGTAAAGACTATTAAAGATGTTCAAAGAAATGAAGGGTGTCTGGTAATTTTTTTTTCTCTACATAGGCGGCGGGAAGGACGTCTATAGCCAGCTATATTGGGATAGGCTGACGATGTCATCTTGAGCCGCTCAATCTCTAACTTTCTGCGTAAACCTTGGAACACGCAGTTCAAGTCAAACTTCTGGAATCCATTGAAAGATAAATCGATATACATGAAGGATTTTAGTAAATAGGATCCAGAATCATGTTTTGAGAGTTTATTACCATACCAGCCTTTGTTCGTTAATCCCCTATTTATCGACTTCACAGTATTACCTGGTAGGCAAACATGTCCTAGGACATAAGTTAGTATGGGTCTGAGGTTTAACCGTACTTTCCAAAGCCTTCCTTTCTAGCCAAAATTCTACACATTCTTAAATACAACCCATGCATGAATATTTGGGTATGGGTGTGTCTATTCGTAAGTCCAATATGTTTGTCAGCGCTGAATATGGTAGTCTACAGCCTATCACAACACAAGACCAACGACTGCCTCTCTAAATCAGCAACATCTCGTAGTTTCAAGCTATTCAATGCCAATCAACGCCTTGTAGAACCTAGCATGGTCTTCGATACCTGGGTATGCTAAACTTAGCAAGTTCTATCTCCAAGAAGATACATAACTAAATGCCATCCACACCCTTGGCAGCTACATATCTCTGTAATAGGCCGCATCATAAATCGTCTTGTTTCAGGCTTCAAATTACCGTTTCGAGTACATCCTTCCATGTCGGAAGAAGTGCAAGTTCGTACACATGTACCAGTTTGTATTCAGGTGGTGAGATATAGAAAGAAATGAGTTCTGCTAAACTCTCTCAATAGTGGGCTCATATATACTGCTATTAGAGTAGGAGCAGCGCGTATAATCGAGAGCGTTTCCTCATAAGAAAACGCGTGGTTCCAGGAGCTCCGTTAACAACCCGAGCAAGCTGTGCTGATATAATCCAGTACCGGACATGGCTTATGCAGTGAATCAAACCAACGACTCGTGAGATTCAAGTCCCGCTCGCACCAAATCCTTGTTAAGAATGTCTTGGCTGTTTTTTGCAAAAGCGGGGAGTATTGTTCGACGCAATCGTCCACGCGCTGGAGCGTCTTCGCGCGTATATCTTGATCTCGAACTTCAAGGGCTGCGATCATGAATGGTAAAGTCACAAATCGTATCGGTCGTTTCGTGACTCGGTAAGCCATGTCAAGTTCCATCATTATTTCGTTGGACCATATATCGGCCTGAGCATCCTCCTGACCAAATGTATATCGCAACCGGTGGCCAATCAGAAGAACTCCCAGGCGATACGCCTTGGCTTGCGCGAGAAGATGCACGATTTCCGCTGAATCAAATTGGTCGACAAGTTGATCCAGGTTATATGGCTGCCATGGTTCAACAATAGACTGGATATCATCTATCTGCTTTTGAAGACAGGCCAGGGTGTTTACTTCAGTTGTATGAAGAAGTGTACTGCTGATTGCACAAAGGTCGTGGTAGTGAGGTAAGAGAGGCAAGGAGAGTCCGAGGTGACGATCAACAGTACCCAATGCCGGTACCTGAATTCTTACCGTCGGTTTTCTACGATAGACGAGGCAGTCCGTGGTCTCCAAGAGGACCAGTAAATTTTGCCACGGATCGTTAGGTGCGCCGAGAACTTTTGTGTCCAGAAATGAACTTGTTGTACCAAGACAGAAACGACAAATTTCTGAAACTCCTACACCAATAGCTGAATAAATCGAGAAAGCCAGCATACTTCCTAGGATATGCCATAATACGGTGTCTTCTGAGCGCAAGGTAGGTAGCGAACGTAATACGCACATAGCCTTCGATATGTATGCAATACTGATATTGACATCTTTGTTCGTTACAATCCCAGATTGAAGCTGTTTCAACGTACTGGCACATGCCAAATAAGCATCCTTGACCAGCGGTGAGGCAACTCGAAGTTGTGTAGCGAGCGATTGTCGCTGCTCAATTTGGAAGCTCGGGCATACGACGTAATGATCCAAGCTTCCAGCCTGACCCAAAAGAAACTGCAACAATTCCCTCTCTTCTGGCCGCTGGTCAGAAAGGACTTCCAAACATGAATCAATGGTGGGCTGGTGTTGCTGTTGCCTTCTGCACTTTCCGGAAGACAATCTAGAGACGGCCTTCTCATCATGGGCACTTCTACTCACGCGTACCGGCCGCGCCGTTGAACAGGCTAAACCCAGCCTCCGGCATCGTGCACAATAGACGGAGGTTGTTGCACGCTCGCATCGTTCTTTGAGTTCGTAACATCGATTGCATGCAGACCTCAATTTCGGGTTCCTTCGGTTCACAGAAGCCTCCATAGTCCCGGAAAGCTTGAATGGCAATCGTCGAGTAGGATGGTGTGTGAAGAGAGTCAACCAGAAATCAATTTGCAGCCTCAGGCTTATCAGCTGTAAGCGTATAGACCCACAGTTTAAATCCAAGAGCCAATCATTCTTTTCGCGATCGCCGATAAAAGTGGGCCCCATTGCTGGGCTAGTTGTGATTGGATTAGAGTACGGCACCATTTTAGCGCAGCCGTGTTAGGAAGTCACTTGATTGGTCCATCTTTGCATCTCAAGGAAGAAAATAATGCCGAAAGAGCTATCAGCCCTAACCCTCTTGGCCCAGGTGAACAGTAGCACTCTGTCCACAGACAATTCAAAGACATAAAAATCCCAATTCCTTGAAGTGAACGTATCTAGGTAATCTTTGCTTTTACTCACTGATTTCATGTTCCTATACCTAGGTGCAGGTGGTGGAGATCTGAAGACTCGATCGCGGATACATTATCGTACCCGATCACTCGATGCCCTTTCCGAAAATTGCACCAAGCTCTATAATTCATAATATATCTTCAACAAGTGAAGTTATAAAGATTAAGATTAAGATTATTAGATAAAAAAGTGCGGTGAACAAATCGGTATAATTATCTAATTTGTTGGATGTGCGGGTGCAGTCGAGAGCCGGATCGTTGATGCAGGCTACACGAAGGGATGATCTACCGCGTCGAGGTCGAATGGCTACAACAGACAGACAATCAGAATAATATGACTTTACCAATTGGTTATTAAGCTAGTTATATGCACATGTGCAGAAGCGCACCCACATAATTCCTAAATTTTATAGGTAGGTTGATCTCTCGCCCAGAACGAGATATGCCTATTTTTGGCCTCTTTGAAGAAACCCACTCATTACTCTCAATAACCTTATTGTATCACCTTTTTTTAGTGTTTACCTGCTTCGCTGGCTTTTCTTTACCTCGATTTGCCTGCTTTTTGGCTTCCCGGGCTATATGAAGCTGCTCCTTTTCAAGTTCTCTTTGACGCCTTTTCTCCTCTCGCTCACGGGTTCGAGTCTCCCGCCATTCTGGGATCTCTTGGGCCTTCTGTTGGCGCGGAAGTGCCTTTTATGTATAACAGTTTGGTGCCTCAATCTTTCCCTGTTCCTTTTGTGACTCGATACCCTGTATTCGCTGTCGTGCAGCTTCAATCCTACCTAGTAAGAATTGTGCGTACCAGAATTATCCCTATCAATTAAACCTAGTGGCCGGCCTCGCTTCTGGCGTTTTTCCTCTCCAATTAATGCGTTAACTAAGTCTCGCTACTAATGTTCAAGTATTTCATTCTGTACAGCATATTTAAGTTATATAGCCTCTAATAGGTCGCTTTTTGCCCTATTGAAAGGCTTTTGATCGTACAATGAATTGCTCGAACAGGTCCTGGAGTCTTTCGTTTGCGTATTTTTTTTTTGTGAATATTAAGAACCTTTGGTGGATTGAAAGGGTGAATGCCTAGTGAAGCAAAAGCTGATCGAATATTTTGCATGGTTAAGGTTGATTTCCATGCCGCATAGAATAATCGCAAAAAGGATGCTTTTGTTATCCTTGTAAATCCACTACTCAATTGAATAAGTAGATCAATTTCATGAGAATAAGCACCTGCAAGAGGTGGAAAGATTCCCACGTCAAGCGGTTATAATCGATGCGTAAAGTCTGAAGGTAAAATACCGAGAATTATATTATTTTGATTACAGTATTCGATAAAACAAAGATTAACATGACTTGAATAACCATCTATAAGCAAAAGGCGCTTTGAATTACCTACTTTTGCCTCTATATGAGAGTTAAACATCTTGCTTAGCCATGAAAATCCAGGTTCTTCATTTCTCCAACCCTTTTCAGAAGTTGCAAAGCATACCTTCTCTCTTGAGCTATCAAAATCTTTAGGCCAGATATCTTGTAGATATCCTGACTCGCCTTGATAAATAAGAGCTAGAGGAATTGCTATTCCATTAGCATAAATACATGCAATAAGAGTAATAAATTCCGTGCTCTCGTCTTGAATTGCACCAAGTAATTTCTTTAAACGGAGCTAGGATTTGAGACAATTTACTTCTCTATGCGATAGAGGCCTATAGTAAATCCTTTCTCATCAAAACTATAGGTATTTGATGGGCTGATGCGATATTTTTTGATTTTCTCTGAGAGCTTTAGTATAAAAGAGGGAGTTAGTAAAAAAGTTCATACTGTATTATAAAAATGTTTGAAATGTACTAAATTATTGGTGACTTTGCGAGAATGATTAATTACTTTCAAATACACACTGTCAATTCGATCATGGTAGCGGTAAAAGAATCGATGATTGCAGCACTCCCTAACATCATGTTGTACAAGCTCTATAACAAGATTTTGAAGAATCTTAAGGCATTGGAGGTAATCCATGAGACGAGAGCTTCGATATATGATTAAGAAGGACTTCTTGGGCATCTGTAAGGAGTTTGCTGTGAATGGAAGTTACTACCTGGTTTGACACGGTCTGGCCTTTATACTGGCGCCTTAAGGTCGAAGGCTCAAGATTATATTTCCTAGCAGTTTTCGCATATTGAGGCTTTTTTTGTGATCCTAGATCACCAATTGCCTTCAAAATATTTGCTTCATTCACCAGATTATCGAATTTTGAAGGTTACTTGTGGGAGTGGGGTAAAACGGGCATCGAGTGATTGGAGGCATCGAGTGATCGAGTACGATAGATATGTAACATGAACTTTACAAATATACTACATAGTATATCACAAATGGCCCAGGTGGTCTCAGACATTAGCACTATTTAACGCTCAACTGCATGAGCAAGGACTATATTGGAAACGTAGTATACAACCCTCAGACTAAATGCAGCAAGACAATAATGAGAAATCAATGATTTAGCACAAGTGTTGTGATTGTGGTGTATCCACTAGGTGTATAAACCCTATAGCTAGTAGCCAGTACTAGCGATGACTATTGTAAACATTGTCCTTGTAGAAAGACACTCAGTTATGGGTAATTATTTTGTTAAAATTCACGTGAAGTGGTGATGCCACTCGTATACACTGCAACGTTCTTCTGTCTCGAGTTGACTAGTTTAACCTCGGAGCAATCTCGATATTGTCCTCATTGATATCACTCGCATACTATATTGTTGTGGAGGCCAATTCCATTAATTAGGACCTGATAAGGTTCTAATATGTCTGCACCTAATTTATGACGTCCGCACTACATTGAACCGAGTCGGAGGTCTCCGTTTTCAGGCTCGAAGACTGGAATCAAGGTTAGGACCTAGGTAGTTGCTACTGATCTTATCGTCCAAGTATAATCAACAGCGGGCTATCAATTGTTTTCTTATGGTGCTGAAAATGAATAATTCCTCACAAGCAAGGATCGGGTTAGTGAGTCTTATCTTCTAGAATAAATACATGGCTGTGAAGGCCTACACCGCTTGTATAATTGTCAATATACCTCGAAATAGGTGACGCGAAGGATTGCTCTTGGAAAGTAGTTACTCCAAGATTCGGGATCTAATATAGATTGACCGTGTTCTGACTTGCAGAAGAATCCGTTTTGGCGTAATTAGCGACTTCATGTAGATGAAACTAATCAGGGAGGTGTATTTCTGTCGGAATATGCCCCATTCAGTCGGGTTGCAGTGCTAATGCTGCCAAGTGTTAAGTGGTGTCTGTAACTTGTTACCCAAAGCCCCAAAGCACAACACTCAAGGGCCGGAAATTGTAGTTAATTATTTACTCAGTAATAATACTGGGAACACGAATATGTGCATTGACATTTTGACTAGGGCCAGCTTCAACCTCTATACCTAAGCTTGTAACTACATTGTATCGGTGGGATCTGAGTTACAAGATGGTCCGAATACCTAACAGAGATAACAGTTGATATGGTCCTATCATCTTATCACGAGTCACGGAGAGTAGATCAGCTCTATAGGCGCTATACTGCTCGGCAAGCCACTGTCCCACCGCTAAGATCAGCTCCCGCCCACTGATTAATGCTTGTTTCTCTCAAGGTAACCCCAAGCGCTTCAAGCCTTTCCAGATCCGGCAGGTTTCTCGCAAGCCTCCGTTGCATTTACAGCCCGATACTCCCTAGACTTGTTGATCTTCTAGAGACTACTTTGTCTGAATTCCTGGCCGTGCCTTGTCCTGACGATCCGTGTTGTTGAAATTTGACAGGAAATGCTGTTCCAACCAAGGCGGTGTTTTATTATGTTTTAGCCATGCAGTTTCGTCTCCACCGAATGCTACCTCTCACTTGTCTGGATAGCGCTGATTGATACGTCTCAAAGTGATTGAAATGTTTATTCGTAGCCGCAGAAACCGAGCAAGTCCCTGCTCTGCTGTCTCTAAAACAATATAAAAGCAGAGAATCGCTCACTCCTTCTCATCGTCATTCGCTCAGGATACCAGCAAAACACACGTTTTACCCCTGAAAGTAACTTGGGAAGATGCAGTTCACCAAGGTGCGTTCATGCTCTGCATATAATTTTTACGACTCTAGATATAATATCAATCACAACCTGACCTCCATTCTGACTTCGCTTAATAGGTCGCCGCCGCCACCTTCTTTTTCTTCTCTAGCATCTATGCTGCTCCTCTACAGACGCGTGCTTCCTGCATTGAAACCTGTGGCAGCACATGCTATTGGCAATCTGATATCGATGCCGCCTTGAATCAAGGATACTCCCTTTTGCAATCTGGCGAAACAGACAACAACTATCCCCACCAATACCGCGATGACGAAGGCTTTGACTTCCCCGTATCCGGCCCTTATTACGAATATCCGATCCTCTCATCCTACAAGGTCTATACTGGTGGCTCGCCCGGCGCGGATCGCGTTATTTTCAATAGCGATGGTGATTTCGCTGGTCTGATCACTCACACTGGATCTTCTAACTACGATGGCTTCGTTCAATGCAACGCTGCATAAAATACACGGATTATGATCTAATGAGGGGATCTTGAATTCAAAATATGTATATAGAATATGTCGAAGAGAAAAAATGGTTGTCTACCTAAAATGAACTTAGAGCTAAGGATGAGAATTGAAAAGACCAATAGTAATGTTGTAATTGGAACAAAAGTAAAAAGGATCAATTGGAAAAGAAAGAAAAAGTACAGAAAGAAACTTCAACCATTTCACCTAGCAAGATATGTTTCCCTTACTATGGAAGAGACACCAATAGACCTTGTGCGAAAAGAACGACGCGAGATCAATCCGATAATCCACCCTTCATTTGCAGATCTAGATCCTCTAGCATGAGAGTGCGAGACTGATCGATGAAATGGTCAATTGCACAAGACAGAGTTTCCAGAAGCATCTCCGCTACCTCTGCTGGAACACGATCCACGACGTATCGCATCAAGACTTCCATCTTTCCTGCAGTCGAAGTCGTAGTAATTGCAATATCAGTTATATCGCCCGCCCCGGGAGCAAGTGAACCTGATACAGCATATTCTTGACTACCGAGTGTTAATCCAGTATCAAATTGGCCGCTGCGGTGGTTAATGCGAGAGGTAAAGTGTGTTGAAGATGGCATATTTGTACACTGACGCAGTATCTTTTGGAACCCGAGACAATCGCGAGATTTGTTGGTCTTGAATAAAACGAAGGAGGTCAAGGACTGTCTAGTCATCTTGCAGCGCGATTCACACTGGTACCATATTTACACAGCAGCCTGTTATTTTCTTCATTCGAGGATCTGGTAGATTGCGTCCGGAAACTATTTCTCTAAAAACTACGTCTGAGGTTCTTGCGTGCTGCGAAATTATAAAACTCTACGCAGCTTTGACTACACAAGCAGTTGTGGTTGAGTCAGGGAGAGCAGCTATAATATCAATGGTCCTACGCATGCAAAACCGAAGTTCTGTTGGAACCTGACTGTCCATGTCCGTCCGAGGAACGATTTCAGTCATTGAAGCCCTTTGGAGGCTTCTCCAGAAGTCACGGCTCTCCGATTGCGATTGAGAGGAAAATGTGCAAGTGTATTGAGAAAACTGGCCATATTCCACACTTGGTGTATCCTCATATATGCATTCCAGGGAGTCAATGAAATACGACATAGAGATCGCATCGTATTCACCGTGGCTAAGTCGGAAAATGATACGATGTTTGTTATCCCCTTGACTTTTAGATGATGGCAAACTTAAAAAATGACTGGCCATTTTGGGGAGGTTTATCCGTGTCACTTCTCAGAAGGTCTTCTGTGAAGCGTTCAATGGTGTCCGTCAGCATCAAATGTCTAGTAAGCGAGTAGACTGCGTGACTGATGCAATGAAACGACAACCGAGAGCGATTGGAAGTCAGTGGTGGGAAGAATATCAACAATATCCCGTCTAAACCATGGAAGTCGCTGCTGTATGGATGATATAAAAAGCTCGTCTGGATTGGTAACATGCAGAAGAGAAAAGGGTTCATAATCGGATGTTGCGCCTGGCTGGATAGAATTTGTTATATGTGCTAGATCAGCCAATATAAGATGCTGAACTACGTCGACCACAGTCAGATTGAGGTCATGGTTTCGTGCCATCGCTACCACCCGCATGCTGTGATGGAGTCACCGCCAGAACGGAAGGAATTATCTTGGATGCCAATAGTATCAACGCTCTTATACAATACAGATATCCCGTATTGACTGTAATTCTTTCTCGGCAGCTGTCAATGGAGGTGTGTGGGAGGTTATAGCTAAGGCATACTGTTTCTCTTGATCTTTCGGGTTGTCTTGTATGGATGTCCGGGCCGCTAACCTGTCCACTTTTCCTGAAGACGTCTGAGGAACTTGTTTGAGCGCGAAATATAAGGTCCAGACCATATATGCTGGTAGTTTGTCATACAATTCCGCCTGTAGCTGTTCCATTTCTCCTCTCATAGTATCTGATAGTCAAAGCAGTACACCTTTGTTGTGTTCAATCGGTGCTTGGGCAAACTCGACAGCTGCAACTAAGACTTTAGAACCAATTGAATTATCTTCCACCACTGGACCAGATCAACAACAGCAGAGTTGACGTTGGTAAGGAGCCTCTTGATCCAGTATTCTATTTCCCCGATCTCCACGCGCTTTCCGTGAACCTTGATTTGAGTGTTCTCGTCTTACCATAATAGTAAGTGATCCATCCACATTTTGCGTAATGAGATCCCCGGTGCAATACATTTGTCGGCCTTTGGCTAAATCCGTAACGCGATATCCATTCCGGGTCCGTGACTAACGCACGAGGACGTTTTCTGCTCATCGTTGAGATATCCACGGCATAAAAGAGGACCCTCGATTAATAATTCTCCCATCACACCAATGGGCCCAAGGTGATGGTAATCATCTGCATTTACAACCCAGACCGACCCAGCCAAAACCTGCCCAATATTTGATGCGTCCTTTCTATCCTTGAAACAGTCGTTGTACATGGAATGTATTGAACATTCTGCTGGCTCGTATCCATTGATGATTTGTGCATGACCAGCCCAGTCTTCAACAACGGCTGGCTTCACAGGCTCTCCTACCAACACGAGCATTTTCAAAGATAGCAAATCTTTGATCGTAATAACTCAGTCACTGTTGAAGTAAGGAACGCGAAATTGACTACGCTTCTCTCCATTGGACCAGCAAGGTCATTCAACAGTTCTTCTTCAGATACGACACAAACGCATCCTCCAAATTGAAAAGTAGTAAAGATATATCCAATACTTATATTGAATGTTTATGAAGAGAACTGCACTGCCCGGGTCATTTTTTCCATACCAAAAGCAATTCAGTGAGCTTCCATACTAGAACGTAATTCAATTGCAGAGTGTTCTAACACAACTCCTTTTGGAGTACCAGTGCTACCGGATGTGTGTATCACGTATGCTACGTTATGTGGTCGCACTATAGTAAAGGGCCGATCTTCTGTCGGGGGCAAATTTTCGAGAAATTCTTCGTTCACCACTATGGATTGGATGCCGTATTCGGTAGACGGTCGATTTGTGATCTTTGCCCAAGGATGATTGAAGCTCCGGTATTGACTATTATATTTTGGACACGCTGAACAGGCTCCTTTGTTCCTGCAGGGACAACAGCCACGCCTAATTCGAGAATCATAAGCATAACCACGATTGCCGAAAGTGACTTGTTAAAACACATGTGTGTGTGTACGGGAATCCCTAAGTGTTGAGTATCAGCATCGGAATATTAGGTATTCCGTTTCACCTACGCAGCGCACTGGGAATATCCCCTTTATTTGCATGTAATTATCCTTTTCCTTCTTTTTTGGGAACCAGTCATAATATGCGAATAACATCAATACTATCAGACTCATGGGCTCTTTGGAATAGCCTTACTGCGTAATCCTGTGCTTCGTGTTCAGGACGTAGTCAAACCAACAATGTGATTATCATATCCTCGGGCTTGACACCAAGTTGAATAAAGTAATGAGCTAATCGGTTTGCCAGATTGTCGAGTTCAGAATAGGATAAATCGCCATCCCAAGTTGAGACGGCACATGCGTCTGGTTGTTCTAAGGACTGAATGTGTATTCTGTAGTGAACGCATGACTGAACGGTCTCTGATATCGTGTCATTCCATGCGTGCAGTTGTGTGCTGCCTTTTACAGTAATGGTCTCCATGGTATCGAGGTAATCACTCTTCCCTCCGCTCGTTTGAAGGAGAGATGTTTGAAGTTGATTGAGGATGTGTTCAAACCGTTCAAAATAAGAGTCGAGCTTGACAACATGACACAACTTCGTCATCGTAGTCAATCCCCATCTCGATGTGTTCTGCTTGACTGTCGATGGAGCAAGTTGCAACCAGCGGATAGCTATGAAAGCTAGTTTCACCGGTTTCCTGTATTTCTCATCCCGAGAAGCCAGAAACACTATGATCTCAAGTTCGGTTGATGGTTGGATAATCATAAGATTCTGTATCAATGTCTGTAAATCAGAACTGCACACATCGATTGTCACTTGTCGAATCTCCTGTAGACCAGAATGCTCAAAGTGGATCATGTCAACATATTGATGTTGGATGGCCATCAGAAAATCCTAGATGGTTGATTGTCGGTTATCTGGATATGAACGGGAACGGTTGTAAGGGTTGGAGCAACTATATCTAGGACACCAGGTACCAGGGCAGTTCTTCCAGGTAACGAAGCTACCGAAAATGGCATGCTCGCTCTGCAATTGCTGGGAAAGTGTTAAAGCGCATGTACCTCTAATAAGCGTTGCGGTGGTGAAGGGTCCTGATAAATTTGAGAGTTTCAATTGACCGCTGACTTTCTTTCTAGACATCGCCTTGTAATCTGCGTCAGACAGAGCTGGAAATCCTAGAGGTAAACCATCACCCAGCTGTGAGCACCAATAGTTGTGGACCGCAGCACTGTTTGCAGCTTGTACGGATAAGGTGAGTGAAGGGAAAAATGTCTGGAATACTTTCTTGGGCGTATAATCGTGAAACAAACTGGAAAATCTTGCATAAGCTCCATCCATCATAATACCATGATGAATGGACCAGATAAAGTGTATCGTGTGTCATGGGTGATTGAGATATGGATATTGGACTAGCGGCGATCCGAAGAATCGAGCTAGCTCTGCGGCCTTTTCCCAAGCGAGCTTAAACCGATCCAGGTCAGTGGATAGTGCGACTCTGAATATTTGATGCCGTGTGTAATGTCCAGAATCCCTGGATGAGATATCCATGAGGCCTTCTTGAGAGTGAGTACAAGGGTAGAAAGCGTCCTCTATCAGACCCGAAAAAATATCGTATTGAGCTGCAACATAAGATAAGGCGGCAGTCGTATCATCTGGACCGGTACAAGCTGCATCAGTCTACAACCTATATTGTCGTACATCTGGCTGACTTGCTGCTAGTGACTTTGAATTGTTATCCAGTAATAGTACCATCTCAGATAGAATTGGGCGCTGGAAAATGAGTGAGACAGTGAGATCGAGCTCATTCTTGCGAGCTAAAGCAAACATATTCATTGCTGTTACTGAATTACCTCCAGAGCAGAAAAGTGATCGCGCACTCCGATAGTGTCTGGATCCTTGCTCAATTCCTGTGCCCAATGTAGCTGTAATTGTATTTCCATTAGGGCGGAAGGTATTATCGTGGAGTTTTGTACAAGTGTATATTGTGGAAGCAACCCGTCGGGTGTCAGAAGGCTCATATCAGATTTTCTTGATTCCACTGATACTTTTGGTTATGGATGACCTCTCCTATTTTCGAGTTGTTGTTATGGAAGTTTGTCAGCGCATCCATCAAAGCGCAAGGATCGAATCAGAAGAATGAGGCATGGTGGCCTTGGTGGAATGTCGGCTAAGATAACCGGACGAGGCACTTTCTGACGGAAGCGCCAACGAGGATCGCCTCGGAGATCAGGAATTGTTATTTCCAGGTGCCAATTATATACCGCATCGTGCTGACACTTTCAGCGGTCTCGAGCTTGCCCCAGACATGACTAGACACGAACCATATTAGGCCCACTAACGGCCGTCTCACCGATAATCAACTTCCACCTCATGTGATGACCTTTGTCCAGTTTATGCGCCGTGCGACAGATGTTAACGACTTTGGTTTATCCTTTAGTTATTCCGACTTGAAAAATTACATCCAAAGAAGAGCGCTAGGCTTATTCTACAGAACGTTACCGGCTCCATTGACAGAGGCACTCTTGCTGGAGTTATGGGCGGTTCCGGTGCCGGAAAATCGACATTTGTCAATGTGCTGATGGGAAAAACGAGTAATATCGGTGGTGTAGTAGCCGTGAACAATAGCCCGAGTAAAGTGGGACGCTACAAAAAAGTCATAGGACATGTGCCTGAGGAGACATTCTCTCCCCGAATTGACCCTCTACGAGAACATTGTCCACTCGGCCAGGATTAGACTTCCACGGCATTGAAAAGATGCTGATATTGAAGCCCACGCCGAGTCTGTCATTGACTGCCTGGAACTATCGCATGTGCGAGATTCACAAGTCGGAAGTGTTGAGAAGGCAATCTCAGTGGTGGACAACGAAAAGTGTCAGTATCGGTATGGAATTGGCAGCAGTACATATGGCAATCTTTTTGGATGAGCCAACAAGCGGTCTGGATGCTACATCGGCATCTTCAATGATAAGGACCTTGAAGGTCCTTGCGCGCCTAGGCATTGCGGTCATTTTTATTATTCATCAGCCTTGGTCTGAGGTTTTCGATCTGTTTGATAGTCTTTTCTTGGTCGAAATGGACAGACTATTTACGAAGGTCCTCAAGCCGAGGCCAAACAGTATTTTGAGAATGTGGGTTTCCACATTATAGTAAGTATGGCGACATCATAACAGATATCATCGCCGAAAATGGAAGAGGCTACAAACCTAGTGGGGATATACCAAAGGATGCCTTAAGTGAGAACTGGTCTAGCTATCGCCGAAAGCTGGGCTCAACAAATACAGACCGAAACACTCTGACAGCATTAGGGAATAGTGCAATGCAAGAAGCGACGAAGAATCGTGGTGCCTTAAGAATTCGACAGTATGGCTTTCTTGTGTCGGACAACGCTGCAGCAACATCGTGCCATGTCTGCGTACTGGGCAGAGATGGGTCTGGCCACCTTGGCCGGCTTTCTTCTTGGTCTGGCCCAGAACCCTAAGAAAGGCATCTTATCTTATTCACGGAGACATTCAAAGATTCGTACAGCATCTTACCATCCACTACCGATATCGCGTCCGCCCCATAACTAGTCCTTTTCATAGTAATTGCGATTGGTCTCATGGCTGCTGCTCCTAGAGTAAAGGCGTTCTCTGAAGAAATGCTCTTACAGCGCCTTGAAGCTGAAGCTGGTCATTCTAGAATTTCCTTGGCTGTTTACATTTCTCGACCCCGTGTTTCTCTTGGCAGTTCCAGTCATCGACTGTGGAACCACCTTTGCGGCGAACCTACTCTACTTCTACTGTATCTGCTGCCTTGCAAGTATTGTCAGTGCATTCGCTAGGAGGGAAGATGTGCCACTCTTTGCGACAATGGCAAGTCTCATCGTCGGTATTCTGTCCGGCGCGGCTCCTCCGTTGAGAAAAGTTGAATTATGGCATCTGGGGTGGTTGTAACGTGGATCTCCAGGTGTATGGTTTGTTGAATTACATTCTGGCTGATTGGTATCACCCTTTGCTTATCTCTATGACGTTGAATTAGCGGCCAAGCTTACGGGATACCATCTTGACTGGCGCTGGCGACACATGGCGATTTTGCTTCTCATCGGGACCATCTATAGAGCTGTTGCATTCTTCGGACATGCTCTTGGCCCATTATCTGCGGAGATAATATGCATATCGTAGCACAACACCGTTATTCTTGATTTCCTAGCGGCTCCAGCCTCTTTCTTTCATGTTGTACAGGCAGCCTAGCATGTATCATAAACGGTCATTTGACAGATAATAGCTATAAGCTATGACATGTAAGTAATCTAATAACAATAGATATGCCGGGCCTCCTCAAATAACCTTCAATTATTGGACCTTATCAAATCTGACCTGTAACTAGTGTCGGACGAACCGCCGCGCGATTTTATCCATTTAGGGCTAACAATGTTTGTGATATCACCCCCCGCCACCGATCATCTTCTCTTATCAAGCGAAGCATTTGAAATGCATGCTGCATCCAATAAACATGCATCATTGAACTTAGTACTGATATTAGGGCTTATTCATCCGCGATAGATCCGCTTGGCTTCCTAAATCGGCCATCTTATCCCTGCACTAGATTGCGTTGCTATATAGCTTTTGTGCAGCCACTATCTTTCATGATTCATGACTGAAGAAGCTCCAGATAACGGGTGATTAGTGAATATAAAAAAACACTTTGCCCTCACGTATATTCGCGATTTCTTACCAGACCGGCCGGCTGGATGTTTCTGTTTCTCTAGCCTGAAATCCCTCATTGCCAGCATGTCTATTTCGAACGATAGCACTATGTCGCACGAACTACCCAGTCGGGTTCCGGGGACAGTTCATCTTGTAGATATAGATCATTCAATGCGGACTCGTCATGCAAATGGAAACGGCGATATAGTTCTGGATCCAACACCATCTAGCGACCCTAATGATCCCCTCAATTGGTCTCCTCGTCGCAAACTCTTGTCACTGATCTGCCAAAATTTGTACGTTAGTCCCGGAAAAAATGGATGATTGCTAAAGAATAACAGATATACTTGGTTCACTGGCATTTCGGTGTCAACCGTTTACTCCGTCCTTGTTCCCCTATCTAAGGCTTCTGGAGTTTCCACTGACACGTTGAATCAAGGAACAGGATATATGTTTTTGTTCCTGGGTTGGAGTTTACTGTTTTGGCAGCCATTTTCACTCCGATATGGTAAACGTCTCACGTTTTTGCTATCCATTGCCGGAGGTATTGTTAGTACCCAATTTCCCGTTTTACCACGATAAATATAACATGTTGTATTAACATGCTCTCTTTAAGGGGACATCAATTTGGAGGTAAGGCTGTTGCTTATTACAGCATCGCTCGAGATTACTACATGAGACTTACATACATGAAGTGCATACGTAACAAGCAACGGCGAGTGGATAGCCAAGTGTATCTTGCAAGGTTTCTTCATTGCTCCTATCGAAGCCCTTCCGGAGATTTGTGTGACTGATCTGGTATGTACCCTATGACGAAATTAATTTGATATGATTGAAGATGGAGCTGAGAAGCGAGCAGTATTTCACACACGAACGCGGCACCTATATGGGTATTTATGCTCTGACCCTGGCAGGTAGTAATTACTTTGCTCCTGTGATATGTGGATTCATCGCCGAGTACCAGGGATGGAGATGGGTATTTTACTGGCCGGCTATTTTTCTAGGTGCTGTCTTTGTCTTCTTGGCCTTGTTCATGGAAGAGACCACCTACAATCGTAGTAAATCAACAGTGACCCAAGTAGACGGATTGTCGCGGCCCGAACTCTCCGTAGGAGAAAAGACAGCTGTCGCCACCCCGACGCCTCGCATGGCAGAAGACGGATATATTGACAGTCAACCAAAGTCATTTGTTGCTAAGATGTCGATTGGGCGAACCAATCCAGGTCAAAACATGTTCAAACATGCAATTCAAAGCCTGAGGTTTCTGGGGTGGCCGGTCATCTTTTACGCAGGCTTCTCATACGGGTGTTATCTGATCTGGTTCAATATTCTTAACGCGACAGCCTCCATCATCCTTTCAGGCGCACCTTATCATTTTGGCTCATCAATGGTTGGCCTCAGTTACCTGTCTTGTTGCATTGGCGTTATTATCGCGTCGATTGTGTCTGGCAGGTTGAGTGATTGGCTGACCATTAAGCTCGCGCGCCGTAATAACGGCATTATGGAGGCCGAACATCGCTTATGGCCATTTGCTATTTGTGTTATTACGGTACCATCATCTCTCATACTGTGGGGTGTTGGCGCTCAGCATGGTGTTCATTGGTTTGGGCTGATATTTGGAATGGGCGTCCTCGCTTTTACCTCGACAATGGGGATCACGCTAAGTGTAAACTACATGATTGACAGTTACCATGACATCAGCACTGATGCCATCGTGACTGTTATTCTTGTACGCAATACAATGTCATTTGCAATTGGATATGGGTGAGTGGCCTATCCTTATGGAAGAATAAAGCGAGACTGACCTACTGATTCTCAGAATCACACCATGGCTGACGAATCTCGGATACCAAAATTGTTTTATTTCGGCAGCTTTTATCGGTATGGCTGTCTCGTTAGTTTTCTTGGTCATGGTTAAATACGGGAAGTCCTTGAGGGTTCGGAGTGCCAGCAAATACTGGGCTATGGTTAACCGTGATAAATCCACCGAGGACAACTAACTTCAGAAGAAATGAAGGGCTACGACGTTGTCCTGGGCTGGCAGTGAACTAGCAAGCTCTGCATGACGAAATACATAGTATAGATGTTCAATGTTCATATCAAATGCCTTTCGATTAATCTCAGCATCTCCTGCCTGCTGCTCCTCGGTTTGGAATATCTGCTACAAGGATTCTGAAATCAAGTAATCACAATTCTCAACACGAATTCTATATCTTCATTAACTATGAAATGGAACAATACGTCATACCTATACTCATCATTCAGATTAATAGACATGACTTTGTGGAATCACATCAGAGCAGATTTCAATCTACTGAAATTATATCTCTCATGATGATTTGTGGCGAGACTTTTCAGGAAACAAGAAATTGAGCTCATTCGCGATTTGGGATATCGTAAGTCGTGATTTTATACAGATAATCAAGCGAAACCTATTGTTTTGGGTCCACGCGGTGGTACGCGTAAAGAAAAGGATGAGGGTAACCCCGACCAGGGTACCGGGCTGTGATCTACCAAGGTTTCACCTACCCATTGTCGTTATGGTAAAACTTGTAATATCCATCTCCCAATTCCTCACTGACGCAGAAAGTTGCACTTTCACCATCTGCGTCCGGTCCAATTTTCAACGTCATGCCATTTCTACTGGGATGGCGACCAGATGCTTGTAGTCGAGTGACTAGAGAACACGTTCCAGATATTCAGATAATCATCCTTTTCGACAACGTGCAACTACCAGCGGCGTGGACCTCTTCGGCTTCGCGGCATACGCTTCAACTGACTTTGCTTGAGAAAAACTACCCGATCAGGTTCAATCTCAACGAGGACACAGAGAGTACCCCGCATATGGACTGCGAACGTCCGACTAGGGATAATGTGTGAAAAGGTCCTTGGCATTGCTTTCGTTTCCTAGAAGCATAATAGGAAATACCTCATCTGAAACAGAGCTCATCTCTCGGACTTAAAGCCATATGGTTTCACTCTGTACTTACTGGTAAAAGTGCTCTTACCGTCGTGGATAAGTCAAGTAAAAGAATAGATCAGCTCTAAGTGAGCTGTCGATACTGTTGATAACCTTGGGAGTTTCCTAAATCAATCTCGATGAGCTTTCCACAGATTGTAATAATGAATAACAGAAGGTGTTCTTACACAAAGGAGTTGTAGTGGAGGGAGAAAAAAAGCAGACGCGCAAGGGTTATGCAAATGTTGTGGACTTGCGCACGGGCAGAGATAAATACGACGGGTATCTATGATAGGATTGCTTTGAGTTAGGGCTTGGTTGTAACTAGATTAGGGTTCAGATTTGCCTTTTTGAGGATGGAACATTCAGACTGGAGAGCGAAAGCTGAGAATGGAATACTATTTATTTATTATCATTTATGTAGGAATTACTACCAATTCTAGTAGAAATCTTATCGCCATCAAAAGCGATTGGTCCTTCGGTTATTCTTTACCTATCGAAGAACATCTGAAGGCCTTGCGGTAGGCGGAGTGTACACATGGTAAAAACCACGCCCAACTGACCTAAAATAGCTTCCTAAGCAGGGCTAATATCGACTTTAAGACCTAAATTTCTGTCGGGGTTTTCCATGGGAATTTACCATGTAATAGCTCACAAGTTGGTGTAGATAAATCGCCTAACCACCAAGCCCTCCTACTAATGACTAGGACGATTGATTGACTACTACGTGAGAAAAATGACAGTGGGAAAGAACTGGGATTCTATTTGACAAGGAGTCAGTCTCTAGTCAGAATACTTCAAAAAAACATTCGAGACCATGCACCGGATATACTTAAACAAACTAGAACTCTGCAAATAACTAGGCAATGGTTATCGATGGTTGTGAAATAATTGATGTCATTTAACCCTCCTGGTAACCAGTTACAGCCTGTCCTTTCCATTGAGGTTTGCTTCACCTCGTAGTCAGCGTAATGACCAAAGGATCTATCGGGACAGCAGCCACCCATTCTTTTCTTGATGGAAGCGACACAGGTATCCAACCATTTGTTGTTCCTATATGATCTGTGTACTTTTGCAGAAGCCTCGGCTGACCTGAAATATGAATGCGGTAATTCTTGACAAGCAGTGACAAAGAGACGTAGAGTTCGTAATATGAGAAACTGATCAGTTAATAAACAAACTCGCAAATCAACGTTAACGGTATGTAAGATGACTCACTGGGCTCCAATACACGTATTTGATCCTCTTGAAAATGGTATATAGAAGTCGTCTCTCAACTGATTCTTGCTATTTTCGCACCCGTCTGGCGTGAGCCATCGATATGGATTATATTCTGTAGGGTTCGGAAACGCAATGGAGTCTCTTAAATACCAAATTGGAGAGGATGAGAGAATAACCTGCGCAGTTAAGTTTTTAGTTAATATGTCTCATGTAAGGAATGTAGTTACTGAATTGGACTCACCCCTTCGGGGATAAACTTGCCATGCAGCTCGACTCCGCCTTGTGGAACAACTCGAGGCAACATCACCGCAGCGGCTCCAGTCCAACGAATACCTTCCTTCACGCAGGCTCGTAATTTTGGTACCGCTTCTAGACTGGACATGGATGTAGAGAATTCGATGGTTTTGAGATCTTGGTGTAACTGTTCTTGGAATTCAATATTATGAGCAAGAGCCCAAATGATGTGCGCGAGAGTCGCAGAAGTAGTATCCGTCCCTGGGCCCAGGTTTTCTTTAGCTTCAGAGAGTGCTGTTTTGGGAGGTAGACCGGATTTTGTCAACGTATGTATCAAGTTAGGGTGGAATGGGTTCTCTTCCAAGAGTGCTCTAGACCAAGCTTTCTCAGCCCACTGTAAGTTAATGTTAGCCAAGTGTATCTAGTAGCACCTTTAACACTATGTCGCCCAACCAGGTACTCACATTACGGAAGTCAAGAATATGCCGGTTGTGTGGAACTTGATATCCCGTAGTCCATTTGAGAATGGAGCGCAACGAACTCAGTATATCGAACAATACAGGCATATGAACCAGCTATTACAAAAGGTTAGTTGTCGACACGTACGTACGTGGACTATTCTACTCACAAGTGGCATCCATGTTGCCATTTCATCATTGACCGCTTTCATGGCCAATTCCTTCCCATCATTCCAGGCGTTAATAGCGCCAATGGCCATGCCGAAGCTGAATTCGGCTAATTTCAAGTTAGCTATACTTATTCCACTTGAAACTATTTCGATATTCGGCTCTTACAAACAATATCAGCCTCCAAGGCTCTACAAGCTGGCCCTAGGTCAATTTTGGAGTGCTTTGTACCCAGGCATTTAATCCAACGTGAGACATGTTGGGTCATTAATCCTTCGAGATTGGAAATTTTGCTCCGGCTATAAAGCTGGCCCATGAGTCGCCGTCTTTTAGAATGCTCATTCGAGTCACTAGAGGTTGGTAGCCTTTAGTGTTCAATCTTCATTTAGTCGCAAATAGGGAGAGAAACACTAACATGATAGAGAAAAGTGCCGGGTGATGACCCTGGACAAAGGCTCCGTAGGCTTTAGGATCTTTTCTGAATTTGCTTCCAGCTCCATGGACTATCTCATACGTACTGAGCGAATAGTATGATATCTCGTTCGGTGAAATACGAATCAGGGGTCCTTTTTTAGTCAGTCAAGTCTCTGTTTACCAAAGATGATAACGTAGCCAGTGTCTACCTAGGTTTTCATGAAGATCTGGAAGATCCTGGGTTATTGAACCCCGGAATTCACGAGGAAACAACCATAAAAATCGCGAATATGAGGCTAGAGGCCCAGCACTCGGAATGTTTGCTATGGACGATGACCTCGCATTATAGACTCTCTTATATCGTAACCGTCAAAATCTTTTCCCACGAGGAGATCAATTGATATATCATATCGGGGTACCGTTAAAGCTTACCCACAAGAAGCGAAAACACGCGATGGTGCCAGCTAATACAAGCAGATTATACCACAATGTCATATCGCTTTCTTCCAAATCCTAGTCCTTCTGTTCACTTAGCCACATTGAGGAGGAATAATGACCCCAAGACAACTTTGACCTCTTCATTCGAAAGATTAGGACCTAGTTATGTAAATCTTCTTATCTTGGTTTAGTCCCCACAAAGTCCTCGGGATGAGTAGATTTTATCTCTCCCTTTCTAGTAATCTATCACGCCATCCGTTGTCAACGGCCACTTCCGCCATTCTTCTCGCGCCCAGAAAGAAAACTCGACCGCATATCTACATTTATCCACATTCGGCTTCGTTGTCAGTTTGAGTTTTGAGGCACACGTGAGTACGAGTGCCCCATTTATACGTGATACGGTATGCATACTCCGGCGAAAGTTTCGAGAAGAGTGTCAACATAAATGCAACTGCTCCAGGCTATATGTTAGGCAAAAGTGCGTGTTTGATGCGAATTTGTAACCGAGTGTCTGAAATAAATTTAGCCCGTGTTGGTCCGAAATTGAAGAACTAGCAGGCTGCCCCTCTTCAACGCCTGTAGACACCTTTCCTCGGCGTAGCCGAGTACCTAATGCCGACTCGTAACGGCCTAGGGTTATCCAGACTTCGGTGGCCTTGTGGGGCTTTCTTTGGCTGACACGGGGGTTATGCCTCTTTTGAGACCAAACCCACAGGAACCACATCGATGGCGACATCAAACGTTAACATTTCACGATGTTGCGGGAAAAATTGTTCGGTCGACAGCCAAAATGATGGTACCAGAAGCACTTAGTTGCTGTGCTGAATATGCTGTGAAGGCATGAGCTAGTCGTGTATATCAGTTACCTACTATATAATACGTTGGTAATTTCGGTCTTAGAAAAATATTGATACTAGATACTTAGCAACTTCTTGCACAAACTGTGCTTGGATCGAATCGTCAAAATTCGCTGAAAATGAGGCCTCTCAAAGAAACGCAAGTTTTGCAGACTGATCTAAACACTGATACACTCAGTGTCGATCAGAAAAAAGCCGATGATGAAGTTTTGGTGAGATAAAAATCTGCGACGAAGCTCGGATTTTACTATTAACACTGAGGATAGGAAAGGCTGGGCTATAAACCTGTATGTTTTCATCAGAAAGCAGAAATATTTATGCAGGCCATTGATACATCTACAACCTAACTTATAGGTGCTGAAAAGAAGCTATAACTATTTTCATAATTTTGCAACCAATTTTGGTAAGTTACTTCATGTCACCTACACCATGATCATACTCTCGTATTGAACCAGCATCATAACATTACTGAATGTTCTAGCTGCTCTCTATTTTATCGGTGGTGTGAGAGTTACATTCTCGACTGGTATAGCTGCGGGTGGCAACCTGGCTTATTGGTATAATTCAACCATATACACATGAGTTCCTGAGCCCTAACAGCCTTTCAGGACAAGCTTCTTGGTTACCTGTTTCTTTACATTTATAACAGCCTCCGTGATAGCGGAGATATGCTCATCTTTACCACTTGCTGGCTCTATCTACCTATGGGCAGCAGAAGCAGGTGGCCCTCGCTTCGGGCGATTACTTGGTTTCATTGTCGCATGGTGGAGTACGACTGCATGGACAACTTTCTGTGCCAGTAAGACAACATGATCTATCTATAGAACCCAGGGTAACGAATTGTTGGTTTTACTATTAGGTAATACTCAGGGCGCTGTCAATTACATGCTTTCGGTGAGTCGAATTTCCTGTCCCGAAAGTTCGAGGAGGGAACGTGTGACTAACCAGTATGCACAGGAAATTGTTGTATTCAATTTGGACTTTCCTTCTGACCCTGAAGATGTTAAGTTTCGAGCTGTGCAATGGATTTGTACCGAAGTGTTGTTAGCAACTGCTGCAATCTGGAACTTACTTCCCCGTACGTCAAATTCCCCTTCGGCGAGATAAGATTATTCACAAACTGCTGACGGTAGAATAGCTCGCTACTTCAAGTGGATTTTTTCCCTCTCTACTGCATTTGTGCTCTTGGATTTTGCGCTCAACATGATATGGTTGCCGGTTGCGACGAGTCGCACAATAGGCTTTCGATCAGCACATGATGCATTTCTCACCACTTACAACGGTACAGGAGCACCCGAAGGATGGAATTGGTGTCTCTCGTACCTAGCTACTGCTGGTATTTTGATAGGATTCGATGCCTCCGGCCATGTTGCAGAAGAGACCAAGAATGCAGCAACTTCCGCAGCTAGAAGTATATTTTGGGGCACAGTGGTCAGCGGAGTTGGAGGGTTCGCTGTCGTTATCTTATTTCTTTTCTGTGCAGTGAGTTCATTCTTTGATTAGTTTGCGGCAAACTTTGAATCACTCGGCCTAATGAATTAATGTTCAATGAAGCCTGATACCGACACGTTGTTCTCATTTGGAGGCACTCAACCATTTGTTCCATTATACGCTGTCATTCTTGGTAATGGAGGACATATTTTTATGAATGTAGTCTGCGTTCTCGCTCTTTGGTTTGTGAGTGCGCCGAAAGATAAATTTCTCTATTTCAAGGAACAACTGGCTGATATCATAAAGAATACCGCAATTGCGATTCTTGCCGCATCTCGTCTAGTCTTTGCTGTGGCTCGAGATGGTGTGCTTCCATTCTCGAGCTGGACAGCACGAGTTGTGAATGGACAGCCGCGCAACGCCGTCATTGTAGTTTGGGTTATTTCTTCCATAATTACGTGCACCATATTGCCTTCCTCAGTTGCTTTTACATCTCTTGTATCGGCAGCCGGCGTACCATCAGCAGCTGCTTATGGATTGATCTCTTTTGGCCGCTTATTCTTCACGCCCAAGAACTTCCCCAAGCCTGCTTGGAGTTTGGGCCGTCTTAGCAAACCGTTTCAGGCCATATCGGTGATATGGAATGGCTGGGTCGTTGCAGTCTTGTATTCGCCCTACATATTTCCCGTGTCAGCTAGCACATTGAATTATGCGCCGGTGATCATGGCTATTGTCACGATTTTCGCGCTCATCTCGTGGTGGATCATCCCAGCGGAAAAGTGGCTTCCAAGCAAAAGTATCGAACACATGCTGCACGCAGACGATATGGAGCAAAATTCGGACTCAGCTTAGTTCATGTCATGGGGTCATATGATTTTGGTTCACTATTGTTTTCTGAAGTAGTAGACACACCCTAACCCTAAGCCGAGAAGCATACAGTTCGTCCTGTTGGAATTCTTATATATAGTGTAGGAGCTTGACACAGGCTTGCTCAAAAAATTGTGTGTGTCCCTCCTTCCTGCTTTTCGCCTTTTTTAACATTGGGAATTGTCTCTATATTGAAAAATCCAAACCCCTCGCTTGAATAACGTAATCGGTAAGCGAAGCGACAATGTAACCGAGCCGACAGTTTCTCTCCGAACGCGTACGCAATATTGAATTCAAATCTCAATTCCTAACCCAAAATTATAATTATGCACAAAAAATTAATTACTAGTAAGATTAGGGCATTGAGGTCTTCTATGCCCGAGAATATTACACTCACTACATCGAAATTGGCGACGTACTGGTGGATGAGAGACTGGGAGCTCAGGCTCGGCCGGAGCAGTAGTAACAGCTTGAGATGCCTCAATCTGACCTTGTACAAGTGCCTGAGCTTCCTCTCTGGTAATTCCTTGATCATGGGATATTTGCTTTTTAGATTTTTGACGTTTTTGCTTCTCCTTCTCATGTGCAGCCCGTAGATCATGGAGTTCCTTCTGGGCAATTGTAAGCTGATTAATACTCATCTCATAAGCCTTTGATGCCCGTGTAAACACTTCACCAATAGCCTCAGATGAACTTCTTGTATGCCGGCTTATTCTCTTCTTCGTTGTAGTCCTTTGGCGCTTAAATTGACGTGCGTTTTGAGGGGTTTGCAAGCAGGATGATTGTGTATCACTTGATCGACTTGGAGGGGGTGTTGGAGTCTTCAATCGAACAGTGAGCTGTTGATAAACTCGATCTGGATTGAATGGTACTAATCCAGTTGCTGTAAAGCTATTCCGAACAGTTTGAGCTTTATATGCCATCGTACGAGCCTTTGGGAATGCAGTAAGAAAGTCAAGTTTATCAATATGATTGAATCCAAGCCTCATTCGCTGCTCAACAAGCTGTCCATAATGTCTCTTTAAAACAGCAAAACAGCCAACATCAAGAGGCTGTAAAAGATGTGAAGAATGAGGAGGCATACAGACTGGAATAATATTATTCTCAGTGCATGTACGGTCAAATTCAGCAGTCAAATGGCTTCCATGGCCATCAAGAATCAACATCCGATAATTTCCCATTGCACGGCCATTAGTAAGAGGAATAAAATGGGTTTTAAGCCATTCTAATCCAATCTTATCTGTAGTCCATCCATTATCACTGATATTGATTCTCCAGTCATCAGGAAGATCCTCAAACCAGCCTAACCGAGTATATTTCTTTGCCTTGAAAATGATGTATGAAGGCAGGGCCCATCCAGTTGAATTAGTTGCCTCAATTGCAGTCACCCATTCTCGATTTCCAGGCTGTAATAGCTTTGGCCGAGCATATCGATCGCTTCCAGTAATAACCTTTGCGGTTGCACAGAGTCCCATAGCAAAGCCAGTCTCATCAAAATTGTAGATATCTTCTGGTAAGATTCCGTACTTTGATATAACCTCTCGTACGCGATCAAAATATTCTTGGATTAACTTCGGATCTTCGCATTTAGCACGCTCGTAGTTATATTTCCGTGAAAATTTTGATTCAATCTCTGGGCGACGTTGAATGAGATTATAGACCCATTTCTCTCCAACCTGTTGATTTCCACGTTGTGAAAGAAGGTAATTAGCCATCTCTCGTACAAGAGAGTGCCGAGGGGGTAATCCACGTTTGTCTAGATCGAGTACCCATTTGACAAGTGATTCCTCTTCAAATTGAGACAATTTATGTCCGTTGGCACGTATTATAGATCTTTGTTGAATGCCGTTTAACCTGTCATATAGCGTCGTCCGAGGAATATTGTAAATGATTGCAGCTTGATACACACTTGAGATTTTTCCATTTTTTAAGTCGGAAATAGCTAACAAGATCCGCCCCTCTTGCTCTGCTAAATTCTTTTCGTTTTTATTGCGAATTGGTGGCATGTTGACGCGTTGAATAATATGGAATCAATATTGAGTACGCGTTCGGAGAGAAACTGTCGGCTCGGTTACATTGTCGCTTCGCTTACCGATTACGTTACGTGTTTCTCGCTGATTGGTAAGCCAGTCGGCGAATTGGAGGCCTTTGGGCTTCTCAGCGGATTTCACTAATGATATCTAACACCAGGCTTCCAACACGTCCAAGGAGTTGCTTTATGACGCTTATGGTATATTGACCATCAAATCTTGTCAAACTTTTGAAACTTTCAATTCTTTAAACATGTCGCCGTGTGCTTCATTATTCAGTGTCTGAAGATGAAACTGTTACTATGTTTAGAGCTCCGAAATGAATAAATGAATATGATTATTGACCATATTCATATTCATGACTTATGAATATGATTAAAATGAATATTATTCATATGAATATGGACCATATTCATATTCATATTCATATTCATGAATATTTCCGGGTGGACTATTTTTCCGCGCCGGCAAACAGCCATGCCCTACATAGATACATATTAACCACCACAGAATCAGCAAATTTGATGCGAGCTTCTTCAGTTTATCTTATATTAGCCATAAGGGTACTAATCACTCTTAAGTATGAATATAGTACTAGTAGTATAAGGTCCTTTTCTTAAAATAATGAGAATCTTGGCTCAAGGAGAAGATATATATATGAAGTTCTCAAGTTCAATCATTAATTCAGTGCATGGCCTATATAATCATGGTGTGTAGTTTAGATAGAGCATTCTAGGAAACGCTTTCTTACTTTGCAAGCGGCAAGTCTACTTGAAATTCTCTAGAATGATTCCTCCACTCATTTATCACGTATAACACGTATGACTAGCACTATTATATTTTATATATTCAACTGTGGGTGCACTAAGGTGCATATACGTACGTACGAAGCACTTGAGTCAATCTCAATAGGTGATTCTTTCAGTTCTGTGTGTTCACTTCTTCTAAGTACATCATGTTCCAAAGCCGCGTCTATATAGACCTTCTCCTGAGCTGATTTGTAAGCTATCCCATGGGCCATGGGGTAAACCTGAGACCATTCTCTTACACATAACAGTTTCGGATTGATCGCTTCATTTGATGGCTTCATTGGAAAGCCAGCTTATCTGACACATCTCGATTGCATGAAGCAACCAACATCAACTTTAATATAATGTTTACCTTTTTTGTTTACATCATAGCTAGGAATGGATTAGACTAAGTAGCTACATGACGGACAAAGCTAAATATTGTTTAGTATATAAATTGGGGGAATTAGGCTCTTCCAGATTCCTAATTCTCTTTTCCAAATATCTGTCTCCAAGTATTTCACTTGATATTCCTTCTTGTTCCTTATTTATTACAGAGCTTTATTTATACTCTCTTCTCATAGCTTTTTCTCATAATTCATCTCCTTAAATAACTCGAAAGAGACCTCGTCGCGATTATAATACCTTGAATAATGGCATAGTTTCTGACGCTTTTCCATGGCGCGATGAAGCAGATACTCTTGACTCTTCCTCCCCTAAATCTCTACCTTCTGATATGTCTACTCTATCTAATGAGCCTGTGCCTATACCTCACCAAAATATATCTTCCAACAAACTAAGTTTGGTACTATCTAAATCAGCTTCACAAGGATTGAAGTCTCCTCAATAGAATTCAGACAATTCTTCTTAATTAGACCAAGAGAGTGAGTTTGACAAGACTCCAACAAAAAAAAGAAAGAGATTACGTACTAGCTGGACTACCAACTATTTTAATGTTATAGGCCTTGAGACTACATGGTGTTCTAAAGGAGGCCGTCACAGAAATGATAGACTTCTTTTGTGTAAGCAATGCAATTAGTCATCAAAGGACTCTACTCGACAGGGTGTTACAACCAATTTAGCTACACACCTTTATAAAGAACACCATATTAAATAGAATATAATTATATCTCTAGCTAGGCCTCTTGATATATTCATAGAACCAGCTAAGTCTAGACTTGATCTCATATAGGCTCTTCTTTGCTGGGTGATTGAAACATAGCAGCCTTTTACAGTTGTTGAATATCCTATATAGAAAGAACTCCTTAAGAGTCTAAATACCAACTGTCCTATCAAAACTGCAGATACTCTTTAAAATTGAGTTTAGAGTGAATATTCGAGTTGGAGGAACTAGTTAAAGCAGGACTTAGCTGATACCTGCCAATCAATTTCACTTTCACTTGACATCTGGATGTCAGATAACCAGATATCATTTCTTGCTGTTGTTGGCCATTGGCTCACTCCAGAGTTTAAGCTTCAAGAAGATCTTCTTAAGTTTAAAGAGATTAATAGATTGCACTCTAGCAAAAATCTGTCTACAATTGTCAAAAGTATACTTGAAGTGTTTCAAATTGAATATAAGCTTCTAACAATCACTGGAGATAATGCTAGAAATAACCTAATACTCTGCGATTATCTTCATGCAGACCTGTTAAAAGATTTTGACAAGGAAGATAGTCCATTCCACATAAAACCACTTATATGGTTCTGGGGTCGGAATAGCTTTATTGGATATCTTACATATATACTGAATCTTATCTGTAAGGATATTCTAGTATCCTTAAAGACTGGTACAGTCTATAATGTACATGTTATACTTGATGAGATGCCATCACAGAAGGATTATTCACCTAAAATACTAATTTTAACGAAAGGTGCTATTGTTAAGATCCGTCTTTTAGCCTTATAAATTAGTAATAGCCCCCAGCGAAGGTAGGCATAAAAGAATATCTCTCCCTGCAAGCAAATCAATTATAACATCGACACTCGCTGGAATTCAACATACAATATAGTCTCTGAAGCTCTTCAACTTTGAAAAGAAGTCACTCAATTTATTCGTAAACATCTAGACATTTAAGAAATGCAACTAATAGATAGTGACTGGTCAATACTAAGACAAATTTAGAAGATCCTGAAGCTATTCTAGGACTATACCAACTCTGTCTCAAAACATTGCCTAAGCATTACTGAAAGCCTTCCAATATACTGGAGTCTTGATGATATTCTTGACGATATCAAAAATAATGAAGGCGACTTTTAAGAGATTACTAAGGAGGTTCAAAATGCTGTTGAAGGAGGAATCCAGAAAATGGATAAATTTACCAAGAAGATAGATTCCAATATTATCTATTATGTGGCTGCCATTCTTGATCCATGGGTTAAGACCTCCTTCATCTAAGCTCAAATGAGCAAGTCTGATGTAGATGTGATTGTTTCTGATATACATGAATATCTTAAGAAACAATATCCTGCAAGCCCTACCTCTTCCTCTAGCGCAGAGCGTCTACCAGGTATGCCAGGGACATTATAGAAAAAGCTCAAAAAAATCCAGCCTCTACAATCTACAGATATAATATCAGACATTGATTAGTACCTAGATTCAAGCCCTAAGATATAGTCTCATGGTATGATAGAAGATGGGGATCCTAACTAGATATTGAAATGGTGGAAAGCAAATGCCTTTAACTACCCCCTAATGTCGAAAGCTGTACAAGACTATCTTCCTATTCTATCTGCTAAAGTAGGCGTTGAGAGATTATTTAGTAACGCACGAGATGTTCTGGGTATTCAAAGACACTGCTTAAATTCTGAGACGTTTAGATGGCTGATATTCCTTAAGGGATAATATGGTAAAGAACGCTGGGACTCGGCATAAAAATGTTTAGAATTTAGGAAACGGGGTTTTCATCAAATTTTAGTAAGCTTGCTGTTTATATATAGTTTTTCTGTAAGTAACTATTCAAAATTAATCTTAGGAGCGAGTTCAAGATTCAGCTGCCTCCCTCATCTTTTGTAGATATTCATGAATATTCATATATTTATGAATTTAGTGAATATGAATACGGGTCATATTCATATTCATTTAATTCATATTCATATTATTCATATTCGCAAATATTCATGAATATGAATATTATTCATATTCGTTTCGGAGCTCTAACTATGTTCATGTATAATATGAGAGCAGAACAGAGACTTGATTATATGCTAATCAAAGACATATTTGTTTCAAGGGCTCTTTACCCAGTGACCCCTTGAAGATATGATTTGGTCCGTTAGCTACACGTAGGATACTATTTGTGGTTAGACTGGGAACATGATGAAATATTTAATAAGAGAATGTAACACTTTGAGGACGAGACTTGCGTACAACATCCGAATATATCCAAAGGAGTATTCCACGACTGGTGGTTTGCGTTATCGAAAGATAGAATAATGGACCAATTCACCAACCCATGTGTGTCGATAAATGAAGAAGAACAGCAAATACAGTATATCTTATATATATGAGGATCTACATTGGGCACTTACATCTACAGCTGTACTATTAAGGGCTGACCTTTCACAGGACCTTTATATCGGCAAATACCTGCACCTACAAGCCGCGAATACTCTATTCCATATTAGGCACCTACCCTACCCGAACCTACCCTACCCGAACATGAAGCTATCCCCAACACCCGAGGTCCGCTCCCCAATCCCGTGTTTGAGCTAGACGAGTTGGAACAGCTCTATTCGCTGTATGCATATAAATTTATACATTTGAATAGAAGCTGTTTGTTCTCTTTCCTTTCCTTCTTTCGCTCATGTACGTTATCTACTCAAGAATGAATCTATAGCAATTCATGAAGCGGGACTAGCCCGTAACATTTACCTATTATTCAACGTTGTGTGTATTAATATATCTGTTGGTTTACCTTCATTAGATCGCTAGATCTAATGAGGATAGCTAATCCAACAAGCTGACTGAGCCAGTAATACTGAATTCCTAATATTGCGACTAATCCTAAGAACTAGGGGGATGCGGGTGGTGGGGTGAACCTGGTTGCGAGCCGTCACCTTGAAGTATTTCCCCCTGTGCTCAATGAGCTTTATCTTGTTGGCATTGAAGCCGATGCCCTTTTCCCTATCCCAGACCACAGAATTTGGGACCCAAGAAGACTCCCAGAGTCTTCAGATGTTAGATACACACGCAGCCTCAAAATATAATAAAGAGCTTGGAACAAAGTCTTACTTGTAGACTACATCCATGTACTCGTCTACCATGACATATCTCTCATCGTGGGGGAGAATATCATCCTGGCCGAAGGCAAGAGTATTGCCCTTTGTATGATTAGTGACAATGTTCCACGCACAACGTCCGCCTGTTAGATGATCCAAGGTGATCATTTGCCTCGCCAGCACAAACGGGGCAATGTAGGTTGCGCTCATAGTTACAGCGAACGATACACTTTGTGTAACTGAGGCCATTGCTGAGATAATAGGCACAGGATCCAAATGTTCAACCTGCTGACCACGATTGAGGCAGGTATCCAATGACCCATCGTACACATCAGAGCCCACGTACCAGTCAGCAAGAAACACAGCAGAGATTTTTCCACGCTCGGCGAGTCGCGCCAAGTCTAGATAGTACTTCAATGTGTCCTTTTGAGTGGACGTGTCTCCTGAGCGCCTATATGCAGGATTAGCTCATAGCCGATAGCTTTGACGAACAAGAAAGAAAATAAACGGCTCAGTAGTATACGCACCTCCACTGTCCAGCAGTCATGTAGCCACCTGTGCAAGATGCCTCCAAAAAAGCAGAGGTGCATACGCTTCACGGGGTCTATAGACCCATTTCCCTCGTGCAAACTGGAACTACGGTCAGGCTCTGTAGCCGGTGCTGCTTTCTGTCTCCCTTCCATAGCACCGGAGGATTTGTGACTAGAAAACACAGGTATGCTAGAAGTATTTTCAAAGTGGCAGAATGTCGGCCGAGCCTCCCAAGATTGATGTATCTATGTGGGTGCATAAAGCACGTGTACACGTTAATGTACGTACGTACATGAATGGTTAGCAGGTACTGCAATTCTGTATGGGTTCAAAATGTGTGTGATTGTAGCTATCTAACTCACGCCCCGACGCGGTCTTACATCCCTCTATCCTAGACGAGGTCACGTGACGCCCTGCGGCTCAGTGCGTCGGAGTGAGGCATCTCGATTGCTCCCACAAACCAACAATCTATTTAATTCAATGGTTTAGATCAATTATTTCTCATTGTTACTAGTTATTATCGGAGTCGTTTACTGAGACGTATCCTTACCGAGGAAGTTCTGCTCCTTTCAAAACACAAGTGGGCTTGTAACGCCGCCTCGGCAAAAAGTCTAAACAGTTCTATCCCTTGGCTGCTCTGGAAACTTATGAGACTGGATGACACGAAATCTCTTTTGGTTATGAGCCACATAAGATCATAATCACGCAATTTACTACGTTAAGTATTTATTGAAGGGTTTAATCTACCACGCCATGTATCGGATAAAACTACCCATGGAGACTTTGAAATATGGGGGGGCCAATCTTTAACAACGAGGTCAGTAAATTGTACTTGACGAATTTCATTGGCTTCTCAGCCCCTTGCTAATTGTCATCGATTCATTAACGGCCAGTATCTATCGATAAAGATTTCTCACTAGGAGGTTTCTAGCGACGAATTTGAAAGTTTAGAGACACATACCAACAAATCGCAAAAAAGGTTCCCTTATACCATTCCCATCTTTCGACTTGCTAAGGCACGAGCACACACGCGTAATACAAAATCTGCGTGGAGAAGAATGGTTTATTGTCTACAATCCTCTTAGATACGGACAGCTTAAACATTCCAGCACACTAAGATGGCCATTCTGATATCAGTGGACTGTGTGGATATAAACCTATATGAAATCCAAAACATAGTCATTAAAGACCAGTGATAAGGAAGTAAACTGTGCCGGTATGGGAATCTGATTGTTATAATGAAAAACTAAACATCGTGGGATGTCAAAACTGATTGCCCATAGAATGTGGAAAATTAAAAAACCACGCTCTCAATCACCCTGGTTGCATCCAATGGCCTTGCTGGCGAGGAGGAAGTTGAAACGGAGTATCGTGTCTTCTTTCAATTCCTCGCCCACCAGTTTATCATTGTCAACCTCGGACCAATGGATGTAAAGATGCCTGTTTAACCTGAACTCATTTCCTATCTCATACAGTGGTTTCCTTGCAACCCTCTTAATCCCTTTTATTGATACTAAGATATCACGGATGAGAAGTGTATGCGGCGGTTTTCAGCTTCAAGGCCACCCCTAGTGCTTATAGATTACACCCACCGTAGTTTACAAAGATTAAAAGGTTGCAAAGTTTTATATTGAAGCTTCCGTTCTTGAGCGAGTGAGTGACATATAATGTGTCCCGATTTGAAGAATGCGACTACCTTTTTGTCGATGATACAGGCGTGAGCGAAATTATTGGATCATAAGACTTGAAACTGATTTCAGAATGGAGTAATTATGTTTTGACTGAGAGAAAGTTAGCACCTTCATTGTACCACAAGACTCTCTCAGGGAGATGAACAAATCCACAATGATGCACTATTTCGTGTTAGTCGGCTCAGAGCCTGATGCAGGCTCGGTAGTTTCGTCGAAGGTACGTATCAGGTTCAGTATTTGGTAAGTTCTAGGTCCAAGAAATGCCTTGTGTGAGCCTTGATCTTAAAATGCTTAAAGCTAACAAAATAACATCTCTCGACAGAATCTGGCGAGACACGCAGCTGATATCTATTGCGATCATTGGGACTATAACCACCTCTCCTCTTTCAATTGGGACAGCGCTTGGCGACACGATCTTGATCATTGCATTGGAATATTGAGAAATGCTTTGATTTGTTTCAGCACTATAAAGCCTATATTTCCTTTTAAAAAAGTTATGGAATCGTTGGACAGTAGCAGGCTTAAATGAAGAAGACATTTTATACAGTTATATCAGCTGATTTTGGGCAATAGCGCTTCTTTCTCTTCCTTTCTCCTTTTTTACTCATTTTCTTCCATTTCCTATTTTGGATAGTTTCAACCAGTGAAATATACATCTAATGCATAGCCGTTGGAGAATTGATTCAAAAATCAGTGTCTTTAATATGATATTCACATCAGGGTTCCAGATTCACGTGAAAGGCATATAGATGGATATTCGTTTCCATAAAGAAGTATCAGCACTTATTAGAAAGTTATGAACCACGAATTGAGTACATTAACTAAAAGTGACTCCAAGATCATCTAACGAGTAGCTAGTGATATTGAAGCGCTTTGTTCATTGTTTTGTATCCTATATATTTTAACTAATTGGCTTTGTTTCTTGACTGTTTCTTTGCTGTTCTCAGTCTATGTTACATTGTTCTGCATGATCTCCAAACTCGTTGCTTTTGATCCCAACCCCTTGTAACAATTGTATATCATCCATGTTGGGGATCTTCAGCTAGTCTGATACTGCGGTGAAAAGAGCTTTACTGAGATGCCCTTCAAATTGAATCCGACAGGTGTCTTCTCAAAATAATGTCTGGTTCCTGGTTACTTGTTCCAGATAAAAGAAGATACATGGGTTTTCAAGACTACTATTGAAAAGTGTGTAACTAGGGCTTGGTAAATTAAAGAGTTTAGATAATCAATAGTATGTTTGAAGTGTGATAACAAAGAAACTCGGAAATGGTTATGTATTTAGCTCTAGGTTGGTGTAAATATTCTTTGTACCTGACCTCGTCTCTGGTATTAGTAAGTGGCCTTCAGTTCCAAGATCATCAAGTGGACTTCATTTTCAGCATGCTCAATCAGTATATTGACTACCACATTCCGAGGGATTTTTTCCTTACCACGAAGATTGATATAAAAGGAAACTTGGAAGGAACCAGTCTGGTATGAAAGGACATTGCCGTTCTTGTTCACTGTGTTTCGTCAGGTCCATTACTTCCAAGGTTGTTGATAAACATTTTCTGTTTCTGCTCTACGTCATCATCTTCAGCGTAACCAGGCAAAATGGACTCGAAATTACTGAACAGGACGGTTGCAATCATAGGCAGTGGTCCGGCTGGAGACTTTGCTGCATGGGCTCTTCACAACGATGGGCTTCATGTTACAATACTCGAAAAGGTGGGCAGCCTGGTTTGTTGAAGACATTCATTGATAATTCTAACATACATGGTCTAGGAAAATCACCTCACTTTAGATGGCCATTCTTACCAACCCGAAGATGCCGTCGTTATCGGCATACCCATGCGGACGTTCTCAGGAAAGTACTATGCCAACTTGTTTCAGGTCCTGAACTACTTTGGTGTCGAAACACAAGTTCATCAATTGCATTATGTATTTATGGAAAATTCCCAATATATTTCCGGTTCTTATCAAATTTCCACGATATTGTTTATTTATCCCTATTTCTTTCCTGTCAAGATTTACTCGCTAACATCTTTCATGGTATCCCATAGCCGCTGCACCGATAGGGCAAATTCGATATAACAATCGACCGTTCGCCTTGTGCATCACCGCAGAAGCTGATGAGGGGGAGATTTTGCTGCGTTTTATGGGTGCTTACGAGAAGGTCTCTAGACCTCGTCCCGTAGCAATCATTTAGTTAGTATGGGAGGTAACTACACAGATGTATAAGAATTATGTAGCAGTCGCTCGTGCTCTCAATCCACCCCAATGGGTGCAACCATGAACGGCTGCGGCCTCCTCAATTGCACTGAGACGATGATAGAAATCATTTCTTATAGAATTCTGTCCATGTCCCACGATTTCACTGTGAGTCTACTCACAGATCGGGATAACTCAAGGACTTGGTTCTATACAAGTGATAGCACGGTGATTCTTCTGTGGAAAGCTTGCAATTTGAAGTTAATCAGCCACAGCTATAACTAATATAGTACATCTTTTGAGCATGGGATTATAACATTTCCCTATCATATGAGCAAGTGGGGTGGGAAAGACGAAAATTCAAGCTCACAACTTAAGAGACCCTTGTCTCGGCAGCCGAGTAACGCTGTTGCCTAGTATTTGTGAATTATAAAGCCCCTATTCGAGATATGAATGTCAATTCTCAAGAATCAACAGATTACTTCTGCTATAGCCAGCATCTTGTGCTCTATGTGATTCTCTCGTTCTGCTCAGGCAAACCATTACTTCTCGTTCGCATACAATGATTGACTACGCAAAAGAACTGCTCGATCTGGAATATCCAACTGGGGTAAGACTGTCTCCAGATGCTATGTCTGTTGTGTACTCAGCAAAACCGAAATGGAAATCGACCGAAGAAGTTTCGTCCATTTGGGTCGGCAACACACAGTCGCACAAATCAACACGTAAGTTGACTGACGGCTTTTTCAATGACTACGAGCCACAATGGTCATCAGACAGTGAATATATTGCGTTCCTTTCTGACCGTGGAAATCTCGGAAATTCATGTGCTTTATACCTGTGCCGGTTGGACGGTCAGAGAGAAACAAAAGCACTCACACCACCAACAAACAAGAAAAGTATCTCAAAGTTCGAGTTCAGTCCAGATGGGAAACACATTGCATTTCTTGCTGCCGCAGAGAAAGAACAGAACGAGGTCGTTGATGTATGGAACCAGGGTTGGGACTATGCTAACTTGCATCTCATCGATATCGAGAGTGGTAGTACTCGTGTTCTAGCTCCAGAGGATGTACATGTGGTCGACTTTTCTTGGAGTGAGGATGGTAGCCAAATGGCGTATGTCACACACCGCTCACCTGATATTGAGAGTGGATGGCTCCATGGTGCCACTATCAGTACCGTCGAGATTGCAGCAATTGGCGTGGGGGCTCGCACGCTCTGTCACGTTCCTCGGGAGGTTTCCGATCTTACCTGGATTAGATCGGATATCTACTTTATAGCGTACAGTACACCGACAGATATTAATACATCACGGTCTGTCTATTCTGTCAATCTGCTGGACAAGGATAAAAGCGTTACGAAAGTCGCTCATGGTGTTGATGATTGCGCAGCAGGTCTTCGTAAAGTGGGCGGCGACCTCCTAGTCCATGTTCAACGGGGCATGGAGGACCAGCTGCGGTTGCTCAATTCAACAATTCTTTATAGGGAAAAGAAATGCATTCTGAGTTTTGATGCCACAGTGGATGTGGATGGGAAGATAGGGTTGGTTTTCGTTCAGGGTAGTGTCAATCGGCCACCAGAAGTGTTCTGGACTTCGCCCGCGGGAGATCTTGCGCAGCTATCTAATCATGGCAAGGTTTGGACAAAGGAGTACAACACTTGTACGTTTATTGAGTGCCAGACCTTGGACGGCACTGAAAAGCTCGAGGGGATGTTTCTTGGTCCGGCAAACGCGACAGAGAAATCGGTACCTACCATCGTCCTCATTCACGGGGGTCCGTACTGGCGTGTTACTGACTCATTTAACTTTCTTGACCATTTCTTCATGCCACAACTATTGCACAAGGGGTTTGGAATCCTCATTCCTAACTACCGCGGTAGCAGCGGTCGAGGCGAGCGTTTCGCAAGGTATTCGAGCGGCGGCATGGGAATCTATGACGAGCCAGATATCGTGGCCATGACGCAGTATGTCATCACACAGAAGCTAGCGGACCCTTTGAGGCTCATTGTGGCTGGAAAATCCCAAGGGGGATTTTTGTCCTATCTCCTGTCGGTGCGCAACGGCACGCACGGCTTAGGATGGCGTTTCCAAGGTGCTATCGCCTGCGCAGGTGTTACTGACTGGGACACAATGAGCATGTCTTCCGATATTGGGTACGCGCAAGCGGATTTGGCGGGCGGAGCGCCGTGGAATATTCATAAGAGCGACGTCCGTACACGGGCTGGTTCGGCGATATGGGAGTTTCGCGACGCAGCGCGTGAGCGACGTATCCCTCCGATGCTATTGCTTCACGGCAATGAGGATAAACGCGTACCAATTTCACAGGCCGTTGGTTTTAGGCGAGCTTTGGACGAGGTCGGATTGCCCTTTCAGTTTGCGGTGTACCGCGGCGAAGGGCATTTCTTTCAGAAGAGAAAGAGCGCAGAGGATTTGATGGAAAGAATAGTGCGATTTGTTACCAAAACTCTTGCGTAGACTTTAAACCAAGCTCTTCGGGGGTTCTAAGGACTGTAATCTCGATGAAGAGATGACGGAATTACTGTCCAACCTGCAATATGTATTACATTACTTGTTATTGGCCTAATATAACACTTTCTTCCTCTATAGAACAAAATGTAAGCCTTCCATATTCTTGGATATCTTGTTAGTTGCGGGTGTAGCCTGGTCAATTTGATTCAACCTCAGCTTGTTCGAGCGGAAGCGATGTGAGGACAAGTAAAAAAGCTTGGCCTGAGCACAGTGAAACGTTGATTTGACTGCCTACCTACCTAGTTTGATTTTCTGATCAACTTCACCGGCATCACTATCATCATCATCACTAATGCCTCATATCCCAAAGGCGTGTTTCAAACGGAACTCACTATGGCTGGAAACCAAGACGGTAGAAAAATGTTTGCAGAGCCTGCAACTAATCCAGGAATAAAGTTCTAAGTTAGGCCCCCAGGGCTTAGGGCTTGGACGAGCAGTCTCAAACTTCATGATCAAGACGGCCACAATACGAAGTAGCTGCTCGTTATATCTCGCGTCACTATCGAATACAAACGAGATATGAGAAGGCTCCCTGGCTGACTTGGTGATAGACGAGGAAGAGGAAATTGGAAGTTCAAATGCACCATTGTCTCCTAAGCAAGAATCATTGAATTGTCGAACAAATGTTTAAAGATATTGTGATAAATCTTGGCGTTCACCATCAACATTTATAAAGAAGAGAAGACAGGAACTCTATGACAGATAAACAATCAGCTGGACCGCAGAAAGCAACTTGATTTAGCTACTTTGCCATTATGTCCAAATTCCTTTGCTCCTGCCGCACTAAAATCCTTAATACTGTAAACATTTCTCTCTCTCCATTAACTACTTTTTAATATATTATCATTCTAACACATGCAAAAGTTCCACAAATCCTCTGCTTCTCTGCCTAGCCTCGAGTAATTGCTCCACCACAGTCTTATGACCATATACTATAATAGCGCAACCAACAGAACGCTCCCAAATCTCTCGGCATTACGCATTCTGTTGGATTTATCGGAGCTTATTTTGCCCTTAATCTTGTGAAATTGATAAAACCAGATTATACTGTAAGTTCTCAATTGAATGCTTGAATTTTCTCTGACCAAGTTGTGCTGTTTCTAACTGGAAATTGTCCTCTATAATGAAGAATCAAAAACCCTCGCCTTAATATGTGTTTCTTCCTTGATTGGTAGGCCAGTTGGGCCTCGCTGCGCTGTGCGCTTCACCAATAATATCTAACAGTAAGTAATACTGTGGCACAGCTTTCCAATCGCAGTTTCCCTGATGCCTAAGGCATTGCATGTCTCTTTGTTCGTTTTGCAGCCTTAAAATCAGGTCTGACACGCACATTCAAGTGCAGAACCCATCTTTCAAGAAAAAAAAAGAAAAAGGAAAAAAAACATCTCGAGCTCCTGCTCTCTTCACTACATCCAAGTCAAGTACTATGGTCCAGGAAGCTGACTACGTTATCGTTGGTGGAGGGCGTCAACCAGGCTATCATCCGCCGTGTCCCCATAGATATTTCCGTAGGCACATGAGGAGACTATATCATTTGATTCTGTCTCAGAGTGAGGGCGGAAGTTTCTAAAATGTGAGTCAATACATACCAATAACGGTAAGCCCCTAATCAAACATGAGTTAATCTCAAGTCTAGATGCATACATCCAGTTGATTGTTCGAACTTGCTTAACCTATCTTTATTATCATACCCCCAACTTGCAAGACGCACTAGAATTTTTAAATATGACTGGCTATATCTCCTGGATGCATTTGATGGACTTCACACTCATATAAAATGGAAGGGACTCAACATAAATGACTTTCCCCGACGTGCGCAACCCGCAGCTCGTCGTCGAACCTCCTGAAGCGTGGTAAATATGAATAAAGATAGTGATGGTACTGTAGATGACACTGATGATCTACCGCGTCGAGGTCAAAGAGCTAAGAGACAGACAATCAGAATAATATGACTTTACCAATTGGTTACTAAGCTACTTGTGTGCACATGTGCAGAAGCGCACCCACAGATTAATTTATCTTTAAAATATTTATAAATCTATGAGCTGATTTTAATTCAAGGGTAATCATTACAATTGGAACGGTTGAAGGAGTTTTCTATGTACTATATTTGCGAATGAACCAGCATCAAGCATATAATTTTCTTAAAACTACTGTTAGATAACCCGGATATCCAGCGAGACAGTGTCAGATAATTCGGATATCCGGAGGCAGTAAAAGGAAGTGAACAATCAGAAGCCCTATCTTATAGCACCCAAAATTTACCCCTCTTGATGACTCACAAATCACCCCGCCAAAGATGTTTATAAAAACCCAGTTTGGAAATCTGATAGACAGACACAGAACGGGACACACACAATCTGGCCAGTCACTTCTTTTCTTTTCATCCTAGTAAAAACCCCCTTCAGGATTGGCTTGGAATAAACCTGCCAATCCGACATATGTTTTAACCACAGCATAAGTCTTCTTCTTCTAGCAACCACAACCATGATCATGACAGGTGAGAAAATTGACTAAGGAACTGATTGTACAGTCATTTCCGGATGATTGGGTCTCAGGCTGCCCTGCATGCCCGTCAAAAATCGAGATGAATATCGCCCTGACCAGCAAACTCTTGCTTGGGATAACCTGCCTAGTTTGACTCTCCATCAGGTCAGATAAGCAACAACGTAGATAAGGGAAAGTACGCAGTCACCGATTAATTCCACAACAAATCGGCCATAATAATCAAGTCATAAACACCCAAGAGAAGTGATTTACTATTGAATTGACCGTCAGGCCTCAGATACTACACAGCAGCAAGCAAAAATAAAGACACCATGGGCCATATCCCCTTTGGATCCCGTAGCGTCATAGCATCAGGTTTTCCTTGGGATCAGGTTTCGCGATACTGGTCGCATCAAGACATTTTGCGCAGATACAACTGGTGTTTGGTTATCACTTGTATCACACCTGGTAAGGTTTCTCACTTTATTATCTGCAGAGTTGAAAAAGGTAGGGCTCATACTATCCTATACTGGAACGAAAAACGTCGAGTGACTTCTCCGAAAGCATGAGGAATGAATCACAACAGTTAGATGAGAAAGCGGCTATAGAGGGAGCAATTGCAAATTGTCTTATTCCCCAATGGAGTTAAGTTCTGAGATGTGGGAAATTTCTACTTAAATTTGTGGTACTAAAACTAGAAATATATCTGGTTCAAGTTTGAATGCTAGGATAGAACGATCGGAATATACACCTTAACCCTAAACTCTTGTGCCGTGGAGCCAATCAGCGGACGGGTAAACGTTTTCTGCCCAGAATTTATTCCGCGATAGGGTACAGGCCTCTTATTCCATGGTTATAATACATGATCAGAAGGATATCATAATAAGGGAAATAGGGAACTAAAACCGCAGATGAAATCTATAACCATTACAGCCCCCTGTGGAAAGTCTCCCTAAGAACACGTGGTTCGATTGCAGTTGCAAAGCCTTGATCATCCAGGTAGAAGACAAAGTCGTCAGCAGCCACCTCACCATACATAAGAGAATCTATCGCGGACCATTGATGAGCGTCAGGGCCAAAGATGCGAGGTTTGGTGCGTGTAACACCGGGATCGTGTGTTTCAAATACAGCCCGATATGCAGAAACTCGAGTTTCCTGGCTATGGGGTCTCCTTTTACCCCAGGACATAGACTCGAGATTGGTTTGCTGAAGGCGAATTGCCGTGAGTTGACCACCACCAGTCTCATCCGCAAAGGCCTGTGCTGTTGCGTACATATCAACGCTACGGCTGATCCAGCGCTTGATTAGAAGACCCGGATTCTTGTCGTCTGCAACAATTACCAGAGACGAGTTCAGCTTTGGGTCGGCGGCTGTGTAGGTCCCACAGAGTTTCCTACATGCTTGCTGGTGGCTAGTCATCTCTAAAGCAGGAAGCAACTTTTGCATGACCAACTCCGCAGCAATTGTAATGGTGGAGCCACTACTCGGGCCAGCCGTGAGAATGGATACCGTCACTCCGTAGTCAGGTACAAGAATTAAAAGGGAGTTGTATTTTCCAATGCTTCCGGACTTGGCGTAAAGATCGAGGACGCGGCCTTGGGTGATGTCAGTTTTCGCCCGCCATATTTCCCAAGGACTTCCAACGGAGAAAACCAGCGAGCTGGTGTGGGAGTTAGGTTTCATCCATCTTCTTGTATCAAGTGCTGAGAGTTGCTTGTTGGCCAGGATAGCTTGACCAAAAGCCGCCAAATCGCGAGAAGAAGAGTACATCCCAGCAGTCCTGATTTTCACCTGTCAGCCTAACTTCTCTAAACTCTTAGGGTCTTAAGTTGCTAGATATGCACTCACGGTGCCTCATCTCCAGTATCTTGGAACCAGCCACTATCGCCATTTGGAATAACCCATGATCCATTGCTCTCCGGTCGATGTGTGCTTGACTGGCTAAGATTGAGGGGCTCCAGAACCGATGACCTCAAAAGCGATTCGTATGACGTGCCACTGAGTGTTTCAAGAACATATCCCAAGATTCTATATGCAGCATTTGAATATACAGGAGTTGTTTCGGGAGAAAAAACAGGGTGTCTCTGGATGAACCCTTGGAAATACTCTAATACACCAGGTTGTGAGTACTTAACGCAACCAAGTTGGCTTGGGACAGAAACCCACCTTGAAGATTGCACGGCGGTAGACTAGTGTTGCCTGCACAGGAAGGGATATCTTCCATTGGCAGACTGGGTAGCCCTGCCTGCTGCCAGGGGAAATTCTGGCTAGCTAAGTCACCATTGGCGTCTTGTGAGTTGTCAGCAAATAATTCAGCATGAACAGGTAGGGCAATCATGGCATTCACATACAATCTCGCCCAATTCCGGAAAGCTGTGATGCCATAGCCCCGAGAGTTATGTTTTCCCAGTCAACATGATCGACAGGATTTCCTATCCCCCGCTGCGCCGCCACAGCTTCACGCAACTGAGGTATGTAGTCCGTCACGGGATTATCCCAGTGCTCCCTTCCGAAGTTCAAAAGTAGCGCATATACCGTGAAGAGCTTGGATATACTGCCAATGCGATACACTGAATCCTCCGTGATATTCGTCGTGCTTCCAGCCGTCTCATTGAGAAACGGCGAAGAAAAGTGGAAGTTGAAGAAAGGGGTTTCCTCGCTATCCTCAGTCGACATGGCGGTGATTGACACCGATGATGTGTTGCCCATGAAGTCGCCGAAGTCGCTATGGCCCTGCTGAAAGGTCTGATGTAGCGTTGTAGGCAGATCAACCAAGATAGGATTCATTATTCCGATCCCCAACCCGGATGGGCGAGGTAAAACAGGACCGAGAAGCAGCGAACTCATTCTGCCAGGTAGGGAAAAACGAACCTGAATGTATGTCTGGGTAGTTTGCAGGTTGTAGGAGACGGTGTCGCTCTGCAACGAATGTTTCTAAAGCTCGAAGTGGTTCGTCTTATATCTTGAAGAATCAATTATCCATATCTGCGCATTTACGCCGATTTATTAAGGTGATCATGACATGTATAAGGTGCCGGCTGCCTTGCGGCCCCGACGGGACTTTTGCGGCGATTTACCTAGTAGTCTGTTTGTGATTATGTCTTAGTCTTCCAGGTAAGATCCTGTCAAATCTGTGATTCTAATAGACATCCAACTGCAGAAGATCCACAATCAATAGCGAATGATTTCCTTTTGCTCGCGTATCCAGTATGTTCATTCGCCGATTCCCTTCAGTCGCAATTGTAGCTATGTACGAAACCCCCGTTAGCTGACAAATCCTTCACACATTTCTAAAAAGTATTCCAAGCGTTTTCTTACTTCTGTTATGATGCAAGCTATGCAAGGGCGCCATAGTCTCCATGAAGCCCAGCGTATGATTGGACTTACTTCCATCTCCCTGCTTTCAGGACGCGTTGAAGACCCATCTTTCAAGGAGGAAGACGCCCAAGCTGGATCATCTTGAGTTTCTAACATGCTTCTAGGCCGGCACTACAATATCAGGCGCTCTGTCATTACTCAAGTCGATATCGGTTATGCATACTAGTGTTTGTCGTCATATTTACCGAACAAATTTAGATCTAAATCATTGGCTCGATCTTAATATAACTAAGAACCTGTTAGTTTAGTTCAAATTTACACACGTCCTACTTCTCAAAGTAATAGTTCGTAAATAACGCGGCCTGATGAGCCAGAATTAGTTAAGCGTGTGAATGTCCTCTTCCAGCAAAGCGATGGGCTTATCTATGTGTGTAAGGACCTGCTCTGTGTCCTTGTGTGATATTGCTGTCGCTACTGCTTCTCGTAGCAATTTCGCCGCCCTCAAATAGTTTTCCATCGTCGTCTTTCTCAAATTCATATCTTCCCTGTTCCTTCGCCCTGGGATTGTATGGAACTGGATCACATTCAATACCTCTCCATCAAACGTAGCTTTCCCGCGTAGGCAGATCCAAAAGCATGCCCCGGCACAAATATTACGCACCATCTGCGGCGCGAGATCAACCAGGGATTTCTGACCGAGTTCGTTGTCCTGGTTCTTATCCTGCTTGGCCCATACCGAGATGTCAACAATGTCGAAGACCGCGCGGAGTGTCTCGTATCCAACACGGCAAGTGATCATTTCGCCCCCAACTGTAAATCTATCTTGAATACCATACTGTGTGACACAGCTCTCAATTTGCATATAGCAGTTGAGTTCCAGCAGCCATAACACTGCAGCATGCAGTAGAGCATGTTTACCTGCCCTCTTCTTGCCACTCATAAACACACGATTTGATCCTTTTGCTCTCTGTCGCTGTAAATGTGGCGGGCAGCTAGTGTTACGCCAATGATCAAGTTGGTGATAGACATATTGGATATCGTCCATTTTAACTCCTCTTCGTCTAGCCGAAGCACCGCAAAGAGTCTTCAGGGATTTTCGTGCGATGACCGACAAGGTGAGCATAGCATCGAGGTAGCTTCCTGCCTCATGTCGCGGCAGACTTTCAGTCAGGTCAACATCATCCTCTTGGATACGTGATATGCTTTTGTTATCAAGACTGTGGAAGGCATCAAGACCATATACATGCCAGAATAGTAACGTACGCCGTTCATTAGCCCGCGCCAACGCCGTTGCAGAGGCGGAAGCGTGAAAACTGTGACTTTGGATCCTAGACTGCAGCGTCATCAACACCAGAGAGTCATGCGTTAGAAATAGATGTCCTAGGTGAGTTTGAGCCGACGCATTTTGCGTATTGTCATACTCAAAATTAACCATTAGTGCCAATGCTTCGAGATCATCAAGGCGTATTGACCCTTGGTTCGTCGCCCAATTCTGGGTCTCAAAGAATGCCTCTCTGAACTGGTGGGCAAGTTGCTGCTGTACCTCCCATTTGTTTACAACATTGGTGAACGGTATCCCACGGCAGGCAATGGCAAATAATAGCGCAAAGCTGCACCTGCCAGCGCGATAGTCTTCCCAGAATGCATCCTCAAGAAGGATGGGTAGACACAGGGCAGCAAAGTCAAAGTAAGCATGCAATGCTTCCTCAAACGAATCCGAGTCGAGATTTGAATTCAACCACGGTGCCCCAAGCATTCCATGGTCAAATTGGGAGACGCTTGTTGGTGTTGTCTTTGATCGCCCGTCGGCATAACCCTCTGTCGCACTGGTCGACTGGTTCTGGTCAACTACTAGTGGCAGTTGATTGTCTTCCAGTGGCAACTCGCAATCTCTCATGAAGACCTGATCGAGGAATGAGACACTATCTGCGCTAAGCCACAAGGCAGAATCAAGGAAGAGAAAGTTTGTTGTCTCGTCCTGGAGCGACATCGAAGCATTAATCTCCTCCTCCGCCGGTGAAGTAAACGAGGATTCAATATCCACAGAGAACGGAGGGGGCGGTGGTGACAATGAATCAACAGGTTGGCTACTGCCTAGCGTGTTATAAGATGTGTCGCTCTCGTCCTCCACAGGGTTGGCACCCGGTGTTTGCTGTTCGCCCCTTAAGACTTGGCGTCTCTGACTAGGGCGTGATTTTGGCGAACCCAAGGTCCTGCCTGGTGTTCCGGTTCGCCTGCGTCTCTGAATCCGAATATCATCGGAGTCATCGAGGCGACACTGCACCTGGCGGAGAGCGCACTGCGAACATGTCACAAGGCCCTGAGTCGCACGGGAGGCGCGATCACATTTGATCTTCCGTCGATAGCAAAAGTCGCATGATTCACGCTCTATCCCCCGCTTTAGACGCATTTCAAATTTGCGGCAATAGGCAGCGGCTAAATGAAAGCGCCGTCCCTGCTATTGGTGATTAATTATCGTTCAGAAAGTAGAGCACCCGTGGTCAGTGGACTCGTTGCTCTGGAGCTTTAGCGGCAGAGGATTGTATGGATATAAATTTAGGGAGGTTAGCCGGCAGTTTCGTGGGGCTTCGGCAGATGACCCGACGGGAGTTAAGCGGCGAAATAGCGGAGATATTCCCTGCCGCGGAGGAATTTTGCGTCAGCGACCGAATGGATTAAAGTAAACGACATAGAGAGACTTTGTTTCTATAAATGAAAAGTTCAGTTTCGTTATCTTGATTTATTCCACACTTCTTTCATTATGAACACGACCAGCAACATCCCACCCAATGGTGTTGGGGCGCTCCTCTTTACGCCACTATTTGCTGTAAATGCCGTCTTTGTCAGTGTATTTGCTGTACTACTATTCGTACAATTAATTCTTACTGTTTTCTTTTGGCGCGTCTACGGCTATGCGATAGGGATGGTGGACGGTCTCCTCCTAGAGCTTCTAGGATACGTAGCCAAGGTTCTTCTCTTCCATAACCGAGAAAACAAGAACGGATACATTATGTGAGATTTGTATATGTGAACGACTAACAAGTGCTAACATTATCTGTAGGTACATCATTGGCCTAACCCTCGGTCCTACTTTCCTCTCGTCGTCATTGTACCTTACCATCGTTGTGTTGCAAAGACACTACCCCGAAGCCCGGTTCGCTTACGTTAGGCCACGACTTTTCGCTACTCTTTTTATACTTGGGGATTTCATATGTCTATGCTTGATCGGTGTTGGGGGATCCATTGCTGCTATCTACGCAGACAAGCCAATTGGTGTTGATCTTATGATTGGAGGACTCTCGACGCAAGTGTTGTTTACGGCAATATTTTGCACCCTTGTCGCCATTATGCATCGAAGAATCCGTAAAAGTGCAGATGCTGAAGCTGGAAACTGGTTTATGCTAGGTGAGGAGAATAGATTTCCACTACTTTCAATTCGAGTCACTAACAGTCAACGTTGTAGGTGCTAGCGTTGCTGCCGCTTGTCTCTTTATTCGCTCCTGTTGGCGCGTTGCTGAACTGAGCAAAGGTTTCAACGGTCCCCTGGCATCAGACGAAGGTGTGTTCATTGCTCTCGACAGCATCCCCATAATCATTATGTCTATTCTACTCACAATGCTTCATCCCGAGTTTTGGTTTAGCAAATACTATGTTAGGGTTCGCTCTCGCTGCAACCCTACAGTTCTTGGCGCTCTGGATATCCCTGCTTTGCGAATGTCTCAACGCTTCTTTGTTGCTGTAAGGAACTGACTGTGAAGGCCCAAGCAATATTATATTGGAAGCTATGAACAAGAAAACTAAGCATGGAGGGAGAAAGAAGAAGCTATCAACATGAAGCTATCTCAGGCTCAGGGGCTTGATATGTTAAAGCGGCGCCGCCGAACGCCCGTCACCGCACAAATCTGTTACCTATATCCTACCTAGGTATCTACACTTCCTCTACGCCTCGACGGCGGGAAAGCTCAACGCCCAAATTTTACAACTTTCAACGCTACATTTTTCAACGCGTGAATTTGGAGCCCCGCGAGAAAAACTCTCTCGACGGATCAACGGCATACCCTCTCGCTCAACACGGTACCAACGAATTCATCAAGAAAAAGCACTTTTTCTATGGCACCAATGTCTCGATAATATGGGCACCGCCCCTACAGCCACAGTCAAACCGCTTAGCGTGAACTCCGTTGATCTAGGATCGGCCAGTGCCGCCATCGCCATGCCAATTTCTGAGGTGTGTCTCAGTAATCCGATAATCACTGTGCTGGAGCATGAGAATAGCCAGCCAGCTATGCGCCAAACCTCTCCAACCAATGAAATTACCGCGACAGACTTCATACCGGCCCAACCCCAACAGACTGCGAGCAGCCAGGGATCGGGATTGATCAGGAAGGGTCAGTTAAACGAGTCCCAGAACACTCCAGGAGGGACAATATCTGGGTCTTTATCAGTTACAGTCCCTCATCGAAATCTCCGATCCAGCAACACATCTTGTGCCCATCCGCACTCGCGTCGTTCGCCTTCAGCCCAGAGTACAGAAAACGATGATTCAGAGGATAGTGACTACCGTGAGCACAGTCATACAGAAGACCAAATAACAAATAACAAATCTCCACTCAGAATTTCGTCCAGCGAAACGACAGAGGCGGGCTTAAAATGACACAAATTCTTTTCGTCAGCACCAAGGAAGGCCGCAGGAGCAAGCTTATTCAATGGAATTATCACAGACTTCGTGCAACCATGAGTCCATGGTGCCGAGTTCGAGCCGTCCAGACACAATCCGTATTGATGGTCGTCTTCTCTGTAAAGTTTCCTTGGGCCGAGTTGAGTATTGCTGCTGGTTTACAGAGGACATAGACTCGACCGACCCAACCCTACTTCATCTGAATGTTTAGCCTCATTTCATGGGCAGGCTAACAAGGGAGATCAATCCACTAGCAAGTCTGATCTCCTCCGTCAGGTGTAGCCCGGGGAACATTGCCACGAATTATACCTGTAGAATTGGCATTGGCTCCCTTATCTAGTAGTCGCTGAACGAACTCAAGATATCCTGTTTGAACAGCCGCCAGGAGAGCATTGCCATATTTCCCACCCTGAACATTGACATCAGCTTCCTTGTCCAGTAGTCGCTGAACGATTCTAAGATGTCCTCCGTCAGCAGTAGCCAGGAGAGCATTGCCATATCGGCCACCCCGAGCATTCACCCTTCTCCAATAATAAATCTACAGTTCTGTGGTGCCCTTGTAATGATGCCCATTGCAATGCAGTCATTTTTGAATTATCCCATCGATCAATATTCATTGCCACCTTCGGAATCAAGCGAGAGACTATATTTTCATGTCCATTGAATGAAGGCTGTATTTGGCGATGCATCTTCGCCTCCTAAGAGATTGGAAACCACAGGCTGAAAAATTTTGTATCAGTATCATATAATTGAATAACGACCTCTGTTAATTCATCCTTTTGTGATGAGAGTTTGCGAAAATGATTAGACAAGTTCTGAGATGAGTGCACCAATCACAGTTTCTTATTCAGGGCGTAGCAGATTAGGCATCAACAAGTATCGCACACAAGTTTGAGCAATGAGGAGCTCCGCTTCATTAGGCCAGATGTACCATCAGATCCCAGTATTATCACTGACTCGCCTGATAAGAAATTCCCTTGCGGTCTGATGAATAAGGTAGAATCTGGAGTTTTTCACAAAGATGAAGAGCCCGCACACTGGCCATAGCTTATCACTGAATCCATTTGCTAGTATAAACGCCTCTTTGCTGTCCGCGCAGATCTTGAAGCCACCCCTTGAGCCATAGCCATTTCTGGAATGGTCAATAGACGACGTGCCCCAACAATGATCTGTAGGATTTTTCTGACTTTAACTTCCTTGGTGGGATCCACTCGGCTTAATATCTTGTGATACGCTTCTACTATTCGGAAATAAAAGTATGAATGAGGGGAATTTTGATGAGACGCTGCGCTGGATCCCTCCAGCTTTGCCGTGAATCCTGCGTCACCGAAATCAGTAGCGCTATATGGACACGCTCAAATTGTCGGGGATCCTGAACCTGCTTCTGACGCAAAATCAGATACACAGCGGTTCTCATCAAAACGGCGACTAGGCGATGAAACAGATCTGGAACTACCCTGCAAACGAAGTAGTAGCGACTCTTTAACAGCAAAAGATCATCTGTGTACGCTGTATTCATACTTCTCAGAGGCGTCACTTCACGAACGTCTTGATTTTCTTTCTTGGTTGTTTAGAAGTGAGTTATCCGAGTCATTGCTTGCATCTAGCGTTGAACTTCCCTTCACGCGAGTCAAAACGGCAGATCAGTGTGCGGAATCCGCTCGAACACAACACTGCCGACCTCCAGCCACTCCCAACGGCAGACGTGTCACTTCCACTAGGTCCATAAATGGCAAAGGGTGGGAACCCGATGAAATCAACTTTCTCGTGCAGTTGAAGGAAGCTGGATTGCCGTGGTCTGTGATAGCAAATAGGTTCAGAGAACAATTCCCGGGAAGGTCTATAGGCTCAATTCAGGTCCATTGGAGCACGAAGTTGAAATATTTGCATTGATTAGCAATTAGACTTTGAAAGTCACTGTTGTCATCAGACTCACGGGTAGATATAGCTAGAAAACGATCAAGGCTGATGCATGTATATCTCTGATGTGGCAGGTGAATGCAGTCGTCTTTCTTAAAAATGAGGGGTTATGTCCTGATTGAAATACGTGTGTAGCCTTCTGGATTCGAAGTCCACCCAGCTAGGAGTTTAACTGTCGGGTTGTGAACAACTAAGTGTTCCATCATGATACCACTCCTCATAGTTTGAGTGTGCTCTTTTTTCTTAAAAATTTACTAAACTAACCCTCTCTCCTGGATAACGGCTGGTCTGTTCCACCACACACCGTGTGAAAACAAAACACAATGACAAAAAAAGACCCTTCATATTGATTGTGCTGAAAACATCTCCTTGTTATCACTTTGCATCTTGTCCAGCACAGCCGAAAAAAAATCCTTCCAGCTGTCTATCGATTTCTCAAAGCCATACATATAAATTGTCCTCCACAATGTCCGTGACGCCAAATCCCTGAACACTTCCTCTGCCGATCTTTACCGTCTCATCGACGGTTCCGAGAAGGAGGTTCCAGACACTTCTTTCTGGGCATTTGCTGACGTCCGAGATTGTAAATTCTCTTTTCTCCACTGTATCATCTTACCTGGGGGTGGGGGGAGGGAGATAAAGGAATTTCAATTTCTATCAAAGTCCTACTATATATCGTAGTAGCCGAGGCTCGTGTCCTAGCCTTTGAAAGACCAGAAGCCGCGGGTCAGCGGTACTTGGTCGCCAATTCAGCGTACAGCTACCAGCAAATCTGCGATATCATCCGGGAGAAGTTTCCTGAGCTCCAAGGATCGACACCAAAGGATACTCTCGGAGAACCTTTCCCTCCAGTCTACAGATTGGACACATCTAAGGTAGTCCAGCAGCTAGGGATCAAGTTTAGGCCGCTGGAAGAGACCATCGTTGATACGGTTAAGAGCCTGCTTACTATTCCAAAATATATAGAAAATAGTTTTCCCCTTTTGAATTCTTTCTTGCTTTCATGGTTGGTGGGAAGGGACAATAAAATCCCACGCCGACTTTAACTAACAAGTCCTTTCAATCTTATAGCCCTAGGAAGCTCTTTCTGTAGGTTAATTTGTATAATCTGAAAGGATGAAATGTCTCTCTCTCTCTCTTTTATCCGACCACGGAGTATGGATGTAAATCAATTCGCCAAACTTCATCCATCTAAGTTCGTTTCTTGCGCGGAGATATAGAGCGTCTGTCTCGCTTGTATTTTAGGGCTCTCCATGGATACGCGGATATGGATATATCCATGGATCTTACGGATATGAATACGCTTTTTTTTCATGGATAATATCCATGGATATATCCGAAGCCTCGAGATTTCATGGATATGGATACGGATCCGGGTGCAATATCCATGAATATTCATGGATAGAGTCACGTGTCGCCAGAAAATTATTATTCCGCTCCGAGACATGGTTTTATGAAAAACTTCTTGGCTGCTTCTTCAGCTTCAAAACCTACCGGCATAATTGACAGATTTATTCGCCCCCATCGAGAGAATACGCGCCAGCCAGGCTTTTGGAAGCTTGCAAATGGTGGTAGCGATGACAAAGCTGGTCTTGAAGATCAGATTGAAAGTCAGTCTGTCGAAGGCCTTCGTACTTTTGAATATGCTACATCACAAAGTAGTTCTCTTACTCCGAATGATTCAGCTTCACAAATTCAGTCATCCACTCTAATTAATCCTTTTCTCGAGCCTCCAAAGCCAAAGAGACAGCAAAAAGAAACTTCATGGGTCTATACCCATTTTCAACAAACATTACTATAGGGAAAGAATTTCTTTGATAAACAGACTGGAAAGATAAAAGCAGACATACAGTATTCTTGTCTACATTGTACAGCTCTAGAGGAATGGACTACTGTTAAATCAGTTACTAAGGGTTCAACTAGCAACTTGCAGAAGCATTTAGGGCAGAAGCATGGTATCTATAAGGATAGTGACACTTCTTTAGGTGACTATTTCTACTGGTATTTATTATATATATATGTGCTAAGATATATAGCCATCACATCGTCTCAAAGTTCAATGCTTTCCTATATTAGAGGTCAACCTTTACAATCTTTTCAAGAACTTCTCGATCAAAATATTTTCAACTGGGCTATCGGAACAATGCAGCCATTTTTAACATTTAATGACCCTCTTTTCAGGCAAATCTGGAGTGATCTCCTAGGATTTTCTTGCAAATATGGATCTTCGAATTTATTTTCCCGTCATGTTGACGAAGAGTTTGCTAAGGCTCGGATACAACTAAAGAATGAGCTTAGAAAAATAGAGAATTGCAGTACTATTGCACTCTCTCTTGATGGATGGAAGAGTGCAAATGGCTACAAGATCTTTGCAATTATTGGTCATTGGATTACAGCAGATTTTCAGCCTTAGCATAGAATTCTTGACTTCCAAGAGATAGAAGACCCTGATACTGGTGAGAATCTAGCATCTATTGTCTATAAGGTTCTATGCGAACTAGACATTAAAGCTAAGCTTATTTCCATTACTAGCGATAATGCAAGCAATAATTTAGAAATGGCTGAAATTCTCCATAATTTACTTAAAGCCAATTATGAACAAGGCAATACTCAGCAAATAATGAGATATCAAGGAGAAGGTAGCTTTATTTGTTATCTTATACATATTCTAAATCTGATTGTTAAGGAATTTCTTGCCGTTTTGAAAGCTAGTGATATTACAGAAGACTTTCAGATTATTGAAGATTTAGAGAATAATCCATCTCTTGCACAATCACAAAGTGCTTTCTCTCGCATACGCATTCTAAGTTTATATATTTCTTTAAGCACAGAGCGAAAGAAAGAGTGGCAGAATCTATACCAGATAAAAGAGATAGATTTAAAACTTATTCAGTATGATGTTACTACTCGTTGGAATTCCTCTTATTGCATACTTAATAATGCTTAGAATGTATGAGTCTTAATAATCCTTTGAAAAAAGAATACATCTAACGTTGAATAGGCCGCTCCTCAGATTTAGGAATATCTTAAGATGAATCATATCTTACCTCCTTTTACTGACCAAGACTGGAATCAGCTTGGACAAATCCGGATAGTCCTTGCAGAGTTTGATAGATATACACTGGAGCTATCTACTGATATTCCATAAATCAGTCAATCTTTAGCTATCTACTATTAACTCTTTGATCTTCTTCAAGAAGTTCAGGAGAGGGAGGGAAAGTTCAAGGACTTTGACGCAGATGTCGCTAATGCAGCTAAGAGCGCTATGAGGAAATATGACAAGTACTATACTCTTATGGATGATTCATGCGATATTCTCTATATTACAATGCTCTTGGATCCTCGGTTTAAGAAACTTGTTCTTGAGCATGAGTTATGGGATGAAGCTCAGGATATTATTACTGCTATGCAAGAGCAGCTTGAGATCCAGTATCCTATAACTCATAAGCCTAAATTTTTTATAGCTTCAGAAGAACCAGGACCATCAGTCACGTTGCAAAATCCGCATAAGACCATAGTATGCAAAGGAATTGACTGTTGGATAATGCTTCGTGATACGGACCGTAGTTAAACCGACACTTACCATCCTATTATTCCACTAAAAAGTGTCATGACGTATGCTTATGAGCTCTTATGGTCAAGTGTATTATCTGCAAAGGAGGCATCTATTGACACTAAATAATCTTTACCTCCTCCAAGCCTCAAGGTGTATATATAATGATGTTCGAGATAGCATAACACCTTGTCAGCAGCTTGATAGTGCTTTAATCCAGGATTTAATAAGAACCGTGAAAGCCATGAGACAGCAAAAGCCACGTTAGATTAAGTGCTTACTGCTGCGTACATTATTGAGCCAACTTTCCATTGATATTGATGGTTACTTTTATAGGTGGCCGTTCCTTTGTATAGGAGTAATTCTTCTTAAGCCATTAGTATATTGTTAGTTTGTTAAGTGTCGGCTAACTTCGCAATTTTATTAATATAGATAGCTTGACTGAGCCAGATCACCTTATTACTTCAATCCCATATAACTCTTATACCTAGGAACTACTCCAGGTCTCCTTCTCCAGATATTTTGTATTTGGCACAAAGTTAGTTCATGACTGAGTCAGCTTCTGGTTGGTGGCTCTTCTTATATGTGACAACAATATTGTCTACATAAAAGAACAGTATGATTCCAGATTTTAACATGTAATAGGGTTCGTGAGGCACTGTTTTAAAACCCAACTCTATAAGGGTGCTAGTAAGTTCCTTTTACCATAGGAGTGGTGATCTACGCAGTCCATAGAGAGCCTTGTTCAGTCAATATATTTTTCCAGATTCATAATATCCAGGAGCCATTCTTATAAAGATCTCTTTATCCAGTATGGCATTAACAAAGATATTGACAGCGTCATATTGCTTAAGTTCCAGATTGAAGTGTGCAGCAATAGCTATAAATATCCTAAAAGATCTCGTAGCAAGAGTAGCAGCATATATGTTCCTTGTATCATCTCTTTTCTCTTGATTACCTCTTACCATGAGTCGTGCCTTGCACTTAACTAGACGACCTTTCTTGTCCTGCTTATAGATATATACCCACATATAATTGAGAATCTGCTTTCCTTTTGCCTTACTGATAGGCACCGTTGTCCAAGAGCTAGATGGATCGTGACTTTTAAGGTGATCTCTCTTAGCCTCCTTAAATAACCAACCTAAAGGATGTGTTTCCACTTCACGGTGACTCTTGGGAGCAGGTGGTAGGTCGCAAACTAGAACTAACTGAAGTCAACATCCTGACCTTAGACGTCATTAGAGGCTCACGTGATCAAATTTAACTATGTTCATCCCATACTGACAAAGTCGTGTGCCTGCTAGGAAAGCAAATCTCTAAGGATTGAGCTCTCCTCGTTGCATAGTCAAAGCAGCGGTGACAGTTTTAACAGGAGCCTCTCTAAAGCCTACCCCGTTCTTCTCAAGCGACCCTCTGGATCCGTCCTTAAGGATATGCCTGCCATGAGCCTCTCTGAGACCTGCCATGGAGTCACGCAGATTGGGTGACCCTCTGGGCCTGTCCCTAAACTCAGCACGCGATCCTCTGGATCTGTTCATGCATACACCACTAAGAGCCCCTCTGGGACCTTCCTTAATGATTGCTTCCTGAACGAGCGACCCTCTGGACCTGACCCCGCCAGTTAACATTCTAGCTGCGTGCTTAGAGCTCTGATGGAGGTTAAGGTCATTTTCATGGATAATAGTTATACTAGCCACTAACAGCGCGCTCAGAGGCGTATCTAGAGGTATAGAATAAGCATATTTATTAATCCCCTCTAACAATCCTTCTCCTGGCGTTAGAGTTGGGCCGCTTGGATAGTCTAAATCAAGCTAACTTGAATCTTTAAATTCAGAACTAGTCACTGAGCCTGTTGTTGTCGTACGCTTATTATTATGTCTATTTCCGTCAAACACTAAATCCTCCATCTTATCTCTAAAGTTAGCATTATCTTTGACTTCACCTGACTGTACTCGGATATCTATCTTATTTAGCAAGATTGTCAGTTCTTTAACAGATATATGAAGGAGATTATCCTTGATATCTTGGATATCTCTACTGAAGACTTCATTCTTGTTAAAAATAACATTATTTGCTCGCACAATCCTCTCTATCAAAGGATTCTAAATCCTATAAACATTTGTTGAGTCATATCCGACGAGATAGCCTACCTATACTTGCAGATTGAAGTGTTGAAGCCGATTTTTCTTAAGTTGATATTCCAATGTGAGGGCATATGCTTTACAGCCATATACCTTTAGGTGGGCAAGCTGAGGTTTCTAATCTTATATGCAAATCCCATTTTGCAAAGCTACGCAAATATAGAACCTATTGTATGGCGTTTTCTAGTTGTACATGAACTTAGGGGTACAGTTATAAAGATAGATTAAGGCTTAGTATATTTCTAACCATAAATCCACAGGTAACTTTGCACTATTTCTCATGGCCCTAGCCTTGTCCTTGATGATACTCCCTAAGCGCTCAGTGGCACTATTTTGTCCTTAATTATTTACCGTTAAGGGCTTAATAGTAATATGTTTGGTAATCAGCCACTCCTTTACCTCAGGTCAGTATAAGAATATCTCATTATCTATCTTAATCTTGATTGGACTAACATCATGGTGCTTTTTTAGATATTCAAAGAACCATTTCAGAGTTTCTAAGATCTCCACACTTTTGTACGACATTATATAAAAGTCCTAGATAAAACTGCTGAATCAATTAGTTATAAGTATCAATGTCTTTTCTCCATTCATTGAGTTTTTCTGAAAGTTATGAAAATTAATCACTAGATGCATACCAGATCGTTCCACAATATTTCTTTCTTCTTATCATATGATTTGTCTGGCTTTTGCCCTTCCACAGGCTTTGCACTGTACAGTGGTAGGATCTTTAGATAGACTAGTCACTCTTACACCTCCATATCCTAAGATAGGTACTTGATAGGTGCCTGCCCATAGGAAGTCTCCTGTCATTGCTTTCTGGAAGTTCACAAACCTTTCTATCTTATTGAAAACGTGAATTGATGACCCTAAATCCAATAAAGCTAAATATTTTAAAGGATATTTATTAATTAACAGTGCAGCTAAATCCTTTTCCATGTGAATGTAGCAGGTCGATTTGCAGCTGCCTACTGCCATCTTAAAGAGTTAATTTAAACTTGCCATTTCTCCTTGGAAAGTCACCTTATTCTGAGCATTTTGAGTTATAGGTTCTTGTCGCTCTTGGGATCAACTTCTAGAGCGAGATTATTCTTTTCTTTGAGAAGGAGCTTGTCCCTGTTCTTTGATTAGTACACATCTTACCTCTTTTGCTAATAGTGCATTACTATTGAGCCATCTATTGGCTCTTTGTTGAAGCTAAAGTCTTAGTTTGAACTCTTGAGGAGCCTTATAACTAAAAACATAGAAGTAGAAGTCAATAAAGTATATGCCTCCGCATGCAGGGTAGATCAATTTAGGTCCACCCCTTTTATCTAGAGTAAATCTGCTGCGCTGTCCTTCTTTAAATGATTGTGATTGCAAACATTGTTATCCACGCTCTACGGCTCTCCCTCGCTGCAAGCTTTCTTTGTTTTCTTCTTCGCTGTCGTCGCTCTTACTCAGATGAGTGGCAAAAGAGCCTTTTGTTATACAGGATTGTCATTTTGTACAGAGTCATGAGATGAGTCTCCAGAAGCCATTTGACAGATCCTTATAGGTAAGAGATTTGTCATCAATCTTTGGATCAATTGAGTGCTCAAAAGACGTTACCCACGCCTCATCTAGTGGTCGAATAGCTTCGAGAAACCTAGATGCCCAGTCCTCTGTATCTTGGGCGAAGGACATAGATTTCTTTTTTCCTTGAAGCATGATTTCTTCCCACTTAATCAACCAAGCCTCTAGATCTTGTGGAGTGCCTCTGAAAGGCTTCATGTACTAGTTATAGTCATCTCGTATACGTTACTGGATTTCTCGCGATCCTTGGCCAACTTGCATCTTTAAGTTATTATATACTTCCTTCTAACTATTGGAAGTTTTCCGTACTAGTTCTAACTGGGTTAGGCCAACCAAAGAAGTTTCTTAGAGTAGGGATTTTTCTGATATTCGTGCACACTATCTAAAACTTCGCTATCTGACAATCTTGATCCTTTTTATACTTACATTCTCAATGAAAATGACATCACTAAAAACCACAATCTGTGCTTAATCGAACTTTCTAGATGTAGGTTGTGAAGCTGATTTGTAATATCAACCTTGTGTTGGTATGCGAAATCGATATAGAATCTGATTCTCGAAATTTCCTGTTGATCAATATTCATACGATTCTCTAAATCCTATTCCCAAAAGGGAATAGCGTAGTTTAGTTCCAACACAAGCAAGGACTATATAGACCGCGTCGGGGCCTCATTAAGAGAAGAGAACAGACGACTGAATACATTTGACCATAGTACTTGGAGTACCACCTGAAGCGCGTGTATGGACGTACGTACATTGTTTTATTGGCTTTATAAGCCAACCCACAACTATCAATATTAGCCTTCATCCCGATCTTATTTTACTCTCACTTTTCATTCAAATTTTTTTCAACTATATAAAAGCTTCGAATTTGGATTTCTGAATTGCAGTCGAGTTCCAAATCTCATAAAAGCATGCAAAAATCATTCAAAACAATCAACAGGCAAATCCCCAATAACCACGCTTCCTGTCAACAATTGCCAACCTCGTCCTAATCCTGCTTGGTCCTTTCCACGAATCCTTCCACGCGAATCGTCAACTGATTCTTATCAAATTGTCCCATCAAGCTCCAGACGTAGTACCCCGAAACTTCGACCCTATCTTCGTAAATAGCGCGTGAAATCGCATCCAGATACAAACCAATGTATCTAACCCGAAACTTGTCATCTAGCGCCTTTTCCAAGGTCATTTTACTTTCTTAAGGACACGGGCACCCATTCTCAGTTATAACGATAGGCACGCGGTAGCGTTTCCAGACCCAATTCAACAGCTTGCGGAAACCAACAGGCGCAACCCGAAGCCAGGGCATTCCAGATGCCGGCCCAATTTCTTTGCCTTGGCAGTTAATAGACCCCTCTTCCACGTTTCCCGTACAGTCATCATCAGCGGTGATTCATTCCGTAGAACGTGTTATGCGGAGCTAACTTGCAGAGGAGTTCGAGCTCCTCAGTCGTAAATCTAGGCAACCGATCACCCAGTCTGCTTTTCATTGACTCGGGACAATCCTGTCCGAGGAAGATTGGATCCCCAAACCAGCCGATATAAAATTCCAGTCGGCGTTGGGCCGCCTCGATATGCATGTCGCTGTTGAGGTCCCAGGGCTCATAGAACTGGCCGTTCAACACGATTGAAATTTCGCCTGTCTGCGATTGTTGGAACTCGGTTGTATATATCTGGACGACTGCGGCATGACTCAGGATGATGGTGTGGCCGACCTGCCATCGCTCTGTCCGAGAGTCCCCTCCTGTTGGCGTGCTGCGTCCGGGAGCAAGGACACCGCTATGGTTACCAAAGATGGAGATAATGTAGGGTTCAAAATGTAATCCATTTCTTGACACGATCACCGAAACGGGAGAAGCAAATCCTTGCAAAGCGTTCAAAATCAGCCTGGAATTCCTCCTTATTGAGGAACGCGCCATAGCGATCGTAAATTCCTTGAGGACAATCCCAATGGTAAATTGTCACAACCGGCTCTATGTTATATGCCAAGAGAGTATCGATGAGGTTATTGTAAAAACAGATTCCTTGCTCGTTCACTGGGTCATAACATCCGCCTAGAGGGATGATCCGCGTCCAGGCGACTGAAAAGCGATACACTTTCATACCGTATGAGGGCATTAGCTTCACATCCTCCACCATTCGATTGTAGTGATCACAGGCAACATCACCATTTTCGCCATTCGTACGCGATGGTTCCAGGTGGGTGACGTTTCATGAAGCGAGGCATAGTGTTCAGAGGCCTCTGATTAGCTGAAAAAAATGGAATGACTTGTCTCCAGGTTTGTTCAAATGTCCTTGTTTTCTTCGTGGTAGATCTCGCGATATGCTAACAGTTGATTGACATGTACCAGTGTTTCGACTATGTATTGCGACTACTGCATGGTATGTTGGCGGTCCATGTGGAGCGTCGAGTGATAACGAGCAAACACGAATAGGATTGGTCTCCGTGTACAAGAATATTAAGCATGAGAAGGAAAGAAAGTACAAGGCCATGTGTGCACTTACTCAAATAGTATTGTGAGTGTATATGATCAATACTATTTGTAATAACTAGGAGGTTAATCCAATGGTTAGGCAGGAGGAATTATCAATACAACAGATAATCGTTCAGTGTCTCCAAGATATTCATTTACAACGGTACTGTCGCTGATTTACAGAGACTGAAGCTTGAGAGGAAAGAATCATATCTGCAAGGAACCTCTTTCTTATGCATACATAAGTTGTTGACAGGAATCTGGCGTGTCTATCTAGTTGGTGTGGCTTGTCACAGGTATCACGTTGTACTGTTTCAGCACTGTTTCAGCACTGTTACAGTTTTGTGAATTTTCTTTGCCATGTGTAGATTTCCCACCATAAAAGAATTAGAGAGTGTAGAACTGGGCACCGTTTTTCAATTAACTATATAGTTATCAACATACAAAGATGGCTTTATGTCTATATCAAGAAACCAGATTGGCGACATATATAAGGAACTGGTTCGTGGACGTAGATAGATTGGTGAAATAAAACTAGAATGTCAGGGTTTGCTCTCACTCTAACCCTGATTGGAGAAATCTTAGCCGATTGAAGGCGCTGTTCTTTTCTTAGTTCTCCGGAGGATATCATATTTCTATGATTAGCACTCTTTGACTCTCATTTTTCTTACGCATCTTGTTGTGTTATTTATATATCTTTGCATGTTCAAAGGTGCTTTGTTTGCTATATTTAGACGCTACTGTTCTGTCTGATACTGATTAGGAAACACCATGCTGGCAGGTTGAAGCTTATAAGGATTCCATCCTACCTATCGATTCGTCCTGGGAATCAGCAGTCCTCTTGTTTTCTATCCTTGTTACTTGTTCCTCAGTTAGTTACCAGAATCAGATTTCTTCTCGTTGTCAGTTCCTTACATAGAAACTCGACATAGACACGGAAGAACGGAAAATAGGACAACGAGAAAACAAGAGGACTTCTGATCTCCAGGAAGAACGGATGGGCAGGATGAGCTCCTTATAATCCTCATCCTGAGCGGATTCCGGAGATAATCGGCATCCCGAACATTAAAAAACTCCGACAAAATAAAGGAAAACAAAAGACCCAAAACCCTAGAAACAATTCCCTAAATAGCTCGAGCTCGAGCGAACCTAACAATATACTCATATTATATGGTAGTTAATGCAATATTAAGTAAAGGATGGCGGTGCACTATTAGCGCTAATAACTGAATTAATAACAAAGAGTGCATCTACACCCTCTGTGCCATGCAAATCTTGTTGGGCCCATATTCTCCGTATCATCTGTTCTGTCCAGTCGAGGTTGCCCAACGTCCTCTCCTTCCTTGTACGCTGAAGGCTCCTAAGCATTAGTATCCTATCGGAATCACTCTCCGCCTGGAGTGACAGAATGAACATGGGAAATGGCCGTTCACAAACGCCGAGATCCCTCAATATGCTAAACGACTGCTCAGCAGCAGTTTGAGACGCGGGCGAAGAGATTGGAGACCCTCGGACCACGCGATCCAGGTATATGAGGATTGCGAATTGGAATAATTGGGCAATCGCAGTATAGTGTTTCCTACTTCCAACAGTGTGATATTCTTCATCGTTGATACCACTGCAGAGCTGCTGATCAACAGCACGGAGCCGCTGTTCAAGGCTATCGATGGCATACTGGTGACTTTTGGTAAGGAGCTCGGGGTCCTTTCGATCTTGTCTAACCAGGTCCACAGCTTGGCCTAGGAGATCTAGGAGCTCGAGTGAGCAGCCGAGAGTGCTCTGAATCTAGAAAGAAATCAGTACCTACACCAATATTGGACTATATATATAAAAAATATTCATACGATATGACGGTTGGGGTTGAAGATGGCCTGAGAAATGACCATCTCCCTGTTTGCAATTATTTCCTGCTCCATAGTACGCTGCAGCCAATGGCGTATGCTGAACTTGTACAGGACATTGTGGTAGAATACCCAGTCTAGGAGGGTTGCAGCATCCCCGCCATATGATCTGTGCTCCTGATGCCTAGACTTTACAATCATTAGCGAGCCGTCAAAGTATACGGACCAATTCTTAACCACGCCAGACCGGTCAACAGCCTAGCATACCTTTGTCAGCAAGGAATAATTAACGTTAAAAGAGATGCCTTGCCTCATATATGCTCAGGAGCATGCTCGCAGCGATTGCTTGAGCCCAACTTTTGGAATCCAGCTCCTGACTGATAGTCTCTCGCAAAGCAGAAACTGCTCGCATGCGGCTGTAGGTTGACTCACGGGACTTCTGGAGATATAGGTAGGTAATAGCATTCATCGAGTAACGGACGGCAAGGGATGGAGGCAACTCGTCAGTAAGGGACATGCGATACAGAAGGCTACAGACATCTCGCCGTAGGTCCCCTCGAGAAGTGATCATTTCAATGGCCGAAGAGTACTCTTAAGTAAAGAATTTTCAGCCTAATAATCGCAGCTAAGCAAAAAACCTAGGAGCTTACGTGCAGGGGTCATATCTGTGCCGAACTGTGGCATTTGTAAAGAGCGATCCGGGCCACGAAAATGCCAAACACCCATGTGGCTCACTATAGAACCCGTGGTTAAAAAGAATATACAGGGTAAAGACAGATCCACAGTGGTGTACCAGGTGATTCTCTTTCGATATATAGACTGGTATCCCAGGTGAAGGTGTTTAGGAATGCGACTGGGCGAGCCAACTTGGGGCTTGGTACATTAGCCGTAACAGCACGGCGAGTATCCCCAACACGAGGCCAGGATAGGTTGAGTGAGTACCCTGAGCACTTCTTCCCTCGTCTCGCACAGGTGCCACAAGTTGGCAGCGTCCTGTCGCAGGCAATTTTGCGATCTGAGCTTCGTTGCTTCGTTAATTCTCGTTCATTCTTGGGATGGCATGCTCCTACGTCGGCAATTCAAACAGGACTTCCGTGCCTGAGTACTCATAGTCTCCTCCATAGTGAAACTCTACCTAACCCAAGGGAAGGAAGTTCTCGAAGAGTCGACCACGATAATTAGTGATTAGCAACATTGATTGCATAGAAATGCGGCGAACGACTTTCGCACAAGTAATTACTAATACTCCTGGTCCCCGCTTGCCGCCTGTGTCACAAGCTGTTGGGTTAGCTAATCTGATTTGTACGATCCAGCCAATCATATTGATGAAATCTACCAGCCAATAAGAGCGAGTCACGCTCTCAGGAGAGGGATCCACCATATAGGGGCTGAAAGGCATCTCCCACTGTTACTGTACTTAGAACTCTCAACAAGAATCGCAGCAAGGACCAAGGATTCCATATGCTATTTGGCATACATAATTTGATACGTTGAGATATGCCGCTAGAGATTTTTACGTACAATCCAACAGAACCTCACCTAATCTGTGCGGACACATTTGCCCAACTGCGGTATATCGTGACGTCACCCACCTTAGCTTCCGTAATCCACCTTAGAATGAGCAACTTTGTCCGCTGAAAAGATATAATCACTTAGAGATTCTGTACCTTATATATTTAGAGCCACGCCATGTCGTATTCCTGTTCCATTCAGCTCGATCACATATTGACAGTCAAAGCAACCTCTCTATACCAGTTGACTTATTATCGGACCTGGAAGTCAGAGCTTCGTCATGGCAGTAACTAAAGTCCTTATCACTGGGGCCACCGGATATATGTGAGTCTTTTAGGGACTAACCCTGAGTAACCTACTAACGCTAGACAGTGGAGGCTCCGTCCTGGCAACCCTACTTACATCCATAAACCCTAAGATCAGGGGGATTAGCATATCGGCCCTAGTACGCAAGCAGGAGCAAGCAGCTATCCTAAAGGAGAACGGCGTTAATGGTATCATTTTCAGTGGGCTTGACGACACGGACTTTGTAAGAAAGGTCGCCAGCGACCACGACTTTGTCATAAATACCGCCAACGCATTCCACTTCCGCGCAGCCGAGGCTATAATCCTCGGCCTTGCAGATCGCAAGAAGCAAACGGGCAAGGATGTCTATCTGATACATGTACGTAGCCTCCCCTCTTGCTCCAGACACGCGCATGAACTGAACAAGCCTAGACCTCTGGAACATCGAGTCTCGGTGATTTTCCAATCACTGGCTCCTATACCGAGACACGAGTCTTGTCCGATAAGGACGATATTTACACCTACCTACGCCACCGCGAGGATTTAGAACCCTACCAGCAGCGAACTACCGACCTCGTCGTCTTTGAAAAAGGTGAGGCCGCTAGTATCAAAACTTATATTCTCATGTCACCAACTATTTACGGCTTGGGGAGTGGGCTATTTAATCGCACCTCTATCCAGATCGATGCTATAATGCGCGCTGCTCGTCGTGATGGTTTCACCTCTGTCATTGGTTCTGGTGCAGCCGAGTGGGATCATGTCCACGTCGAAGACTTGGTCCAACTATACGAGTTAGTGCTCGCTCGTCTGCTTGATGGGGACAACCTACCGTCCAACAAAAAGGGAATATATTTTAATGAGACCGGACACCACTCGTGGCGTTATCTATCAGAACGCATCTCAAGGGACGGAAACGCATTAGGGTATTTAACATCCGACGAGGTGCGCGAGGTTTCACTTAAGGAGTGGATTACTAGATCTAGAAAAGCCCTATCACCCCGTACGGTGGAGTTGGGCTTTGCGTCACGGTCGCGGACTCGGGCGGATTTAGCCCGAGAGCTTGGATGGAAGCCGACGAAGACAGAGAAGGACTTCAAAGATAGTTTCATGGATGAATGGAAGGTCATTGCAAAGGAGGGATAGAGGCTGCATGTCAAAGTTTACATGACACTAAATTTATAATTTTTCAACAACCCTACAGTGAGTTCCATCGCTCGATGCTTTTTCGTAACAGAGCTCAGCTCAACGGCCCTGAGACAGACGACACCACAGATTCCGAATCCATATATTCTGAGCGCGCCGTCCTGCTCCCGTTCAAAAATGACCTGCAATATGCAGCTCCTCGGAAATTCTTCTCGTATGCTCTCCAAATTCCAACTAAAACGTACCGCCCTATTTCTGGCTTTGAGTTTCCGTCTCTTTTATCGATCTACGGCATCTCATCTGAAGATTGGTCACGATTGACATGCGAGATCACGAGAAATACAAGTCTTTCACTATCGCAATGGACAACGGTATATAGTGTAGGGATTGGTATACCTGGTTGCAAAACCAGTGCACGCTTTTTCATTTGTTGAATATGTTTCAACCTAACCTATACCAGGTAGAGTTCCGGAATAATAATATTCCAGTTTCACTTAACCGTAATTTATCGTAAAATAACATGGTGTATGAGGTCCGTGACGCGCTAGCCGATAATCGGGCCCCGGAACGCGTCCGCCCTCAGTAATTACGCGTAGGTATGGAAATCAAGCTCCTCTTTTTATCCACCACTAACTCTGCCTATCTACTGTTGCATCGATTCTGGCTGACTAAATGCAGTGTGGAGTCACGGAAATAGACGCGCTATCACGCATCGCCGCTGGCCTGATTGTCAGGGTTGATTACGCGATGGACCGGCTCTTGAGCCTCCTTCCAAGGACGGCTCCTCTACAGATACAGGTCCCTAACATCGCGACCACCAAGATCGAGCCTCCCCGACCGGAAGATATCGCTATACAAAAGGCTCTTGATGAGGTCCTTGAGTATCATAGAGTTCACTGGCCTAAGAATACAACGAAAAACTATGAGCCAAAGCAGAAGGAGTGGAAGGTAGTTATTAGGTTTCTCCTCGCTTTTCACATACTCCAAGTGCTAACTCTGAGGTCCTAGGCCTGGTGCAAAAAGATGGGCTTCAAGGAAGGTGGCAGATATCTTCCAGGAGACTATGTTGACGAAGGGAAGCTCCTCCTCTTTATTAAAGAGGAAGTTGCCAGCCGCCCTCCACGCCGCGGACAGAGGCTCAAGGCAGAGAGGAAGCGCAAGAGAACAGCAGCAGTAGAAGTACTGTCAGAAGGGCCTCCCTCTAAGCGGAAGAGAGAGAAGATCAGTGTTCCCTCTATGGCGTTTGAAGAGCTACCTATTGAGAGCGATGATGACGAGGCTTGCTCTGAACTTGTCCTGATGTACAATACTGTACGAAGCTATTGCTCTGCTATTAATAAGCTCTGGGCACATCAGACCTTATTAGGCCTCCATAATGCAGCGCGGCCACAGAGGGTGGCTATGACTGCTCTGAAGACATCGATTGCCCGAGGCCAGCACCAACACTGACGTGATGAGTTTACGGAACGTGGGCTAGCTACTATACGAGATGGATATGTTGCTTCTCAGATTCCTAATCTTACAAGAAAGGTCTGGGCCCAGTGTCTAGGACAGAATCAGATTGAGCAACAGTTCCGTACACAGCTATGCTTTCTTTTTGGCAACTCTATGCTACTAAGATTAAGCAATCGGCTGCCTATGGAGCTGCCAGATCTATTCTCAATGCCCCTATCTAATGAAGGGCCAAAAGGCAAAGGCTGGTGTCTTATTACTGTGATAGACCAGGGTAAAACAAACTAACATGGCCAGCTTGAGTATGGGGCAGCTCTGCAGCATCGAGATCATCAGTCCTGTCTTATAGGTGCTCTAGTAACCTATTTCTTCTGGAGATAGCACTGTTCTGGAGAGTCGTTCCCTTGTTTCCGGACCAGTCAAGACTGGTATAATATTAAGGTGCTTAAGTGAGATAATAATCACCTTACTGAACCTCTAAGCGATAGCACAGCGGCATCCTGGACCCGACGCCTATATAGTGAGGCAGTGATCAAGAGCTCCAAGGTAACACATGCAGGACGGGTCTCTGGGGCCAGACTTGCTGAGTTGAATGGAGTCTCTGAAGATCAGGTAAGTAAGCTCTATCATCTCTATCTATTTAAGTTAACCTCCAGCCTCTAGATTTGCTGGGGCGGTCGCTGGAATGCAGACCAGATGACTGATTGTTACTTGACTACTCTGCCTCGATCCTTCATGCGTGGTATTGCAGATTTTGACCCTGACTGGTCATCAAGCTATTACTTGCCTCGGGAGACTGTCTGCCCTCCACCAGTATTATTAAAGCGTGTGTGGCTAGACCTGGATAGGTGGCAAGCAGCACATTTAAAAAGGACAGATGCAACTGAGAGAGTAGAGCCAAATATTGCTACTAGTAGATTTCTAGAACTCTTACAGAGGCTTAGAACTGTATTCTTACAGGACTCTGTACTCTGACGGACGGAGTTTCCTAGCCACCCAATATTCCGAGACCCTCTCTTTCAGATGGTAGAATATAAGGCCTTTGAGTTAGATATTCATATGGCTGTTACAACAGCCATGGAAGAAGATCCTCATTCTATCGCTATTCAAAAGGCCATCCCTGCTGTAAACGACCGGCTTTGTACAATGACTGCAGCTATTCAGACTAGCTAGGTTACTCATTCATAAGCCCTTCGCTTATTAGAGGACTTAATAGTAAGCCGAATAGATCAACTAACAGCCACTATTAATGACTTTATTAGTGGTACCTTCACCTATCAATTCGTGCCTAGAGGCCAGATTGTTCCGCCCCCTATCACAGGAGCAGTCTTTAGCCCTACAGCGCCTATTCAACTTCCTGTGACGGCGCTTGAGAAAACTTCACAGGCACCGCAATATCGTATGTCGAGGAACACTACAACAATCCCAGAACTGTGGAAAGAGTGGACTGTCGGGCTCAATGGCCAGCTTTCAATTAAGAGGCTCGATGAGCTCTATGGCTCTGGCTAGCGCTCAGGGCCTAAGAGCTCTGCTGAACGCCAGTTCTATTCTTGAAGAAAGACTCTCATTAATGAGATTAGAAGACTGGCTACTGTTGAAGATGCCTCTTTAGGGGATCCCTGTCAAACAGTTGTAGCAAAGTTAGAGGAAGAGCAGATACAGGCTGGTGCTTCACTAAGCAAGTTAATAGATGCTTTAAAAAGGTCATAGTGTTTGTTAGCCAACTAGTAAAAAGCAATTCATTAGACTACTTATCTAATTGTTCACCTCTTTTCTTTCTCAGTCTAGATATCTAACCCTAAGATTTGAACAATACCATACCTTACCTAGCATTCTTGACTTAATTGGTTGTCAGCGGAAGGAGACTCCACTATCTTGTCATACTCTCATAACTTCTTCATTTGTAGGTATTTTTTCTTCTAATTTAGCTACAAGATAAAGCTGCAAGCCTATACTTTGGAGTTCAATTTTCTAGCTCATTGATTAAACGGATGTTGGTATATTGCGATCTGAATATCTTGGTATTGATGTTCCAGGGCAGTTACCGAAAACGCGCTGTAACTCAGTTATTCCCCACTAAAAAGCCCCTCAGATATCCTTCTGATGTTATTTGAAACTCCCATACATGTTAGAAATAGGGTCGATCATAAACCCCTAGATCAAGCACGTTAGCTGGAAGTGACTCGCCGAGGCCAAGCTGTGTTCCAACAAGTAGATTCTCTAACAACTAGCTACAATTGCCGATTAATTTCGGGTCTAAGGTGGAGAGAAGTGCCGCATTGAATCCGGCCATAAAGCATCGTGGAGGGATTTATTTCTATGGTGCAGTCAACAATGGACATATTCCACGAACAAAGGCTAGAAAGAAGAAATTTCTTGAGATTTTTGTTGCTGCTAACGCAATGAATCGGACTTTGGTAGAGGAGATTCAGAGGCGCAAAACCAGCTGACATGCGCCTAACCAGTCTCAGCAATCGACGAGATTCACTTCCAGGGAATCCCATTCTGCGATTTTAAACTTGTAAGTTACAGAATACACCAGCATCAGAAGTTAAATGATAACCCGCTATGTAGTTTCTAATTTCATTGTCATTCATTAGGCTTTGTTGTACTGCGTCTCTCTTGCCAACATTCAGTTGTAGGCCGCGAAGTGGTTTATGCATTAAACTGTGAGAGGTGCACTCGACAGTTTTCGCTGAATGACTCATGAGGTCCTCCACAAGGAACGCTTTTTGGGACTATGACCTAGCAAGTACTGTGATGGTGTCCCTCATTTGCACATTTAGCACATGTCTGAGTCTTTTTATAGGAAAAGGCCTTACGGCCTATTTCTTGACAGTTGAAACATTGAGCCGTTCCTGATCGTGGTTCAAAAACTCCAGTGTATGCGGATTCTCCTGCTATATCAAAATATTATCCTTCTGCTAAGCGTTTGGGTCAGTTCCTTTAGTGATATATATCACCACCCATATGCTTTGCGGGAGCCCTTCTTGCTCAGCCAGGAAATCTCGGAACGTTGACATCATTTTCTTTTCCTAGAGCCTCAGCTGCCTTTGGTATGGTGATACCATCCACATCCAAGACTGCTGTCCGATTGGCATTGTCGATTTTGACTAGGTAAAGCTGGTCTCAATCCGTTGAAGACTGCAAGCAGCTCCGAGAATAATTAGACGCTATAACTAACACCCCATTGCCTGCAGCCTTCACAAAGGCCAAGTCATAGCTAGCTTACACAGAAGTGGTCAGAGGCCAACTGGCCCGACGTGTGACGGCTGGGCATAGCTTTGTGTTCCCGTCTCAGTTCACAGATAGAGCTATGTTGGTTTAGCCGGGTCCTGGATCACGAAGCACAGGATTGCGGCAAGGGCAGTCCAACTGCCCTACGTGGTGAGCCTGGTAATATTGAAGTTATTCCTAATATTACGACTGGTCCTAAAAGAGGGAGGAGAAGGATAATTACATGCAAGTAGAGGGGATATCCCCAGGCAGGTGAAACGGAATAACTAATATTCCGGTGCTGATACTCAACACCTGGGGATTCCCGTACACACAGGCTGGGAGCCGTATAACCCTACCCGCGCCATATTGGGAAGTCATATCAACATAATATGTCGGAGCTGGATAGGGAAAGGCGCCCCGCACAGAGATTTGTATGAGAAGCGAGAGCCAGAGCTTTTGCTTCATTTCTTCCTTTTTCGCCCTTATGCTCAATATTACCTGATGATGGGCTAGAGAGAGTGATATTGAGAAGTCTAACTAACTATCTGAGATCCGTGGCGTGCGAGGTTGATGTCCTTGCTACGATCACGCTAGGCCCAATGCGGTACCGACGTCTACCTGTATGGCGGTGGTCCCGTGATTACCTGTCGGCAGGCACCTCTTGTGTGAAATAGCTAGCTAGGATAGCGTACTCAAATCAAGCAGATTGGCATCGTCACACGACGATTGGGGTGCCGGGAATAAGAGTCCTACGGTTCTGGAATTTTTCCAGCTGGACCTGTAGGCCTTTAATCATGTCATTTTGGTTCCGAATCGTTTTCTCTTATTTACTGAGTGTTTCTTTCAAACTTTTGATCTCCCTATAGGTGCTCTCCAAATAGTGGCACATCTTTCTGAGCAGATCTTGGTTTTCGTCTTCGCCACTCTGCATCTTCTCAATGAGACTAGCAGCTTTCTTTACTGCAGTTGGCTTTACTTTAGACATTACCTTTTCCGTCGAAGTGTTGACCTCAGCACCGTCAGCGCTATCCAGATCTTCTTGAGCCCTAGATGAAGGTGCTACGACGCGTCCTACAGGCGTTGTTTATGCTAATCGAATCGACTTATACGACATATCGAAAACCATTCAAGGTCGCATTCCTCGTGGTAGCATCCATCCGCGTCATAGCCATCACATCATTAAAACCAGTATCTACCGCCAATTTATCAAATTTCTTATTGGCACATTGGAATATGAAGCGCAACGTTAGAATGCAGGATAGTCCCAAAACCTCAAAAGCCAGAATACAACCCCAAGACTCTTTGTACATAGGTTTATACTCGTCCAGCTAAAAGTAGTTTGCAAACAGTGAAGCAATATTGGCACAAATGTTAGCAAGTCCGATTGCAGCAGCTCGTTTTACTGGAGGCTGGATGATTGCTGAGGAGAGCCAGGCGTATGTGGTCGCGTAGACGCCGAAAGTGCCACAGGAAGCGAGAAAAGTAAACGCATATCGGGCCCAAAATCCGGGAACAGCTATGAGCAGAATTGTTTCTAGAATTGCACAGCACTGAGAGACTCCCCCTGGCATTGAGCGAATTTGATGACTATCTGCTACCCACGCCCAACAAATGGCCCATACAAAGGTCACAACATAGGGCGGATATGTCAAAAGGAGGACAGTGGTATTATCCTTGAACCTAATCTGCTGAACCAAAGTTGGGAAGAAGTGCGAGAAGGAGATTGTCGCTCTGGTGGCCATCTGCAAACACGCAAATAGCCATACCCGGACATCCATGGCCCACCCATTTGATACCACGGGTTATTGACACCTTCTCAGCGTCCAGGAGTGTATCGCTGCCGGCATCATTTGCTAATCGGCCTTGAGCAACAACCTTTTCGGCCTCACTGAGCCACTTCGTCGTGCTGGGGAAGTCTGGAAGAACATTCCTAATAAAGGAATTTTTGACTGTATCTGCCCCAGCACTAATCTACGGATCTTTTTCGAAGCATGAGGTGTTGTTCCTCATTCGGATATTACCCGAGGACCCCAGGATGTCGGTAAAGTTTACCAACCCCAGCCCCAAACCCCAGACTGAGTTCTAAGTTACCCCACAGGCATTGAAAATAGTATATCTTGAGGCAGGTATAATTGCAACCCTCTGTCTCATACAAATTCTCTGTTGCCTAGCCGGTGTCCCAACATGGAATCGAAATGTATCAAAAGCAAAGAACAATGCTGATTGAGAACTTATTGACGAGAATCTCCCTACAAGGATTCCCTAGTCAATAAGGGACGTGCGGCGCCAAGCCGTCACATAGATGAAGTCCGCCATAGCTACTATCTGAGGATTTCTAGCAACATGTCCTTCATTAATTGATTATATGCCTCTATTAAATAGTTTCCACAGTCCAATACAATAAGATTATAGGTATATACCAAGACAATTAATACCCTGCATCCCATATCAGAGTGCTTGTGAATGTTTGAACTCTAGGAGTCTAGAGGGTGGTTTTGCCTGTTTAGGCTTAGTATGAACCTTAATTGTATGGGAAATTCCAGAAACCTCAGCGGACCGCTGGAGTTCTGGATAACCTATAGTACTAGTGTGTAATGGATTCCATTACCGTGGAACCTAATACGTAGAATAGCTTTCGGGGCTAGATTATCCCGGCCCTACCAAGTCTTTTATCACCAGCTTGGCTGGGCATAGTACATACCATACATTGTGGACGGTGAAAAGTATACATATTGATTGGCTGATTCACATGTCTGGGCTACCCGCCAGAATTGTCTGACCCCACTAAGGGTTCGCTAAGTGACGGGGCACTGGCACGACATGTCAGATAATCCGGATTACAAACGAGGCAGAGAGATCCGACATTTGATCTCACAGGTCTGAAAAGGCACCTTAGGGCATATATCTGGGCACCTAGATTTCAGCCCAATGTTTACCCCTCATGATAGCTCACAAATCACCCCGCCAAAAGATGTTTATAAAAACCCTGCTTGGAAACCTGATGGACAGGGAGAGACAGAGAACTCAATACATACAATTTTGCTAGTCACTTCTTTTTCCCTTCCTTGTAAAGTACTATTCAGGATTGGCCTGAAGTTAACCCAGCAATCCGACAGGAACGTATACCACAAGGATCCGCACAATCGGAGTATAGTCAGGGATACTCGTCTTCTTGTACGTGAATAGATGCTTCGGTATGCTATCTACTTGACCATGCTAACAATCTAGGAACGCTAGGAACGGAATGGAAGTAATAGCGGACGATCAAGGAGCTCCAGGTGCCCGCAGTTTTCTTGACTTTGTAGAAAAAAATCAACACTCACTCCATTTCCTTGATCGCGATCGTGCCTACCTGATCACTGAAGTGGATCCCACTCTAGCCAATCAAGTATCGTGGCCACAACGCAACGCAGATGTCGCGGACATGTTCCTTTTTATGCTCAAATCGCATTGGATATCCGGTAGATACTATGAGGAGTACCCGGACTCGGACTTTACGGAATTATGGGAGGTACGGGAAAATCGAGGAGTCAACTCTCAGGGAGGGCTCCGTAAATACGCAGACAAGCATGGAATGGATTATAACAGGCTTCGAGATATAGTTCAAGTCACGCAGAAAGCGCGTGCAATAGAGGCGGAAATGGAAACTCCGGGTCTATCGAAGAGCATATATTTTGCCTTCAAACGACTGAGGGCTCTAAGATTCGAGCAAATTGGGCCATTCTGCGTCCTATTTCGGACTAGTGATTCGTTCAAAAAGCTCAAGCATTACGCACCTAAGGCCCTCGCGCTATGGGACGATTACGCAGCTTTAATGGAGTGGCACGAACGAAACCGGTGAACTATCGGATAAAATCGCAACCTATGGACGTTCCAGACTGCCCTCAAGCTCTCTAATAAGGGGTGTTGCATGGAATGGCGCTACTTTGACAGGGATATCATCCCTCTGAATCCTGAGCTGCTGCCGTTCACAGGAAAAAGTCTGTAGGACAAATAAACCATTACTTTCAGTGGGCCAACTCAAGCACATATCCGATAGCATAAAGAGTACCATGCCTTCGTGTAGCTCCTGCTGCTTTGGACGTAGTGTCCCTTCTATAGGACCCGCATGCGATTTCTCGTACAGGCAAAATCGAACACTTCCCCGTACACACCGTATCATGCAAATTGCCTTGTTTCGGTCATATCCATACGGTCCTAGCCTATAGATCTCAGGCCGGCCTGTAGCGTAGCCGCAATTCACCAATAATGGTTCTCCGCGAATGATTTCGTCTACGCTATTTGCATTAAGGAGAGAACGTATATAGTGTATCTATATAGTGCATGTAAGCCTGCGGCCCTGCGACGCTAAATTGCACATTGTTTCTGTGAGTAACATACCTCTGGTTCAAGTAGGTCATTCTCCATGAATCCAATGAGGGCTTTTGACAATTGAGTTTCATAGCCGCCTCGAGCGTAGAGTGTGGTCACTGGATTAGTTCGGAGAATAGTATCCAACCACTCTGATACGTGGGTGGATGGACCAGGCCAATTTTTAAAAATAATATATCCCTCGTAGTAAAAAGTCATCTCTTCTCTCTGTGTTGCGCCATCCTCAACGGGCCCCGCGATTTCCCCGGGTTACATTTTTCTGTCTGATTACGTAATTAGACCCTGGCCACGGGCTCCCACTAACGTAATTCACCACCGAAGCGGCACCACTACCGAGCCGGCATTTTTTCCCGAGCGCGTACGCGATATTGATTTCAAATCCCAATTTTCAAAGCCACATACAAATTATATACAAAAATCTAACTACTAATACGACTAGGGCATTGGTTAATTCTATGCCCCATAACGTTACAACCACTGCAGCGATATTGGCGGCGTACGACTGCTTGAGAAGCTGGGAGCTCCGGCTCAGCCGGAGTAGTAGTAACAGCATGGGATGCCTCAACCTGACCTTGTACGAGCGCTTGCACTTCTTCTTTAGTAACCGCTTGCTCAATAGATATTTGCTTTTTAGATTTTTGGCGCTTTTGCTTCTCTTTCTCATGTGCAGCTCGTAAATCGTAGTTCTCTTTCCGTACGAGTAAAACATCATTCGCTATCATTTCGTAGGCTTTTGACAACCGTACAACTGCCTGATTGATTTCTTGATTTTGGTTGCTTTCTGTACGCTCATTTATACGTTTATTGATTGTAGTCGACTGGCGTATAAATTGGCGTATATTTTGAGGTGTTTGTAAGCAGGATGATGCCGTATTGCTTGATCGACTTGGAGGGGGGGTTGGTGTCTTCAATCGAATATTAAGCTGTTGTATAACTCGATCTGGATTGAAAGGCACTAATCCAGTGGCTGCGAAGCTATTCCAAATAGTTTGAGCTTTATATGCCACTGTACGAGCCTGTGGAAATGCTGTTAAGAAGTCCATTTTATCAATATGATTGAAACCAAGCCTCATTCGTTGCTCAACAAGCTGCCCATAATGTCGCTTTAAAACAGCAAAACAGCCAACATCAAGAGGCTGTAAGAGATGCGAAGAATGAGGTGGCATACAGACTGGAATAATATTATTCTCAGTACATATATGGTCAAATTCTGGTGTCAAATGGCTTCCATGGCCATCAAGAATCAACATTCGATATTTTCCAACCGTACGACCATTAATATAGGGAATAAAATGGGTTTTAAGCCATTCTAATCCTATCTGATCTGTAGTCCAGCCATTATCGCTAATATTGATTCGCCAATCATCTGGAAGATCATCAAACCAGCCTTCTCGTACGTTTTTCTTTGCTTTGAAAATCACGTACGAAGGCACAGCCCATCCAGTTGAATTTGTTGCCTCAATTGCAGTTACCCATTCTCGATTTCCAGGCTGTAAAAGCTTCGGCTGAGCATATCGATCGCTTCCAGTAATAACCTTTGCAGTTGCACAGAGTCCCATAGCAAAGCCAGTCTCATCAAAGTTGAATATATCTTCCGGTAAGATGCCGTACTCAGATATAGCAGCTTGTACGCGATCAAAATGTTCTTGTATTATCTTTGGATCTTCGCATTTAGCACGTTCGTAGTTGTATTTCCTTGCGAATTTGGAATCGATCTCTGGACGGCGTTTAATCAGTTTAGTTATCCAATTTTTTCCAACTTGTGGTTTGCCATGTTGTGAAAGTATATAATTAGCCATTTCTCGTACAAGAGAATGCCGGGGGGGTAATCCACGTCGATCTAAATCAAGCACCCATTTGACAAGCGATTCCTCTTCATATTGAGTCAATTTATGGCTGTTGGCGCGTACGAGAGATCTTTGTTGAATACCATTGAGTCTATCTTGTAAAGTTGTCCGGGGGATCTCGTAAATCCTTGCAGCTTGAGCTACACGTTGAATTCGGCCATTCTGTAAATCGGAAATTGCTAATAAGATTCGTCCCTCTTGCTCATCTAAATTTTTCCGGTTTTTATTGCGAATTGGTGGCATATTGACGTGTTGAATAATATAAAATCAATATCGTGTACGCGCTCGGGAAAAAATGCCGGCTCGGTAGTGGTGCCGCTTCGGTGGTGAATTACGTTAGTTAACTCATGCTGAATCGACTCACTACGAATGTATTTCTCTATAATGGTTACTTTGTGTGTTTTTTTTTTCTTTTTCTTTTTATCAAATTGGTCACTGCCAAGATTCCATGCGAGGAAAAACTGCAGGATTGCGTAAATCGTTGACCACTGAGGGGTTCTTACCCTTGATACGGCGCAATTAAGGTCAGGCATTCTTGGTGTACTTATGTCTTGCATAGACTGCCTTTCGAATGGCCTAAATCAAACAGGGGGCCGAAAATGTCCCTTCTTAAAGGAGACTCATCGTTGACTGGTTGCTTATACGAAACACTGCAGATGTGTGCTATTAAAGGTATCACGGGCTGCCTTGAATTACCTTATAGGATGCTTGAATATTCCTTTCATGCACCCGGGTCCCTAAATGTGAACCCACAGGGACAGGGGGCAGGGCAAGGGGTGTCGAACATGTTGGGCTACTATCCACGGGTTGCACAACAAGGTACACCAAAATAAACATATCCATGTACATCAGGTTGGGGTAGTCACTTAGTCTGCACTCTGATTGGCTGCCATGGGTATCTGGGGACTCATAGTGCCTTTCTCTCATTTCTTTGTCACTTCAGACAAGGATTCACATCAATAACACTTTTCAAGAGTCACCAACCAAATCTTTTGTGGGCTTGAGGTTTGAAGTTTCATCTTTCCATCACAAACTGCACTTCTGCTGCTCCTACTACAGTTGTGTTGCGTTCTGCCTTCCACAAGAAAGAGAGAGACATATCATCTGCTCTCAGTCAAGATGGCAACCAGCTCTTCCCACGTTGACAACTATGATGCCTCCAAGTTCTGGATCGCTTCAGCCAGGAACTTTCGAACCTCTGCTCGCTTGCACTTGCAACACTTTCTCTTCCAAAACACTATCGGCTATCTCCTAGAGCCTATCATTGAGGAGTCCTTGGTGGCTTCTTCCCGGCCCCTGAAAGTTGCCGATCTTGCTTGTGGAAATGGCATCTGGCTGACTGAACTGCATTCCCACTTTGCGAAGAACAATATCTCAGCCCAGCGGGACGGATTTGACATCAACCCCGTGAACTTCCCGGATGCAGCCTACCTGCCCGACTCGGTATCCATCAAGCAGCTTGACATCCTTTCCAAGCCCCTCCCTGCCGATTTGATTGGCATCTACGATGTGGTCCATATCCGAGCCTTTGTTAGTGTGATACCTGATGGCGACCTGACACCTATACTCTCTGTTGCCTCGGAGCTTTTGAAGCCGGGTGGTTTTCTTCGATGGGAAGAGACTCGAGGCGATAAATGGGTCGTCTAGTCACCTTTACCGCAAGTATCTAAATTGGCCAGTGAAAGCATTGTGCGGGTGCTCGAAGGTGGTTAAAAGGCCCAAGGCATCAACAATGAGTGGGTAGACGTACTCGACACACGTCTAGGCCAGTTTGGTTTCCAGGATGCACGATTGCTTTCCCAGGAGAAAAGAAAGCAGGATTACAAAGGCTGGACTGAAGACTACTTGATGGTGTGGGAGGAATGTGCTGCTTTTTTTCTGCCAAAGTCGCAGGCATTGGATGCGCCATTGACGCGAGAGGTGTGGACTGAAATGTTTGCAAACAGTGTTAAAGAGACAGAGCAAGGCGTTGCGGTGCATCAAGGAAAGGTCGTGACTGTGGTAGGCCGGAGGCCTCAATGAGTTGCTGGGTCTACCACTGGCGGGTAAAGCTTGTACCTAAGCTTCAAGTAGTCTGACTCATTACAGTCAATACCTACAAGGATGTGGATGACGTTCTAAAATCTCTTGAATAATTGTATATGTAGATATATTGTTATTGCCATCATAGACACAGTGACCAAGGCACAATCGTCGCAAGATAACTTGACGCATAAAAACCACATAAATTACCACCCCATTAACGGGGTTCCGTATTTGGCCAAACGATATTTTTCTGGTTCTCAATACAGAACCACAACGGAATGGAAGGTGAAACCTCGTAAACTTGCAGATTGATAAGTTGGGCCAGCACACCATGGAAGAATGCTATATTTGCCTTCGTATAAGTTTTTATGATTGGCATACAGTATATGAAAACAAAAGCAGCCTAGTTTGAGCGGCTCCCCTCTTTGACCTACTGTAGTGCCCAAGCCTGATATTTAGCTTTCAAGCACTCAGCCAATGGTTTCTCTCTAGTGCTCGTCGATGCATGGCTTTCGCCTCTTCACACTTTCCCTGCCTGGAAAGCACCGAGCTTAGATGACTGATACTGGCCAGTGTGTCAGGATGTTCAGTGCCTAGCACTTTCTCTCTGCTAGCGAGTGCTCGTCGATGCATAGCCTCTGCTTCCTCATATTGTCCTTGACTTTGAAGCACTGAGCCTAGATGGCTGATACTGGCCAGTGTCTCGGGATGTTCAGCGCCTAGCACTTTCTCTCTACTAGCAAGTGCTTGTCGATGCATGGCCTCTGCTTCCTCATATTCTCCCTGGCTGTGAAGTACCGAGCCCAGATGACTGATACTGGCCAGTGTGTCAGGATGTTCAGCACCTAGCACTTTCTCTCTACCAGCGAGTGCTTGTTGATGCATAGTATCTGCTTCCTTATATTTCCCCTGACTGTGAAGCACTAAGCCTAGATGACTGATACTGGCCAGTGTACTAGGATGTTCAGCACCTAGCACTTTCTCTCTGCTAGCAAGTGCTTGTCGATGCATAGCTTCTGCTTCCTCATATTGTCCTTGACTTTGAAGCACTGAACCTAGAAGACTGATACTGATTAGTGTGTCAGGATGTTCAGCGCCTAGCACCTTCTCTCTGCCAGCGAGAGCTCGTCGATGCATAGCCTCTGCTTTTTCATATTCTCCCTGACTTTGAAGCACCGAGCCTAGATAACTGACACTAGTCAGTGTGTCAGGATGTTCAGCACCTAGCACTTTCTCTCTACCATCAAGTGCTTGTTGATGCATAGTATCTGCTTCCTTATACTTCCCCTGACTCTCAAGCACTAAGCCTAGATGACTGATACTGGCCAGTGTATTAGGATGTTCGGCGCCTAGCATTTTCTCATGGTATGTAACTGCTCGTCGATGCATAGCCTCTGCTTCCTTATATTTCACCTGTCTTCGAAGCACTAAGCCTAGATGACTGACACTGACCAGTGTGTCAGGATGTTCAGCGCCTAACACTTTCTCATGCATTGTAACTGCTCGTCGATGCATGACCTCCGCCTCCTCATACTTTCCCATAAGGTAAAGATGCCAGCCACACCGACTGGCAATACTTGCAATATTCAATTGATCGTTGTCATCCAATTTCTTAGTGAAATAAATCGTCTCTTTAAAATGTGGAAGGAGCATATGGCAAGATGCCGACGTTTGATAATCTCCACTGGGAAATACAGCTTTCATCACTCGTAAACTTTGTTTGACCAACTGATGAAGCCGACCTTGTTTCTTCAGCCACTGTCGAACTGACAATTGCACTAGCCGGTGCAATTCAAACAACCGTCCGCCGATCTCGACTTGGATGAGAGAAAAGCTTATTAATAGAGCTATTGCATCCTCGAATTGTAATCGATCCATCCCTTCGCTAACCAGCTCTTCCGGAATTCCCTGTCGGTCAAACATACTCATCAAAGCCAGCAGATCTGTGGCTTTCGGATAAATGTGGTGGATCTGATCAAATGAGATCTGCCATGTCGTGATGACCGGGTATCGGACGCTTCGATCTCGTCGAAGATCATGAGCCTCGTCATAATTTAGAAGGTGCTCTTGGTTGGTCTCACTTTGTTGAAATAGCTCCAAGTAAGAAGATACGGTCATCCGAGGTGAACGATTCGAGATATATGCACCAGCTTGTGCAATTGCTAAAGGAATGCATTCTAGTGCCTCAACGAGTAGTTTTGCTTCACTTACACATGATTGGTCCACCTCGATGCGGGTTCGCAATAAGGTAATAGCGTCATGCGTGCTCATTGGTTTCACGGGTATTACCTGACCACGAGGCCCCACTATATTCCGTGCCACTATCTGATTTCGTGATGTAATCAAAATCGATCCATGCAAAACACAAGGTAAGTAATCCACTAATGGCACATTTTCACCAGAGGTCTTAAAAAAGGTATCATTATCGTCTGCATTGTCCAGAACCATCAACCAGCTGCCATTCGTCTCATCGCATAGCCATTTAGTGACCAGCTGGAGGATATTAGCTTCTGGATCGTCGAATCCAGGAACCTTTGCTACTGATGCAATATTTCGGTACCCTTGCTCAAACCTCGTCGGATTACTTCCGTGAACCCAGAATATCCATGTGCTAGGCGCAGATTCTCGAATGCGATATGTATACTCGATCGCTATTTGAGATTTTCTGGGACATATTTAGTTCTTGCACATCATAATTTCACACGTTACTTACCCTACACCCCCTAGGCCAACGAGTGCGGCACGCTTAGAAGTCCGCCCTTTTCCATCTTGAACAGCCTTGTCAATACTCATGGTAATATCTTCTCGGCCGACAAACTTTTCGTCTCTCTCAAAAGGGACTGTTGAAGATGGCTTAGGATGGCTTGGCGTTTGCGCTGAAAAATGGAACTCAAATCAGCATAAACCATAAGTCGCTCTCCGACAGGCAGATATCAACTTACGTCGCTCTTGCTGAAGGCCAGTTATCCAATATTCCAAGAAAGTTTTGGTACAAGATGCCGCAGTCGCTGCAGCATAGTTCTGCCATGCCTTATTCTTATGACTGTCTGCGTAATCGCAGACGCCTTTGATGATAACGCAAGGCAGGATATCCCATACTCCAGCAGCTTCCATCTCAAATCCAATCACACCCTCCTTTTCAGCCAGTTGATCGCGATGCTCGCCAGACTTCAACACAGAATTTGCTGACGCAATCGTGCCTATGTGAATGAGAGGTCTTGGGCTATCAGTATTGAGTCGGCTTCTCTGGATCACTTCACCTCCACAACCAACTTTCTTGCAGTCACCTTTCAATGCTTGCTCACAGACTGGATCGGAGCTCGAGTGGCAGTCAGCGCAGATGCATTCAATCGTATATTGTTGTTTGTAGTGTTTGTGACGATAAGAGGCTCTGAATAACCTATCCTGTGAAACACCAGGATAATTCCACTCATTCCCCTCCATTTCTTGGAGAATCTTCAGGTATTGCGCGGTTTGCCTTTGTACTTGGTCTTTCATTCGGCGAGTTCGTAAACGGTTTAGGAAGGACTGGATCTGTTGATTAGGCGATCCAAGTGCCTCCTTGTTACTACTTTTTCGCTCGAACCCATGCGGGTACTGTCTGCCAAAATCATATTCAATCACGCTGTCACCAATGATGATGTCACCCAAGACGATCTCCATGCCGTCAGATGCATATGGTACTCCACCGCAGATTCCAACTAGTAAGGTAAGCTTAATTCCTGTGAAACTGACATGCAAGCCACGAGCAACACCGGCGGACCTTCGATTTCCCATACCCGGCATGTAAGCCAACACTACATTGTGATTATTGATTCTTCCAGTTACATAACTGTTGGCATCTCCCATGTGCTTGCTATATATGTGGCCCAGTTCATCGTAGCGCTCATCGAACAACGCCTCCACCGCGTCACCCTCTAGAGGGAGGGCACAGATTATCGCGATATTGAATTCCTCTCGGGATCGTGGAGGCATTTTCGCATGACTCTTGCTTCTCCAACTCGACGATACTATTTTTCGCGCTGTAAGAGAGTGACCGCCATAGGATAGAGCATCTTCTGGGTGCTTCAAGCGGGGCATCAGGCTGAGAGTGGACTGTGGGATTTGATTGGTATTGAATGCAAGCACATCAAATATATAACGTAATCCACAAGCGAACCGACACCACAAGCGAACCGGCACTTTTTCCCGAACGCGTACAAAATATTGATCTCAAATCTCAATTTCTAACCCACATACTAATTATATACAAAATATTAATTTCTAATACGATTAGGACATCCAGTTATTTTATGTCCTGCAACACCACAACCACTGTAGCGAAATTGACGTCGTACAGGTGGGTGAGAAACTGGGAGCTCAGGCTCGGCCGGAGCAGTAGTAACAGCTTGAGATGCTTCAATCTGACCTTGTACGAGTGCTTAAGCTTCCTCTCTGGTAATTCCTTGCTCATGAGATATTTGCTGCTTAGATCTTTGACATTTTTTCTTATGTGCAGCCCGTAGATCATGGAATCCCTTCTGTGCAATTGTAAGCTTATTAATACTTATCTCATAAGCCTTTGACGCCCGTGTTAACACTTCATCAATAGCCTCAGATGAACTTCTTGTATGCCGGCTTATTCGCTTCTTAATTGTAGTCATCTAGCGCTTGAATTGAAGTGGATTTTGAGAGGTTTGTAAGCAGGATGATTGTGTATCACTTGATCGACTTGGGGGTGGGGGGGGTGGGTGTTGGAGTCTTCAATCGAACAGTAAGCTGTTGATAAACTCGATCTGGATTGAATGGTACTAAACCAGTTGCTGCAAAGCTATTCCGAACAGTTTGAGCTTTATATGCCATCGTACGAGCTGCTGGAAATGCAGTGAGAAAGTCGATTTTGTCAGTATGATTGAATCCAAGCCTCATTTGCTGCTCAACAAGCTGTCCATAATGTCGCTTTAAAATAGCAAAATAGCTAACATCAAGAGGCTGTAAAAGATGTGAGGAATGAGGAGGCATAAAGACTGGAATAATATTATTCTCAGTGCATGTACGGTTAAATTCAGCAGTTAAATGGCTTCCATGACCATCAAGAATCAACATCCGATATTTTCCCAATGTACGGTTATTAATAAGAGGAATAAAATGAGTTTTAAGCCATTGTAATTTAATCTTATCCGTTGTCCATCCATTATCACTGATATTGATTCTCCAGTCATCTGGAAGATTTTCAAACCAGCCTAATCGAGTGTATTTCTTTGCCTTAAAAATAATATATGAAGGCAAGGCCCATTGTGGGTGCATAAAGCACGTGTACACGTTAATGTACGTACGTACATGAATGGTTAGCAGGTACTGCAATTCTGTATGGGTTCAAAATGTGTGTGATTGTAGCTATCTAACTCACGCCCCGACGCGGTCTTACATCCCTCTATCCTAGACGAGGTCACGTGACGCCCTGCGGCTCAGTGCGTCGGAGTGAGGCATCTCGATTGCTCCCACAAACCAACACTGGATCTCTTTTACAAATTGGATTGCGATCGAGATCCAAAAACCCATGAAAAACCATACAAAAACATAACGAAGGGATCAAACAAAAGATCTATTGAGGTAGCTGGCGTGTCCGAAAACACGTCTCCACTTCGATCTCGTCCCCCACTTGGCCCCGAATCGCCTCCTAATCGCTCCCGGTTCTCTCAACGAAGCCTTCAACACGAACTGTCAGCTTATTGCTGTCAACAAGGTCCCGTAGGGCCTTGTTAGGGCTTGACTTCGTAAAAGCGTCGGCCGGGTTATCGTCTCCATGGATCTAACGGATCTCGTGGATCTCGTGCTTCTCATAAGATTGACGAAGTGCCATGATATCGATCATGAGGCGTTTCTCTTTGGTGGTCCCAAGCTTACCGAGGCATTCATAAAGCGAAAATGAATCCGTACAAATAATTACAGGCATTGCCGGTAGGTCCAGACGACTGGTGATCATTTTGGCGGTACTGGCAATTAGAGCTCCGAAACGAATATGAATAATATTCATATTCATGAATATTTGCGAATATGAATAATATAAATATGAATTAAATGAATATGAATATGACCCGTATTCATATTCACTAAATTTATAAATATATGAATATTCATGAATATCCACAAAAGATGAGGGAGGCAGCTGAATCTTGAACTCGCTCCTAAGATCAATTTTAAATAGTTACTTACAGAAAAACTATATACAAACAGCAAGCTTACTAAAATTCGATGAAAACCCCGTTTCCTAAATCCTAAACATTTTTATGCTGAGTCCCAGCATTCTTTACCATATTGTCCCTTAAGGAACATCAGCCATCTAAACATCTCAGAATTTAAGCAGTGTCTCCAAATACCCAGAACATCTCATGCGTTACTAAATAATCTTTTAATGCCTACTTTAGCAGACAGAATAGGAAGATAGTCTTGTATAGCTTTTGATATTAGGGGGTAGTTAAAGGCATTTGCTTTCCACCATTTCAATATCTAGTTAGGATCCTCATCTTCTATTATACTATAAGACCATATCTCAGGGCTTGAATCTAGGTACTAATCAATGTTTAATATTATGTCTGCAGATTGCAGAGGCTAGATTTTTTTGAGCTTTTTCTATAATGTCCCTGGCATACCTGGTGGACGCTCTGCGCTAGAGGAAGAGGTAGGGCTTGCAGGATATTATTTCTTAAGATATTCATGTATATTAGAAACAATCACATCTGCATCAGACTTGCTCATTTAAGCTTGGATGAAGGAGGTCTTAACCCGTGGATCAAGAATGGCAGCCATGTAATAGATAATATTGGAATCTATCTTCTTGGTGAATTTATCCATTTTCTAGATTCCTCCTTTAATAGCATTTTGAACCTCCTTAGTAATCTCTTGAAAGTCACCTTCATTATTTTTGATATCGTCAAGAATATCATCAAGACTCCAGTATATTAGAAGGCTTTTAGTAATGCTTGGGTAATGTTTCAAGATAGAGTTGGTATAGTCCCAGAATAGCTTTAGGACCTTCTAAATTTGTCTTAGTATTGACCAGTCACTATCTGTTGGTTGTATTTCTTGAATGTCTGGATATTCACAAATAAATTGAGTGACTTCTTTTCGAAGTCAAAGAGCTTCAGAGACCATATTGTATATTAAATTCTAGCAAGTGTTAATGTCATAATTGATTTGCTTATAGGGAGAGATATCCTTCTATGCCTGCCTTCGCTAGGGGCTGTTACTAATCCATAAGGCTAAAAGATGGATCTTAATAATAGCACCTTTCGTTGAAATTAGTGTTTCAGGTGAATAATCCTTCTGTGATGGCATCTCATCAAGTATAACATGTGCATCATAGACTGTACCGGTCTTTAAGGATACCAGTGTCGGAAACTTCGGTCAAACTACCGTCGAGTATATCTCGGATAGCTTATAACACGCTGAAGTTATAAGGCTTCTAAGTACGAAAGGCTTCTTGAAAGCAAAGTCTTAATAAAGGGATGAATATCCGGTTCGATAGAAGAACGTATACTCAAGTTGTCAAAGCTAAGGGGTACTTAGCACGGTTAATTCAAGACGATAGAATAAAACTAAATACATGCTGTAATGAGCGTCCTTATATATTCCATCATCATCATAGCCATCATATCCTGTTCCCTACAATGGGCTCTGATGGATCGGTTCTGCCTTGTCATAGTCATCATAGCCATGTCCTAACATCCGGATATGTTGGCTCTGATACCCTAACCCTAATGGTTTCGGATAATCCTTGCTTCCGTAGTGCAGTAGTGTAACACTATCTACTCAATCCATTGGCTGCGGATTCTTGATTCTTCTGACAACCAGAATATCCTTATAGATAAGATTTAGTATATGTGCAAGACATCTAATGAAGCTATTCCGACCCTAGAACCATATAAGTGGTTTTATGCGGAATGGACTATCTTTCTCGTCAAAATCTTTTAATAGGTCTGCATAAAAATAATCGCAGAGTATTAGGTTGTTTCTAGCATTATCTCCAGTGATTATTAGAAGCTTATATTCGATTTGAAACGCTTTAAGTACACTTTTGACAATTGTAGATAGATTTTTACTAGAGTGCAATCTATCAATCTCTTTAAACTTAAGAAGATCTTTTTAAAGCTTAAACTCTAGAGTGAGCCAATGGCCGACAATAGTAAGAAATGATATCTAGTTATCTGACGTCTAGATGTCAAGTGAAAGTGAAATCAATTGGTAGGTATCAGCTAAGTCCTGCTTTAACTGGTTCCTCTAACTCAAATATTCACTCTAAACTTAATTTTGAAGAGTATCTATAGTTTTGATAGGACAGTTAGCATTTAGACTCTTAAGAAGTTCTTTCCATATAGGATGTTCAACAACTGTAAAAGGCTACTGTGTTTTAATCACCTAGCAAAGAAGAGCCTGCATGGGATCAAGTCTAGACTTAGCTAGTTCTATGAATATATTAAGAGGCCTAGCTGGAGGTATAATTATATTCTATTTAATATAGTGTTCTTTGTAAAGGTGTGTAGCTAAATTGATCATAGCACCCTATTAAGTAGAGTCCTTTAATGACCAATTGCATCACTTACACAAAAGAAGTCTATTATTTCTGTGATGGCCTCCTTTAGGACACCATGTAGTCTTAAGGCCTATAGTATCAAAATAGTTGGCAGTCCAGCTAGTACGTGATCTCTTTCTTTTTTTCATTGGAGTCTCGTTGAACTCACTCTCTTGGTCTAATTGAGAAGAATTGTCTGAATTCTGTTGAGGAGACTTCAATCCTTATGAAGCTGATTCAGATAGTACCAAACTTAGTTTGTTAGAAGATATGTTTTGGTAAGGTGCAGGCATAGGCTCATTAGATAGAGTAGACATATCAGAAGGTAGAGATTTAGGGGAGGAAGAGTCAAGAGTATCTGCTTTATCGCGCCATGGAAAAGCATCAGAAACTATGCCATTATTTAAGGCATTATAATTGTGACGAGGTCTCTTTCGAGTTATTTAAGGAGATGAATCATGAGAAAAAGCCATAAGAAGAGGGTATAAACAAAGCTCTATAATAAATAAGGAACAAGAAGGAATATCAAGTGAAATACTCAGAGACAGATATTTGGAAAAGAGAATTAGGAATCTGGAAGAGCCTAATTCCCCCAATTTATATACTAAACAATATTTAGCTTTGTCTGTCACGTAGCTACTTAGTCTAATCCATTCCTAGCTATGATGTAAACAAAAAAGGTAAATGTCGGAACGTGAATATCAAACCCTACACGTTTTGGCACCGGATATAGTTAGTCTGACGCGGCACGTGCGTGCCGCGTATATCTAGCTAGCTATCCCCGTCCCCCTCGTTCTTGGGGACAAGTCACAATATTAGGAATCAAGATATCTTCATATTGTCAGGCTCATTAGGCCGCTTCGTGTTCGCGCCTTACTACCGTCTATGCTTCGTGATACGGACCGTAGTTAAACCAACACTGATCAGTGAGGCCCACAGATCAGACCTTACCCCTATTCTCACTTATTCGAATCCCCCGTCGACCTCGCGTCGATTACCACCCTGCTGCGCCGATATACGCACCAAATCTCTTACTCGTGAGCTCTTAGCTGAGTCTCATAAACCTTACGAATCCACCCGTACGAACCTACGTACGAAACCACCTTCGACCCCGAGTCGAATACCCCTCTCAGTGCGCCGATATACGCACCGAATAACCGACAATATGGCACCCACGGATTATACAGATTTTGATCCGAATAGCAAGGACCGCAAGACAATCGAACCATGCGTAATAACACGAACAAAGATCTACACCGATCTGTACGACGACGACCTATGGTTTACCTTCAAAGATGATTTTGGAGACTGGACTACAGATAACCTTTGCAAAGCGACCGTACCAGTCCTTGGAAACTACGTGACGTACTGCGAACCAATGGTATATATGTACCAAAGGGTGGACACGCAGGAAGAGTATTAGCGAACACACTGACTCTTCCAGAACCACACGAATGGACTAAAAGTGAAGTTGTTGAACACATACAGCTTAAAGGGACCTTCAATTCCCCATTTATCCAGTTGAAGTTCGCTGCCACAATCAAAAGAATCAACGACGCCGCAAATGTGACAATACAAAATAATGCTCAATTCGTGCAAGAAGATACCCCCTCTCCACCGTCAACGAACCTACACGGCATGGTAACAAGAATGAGAGCATCCGCAGGTGGCCTACAAGATATGATACCACACGCTGAGACGGCACCACCGACACCGACACCACCGGCGCCGCAGGCACCACTAGTACAAGTAGCGACACCTACCCAAACGGCAACATGGCAAGGAACGGGATATGTGCCAGCAATCCGCGACCAAGAAAGAATGTATTCGCAGGTAGGACAATTTGCACCGTTATATGTCAACAGCATCGCACAACTTCGGAAGGTGTACACTACAGATAGCACCAAGTACGGCGATAATGAAGACTCATTCGACCTAGCTCATAATATCTTCTTAGACCTCTGCCGCCAGATGGGTCTACATACCGCAGAAGCACGGAACCAGGCATTTTCAGTTATGCTCAAAGGACTCGCACTCGACTATTACTACACGTGGAAAGATCAATGGGAGCGCATGGGAATCGACCCCGCTGTGGCAGTCAAAAACCACTTCGAAAACGACGAGCACCTACGAAAAGTGCAGACTGACTGGGATGCGATAAATCTTTATACGGTAATTGTAAAGTACCCTGAAAAATCAACTACTGAATGCTTAGAGATGATGTTTCGAGATATCCAAAAGCTCTACCACAAATTGCGACCAGAACTACGAAACGAGGTTATTTGGCACGCAAAGCTCATTTCTGCTACTCGAACACACCCAGCATGTCATGCAGCAACTGGAAATCCCGCATCTACGATCCCTGGTCTCATGCAGAGCCTTCGAGGAAGTGTCAGCCAATTTGAAGACACTAAGCGAGCAGCGCAACAGCACTTCGCAGGCACATATAATACTGATCCGTATGACGTTCCACGAACGAACATGACAGAACGTCGCTTCTTCAACAATAATCTACGATACCAGCCTCAAAACCGCAGCCGCTTTACTCGGAAACCATCTCGTCACTTCAGAGGTCCCAGAAACGACAAAAAGACATGTTATATCTGCAAGAAACCAGGACACTTATCATATAACCACTCGGACGAGGAGCGCGAGGCACACAAGCGTGAATGGAATAAAAACAGATCTGGGAGTTATCAACAATTTATGGCTGAAATTGAGGGCTGGGAATATGACCCTGAATCAATTGAAGAACTAGCATCAAGTGGCGCTTATTTCGAGGATGACAGCAGTGATGACGAACCTCCAAGGACCAAGGATTCAATTACTTCCAAAGATCAGCCAATAAGATGCACCACTCCAGACTACTCACCCATTTGCAGCGCTTTCTTCACTACTGATGAGAAGC